GACTTTCTCACCTGGTTGCTGGCTCAAGCATATCTGCTCAGCCTTTGCTCAGCAACCCATCTGCCTGGATGCTAGACTCTGGTGCTATGGCCAACACAACACCACACAGAGAGGATTTTGTCAGCTACGCACTCTGCTCAGGAGATATCATGGGCATGTCTGGTGCAGTTACCAAGATCTGTGGTGTTGGCCAAGTCAGTGTTGGTGACAATGACAGCAACTTTGTAATATGCAATGTTTGCCATGTGCCCAAGTCAGTGATGAACATGCTGTCAATCAGCAACATTTTACAGCATGGGCTGGATGTGCTCTTTTCCGAAAATCGTGCATTTGTGTACTAGGATGGTGAAGCAATCATGGCAGCAGACTTTGAAGATGGTCTTTACTACATAGTCCCTGACACCTGTTATGACAAGCATCGACTGGCCAGAGCCCCAAAGCTGGTCTCAGCTGCAAGCATCCCATCTGCTGGCACTGTGCTGCCAACAAGCAAGCTGTCAAGAAAGTCTATCTCTGCCCTGGATGCTCATGTGCGGTTTGGGCATGCATCTGCACCCTACATCAAGCATGCAGCCAATACTCTTGGCCTGGAACTGGTGGGATCTGTAGACAAGCACTGTGAAGTGTGCTCTGTTGCCAAGCCAGCTGAGAAGCCACACAATGGCCACCTGCCACAAGCCAAGGCACCTCTTGAAGTGGTTTACTCTGATGTTGGTGTTGTGACTCATCCATCTGCTGAGCACAGCAAGTACTTTGTCACCTTCATAGATGACTACTCCCACAGTGTGCTTGTGTATTTCATGGAGTGCAAATCAGAAGTCATTGACAGATTCAAGCTGTATGTAGCCAAGATGGAGCACCAGCTGGATGCCAAGGTCAAAACATTGCATTCTGACAATGATGGTAAATACATCAATGGAGATATGAAGGCATTCTTTGAGGCCAATGGCATCTGCCAGGTTACCAGCTTCCCCCACACACCCCAGCAGAATAGAGTAGCTGAACGAACCAATCACACCCTGGTAGAGATGGCCAATGCCATGCTGCTGCAGTCTGGCGTCCCTCTTTATCTATGGGCTTTTGCCATTGTGCATGTGAAAAACAAGCAAAGCTGAGCAAAAAGAAGGTTTGCAAGTTATATTTAAAAGGAAGAAAAAGATAAAGTTCTAAGCTAAAGAAAAAAGTGAAGAGACTGAGGAAAGCTGTCTCTTATATAGGAGACAGCGAGTGAAGATAAGAAAGGTAAATAAAAGAGAAGGATACTTTTCTTTGTGGCAGCCAGTAGGCACCTGGGTCGGCATTGCTGCACTGGAATCCAAGGCTGCCACAAAGGAAAGTATTTAGGCAATGATTCCAAGTGCATGGTGCCTGCTTCAAACCATATAGGGAGCAGCATAGCTTGGGAACACTCTTGGTCTGGCCACCAGTTATGCCATCAGGAATCTCGACATATATGTCTTCTTCCAGGTCACCATGCAGGAAGGCAGTCTTGACGTCCATGGAGTGCAGCAGCCAGCCATGATAGGCTGCAAGTGCTATGACTATACAAATAGACTTGTAGGTCGCCACAGGTGCAAACACATCATAATAATCAATCCCAGGGTGCTGCTCAAAGCCTCTGACTACCAGGCGGCCCTTGTACAATGGTGGCTTGTCATCTGAGCCTTGCTTAACAACAGATACCCAGCATGTGCTCAGAGGGTGGATTGAGGATGAGCATGGGACAAGCCCAAACACCTCATTCTCAGCAATAGATGCCAACTCGCTTTTGATTGCAGTCTTCCACAAGGGTGCTTCCTCTGAGTGCATGGCCTGGATGTAGGATGTGGGGCCTGATACAGCCACACCACAGAACAGGGCACCATTGCTCTGTACCAGAGCATCTTGATCGTCATCATAGCTGTTGCTGTTATAGTCATAGTTGACATCATGGTTGAGCATGCTGGTGCTGTCAGCCTGCACTTTGTTATTCACTTGCCACCAGTCTGTTGTAGGCTGGCTGTTTCTAGTGGTGAGAGTGCCTTGCTCATGAGCAACAATGTCAGTGATTTGTGCTGGGGCTGCTGAGACTGCTGATCGACGGTTGAGCATGGGTGTTACTGGATCAGTAGCTCTGGCAGCAGTTGACGATAGCCTCAAAGGAGATGGGTTGGTTGGCTGGTGTTTGTGGACGTTGGCACTGGTGCTGGTAGTATCTTGAGCACTGCGGCTTGACAGAGATAATGGATGCCCAGAAAAAAGCTCTCTGCCTAGTGGCTCAGTAGTTGATGTACTGTTTCTGATGTTGCTGTTCCTGTTGCTGGTACTTGTGGCTGTGGCTGAAAAATGGCAAACTGGAGTGTGCTGGGGTGTTGAGCTAGGACTGTGCTCCTCATGGGCAGTGACAAATGAGGCATCAGTAAACTCAGATTCACTGTTGCTGTTGTTGTTGCCACATAGGATAGACTGGATTATTCTGCTGTTTCTCTGGCGCCTCTCCTGAACATGCCTCCACTTGTCCTCCTCTTGCAGCTGTGCCAGATGCAGGTCATCATCTTCATCAAACAGATCTGCTATGTGTATGGGGCCATGCTGTTATGTTAAAAATATATATTTGAACTGAATGAACTAAAAGAAAGCTAAAGGATAAACAGCCTCCACTGTTCATAGTCATTAGTATTTATATGTGCATATGAATTCCCGCATGTCCAAGTAGGGAATTAACTGGCGATTGATTCATTAATCAATCGCCAGAGACAAACCGCAATTTCTTGTATCACACATGCTGTGTGGGCATGTCAGTCATGTCTGACTCATGGAAGTAGAATGGTACAGAGGGTGCACTTTCATTGTAGAATGGAAATTCTGCATCCACAAACTTGGTTCTTGAGGTGTGTAGAACACGGCCAGTGTCTATGCAATACAGCAGCACCTTGCCATCCTTGGTTCCCAGGTACACACACTTCTGGGCATGCTCATCAAACTTAGAACGCAGCTCAGGAGGGTACTCACTCCAGACCAGACAGCCAATTGGATGGATGTTGGCAATGTTGCTGGCACTGTCAAGCTTCTCAAAAGGTGTGCTCATGTTAAGAGCATATTTGGGCAGACAGTTGAGCACCCAGTTAGCATGCACTGTTGGAATTCCGTTCTTGGTGGAACTCCGTCTTGAAGGAATTCCGTCTTGCATACTGTAAGATGATTGCAAGACCAGAAGTTTCTAAAGTATCCTTCTCTTTTATTTACCTTTTTTATCTTCACTCACTGTCTCCTATATAAGAGACAGCTTTCCTCAGTCTCTTCACTTTCTTTCTTTAGCTTAGAACTTTATCTTTTTCTTTAAATATAACTTGCAAACCTTCTCTTTGCTCTGCTTTTCTCGTTTTCACAGAAAGATATACTAATTAGCCACTGCTGTCATAGTATACCAAAACACATGAATAATATTTTATTGTATTTGCTGTTGCACAGCCTGAAGATATAAAAGTGCATGTCGAGGTTGAAAATCGTGAAACAAGTTTCCATCTGCATGCAGATTAATAGGGTGCTAATTGTATTATGCAGGTGTAAATTAGGGAAGCAGCATAATTGTGACATCAGACATGGGGGCCGAGTCACGTGACAACACAGACGCGTAAAATATGTTTATGATATTTTACGCGTACGGTGAATTCTGAATAGTGAGCTCTTTAGCTCTTTCCGTAGTCTCATTTTCATTAATATATATTATAACCTACACTATTCGGGTTACAATTATTGTAATGGGATTTGGACTAGCTATAATATATATTAATGAAAATGAGACTACGGAAAGAGCTAAAGAGCTCACTATTCAGAAATCGCTGTGTGCATGAAATATCACAACATATTTCATGGGTCTATGCTGTCATTGGACTCAGCCCCATTTCTGATGTCACAATAATGATACCCAAACATGCTCCCCATTTTGCAATGCACACGCGTGAGTGCACACATACGAAAAGCACAACATTGACTTGCCAAGATACCAGTCTGCTCTCAGAAGATCCAGTTCTCACCAACGAAGCGCACAATTGACAATGTGCACAACAAAGTCGACGAGTGTGATAGAAGGAATTGCGACTTGTCTCCGGCGATTGATTAATGAAGCAATCGCTAGTTAATCCCCTACTTGGATATGCAGGAATTCACACGCACACATAAATACTAATGAATATGAACAATGGAGGCTGTTCATCCCTTAGCTTTCTTTTAGTTTATTTGTTCAATATATATGTTTTTAACATAACAAGGCACATATATAAGATGAGGCCGGGCCTAGTAGTATTTTAGAAACATTAGTAATAAAACCTTTTATAAAACCACCCCTATTTTATAACACTAGAAAACTAGTGCTCCTCACATCCCCTCTTATTATAACAGGATATAGTAAGATATTATTTTATAAATTTTGCTTGAGCCTTGTCAACTATATATAATAGTTTTTTTTATGAAATTCTAATCTGATTGTAGTAAGTGATTTGTGTATTTGCAATGTTATATAAGAGGGGGGATGTAAGGAGCACTACTGTATTATTGTTAAAAGAAGTGGTAATAAATTTATAAAGTTTTATTACTAATGTTTCTAAAGTACTACTAGTGCCAGTCCCATCTCATATATGTGTCTTGTCATCTTTGTTTTGCACATTGTCAATTGTGCGCTTTGCTGGTGAGAACTGGATCTTCTGAGAGCAGACCGGTATCTTGGCAAGTCAATGTTGTGCTTTTCGTATGTGTGCACTCACGCGTGTGCATTGCAAAATGGGGGCATGTTTGGGCATCAATGTAATGCCTCCCTAATTTACGCCTGCATAATACAATTAGTGTCCTATCAATCGGCATGTAGATGAAAACCTGTTTTTTCGATTCTCAACCTCAACATCCACTTCTATATCTTCAGTCTGTGCAACAATCCCATCATCTTATATTCACTAGTTTTCAATTTAAACTTACAAAAAACTCATTTTCACAAATATGTCTACTTCAAACCCTGTTGTATCACTTAGAATTACTACTGACCGGCAGTCAACTGGAAATATCAACATTGTAATAAAACTTATTCGTACTAACTAATTTTTATTAAAAATCCACTATAAGGGAGCTTAAAGAGCTCCGCTTATCTATTCGAAACTATCGCCCGTGAAAATAGAAATCGCGATCGTAAACAATCACAATTTCAAACAATCGCAAATTCCCAATTGCAATTGTCACGTGACATCGCAATAATTGATGTCACAAACATTCTGCTGCGCACTGACGTTGTTCCCAAGACCACCAAAAACTTTCTCAAGCTGTGTACTGGCAGTGAGGGTTTTGGCTACACAGGTAGCCCATTCCATTGCATAATTCCCACCTTTATGGCACAGGGTGGTGACTTTACAAATGGGGATAGTACTGATGGCAAATCAATTTTCAGCACATCATTTGTAGATAAAACCTTTATTCTCAAGCACAATGAGCCAGGCACTGTGTCTATGGCAAATGCTGGCCCAGATACCAATGACTCTCAGTTTTTTTATATTCTTTGAGAAAATTCCCTGGCTTGATAACAGGCATGTCGTCTTTGGCAACATTATTGAGGGTATGGATGCTATCAGTAAAATTGAGGAATATAGCACAATGATGGGGTTGCCCAGTAAACGTGTCATTATATCTGATTGCTGCCAGCTCTTTTAGGGTTTCTTTATTTTTTACATTTTTTGTTTAATTTGAGAGCGAAATTCATATAATGATTGTTTTATAACTTATTTTACAGCAGTCACTGCACACATCATTTAGTTGGATTGCGCCAATTACAACCTGGGCCAGATATTAAAAGGCTAGTTTAACGTATCAATAAATCTCACATTAAACTAATTCCAAAACTCACTTAGGGAAGCCTCCAATTGAGTCCTTTTTAATTGCCATTTCATAGACAATTTAAAAGCTCCTCAAATGCTACTGTATAAATACCTATTTGGCATTAATCCAGTAGCTCGTAGCCTCTCAGCTCAAATGAGCTTATGAGATCACCTGTTTCGGCATCACACTCCCTTATCTGGTGAGTATGATACAGAGCTAATCCCCGATCACATTGTATGTGGATTAGCAGATCATGAGAGGTTTTGAAGCGGGCTCAGCCAACAGTAGTACTTCACATGAAACACACTAGCAAGTCTAAATACAGGCTCTTTCATGATAATATACAATATATACACGTACTCCAGTCTCTATCTGCAACAAGGCGAACGAGTTTTTTTGTGCAGTACAGACGCGAAATTATCGTGTAAAACGATCGATTAATCCGGAAATAATAGATTTTCCATTAATTTATATTTTTTGCTGCGCATAAAAATGTGAGTGCGCCATTTAATCCAGTATTGCGCCTGAGCATATTTGTTCAATAATCTTATTTTCGTTAAGCGCTTCTCAATAGTTTTCATTTCCATTTACGTAATTTTTCATTTACATATTTGAATTTGCTCATTGTAGTTCAGTTCATTTCTTGCATTAGCTTTTGAAATTCACAAAATCTATAAAAAAATCTCAAAAGCTCCAAACATACAGGTACAAAACCATCAGTTGCACCCATATATCCAAGACCACACAAACCATTCCATTGCACTAATGCCCAAGCACTGCAGTGTCATTTTGGCAGTTTTTTAATATCAGCGTAGCTGGCTCCGTTGCTGCAAACATGGATACTAGCACAGTAACGTCCTTGCCCGAGTGGCCCCTCTTGCCGCCATCTGTAGTTCGATTTCCAGATGCAGGTGCTACGGGCCCCGCGTTGATGGTCCAGATTGTTAGCATAGACTCGTATATGGCAGTGCCCACTTCGGTCGACTGTTTGCTGTGGGCACCTTACACCATATTTGATAGGCCGCTATTGAAGGTCCCGGTCATTCGCATTTTTGGTACCACAGCCAGCAACCAGCGCATATGCTTGCACTTGCATCAAATATGGCCGTACATTTATGTGCAATACGAGGGCCCATCAAACCTCGATGCCGTCCGCGAGTTTGGCTACCACCTAGGTCTCAGTCTTAACCATGCGCTGAACATCTCTTTGCGCAGCAACGGTTTGATATTTATTGCTGCTGTGGTGCCAGTCAAGGGCGTCCCTTTCTACGGATACCACACAGGATACCGGCCGTTCTTTAAAATACAGCTGACCAACCCCAGCATGATGGCACGTGCGAGCAGCCTGTTATCATCAGGTGCGGTGATGGGTCAGAAAATGAATGTTCTTGGATCCCACCTGTCCTATGTTCTTCAGTTCTTGGTCGATTTTAACTTGTATGGCATGGATTGGATCCATCTAAACAAAATTCTGTTTAGATCCCCACTTCCACAGCCTGCCGGCGGCAGCAGTCAAATGAGTGGTGCCATTGATGACAGTAATGTGGAGAACATTTATCGATGGGTGCCCCAGGGTATGCCTAGCTATCTTGCCAGACCAACACCGCCAGACAGGATTAGTCACTGCGCGCTTGAAGCCGATGCAACAGCAGCCGACATTGCTAACCGCCACCAGGTACAGGAGCGGCATATTCACCACATATTCCAGGAGGGCAAATTGGGTTTGCATTTTGGACGGCTAGTACACTCGCTCAATAGCATGTGGGCTGATGAAAACAAGCGGCGTGTGCGGCATGGCTTGGGCGAGCTATGTCCACGCAACAGCCAGGATCAGGTCGCCCTTGAGGAGTCGCTGCTGGGTATGCCTGCAAGTAACGATAAGGCCGCAGACGCAGGCGCAGACTCATCCAAATTCATTCGATGGTCTAATTATTGGCGCATGCAAAGCCTGCTTCAGAGCGCGTTGGCTGTTGACAAATGCCGGTTGAACGACAAACAAAAGAGTGTTTCCCAGTCAGTGCTAAGCGAGCTTGAGACACAGGCCAGCTGCACAAGCACTGGCGATATTGAAAGCATCAGCAGCTTTGATTTTGCTGGTGAGACTAGCAGTTGGCTGCAGTGCTGGCCCACATGTCGCGAGGTGGACATTGGTGAGCCGCGCTTGATTGGTGATGGTGGGATGAGCAGAAAACGGTTTTACACTGATGCCGACGAAGGTCTCGCTTTGTCAGAGCAGAGCGGTCTTGTTGATGCTACGTCGTCAACTACCCAACCTATGACGGTCTCTTTGACAGACTCAACAAATGACGGCCATTTGACACCTCGAGCGACCCAGTCTGTTCGCCCAGCGATCATAATCGACTTGTTGCTTATTGACAGCAATGATAGCAAGGGCGGCGCATCCACTGAGTCTGAAGACGAACAAGGTTTTGAATCTTACGAGTCCGCACAGCCTGTGGTGGACTTGGGCACTGTGTCTGCCGATAATGATTTGTTAGACGATTTTGCCGATTTCGACGATGGCTGGGTGGAGAACGAAGTATTCCGCGCGGAAGGGGGACAGACAAAGGACTTGTATAAATATATTCCACAGACCGATGGATCCAATGATTTTGAGAGTGGTTCAAAGCGCAAGAACGTAATTGGTGAGAGTATGCAGCAGCAGGACCAGCAAGGGCAGCAGCATGGACATCGCAGCAGACGGCAGGTTAAGCGGCGGGCACTTATACCTCTCATTTCGAGGCAGTCATCAGCAACGGTAGAGCCGATTATTAGCAAGCCCACCACTGATTTGGCTGCTGGTTTGGTGTTGCCAGATGCGGCTCGGCAAAATCAAGGCGCTGTGTTCACACAAAGTGTGACTAGCAGCACGCGGCCTATGTGGCCACCGCCGGAATATAGGGCCATCCAGGGCAACCATTTGGCATCGAGAGGCACCCGGCAGGAGATATCGCGCCCCACAAATCACACAAGTGGTAACATATACATCGACATTCCGCACGCCGAGGGCTATATTTTTAGGAGGTCAAGGACGGGGTGTTATTCGCGGCCGTCCAGGTCAGACATCTACATTGACATTGTCGTTCCACCAACAAGCTTTGCTTTGCGGCTACAGCATCAGCAGGATCAAGTGCTCTGTTACGGCAGCACTGTAGGGGTCGAGCAGCCGGCCCACATGCGCAGCAACAGCAGCTATTACAAAGCAGTCGATTCTGGTAAAAATGTTGATTTTGCATTACAACTGTGCGCTGCAGACTACAACCAGAGTGGCTATTTTGTGTACGCGTATCACGCACCGCGCTGGGACACGCTGGTGAATTCAATGGTTGAGCATGCCATGGCCGAGGTTGTTGCGCCCCAGCCGCGGTTTTCGGAAGCGCGAGACCTGCCTCGGACACGCAAGATGTATTCAGGGTCTTCCATAAGTCTATCCGCCACATGCGCTGACAATCTGCCAATATTCATTCCACTCTGTACATCTGGGCGCTCAAGGCATGCCATCAGTTTACGCGGTGTGGAGCTTCTAGACGACGGTATTGAGAGCCGGCGGCATGTCATGTGGAGTCCAGTGAATTTGCAACAGGTCAACCAAAGTGTCGGAGAGAAGGGGGATGGTGCCAGCACCAGCACCAGAATATCAGCTAAATATAGCCGTGGCAGATGGTGGGTTGTAGCAAAGAGGCCGCCTGCGCGGTTGAGTTTTGAAGAAGAGACTGTATATTCTGCAAATACGGATGACCACTCTATCCTGCTGATCTCCGCAAACCGTCGCCAGCGGGATCAATCCGATTTGAAATGGAGCTCGGTTCTCGGAACAATGTCCACATTTACAGGGTTGCCAGCAGCAGGTCATGGATCTAGCACCCCTAGACACACGCAGGCCAGCACTTTGCAGACTCTGGAGATGGCGGCTGGTCGCAAGCCATTTATGTCGCAGATGTCTGTCGAAATTCTCACCAGCTGTCGGGAGGAAGCCCTGCCCAACCCGATGGTTGATAGCGTGCTGTGTGTCATAGCGTGTTACATCTGCGATAAACCGCAGTGGAGCGAAGACACCTTTTCAGGATGCGCTTCAGTTGTGTGGACATGGGGTCCGCTGCTTCAAATTGGTCGCCTCAGCTTCCCACGCCATGTTGAACAGCAGCATCATGCCAACGAGGCATCAATGCTCAGAGAGTTGGCAAAATGGACGCGTGCAATGGACCCTGATATCTTGTGTGGATTTGAAGTGCAGGGGAGTTCCTGGGGATACCTTGCTGACCGGGCAGAGCATGCTTTTGACATTGAGCTGGAGAGTGAGCTGTCGCGCATTGTGACCAGGCAGAATTCGTGGCAGCACTCGCATAACAAATCAGAGGGGAGAGGCCAAGGCAGTTGGAGTCAGCGCAAGGGCACGGCGCTCAATGTCGTGGGGCGGCATGTGCTAAATGTGTGGCGGCTGATGCGCAGCGAGCTAAGCTTGACCTCTTACACATTTGAGAAAATTGTGCAGAAAGTGCTTGGCGAACAGTCGCCCCACTACCCGCCTCACCAGTTGGCGGCATGGTTTACCAGCGGGCCAGCCGTCACGCAGATCCGGGCTCTGAGACATGTGCATTTCCGCGCTCGGGCGGCACTGCGAATTCTAGACCAGACTGGAGTTGTTGCCCGGGCATCAGAATTTGCAAGCGTCATTGGAATCGACTTTGCGGCTGTATTTATGCGCGGGTCGCAGCTGCGGGTAGAGTCGCTCATGGCACGCATAGCACACCCAGAGCTGTTTGTGCTTGCATCACCAACACGCGAGCAGGTCGCACAGCAGCGGGCCGCCGAGTGCTTGCCGCTAGTATTGGAGCCACAGAGCAAATATTACACAGATCCTGTAGTCGTTTTAGACTTTCAGAGTCTTTATCCCAGCATAATGATTGCGTACAACTACTGCTTTTCGACTTGCCTGGGGAGCGTGGGGGAGGCCGCAGCAGTCCACAGCGACACCGGTGACACCCAGCGCCGGCGCCTTGGGTTTTCTAGTGTCGATGTGCCGCCGGGCATGCTGACTGTGCTGAAGGATTATCTGACGGTCTCGCCCAATGGAATGCTGTTTGTCAAGCCGTCAGTGCGCCAGGGGCTTTTGGGCCGCATGCTGCACGAGCTTCTCGAGAGCAGGGTCATGGTCAATGACGCAATGAAGCGCTGGGGCGATGGCGACGAGGCGCTGCTCAAGAAGCTAGACGCGTGGCAGCTTGGACTCAAGCTCATTACCAATGTTACCTACGGGTATGCTGGTGCCTCGTTTTCAGGGCGCATGCCTTGCGTTGAAATTGCCGATGCCATTGTGCAGTCTGGCCGCGAGACACTGGAGAGTGCAATCCGCCTTATACATTCGAAACACTCGACCTGGGGCGCCCGAGTAGTCTATGGAGACACCGACTCTATCTTCATTCATCTGCCTGGCAAGAGCCGCGAGTCGGCCTTTATAATTGGCAATGAGATAGCCGAGGCAGTCACAGAGCTGAATCCAGCACCAGTCAAGCTCAAGTTTGAAAAGGTCTATCAGCCGTGCGTTTTGCTGACTAAAAAGCGGTATGCGGGCTGGATGTTCACCACGCCCGAGCAGAGAGAGCCCCTTCTGGATGTCAAGGGCATGGAGCTGGTACGCCGAGACGGGTGCTCGGCAACGCAGAAGATTCTGGAGGGCACAATCGATGTCTTGTTTCGAACCAATGACCTGTCTCTGGTAAAGTCATTTGTAACCGGCGAGTTGACCAAGGTGCTGCGAGGTGATATGCCGCTACACGAATTTGTCATCGCCAAGGAAGTCCGGCTGGGCACTTACTCCAAGTCCACATTGCCAGCCCACGCAAAGGTTGCAGCCGACGGCATTAAAGCCGACGCGAGGGCCGAGCCCAAGTTTGGCGAGCGAGTGCCCTATGTCGTCGTCAGCAAGGGGAGGGACTCGAGGCTCACAGATCAGGTTGTGGGTCCACAGATTCTGCTGCGGCAGCCAGAGCTCAGGCTCGATTACCAATACTACATCGATAGACAAATTGTCCCAGCCCTGGACCGGGTCCTGAGCCTTGTAGGCGTTAACGTGCGCATGTGGGCCACTGAGATGCCTCGGCGTCTTCGCAGCAGCCTTTATGACGCAGTCGCAGATACACACAGCGACAGCGACAGCGAGGCAGGCGGGGGGACTATTAGCGAGCTGCATAACCAGCAGGGAATTCAGGAATTAGATGGTATCAATGGCTATGCACATGGCAGGCATAGCAATATTGGCCGCGCGTTTGGTCTCAGAGGTTTTGGAATGACAGTTGGCAGCAGGCGCCCCGCTCGGCGCACACTTGATCATTTTTACCGCAAACGCAGCTGCTTGCTGTGCAGGCAGACAATATATGCTGCGCCGCAATCACCCAGAGAGTCCAGCGGCTTGGAGTTGGGTAGCACACGGGTTTGCAGCAGCTGCTCGGCAGATAAGGCAGCGCTGGCAGCCAATGTGGCGGCGGTCCAGATGAACCTCGGCCGTGCCCTTAAAGCCGTTGTCGACAAGTGTACCAAGTGTGTTGGTGAAAATAGAGCAGACGCATTGCAGGCCGTAGAGGCATGCGACTGCTTTGATTGTCCCACCATGTTTCAGCGCGTCCTTATCAGCCGACAGCATGCGGCCTGGAACAGGGCGGCACATCAAGGCAGCCTTGCCGATCAAATGCTGTGACGCGCAATGGTGGTGGCCAGCGTCCAGCACGAGACCTTTCTCAATTTAACGGATTTTTAATTTTTAATTTTTTACGTGGCCCTTTTCTCCGCATTTTTATCCATTTAACAAATTTTCTTTTTGCATCCCCTCGACCTTGCGCGCACACAAAATATTGAAACATACAAAAATAACAAATTTGAAATTCCACCAACTTGGAATACTGCGCTCAGACTTGACATTATTTTTTGGCGACACAATCACACACGCGCAGACACACACACACACACACACACACACACACATTGCTCTGTCAAATGGCCCTGCCAGCCTTGTACAGACAGCGCCAGACTGATTTTTCATCGACACAGCCCGAAATTCGTAAGTGAATATGCAAAAAATACTGATTTTTCTTATTACTTGCACAGCTCGAGCATATCGCACTTGTCAAACATGGGTTTCTAATTGCGTTTCATTTTGACAAGCATGCGAGCGCATAGAGAAGTGGACGCATGCCCCACACAACATCAAGAGGATTGAGCTTCAGCAGTCGCTCCTAGGCCACGACGGCTGCGTTAACGCACTGTGGTAAGTCATATATGCCTGCTGAATCCACTGAGCAAATATCCATTGAGTCGACTGAGGCGTTGACGATGACGTATTATTTTTATTTATACTCTTTGTTTTGACACTCCACACTTTAGTTGGTCGCTGGATGGCCGATACTTATTTTCCGGATCAGACGACTCGACAATCTGTGTTTGGCGCGCGGCTGGAGATGGATCTCGGATCGGCAAGCTACGGACTGGGTTTAACGAGCGCGTATTTGATTTAAAGGTCATGCCGGTTCCCAACGACCACCTTCTGGTGGCATGCTCGATGGACTACACGATCAAAGTGTTTGACATTGGCCGCATTTTGTCCAGAGCGGATGCCGCCAGCACACACACTACCATATCCAGGCCGACACTCAGCGATACATTGGAAGTTGGCGACTGCTGCGTGCGCACCTTTGCTGTGCACTCGGCCCCGGTCAAACGCATTGCAGTAATGTACGATCAGCCGCACGAGTTTCTGTCTTGCTCAGAGGATGGCACGGCGCGGCATTTTGATCTCCGCGAGCCGCTGCCAGCACCAGCACCAGCGTTGCAGCACAGACACGCTGCATCGACAAGAGGTGGCCACATAGTCGCTGACTACCAAACGCTGCATGCCGAGCTTCACGCGCTGGATACCAACCCGTTTCAATCGTCGATATTTGCAGTCGGCGGGTCCATCACATCTATCATGGTTCATGATCGCCGAATGCCGCAGCTGGGATCGGCTCATGACGTTCAAAGAAATTATTACAGCAACTGGTCTGGCGACAGGTGCATTGTCCGTCTGCGCCGCAATGCGTCGCCAAGCGAAGACGACGTTTTTGAGCGCATATCTGACAACATGGTCACTGGGCTGCGGTTTTCACGCGACACTCCAAACCAGGTGATCGGCAGCTGGTGCTACGACTACGTGTATTTGTTTGATCTTAACCTGTCGAGTGCATACATGAGCGCCACCCGCACTCTCCTTTGCGAAGCAGGAAAGAGATTGCGCAGCAGAGCCGTCGTAAGCGATTCCCAATCACCACCGACAGTGAAGCGCGTGCGCTCTGGAAGCAGAGTGCCAGAGCACCCGTCCCCGGTAGATGCTAGCAGCAGTGGTGATATTGGCGGCAGCGATAATAGGGCGTCTGCTTTGAACCACCGCGCACGCGATTTCACGCGCGGCCGGTCGCTCGGTGTCCACATACTCACCAGAGAGGAGGCGCCATACTTGTTCACCAGCGACGATTTGAACGAATCCAGTGAATCCAGTAAATCCAGTGAAACCAGCGAAACCAGTGAAACCAGCGAATCCACCGACAACATCCAAACTGGCAGTTCAGACTGCCAGGTTAGCCATACCGAAATTTCATACGATGTGGGAGTTAGCTCAGATAGTTTTGTTATGGACTGTTCATCAGCTGTAGACGCGAGCCACTGCAAGGTCTGCCAAGCTGACACAAGCGTCCTGAAAACAGCAATTATTAGGCTGGATGCAGTAGGCATCCGTGCTAGCGATCCCGACTTGGCGTTGACAGCCACCGAACGCAGCTTGGTTGACATAGTGTTTCGCACTTTTGTGGCGAGCATGGTCGCAAACATACTGCCGCAGGCCCTTGATGCCATGACGTTTGCTTGTAGGCAGCTGGAAGACGAGGGCGTCCAGCCGTCGGAAAGAGCTCTGCGGGCGCTTGTGCCTCTCGAAGAAATTGCCAATTCGGGCGACAAGATGCGCCTTCGAAGCCTGCTCATGGCATTTCATACAGATGCTGGTTTGGACCGTGAGCGCGTTCGATCTATTTTTCACAACAACCGCACCTGTATTCATTCGACTCTTTTTCGCCAAAAATGGAGCCAGCAGTTTCACGGGCACTCGAACCCGAATTTCGATCCACTGAGCTCCAGAGCCGCAAGCGATCTTTCAAACAACCTCCGAGATATCAGAAGCGACCTCGAAGCCGCATTTAGGGACAATTCTGCCGCACTGCGACTGAATCGCTACAACATGCTCGCACGATATAATCGTGTGCTTTTGGCCTGGGACAGTGCGCGATTGGACACGCTGCTGTTCTTGCTGGCCCTCCAGCCGCTAGTGGGCAGCATCAATGACCCACAGCTGAACATGATGCGAGCAGAGTTTGGGGACTTGTCATATCGGCTGGGCGAGCTGCGCTCTAAGATTGGTTCCAGCTCGGAAATCGTTTGTGAGGAGTCACGCACACTTGCTGGGTTTTGCAATGCAGTTGGTCTCGTAGACGATGGCGACGCCAGTGAGTATATCCTCAAATGCCTTTTCCACGAAAACGAGCGATTTTTCGAGATGCCCAAAAGACTTGGGGTCAATCTGTTATGTGAAGTGAAAATTATGGCTGACAGATTTGAAGCGGCTTACCGCGCATTTGCCGGCAATGCGTTTGCAGGAAGCAGCCCATCAGAATACGCAACTGCTGCAACCCAGCTTGAGCAATGCTGGAGCTCGCTGACCCAAACACAAACCAGTGATTTGCCCTATGCGTATCTGTGGCACAGGTACATTCCCTCGATCAGCGAGCGGCGTAATGGCGGCTGCGAAGAGCTTGAGAATGTCGGAATTGATATCATGCCTGTGTTTCCTTTGAACGCGCCGTTTTCTTGCACTGGCTTTGGGCGCAGTATTGCTGCTAGCCCCACAAATGACGAGCGAATGTCGATTACGGACAGCAGTAGTAGCAGGTCCAGATCCAGATCTAACTACAGCATGGGCGACAACTCTGGTAGTGATAGTGATGGTGATAGCGAAAGCAGCATTGGTGCTCATATTCGCCCGCGGTTTTACAGCGGCCAGATCGATTCAGATGTGCTGGCCATGTCACCAAGTGAGGGTGGCTGGCCGCGAGATACATGTGAGTACTTGCCGCGGCGCACAACCAATCGCACAATCAGTAATTCTTCACACTATAATACTGACTCTAGCTCCCAGTCAGGCCTCGCTGATACCCATTCAAGTGATGCAGGTCTCAAGTCGGTGGTTCCTGTTGTTTTGCCCTGCCGGCGGTACACGGGACATTGTAACTTTCAGACAACCAAGGACGTGAACTATCTGTTTGGCCAGTACGTCGCTTCAGGCTCAGATGACGGCAGGTTGTTTGTCTGGGACAAAGAGACCATGGAGATTGTGCAGGTCATCACGGGCGACAGCGAGATCGTCAACATTGTCGAGGGTCATCCCTACCTGCCGATTGTCGCCGTCTCTGGCATTGATAGTGAGGTACACATTTTTAGCTTGGCAAAGGGTGGGCCAGTGGCAGCTCACCGCACAAACTTCCCGCTGGTGAGGGGCTGGCAGCTTGCAGAGACTAATCTGATCGACCAGTCTTCCAAGGCCGCATATATTGAAATGGTATATGCGCAGGATCCGTACCAATCAGCATTGCAGTACTCGGGCCACTTTACTCTGCCGCCGGACATCGACAGTAGTCGGCTAGCTAGAAGCGTCCCGCGCACATTCCCTGCAGTTAGCGAGAGCTGCCTTAGAGACATGGCTCAGATAATAAGCCAAAATGAAGACATGCGGCTCAGCAACATGGCCCATGCATCGCTGACTAATCAGATAATGACAAACATGCTGCTTGGAAACCTCTTTGGAAATGCTGAAAGTGGCGATGACAGTGCCGGGTCGAGCGACTCTGGAAGCTCAAGCAGATCTGACGACTCTGGCGGTTTAGTAAGTCATAGCGGCACGCACACTGCAAGTACCTCCAACAGTATTAACATGGAGGGGAATGTCAATGGCAATAGCGATGATTATGGTGATGACAATGGCGATGGCGAAGAAGGCGATGGCAGTGTGGTTTTAGTGGACACTGACATGAGAGAGGACACTGACGGCAGCGAATTTGAGCGTGCGGCAGAGTCAATAGTATACCAGGAGGCACAGCAGCGCCGGCGGTTGCGCTGGGTACACCGCCATTTCGGCGGAACTGGATCCACCTCCGAGGAGTCTGAAAGCAGGTTCTCACCAGAACTGGATGGCTCAACTTTGCACTAGTTCGTTGTTTCAATCCAAATACGGCGCTTGTGTGTCTTGGATAGCAGCACAATGTCATTTTTTAAACTTTTCAAAATACATAAGCGCAACGAGCGCAATAAAACAAGTCGATCCTTTTTATAGACACTGACGCAAAATGGACAAAAGAAAAGTATGAGAACTGGTCAAATCCATGAGCGCTCATCGGAGCTACTGTGGTTTGTTACCCTTGCAGATTATCGACACCAGCTTGTCAGAATTAATGTCGATATCGGCTACGCTGCTTGCGGTTGATGATATTGTAGCATTCCACCCGGTCTTTGCGAGCGGAATGGCAGTTCCAGATATACGCGAGGCAAACTGCTGGTACTTGTTCATTACATCAGGCCTGGTATCCTTCCAAGCGGGGATCGACTGTTTCTCGCCAGTAGCCGCCTCCTTGAGAAACGCTGATGCCCGGTGAAGCTTATAGTTTATAACGTGCGATTGCTCTGTGAAGTACGACGTGAATGCATACACGGCTCCCGACCCAAGGACTAGCCCCGAGATGAATGTTGCAGCGATGTTTGCCATCCTGATTGTACGAATGCAAGAAATAAAATACAAATTTGAATTTATTTGAAAAGAGAAAAGAGAAAAGCGAAAAAAGGCAGAGAGCGAATGTTCACCTTAAAAGATACAGACATCATCTGCTCCGACTCGGCGGCTCGGCACTCGCGACTCACACACGTACGAGTTACCCTTGACCAAACCAAAATTCAAACGTGGAAACAGGCGGTGCTCATATGTATATTAAAATGTTGCGCGTATAGACATCCAAGGTTAGCCAGCGGGAATAGAAGAAGCACTTATCAGACGAGACACTGAGCGTACGGGCAGAGCAAATGGCGGCATAGTTGTGTTTGCTGGCGGTACGAAGCGGCGGGCAGACTTTGTGGAGGATGCCATCGAGTCAGCAAACACGAACGGCCAGTCTGAAAACTTTGTTTTGAAAATGACGTGCTCAAATCCGCGAAGCTCATGCCAAACTGTTGCTGACTTTGGCCGCGGGGGGATGCACGCATCTTGAACCAAAATGTTGGCAAAGTTGATTGCACACTTGCGAACAGATACGTTGCCGGGCTCGTCACGCCACCAGACAAACACGTCGGACCAGGTGTCCAGTACCACCACTCCACCCTTTGGCACCTTAAGGAGCATGGCTGCGTTGATATCAGCGCCAACAGAGAGGATTGTAGCTGGCGGTACAGACTCCCAGAATCCATAAATAACCTTGCGACGCTCCAGCGCACGCTCAAAGTCAATGTCATCGCCCGCCTTGCTCAGTGGCGTGAGTTGGCTATATATTGTTGACATTTCACCTGGCAGCAGTGCCCCGCCGTTGTGCTCGGCGGCGTGCAGCTGGGCAAAGAATTTTCTGCGTGCGCTGTCTGCGGTGGTCGACTCGTCAATAACCACCACCGCAGCTTTTCCTACAAGCTCCTTGTCGCGAATCTCCATGGCAACTCTAGTGATTGCATCCCGCTTGATGGCCGATGCATGCGCACCAATCCAGACATAGACTACTCGCGCTGCCAGGGAGCATATGGATTTTCGCTGATTGTATTCTTGATCTAGCAGTGTCCCCAGAGGTATGTGATTGTGGATACTTTCTTTATGTAGGCTATCGTTAGCTGGCGCCCAGTCATCGCATGCTATCGGGACTGGTGCGTGCCTGGCAAACAAGCTAGCACCGATCCGGCGAAATAAACACGGGTAGAACAAGAATGCGTCCTTGTGGTTGAGGGAAGACACACTCGCGGGCACGCTGACAACATGGAGATTGAACATGCCCTTACATTTAAACATGGTCCACTGTGTTTTAAACGCATGCTCTTTGGCTACAACATGCGCCTCGTCAAAACTGTCTGTTATGTCGGTCGTCGTAGCGGAAACAGCAGCAGCAGCAGTAGAAGCGACATCAGCGGCGGATGTTTTGCAAAAAGAACGCGTGCCGACAACAGAGCTCCTTCGCAGCATTGTCGAGACGGAAGCAGATTGGGAGGACGAAATAGAGACAGCACGAGCAAGTTTTTTTGGAATCCTGCTCAGAGATGACGACAAGGTCTTTGAGTTGATCTTTTCCGGAGAAGGAGTAGGACCATAATGAGAGCTTGCGACCTTTGAGGGGCTCTGGATGATACAGAACGCTTGAGCTTGGTCAGCATCGTCAACCGAGAGGCGCTGGTTGCGTTATTCACTACTGCTGGCTGCGACTTCTCACAAGAAAATGATAGTGCCATTGATACTGAATCGTCGAACTGAATACTGGTGCCGCTGGATTCATCTGGGCTATCCGGTGCAAGCTCTGGTGGACTTGGTATCAATTTTTGCTTCGAACCTCGAAAGTGGCGGCGCCACCATTTTAGCGAAGATTTTGTGGACATACTGTCATCACTTATATCGCTGCTTTGCGTGCTTCTGTATGAGCTTGAGCGCGAGCACTCCGCAGTTGACGCTGGCGATGCTACTCCCGAAGATGGCGTGCAGAGCTCACCAAAGCCAGCGTCGGAGTTGGGGTTGGAGTTGCAGCTCGTCCCGGTGTCTAAGCCGTCGTTAGATGCGCTAGTGTTGGTGCTGGATTTGGCCCAGCTAGTTCATCTACGTCCACCTATTTCTGCTTACAAGTTATTTGCGTGAAGGGCCACAACACATTTTTAGTTGGCTTTATATGTGGCACAAAATACAGGTTTGTACAGCGTTTGCATACATGTAAAATAAGGCACGTGTTGGCAGGGAGTACGTTCACAATAGGCACGAGGCATGTAATGTGCACTTCCTATCTCACATATTCCATTTGAAAATTAGTATGCGCCGGCGGGTATTTGCATAGGCATTGTCCCAAGAATGTAAAAACGATTAAACAATGACGAATACCAAAGCGTACAGTGCTATGAAGCAAACATAAAAAAATGCGCATAATGCGGTTTACTTGCCTCTGGCCTTGGATCCAAAATATGTGGGCTTTTCTGACCCTGCTCAGTATGTCTGCCGCCATCGCTCTGATGAATCAATTTGCTTTTGGTACCAGTCGCCGGTCTGACCAACCCCGATGTCGCAATATCAAAATGTAGGCTTTCCTGCGACGACGCCGCAGCCTCCTCGAGTATGAGTTCCAGCACGTCGTGACAAAGCGGTGACCGGCGCCGCACCCGGTTGTAGCTGTGCCCAGTGACCGAGCACACCGAACGCGCATGCAGCAGGCCCCGAGCTAGCTTTTGAGTTGGCGTCCGAAGTGAGTGGAATGGCTCTATTATATCGCGTCATTCCTAAAGCAAGCGTTCTCAGCATTCAACTGCGTCCTCTTAGTGACATCCACCGTGCGCAGCGTGGTTTCCGTAGTCATTGCTAGCCGGCGTCAGATATCGTTTGTAATGTCAGTGTGACCGCAATGGCAGAAATAATATGAGTATGTGGCTGGGTTAGTGCAAAATGTACGCGGCTTTTGCAAATCAAGCAAGACGGATAAACGTGAAGGATAGGTATATGGACGAAAACTAATATAAATGATAAAAATGCGATCTTTGGATCAAAACTTCAGATGTGGCGCAAATAGTGTAAATAAAAATTATTTGTAGATATTCAAATCGGATGGAATATGTGTATAGTTGGAAAAGCACTCGTAAATGCAATAATGATTGTGATGAGAAAGAGAAGGATAGTGGGAGCCACAAAAAGAAAAATGAAGGTATGAGCACAGCACCTCAATGTTGTTTGTGCAAGGAAATACCACTGTAGCGAATGCCCTTCTTTCTGCACAGATGCTGATTTTGGAAAGATCTTTGGAGAGGCGCAATAAAGCGAAATGCAACCACAATAAAACGCGCTGTTCCTCCGACTCGGTCGTAGCAAAACCAGCAGCTGCAGGCAAATGTGGAAAGATACCCGTGCCAAGTGTAGACAGGCAGCGACAGTGGCAGTGGAAACAGCAAGGGCAAATGTTAGTGCTTGACTTGTTTTGTGCAAGTGTCCAAAAAAATACAAAAAATACAAATCGAGTCTATATTTAAAAAAGATAAAAAATGATTATGGAGTATTAAGAGAGAGAGAGAGCGCGCCGGAGGATGGCGAGGGCAAGAGCAAGAAAATGATATGTGGGGTGGGTGTGTGAGAGACCAGGTGGAAAAAGTGGGGCTGGCGTTATCATGAGCTTGTGTGCTTGTACAAATGACAGGGCGGGAGTAAAAAAATAGCATGGCATAGCATGGCATGGCATTGCTACGCTGTTTTGTAACAGCATAGCACTCCCATTTTAGTGTCGTCTGGGTATCCGTTTGGCTTAGGATCGCAAATGCCATGCAAAGAGATCAAAATAGAGCGAAAAGACGATCCACGGTTAGCAAGACGATTGTCACTGGCAAGGCCACCGCCCAACACAAAAACAAGCAAACAAAAACAAACCACGCCGAATCTGCTTAGCGGCTGCTGCAGACCGCTCCTTAAATAGCTGACCGGATTTTCCATTATTTATTTTGGATCAATGTGATGTTTGCCAAAAGTATCCGTTACCATGCAAGGGGCTGTAATAACAACGCAGGCAAAGGGTTTTGTTTGTGCGTGTGCAGAAAAAAGTATAGAGAGTGGTGCTGGGGAAAGGCAAAGGGCCAACATTTGGCTGTTTCAGCAAACAGCACGATTAGCGCTGTTAGCGCAAAGTGCAAATAAAGCGGGCCGAGGGTATTTGAAAATTTTGTGCGCAAATCGCCTCAAATGATCGGGACCGACGCATGCACGACAAAAAGAAAGCATTGACGCGCAAGGGAGGAATGAAAGATCGACGGACTCTCGAAATAAAGCAGCTTCGTGTCGGCATTTTACTGCCGCCAGCACCTGCTCTCAACAGGATGTAGCGCCTGGTGGCGCAAGGACAAGCATTTGTCTCAGTATTTTACGTACCTGAAAAACATTTGACTGGTAGTAATGTAGTATCAAGAAAAGGCGGCGTTCCAACAGCAGTGCTGTTGTTCATGTTGATTTCGCGCCGCACGAATAGACCCTGTGGCGCTGCGATGGTATCTGGATACATCTCCGATCCTTGCTCAATTTCTCGAGCTGCAAATTGGAAGCCAGGTGGCACTGCAGGTGCTGTGGGCTGCCGATGCGCAGTGGGCGCGGCGGTGCCGCTTGTATTTTGGAGCTTGGCACCCACAGAGCCGACCGTCACTGATCTTTTGGCACCTTCTCCAACACGTTGATTTTTGACAGACGTGATCTACAGACAGTAGGTGCTTGACGTGAATGGATAAGTGGAATTATGCAACTGGGCTACTCAGAATCCAAAATGATCCAGAAAAGTTCAAATCAAAAAGTGCACAGCATTCTAGCACGCTGCGTGTCAAAGCCGTGTGCCCACGTCACCCATTATTCTCACATGTATCTCCCCACACGCACAAATATGCATTTTACAATACTTACCCTATCAGAGCAACTTTGAGTGGGTGAATGCACTCGCTGGTAATTGGCGCTGTCGTTGTTGTTGTCATTGTCATTATCGCTGTCGCTGCTGCTCAGACCAGAAACGCTTTTGAAAAGCGTCGCGCGGTGAAACCTTACAGCTGTGAAAGTACCTGACTCCGCGTGCTCGCTGGCTGGTCGATGCACAAAACCCAGAGCCGGCATGCTATTTAGTGGCAGTCCCCCTTTTTTACGCGTATTCAAGTCCAAAAACAATTGGCTTGTTATATTCCTTGGCGCGTTGGAGCTCCAGTTGAGCGCGGCTGTTTCTAGCGGCTTCTGTGTTTGAAAGATTAGATCTGACGACTGCATAGGCGTCAATGTGGTTGCCGTGTAGTGATCTGGGACCGTAATAGCTGCACTGACTGTCTCATTGGTACTGCCGCAATTCATTCGGTATTGTATATATTGCGCGGTGCTATCATTATAATGATCCTGCGCCGCAGCCTTTCCCCCTGCATTGCACGATAGCAACGGTATAAGAGCGGCATTCGATTTTTGGATGCTGTCCGTCCGATGGCTTTGGTGCTTCTGGCGTTTTTAATATCGGTCATACTAAATGGAAAATGAGCCGGGGCCGGCCAGTTGGTTGTGTGTGCGGCAGGTTGTCTCAATGCTGATAAGTAAAATACGTGTAGAAAAATGATACAATTTGAACAGCAAATAGATGTCGCTTGTTATCGATTAAGATTTGTGCAGTCATGCTATTCAAAACTCTTAACCAAAAAAGATGGGCGTGGGTCAATTTCGACACATCGCGGCATTTAAGCAGTAAATGTTACAAAATATGACAACATTGTTACAAATGCGCACATTCCCCAAAGCAAACAATCTTTTCGGTTGCTTAATGCAGTAAGAGAATGCGGGGAATGGCAGTCCTGAGATACAAAAAGCCAAGATAAAATTAAATTACACAAAATTGGCACACTCCAGCACAAAAATGCACCCAGAGCGCGCTTGTTAGCCTTGGTGGCGATAAATAAAGTCGAGACACATTTTGCTGGTCCTGGCCAACGGAAACAGCATCCTTCCAGAGCCATATAGCCGAGTAAACTCTGGCTTGCTGCGTGTTGTGACCAGGGCTGCTCTAACGGCATCCTCTTTTGTCTGTGCCTCCTCGTCAAAGCCAAGGCCTCCATCCGTATATGTCTGCCCTGTGCTCGTTATGCACAGCAAGGGTGTCTTCACCATACTCCAAGACTTGCGATCGAGCTTGTCCCACATCAAAATGTCGGCCAGCACACCGGGCTTGCGCGAGTTCCAATGCGTAAAAAACACGCCAATTCCTTCGTACAGCTGTGCCATCGCGGGATCGTCGCTGATCTCGGCCATGCTTTCAGTGCCGCAGATCTCGGCGACGGCTTGTCTAAAATAGCTGTCGCTGGCTGTGCGCGCAAGAGCGTTGTAGGCCGCTCGCGTCCGAGCCCATTCGGGGCCCAAAAGATTCAGCCGCTCGGATAGCCGCTGCGACCGCTTCTGCGGAGACAGCTGGGCGTCAATAAGCGACATTGACCTAATCCGATTCCGGAACCCGGCCAGCCCAGCCATCTCTAGCGCGACCGGGGCAGCCACCTTGTGCGCGATTATGTGTATAGATGGAACACGCAGATTCTCCACCAGCTGCGCAATCGCAGTGGCCTGTGCTGTAAGAGTGGGTGCGTTGGATGGCGAGGATTCGAGGTAGCCGGGACGTGAGATGCTCAAAAGACCCAGCGGAGGCATTGGTTCGGCAAACTCGGGGCGGGACGCAAAAACATCGGTGCATTCGTTGGCTGTGCCAGATTTTAGTCGTGACCACGCCGGTTCGCCAGCATCGAATGCAGAATGGCCTTCATAAACCCTTGGTCGATCCTGCACGTTATATACAGAGTACGTTCCGAACTGGCTGGGCATTAGCGGGTTGCGAAGCTGGTGCACGTGCGACAGGCCGCCTGCCATCCACCGCGCAACGTCAAAGCCGCCGGGATCGTTCCCGTGGAGAAAAAGAATACACGGCAGGTGCCGCAGGCTAGGATCAAAGGACGAGTGAAACCGGGGGGTGTCAGTAAGAAACGGGCGAGGGAAATTGGACGTTGAATCAAATGTGTATTGGATTGTCGCTGTTGCATTCATGCTGTGGGGCGAGAACTGCTGATGACTATGGCGGTGGTCACGAGCGTTCCTGTGCAGAGCGTGCAGCTCTGGCTCGACCGCCCGAAGGGGCTCGGCACTGAGTGTCATTGTCATGTGGTTGAAGCGCAGCAGCCGTTCTGCATGGTTCTTCCAGCGCAGGAATCCGCCAGTCATAAAAAATAAATTCTTTTTTAGCTCGTTTGAATCGACAGCTGTGCAGTTGGTACAGCTGAAGGATGAAAGGTGAAGGTTGAATTGGCAAATAATAGAAAAATGAAATTTTCGAAATGTAAATTGAAGACAAAATTGAATTAAGAAGTGGTGTTTTTTAAATACAAAGCTTCAATTGTGTACTAGGTGGTATTTTCAGATCTAATCAAGACTGATCCAATTCTACAAGTCCTAATACTATACGCGTTGCATACGCAGTTTCGGGCAACAGAGAATTCTGCTATCCCCTCTTTTGAGCTGAGTTGATCTGAGCTGAGCTTATACAGGGTTGTGAGACTGGTGTGAAGATGCAGCTGCAAAAGGATCTACCGCTGCTGTATGGAGTTTGAATGGATGAGCGGGCAAAGTGGATCAGGGCTCAGTGCAAATTGAGCCCGCATATCTTTGTTGTTGTTTTTTTGCATGTGTGTGCTGCGAATCTCCTGCGAAGTTTGTGTACTATTGCTGAGGGCCGCCGTTCGCAAAGACCAAATAAATTTAGGGCCAAAGCAACGCTCGCTTGGCCCTTTGTCTTTTCTCTCTTGCCTTGCATCTCTTATATTTCTCACAACCGTTTTCGTCTTTATTATTGGATCTCAGTTCCCAGCTTGCACCATACGTGATCATTTTTACAAATACACTCTTTTTGGCACTTTGTTTGACAGTAGCATACTCTTTATCCCTCGTCTATAGAACAAACAAGTAGACCGATAACAACCCAACCAACAATGCCTGAGGCCACTTCTGATGCGTCAGCTACCGCTGCCAGCCCTGCACCCCACTCGCACGGCCACCGCGGCTGCAGCCACGACCACAGTCATGATCACGGCCATAAGCATGGACATGAGCATGGTCACAGCCACGGTCACGGTCACAGCCACGGTCACGACCATGAGCACACTCATAAACACGAGCAAAAGACGGAGCCGGAGCCTAAGCCGGAGGTGAAGGAGGAGCCAAAGCCAGAGTTGAAGGAGGAGGTGAAGCACGACCACAACCACAACCACGACCACGGCCACAGTCACGGCCACGGCCACAGTCACGGCCACGGCCATAGTCACGGCCACGGCCACAGCCATGCTCACAGCCATGATCACAGCCACAGTCACGAGGATAGCAAGACCACAGCCACAGTTGAGAAGGTTGAGGTGCAGCACACCAACACGGTTTCTGAGGAGGCGGTCAAGGTAGATGTGAAGGAGACCAAGACTGAAGTGACGGTACATGATCACGGCCACGGTCACAGCCACGGCCACGGCCACGACCATCACCATGGGCACAGCCACGATGGCGATGAGAGTGTTCACCCGCAGGGACAGGCCATCAACTACAGGGAAGCGCCTCCGCAGTTTGGGCTCGCCACGCATGTTGATGGTAAGTGTTTGTTTAATTTGCTAAATATTCTTTGGCCCACCAATTGTCCTTCCTTTTTCTTGCATGCATAAGCTGACTTTTGTTGCTGCTCTGCTTCACTCTTCTCTGCGCTAATACTCCCCCTTTTCGACACCCCAATTTCTCGGCATAGACATCATCCACACCGAGTTCAGGTACGTCAACGGGTTCCGGCCCTTCCAGTTCGATGCCCCAGGCAGCTGCCTCGGCCCCATGAGCTCCGATAAGCCGGCGTCCAAGTAAGAGGCCGCCCCGCCAAGCGACAGCCAGCAAGGCACTTCCAGATGCACTACATTTTATATGCCCGTTTTCCAGTTTGATTTGGTGATTTGCCCACCTGCTTGCCAGTGGGTGCCGATGACGTTTAATCTGAAAATACAAGATCCAACTTATGAAATTACTGCAAAAAGAATGCGATAGTGCCCATGCCCACGCCTTTGTGCACAGAGAAAATAGATACCCACGCCTTTGTGCACATGCCCTGATATGACCTGGCTGCATATACGCGCGAAGCCAGATGCACTCGACGGCATTCCGCGCAGGAGTCTATTATTGGGATTGGGGCCGATGGGCAGGCGGATCCGCCCCTGGGGGCCCTGTGACGCCGGCCGAAAAAGGGTTGCGCGATAGTGCGCTGTGTTTCTCCCACACCCAAAGCTCTCGCCGCGCGCAGCCAGCCACCCTGCAGTGCTGGGGTTCAGCGCCAGAGTCGACATCGACATCGGCACCGGCACCGGCATCGATGTCGATGTCGGCAGCGCTGCCAGCTCGCTTCTGAGAGATGGCGGCACCGCGCTATGTGCGTTTGGGGAAGCCCTGCACACGTGCCTGCGCCCAGAGCCACCACGGATTGGCTGCCTTGAGCAAGGCGCAGGGGCGGTGGGAGCCGTGCATAAACGGAAACAGGACTTGCAACAATGACGGGGGACTTGCAGGTTGCAGCTCGCAGGTTGCAGCTCGCACGTCGCAAGGCATGTGCAGGCGTCTGAGATGCGCCGACCAGAAGCTATTTCCCGTTGGGTGCACATGCAACCAGCACTGTTTCCTGGCGCTGCTGTGCCGTAAGACCCGGTGGGTATAAAAGGCATGGGCGCCGCCCGCGGCGAGGGCCGCTTCTCTTTATCTCACAGCCATCTTGCTTCTCTTTGTTCTGCTTTGTTTTAATTTTTCAGCCGACGCGACGCGACACTACATCCCATATCACCAACAATGGTTCCCGACACTAGCAAGCCCAGCGATCAGTTCGAGTGGACGCACGAGCTCCACATGGGCCGCCCCAGGTGGTTTGTCGCCGACCACATCTACGAGCTGGTTGACAACAACGGCACATTCGTTCCGGGGCTCGTTCCCATTCCTGCCGGCCAGCACCCCGACTCGGCCTTCTCTGACGAGCTCAAGTAAAGAAATGGCCTTCTGAGCCATATCATTTGTGCCACTAAATCATGGGGGTTTGCACCGCCTGCTCTTCATCCTCCTCGTTATCAGCCAGCCGGCCAGCCAGCTAAGCAAGCTGGGTTTAAATAATCAATAAATACAAAATCATTACAGTTTCGCACAGCCGGCCGCTATTGTTCGAGAATAAAGCATGACTATCCGCACAGCAGAGCAAGATTGGGCGCATTTTGCGTCATCTGCTTTGATTTGCTTTGATTTTTATTTTATTTTTATTTTCCCTTCAGCCCAAATTTAAAGCGCATTTCAAGTCACCATTTTCATCTTTTAACAGCATCATGGATATGCCAGGACACGGAGACCACGGCGGCCACGGAGACGGCGGGGCCCAGCCAATGTGTGCAATGAATATGTCCTTTAACTGGAGCACCGAGAACGTGTGCGTGCTCTTTGACTTTTGGCGCATAAACTCGACCACATCGCTGGTGGTTTCGTTCGCCCTTGTCTTTGTGCTCGGCTATCTCTATGAGCTCGCGCGCACCAGAGTGCGCAGATGGGAGCAGTCGATGGCGCCCACCGGGTCCATTTTGTCATCAAGCCCCGATGCCCCGCTGGCCAGGAACAGCACCATCCCCACCGACATCCGCTGGAAGCGCGCCCTGTTCTACGGCTTGATGGTCGCGTACTCGTACTCCCTGATGCTCATATTCATGACCTACAATGGCTACCTCATTCTGGCCGTGCTTGGCGGCACCATTGCTGGCTACTATGCATACAGCACAGACGACTGGGGCTCTGTGCGCGGCGCCAACTGCCACTAGCAAAGCACCCGCATCCTTTCCACATAGCGCATAACCATTTGATGCAAAGTCCAGTATACCAATAAATTCTTTGCATAATAAAAATGACACTTGTGTTTTTGCGTCTTCGCTAGCCACGCCTCAGAAGCCGCGCTTCGTCTGCCTGTTGAGCACTGCGGCAAAGTCCGTTATCGCTGCAGCGTCAGAGAGCCTGCGGACAATATCCTTGGCGAATTCCTTGCCGACCAGGTTGCCGACCACATTCCCGGACCCATGGCCCCCCAGCGACAGATCCCGTGCTTGCTCTTCAGAAGCTGCATCGACTGCAGCCACAGAACAGGCCGATCCACTTGCTCGCCGAGCAGCCTCTGCGCTGCCTCTGCCGTCGCATACGGCTCTGCCGTCACGTTGGAGACAACTTGGATGGTCCAGTCACCTTGATCCCTGATGGGGCTGAGCTCGGCAATTCTGGCCGCGAGCACTCTCTTGGCGGGCGCCATCAGGCTGCAGTGGAACGGCGCCGACACTGGCAGGTTGACAGCGCGCATGGCAAGCCGCTTGGACTGCAGCGACGCAAGCGCCCTGTCCACAGCCAGTCGCGTCCCGCTGAGCACAATCTGGCTGCTCGAGTTGATGTTGGCCACCTGCACAACCTCATCAACCTCGTGCGCAATCTCTTGCTGGACCCTGTCGACCTCAGCTAGCACGTCCGCGATGCTGGCCTTTCGCAGTATGCACGCCGACATGGCATATTCGCGCTCCTTTATAGCATCCTGCATAGACTCGCCACGAGTGCGCACCAGGCGAATTCCATCGGCCAGAGACATTGCATTTGCTGTAATAAGCGCAGAGTACTCGCCAACAGAGTGCCCCATAGCAAAAGAAAACAACTTTGACGCGGCCATCCCCGTGTCGTGCTCCAGCGCTCGCAGGCCTGCCATAGATACAGCAACAATTGCCGGCTGCGCGTTTTTGGTCAGCGTCAGCTCTTGCAGGTCGCCCCGAAATATCATGTCGCTCAGCTTGAATCCCAGCACAGAGTCCACCTCTTCAAACACTTGCCTGGAGGCCGCGAACTTGTCAAAAAGGTCCCGTCCCATGCCCACAAACTGTGATCCCTGGCCTGGGAATATGACGGCCCGCTGCTTGTGGTAAAGCTGCTGCGGCTGCTCGTGGTGTGTTGACGCAGCGTCGGCCGGTGCGGCGCTGTTTGTTGTGTACGCGCACAGACCGCTTGTATTTATACGCCGTGCGAGCTCGCTCGACTGCAGGCGTTGCCCCGCTCTCAATGCACTTGCGAGCGACATTGTTTCTGTTTGCTGTTTCGCGCCAGTGCCTTTATTGCTGTCTTAGCTAATTTGTAGTTAAGTGTCCCGGCGCCTGCCTTTAGATTTATTTGTTTGTTCAGGCAAAACTGAATTGTAAAGAAAAAATAGTTGCAGTAAAAAGAAATTCAAATTGAAAGAAAACGGTAGCAAAGGAAGATAAACGCGCATCACATGCCAAAAGAAACAAAACGGCACTTTAATTTTATTCCCCTCCGCTCCCAGTCTGCCTGGTGAATTGATTAAAGTCGGCAGATCAGCGGCGCTTGTATATACAGGGCTTGAGCAGCCCGGGGTTTGCAGTCAGCTTTGCGGGCGATGCCCTGACCTTGACAAAGTCCAGCATAATAAACATCTTGTTCTTGGTATCCTTGTGCTTCAGCTTGAATCCTTGCCCCTCGAGCTCGGCCACAAAGGCGTCGACGTCGGAAACGCGGCTGACAACTTCGGCAATCTTAAGCTCGCCTCCGGTGCGCAATATGCGGTTGGCCTCACGAATGAATTTGAGGAAATCAGTGCCCATCAGCGCAAGGCAAAATATAACAATATCAGCCGTACCGTCGGCAAGCGGCACGTCAGCCACGTTACAGGGCGTGATCAGATCGTTGTACGCTACCAGGTCGAACGAGTGCACTGTGTGCACCGCGCCGACGGTTGCGGCCAGTCTCGCCTCGCCGCAGCCCATATCCGCCACAACAAGAGGGTCCCGTGCCTGAAGCTGTTTGATGAACATGTCGACCGGATTAACCGGCCACTTTTCGACCTGCGCCGTAAAGCCCTGATGGTACTCCTCAAAGATGCTGGGGTCGCCTTGGACCATTTCAAAGGCCTTGTCTCCGGTTGTTGTGTACAGCGCCTCATTGATCCATCTGAAACGAGCACCCTTGAGCTTCTGCTGCATCTTCTGCTGCAATGCGCTCAGTTTGTTCGGCGGCGTCAAGCTCAGTTTCTGTGTGGGTTTCTTGATCTGACTCTGGGATTTATTTTGATGCTGCTGTTGCTGCCGCTGGTTCTGCTTCTGGCTTGCATCCGCGCCTGTGTTATTATCCGATTCGGCGCTGGCTAATTTTTGGTTTTTTTCCTGCAACCGCTTCGCCACCAGCATTTCCTTGACTTTCTTGAGCCGCTGCTGCGCTTGCGAGCTTGAATTCTTTCTCTTCACCTTGGACAGATCGACTGTCTTTGATGTCGCAGATTTTGACCCGTCGTCACCCGCTGCCACCAGGTTGTTCGCCGTTTGCTTCATCTGTAATTTGAACAAACAAGTAAATAGAGAATCAAGGCAAAAAAGTTTATAGAGTAATTTACACGCGGTTTTTTGGGGTTTGAACTTTTTGACGAAAAAATATATATACCCCCGCTGGCTGGCAGACTATGATTGGGATCTTCCGTGTGATACTGCGGAATAAAATCACGTGCAATATTGTATAAGTTTGCTTGATTCAGGCATTGACGGCTGCTATGCTGGGGTTTTTTTTGCGAGTATTAGAACGGCCGTGCGCTTGCGCAGTGTTTATGCGGTTGAGGCTAATAGCAGTATTGATTGTTTATTATATTAACACGTATACACATTTACTTACTTATTCACTCACCCACTCACTCACTCATCGGGAATGAGCAGCATTTATGTCAGCGAGCCTCCCACCAGCGGCAAGGTGGTACTAGAAACGAGCGCGGGAGACATTGAGATCGAGCTCTGGTCAAAGGAGGCCCCCAAGGCGTGCCGCAATTTTATTCAGCTCTGCGTGGACGGCTACTACGATACAACTATATTTCACCGTTTGGTTTCCGGGTGGATTGTGCAGGGCGGCGATCCGACAGGCACTGGCGAGGGCAAGTTGGGATCTACATTTAGCATACATGAGTTGAAGCTGGCCTGTGCCGAGCAAATGTTGGTTTTTTTTTGCAGCGGTGGGCTCATTTTATTCTGCGATATCTGGCTACTAACATATACTTTTTTATTTGTTTGGCGTGTAGGCGGTGAATCGATCTATGGTGCCCCGTTTGCCGATGAGTTCCATTCCCGCCTGCGCTTCAGCCGGCGAGGACTGCTGGGCATGGCAAATGCGGGACCAAACGACAATGGAAGCCAGTTTTTTATTACGCTTGCGCCCACACCAGAGCTGCAAAAGAAGAACACCATATTTGGAACGGTAAGTTGGGCCGATAATTGGCTCCGTGTGTGTGCCCCATCCCCGTGACATGTTGCTGCTGGTGCAAAATTTCAGCTAATTTTCAAAATGACGGGCATTGAAGTAGGTTGTAGGCGACAGTCTGTTCAACGCGCTCAAGCTCGGCAGTGGCGAAGTTGACAGTGTGACAGAGAGGCCGGTTCATCCGAAGACGCTAAAGCATGCCCGGGTGCTCGACAACCCGTTTCCAGACATTGTCCCGCGAGCAACAGCAAAGCGTGTGGCTACGCCGGATCCGGATCAAACGGACGCAGCGGTGGCAAAGGCTTTGAAGAAGAAAAGGGGTGGGAACATCAAAGCAGTCAAGAACAAAAAGCTTCTTTCTTTTGCTGACGACGACGACGACGACGATACTATGGCGCACGACAGCAAGGCCGGCCCGGTGGCAGTTGCAACCAGGACGGAAATGAAAAGCAGTCACGATTTGCTAAAATCCGACCCGATGCTTAGCAAGGAAACCAGCTCGGCGGCGTCGCCAGTCCCATTAAAAGCAATAAGGGGGCTTAACAGCATCCCCGAGCTGGCGCCAAAAGAGGCAGAGAGTGTTGTGTTAGCAGACTCTGGCAGGACGCGCGCAGACATTCCGAGTGTGAGGGAGAAGATTCAGAGCGTGGAGAATGAAATCAAAAAGCTGACAGAACGGGACAACAAGCGCAAATCGACTTTAAATGCAGACAGTGGAGAGTCAAAGAAGCCCAAAAGCGCCCTGTCAGAAATGCTTTCTCGGTACAAGACGGCCGGCCCAGGCGTGCGCACAGCGGCGCGCAAGAAGGACACTGGGCGCGAGGACGAACTGTTTGTGCGCCTGGGCAGCTTCCAGTCCAAGATCCGCAATACTAAGGGTCTTGAGAAGCCGGCGGCGGGAGGCAACTGCGACACAGAGGCCGGCGACAACGGCCGCAAATGCGAGCTCCATGGCGTAGCCGGCTGCAAGTCGTGCCAACGTGCCAAGCCCGACGAGTACAGCAGCCTGGGCAAGGTAGCCTCGCGCTTTGACGGCGGAGACTGGCTCTCGCACACGCTTAAGTTCAGCAACAGCAAGGAAAAGGGTTCCGCATCCGAGTACGCGCCGCGTGTCGAGGACTACGTTGTCATTGATCCGCGCGAGCAAGAGCAAAAGTTCCTGAAGCGCAACCAGAAATAGCTGTGCATATGGCCACCACCTCACCTTTTCTCATTGGGAGTTTTGGAGCGCAAAACTCGCTTCATATTTGTTTGGTCAAGTGCTCGTATAGTTTGGTTGGGATTAATTAATAAACCAAAAGAAAATTAACATAATAGAGGAATGGAAGAATCATGCGCTGGGGTGGGCGTCATATCATTTATCTTTTTGGAATCTATAGATACGACATAATTACTAGTCATTTTAAGCTGCGCTTCTAGTGTGTTGCAAGTTGGTTCAGAAAATGCAACTGTAAAAGTACACTCAATAATAGTTAGCAACGCTAGCTTAACTATTTGAACAATGTGCTTTTCAAAGTTTAAAAATGCGTTTGTTAAGCACTCGACTAGTATTGTAAATAGTTGGCTTACAACTTTATTGCTGAATTTTTGTTTTGCAGCTCAAAAAACACTATTCACAATCACACGATTTATTTATGACCTAAGGAATATCATAAAACTAGATGCGATATTTCACAGAAGTCAGAGCCAGTGCTCAAGGACAAGACTAAGGATGCTGTCGAGTCCAACATCAAGTTTAGGTGTTGGAACTGCGATGTTGTATCGGCGTGCAATTTTGTTATGATATTCCTATATCGTTGCAAATTTGGTGGACGCCACCCAGCTTTTAGGTACCACACTAGACTGCCAAAGGATCCGAATACCGCGCCCAAGCCAAACACTTGTCCCAAGCGCAACACGACTAGATACTTTTTCTCATTTTTCTCATATCATGGGCGGCTATTAACTGCCTGACAGCTCAATCGCCATTGGTTTTACCCAGTGGCTACGAAATGGATGGAGGATATAGTCCAAAACTCCATAATAATAATTTCATACCATCATTTTTCTATTTAAAATAATTTTGTCATCATTATTATAGTTTTAACTAAGCAGAATATATCTATCTTTTTACAGTTTCTTCATGGGCTTGCTCGGACAGCAGATCGAGGTTTTGTTGGCTTGGAGAAGTGTGTTGCAGCAGGATTGCAGTGCACGAAGTGTTTCTTGGCATCGGCTTTCTTGGAAATCGTTGCGCCAGAGACAGTCTTGGAGCTTGCAGGCTTCTTTTTGGCACGGTGGTTTGGGTTTTTTATCGTCTGCCATTATTATTTTTATATAGAAATGGAAATAATAAAAATAAAAATAAAAAATTGTTAAAGAGAAACAAAAAGAGAGCGGGGAAAGAAAAAAACAGTCTCGAACTATATGCCTTTTTTTACTTTATTCCACTTTTATTGTCATAGTTAGAGTTGGTCCCTGACATCACTTCTCAATGTTAAAATGAAAAATAAAGATTAGACGAAAATCAAAAATCGATAAATATAAAAAAGATGCTGCGCAAAGAAAATTTGAAAGAAAATTGAATTTTCCCTTTTTTAACTGTGCAAAATACAATTTTCTTTCAAGTCGATTTTTTCTATCAATTTATATTGGTGATGGGTTGGGGAGGGGGGACCAATGATAAATAAAGTGAGAAAATATATACGCGTAAAGAAAAAATAAAGTAGTTTGATCCTTCTTTGTTTTTCGTTATTTTTCTTTATTTTTCTTTACTTTTTTAATCTTCCTCGTTGCATCTATATATAAAACTGGTTTTCTCTGCCTCTTCTTTATTTTTTCTATATTCATTCGCGCGGTCTCCTTATATCTAACGCCAAATTCAAACAAACAAACCAAAATAAAAATAAAAATAAAAGCAACACAGCACAACACAGCACAGCACAAACAACAGTGAAGAAAACACCATCCCCAAGATACCCACCCACTCACCTTTCTTTTTTCTCTCTTTATAACTTCTTTTAACCACACTTTTTCTCTTCCCTTATTTTTTCTTTTTATTTTTCTTATTTATTACTTTCGTTACATGGAGTTGGTTCGGAATGACACTAGCATCGGTGCCAATGGCGACACAGTCCAGCAGTCTGTAACAGAGTACGTGCAGGCAAAAACGACAATTCAATTCAATTCAATCCAACCCCGTTTCATTTCCCCTCCTTTGTCTTATTAACACCCTCTAAAACCCGTTCAATTTATATCTTTCCCTTTTGTAGATTCGCTCCAAAAATGCACACCGGCGATACCCGCGGAGACAAAACACCCGAGCCACAGGCATTCGAGCCACCCGCACGCGAACACATTGACGAAAACATTGACCTCGAAGGCATCGAGGTGACCAACTATGCGTTGCGACAGTTCGAAGCTGTGGATAAAAACATTTTTCTGCGTGGGTCCAGCGAAGGCTCCAAGCACGAGGAGTCCATACCCTGCCATTGTCGCTACAATCCCTCCACGGACTCGCGGTCACTGGCTTGCGGCGAGAGCTCCGACTGTATTAACCGGTTGGTGCAGATGGAGTGCAACGCGTTGACATGTCCGTGCGGGAGCTATTGCTTGAACAGGAGGTTTCAGAAACGGCAGTACGCCAAAGTTCGCATCATCGATGCCGGCAGAAAAGGCTTTGGTATGCAGGCGTTGGAGGACCTGGACACGGGGAGCTTTGTCATGGAGTATATGGGCGAAGTGGTCACTGCTGGCGAATTCCGCAAGCGTGCTGGTGTTTACCAGTCGGAGGGCATCCAGCACCATTACTTTATGAGCATCGGCAACAACAGGGTCATCGACGCGACGCGCAAGGGGTGCATTGCGCGCTTCATCAACCATAGCTGCGGACCCAACTGCGTTCTGCAAAAGTGGATGGTCGGCGGAGCCATTCGCATGGGCATTTTTGTCGAAAAGCCCATTAAACGTGGCGAGGAAATCACCTTTGACTACAAGTTTGAGCGCATGGCTGGTTCAGAGCCCCAGCCCTGCTATTGTGGCTCGCCCGCATGCAAGGGCATTATCGGGGTGGCCAAAGAGCGCAGCAAGAAACATGTGCAGAGCACGGTTGGTGTCGACGAGGATGTGGATAACTGCGTCGCTGATATTGACGAGGAGATCGAGGACGACACGGTCACCCGCCACCAGCGCGACGATATCCGCCGGCGGCACGCGGCCGTCGACGACGAGGAATACGGCAGGGCACACGCTGACGACTACTACTCGGGCTCCGAAGACGACGATGGCGCACAGTACAGCGACAGCTCTTCCGTCGGCCGCGCTGGGCTCACGCGCATGCCCAGGCGAAACACAAAAAAGACCGGACTTACTTCTCCTGAACAGGTTCTCAAGTTTGTACAAATCATGCATCGATCTGCACGCCAAACACGCATCATCGAGATACTCGTCGGTAAACTGATGGAGACCAACGACCCGCGGCTGCTCAAGTCACTCATTGGGCTCCAGGGCGCCAGCATCTTGCGCAGCTGGCTGCAGGACTACGAGAACGACGATGTGATGATGATCAAGATTCTGCAGTGCATCGCGCATATGCCTATATCGACCAGGAACACGATTGAAGAAAACCGATTGGAGGAGGCTGTTAAGCCACTGTGCTCTTATAGCGATGAGACGATTTCCGGTATGGCCTCTGACCTGGTGGAGAAATGGGCGACCCTGCGGCATGTGTTTAAAATCCCAAAGAAGAATCGCAAGGAGTCGGCTGCCGGTGCAGCAGAGACATTGGCTGGAGTGGAGAAGACACCCGTGGGATCGCGCAGAGAAAGCCCTAATCATGCAGCAAACGGCACGCCGCTGGTGTCAGTTGGTCAGCATACAATGGCCAGTGCTGCTGCTGGTGCTGTCTCGGGCGGTGGAGGTGGCGGGGACGGCGATTCTCCTGCTGGAGTTATGCGCTGGCGCAGCTCCAACAATATGTCTCAGCCGCCCTCGCGCATGCGCTCCGAATCACCTGCGCCCAGAGACATGCGCGGATACTCGCAGCCTTCACAGCAGCATCATCAACATCAACAACAGCAACAACAGCCATATTATGGCAACCAGCAGCAACATCAGCAGCAGTACACGCCGGCGAGCGCCACGCTCGTAGCAACAGCTAATGGGTGGGGTCGCAGGGGTAGTATGTATCGTGGCCAGTCGCCTGTCAGAGCCCCTTATAATGCAGGGTATAGGTCGCGATACGGCCAACAACAGCAGATTCCGTCTCGGTCTAGGTCGCCGGGCGCGTTCCATAGGACTGGGACACCCTACTCGACGTCTCGCTATCCGCGGTCTTCCGGGTATAATACTCCCGGATCTTCGTACCAACAACAACAGCAGCAGCAGCAGCAACAACAACAACAACAACAACAACAGCAGCAGCAGCAGCAGCAGCATGTGCGTGGGAGGTACAGTAGCTGGGGTAACCAGTCGTCCTATGTTAACAACGAACACGCAGATTTGGCGTATGACAATGGAGGAGGCAGAAGGAATGCGGGTTTGGAAAATGACGGTGGGAACCGGGCGGACTATGCAAACCATAACTCCCCTCCTGTTGCCCCTGCTGCCACTACCAATTCCGCTGCTGGTGCGCCCAAACTGGCGCCCGGGTGGCGGACGGCATACACGGGTGACGGAATAGCCTACTATTACCACGAGACGACCAAGCAGACGCAGTGGGAGCCGCCTGTTGTGGAAACCGCGGGCCATTCGGCACCTGTCCCACCAGCAATGAGCAACACTGGTGCTGGTGCTGCTGGTGGCAATAGCAGGCGCAGCAATCTTGGTCTGCCCTCTTCTGCTGATCATCATACAAGCGGCAGTGGGTCCCAGTACCACTATAACCAGGCGCACGAGTCGCGCGTGCCCTCTGCGTCGTCTGTATCTATGCCTGGCGACAGATGGGGCGCATCTGCCGGCGCCGAGGATGCCAAGATGAGCGGCGTGCCAAAGACGAGGGCCGAAGAGGGCATTGATCGTGCTCAGCGCATGGGCGCCATGCAGTCTCGGACCAGCACCATCAGTGGCATCGCGACTAACATAGGAGGAGGGGCCTCTGCAAAGACTGGTGGCGCTGTGCCGGCTGCCCTTCAGTTGGTGACTCCGGAAACTGACGGTGACCGCATTGTCAGCTCGTCGCTGTTCGCACACAAACATTCGGCAAACCCGGAAACCAACCCCAAAATTGTATCCTCCTCCTCGGGCACCAGCAACATGCCCAGCAGCAGCAGCGCCGCGCGCCGCGGCTCACCGACTAGCGCGCAGTCAGCGATATCAGCTAAGCGCGACAAGCTGGAGAAAAAGGCAACTGCTGAGTTGGCCGCATTTGTCGTGCGCGCGATGGCCAAGTACAAGGGTCAGCTGGGACACGACGACTTTAAGCATGAGGCGCGCAAGATCACCAAGATTCTGATGGAGAAGGAGCGCAAGCTGTCGCCATTCGACCCCATGAAGCTGATTGATATGAGCCAGCACAAGAAGACCAAGGTCCGTCAGTTTGTCTGGGACTACATGGCCAAGCTAGTAGGTCGGCGGATGGATGGCGATAGTCCGCGCAAGACGCCCATTTCTTCGGCCTCTGTGCCAAGAACCCCGCCGATACCGCCTACGGCGTCGTCGGGTCTGCGCTAGATTTTAATTATTTGCCCAAATATTTAATTATTTCTGATGCCAATAAAATGAAAAGACCAAATGTTTTATTTTCCTTTATTTTGCTCACGCACTGAGCGACTCTGCAATCCACGCCTTGATCGGCTCGAGACCGCCAACACCCAGACCCATCGCCATCGACGCCTCGTTGATCTGGACATCGTTGGGCAGGTCCTCAAAGCAGAACTTTTTGCCGTCAAAGCCCAGATAATCGGTAGCCCTATCAGCGGCCGCCGCATCATCGTCAGCATCACCACCTAAAGCAGCCGCGCCCGAGCCCATAGCTGAGCCACGCAAACTATCCAGCCCGGCCTGACGGCTCACCCTGAGCTTATCAATCTCTCCCTCCAACATGCTCTTAATCTGCGAATTCGAAACCGCCGACGGGTCGTCCTGCTTATTGCACACGATCATTACGGGAACCTCGCTTTGCTGAACATGTTCATTGGCGAGCACCTCATACAGCGCCTCTGCTGTCGACCTTATGTTTTGCACGATACCAGCGCTATCAACAACAAAAAGAATAGCGCGAGCAGCCGACAAATGCGTATCTCTATCAAAACCATACTTTTGGTGTCCGGGGATATCCACCAAATGAGCCTGAACACCATCAACATGGACCAAGGCAGAGTTGACTGACATGGAGGTTTGTGTACGCGGAACAGAGTTCTTGTTTGGGAATCGCAGATAACACCAGAGCGCGGTTTTGCCGCCACCAATGGGTCCTGTGATGACCACCAGGTTGCGCTTCTTGGATGATAGCATAGTAGATACGCTGGTTCCGGCTGCCATCGCCATGCTTTTGTTGCTGATTGATACTGATTGTTGGTTGAGCATGAACCATCCGAGGGCGCTTATAACAATGATTACCAGGGTACCCATGAGAATAATTGAGCTGATGCTGCTGCTGCTGTTGCTCGCGACATCTACCAGCGGAATTGTTTCTCCTGCCATGACCTGTATTTTTATTTAAAAAATGAGTATTTAAACGTGTTTTAAATAGGAGTAGAAGCAGGCGGAAGTTGGTTATTATTCGGGGTTGCAAACCAGATTTCTGGCCAAACTATTTTTTACCTTGTGACCGCGAAGTACAAACAAAGGTGTATGGGTAAATCATGTATGATCTGATAATATTAAAAAATAAACTTGCGTTTTGGTGGATCTAAAAAATGGACATTTGCACGTTTATAATTGTCGTAAATTTTGCACAGCTGCACTGTTGTTGAAAGGATTGGTAGCGGTAAGTCCTCTTTTCTTTCTGGCCTTTGCAGTGATATACCAATTGCTAGCGGCCAAAGCTATGTACATAACAGTATTGTATATGTAAGCTAAGAAACATTTGTGATTAATGATACGTTCCACGAAGACGTGCTCATAGATGCCGAATACGATGACAAACTATTCCACCGGGTAATTGAAGCCAGTCCTTTGACAGAAGATGTCAAGAATCTTCCGGCTGGTAATATGCCTGAAATTGGCTGTAACGGTGTCAATCTGTCAGGCGGTCAAAAGACTCGGCCGGCTTTAGCAAGGTAAGTCGAAAATATGTAAAAAAAAGTGAATAATAATGTTAAATCAACTTGAATTTTAAACTAACTTTTTCACTTGGTATTTTTAAGGCGCTGTATCTACAAGCAGACGTGTACACCTTTGGCAACTTGCTCTCGGCTGTCGATGCGCAGGTCCAGCAGCGCATTGTTGGCCATGTATTAATTAGTGGCAGCACAATAAGCAACAAAACACGCATTTTGGCCACTCACGCCGAGCACCTGGCTTCGTTCAATAACAAAGTCATTACGCTTGATGATGGCTGTGCTAGAATAGTTGAGCAGACACCAGCACAGTTTGAAGCAACCATTGTAGCAAATACTGATGAATTGGGCACTCCAGAGACATTTGAAAGTTCAGATATTGGCAGCACCAGTGATATAGATAATTCGACAAATGATAAGGGCACTTTCACAATCCGCCCTGAAAATGGCGGCAGCTCAACCCTATAACCGTTGCATTTGTGGTGGTATTTCAAGCACAGTGACTATTTAACTGTAGCCTCAATCCTCGCGTTAAAAATGACCGGTGCTTATGCCTTGTAAGAACCCGAAGACCATACTTTCATCTCTGCGCCATTTTTGGTTTAATATCTATTACTAACCCAATTTTCAATAATTAAATATATTTTCAAAGATTAAAATGTTTGCTTATAAATATAATTTTGACCATACCCTTGCCAGTTGCAAAGCGACTTTCCGCATAGGCAATTTAAAATGTGTACGTTTCAGACATTGATATTATTTCAAATATTTTTATGACATTGTTGTCGGTCAACGTATTCCGCTATATTTTTTGTGGTTATTTACATTGTTGTGCAAATGGCAAATGTGGGGCTGATACTTATTACACTGTTATAAACATGGCCAAAGGTGAGATAATAATAATCTACACAGCCAAAGGGAATGGTGCTAAAAAGGAAAATAAAGGCATAATAAAAAACCTGAGGGTATCCTGGCATGAGAAAGGGAATGCCTCAGCATATATCAGAAGCAAATTAAGACAAGTGTGCGGCACACGCAAAAATAAACAGTGACATAAATATCTATATCTAAACAAACTTTATCTTGATGCATCTCAAAATTGCATCAATATTTGCTAGTGTCATTCTCTGGCAAAAACAGGTTCAATCATGAACACCACGCGGCTTTGCAATTGATATTATTGGATTGGGGCGTCAGCCGACGTCCCGCGTTTGTCCAATGTACCTGTCCGATACATACGGATCTTATCTCACGAGCCCCCCGTGGGGTTCCCAACGCAATTAAGATGCGTGCGATTCAGCGCATACAGTTGAATGTGTGCAAAAGCATTGCAAAAATCCTGAGTGGAAGCCCCTTTTTTCTTTTTAAAATGGGTTCCTGAAACTAATTATTTTGTGCATGATCGACACAAGCTTCATTAATATCCTGCATGAATGCCTTCAATTGCATTTCCAAGTTGTCATGTATAGGATTATCAATTGTAATAAGTAGTTAATTTGAAACAAAATACTTTATCGAAATAAAGTACAGTTGGATATAGCATAAAGATAGGTGGCAGACTCTAATGTTAGCACTCGTCTGCACTCAATTAGCTTCTTTCTTTTTTCTTTCCATTCTCTTGTATTTTTTACACTTCTTTTTTGTTTCCTCTTTATTTGCCACACTATCATATTTACTTGTAATTTTTAATGACATACAATCCGCTTCTGGCAACTAGTGCTATTGCAGCCAGCGCAGCTACATTATATCGCAAAAAAACAGTCGACAACAGCGGTGTTTACTTGATAAATGCTCCGCGAACAGCCATAGTCGAAGGTAAAAACACCCTACTTGACATCATCACAGCCGAATGCCCGTCGCTGGCAGACCCCGACAAGGCACATTTTGTACCCACACCATTGCTTCCGACCGCCGACTTCCAGACATGCTACAACGCTATTAGAGAGCGATTCGGAAAACTCAAAATTGTAAAATACGAGCGCGAGCTCATCACCACAGAGGACGGTGGTACTATCGGTCTGGACTGGTCGCCTCCGTTTACGCAGATGCCCGAGGATGACCGTCCAATTGTGGTCCTGTCCCATGGGTTGTCGGGCGGAAGCCAGGAGACCTACATACAAACAGCCATCAAGACCCTCACGTCTGCGCCGTACAATTTCCGAACTGTTGTGGTCAACTTCCGCGGCTGCGCGGGCGTCAAGCTGACCACACACGTACTGTACAACGCAGGCACCACGTCGGACTATGACATTGCCGTGAAGTATATTAAGGGTCGCTTCTCGCAGTCAAAGCTTGTAGCAATTGGTTACTCACTGGGCGCGAACTTGATTACAAAGTACGTCGGCGAGCAAGGCGAGGCCTGTCCGCTAAAGGCTGCCATATCTGTAGGCAATCCGTACGACCTGGCTGCCTCTTCGAACGCCATCGAGCAGCCCACTCTCCGCGGCAAGTACGTGTACTCTCCAGCCATTCTTGAGGGTCTGATGCAGCTTTACCAGCGCCATAGCAAGATGGTGGCCACGGGCCCGGTCAAGCTTGACGCCGAGGCAATTTCAAAGATAAAAACAATTAGCGAATATAACGAGCTCATCACATCAAGAATTTTTGGGTACAAGAACAGCACCGACTATTTCCAGCAGAACAGTTGCGCCCAGTTCATGCCCAACATTAGCATTCCTTTCCTGGCTATCACCGCGCTGGACGATCCATTGTGTCCAGGAAGCTACATTCCTCGCAAGATATTCCGCTCCAACCCGCACTTGGTCCTTGCCCTCACAATGTACGGTGGGCATCTGGGCTACCACGAGAGCTTGAGTCAGTCGTGGCTACCTCGCCCAATTGCCGAGTTCTGCAGCGCTATCTTCAACCACACGACGGCGTAAAGCCATAATTTTTAAAGTTTTATATTGTATTACCTGTGCCCAATAATTTTAAAGGTTTTAAAACAGGCCGATTGTTTTTAGAACGCCACTATTTCACAATTATGTTAATAAAAACCTGCATTATGTTGTATAAAACGCAATTTCTCTGAAGAAAAAACCATGCAAGCTCAAAAAATAAGTGGAATGCAGGCGTTGATATACAGTTTCGTCCCCAAATCCTTTCTTTTTTTATAACATTCGTTAGCTTTCAGATTACGCTCATGAGAATTTAGAAAGTTCTGCCATGTTGATCCAAAGACGATTGACCGCACACAAGAAAGCAGCGCCCTGCCCCCAATCAAAAAGCCGTACTGCCGTCCACCAATCTAACACCCACACAATTCTGCCCTCCTATGCACAGAAATAATCGTTTTCTCATATTGTAGCCTGCTCATGCCCTTAATAATTTTTAAGCCTATTACTGAGTTTTTATAGTATAATCGCACCAAGTTTCTATGACAAAGAATAAATGCCAAACGATCGTTTCAAGAAGAGTAAACATTTAGCGCCTGAGCAATATGCGTAGTATTATTTATACTTTTTTTAGAATTTGCAAGTATCGTTTTAGCTGCTAAAAAGTATGTGAAAATTCTAATGTTTATATGCGATATCGGGATTAATAGTTGTTATAATAACCCGCAAGGTGTATAGCTGTATTCTCTAAGTTAAGCTACTATTCAATTATATGTGCTGCTTCCGCTGTCCTGGCTCAGGTAGATTGCAAACAATTTTACCCACATAATCTTTGCAAAAAAGCAATTAATTCCTAAGCTTAAGCCCAATTCAAAGCCCAATTCCGTCAAATACAATCCCAACAACCCTCACGGCAATCAAGGTAAGAGCTCAAAGTAATATATATGTATTGCCTTGTCTAATGATCTCCTGCAACAATAATAGGTATAGACTTCCATATTTGTTTAATTTGCTGCTTTGGCAAAGCCCTTTGACACCCGTTTCGTGTCATAATGGCAATTTGCTTTTGTTGTTATTTATTTTGCAAACCTGTATGGTTTTTTACATGCGTTTGTTTTAACCCGTTAGATTTCTTCATTATACCAATTTTAGTTTTGTATCTCCATATAGCCATTTGTTTAAAAAAATTAGCCAAGCATTTGTAGTCTCGGCTTTTAGTCAATAAAGAAGCAATAATTGCATGCATAATTGCATTCCAGGTGCAACAAAGACAAGCATTAACATAGAAAACTAGCCCACCAAACAAGACAAGAAAGGCGTACTGCAGACCCATGCTACTAACGCACATTACGAGCAAAGGGAGGTTGGTGACTATAAAGATATTAAGGCAAAGCTAAACATGCAGCAATTTTGTTTTATAAATAAAACGCATATATTTGTCAACAGTGATGGTACAGAGAAAAATAATAGGCAAAGCACGAAGTGTGAGTTTTATATACAAGTGCTTATTTCTCCAAAGCTCCTTTTATTGTTCCTTTGTGTGAAGCATGGTTTTTTTTAATTATTCCGCTTTTAAAAAGAAAAAGAAAAATTGGCAGTTGGTTGCATCAGGCACGAAAAGAGAAACGCGCAGATGTCTGCGTGCTAAGACTAGTACAAGCTTTTGAAGCTGCAATAATAAAAATCGCACAACACCAGAATTTAAATGTGGCGAATAGATGCCTATTTTTGCCGTTTTTTTAGCTGAAAGAACCTGGAATAGACAAATGGTAGAAAGACATGACAATGCTTAATTCTGCTTTGCATTCATTTCCTGCGTGTTTTTTATTCAAATTGCTCTAGACTTTCTATAAGAAAATGTATAAAACGAGCAGCAGGGATTTTTCGAGTGTAATATAATTAATGTGTGCGCGACAATCAAATAGCCACATGCTATGTTATGCAATGCCATGTCTGCCAGTCTTGTGTTATTGTGTGAAAAATTTCTTTTAAACAAGGCCAGATACAGGTTGTGTGTAGGCCGGACATGTCTGTCTGTTATTTTTCACACTCAGACTGGTTTTGCAGTTGTCGTGCATGCAGAGCAAAGTGCAAATTTATACAACCACTGGAAATACTTGCTTTCAGCTCTGGTTTGTATTTTTTCTTTCATTTCCTTGCCTCTATTTTTTGGACGCATACTTTGGACGCTCTGCTTTGCTATAGCTTAGTTTGTTTTAAAGGGGAAAAAGACAAAGAAAAATTATTTTCGTTTGCCCAGAGCATTATTGATGCTTTCTTTTTGTCTTTTATATTTGGCTATTTCTCCTGCGCCACAAAGAATTTCTTTGCAAATAGATACGCGAAAGCCTTTACTCTTGTATAGTGCGAAAGAGAAAAATTGCACATGTATGAAATCCATCAATTGTAGTTTAGGCAACTTATAAATCCTTTCTTTTTCCCCACATCATTCTTTCACATTGCTCATTTCATAATTCACATATCCATATACCTCTTTTGTACACTTTTTTAAATACAATTATATATATATTTCAATTTTTTAGAATATTTCTAAAAATTACCGTTGCATCCAAGATGCAATACAGAGTGGGCTATGCCGCCTGCAAACACTTTAACCATTGGTACGGACGAGTCAACTGGGAGGCAGTATCAGACGAGCTGCAAATATCCGTTATCGACTGCCTCGAGTACTTCGACCCGCTCCAAGCCAAAATATTTCCACGCCGCTGCCCTGAAACCGAAGAGTGGCGCATCGAGGACATCACAGCATTGAAAGCATTTACCGAGGCCCATTTCCGCCAAAAAATGTCAATTAACGACTGGGTGTTGGCGGGCAAGTACATTAACATCATGCACTCCGATTGTATTGCCAAAATGTGGGCGCTAATCACCTTTGAAATGACGCCGCAGCTGTATGTCCAAATAACCGAATACCGCCGCGCAGGGTTGTTGTGGCCAACCATCTGCCACAAGGCCAAGTGTGAGCGCACTATGGATATTGTACGCGTTGTTTACGCCAACACCAACAAGGAGACCATTGCCAGTCGATCAAGGAAACGCAAGACACAGTTTACAATAAGCAAGCACCAGCACTGGACAGCAGCCGAGGACACAATGCTGATAGAGTTGCTTGACAAGTATATCAGTGGTCGCGACATCGACTGGAACTATATCAGCAAAACCATTGGCCACAGCAAAAACGCTTGCAGGTATCGTCGCATCCTTTTGCGCCCGCGGCTCAAACAAAACAAAGGAAGTGCGGAGACGGAGGGCGGAATTAGCGATGCTTCGACGACCACACCATTACAGAAGTCTATTCTGGAAAGCACCAGCTAGTTCTGCTTTCCTTGTCGTTGTCCATGCCACATTAAATTATTTTTTATTATTCTATTTTCATTTTTCAAATACATATTTTGCCTGTACCTGCGTGATATATGCCAAAAAGTAATTTTATGCAAATATGTTAAAATGGTTCTTGTTTCAAGTACAAGTGCAGGTGTAAGTGCAAAAACAAAAAATAGCCTATGTATATATTTAAAGCGGCACGATTTCGATAAACATATACGCTGTCTGCTTAGGATCAATTGCCAAGAAGCCAGCCGGGCGGAACAACACTTCGTTCTCCCGGCGGACCAGCGCTGAGATTCGATCAATAGTTTTCCTGAAATGCGGTTTGATAACCAGGGTCGACAGGTAAAGCGTAGCAAATGCCAAACACCCCTCGAGCACATTCCTCACTGTCGCGCCCTCGGCCTCGGCCAGCATCTTATTCACGTGACGGACAAACTTTTTGAACCGCCGCTCGTCAATTTTGCCCACCAACTGATCGGGCACCTTGACTGTAAACTGCCTGGAAACTCCCATCGAGTAGTCGCGCTCGATGCGGATCCTCTGCCACTGCGAGTACTCCAACGCATTCTGTGGCGTCGAGTTGCTGGTCTCAGGCAGCGCATATGACTTGCGAGAGAGCGTATCGACAGTGAATGTGTTGCTGTTCCCACGACCGTCGTTGTGTGCTGCTGGAAGCTCGCTGCTGGGGGATACTCCCAGGCTGCTGCCCCGCGTCGGATAAAATTTGGGCTGAGGGGACCAGTGCTGCTGACCAGACGGGGAGACGGCGGCTGTATTTGGCGTGGTGGTACCTCTCTGCGCGCCAGCAGATGACAGGGCGACTATACTTTGCGGCCGCACTCCCTCGCTCATACTTGGCCGATGCATTTTCTCGCGCGAGCCGTCCAGCTGCCTCGCCTGTGCCACTGCTACCGCTGCCGGAGCGGTGGGCGATGCACTGGAGATGCCTGCAAAAATGGCTTTTTCGCTGTAGACCGAGCTGCGTGGCGTCAATTCTGAATAATCTCCGGACGACTGTGATGGAATCGGGCAGTTTACGCTCGTGCTGCTGCTGACATTGCGGTATTGCTGGCGGTTGGCTTCTGCTGTCGCAAACATGGCGACGCTGTGTTGCTTCTGAGGGTAGATCGCCGGATGCTGATGCTGATGCTGCTGTTGCTGCTGCTGCTGTTGCTGAAGATAAGTGTGTATGGAGAATGTTTCTGAGGAGTAAGAGTTTGGACGCTGTGCCTGTTGTTTCCGCTGAAACTGGAGCGCGTGGGAGCTAGAGGTGCTGGGCGAGCGGTAAAGTATAGTGTTGCCGTGTGTGTTTCGCAGCTCCAAACTGATAACTAATGACAGCGGTGGATTATGATTCTGCTGCTGCTGCTGCTGCTGCTGTTGTTGTTTGAGAGTTTGATTGTTGGTGCTGCTTAGTAATGGGTATCCAGAATCTATACTTTGTGTGAGGTTCTCAAAGGACCAGTGTTCAGTGGAACTGACAACAGACATTTAACAATAAAAAAGATGAACCAAACAAATATTCGGAGAAAAAAGAAAAACAAATACGAGGTCGAATGGCAGTTGTGCTCAGACTGAAGAAGGCCGAAGTAACAAAGAAAAAAGATGTGGGATGCAAAAGAACAATGTAGTTAAGGCGAACAATGTATTTTTTATTTCGTTTTAAATGCAGCCAACCGAGCTTGGCTTTGTAAAAAAGTTAAGGCTGTTTTTTTCGGTTGGAACGTGAAAGCGAATTAGACAAAGCGGAAAATACAAAAAAAACAAAACAAAGGCAAAGGCTGTTTGCACGTTTCAGCTGAACATGGTGACAGAAAAGGGTCTTTTTGGAATAGCTCGAAAAGGAAAAGCTTTAATCGTACCTTCCAATCCAGCCTGGCGGTGTCAGCAAATTGAAACATTGAATTTAATCAATTTTTGTTGCGTATTTGAAACATACTTGATCAATACTTCCGTATTTCGTAGCTCAAAATAGTCTGGGCCTTTTTCATTTATTATTTTGTTATTATAAAAATTAGCGAGCCACTTTTTAATTTATAATTCTGCAATTTCGAGCCACCTCCATTGTTGCACAAAACGGTCAATTCGCTTGCAAAAGAATGGCCAAGGTCCAGCCGATTGCTATAAACTACCAGAAAAAGCAGGACTGCGCAGACAGCGTGGAGCCCCAGAACGCCCAGGATTCCGATGGCAGCCCCCCTGAGTACGTAGTCGAGGCGGTCGTCGACGACAAAATGATAGGCGGGATTCAGTTCTACTATCTCAAGTGGGAGGGCTATCCGTCCGAAGAAAACACGTGGGAGCCAGAGGAGCACCTGCAGTGCTCGCGCTTGATCGAGGACTACAAACGGAAGAAACGCGTGCACCAACTAAGCAAAAAATACCCCAAGGGGTTCGACCTGTCGGAGCTTATGCCCTGTCCCAAGCAGCACCGCATCCGGGTGGTCAACACAATCGACAAGGCGCAGTTACCTTCTGAATTGACGTACACTGATGGCTACGTGCGCGGCCCCGATGTGCCTTACCCGTCGGGCGTCTTGTTCCCATGTTCCTGCACCGGCGACAAGTGCGGCCACACCTGCGAGTGCATGGAGGTGATGTGCTATGACGAAGATGGGCTCCTCTGCCTTGAGCTGAAGCAGTCAATCCACGAGTGCAACTACCTTTGCAAGTGTTCGATCGAATGCCCTAACCGAGTGGTGCAGCGCGGTGCCAACATCCACATGGAGATCTTCCGCACATCGTACAAAGGGTGGGGGGCACGCGCACTGAGGCCGCTGCGCAGGGGCGAGTACGTGTGCAGGTACACAGGCGAACTCATCACGTACGAGGATTCGACGCTGCGCGACGTCGACAACACCAGCACGTATCTGTTTGATCTAGATCATGAAATTACGCTTGAAGACAGCAACCGTTTTGCCATCGACGCCCAAAAGTTTGGCAACATCTCACACTTTTTCAACCACTCGTGCGAGCCCAACTTGGTGATCAGGGCAGCCTACATAAATCACCTGGACCAGCGGCTGCACGAGCTGGCCTTCTTTGCCTGCCGTGACGTCAAGCTCGGTGAGGAATTGACCTTTGATTACTCCCCGAGCATCGCGCTGACTGTGCCTTCATCAAAGGACGACCATGAATCCAACGAAACCTACAAAAAGTTCAGGTGTTACTGTGATACGCCGCGCTGCCGCAAGGTCATGTTTGCGTGAGCGTGAAAGAATAAGGGTTGACAACGATGAGAAATGAAAATGAAAATGAAAATTCAACCAAAAATATGAAAAGCAAGCGCAGAAAATCTACAAATCCAAAAATAAAACTCGACAGGCGTGGTCAAGAATAGGTGTTTTTGTGTATGTGTGTCGATAATGACGACTACATCTCGTCCTCGTCCTCTTCGTCCTCGTCACCTTCGAGGGACTCAACCTGCAACACAAAGTCGACCAGTAGCTGGGCACACTGCGCAGCGTCCGGCAACAGAACAGCCTCGTGCTTGCGCAGGCGAGATGCAGCCTGCCGCTCGGCAGGGTTGATGGTCGTGCACAGGTGCATCAAGTCGATCAGGTTCGACTCGCAGGCTTCAGGGGTTGACAGTTTGGGCATGCCGTTGGCGTTCGCCAGCTCGAGGACCTTAATGTCAGGGTACTCGATGTACGGTGGCTGGCCCTCAATCATCTCATAGAGCAGTGCGCCCGCTGCCCACACGTCAGTGCTGGGCGAGTACCCGGCGCCCTTGGCCAGCTCGGGCGCCATCCAGTAGATAGCACCGAGTGATGTCTTGTGCACCGACGGCTGATCAATGTCCAAGTACACGGCGCTGCTAAAGTCTGCCAGCTTGACCTGGCCGCGGTCGTCAATAAGGACGTTGTCGCTGCGCACGTCGCAGTGGATGATGTGGCGCTCATGCAGGTACGCCAGCGCGGTCAGTACCTCGTGCATGGCAAACGAGATGGTGACCATGGGCATGCGAATCTCTGGATAAGCCGCCAGAAGGTCAGTGATCGACCCGCGGCTCATAAACTCGTACACTATCCACACCGAGTCATCAATAGAGAAGTACTCGTAGAAGCGCACGACGTGCTGCGACCGGATGCGCCGCAGAATCTTGAGCTCCGTGCGCAGCTTACGATACCGTGCCTTGGCCGTCTTTGGCACAACCTTGACTGCCACGTACTCGCCCTTTGGCCGCTTGCCCACGGCGGCGTTGCGTCCCGTAATGTATACATTGCCTGACTCGCCCTCGGCGTACTCCTCCAGCTCACCGTAGTTTTCGCGGCGCTTCTTGGACGACTTGCCAGACACCGAGCCGCTGGACTTGCTCAGCTCGCGTTTGCGCTCGCTGCCCTGCGAGTTCAACTTATCAGACTCTGCGGTGCTTGTAGTGGCGGCGGCCGAAGCAGCGGCCGAAGCGGCGGCCTCTGCCGAGGCGTCAAGCACAGCCGGATCGGGCTGCACGATTACCTCGTTCGTGCTTATGATATCGCCCTCATACACCGGTGCGCTGGGCTCCACCCCCACATACTCGTCCTCCTCCTGCGCAGCAGCTAGCGTGGGCATGCTTGTGGCCATCGAAAAGCGCTTGGTGGCTTGGGCCATTGAGTGGGCGGAGACAATGCGAGATTTGCGCTTGATCCACTTGGTGCTCTTTTCGCTCTGCTGCCCACCGCTCAATGACTGGGAACCGTCTTGCGAATTGGCTGACTCTGGCCCATTGCCGCCGGCCATATCCGACACCGAGCGCGAGTTGTTCGGCACGCTGTTTGCAGAGGCACCGCTGGCCGTGGAATTTGCATTTACAACGGGCGTCCGCGGCGCCGTCCCGCTCTTTAGTGCCGAGGCGTCGATTAGCCGCGCCATGCTCGAGCCAATGGGCGCTGACACCGGGGTGGGCACACGGATGGTCGTCATTTGCATCAGCTGGCTGTCCATGGATGCATGTGGCGATCTGAGCGCTTCTCCTGCCCCCGGAGACCCTGGAAACTGAACTGACTCGGCGCGCACGTTGCGGTGTACAGACGGAGGCATTAGACCACGTGGGCTAATCACAGGCTCGATGTGCGGCAGCCATCCTGGTGTGTCTGGGTTGCCATTCCCGCTGATGGCGCCGGCCGCCAGTTGTGCGTTGCCCAGATGCTCTGCAAGCTCGTCGGGGCCAAAGTTGAACCGTTTTTCGGTCTTCATAGACTCGTATATCGGGGTATGCGGCTGGCTGTTTGATTCTAGCGGGTCTTCTGGCTCACCGATGTCTTGCGGCAGCCGCAGCGGGCTAGTCTTTGGCTTCCACGATTCGGGTCCCTGCTGCAAAATGTCATCCAGGTCCTCGACGCTGATATGTACGTCGTGCTGCACGTTGAAAGGGGAGCTGATTTGTCGCGCTCTTGAAATGCCTGCCTTGGCTAACAGTCCTTGGAACAACGGAACGGTTGATGTAGTGACCATGTTTTGTTGCCGGCGGTTGTGACAATAGGCGTGACCCCCAAGCATGGAGTGTGATTGAAAATAAACAGTAGAGATAACAAAGAGAGTTAGAAATAGGATTTTGGGCGTCGGCGAAATTATGTAAAGCGCAAGGGTATGTATGTGCGTGTGGATGAACGAATAGGTGAGCGTAAATAACAGGTGCGGGTATACAAAAAATAGAGTGGGAAAATATGAACAACCAGATTAAATACAGGGAAGAGAACAAAAAGAGGTTAAAGATGTCATTTTTGGGATGGTGGTATGGCCAAGAGATAAAGAAGGAAACATGAAAATGGAGTCTGAATATAGGCATTTATGCCCAGCGCTTCATCTGCCCCAATGCTCAATTGGTGTCAGAATGAAATCAACTACAAAAATACGCGGGCCCAGCAGTAAACAAACAAACAAGCAGCAGATTGCACGCATCAGCTGGATTTTTGCAGCGCGCCATACTGCCGGCATTTGTAATAATAGGGTATATTCAGGCCCCTTGTCTAATTCATTTTTTTTGGCTCACCCGCCTCTTTGGCCATTGTCTAAAGCTTTGTGGCCACCAAAGAAAGGGAAATATTGGGTTTCCGGATGCTTAAAAAACTGAATTCTTATGCGCAGCATTTAAAAAGGGGCCAAAAGTGCGAGCAAAAGGAGCGGATACATACATATGTTCGGGTGACATGCGTGGAATGAATACAAAAATAAGGACAAATGCCAGATGCAGAAAAATACATATCGGAAGCGACACGGCAGCCAGTAAAATGAAGTCCATCAACATGCACATGATTGCCAAATGTAAACATTTTCTCAGCACGCCGCCAGAGGTGAAAAAAGCGTCAAAAGCAGAGACAGGTTTTTTTTGCAAGGGGCCGAGCGCACAGCAAAATAAAATTCGTGTTTCGACAATTGGCAGGTGCAGGTGAAGCAAGAATGCATTGATGTGCTATGGCTTAGTGAATGGTGCTTACCCTTGATGTTTGTGGTTTTCGCCTGGCTGTGCGATGGCTTATCCTTATCCTTATCCTTGTGCTTATTCTTCTGCTTCTGCTTGGTATCCTGGTCCTGGTCCTGATCATGCTCTTGCGGCTGCCAATCCTGTGAGGTTTCGGATGCGCCATTGCTCTGGGGCGCCTGTGCTTGAGGCTGCCTCAAGTAGTCAGGCGAAGCCTGGGCCAAGGGCAATGGCTGCAACGTGATGTGCTGGAGCGTAGCCAGCCGAGGTCCGTGCTGTGTCGGCGGCCTCTGCACATTACCGCCGGGCAGTTCTGGAACCGACGGCGGCGCCTCACTGCTGCTGATCCTGGGTTTTAGGGCCGGGACTAATGCTTGGTCCGACGCCGGCACGCTTTGGTTGGAGTTTGCCACATGTGTCTTGTAATCCTTGACCGAAATGTGCTCGACGTGCTCGAAAGTGACCGGACCGCTGAGCGGGAGGCCACGGTAGGTTGTCTTTTGGGCCTTCTCGGCGGCGGTTTTGGGTAAATTGTCGCGCTCAGAGACCACGGCTGCGGGGTTGGCCAGCACTGAGATAATGTCTGCCTTCTGCTGCCGGTGGTTGAGTATCTGGTAGTGTTTCACGCCGAGATCTGTTGCCGAAAGGTGCTCGACATGCTGGAACTCGGCCGGAGCGCCGATAGGCTTGCCGCGGAACGTCACCACGGACTTCATCGGCTCAGAAATCACGTTTGCGGCCTGCGGCGTGCTCTTGGTCAACTTCATCAGCGATGAGGCCGACTTGAAGCTGCGGAATGGCGACTTGCGCTCGGTGGGAGCTGCAGGGAACGTAGAGCCCTTGTTTGGCTGGGTGTAGGACTTGTACAGATCCGGGCTGTTGATCAGGGCCATCTTGGGGCCGACAACGGTTGGCGACAGATGCTCGACGTGGTGGAAGGAAATAGGATGGCCCACTCGCTGACCGTTGAGCATTGGGATTTCGGTGCCCAAATTGTCCGTCGAGCCAATCTGCGTCATCAAGGACTCGAGCTGCTGCTGCTGACGCTTGGTGCTGACTGACTGCGGGTTCTGCGCCTCCTTTTTTTTAGGGGTGAACTTGCTGACAAGTGCCGCGCGGATGCCGATGCTCCTGCGGCCTTCAATAGACTCACTCGGCCGCAGCGGCACGGACGACGAATGCCTGAGCTCCAGCGGCATGCCGTTGTCGGCCGACGGAATGTCGTACGCGGGCGGCAAATCGGCCGTGCTGCCTAGCTCGTGGATATTTTGAGCAATGTTGCTTGCACCGGGCTGCGCGCTGCTGCTGGACGCCGGGTCCGACGGCCCCCGTGGAACCGGCGTGTCGGCGCTCATGGTTGTCGAGTGCGGTATCTGCGGTATCTGTATTCTCCGTTTGGCGACTGTCGGCATCAGAATGCTGTCCTTGTCGTCGTGCTCGTGGCCCTCATCGGCCACGCTGTTGGAGGAGGATTCGCTCATTGGAAGCGCTGGTTGTATATTTTCGAAATTGGGATCTGGATGGTACAAGGGATTGGACCTGCTGCCGGCCACTGCGCTAATTTGAGCCACTTTAGCGCGTGGTCACTTGTGTGGGCTGTAAACAAACAACAAAATGGGGCTGCGTGTCGGCTAAACACGGATAACAACCAAAAATAAAGTAAATAGTGTCAGACAAGCGCCACTAGCCGCGCGGATAAACTAACAATGGAGAAAGCAGTAGATAATGGTGAGCAGGAAACAGAGAGCTGGGATTAAGAAGTGTCACAAAATACCAACAAGTATGCAGGGAGGAGAGAAGTAGAGGAGTAAGCGAGCGTCAAAGCGGTTAAAAAGAAGGGATATAGGTGTCAAAATAACAAGCAACAATGGCCAAAGAACTTGATTAATTGATATGTTTAAGGTAAAAAAACTAGCTGAAATAGCGATATTTTTAAAATAGGCTCAGGAACGAGTAATAAACAAAGTGTAGAAAAATAAAATAACAATGGAGTTTTAATGCCAAAAAAGCCAAAGAGAAATAGAAGAAAGACGCGAACAGACACGTTGGGCCAAGGTCGACGAAGAAAAAACAAATACCGATTTCGAGGATTACAACCTTCAAAGAAACTGCCTACCCCTTTGCCGCTTTCCCCGATGCCGCGTAGAAAGGCTGCTGGCAAAACAAGAAACCCAAGCGCTGAAAATCACGTGCTACAATAGGCGCTAGCCTGAGTGCTGGTACGGCTTGTCTCTGCTTCATCTGAGCGAGGCGGTCGGACGCAATTAATGGCAGGGAGGAGCCCGAAGAGCGCAAAAAAAGATCAGCGATTCCCGCATATCAACAATTCAGAAAAAAATAAATAGGGGATCAACACAAGCTGCCACAAAGAAAAACGCCGGCTGATAGACTTTTGGGTGCAAAGAGAGACCGGGAGAGGATGCTTGTGTTTGCAGGCGCGAGTGCAAAGTGGTCTTGGATTTTTTGTGGCTTGCCACAATGAACCATTTTTAAAGGCATTTATTTATTTCTCGCTCAGGCTCGGGATATATTGGCCCGTGGTTCCAGGCGAACCCAGCGAAATGTCATGTTTGAGTTTTCATACTACATTTAATAACAGGGAAGCAGCACCATTTCGTCTTTTCTTCCTTTCTCCTTCTGTCCCCTCTCTGCCTCTGATCACATATGTAAATCAACGTCTATTAACGCTGCTCCTCTTTTGGATGGCCAAATACCAGTTGCAAGCGTTGCTGCCCTCATTTTTGATGGCGCGGCACAAGTTGCAACTGGCACGGCTCCTGTAGATGATGTAACCCCCCCCCCCAGCGGAAGAAACAGTGTCCGAAATCAGACGGCGCTTTTGGAACATAAATTTTGCGGCAAGTTCAAACATGCACATTATCTTCAACTGCTTCAGTGATAGATGAGGAACTCCTACTTGGTGGCCGTTTGCTCGTTTTACGGTTAAAGTAGCTGGATGCATTAGATAGTAGACATCATTTGAAGCAACGGGGGATCCAAAGCACACAATTTCGTGTTTATTCTGTAACCGAAATGGCCCATTGGCGATATGCAGAGCTGTCGGCTTTGAGCACCACATATTAAAAGCCATTTCAAATGGCTTGGTGAACCTACCAAACCCGAATATACTTTATTTGTCGGGGGTTGTATGGAATGCGCAATCATTTATGTAACTATGTAGTCATCAAGGCACTGCCCAAGGAAAAGCGTAATCGTCGCCAAAAGTTAAAGGTGGAAAAAATGGCCCAGAACATGCCACATATTGAATCGTTGAGCTGTGCTGTCTTCTTATCATTAACTGCACTTGACTTTATTTCTTCACGCCAATTTGAATACTGAACAGTAAAAATTGAATGTTCCGCACAACAGCAGCCAAATTCAGCGCATTTGCAACAGCCGGAGGCCAGCGCGGCGGAAGCTACTTTTGCAGCAGCATGCACAGGCGCAGCTTCTTCACGCACCGCAAGCTCACTCTGGGAGATAACTCATGGCGCACGCCCATAGTCATTGCAGCCGCCGCGATCGCCGCATCAACGCTGGGCTTTGTCGGATACGGCATGTTCTTCGGGCCTGCCAGCCAGTACCCAACTCCCGTCCGCAAGCTGCTGCGCGAGGCCGGGCTGGCATACCTGCGCACGCCAAACAAGCAGGATCTGCCAAAGGCCATCGATCGGTACACAGAGGCGCTAAGGCTGCTCGACCAGATAGGGAGCAGCGACCCGAAACACGCTCCTGACGCCCCGCACGTCACAGGGCTGGTCGCGCGCCTAGCGTCGGTGTACACAGACATGGGGGACATTGACGGCACTATTCGCACGTACACGGATCTGCTGCATCGGATTCTGGGCGACGATGGCATGGAAGACCCGCGCACACAGGTGCGTCTACTGATGGATCCCGAGTTGGACGCCGGGAGGCGGCAGAACATCCTGCGGGCGCTTGGCTGCGCCAACAAGCTGGCCGAGACGTATGAGGCGCGAGCAACGCGGTCGAAGCGCCGCAGCGTGTTGCTTGCCGATCCAGACATGGAGTCGGCGGACGTGCGCGCGGCCAGCCGGTGGTACCAGTGGTGCCTGCAGGTAGTGATGCTGACGTATCAGAACCATTTCAACCACCAGCAGCTCAAGCAGGGCAAGCCGCTGGCCAACACACCGTCATTTGACCCCGACACGCTGCCGCGGTACTTTTCCATTGACGTCGTCACCAGCCTGTTTTACAACGCCGCGACGTTCTTCTCTGCCCACGCGCAGTACGGGTTTGCCGTGCCGCTCCTGCAACGCTCGCTGGACCTGCTGCGCCGCGGCACCGATGGCGGCAAGGAGCCGAACGTATGTCGGTCGAGCATCCTGATGAGCCACTTGGCCAATGCCGCCGTCCTGATGTCAGATCTGCCAGCCGCCGAAAAGTGGTCGATTGACGGCTTGGCGCTGGCCAAGCAATTCCCACGCAACGCCGACTGCCTCAACAGCTTTGTCGCCCTCACGTATGACCTCGGCGCTGTATACGAGGCCGCGGGCAAGGCGGATAGTGCGCGCGTGCAGTACCGTCAGGCCGCCGAAATCGCCCGGGTCGTCGAGGACGGCGAGGCTGAGAAGCTGGCTGCCGCCGCGCTTGGCCGCCTGTCGGGATGAGCGCTTGAGAGAAAACGGTTGAGCAAGGAAATGTCTGCTCGCGCATCGCTTCTTCCTCATTATCTTTCGTGTGCAGCGATAGTGCCATGTCATGCCAACATGAGATGCAGGTATTGTACACACGCTGCAGTTGAAAAAATTAATTTTGGGGGCATCGAGGGCCAGCTGCCGCACCGCTGATTGGACTGTTGAGAAGTTTTATCACACGTGATAGTCAATTGACCATCACTATCAAAGTCACCCCTTGCTCAAATTTTTTCTCGAAAGAGAAAAATTTCTCAAGGAAAGTAACGGCACCGAATCTGCACACGCAAAAAAAATATTTTTTTAATTCAGAGGCTGCTCAAGGTAAATTTCTCCTTTTTCTCTTCTTTTTTCTCTTAGATATTTTTTATTTTAAAAATCTAACTACTTTTTTCAACTTGTTGCCCATCTTTGTCTTCAATTGAAAAAGTCCCCTTTGTCAATTCTTTTTTCATTTGCAAGACTAGGATCAGCAGAGGATTTCGTCAGGTTTACAATAGCCACTTTGTAAGTCTCGGATAAGCACAATTTCAGACTCGCTGTCATACAAATTGGATCTTACGAGTATTGTGTATTACTAATTGAAACATTGCTCGTGTTATTTTCTCCACCACATTTCTATATCTGTTTTTCGCTGTAGAGACGAACCTTTATTTCACGAAAAAGGCTTAAATTTATTCCTTTCATTTTTATTTTTTATCCTACCAGCAGGACTCTAGGCTTATTCACTTAGCTCTCTAGTTCATCGCATATATAAAAAACGCCCACGGTTTATAGTCACAGACGATACAACAAACAACCAACACACACGCTAAATGAGTCGCAAACACAGTCAAGCATCGGCAAACTCGAAGACCAACAGCTCTGAGAAGCAACCTCTGACGTACGCGCAACTTGCAGCCAACTCTCAGGCCGCGCCCACCAGCACCCCCACCAACACAGCAGCCAACGCGCAAGCACCAGTGACTCCGGCCACGCCAGTGACGCCAGTATCGCCAGCAGTAGTTGCAGAAAAGCCCGTGATTGCACAGAGCACCACCCCCAAGAGCTTCAGTGCGGTAGCCAAGCAGGATATCAAACAGCGGACACCCACTAATAGCCCTGGAAACAAAATGGTGCCAACGCGCCGGGCGTAGGAAGCCGCGGAGCCGGTAATAGCGGTGCTCGCGGAGGCAGCAATGCAGGAGGCGCGCGCTCTCGCAGCCGCGACGTCGCTGTGCGTCTGCCCTCGAGGAATTCTGTCTCATCGGCGACTGCCCCTGCCATTCAGTTTGGCTCGCTCAACCAGCAGACCCGCCCGGTGTCTCCACCCACCGCGCAGAAGACTGCCGTGGCTGTAGCTGCCACTAGCGGCGGCGCGATGCCAGCCAACATGGGTAAGCCCACGACCAAGCCCAGCTTTGGCTCAATCCAGGGCAACAGCGAGGACAGCGGCAACAAGCGCCAGGCTGACTCTCAGGGTCGGGGCCAGCAACATGGCCGCCAGCATGGCCAGGGCCATCAATACCAGCAGCAGCAGCGCCCTGGCTCGCGGTCATCGAGCCATAGCCGCCAGTCGCAAAACTACACGCCCAACCGCGGCGACAACAGCGGCTACAAGCACAACGGCCCCAAGAACGGTCCCAAGCCCAATGAGGCTGGTACTGAGTCCGGCGCCCCTTTCCACCCGCACCACCAGGATAGTAGCGTGTACCAGCAGCAAGTCACTATGCAGATGCCAGGCGCGCCTGCACCTGCTCCTCACCCCTCGGCTGCGATGGGCGGCCAGCAGCAGCAGCAGGCACCGCATTACGGCGGCAGCCCCTACCGCGGCCAGGGCCACCCGCACATGCGTCCCCCTCACAACCAGGCTCCCAGCGGCCCCTACAAGCCGCAGGCGGCGCACACTACCCACAGCACCACATGGGCGCTCAGCAGATGGCACAGCCCATGTACCAGATGCCCGCGCCTGGCCAGCCGCCCATGCAGCCTGGTATGGCACCTATGCAGGGTTGGATAGCGCCGCCGCCGCAGTTTGCCTACATGCCCATTGGTGCTCCGGCTACGAGCAGTACTACCGGCCACCTCAGGGCTCTGGCGGACCCCCGCACCACACCATGTATGGAATCCCCAACTACAGTATGCCGACGCCCAGCCATACCGGTCCGGCGCAGATTGGTGCCGGTGGCATGATTCCCGTTTCGATGCCCGGCGCTCCGATGCCTAGCATGACCGCCACGCCGATGGGTCCTCAGCAGCAGGTGCCGCACCACGTCCCCAGCCTCAACACCAACGCTCAGGCATTTGTTCCCGGCCGCCGCGCCGTGCGCATCGTCAATCCGAATACCAACGAGGAGGTCGACATCACGCAGCAGCGGTTGCGCTCAGTGTCCACCAACAGTACTGCGCCTCAAAGTGAGTCTGCCAGCGCCGCTGTGCCGGCTGTTGGTGCGCCCGCCTATGCCATCGAGAGACGCGAGACTGTCGGGACCCCCGCTGAGGTTCCTGCCTTTGAGGACGACTCGCGGCCAAAGTTTAAGATCCCCAGCACTCGCACTGTCAAGATCGTCAACCCCAACTTAGTGGCCAAGTCCGAGCCTGCCAAGAAGGAGGAGGAAGAGGCTGCCTCTGAGCCCGCCAAGGAGGAGGCTGTTGCTGATGTTGCCGAGCCTGTACCTGCCCCTGCTGCCGGTGAGCCCATGGAGGTTGACGAGAAGGTGCAGGTGCCAGAGGTCAAGGTTGCCGAGCCCGAGGCTGAGACCAAGGTTGCCGAGGCCAAGGTTGAAATCGAAGAGGCCAAGGTTGAGGTTGAAGGGACCAAGATTGAGATTGAGGTCGAGGAGACCAAGGTCGAGGTTGATGAGAAGCAGGCTGAGCCCGAGGCTCAGGTCGAGGAGACCAAGCAGTCCGCGAGCGAGGATGTCAGCGAGCTGGCTGAGGCTCTTGCCAAGACCTCTATTGTCGCCGAGGCCAAGGTTGAGGATGAGAAGGCCGACATCAAGCAGGAGCAGGAGCAGGAGCAGGAGACCCCCGCTGCCTCTGAGCCCAATGTCGAGCAGGAGGAGGCCGAGCAAAACGAAGACGAGGAGGAGGAAGAGGATGAGGAGGAAGGCGAGATCAATGAGGCTGATGAGAGCAACGCCCAACCGCCTACCCCGCTCTCCGCCCGCTCGCGCCAGGTCACATTCAGCGAGCCTACATCTCCTGCGATCCGTGTTCTCACGTCTGCTGAGATCATCAAGATGTACACGGGCGACCTTGCTGGACCCGCCATCGTTGATGAGATCCTCAAGTATCCCCGCGTCTTCCTTGAGCGCTTCAGTGGTCTTTGCGAGCCACCATTGTCATTCCACTTTGAGATTGCCAACACCGACGACCGCCGGTCTGGTGACCGCGGATCGGGGATGCGCCGTTCGATGTCGGGCTCGGGCCGCCACCGCGAGCAGGCCCCGGCTGTGTCTTCTTCTAGCTTTGGCGGCATGGGCAACTTCCGCCACAACAACACAGCACCAACGCCACGCACGCACCTCTGGGTTCGTCCGAGGAGCGCTTCCGCCAGAGCACCAACGAGATGAAGAACCGCATGGACATCGCACCGCGCGGCGGCTCATCAATGGGCGGCCGGCCTCCGTCGGGCCAGTACCGCAATAACCTGGCAGCAACCGTGAGAGCCGCGGTGGTCGCACTGGTACGCGCGGACGCGGCCGCGGCCGTGGCCGCGGCGGCTCGCAGCAGGGCGGCGACCGCAGCAGCACTGGCATGTCTGACGGCCCCCCCTTGGACCTCAAGCCGCTGGCCAAGGCCGAAAACCGTTATATTGCCAAGGTGCTGGTCGTCGGCAAGAACGCCGTTGAGGACGAGATGGATGAGGAGGTTTACAATCGCCGCATATATGCGTTGCTCAACAAGATGACGCCCGACAACTTTGATTCTGTGTCGGACGAGCTGCTGGTGTGGGGTAACAAGTCCTTGCTGGAGACCAATGGTCGCATTCTGCGCCACCTCATTGACACGGTGTTCTTCAAGGCGACTGACGAGAAGACCTGGGTTACGACGTACGCGCGCCTGTGCCTGAAGCTGATCTGCAACATCGACCCCAACATCGCTGACGAAAACGTCAAGAACAAGGAGGGCAACCCGATCATGGGTGGCCTGCTTGTGCGCAAGTACTTGCTGACCAAGTGCCAGGAGGACTTTGAGCGCGGATGGAAGATTGAGATGCCCGATGACATGGAGTCGGATGAGTACTACGAGGCTGCCAAGATCAAGCGCCGCGGCCTGGGCCTGGTGCAGTTCATCGGTGAGCTGTTCCTGCGCGACATCCTGACCGAGCGCATTATGCACCAGTGCTTCAAACGGCTGCTCACCAACTACGAGACGCCCGAGGAGGAGGAAACTGAGTCGCTGTGCAAGCTGATGACCACAGTCGGCAAGAAGCTGGACCACGAAAAGGCCAAGAGCCATGTCGATGCGTACTTCCGCCGTATTCAGGCCATGTCAGGCAACAAAAAGCTTGCGTCGCGCTACCGCTTCATGCTCAAGGACATCATTGAGCTGCGCATGGGCAACTGGGCGTCGATCTCCATGCACGGGGACAGCGGCCCGATGACCATCGCCGAGATCCATGAGGAAGTTGAGCGTAAGAAGGCCGCCGAGGAAAAGCTGCGCCACTCGCAGTCCAACTCTGGCCGCCCACAAAGTCGCAGTCTGGTCGCAATGAGGGACCCGGTGGTCGCCGTCCCGGCTGGAACACCGTTGGTGGACCCAGTGGCAGCGGACGCGCCGAGCAGAACCAGCGCACCGGTGACCTCACCGGCTTTGGCAACATCTCGCGCCTCAAGCAGCAGGCACCCGCTGGGGGATCAGGCTCGAACCCCTTCAGCAACCTGTCGGGCGGCTCGCGCGGCTGGCGTAACAACTCATCGGATGGTCGCAAGTCCAACGAGCGCCCCCGCTCACTACTCCTGGGACCTGGCGGCCGCACGCCGTCGCACTCGTCTCGCGGCGGTCCCGGCGCTGCAGATGCTGCTCCGTCGACGCCCGACCCCGTGGGCACGCACAACATGTTTGACGCACTGATGAACGCCGACGACGACCACCACCACCACCATGCGTCGCCGCGCGCCGAGGCTATGCGCAGCGGATCCAATGTCCCTGCATTGGCCGCTTCGTCGATGTCATCGGCCGGGGCTTCCGCGAGCTCCAAGCCCAAGGTGGATACCATGGACTCGGCCACGATGCAGCGCAAAATCAAGGGCATGTTCGACGAATACTTGCAGCTCAAGTCAGACTCTGAGTTTGTCGAGTGCTTCAAGGAGCTGGGCGAAGTCAACTACCTGGCGGCTATCTCCGAGATTGCCAACAATCTCATGGACCGCCGTCCCGACCAAGCCGAGCAGATCGTTAAGGGTGTTGCCGCGCTGCGCACCAACTCCATCCTGCCCGAGGATGTTGCCGTCGCCGGCCTTGCCGATTTTGCCGAGATGCTCGAGGACATCGCTCTGGATGCTCCCAACGCCGAGCGCTTCTTTGGCATGCTGATGGCGGCCATTAAGGTGCCGCTGTCGCGTGCCGCCGAAACTCTGGGCGCGATGATGAACGACCCATCGCCTTCAGCCGGGCCCATCATCTTTGTCTATCTCAAGGAGCTCGTTGCTGCTGACGGCGAGGACAAGACGCGCGAGGCTATCGAGAAGGCCAAGTTTGATGTTGCGCAGTTCTTCGACAAGAGCAAGCAGTCCGACGATGACGTCAAGGGCGTGCTGGCCAAGAACGGTCTTTTGCCGTTGTTTTCGAAGTTCGCTTAATTGCCGAGCTTGAATAAAAGTTTCAATTTCCCTTTAATTATTCCTAATTATTCCTCTAATCTAATCTCCTCTTGATTGTTCTAAAAAAATATACTAAAGTTCGAAAATTCAAAATTGTAAAAAATTGAGGGAAAAAAACGCCGTGCCACATTTGAGCGATTCGCCAATCAAAGCGAGCTTGGGGGCTCTTGGTTTGGCACAATAGCAAAAAAATTATAAAAGTGCAAAGCAAAAGCCAAGCAAAAAAAGCAGTTTTACACAACAGAACACTCTCGAAGCTCACAGAAAATCACATTTTATATTTGTGTGCGACAGTGCGACAACGCTGGAAAGCGGAAAATACTATATATTTGACTTGATATTCCTTCAGCTCAAAGTGATTCACGAAAAAAATATTTTATTATTTGGATTTGCAAAACATCTCGTTCTCTTTTTTTTTCTCCACTTGTTTTTAACACCATTTTTCTTAGAACCACTTTAAAACAATAAAACCATGTCTGTTGTTGGTACGTACTTGACGCATTGCACGAGCAGTTGGTGGAGCAGGCTGGCGCCCACCCGCTTGTCACCTCTTGCCCAGAGAGACCATAAGAAGGCGGTTGTGTACATATATATATGGTCCAGCTTTTGCTCGCTGTTTACATACCTTTTTTACTAATAAAACAACTCCCGTTTTTCTTGCTGCTATCGCTGTGTGCTTTGTTTTTTATTTTACAATCTCTACCAATTTAGGATTCGATATTGGAAACCTCCAGTCGGTTATTGCCGTCGCCCGCAACCGCGGTATCGACATTGTTGCCAACGAGGTCTCGAACCGGGCCACCCCCACCATGATCTCGTTTGGCGACAAGCAGCGCTACATTGGCGAGTCTGCCAAGAACCAGGAGATGAGCAACTTTAAGAACACCTTGAGCGCCGTAAAGCGTCTCATCGGACGCTCGTACAGCGAGTCCGAGGTGCAGGAGTACGAGTCACAGTTTATCGGCTGCAAGCTGGTTGATGCCGGCAGCGAGGTTGGTGTTGAGGTTAGCTACCTGGGCAAGCCCACTGTTTTCACCGCGACCCAGCTCTACGCCATGTTCCTGGGCAACCTCCGCGACACCACGTCGAAGGAGCTCGGTGGCAGCACTATTTCGGACGTCGTTATCTCGGTCCCCGCGTGGTACACCGATCGGCAGCGTCGCGCTGTGCAGCAGGCTAGCAAGATCGCTGGCCTGAACTGCCTGCGTCTGCTCAACGACAACACGGCTGCTGCCCTGGGATACGGTATTACCAAGACCGACTTGCCCGAGGACAAGGCGCGCAACGTTGTCTTTGTTGATCTGGGCCACAGCACGTTCACCGTCTCGGTGGTTGCCTTCAAGAAGGGCGAGCTCAAGGTCAGGTCAGTTGCTTGCGACCGCACTGTCGGTGGACGCAGCTTTGACAAGGCTCTGCTGGACCATTTCATCGCTGTCTTCAACGACAAGTACAAGCTTGACATCCGGTCGAACAACAAGGCGAAGGTGCGTCTCAGCGCGGCTTGCGAGAAGCTGAAGAAGGTCCTGTCGGCCAACTCCCAGGCGCCTATCACTGTCGAGAACCTGATGAATGACGTTGATGCCAGCGCCATGTACTCGCGCGACGAGCTTGTTGAGCTGATCGAGCCCCTGCTCCAGAAGCTTGAGAAGCCCATCCAGCAGGCCATCGCCGATGCCAACCTTGAGGGCGACGAGATTCACTCGATCGAGCTTGTCGGTGGATCGATCCGCATCCCGGCTGTCAAGAAGCGCCTGACCGAGTTCTTTGGCCGCGAGCTGTCGTACACGCTCAACCAGGACGAGGCCGTTGCTCGCGGCTGCGCGCTGCAGTGTGCCATTGCGTCGCCTGTCTTCCGTGTGCGTGACTTTGCCGTCAACGACATTACCTCGCACCCGATCCGCTTCAAGTGGGAGGCCACTGGCAACACTGAGGACGACACCAGCCTGGATGTCTTTGTCCACAACAACCCGGTGCCCAGCACCAAGATGCTGACGTTCTACCGCAAGCAGCCCTTCACCATTGAGGCCGAGTACTCCGATCCGTCCAACCTGCCTCAGGGCACCAACCCCTGGATCTCCAGGTTCGACATCAAGAACGTCGAGCCCCAGGAGAACGGCGATCTGACCACGATCAAGGTCAAGGCGCGTCTGGATCTCAGCGGCGTTCTGTCGGTGACCAGCGCTTACACCGTTGAGGAGATCGAGGTCGAGGAGCCCGTGCAGGGCGAGGCCAAGGAGGGCGAGGAGGCCACGGCTGAGGTGCGCAAGGTCAAGAAGATCGTGAAGAAGGCCGATCTGCCCGTCCTGCAGGCGTCGCAGTGCCTGGACGCGTCCACGCTGACCGAGCTGACCAAGAAGGAGAGCGAAATGTACAAGGCCGACGTTCTGGTCAACGCCACCGAGGTTGCCAAGAACGCGCTTGAGGAGTACATTTATGACACTCGGGCCAAGGTTGAGAGCGAGTACAAGGCGTACATCGACCCCAAGGAGCAGAAGGAGTTCCTGGCGCGTCTGACTGAGGCCGAGGACTGGCTGTACGAGGAGGGCGAGGATGCGTCGCACGATGCCTACGTCGAGAAGGTCTCGGGCCTCAAGGCCACTGGCGAGCCCATTGTCGAGCGCTACCGCGAGGACAAGGAGCGGCCCAAGGCTGCGCGCGAGCTGCGCGACGTCGTGTCCCAGTGGGCCGACCGCGCAACCTCCCAGGAGGAGCGCTACTCGCACATTACTTCTGAGGAGAGGCAGAAGATTATTGACCGCATTGAGAAGGTGCAGGAGTGGCTGGACGAGAAGCTTGAGAAGCAGTCGACCAAGTCCAAGTGGGATGCGCCCGTCGTGTTCGCTAACGAGATCCGCAAGCAGCGCGATGAGTTGGTGTACTTTGCCACCCCGATCATGTCGCGCCCCAAGCCCGCGCCCGCGTCCGCGCCCAAGGTCGAAGAGACTGATGATGTTGAGGTTGAGTCGCCCAAGTCCGAGGGCGAGCCCAAGGGCAACACCGAGCAGATGGATGTCGACTAAACCGTCGCCGCCGGCTTAGAGCGATTGTTTTTAATAAACTTTTGACCAGCAAATAATAGCAATATTGAGCTTTTGTTTATTTGCCGAAGTTTGTGCGAGGCATTTTTTTCGCACAAAATATTTTTTATTTCCTTTGTGGACAAGGGGAGAGGCTTGAGGATCAACAGCCGAATAAAGAAGAATCATCAAAACCTGTCTGTCTGTTGAAAGCATGCCAAGAAAATTATGAAATTTAAGTGGTGCCATGTGTGCAGTTTTTCTCCGTATTCCTCTTTCTTTCTTTCTTTCTTTTTTTCCTTGTACATTTTTCCTTGTTGATTTTATTTACGCTATTTTTTATTTTTTATTTGCTACGGCAAAGAGCCCCTTTTTGAAAGCGTATACATTTTCTTTTTTACACAGCAGGCAAGAGAGCGGGCACATACACATCCATATACACAAAGAGGAGGGACTAAGCATGGGCAAGGTGTCAAAAAAGTCATCCAACGCTAGCCTGCCGGCGGGCACGTCGTCCAGCCCGGTAGACAAGAGCCCGAGCAAATTGCGCAACCGCAACAAGTCAAACAATAACAACAACAGCGGCGATAAAAATAAACAGGAGGTAGAGTATACTGAAACTGACACTGGCTTTTTTGTCTTGCTTTTTCATGTGCTTTATGTTTTGTGAGTTATCGAAGAACCACCTCGGATGGAATTATTCTGGAGTGGAAAATAAAACCTGTTTTCAAATGACTGTTTCTGCCTGTTTATCTATTGTGAACAGAAAAACCAAGAAAAAGGGAGGAGATTTTCGGCAGCAGCAACCATATTGAGAGCTCAGAGCTCTTTTTGTTGCAAACACCTTTCTTGTGTTTGTTGTTGCAGCAGCTGTGTTCGGGCGGACGTGGCCGTATCTGATAGGAGGATAGGAGCCAATTGACGTCACAATGTCCAAAACTCCCTAAAGGCTAAAAACTATAAACTAAAAACCAAATGCTATTCACTAACTTTCACTGTAACCTTGTAGGGGTTTGACAGCGGCAGCAGCATCGTTCCGGCCGAGGACAGCAAGAAGAAGTGGCGGAATTGGAGACAGCGCACGACGTTCACGTTCGTCATGATCGCGGGATTTGCCACGGTGATTGCGCTGGGACCGTTGTCAATTATGCTTATGGTGCTGTGCCTGCAGGTGCTCATATATCGCGAGGTCATCTCTCTGTCGTCAGTGCCCAAGAAGGAGCGGGATCTGCCGTGGTCGCGGGCGATGAACGTGTACTTTTTGATCTGCCTCGAGTACTACCTGTACGGTCATAACGCCCACCGGGCGCTCAAGCGGCATCCTTGGCTCGAGGCGCACCTGCAGTTCGTGTTTGCGCACCACACGTTTATCTCGTTCAGCGTGTATCTCATTGGGTTTGTGTGGTTTGTCAGCACGCTGCGGAAGGGCTCGTACCGGTTCCAGATGGGGCAGTTTGCGTGGACGCATATGGCGCTCGGGCTTGTTGTCGTGCAAAGCCAGTACATGATCGAGAACATTTTTGAGGGCATCTTTTGGTTCTTCCTGCCAATCGCTCTGGTCATTGTCAATGACATTTTCGCCTATGTGTTTGGGTTCTTCTTTGGGCGGCACAAGCTGATTGAGCTCAGCCCGAAGAAGACCTGGGAGGGGTACATTGGCGGCGGACTGACTACGATGGCGTTTGGGTTTCTGCTGACAGCTATGCTCAGCGACTGGAAGTTCATGGTGTGCCCGCCACCCAACCTGCACATGACGGCGTTCTCCGACGTGCAGTGCGATGTTAACCCAGTGTTTGTACCACGCGAGTACCAGGTCCCGGGCATGCTGACGGCGATCATCTCCACTGTGTTCAAGCGGCACATCGCAACGGTGATGATCCGGCCGGTGCAGTTCCACTCGCTGGCGATTTCTGCGTTTGCGTCGCTGATAGCGCCGTTCGGCGGGTTCTTTGCGAGTGGAGTCAAGCGGGCGTTCAATATTAAGGACTTTGGAAACTCGATTCCCGGGCATGGCGGAGTAACAGATCGGTTTGATTGCCAGTTCTTCATGGCGGCGTTCTCGCACACTTATTACACAAGCTTCATCAAGGTGTCGACGGTGACGGTCAGCGGGCTGTTTAGCTCGTTTTTGGCAATGAATTCGGATAGGCAGGTGGAGCTGTACCAGAGCATCCAGGAGTTCTTGCAGGCCACCGGATCCATTTCGACTGAGGGCACAGAGTCTGTTGTGTCGGCAGCGGCTGTGGTTGGAGGGTGAAAATGAATGAAATGATTTTTGTTTACAAATAAATCGTGTTTTGCCTCTTTTATTATTTTCGTTAATAAAATATTCTTTTTCTTTTCGTTTCGTTTCCATTTTCCATTTTTCCATTTTTCCATTTTCATTCTTTACTTTTTTTCATTCATTCGAGTTTCTAATGTCGGATGCAGGATACAACGACGACGACCTTTTGGATAAGGAGCTGTTTGGCGGTGACAGTGATGACCCCGATAGCATGGGCATGGATGTAGACGGGATGCTTGGGATGGGCGGCGAGCCCAGCGGCGACCTAGACAAAGCTGTAGTGGCGGCGGCGGCGGTCGCGGCCCAAGCAGCCAAAGAACAAAACAAATCCAACTCCTCCTCAGCAGCAGCAGCATTCGCGGTGTCCAAAGAAACCGACACCGATGATGTGCCATTAAAAGAAGAACTCAAGCCCAAAAAGGAGCTGATCCCGACCAAACCCGATATTCAGCCGGACGAACCCCCTGGTGCTTTCACAATGAACCACTATCCGGCACGAGCGCCCACCGAGATAGCTTCAGATTACCAGCACTGTGCCATGTACGATGTGGTTCCAACCATAGCCTTTATTAACGCGTACCAGATACACGCGGTGGCGGCAACAGCGGACATGCGGTGGATGTTTACGGGTGGAGAGGACGGGTATGTGAAGAAATGGGACTTTAACGCGTCGGTTAACGGCAAACAATTACTAACACAAGGGCAGCGACACTCATTGGTCGATGGTGTGACGAAGGCGGGGATTATGGCGTCGTACTGGGACCATGCCGATTCGGCACACCCCTCGAGCGTGGCTTCGGGCCCAGAGACTTTGTCGCCGGTGTATAGCATGGCTGTGCACTCACAGGGGATGTGGATGGTGTCGGGGATGAAGAGTGGAAATATCGGATTGTGGACCATTAGGCATGACGAAGGCAGAAGGGTGGCAGTGCTGGGGAAGCATACAAAGCCCGTGTCGGTACTGCGCACGACGCCTGATGAGTATGGGCTGGTCAGTGGCGCGTGGGACCGGGCATGTCTCTACTGGGACCTGAATACCGGGAGGGTAGCGAGAGTGTTCAACGAGCACTCGTCGCAGATCAGCTCGATTGAGTTCCAGCCACAGGCGGTTGGCGCAGACACAGGGGCGTTGATGATGACCACAGGGATTGACGGCCAGTGCTTGCTGTGGGATATGCGTGTGGCGAAGCCGGTTACTTCTTCATTGAAGCAATTCGAGCCTGCGCTGAAAACACCGCCGTGGGCATCGTCTGCGTGTTGGAGCCGAGACGGGCGCAGGATCTACGTAGGCAGGCGCAACAATACAGTAGACGAGTATGATATTGCGGCAGGTATTGGTGGTTCAAATGGGCCTGTGAGAACGTTGCGGTTGCCGATGAATTCGGGGCCAGTTACAGCGGTGGCGATGATGGCTAATGGGAGGAATTTGGTCTGCGCGTCGACGGATAATGTGAGGATTTGGGATTTGGATCTGCCGCCGGTGGTGGCTGGGAGGAGCACAGTGCCGTTTCAGATTATTCCCGGACATCATGGCGGGTGTGTGTCGAGTATTTTGGTCGATGAGGCGTCGAGGTATTTGGTGACGACGTCAGGGAATCGCGGGTGGGACGGCGTGAGTAACAATGTGTGTCTGGGGTACGAGGTTGCGCCTGTACTCAAAGTATGAGTTTTTTTGAATTTTTTTCACGTGTCAGTTCGGAGATGAAGAATTGTATGATTTTGTCTTTAAAAAAACTCCCCAAGGTTGTTATTTTTCTTCTTATTTTTCCTTCTTATTTTTTCAATACAAAAACCACAATTCATTCATACTTTTTTCTTTGTTAGTTGCATTTACATGAAGGGCGCGCCGTTTGTCATTCTCGACGACTACTTTGTCAAAGCGGACCTCCTTGCGTCACTCCAGCACCAGCTCAACACCTGCGACATCCGCATCCGGCTGTCACCGAACGGCGGCCACATAGAAATCCCACAAGGGAACCCATTTCTCCAACGACTCTTTTCAAAAAGCAACCACTTAACACACACAGCCACACCGTGGATGCGCACGCCAGACGTCCGGATAACCTATAGTCGATGGCTCTATTACACGCACGCGGCAATTATAGTATCCCTGATGTCCAAGTATATTGCTGGGTTGGGTGCTGGGCCCTTGGTTTATACTTTAGGCACGTTGGGGAATTTGTGTATGGCGTTGGTGGTTAGTTTTCATGTGGGGTTTTATTTATCGTTGAATTGGCGGCCGAGGTGGTTTGAGAAAACAGTGGTTTTTCATTCACCATTTGCGTGGGCAGCGATTTGGCTGCTTATTATGCAGGGCGAGGATAATGCGACGATGGCGGTGGGGAGACAACAACAATACCGCAGTGGAGCTGTAGGCGGGAGAGATTTATGGGTGGTTGGGGCGTTGGATCGGCGGATAGGACCGTTGGGAATGTTACTTATGCATGTGTTTGTCTGGTATACGCGGCGGACAGTTATTGGGGTAACCGTGTTTGAGCGCAAAACCAGGGCGTCTTTGGCAGCGCATTGGACACATCGTGTGTGCTCAGTGCTGGCGCCGTTGCCGATCCTGCTGGCGTGGAAATGGTACCCTTTGGTGTCCGCGTGCTGTGACTTGTATGGGTATTCGGGAGCGAGGCAGATTTTTTCTTTATTTAGTGGAAATGGGTTGGTCGGGGAGTGGGCGGCGGAGCGGAGCATGATTGCTTGGCGGAAGGTTTTGGGCGCTATGATTTTGGGCGGAGGGTCCCATGTCCTGTGGTATAGCTTTATTAGTTATGCGTATCATATGGTTGTCTGGAGAGTGTATTTGAGAGAGGGACTGGCAGTGTGGGTGGTCCGTGGAAGAGCCATGTGCACTAAACTGGTGTAAATGGATTTTTGGAATTTCCAGACATTTATAGCGAAAGTCCAGATTTTTAAGTGGGGGTTTTCGAAGCCCGTTTTTATGCAAAAGGACATCGTCAGAGTTGGCTGAATCCGCGTCTGCAGCGACACCTGAGACTTTGCCCAAGCCCAAGCCAAAGCGTGTGCGCAAGAATCCATCTGCCCCTGCTTCTCTTCAAAAGAACCAGCGAACTGATTAATACCGTCAACCATAGTGGTATATTGCCACTAGTTTCTAAGCACCTTTTAGGTTGCTAATCAATATGGGGAAGGATGTCGATTTGTAGGATACTTGTAGCCTCATTATTTTTTTTGTGTAAAGGTTTTTATATATATTTTTGTAAATAATCTTTTTAGACAAGTTATAATCTGTGGGGTTAATTTGGATCAAGGACAATGCAGATAAAGTCCAAGGTTTCCAATCCGAGTTTTCAATATCTACTGTCATTTAATTTTTTATCTTAACACTTGGAATTTTGTTTTAACTTTAATTCAATTCACTTTTTTAATTCAACTTTATTAATTATGCTTCGGGCTCAGCGGCGCTGCTTTGTGCAAGCCACAGCAGTCCTTCCGAGGACACCACACCCGATCCATCACCATCACCACCATCACCAGCGGTGGCTCACAACCGCAGGCACAGGGATAGGTACAAACAACACAGCAGCCAGCCCACCGCGGTTCTCCCAGTGGATCGACGGCAGCAGCGGCAAGCTCAACACCAAAGCGCTGGAAAGCAAATGGAAGCAGCGGTGGGCCGAGCACAAGCACAAGCATGAGCTCAGGCAACCAAGCATTGGCAGTAGCAGCGAAGTCGATAAAGACCATTCTACGTGCTCGTCATGTTCCCCTACCCCTCGGGGGCGCTGCACATGGGGCATGTGCGGGTGTACACGATCAGTGACACAGTGGCGCGGTTTCAGCGGATGCGCGGGCGCACAGTGGTGCACCCAATGGGCTGGGACGCATTTGGGCTGCCTGCGGAAAACGCAGCGATAGAGCGGCAGGTTTCGCCGCAGCAATGGACCGAGGCAAACATTTTGGCGATGAAAAGCAGCTAGTGGATATTCTGGCGGACTTTGATTGGCAGCGGGAGCTAGCAACCTGCGATGCATCGTACTACCGGTGGACGCAGGACCTGTTCCTGCGGATGCTCGACCACGGCATGGTGTACCGCGCCGAGGCTGAGGTTAATTGGGACCCGGTGGACCAGACAGTTCTGGCAAATGAGCAGGTGGATGCCCAGGGCCGGTCGTGGCGGTCTGGCGCTGTGGTCGAGCGCAAGCGGCTCGAGCAGTGGTTTGCGCGGATCACCCGGTACGCCGACGACCTGCTGGGCGACCTGGATCAGCTGGAATGGCCGGAGCATGTCAAGGCGATGCAGCGCAACTGGATCGGCCGGTCGGAGGGCGCGCAGCTGACGTTCAATGTGGCTGAAACGCCGGTCGACGTGTTCACAACCAGAGCGGATACAGTGTTTGGCGTTGCGTACGTGGCCGTGGCAGCCGACCACCCACTGATCAGCCGCAAGCACCTGCCACATGACACAGCGGACGCGGTTATGGCGGCTGCGCAGCAGATGTCAGCAGGGCCTGGCTCTGCAGAGACCGGCCGCGAGCTGACAGCCGGGTGCTTTACGGGGCTGTGGGCAGAGCATCCGCTGGTGGCTGGCCGTCGCGTACCCGTGTGGCTGGCCTCGTATGTTGTGCCGGGTTACGGCACCGGCGCCGTTATGGGCGTGCCGGCGCACGACGCGCGCGACCGCGATTTCAGCGCCCGCCATGCGATCCCCACGCCGGGCGCCGTCGTCATCGACCCGTCCACAGCTGGGGCCGAAGTCGATTTCATAGAGGCGCCCGGCGTCCTGCGGCGCATCCCGGCGAATGGCGCCTACGGCGGTATGACCAGCGGCGAGGCGCAGAAGGCCATTGTCCGCGATGCCGCGGCGCGCGGCAGGGGCCATGCGGTTGTAAAGTACCGGCTGCGCGACTGGCTGCTTTCGCGGCAGCGGTACTGGGGCGCGCCCGTGCCAATCATCCATTGCAGCAAATGCGGCGCTGTGCCGGTGCCGCGCGAGGACCTTCCGGTGAAGCTGCCGGCCAACGTTGCACTGTCCGGCCGCGGCGGCAGCCCCTTGGCGGCGTGTGCCGAGTGGGTTAACTGCAAGTGCCCTCTGTGTCAGGGTGCGGCGCGGCGCGATACCGACACGCTGGACACGTTTGTCGATTCGTCGTGGTATTTCCTGCGGTACCTGGACGCGCACAATAATGCAGCGATGTTCGATTCCCATAAGGTGTCGGCCGCGATGCCTGTTGACGTGTACGTGGGCGGCGTCGAACACGCCATTCTGCACCTGCTGTATGCACGCTTCATTAGCAAGTTCCTCTGGAAGACCAAAGCGTACGGGAGCGGCTCCGCAGCGGACTTGGATTTGGCTCGGGTGAGGGCGCGGGAGGCTGGTGCGCCACAGGGCGAGCCATTCCGCCGGCTGCTGACTCAGGGGATGGTCCACGGGCTGACGCACAAGGATCCGGAGACCGGACGCTTCCTGCGCCCTGATGAAGTGGACCTGAGCGGCCGCACCCGCGGATCCGTGCCACCGGCCAGCGGCCCACCGTGTCGTATGAGAAGATGTCCAAGTCAAAGTACAACGGCGTTGCACCTGGGGATGCCGTCGAGGCTTTTGGCGCCGATGCGACGCGCCTGCATATGCTATATTTGGCCCGCCGCAGGATGTGCTGGAGTGGGACACCCAGAGTATCGTGGGTATGCAGCGATGGATCAACCGGCTCGGCAGGCTGATGGACTCGACATGCGGGGCCGCCCGGGCTTCGGACGCCGGCCTGCTGCCGTTGGATCTGGCCGACGGCCGGGAGAAGTGGTCGCCGGAGGCCAGGGAGACCTTTAGGATGTGTAATGTTACGGTGCAGCGCGTGACCGATGCCCTGCAGCGGACATATGCCTTCAACTCGGCGATTGCGGCGCTGATCGAGCTGTCCAATTATCTGAGCACCGTTGGCGACCGCTCCCACCCGACCTTCCGCCATGCGCTGTTGACCTTGGTTAAGATGCTCAGCCCCATGGCGCCCGGCGTTGGCGAGGAGCTGTGGGAAATTGCACATGAAAATTATCTGCTGCCCTACAGTGACTCTTCTTCTGGTGGGAACTCTGGCGTGGTGCGTCAGTATTTGATGCGCAATGGCCTGTGCTCGATGAATCCGCGCTTGTTGCGGACACGACCACTGTTGTTGTGCAGATTAATGGCAAGGTGCGCTTCAAGATGGAGTGCATGCCTGTGGGATGGCCGAGGAAGAACTGCTTGGTGCGGTGCGGAATCATTCTGCTTCGGTCAAGTGGCTGGTGGATCCCAAGTCGGGCGCGGAGAAAATCGTTGTGAAAACTGTTTGTGTGCCTAATAAGCTCATTAACCTTATTATTCAAAACTAATTTGTTTTTTGCATATATATGTGGGGTTTTTACTTGCAAATATTTACGATAAAGAAGCCAGGTGGAATACCAAGCTAAGTCACGAGAGATGAGACATAAAATAAAAATAAAACGTGTAAAATTTTTTCTCTTTTTTTCTCTTTATTATTTTTTAAAAATATATATCTTTTTTTGCATCTTTCCTTTTTGCTCTACATTATTCCAATAGAAAAAGCGGAAATATAAAAAAGGGAGGGGAGAGAGGGAGAGTATCATATGTTTTCTTTATATAAACCCTTGTTCTTTATACAACACCTAAATAATTTTTTATAATAAAATTAAAAGCAAGAAATGCGCAGTTCATTTATTGCTCATACCTAAAGTGCACCGTATTTTTTCCATCACTTATATTTTTCACTTTCCTCTTCTTCCTCCTCTTTAACTTTGCATTATTTTCTCCTACTTTTGTTTTTAAAAAACTTTAATATACTCTATTTTCTTATACACACAAAAAACATTGGGGAAGAAAAGAAAGTTTTAATGGCGGGCAAACTTAACCAACATAATTACATGACTGCTTCTGCTCCCGTCCCCGGTCCTCAAACGAGCGTGCAAACAGTTTACTATCAGCAGCAGCAGCAAAACCCACTCCAACCGCAGCAAATGCAGTTCCAGCAACAACACGACTACCAGCAGCAGCTTCAACAACAACAACAGCAGCAGTTCCAACAAACTGTGCCCGGCCCCATCAACCAGTCCATCTTCAACCGCCAGTCACTTCCAGCAAACCAACAGCCACTGCAACAGCAAATGGTCCAGCAACAACAGCAGCCAAATATGTCCTTTACCAAAACATACAGCGCTCTGCCTATCCTCAAATCTTCCTACCAAATGCACCCGAGCTCATATGTGACCCTAGACAAGATGCCCGCCAACATCAACTGCCCTCGGTGTAATGCCCCGATAATTACACAGTTAAAAACCAAAACCGGAACCACCGCAGTGGTAGCCGCTGTCGCTATTGCTTTCGTATTTTGGCCTTTGGCCTTCCTTCCTTTCATGTCAAAGAGAATGAAGAAAACCATTCATGTGTGTCCAAATTGTCAGCATAATTTGGGAAAGGTTGTTACTGTTTCGGCTGTACCTAATCATATGTAACAACATTAAAAAATAGCAATACACATGTTATTTTTGTTTAGTTATTTATTTTGTTTTGTATTTCGCTTTTTTCGTATCTTTTTTTATACGTGGCGGAAAATTATTGTGTGTATTGTCTTTATTTATTCATTATTTTGTATTCGTTTATATTATATATGCTTTATATATCGTATATATTAGTTTTTAACTTTGTTTCTTTTTCTCTTGCATTTAAAAATAAAAAAGAAGTGTTGGAGTGAAAAATATAATTAAAAATATTTGTGTTATTTGTACTTTTCGCATGCCTCCCTGATGGCATGCACAGCCGTCTCAAGCTTCTTGGTCTCTTCGTCATTGAGCTTGACATCAAACGACTGCTCGACGCCATCCGAGCCGATAGCCGCCGGCCAAGACATATAGCAGCTATACTTCTCGATATAGTTAGTGACAGGGAACACCTGGCTGGTGTTATTCAGCAGAGCCTCAGCAATAGTCGCCGCGCAGATTCCAATCCCGTAGTACGTCGACCCCTTGGCATCGATAATCTCATAAGCCTTGCGCTGAATACCTGTATAAATGCTATCTAACTCGATATCGTGCATCTTTGGATGCTCCAACAGCGGGCGTCCGCCGATTCTGGCTGATGACCACCCAGTAAACTGATTATCACCGTGCTCGCCCAGCATATACGCGTGAATAGACGTGGGCGAAACACCAGTGATATTCGAAAGCGCATTACGCAAACGGCCGGAATCCAAATAGGTACCGGATCCAATAACCTGCTCCCTCGGCAAGCCCGAAACCTTCTGCGCGATGTCCGTCAGAACATCCACAGGGTTCGAAACAACCAGGATTTTGGCCGTCGACTTGATCGGCTTCAGACTATCCATGATGGATTTGATGATTTTGTAGTTGCGGTCGATAAGGTTGGATCGGGGCTCGCCGGGTTGCTGCCGTGCACCGGCGGTAATAATTATTACGTCGGATTGCCCTGCTTCTTGGAATGTGGCTTGCCGGCAGGTGCCGGGCATCATGAAGGAAGCGTCGCTGATGTCTAGTGCTTGACCTTTGGCTGCCTTTTCGGCTACGTCGACAATGAGGACTTCTGCTGGGACACTTTTGGCGATCAGTGAGAAGGCTATGGCTGCGCCGACGTTGCCACCGCCGCCAATGACAGCGACACTATTGCGAGGAATTCTAGACATGATGAAGTGGGCTGTTATATAAGTAATGAGGGGTAAGTGGATTTTTCCAAGATATAAAATATTGTTTTCGAATGATAAATAGAAATAAAAAATAAGTGAGGACGAGCGATGAAGCATGCTATTTATATTCAAGAATTTGTGTCCATTTTTCTTCCTTTGACCCTTTGATTGATGGTACTTTCCGGGATAAGGGTTCACATACCAAAGAAGGTTGCACGCATAAAAAGTAGTATTTGTCTCCAATGTGCCGGAATAAATAGATGCCACCCCACTTTTTGCTTAAATATAAATAATGGCGCCATGTATGTACAAAATAATTAACGGACAGGCATAAAAGTAAGTAAACGCTCATTTTATACAAAACCGGGTTGTGATTGGTCTTTACACCGTGACATTTTATGCGTTCGGGCATATTTTGGCCTATCTACATACATCGTTACCGTAATATCAGTCGGAGAAATATCGGGTTGGGTTTGGTTGAATTGAAAAAAATGGGCTGATTGTTTTTTATTCTATTTTGGAAAAAGGGAGATGATGTCACCTCACTTTTTTTTTACCCAAAGCGCGAAAGGGAAAAATAAAGTCACGTTGGCATGTGAACCATTTTTTTTAAAAAATGTTTTTGTTTGTTTATTTTTCTTTTTTCTATTTTTCTATTTCGAAACGCGATTTGAATTTGGATCTATTTGCTACTTATAATTCACTCTTCACACTTCCCAAACAATCTCCACAATGGGAAACGCAAATTCAATCGCCCTAGAGAACCTCGTAGATTCGACAAACTTTACAGCCGAAGAGATCGAGCGGCTGTACAAACGGTTCTCTAAACTAGACAAGGACAATTCTGGCACCATTGACAAGTCAGAGTTTATGTCCATTCCGCAACTCGCCAACAACCCGCTGTCTGCGCGCCTAATAGATATATTCGACACGGATGGCGGCGGCGACGTCGACTTTATAGAGTTCATCACGGGGTTGAGCACGTTTAGCAGCAAGGGGCAGAAGGAAGAGAAGCTGCGGTTTGCGTTCAAGATATATGATATGGACCGCGACGGGTTTATTTCCAATGGGGAGCTGTTTATGGTGCTGAAGATGATGGTCGGGAACAACTTGACGCTGGCGCAGCTGCAACAGATTGTGGACAAGACTATTAGGGAGGCTGACAAGGACGGAGATGGCAGGATTGACTTTGCCGAGTTCAAGGACTTTGTCGCGCGGACGGATGTTGCCAACCAGTTGACCATTGACACCGAAAAGATTTAGACACAAAAATGGCTGTATTTTGATACTTTCTCTTTTTATTACTCTCTCTCTTTCTGAGTGGTGGAAGGACACCCTTAATATGATTATATATTTATAATGTACACACATACATTCACTCGTATACCAAAAAAACACTTTTGCTAGTGCCACGATGATCCACCAGGCATACTTTGCAACAGGACTTTGTACTCCTTGCGGTTCGGCCGTTGCCCCAGGCGCGTCCAAAGCCCAATGGCATCCTTACTCTCAATGCCGCAACTGTCATGCGGATCCGAGTTGGTATACCCCAATGTTGCCAAATTGTTGTAGCGCATGTTTTTTGAACGAAATGGATATCCAACCAGCCGGAATACCTTTGCCAACGGCACAGCTAACCACGGAAATACCCAGCGCTCGCCGAGATAACACAACACAAAGTTTGCGGCCGCCATTCCCAGGATCACAAACCGCCAGCTGACTCTGAGACGCACCATTCCAAAAAGCGACAATAACCCGCTGACCGGAGCCAGTAACACCCAGAGATTAAACGCCAAAAGCACAGTCACCACGGCAAGGTAAGTGTAGTTGCGGTGGGATGGCTGGCGGTAAGGCGGGCCAATGTTAAATATAATGCCCGCAAACAAATACTGGAACGTCGTAAACAAGTACATGGACGTGTTGAGATCACCAGTGTATGGAGTAGAGTCCGGGTTTGTCGGATCACTTGGACGCGGCTTCACGTACCAGGGCTGTGCCTCTGTCATTAAAAACATTGCGACCTGGAACACAACCACCAGGGCAACATTTCCTATGAGCGAGGTGAGAACCTTCTTGCTCGTCAAATTCGCCGACGGTCTCTTAGGCACAAGCCGACTAAACGGTCTTGCACGGTCCATGCATACAGCGATTGGCAGGACAATGAACAAATCAATAAACAAAAACTGACTATCTGTCAGATTGACATTGTAACTGTATAGCAGACAGCAGCTGGTGAACTGGATGATGCTGTAGAGTGCCATGTACTTGAAGCAACCAAAGCTCGTCGTGATCGAGCAGCGGCCCTCCTTTAGAATCTGGATGAAGCAACTGATGTCCTGAATGCTGGATGTAAATGGAGCCGCGACGCTGGCCTCAGCCTCGCTCAGGGATACGCCAATGTCGGCTGATTTGAGCGCCGCACAGTCGTTGGCCCCATCGCCGCAGAACCCTGCCGTGTAGCCGAACTTTTGCAAGTGGACAACCAGCTCGGCCTTTAGCTCGGGGGACATGCGCGCATAGACAGCGCCCCGCATCAGCATGTGCTTCCAGGTATTCGAGCGATTGGCAGCGTGCGAGTGCAGATAGGTGAAGGCGTCGCCCGTCACGGCAACGCAGTAGCGCCCAGATATTGCGAGCTCTGCCGCCATCTGAACAGCTTTTGCATCGGTGGAATCGGCTGCTCGGGGCACCAGTGTCACCGAATCAAGAACAACGCTTTCACCCGTAGCCTCCTTCCAGCTGACTCTAGTCAACGGGGCCTTCAAATCAATGTCTGAAACACTGCCCTTGAACTCCAAGCTACTCGTAGCAACGGCGAGCTGCGAAACAAACACGCGGGTGCCAGGGGATATTAGAGAGCACTCCCGGACAACGCTCACAGCAGTGAGCGCGTTGTCGCCAGTGCACATAACCATTCTAATCTTGGACTCACGCAGCTCCTGCAGTACTCTGGCGGATGCAGGCTTGAGTCTGTTTTCAAAAACCATCAGGCCCATGAATACTAAATCGCTCTCGGCGCTAAATCGTTCCATGGCTCTCACCTGGGCGTGCGAATACCCACACAAGGTCTTTCCGGCTAGAGCAATAACACGGTGGCCGCTTCGAGTGTACTGGTCCAGCAATTGGTCGTGATTTGTCGGAACAGTCGCTGGGTTGCAGATGCTGCGGATGACTTCGGGCGCTCCTTTAGCGTACACATGGAAGATATGGGGAGCAAGAAATGGCTGCGAGATGACACTGGCGCGGCGCAAAGCAGATGAAAACTCAAAAACTTTAAAAACGCCGACCGGATTAGCAGAGCTATTTTTAACGGCACCCGCTTGGGTTTCGGCTGCCAGCGGAGGATACGCCACTGTCGGCGGCTGCCATGCCTTTGCATCCGAGACTTTGCCAAGCTTTTCAAAAGACGGCGTCAGCACTTCGTCTGCCTCTTCGATGTGCCATCCTGAAAACTCGAGCATTTTCGCTTCCAGCGGATCGCCGACTGGAAACCCATTGACAAGCCTCAGTGAATGGCAAGTTGCAAGTGCACACACCACTGATATATTTGTACTCTCAGCTTGGTCCCCCGTCATGTGGATTTTGGCATCGGCGGCCTGCTCAATGCTGGTGCAAATTTCAGTAAAATTGCCCGTGCTTGGATCAACCGCACATACGCCAAGCATATCTAGGTCCAGCTCTGATAATGTGCCTGTCTTGTCGAAAACAGCTATGCTAACCTTGCTCGCAACATTTATCCTCGATGGACTAGTGCAGAATATACTCGCCTTTCGTAGCCTTCCCGCTGCAAATGCCATTCCGATTCCAATAGCCGCTGGCAACGCAGGAGGGATAGTAACGGTGATTAAATCCAATGCCTTCTTGACAATCACGCCTGTAGACACGCCCAGGCGATGCAAGTTGACCGAGTTAATGATGAACCCGATGACAGCAACCATGGCGAGTATGCCAATAAAGCGGAACGCGTCGCGGTAAAAACGGAAAGTTTTTGGGCGCGGAAACAGGATCGAGCGCACAAGCGTCCCTTTGGTCGTGCAAAACCCAGTCCTGAGCACCATGGCCGTTGCACGCATATTAGACATTGCGCTATTGCCAGATTCCTGGTAGCTGCTGTGAGCACCACGCACTCGAATCAGTTGGGTGCCGGCAAACAGAATATGGCGGGCGACATCGGGCGCAAACGTGTGGGCAGACATGTTGATATTCGGCAACACGCGACTGGTTAGCGAAATGGGGGACTTTGACTCGGCGATGCTCTCGCCTGTCAGCATGCTCTCGTTGACAATGGCGTCGCCCTCTAAGAGTATGGCTTCGCAGGGAAGGATTGAGAACTGCACATTGGCCAGGTCGAGCACATCGCCGGGAACCAACTCGCTGGATTGGATTTCCATCCACCGGCCGTCGCGGATTACGCGTACGGGACACGTGTATCTTGCCATCTCGCGGATCTTATGCACGGTATGCTTTGTCGACACCAGTGTACTGGATATGGATATTGCCGATATAATTAAGATGACGCCCGAGTAGTAGTAGTATCTTTCGCTGCACCAAATTGCAATACTGGCTAGCTGAAATATGTAAAATGGATTGAGCACCTCTTCCCAGAACAACCGCGCGTACGATTTCTCATCAATGTCAATGATGCACTCGCCAAAAAGACCGAGCCGTTGCTTGTATTCCTGCGCGCACAAGCCGGAGTGGCCGGTCACATTTCCATAGTTCCACTCAGGGTCCTTCCACATACTCACGGGCACGAACTGCTCAAGCTGCCGATTGAAAATAAGCCGATAGTGCCTAAATGTCAGCATATGGAGCGCCGAGTGCACGATCAAAGCTTTTTGGGCCGTGGCTTTTGGCTGGTTTGTTTCTGAAACCCCAAGGGCCAAATTTTTCAGCGGGCTATCGATCTTAACAATATCGACGCTCTCCAAGGAAATGTGCTTGCCGCTGCTCAGTACTTGCACGTATTGAGCGCTGTTCAGCGGGGCGCGTTTTAATGAAAGTCGGATGTATATGGTGCGGAACCAAGTGCCGATGATATAGAGAAGCCCTGCGCTGCAAACTACCAGCAGCCAGTAGACTGCCGCACCAATTAAAGACTGATTGTATCCTTGCAGGATGATATCCATATCGTCCTCGGACAGGTGCAAATGCTGGACGTTTTGCTTGTCGCGCTGGTCGTTCGTTTTAATCATTTTGCTATTAAAATTAATAAAAGAGCGAGTGAAAATATTGATGATAGAAAAAAGGGTGTTGTCGAGCGCGTGTCGCAGATACTCTGCCATAAAAAATAAATGATGATAATAATGGCGACAAACGTTGGTTATAAGTATTGTTTTCATTTGAACAAAAACAGTTGACCATCATACAAATTGCTTGCCCTCTACTCAATATATTTTTTTCGAGGATACAATTTGAGTACAATGGTCATATCAAATAAAGAATAAGAAAAATTTCATCTTCAAATCTACAACACAATCCCCAGTGGCATGGCATGAGGAGAACGGGGAGCAAAGCAACTTGTTTGCACAATATATGCGCTTGTGGTACATACAAAATGCCAATAACAAATAATAGCAAACCCCTCAAAAATCGAGCGGAAAAAAATAATTCCGTTAAAACATATAAAAAGATATAATTTGGCCACACCAAAAGAAAAGAATGAGGGTACAAGTATCTTGCAAAACGACATCCTTCCCCAGATTGACTAGCAACCTATCGTGTTTAAAAACTAGTGCCAATAGACTACTATAGTTGACGATATTATCCAGTTCGCTGTTTCTTTTGAAGAGAAGTAGGGACAGATGGATTCTTGCGCACACGCTTGGTCTTGGCTTTGGCTTGGGCAAAGTCTCGGGTATCGCTGTAGACTCGGCTTCGGCCAACTCTGACGATGCCTTTTTGCGTGAAAAACAGGGAGGACACTCGCCTGTAAGCAGGGCATTAAGAATGATGCGAAAGGTTAGCACCGCAGCCATGTCGCGATTCCACTTCCGTTTGCCTGATGGCACCTTTCGCCATCTTTAATTGGCGATGACAAAAAATACTGGAAAACAGCAACAATACTAAAAAAATACTTATTACACTATAAAATTGGTTATAAGAAAAGAGGATTCTATTCCAGAAGAACAAGATGGTGGTTTAAATACCCCAATGATCAACATAGAATCCTATAAAAACGTGCATGCAACTCAGAATGCCAGTCATTACTGTTTTGATCATGGCTCTGCCTATTTTTTAGTAACATATTTTTTTAGGCATGATACCTTAAATATGCGTCCTAATGCGAATCAAACAAATAAAATATTGTTTGCATGCCCATCCATAAATGATAATATTGATTAGCTCAATAAATAAGGCAAACATAAAATATAAAACAAATGCAATAACCTTTAAAGCAATCGACTATGCGCCGTAGTCAGAATATCCATTAGCAATTAATGATAAATTGAAATATTATCCTTCATTTCTACTATTCTTTAACTTTGACTTTGCGAATAAATTATTTGTGCTATTACATCACGTGTTAAATAATTGGATCAATTGCCTGTTGAAAAGAATGCGGGGAAATAAAATTGCAATAATGATGCAAATTGTAAGTAAAAAATACTATAATTCGCACCCACGAGATAAGACATGCTTCTCACTCTTTATCTTCATTCATTTTCAATTTTCAATGTTCATACTCTTATTTGACATTGTTTTGGTTGGTAAGTAATATTAGCAGTTTTATTGTAGTTTTCACTTGTAACCCTTTTCATATTATAGGCCAAGTTGGTTTTGTACTTGTACTTGTTATCGCCATTGTCGGTGATTCACTGCCATACGCTTACCGCTGTTTTCTGTTCTCTTTTCTCTGTTTAACACTGTTTTTCCATTTCGCGCTCTGCATTCCACTTACCGCCATCATTCTGCCTCTGGCTCTCTCTTGCGCTCACTGCTGTTACTCCGCCTCTCACTTTGCATCAAACTCATTGTTGTTTCTCCATCTCACACTTTGCCTTGTACTCACTGCTGTTTCTCCGTCTTGCATATTGATTTGCGCTTGTCTTCCACCTTGCCACTGTCACTTCAACTTGAGCTCTACACCACAGTTGCCACAGCAGAACTGGTTCTGCTACGCGCGCTGGCACCAGAATTGGTGTACCCATAGCAAACCTGATTCTACTATGGGTGCCGGTGCCGATGCCGATGCCAGTGCACCTGGCAGATCCGTAGCCTGCATTTTATTATTATTTAATGCAGTAAATTCAAATAATTTCCAATAATATATATTATCAAAACCAAAACCAAAATATAATTACACTGTTAAGCGTCACCCTTAACCCATAACCCATAACCAAAGAACCAGTCAGATGCAAACATTAAATACTTTTTCGCATTTTCAAAAATCTGGACTTCCTAATATTTTAGGCTAAAAAAACTGAGGAAAATGGTTTTGAAAACTTCCCGCTTAAAAATCCAGAATTTCGTTATAAATGTCTGGGAATTCCAAAGTCCATTTACACCAGTGTAATAATGTACATGCCTACGTATATGTTGCTAGTACCATGCGGGAATGCCCATGTCGCACAGAATGCGCTTGTACTGCTTGGACTCTGACTTGCGCGCAATCTCCTCCCATGACAAAGGTTCGCACCCAGACTCCAGTAGCTCACTGCTATAGTTGCCGCGGTGCGCATCGCGGGTAACAGGTGACGAAACCAGACCCGCAGTATCGCCCTCACCCAAGGTGAATGTGGCGGCAGAGCTGCCAGCGCCGTTGTTTGACTGGCTGCCCCTGCTGTCAGAATCACTCTCAAACGACTGCAACTTTGTGTACTGTCCGCGGAAGCGGCGCATGACGTGACGATGGCATATGTACTTGATAATGCGCCCGAGCTTGGCGACCGTAGGGGCCAGCCATGGGAACAGCCAGCGCTCGCCAGCTGAGCTCAGGCCAAAATTGATAATTGCGCACACGATCACAGTGCGGCGGAAGCTCTCGCTGATATTCACCAGCTCAAACACATTGTTTATCCAGTCGTTGGGCCACATCACCATGTACACAGTGAAGGCGACAAGCAGCGCGCAGGCGGCAAACAAGCCGGTGTTGCGCATATTAGACTGGCGGTAGGGCGGGCCTATGCTGAAGACGCAGGCAACCAGAATGTACTGGAACGACGAAATCAAGAACAGCGCCGTGTTCTCAAAGCTTTTTATCAAAAGAGAATCCAGGTCGCCGGGGTCTTCGCGAACAGGGGGCGTGTAGTTTGCCGAGTTCTTGACCATGCGGAAGACAATCGCCTGGATGGTCGAATTTATGGCGATCTGGCCAAACAGCGAGGTCAACACTTTCTTGCTCATCAGGTTGGCCGTGGGCCGCTTGGGCACAATGCTGTGGTAGGCGGGCGTGCGGCCCATGAAGATGGCCAGCGGTACGATGATAAAGAGGTCGATGTAGAGGAATTGGGAGTCGCCCAGCCCGCCGCCAAACTCGTACAGCATGCTCACCGAGGTAAACTGGATGATACTGTACAGCGCCATGTACTTAAAGCAGCTGAAGCTGGTTACCAGCGCAGCCCGACCCTCGCGAATGACCTCCAGCACGCACTGAATGTCGGTCGAATGCGATGTGAACGGCGCCGCAACACTGGCCTCGGCCTCACTCAGCGACAAGCCCACGTCGGCCGCACGCAGCGCGCCGCAGTCGTTGGCGCCATCACCACAGAACCCTACACAGTACCCGATCGCCTGCAGCCTCTCAACCAGCTCGCCCTTCTCGTCCGGAGACATCCGCGCATAGATAGCGCCGCGCATCAGAATGCGCCCGACAGTCGTATCCGGCGCAGTGTCCATGATGTACCGGAACACCTCGCCAGTGACAGCCACGCAATAGTTGCCGCCGGATGTCAGCTCGGCGTCAGGGTTGGTGTAGTTGTGCAGCCAGTTGAAGTAGTGCTGCTGTTGCCGCTGCATCTCTGCCGATGTCTCAGCTATGTCCGACGTGACCAATTTATCCTTGACCGGCGCCGTGGCTGCGCGCGGCTCGAGCGTGTACGGGTCTAGCACGCACAGCTCGTCTTCAGCATCCTCCCATACAACCATCGCGCGGACGTCTGCCTCACCGTTGCCGCCGCTAGCGCTAACGCTTGACTCTGAATCAGAAACTTGGACGCTGCCATTGGCACCGCCGTTTGCTGGGGCTGGGGCCGGTGGTTCTGCCTCCTTTCGGCGGATCAGGCGGGGTATAAACACGCGCATGCCCTCGGGGACCATTCCACACTCACGGCCGACGCTGATAGCAGTCAGCACGTTGTCGCCCGTGCACATTATCTGGCGGATTTTTGCAGCCCGGAGCTCGCGAATCACAGGCGCGGTGGTCGGCTTGAGTTTGTTCTCAAAGATCAAAAAGCCCAGGAATATCAACTCGGACTCGACAGCATCGCGCTTGAGGCGCTGCAGCTTGGGCCACGACATCTTGAGCGGCTTGCCGGCCAGCGCAATGACGCGATACCCATGGTTCGTATACTCGAGTAGAACGCTGTCAAAGTCGCGCGGAATGGTGTCCGAGTAGCATAGCTCGCGGATGGCCTCTGGCGCGCCCTTGACATAAACCTCGTTGTAGCGTGCGCCCAGACGCTTGGCAATCACACTCTGTCTCCGCAAAGAGGCCGAAAAGTCGAACGCGCGTATGATTCCCAGCTCATACACATTGCTCCCGCCAGTACCGTCCAGCGTAAACCGGTCAGCGTTTGGCGGCCGCACGACAGCTGGGATCGGGATCGAAGCGCCACGGCCAGCGGCGTTGGGCAGCGCGATAATCGAACCCAAAGCTAAATCATCACCCTCCTCTTCAAGTACCCATCCGGTGGACTCAAGCATCTTTACATCCAGGGGGTCGCCCACATACTGACCATCGACGAGCTTGACAGCATGACAGCTAGCCAGCGCGTGCATGACGCTCAGCTTGGACGGGTCAGCCAGTCTGCGAACCGGTGAGGTCATTGAGAAGCTGCGGTCGATGGATGCCAGCCCGCCCAAACTCGCGCGCAGACCCAAAGCATACGTGCTGTTCGCGCTGCTGAAGGCCGAGCTTGGGGCGCTTGGCGCGGCCGCGGGGCCAAGTGGCAGAAGGCGTGGGTCCTCTTGCAGCTCACCAAATCGGTTAGAGTCGGGGTCGGCGGGGTGCAGGCCCAGCACATCAAGATCAAGCTCGCTGAGCGTTCCTGTTTTGTCAAAAACCATTGCGTTTATCTTGCCGCACACGTTGATGCGCGTTGGGCTGATGCAGTATATATGCCGCTTGCGCAGGCGCGACAGCGCAAAGCTCACTCCAATTGACATGGTGGCTGGCAGCGCGGGAGGCACAACGACTGTGATCAGATCTAGCGCGCGCACAGTGATGATATGTGCACTCAGTCCTAGGCGCAAAAAGTTGCCAATGCTAGCCAAGAAGCCAAACGCTGCAATTACAGCCAGAATGCCGATAAAGCGGAACGAGTCTTCGTAGAACTTGAACTTGTTGGGCCGCGGGAACAGAATCGAACGGATGAGCGCGCCCTTGGTCGTATTGAACCCCGTACGCAGAACCATCGCGGTCGCTCGGGCAGGGGTCCCTGTCATGGGCTGCTTCTGCTGCTGCTGATGGTCCAACTCGAGCCAGCGCATGCCGCCAAATCCAAGGCCCGTCTTCTTCACACGCACCAGTCGAGTGCCGGAAAACAGCACGTGCTTGGCAATTTCAGACCCAAACGTCGAGCTAGCCAGTCTCATCTTGCCAAATACCGCTGGCACCACCGGAACCTTGGCCACAGGCACGCTTTCACCTGTCAGCATGGACTCGTTAACAATGCAATCGCCCTCGAGGAGCACAGCGTCACACGGGAGAATGTACATGCCACTAGTTACCTCAAACACATCGCCAGGCAGTAGCTCCTCGGCGCTGCCATCACGCCATGTGCCGTCACGCAGAATGCGCACAATGCACGAGAAGTGCGCCATCTCCTTGATTTTGCGTGTGTTTCGCCGCGTCTCAAAAAGTGTCTCGACAATGCCCGAGACGGAGATGATTAGGATGCATGCCGCATAGTAGTAGTAGTCGTCAAAGCACCAGAGGATGACGCTGCCGACCTGGAACATGTAGAACGGATTAAGCACCTCGTCAAAGAGCAGTTTGGCAGTCGGCTTTTCCTCGATTTCGATGTTGTTGTCGCCGAAAATCGTGCTTCGCAGGTCGCAGATGTCTTGCGACAGCCCCGTGCGAATGCCCATTGGAAGCCTGGTCCACTTGGAGTCCATCCAGCAGGCGTTGGGCAAAAACTTCTCCAAGTACGGGTGGTACACAAAGCGGTAGTAGCGGTGAGAGAACATGGACAGGTTACTGACCACATCGTCGTTGTGCTCATGCAGGGGGCCCTTCCTGGTCAGTGAACCAAATATCGACTCAAGCGTGCCGCCGTAGAACCGCCGCTGGATGGCCTTGATCGCAATGCTGCCAAATTCGTCCTCTACAACAACAAACTCTGCTTCGCCCAGATGCGCCGGACGCATCGTCCATCGGATCTTCCACGTCGGAATCCACCGGCAAAGGAGATTGCTAATGCCCAGCGTCAGTATCCCCACCATGCTGTACATCCACACAGCCATCGAACTGTACGACATTCCTCGCACGCTTATCTACGGCATTTTATTTGATGATAAGCAATTAAAAAAGGTGAAGCAATATATGTTAGTACAGGCATACATATTGCATGAATTTCGTGCTCGTCTTGTCTGCGGAAATATGCACATGCAGCGGCAGCATCCAGAGTCTGGACAATCGATGCGACTGAACGCAGGCCCTACGCAGAGCAAAAATAAACGTTAGCAATATTAAAAATGCACTTACCATTATGCCCTCCTCCTCCAAGTAAATGCTCTGCGTGAATGGATCCGGGTTTGGAACTACAATTTAAAAGCATGAAGGAATTGAGAAGCATAAGTGAATGGGTGTAGAAATACAAGACAAAAAAGAGATTCCAGTGCTTTTTGCAAAACACTTACCATATTCGGGCAGGCTGTGGTCATAGGTCTCGTTGATGTCGTCCACAGCAAGTCCCTCATACGACTCCGTGTCGCTGTCGCTGTCGTCGTCCAGGTCGTCGCTGTCTTCGCTCTCAGATGACATACCGCCAGCACACAGCGCGCTGGCATGTGGCTTTGGGCAAGTGCTGAGCTGGCATTGTGCATCCCATTTGGGGGGGATGCCTCGCTGTGTCGCCACTGCCGTTGGTGTCTTCCAGGCATCTGGCGAAAACACATCCGAGTACGTAAACGGCAAATTGGCTTCGGCGTCGATATGCTTGTCACTTAAATTGACGCCTGCAGTTGCGAATCACTTGACCCTCGCGCACTAAAGCTAGAGGCATTCAGAGGTACCAGTGCCCCGGACCCGTCAAGCGACGCGCGGTTGGAGATTGGCGCCGCCGTCGCACCAATCGCGCCAGCTTTGCTCGCTGCAGTGTGCTCCTGGAGAGAGGGAACCGTGTTGATAGATGCGTACTGCCTGACTGGAGATGCCATAGACTTGTTTGCCGGACTCCCCGCGTCAGTAGTGGCCGGGTTTGGCCGCTTGTAGCGTTGGTGTTGTTTTTGCCGCTGTCACTCACGGTCGGAGGCAAGTCATAGTCCGCCGTTCTCTCGGACATAGTTCACTGGTATAAATTACCCTGACTCTAAAAGAGTAGTTACAAATAAGAAAATAAAATGAAAATGTAAATTACAAACCCCCTATATAACTACTGCGCGAGATATAAAAAAGTGTTAAAAATGTAAATTTTAAATGAAAAATTAAAAAAGTATAAAAGAAAGTGCAAAAAGCAAGAAAAGATTGTGACGTTTAGCTTTACTCAGTCTGCTGACATGAAAATTTTCCAGACACAGAAAGAGATAAAAATGGATCAAGCCACTAATTCATTTCGGACCACAGCCAATAAGATCGAGCGAACTGTCTATCATCAGTTCATCATGAATGAGGTCAAAAGCAATATGGAATATTTCTTTAATTTTAGATATTGCACCATATAATTTCTCTATCCTCTGCTATTCGAAAGATAAAAATTGGTATTAAAATTTAAGCTCCCAGGGCCAAACAGTTGTAACATTGCCAATATGCGACATTGGCTTGCAAGTTAACAAATAAACACTATTTACAAATATTGAGACAATATAAACATAAATCACTAAGAAAACATTATAAATTATGCAACTAGGTTTCTGGACTTTGGCTTAAAAATTACACTGACCATTTTCCTCAGTCTGGTCATAGACGTGCTGCGACTCTTGTGCAGGCGGTTGTTGTGCACAAGCGTGGCTTTGCAATCACTGGATATGCTATCTGTCAAGCTCTTCGAGTCATCACTGTTATGCTCCTCGGATTCGCTGCTCTTCACATCCATTCCCTGGTGGCAGTTGACTACTGTACTTGTTCCGGAGTATGCTGTGGCGTGGCTGGCAACGCGGCGGCGATTGTATTTGCCAGCGGGCGTATTTGAGCCAACCAGGCTGCTTGTGAATGTGTCGTTGTCGTTGGCTAATAAGAGGCTCATGCTGATCATGTGTGGTTTAGGAATTGGGCATACATCACGCTCAAATATGTCGGGCCAGTTGGTGCGGTTATTCAGGATGCTGTTTGCTGTCATTATTGTAAAAGAAATAATTGAAAAGAGAGTGCTGGTTGGGGGTTTTGTATGTATTGGATAGACTGGCGAGTCGTGCGTGGGCGTGAGTGTGTGCTGGTACGAAAGCTGGGTTGTGCGTTTGAAACAAAAGGCAAATACTAAAAAGTAAAAAATAAAACAGTAAGCAGTTGACAGATACTTGTAAGCGGTGTGCAGTATAAAAGAAGTTAAAAGCAAGTGGAAAAAATCAAATAAAAAATAATTAGTGTGGAATATTGTGGAAAAAAACAAAAATGATGAGCGGTTGTCGTTCAAATATAAGAAAATTTCATGTTTGGTTTAAAGTATTTTTTGGCGCTTCCGAGGCAATTGCAATAAAATGAGTTGCAAGACTTTTTATAATAAAATTATAAATGGGGTATATTAATCTTGGCCAGCTTCTCTATAGAAGCATCCCATTGGCGCAGTCTCTTCAGCTCTCACAAATCGTTGGCCACGTTCCACGTTTTACGCTTTGCACTCTACATCTATTTTATGGCTGGGGAAATAAAAAACGGAAACGCCTGTTTTCTTTTTACAATGATCGGAGTGATGGGAAAGACTCGCATGTAGCATACATGTCAGCTCTTAGGCTGTGCTGCCATTAAAATAGGCATTTCTTTTTACAAAGGCATCGAAAGCAAACAAAAGAGGGTTGGCACGCACAATAAAAAAGCAAAAACTGAAATGTGTGTGCACTGCTTGTGAGCAGCAAACCTAATAAGCAAAACTGGTTTTATGGCACCATCGTTCTCGTTATTTTTTAATTTGGAAAAGTGGATTTTATTTATTTGCTGTCTTTTTTCAATGCGAAAAGCGCAGCAACTGATGCTACAGCCGCAATGCCCGCTTTAAGTTTCCCGTGGCCATGTCCAGGCGCACTGAAAAATAGGAATGGTGTGGTTCGGATTTGCAAAGGACATGCCAGTTTGAAGGGGGGAGGGGGAACAATAGTGTAGCTAAAGATAAATGCGCATAGCAAGCATGCACATGCGGTCCACATGCTCAGCCCCCGGGTCGCTGGTCTGACAAATAAACGCAAATCTTTAAATTCAATAGTATTAATTGCTGTCTATAGTGGATCAAAAATGGCAGCTACTAATCGGACATTCAACCTAGAAGCGTGTAGGGACGTGTCGAAGCTGCATTTCGGGCCTTGTTAAAAGCCTCCATCACTAAAATGGCATGCCACAATTGTGACAGCATCGCCCATAGAGGATGCAATTGCTGAGGGCCCAGATTCACCAGATTAATTATGAACTGCCCGAAATTACTCCTCCCACACAAAATAATTACCCATTAATGCTTAGCTTTGCTGCAAAAACGCTGTGTACTTGCTTATGCGCTGAAATATCCCCCGATATTTGCTCAGATGATCGGCGTTGTTGTGCCCGTGGAGTAGGCCAAAAATACTTTGAGGCCGAGACTTATTAAATTGGCGATTGACATGTACAAAAGTAAATTAATTGCATGTATATAATTGCGGAATGTGCATACGAATATGTTCATTTGAACATGTCCGCATTGGTGCTGGCAAGAGCACACTGCTGCTGGCCATGTTTGGGCTTATGGAGGCCAGCGCAGGTCAGCTAATGGTGAATGGAATTGACATCTCGCAGATTTGTGTGGGTGATCTGCGCTTACGTCTGACCATAATTATGCAAACTCCGGTTTTGTTTACAGGAGTCATCTAAAGCAACTCGAATCCAGTCAACAGTCATGGTGATAAAGCACCACAGATGGCACTACGTCGCGCGCACTTATTCTTGGCGGCCAAGCGCAAGCATATCAGCAATGCGGCCGAGACAATTTTATTTGCGTATATGCTAGGTTATTTAGCATGTTTAAGACATTTAATTACACAAATAATATATAACAATACTTTTGGGTTTAATTACACGCATATGTTTGCACTCGTGCCGATACGAGCTCTGGAACACAAAAAATACAACAATGATGTTGAATATGTAAAAAATATAACCACACATGTGTTGCATTTGAAATCTCAAAAACCAAATAAAATGTAACCCGTTTTTCATTGATCACTGCTGGCAGTCAATCTTGCGACCATCAGGAGTGGCCACATAAAACTCAACAGTCTCCCACTCGCCATTCTGTTTGCCAACCCGCCGTGATTTGAGCACCAGGTGTCCAACAACCCCCTTGTCGCCAACCACATCAAACTCGACCTCAACAAACCCCTTCAAATGGCTGATATCGCCGCTGATCCACGGGAAAGCCGAGTTAAAGTTCAGCTGCGACCCCAGCTCACGACGGATCTCTTCATTATGCCGGGCTGTAAACAGGGCTGCTGTCACTGGCGTACTTGTCATCCGCTGGTAGTTGAATGCAATGACCGTGCCCAGGCCCCAGGTGACAGCCGCTACGGCAATGAATATGCCAACCTCGCGCTTGCGGCTTTTAGGGCCCAGTAGCTCACGCTCGACGGCAAAAGCCGGGTTCTGCGAGTTAGCCGACTCCCATGTCCGCTGTGGCTTCTCGAGTAACTGTGCTGTGGCTGTGGTGGTGGTGCCCTGTGTGCTGTAGTTTCTGGAGAAAAGAAGTGCGCGCGTATCAGTGCTCTTGGTCAGCGCTTGCGTCCTGCTGCTGAGTGCCTGTGTGGCCCGCACGAACTGTTGAGATTTAAAGAGCGAATTCATGATTGCCGATAATGTGTGAATTGAAGCGAATTGAATGTGAAAGGAAAACAAAAAACGGATTCGACTTGGAACCACTGTAAAGCAGCTAACTTTGGCTTATGCGAGTCAAACCGCAATCTTGAAATTATGTTGATTTTTGATCGAGTACAGTTGAAAAATCAAGGAAAATTAAATATTCATTCCGCTTGCGTCTGCAGCCCTTCTGTTTCCTCCCGGATTTGTCCTCACTGCCGGCGCTTTTTCGCCCGAGCCGTATCCTTGTAAATCTTGACCTGCTCGAGGTACTCGGTCAGCGCAATGGTCTCCTTTTTCTTGTGAAATTCCAAGTACTTCTGGCCTAGGCTGCATGTGTGCAGGATCTCCTTGCGCAGGTTGTTGAGGCCCGCGCCGTGGCGAGCGCTGACCATCATGACGCGCGGAATGCAGTTCCTAGACTTTTCTGCTTCTTGGGACACCAAAAGGTGCCGCTTGGCCAGATCAATGCGGTGCACAAGATCGCACTTTGTTAGTATAAACTGATACTTCACGCGCATGCGGTCGAGCAGTGCCATAAACTCGCGGTCGTTGGACTTGATTCCGTGGCGGGCATCCAGCAGAACCATGACGCGCCGGAGCGACTTGCGCTGTCTAATGTACGACTCAATCAGGGGCTGCCACGCCTGTCTCTCGTCATCCTTGGCAAACGCAAAGCCATAGCCGGGCATGTCCACCAGGTGGAAGTCGTTGTCTGCCGTGTAAAAGTTGATCTGCTGCGTCATACCCGGTTTGTCAGAAACCCGCGCTGCTGAGGACCCACATATCTGGTTAATCAGCGTCGACTTGCCCACGTTAGACCGGCCCACAAAGCCAATCTCAGGCAGCGACGCGGCTGGGAACGATGCTGCCACTTGGGCACCGGCAAAGAACGAAATGTGAGGCAGTTTGACATCGGGCTCGTCGTACCGAAACCACTTTTTGCGCTCAAATCGCCCGCGCTTCTCGCTGCCCAGCCCCAGCATGTCCAGTTTGTCGATGGTGTTTGGATCGGCCTGCAACCGCGCAAACAGCTGTCTGTTTGAAACCTCTTCAGACAATCCGTGCTTGACCACCTCGCGCAGTGTTTTGACTGATGTATTAAACTTGCTTGCCGACAGGCTGATCCTTGGCTTGCTGCCATCTGTGCTTTGTGGGCGTGAGCCTGGGAGGCGCTGCGCCGTGGCTGCCTGCGCGGATGCGGGCGCTGCCGATGCGGCCTCATGCACCAGTCGCCGCTGGCAGACACTGGAGGCTGTGGCAGGCACTAGTCTCGAGAACATAATGTGCATTGTGGATTTTGCTTAACGGTACAAATTAGAAATGTGCAAGAAACAATAAAACAAAAATGCTATAAATTATTTTACAAAGCAAGGTAAATGTTACAGAACCCCGATCACTTTCGATATTTTTCGGTGATCGATCAGAGGAAACCTTTTCACGGTCAAGTCGAGTCGTCCGCGGCTTAGGGAATAGAGCCACGATGAGCTCGTTGGACTTTAATAGTGTTTTCTTGTTGGCAAAATGCATTATATTTCGTATTGTAATCAGCGGCGCCAAATCCACCAGTACACCACACATTAAACCCGTTTGGTTAACATAAAAATGGGGCAAGCAATAAATTATTGAAAATGGAATTTGGAATTTCCAGACATTTATAGCGAAAGTCCAGATTTTTAAGTGGGGGTTTTCAAACCCCATTTTTCATGCAAAAAGGCATCGTCAGAGTTGGCTGAATCCGCGTCTGCAGCGACACCTGAGACTTTGCCCAAGCCCAAGCCCAAGCCCAAGACCAAAGCGTGTGCGCAAGAATCCATCTGCCCCTGCTTCTCTTCAAAAGAAGCAGCGAGCCGATTAATATCGTCACCATAGTGGTCTATTGCACTAGTTTCTACACATTTTAGATTGCTAGTCAATCTGTGGGAAGGATGTCGATTTACAGGATGCCTGTAGCCTCATTTTTTCTTTTAGTGTATTGCGAGTCTGCGCGAAAGCAGCTTGTAATTTTGATTTTTTCCCGCTATTTTTTGCTTGTTACTTTGCCTATGGATCACGCATCTCCAATCAAAAAAATGACAGCATGCGCCTGTGGGCTTTTCAATATTGTGTGGTCATGTTAACATATTTTTTTTTGCATTCTCGTAGTTCGACAAAAAAAAATATTTTAAGAATGGTCTGATATCCTCAAAGGCCACTTTCAAAGCCGGGCTCGTTCGTCCATTCTTTTTGTTTCCTTTGGCAGATGGGCTTTATTTTTCTTGTTCATTTTCTTTGGGTCACTTTTTCACCTCTTTTCAATAACCATTTTTCATTGTGTAATTTTATTTAAGGCTTACGCTTGGCTGGATTCAAGCATTTTCCTTCCTACAAATTCACTTTTTTAGTCACAGCCATATATTCTACGTTTTCACGAGTTTGAATTTATTAAAGCCGTTTCTGTTTTCCATTTTTAGTTACAAGTCTACTCGGCCTCAACATCAGCAGCAACAGCAGCATCGGCTATTATAAACCAGTAGCTTAGCCAGAGTGGTGTGGTGGAGGATATATACACAGCATTAACAATCATCTGCACGATTAATTAAAGGCAGTTTTGCGCTTGCATATAAAATCCAAAGCTTTTTGTGCTTCAGCCGCGTTCAACCCTTTGGGAGATCCTTTCATAACCTTGCAATACCATCCCATCCCAGCACATCCTATTCACTTTCGCTCTTTTTTATTTGGTTCTTTTGCGCAGACAATCAGGCCACTCAGTAGTCGTCGTCTTTCACGCCATTCCCTTCTTTCAGGGTTCTTTTTCTTTTAGTTTTTTTAGTGGACGTGACAAGCTGCGGGGCTGGCTGCTCGCCTTTTTGCTGCTCGACCTTTTCTCTTCTCTTCCCTTCGCCTGTTGGGTTCCACTTTATATTTTCTTGTATCCCTATTTCCATACTTATTGTACTGTATTTTTAGCAACTGGAATCACATGTGGATTCTGACGATGGCATCCAGAACACACAATTGGCGGCTGGCACGCTGCCTTTGCTCGGCCCCGCTACTCCTCTTGATAATCAGCATCATCTGCAGCATGTTCATCTCGGGCACAACTGCGCAGATAGACGCTAAATGGAATCCAGAGCTTATATTCGACTACAAGATTGCGTGGATAGACGTCGAGTCGGCGACCTTTGGTGTCAGTCTGCAAGCCCATAAGAAGCCGGTATTCATCAGCGGGAATAACTGGTCACTTCTGGTACGCTACGACGCAAGCGCGCGGGCAAACATTACGCAAATCAGCCAGGGCTGGGGGCTGAACTACTATGACTACTCTACGTGGATTCTCGTTTCAGGCAAAGAGCAGTTCAACATCCTACGCTACACGGTGCGCTCGAGCGGCAAAATGAACCTTGAGGACACGGTAAACAAACTGGCAGTACCAAACCAACTTTTCCTGATTAACAGCATCGATTTCAGCGATAATCAGCCGGGAGCTGAATTGAAATCAGGCATCGACTACTTTGTCAACACGGATGTCAACCTGGCGCAGATCCCGAAGAAGGCATTTGGGGACTGGCTGAATCTGAAGGAGATCGATGCGGGGAAAATTCTGAGCAGTGTCAATGAGCAGCCATCAAGTGGCTTGGCAACACAGCAGTCGGATGCGGATGAGAGCAATGTGGCCAAGTCTGATGACGTCCCTGAAACGACTCCAACCAGAAGCTCCAGCAGTAGCCGTACTACAGCAACTCCCTTGACGCCGTCCAAGCCCCAAGCGTCTACCTCCTTGCAGGTGAGCAGCACGACAATGGCCACTGTGCTGCCGCCCGTCAAGTTTATCAAGGGTGATCCGAACTATGACCCGAATATTAATGTTATCGGCACAGTGCTTTCCGCACCGCGGACTGGATTGTATTTGGTCAGCACGATTTTGGGCATTGGCATTATAGCTCATGCTGCGGGAACGTACCGCCGCTTCCAGTACAAGCGCCAATACCAGTCGCTGGTCCAGCGCAGTAAATCGGCCACCTGCATGCGTGATGGCTCTGCCAAAACCAAAATGTTTTTGATGTGAATAAATAAAAATGGCTTGTTTATAAAATTGTTTTCCAGTCGGCTCCCATTACAACCGTGTTAGCAGATTTTAGTACTATTTCTAAATTTAGGTGTTTTCAATGCGAGAAAATCGATTCAATCCTTGCTCAAAATAGAAAGCTGGGACCAGAACAGACCGGCTCGATCTGAAGCCGAGCTGACTGCAGTGGCTGGTTGCGTGAGTTTAATTTTTCTTTCGGTTTCGGTTTTCGGTTTTCAAGGCAACTGCGAATGACCCGCAGCTTGCCTAGCTTCCTTTTCCTTCAGAAAACTGAATTCACAAAATCTGTCTAACTCAACTCATTTCTCGACAAAATTTTAGTTAAATTGGCGCGTTTATTTACTTTTTTTAACATTTACCAGAACAACACGGGTCATTCTTTTGGGTGGGGCATTTCTACTATTTATCTTTCCATTTTCTTAAATCGACCGAATCCAGCCGTGATTCAATTTTATTGTTCTTCAACTCGAGCCTCGTCGAGCACGCACATGCATATTCGCACGCATGGATGAAAGCACACTGAAGCGACATGAGCGTCTGCAAGAGCTCCAGCTCAGCAACATTGACTCGTGGTGCGGGCGCCTGCCCAGACTCGACGCCAAGGCACTGGACAGCAACATGAAGAAGAACACAGGGTTCATCAAAAAGTGCAAGACCAGCATGGGCCAGGACAGTGCGAGCCAGCTTCTGCGCGAGGTCAAGCTGCTCAAGCTGGAAAAGTACGTGAGCGAGATCGTGCCTGCAGCAGCCGAGGGCCTGCTCAAGTGCAAGGCGGCGGGTGATATTGCGGCGGCCGTGGACATAATGTCTGCGCTGCACGCTCGGTTCCCTGTGCAGTTCACAGCGCCACTGATCTCACTGCTGCTAAAGTCGCTGGCCCCACCGGCCGTGGCTGCACTGGTTGCAATGACGCCCGAGATGCGCGAGCGGGAAGAGCAGGTGCGGCTGGCGCGGCAGAAGATCACCCTGCGCGTGGTCACCGAGATGTACCTGAGTGGGCTGCTATGGGGCGTTGACTCTCTTCCGAGCGGTGTCGATGGTTTGGACCGCGTGGCGGCTTTTATGATTGCTCATCCTTTGTCGGCCGGCAGTAGCGCGGGTGCTGGGAGCGCGAACAAGTTTGCTGGAAAGGTGAAGGAAGTTGTGCAGCAGCCCGGGTACTGCGTTATGGTTGGTGTTCTGCAGAACCTCCTGCTGAGCGACAAGGAGCACCACCTGAGCACCCTCCTTGCTGTTGCGTTTGCGCGATCATTCAGGGCTGAGTTTGCACTGGCCAGCGACGAGGCCCTGGACGCGTCGGTCTGCGCCGTGCCTTTTGATAATGACAACCTGGGCGACAGGCGCGAGCCTGTTGTGACTGCAGATGTATGTAAGAAGATACGCACGCTGCTGGGCGACTACCTCGACAGCGCCATTGCGCACCTGTACACGATGCACAAGACGCTGCTGCGTATGCGGCGCAACACTGAGGAAAAGCTGTTTAATAAGGGAGTCGTCCACGCGGAGATGAAGGAGAAGATGGAGAAAAACACAAAGTCATTTGATAAGCTGCGCGAGAGTGTCGCCATGCTGTGCGAGCCGCTAGGCGTTACGCCACCTGATTTTTCTGAGAGTGCGGACGGTGAGAACCAGCTGGGCATTGTTTTCGACGGGCCGACGGTTGTTGGTGCGACCAAGCCGAACCAGCGGGGGCTGTGGGAAGACGAAGACGAGCGCATGTTCTATGAGGTTGTCTTGGACCTGCAGTCGCAGCTGCCGCCAGCACTGCTTGCCTCGGGACGCAAAAGAGCCAAGGATGATGGCGAGCAGCCCGCATCACCCGACCAAGCTGCAGCATCCAAGGAAGCTGACGCCAGCGGCAGCGGCAGCACCTCGCCTGGCGTCTTGCCAGATGTCAAGAGCAATGAGGTTGCTGAGTTTGAGGACATTGACGAGGGTGCTATCAGCCTCGACATCCAGCCTGCCACCGCCGAGTTTGACGAGTTTGGCGACGAGGATGCCGGCGAGCCGCTCAGTGCGTTGGGCCAGCTCGAGTACCAGAAGTTTATCAGCCAGCGCCGCCAGGCTGAAGGGACAGCGGAGAGCGGTCCAGCTGGTGGTGAGCTGGCAGACACGGCGACAACCAGAAACACGGGCATGGATGACACGTCGCGCTCGCCGCCTGTTACACCCCTGGTATCTGCCCCAGCGGCTGGCGGCGACAAGGAAATCAAGGGCAAGGGCAAGGGCAACGCCAGCGAGACCACCACCGTAGAAGAGGACGGCGAAGCCGAGAGCACGATGACCATTGTCCAGCAGTCCGGGCCCACTCGCAGCGTCACGCAAACTATTGCCTCGCGCAGCTTCTCCGAGGTGCTGCGGCGGCTGCCCACGTTCGTCACAAAGGAGGATGTCGACCAGACAGCCATTGACTTTTGTTACGTAAACAACCGAGCCAACCGTGCGACGCTGGTCCGGGCGCTCGCCGACGTGCCGCGGCGCCAGCTGTACATTATCCCGTACTACGCGCGGCTGACCAGCGTCCTCAACCCGTACTTTTCTGAGATTGGCGAGAGTGTGGTTAGCGAGATCAATCACGAGTTCTGCTGGCTCGTCAAGCAGCGCTTCAAGGACCTGATGGAGACGCGCCTCAAAAACATCAAATACATCGCCGAGCTGACCAAGTTCAAGGTTGCGCCGCTGCACATCGCCTACCGCTGCGCCAAGGTGCTGATCGAGGAGTTCAACACGCAGAACGTCGAGGTATTGTGCGCCCTGCTGGATGGGTGCGGCCGCTTCCTGTTAGCCCAGGCAGACACTGTCGACCGCGTAACGGCGCTGCTGGACATTCTGATGCGCAAGCGATGTGTTCTCAACTTGGACGACCGCACCATCCTGCTGATCGAAAATGCGTGCAACGCGTGCCGGCCGCAGCTCACTCAGCGGGTGCAGCACATCAAGTTCCGCACGCCATACGAGCAGTTCATACGCAAGCTCATCTACGAGGACCTGGCACGCGAGTCGGCGGACCGCGTGTGCCTGAAGCTGCGCAAGCTGCCCTGGGCCAACCTTGCTGATGGCGACGACCCGCAGCGCGTGCGGCATGCGCTGATCAGCTGCTTCACCAAGGTGTGGAAGATCAAGTACGCCAACTTTTACCTGATCACCATGGTCGCCGGCGTACTGGGCCGTGCGTACCCGTGGTTTCGCGTAGCCATTGTCGATACAGTCATGGATAACATCAAGCTCGGGCTGGAGCGCAATCTGTTTGCGCGCAACCAGCGGCGCATGGCCGAGATGCGCTATGTCGGCGAGATGTTCATCTATAAGCTAATCAGCGGCAAGGAGGTGATTGATCTCTTGTATCTGCTGCTGCGACTCGGCCACAGCGAGGCTCATCCTGTTCCCGGCCGCGGCTGCGATCTCGACATGCCTGCCGAATACTTCCGTGCGCGCCTAGTGAGCACGCTGCTGCTGACCTGCGGCCAGTACATCCGCAACCCGAGGACCGCCGCGCGCTGGAGATATTTGCCGTGTATTTCCAGCTGTACGTGCTGGCCAAGGAGCAGCCGCTGCCCATCGACACCGAGTACAGCGTCGACCACATGTATGAAACCGTCTTCCCAGCGGTTAAGCGCTACGAGACTTGGCCTGAGGCCGCGCAGGCCATGAGTGAGCTGATTAAGGGCAAGGCGCCGGTGGCTGAGTTCACTGATTCTAAGGCGCAGCAGAACCAAGCGGCTATGTCATTGCGCCCTGATGGTGTGAGTGCGGCCGATGCCGCAGACAGCTTGGATGGCGTGCAGGACTCATGTTCTGGAATCGGTGGGCCTGCCAGCGACAACGAAAATGGGGACAACAATAACGACGACGAAAACGACAACGACTACGGAGGTGAAGACAACAACGAAGATGAGGAGCTTATACTGCAGCAGCGCAAGGAGGCTGAGGAGGCCGAGATGGCCGAGGCACGCCTTCAGATGGAGGCCATGGAGGCCCTCTTGGAGCAGGAGGAGGAGGAGATTCTCGAGCACGAGTTTAACAGGCTGGTGGTTGAGTCTTCAGACACCCGCAAGATCGAGCGCTCGGCTAAGCTGGATGTGGGTATCCCATGAATCTCCTTGGCCGCTCTTCTGCGATGCAGATGGCAACCTCAAATGCCGACATCCCGTCCCAGTCCCCAGCAGAAAATGGCACAGGTGAAGCTTCACCTGCGACGGCCGACGAGCCGACCGAAAGCGTCGGCGCGGGTGAGTTCAACGCCATCAAATTTTCTCTACTCACGGGCAAGCGGCACCGCCCCGTGGTTCGCGAGGTCAATATCCCTGTCGAGTCGCAGATTGCGCGCAACCTGCGGCAGCAGGAAGAGTCAGCGATGAGGGAGCGCGCACACCTCAAGAGGATTGTGCTTAACTACGAGCGCCGCGAGGAGGCCGAGGAACGAAAGAACCTCGAGCGCGAGCTGGCAATATCCAGGGCCCGGCCTTTGGGAACCGCAGCGGCCGCGGCGCAGACGATTGCATCGAGATTTACAAATGTATATCGGCGTCCGATTGTCCCTGGTGCAACTTTTGTCAATAAGCCCTCGTCGGCCGCTTCGCGCCGCAGACAGCATGCGGCTAGCCAGGAGCAGCAGAAGGAGCAGCAGCAACGCGCCAATATACATCCACGCATCCCAGATCATTTTTTGTGAAACAGTAATTATTTTGATTTAAATGATCGGCTTGTCCAAAAGCTTCTTTTTTATGATGTAACTTAATCAGCGATTGGCATATTGGCTTTATTCTATGTATACAGTTGGGTTCAAAAAACAATAGACTTTTTTACTCTACCATTGTCGCAATTCACATATGAATATCAGCTGAGTATGAGCGTGATGATTTAACGGCTGATGTTTGTCAATTGACATGTCCGCAGCCAAAAATAGCTATCCCCATTGAATGCCAGTTTACACTTTGGTTGCTTATATTCAGAAATGCACAGGGTGGATAACAGTGCAATTGAAAAAGAAATAATATAAAATTGAGTGTAAATCTTTGGATCCAATGTAACTTGGCAAAGAAAAAACAACAAAACAAAATAGAAAGAAAAATGTTGTTTACATTTTTCAACATTCCTTCGCTTCTTTGTACACTTGACCACGACATGTTTCTTGCACGCGCGTGTTAAACAAAATTGGTTAGGGATTTCTGCACGCCAAGCCTTTGGCAGTCAACAAAACAATTTTTACTCTTTAAAATGGCAGTTGACTGCTTCCCTCATTTCATATAAAATTTCGGGTTTCTACTTCTTTTTCTCCTTCGTTAATTCCTTCCTTTTCTTGTCTGGTCGGAGATTTTTTTCTGTAAATAATATTTTTCTGCTCTATTAGTTTTGGGCATGCCAACTATTAAAAATTTTGCATAGCGTGCAATCATATTCATTTATTTATTTTAATACGCAATATTTATTTTGTTAACACATACACTTTTGTAAACCCACACCTCTCCTCAAATATGAGCTCAGAAAAGGTATTCAAGACGGTGATGGTCGGCGGAGCGGGTAGTGGCAAAACGTCTTTGCGGAACTACTTTTTGCACAACAGCTACTCGTGGAGACACAACCCCACGGCCAACCCGGACTTTATTTCGACATATGTGACCCTTGATAAAGGCGAAATGATAGCCATGCAGATTTGGGACACATCAGGCAGCACAGAAAGCCTCCCCGCCACCAATTCGCTGTTGGAAGACGCCGACGGCGTATTTCTGGTGTTTAGCAGTAACAAAGAGGCCTCGCTACAGGCGCTTGAAAAGCATCTTTTGGCACTCAAAGCTATCAATAAGACACGACCAAAGGGCAGTAGCCCCATGCCCGTGGTGCTTGTACAGACAAAGACAGATTTGCTCAAACCGCCGGTGCAGGACGAAGAATGTTTGGCCAAGCAGGCAAAGGACATGTGTCGGTCGATACTCGGCAGCAACATGGATATTACCTTGGTTGAGACAAGCGCACGAACGGGGAAGGATGTCACTTTGGCGTTTCGCACATTAGCTAATATTTGCCACGCGCGGTGGAGCAAGATGAATGTGCCGGTGGATGCCTTTCTTTTGGACCTTAAACGGAGGAGGGCAAAGGAGCGTATGTCGAGGCACGGCGACCCCATTGACATGCATTATCAGTTTGATTTGGAGGACAGCTCGACATTTTCGATGAAGCAAGGATACAGCATACGGGAACCTGGGTTCCAAAACAGGTTCCGTAAATTTATACGCCGCCTCACGTGCATGCCTTGAATTTTACAATACCATTTTTATAGCTATTTTCTAAATGGTTTTTTACGCCCAATACACAAAATGCTTTGCTGGTCAATTGTGCACGAATGCGCATGAAGTCTGCGTGTTAGCCGCCAACTGCTACCATACTCCATTGATGCTGGTTGTGGGGATTCATTTAAACATTCCTGGGTGAAAGTGCGCGCTTAGCGAGAGTTGTCGGTATCAACCTCGCTCTGCTCATTTTCTCCCAGTTGTCTTTATCTTGTGAGCCATGTCTGACCAATTCATGGTTTTAGGGCCAGTCGAGCGCATTCAAGCGTGAGTGTTTGTGTTGGCATTTATAAAACATGCGCCGATGCTGGACTGTTACACAGCAACTAAATAACAGCATATTATATACAAAAATTTATTTGTCAAAATATAGACTCAAACTCATCATTGCCAGCCTAAGTTCGTATGAAAGGGCTATTGCCAGGAGAGAGCTCATAAGAGGCGGACGGAAGAGCGATACACGGTTCGACTTGGTCTCCAGTCTGCCGAGCGACTTGGTGTACCGCATATTTTTACTCCTGCGACTGGGCTCACTGCGCGCCTGCCGCCAGGTAAATCGAGAATGGCGGCAATATGCCACATGCGAGCGTGTGGTCGGCGACTATGTAAAGAAAGCCTTGACCAGCACTTGCATCCCTCCAGGTATAATAGGCAATCAGGCTATCTTCCGGTGGCTCGAAAAACGCGAGTGGCGCTGGGAAACTGCGCTGCCAGTGTTTGCCAAGACAATCGAGGTGCGTGGCCGGATCAATGCGCTGGCCACAGGCAGCTCCTGGGTGGCGGCCAGTTGCGACGGCATGCTCAAGGCATGGCACATAGAAGGCGGCACATTGCGCTTGGGTCTCAACATAAGGGCACATACGGCCAACCACATTGCCATATGTGCTTCTGGACGGGCGCTCATATACTCGACATTCATGCTCGATGCCCACATATACTCGCTCATCAGCGGCGAGCTGCTGTTTGGGGTTACGTCTATCGTGTCGAACATTGACCATATCGACGTGCACAATGATCTGGCTGCAATTCAAAAACGGAACGGCACCGTTGAGATCTACCGATGGGCGGAGGAGCTGCTGCTGGTCAGGTTCAGCTTGGGAGATATCAAGATTTGCGGAATCAAGCTGTGCTCGGATGCTTTTTTGCTTGTAGCTATTGACGATTGGAGCGTGCGGGTAGTCGATGCCAAGAGCGGCTCGATGCTCTTAAACTGGTCCGCTCAGCCAGTGATCGTCTCTGAGTTTCCAACTAACGGCGCGCCTCCTCGGATGAAGGCCGCCATTTTCGAGGGCCGCCCGGACATCCCCAGAGTGACCTTGTACAGCAATGCGGGCCTGGTATCGTTTTCCATCATCCCAGAAAAGTGGACGGTCGAGATACATAATGTCTGCGGCGTTGGAGCTTGTCGACAGCTCGGGCTACTGGAAACGCACTTTTCGCACCAATTAATTGCTAATTACGGTGCCCTGTCCGATCCGTCGATAAAAAAACCCGTGGCCTGCGCTGTGACTGGCAGCTCGCATTCAAGCAATATCGCAGTGCCCGGCACAAGCATCAATATTTCATGCACGAGAAAGCCGATTCAATGCTTGCCAGACGCTTCTGCCATTGACGACGATATTGCGGTTCTTGGATTTGCGTCCACCGGAATATGTGTGCTGAAGTTTTCAGAATGAAATTGAGTATAAAATGAGGTGACAATTTTTTATTATCAAAATGCCCTTTTATTTCTTCGATTCAAATTCCAAAATTTATTTTTCTTACTTTTTTGCCCTATTTTCCCCCGGTCGAATGCCGTTTACTTATCGATAAAACTTAGCTCTCAATTCATGGATTCGCTGCGCGTGCCTGGCAGAGCCACGCCAAAGGCCGCCAAAGCGCGTGCCGACGGCCGCTATCTTCCGTTCACATCAACAAAGAATACTGGCCGCACAAACACTTCGATAGGCAGAAAATTTGATTTCTTGAGCTCGAAGATACAAATGCTCTCGCTGGCCACGCAATGTCGACAGTACACGACGATCCGGTTGCCGCGGTCACAGGGCTCCCTGCCAGTGGCCTCGTTGACAACACTCACCCTGTGGGCGCGTACAATACACACGTTGCTGACATTCTCCCCACAAGACAATATCACAAGTATTGCCCCGCTGCTCCGCATGCGACCAATGTCAACCTCAGGCATAGCGGGCGGGCGTCGGCAGTATTCGACGACGACCTTTAAATCGACTGGACTTTTGAACCTGAATGTCAGGGAGACTGAGATTGCGCAGCTGGCACGAAGTCCCAGCACGATTGGCAGCGCCGTGAGCTTGTATAGGGAGATGATACCCTTGTTGCCGCTCAACTCGTTGACACCCTGGATGCTGCTCAGCCGCTGCTATGAGATGAGCGAAAGTGCTCCCGACGAACTTGAATGGCTGACCCAATCAATCGGCATCTTGCACGGCCACGAGGAGCAAAGCGTACACGAGCTTTTGCTTCTGGCATACATGAATCTTGGCCAGGACCAGCAACTGCGAGATGCTGTTGCCGGTTTGTGTATTGTACCGGCACCTATCAGCTCAAACACGCTAGTACTTGTGCTGGCAGAGCTCCAAGAATCGCGGACCGACCGCCAATTGGCATGCCAGTTGTGGGAGCTGCTGCTGGATAAGCCTGGGTTTTCCCCATCACGAACATGCGTTCATCTGGCAATGAAGATTGCCATGCATACATGCAGGGTCAAATTAGCCGTTGCAACATACCAGGCGGTTCTTTCGCGGCGCTGGAGAGGAGTGCAGCCGGGCTTCTGGGCAGAGAAGACGATGGTCTATGGGCTGGCTATCAACGGGATGGCTGACGAGGCCTTTGAAGTGGCCGCAGCCACCACCGATCCAAAGAGCATATCAACAAGCCAGGTTTCTGCGATACAAGCTGTGCACAAGTATGAGGTTCTCCTCAACGGCCTGAGCAAGGCGCGGCGTGCTGATGAGACGGTGGCTGTATTTGAGTATGTGCGCAATGAGCTTAGCCTCTGCCCAAGCATATCGATGTACAGTTCCTTGCTTGGCGTAGTTGCGGCCGAGAACGGAGACTGGAATGCGATTGAAGAGTATTTGCAGTTAATGGAGGGCGATGGGTACATTATTCCGGACACGGTGTGGAAGCGAATCATGTTAGGGGTTGCTCGGCAAGGACACGTGCATTTGTGCGACAAGGTTTTGGATATAATGGTCTCGCGCGGGATCCCCCATACATATGTGATAGTCATGGCTGCCATCGAGGCATTTGCGCAGCAGGGCAACCTGGAAATGGTTATGCGCTGGTACCATGTTATCTACAAGGCCCTGGAGGCCCAGGCAAAGCTTCCCGCCAGCCAGCAACAGTCAGTGAGCGCAGACAACACTGCGGCCCGCAGCAGGACGGACTCCTGTGTGCATGGCGATATTTTTGGACACACCGAGAATCAGACCACCTTGCTGTCCATCCAGCACCCAGAGGATTTTGTCGAGTACTTTGTTGGCCGCAATGAGCTCATATGGCATCGGGGCATTCTAGTTTCGTTGATTGACATTGTCGGCGAGCTCGGCGACACGCCGTTGCTGATGAAGTTGTGGGAAGATATTTTCGGCTTTGAAAAGCAAGTGCGCACCCTCAGAATATCCCCGTATATGTACATGTCGCTGGCCCGCTCGCTCGCCCGCCACGGTCTATTAAATCGGTACGAGATCGTGTTGCGTTCATGGATTCAAGACGACCGCAATGGGTTCTCGTATAGCCAGCAGCAGGAGGCTCTAGGGTACGTGCACTTGTGCCTCAGCAACTACCGTCCGGTTCTGCGCCAATCGAAAAGGATGGAGGCAGCGAGCTTAAGAAATAGGGCCGAGTTCCAGCCAGAAACAGATATTTCAGATGAATTACATGGCAGTGCAGACTACAGCTTCTTGGACTCGAGCAACAGCATTGCGGACTACGATGACTTGTCTTCATCGGTGGCCTCATCGGTGCAGCAGACGACCGAGAGCGGCATGCCTCTGCATTGATATACAGTGCCCTGGTCACTCTGAAAATTGTAACTAGTAAATATATAACTACACATGCTCCATGCACCTGTATATATCATAATTCGCAGCTATCACCTTGGTTGTCTGTGTATGCGACAACTAATGGCAATTAATTGAGGTAGGCACGATGTTGAATACATTCGAAAAAAAGGAATAAGGGCGAATATGTTTGGAGGCACTGTTGCTTTGTAAATTATTGTCCAAACCAAGTCTCGACTGTTGGCAAAGATGTACTCGCTTGTGAGAGTAAGTAGCGCGCCTTTTATTATAATTGCCTTTATGAGCTGACAGTGATGTCTTTCTCTCCATCGCTTCTATTTAACCCCCGCTTGCCATTATTGTCTAGTTTTACAATCTCCTTTTATCCATGTATTGAACATCTGTCTTTTATTTTTTATTTTGTTACTCTTTACAAATTTAGCTTTAAACAGAAAGCGTACATACTCTTTACAAGCACCATATCTGCAATCCAATTCACCTTAACGCCTAAAGGTAAGATGTTGAGAAAACCTTCTAAATCATCTATACAAGGTATGACGCCTGTACAAACCAATCATTTTAACCAGTATAAAACGCACAAGAGTTCGAGTTTTTACAATATTATTTCAAACAAAAGTGGCGACAAAATATATGGCTACAAAGATGACCTGTTGCATGACATGGTTGTATTTATCCAAAAAAAATACGGCAAATTGCTTAAATTGGAAGTGTGCTATTTAATTGGAAATCCTATTGATATAATTAATACTTTTGATATGGATAATGGTACATTTGAAAGTTTATTTAAAAAAAAACAGCCTATTGATATAATTAATACTTTTGATATGGATAATGGTACATTTGAAAGTTTACTTAAAAAAAATACATTTATTCTGTGCAAAACTGAAAAAAATGGCAAATTTGCCCTGCAAGCCGATATTCCCTTAGGTGTTAAAATTGAAAAAATATGTGGATCCAACTGGAAAAGATGCGAAAAAACGACCACGGATTATAAGAAATAATTGACCACACGGCATATATTGTCTTTCGTATAATTTTTTAGTTTAGTTTTTTACTGTGCATTTTAGTCGCAACTGTTAAAATATAAATTGTTAACCCCCTACTCATATTTATGACCACACACTCAAAAATTGCTGGCCTACTTCCACAACATATGTTGCAATGTAAATGCGCAGCTTTTTGTGATAAGATGGCACGTGTTTATTAAATATTTACTCGACAGCAGAATGAATGCTTTGTATATCCAAGTTTTCGTTTTTATTAAGCGCTATATCAAAGGTTGAAATGTTGCCCAATTAAAGCTGCAAAGTATTATTTCTCTGCTTTGACTCTACTTCACAAAATAATTTTTTTTAATTTTTTTAAAATAATACTCCTAAAAAGTTTTCATTTATTATTTTTCTCTTTTTCTTTTTCTTTACTATACATTTTTATAATTTTGGTTTACTTTATTATTTTATTGAATTATCAAAACGCATTTTGACGCACGCTATCATCACCAACACAATGGCTATATTACCCAAGGCTGCCAAGACAACTGTAAGTAAAATTATATTAAAAAAAGTAGACAAAACTACCGAGGAATACGCGTTTAAGAAAACAATAAAAGCAATGGATCCAAACGATGCTAGCGTACAATATCTCAAGTCGGCTCCCGAGTACAAAAATTTTATCAAGAGCAAAAACAGTACCAGAAGCGAAAGCTTTGATGATCTTAAGTCATCCCAAGTGTTTAAAAACTTGGTTGAAACCCCCAACTTTCTCGAGGTCAAAAAGCATCATAACCCTTCTACTACATATAAATTTTTTAAAAAAGGCAACAATATTATATTAAAGGGAAATAAAACTGACTCAATACTAAACATGCTTTTATTTCTTAAAGAAACGTATGATTTTACAGAAATTCAATATCGATCCGAACATGATAAGGCTGTGCCTATAAACATGAAAACCATAGAACAATTAGTAACAATAAAGTATGGAGAATTATTTTGTGAAACAACCAATTGTAATACTAAAAAGAAGCATGAATTTATGATTGTATTGGTCAATTATAAGGAAAGGATATCTAAAGATAAAAATAAACGAGTAAGTTTAATAAAAAAAACTAGATCTGCACTAAATTTTTCTGATATAAATATGATTCCACAAAAAGTGGCTATAAAGGCAACAAATGATAAATCAACCAATCATAAACCTCTTGAAATAAATATTGAGTTTTTTCCATAATAAATATATCCGAGTTGTCAAACAACATTGCATAACAATGCTAAGGTATAATAACTCGTTTATTTTTTGTTTAATAAAATTGAAGTATAGCCACTTTCCATTTGCTCTGCATTTATAGTTATTTTTGTAATTTATCAATCTTGTTTGTTTTGTCAAAAAAATTAAATCAATGATATTATTATTAGGAGGGTAGGTGCAAACTAGCCCAAAATCTCCGCTTTGCACTATTTCTCCCTAGCTAAAAAAAACAAATAAATTTTTCTACAATAAAATTTTTTTAATTATTTATGCAGCTTATTTGTAAAAACTTGATTTTGGGTATAAAAAATGGAATAGGAAAATACATATTAATTTTAACAGCTCGCTATTCTGTTTCTTGTTTGATGGTGACAAACATGTGGAATAAGACTACATAAAACGCGAATAGAGAGTCTAGCTTTTGTTTTCTAATTAGTTAATTTATACATTATCTGTCTGACATTATATAACAATAGTTTTTTGCTTTATACTATTGTTATATAAGAAGGGGGTGTAAAAGCTTTATAATCGGGAGTATAAACGGTTTCTCAAAGACAGCAATGTAGAGGAGATAACAAAAATATTAGCATATAAAACATATTAATAATTTATGTACAAAGGTGTACAAGTTATTGATTCCTGATACAGAAGAAAGAATTATTAAAAAATAATAACGAGTTTGAAGTGTACACATGTAGTTTGAAAATTTTCCATAACATTCTACTATGCTTACATTTTAGTCAGCAATACCCTTTATTTTATAGTGTTTTCTACTTATTAGAAAAATGGTTTCAATAAAAAATACATTAATCGGCATATTCAACTTTAATAATATCCTGTTTTCTTATCTTCCTAAAATTATTTTTGTGCATATATGCACTAAGGAAAAACACACGGGCTGCCTGCTGCAGCTGCGCCAGCAAAAACTATGTGTCGCACCACTCTAAGCAGACATGTGACTGAATAATCATATATAATTATAACCAAAAAATTCAACTTAAAGTGCAGCTTACGCTCAACCAAGATTGTACTCCAAAGCAAGGAGAAATATCGCCCGGCACAAAGCAAAACAAAAACTTTAATCGGCCCAACAAAACATGAGCATAAAAAGGAAACTCCCAAATGCGCACTTTTTTTACAATTGCTGTCAGACCGATTGCCGTGCTTCATATGGTCCTGCAACCAACATGGTTATAGCCAAATATTCCATTCGTTTTCTCCACCTGTACTCTCATTCTTACCCACTTTTGTTTGAAGAGAAAATAGAACAAAACAACATGCAAACAATGTTTACGCGTGAACAAATATACGCACATAGCCAAAACAAGCCGCACCGCTTACCTTTCAAAAGTAAGAAAAAGAGAACCTTATGCACAACTAGCCGGCATTGTTTAGCCGGAACACATAGTGAGCGACTTCAATATGGCCAATTATCTGCATGCTGCAAATATTGCAATAAACATTTGGAGTGTAAATGAGTGTGCCTTTTGCACATGTCGCTACGAATTTCAAATTGTTTTTAACCTTTCTAAGCAATCAAAATACACACAAGTTTCAATAGTGGTTGTAATATTTATTTACAATAATTGACATGCTTTTTATTAACCAAATAGCCTCAAAAAGCATAATTAAAGTTGCACGAACTAGCATAATATGCAGCTGCTGTTATATCAAAGCCACACTGCCCATATTCTATACTCTAGGCTATTTGCTTTAATCATTAAAATACAATAAACGCAACTTTTTGTCTTGGAATGTATTTAAAACGTAGTAAGATCATAGATGTAGCCGGACATAATATTGATTTGTTTTTAAGTGGCTATTACTTTTAATCCCAATAATTAAGGTACTAAAAAGCGAATGCTATTTCCTTGGAATCCTCGTCCGGTTCCTTATTTATACTAGCTGGAGACAGTGGACGCGGATGTATGCGTCTGAACAGAGAGGACTGTTGGACTCCAATTCTTGAGAAGAGCCGTTGACACTTACTTTCAAACAGGACGTTCCTATTTAATACAATAGGAGGGACTGTTGATTCCCTGCAGGAAAAGCACCGATGACACCAGCAATCAAACATGTTGCGTAACAATGTTGTCCATACACAATTTTAATAACAATTTGTCTGGTTGATTATGATTTAGCAATAACACCTCATGCGCTGAGTGCCTCTGCTATAACAGTTTGCATCATTATTTTTTTTACGCAGTTCCTCTTTAAAAACTGTCACCATATCAATATATATATGACTTCATAGGTAGAATAAACGTGTACAACAAACATTTATTTCACATGCACTACTTGTTAGAACTATAAATACAAAATAGTTAATGGCATGGCCCATGACCACTATCAAATTAATTCACCTATTGGGCATTTTTCTTGAATAAACACTAATACATGTAAAAATGATTTAAAATAAAACAAATTAACATAGGGCAATGACATAGCGTGCCACTAGCTTGTGACCAACAAAAAAACGCCCTGAGTTTCAACATTAAATATTTATGTATATATAAAAGCTATACTCGTGCTTGTATGTCACTTGTCCCAACAAACTCTTGCCCGCAAGAAATTAAGCAAACGCAAAATAATAATAAATACCAATAAAATAAAATCTGGCTCAGTTTAATAATTTTTCTTTATTATTCATCACATATCCTGACTACTTGATGGCACAAGAAAAGAAGAAAAATCCATATAAAAACAGTGATGGGAAGCAAAATATTCATCCACCATTTTTATTATTATTCACCATATACAACCCTTCTTACCACCATTATACTAAGCACATCTTATATTTTGTTAGAAAACTACTTCCAAACCACCATCTCAGTAAATACCATACCACCGCAAGTCTCAACTGCCACTCACAATGTCAAGTGAAGCACTCAGCACTGAACTCAATAATTTATTTGTTAACTTGGGTTCCAACAGCCTCATTGTCAAATCCTTCAAGGAATCATATTCGTACATTGAATTTACTAAAGACGGAAATGCCGAAAAGTTGGAAAACAGCCAGGAGTACAAACAGTTTATGACAAACACAGTGTTCAAAATGACTAAACAATTATTTTCTGATGTTAAGAAAAAGTTTGGCAAGTGAACAAATGTGAGAATTTCTATAGTGTATAGTATTTTGTACCTCTTTTTTTGTCACATTTATATTTTTTAGTGTCATTTTTTAAAAATAAAAAAGACAATATACAACGAAATACATCAATTAAAATTTTATTATTACTAAATTTGTCATAAATAAAAAACATTCTACGCGCTAGTAGTATTCCGACGCCCACGCTGCTTTGCACGATTGACCTGCACAGGCTCCGCCTTGACACTGTGATTATCACCAGAATGGCGCTTAATATTTATCAGCGGGTTGAACAAGGCCACGATGGTATTAATAGCTGTTGCGGCAGAAGACCTGTTTGAGCTCGCCGTATTGCTACCAGAGGCAGAAACAGAAACCAAGGGAGTGGTGGGCTGCAGCGGAAGCGGAAGAGAAAGAGAAAGAGAAGAAGATATAATTGAACCTTTCTGTGACTTGACAACAGTGCGTGTGGAGTAGAATTGCTTTGATGCGGCTGTATCTGGTAATATAGATCTTGTAGGGGAACTGGTGGTTGGCAGTTCGTAGTAAAAGTTAAATTCGCCACGATTGGACGCAAAGTTATTTTCCCTGTCAGACAGTTTCAACGGCATTGTAAACGGCGACCCAAATGTATAGTCCACGTTACCGCTTGGAACACGGACTTTGTCCAGATTTCCTTCCCGACTACCGCTACTAACATCAGCATTATTCTCTGATTTGGCCACCACTGAAATGCCGCGAATCTCCCCTGGCGTAACATCCACAACCCGGTGCTTTGTAATAACCGGAATAGCTCTCCGGTCCACCTCCATTCTTAAATACTTGCTCATTTCATGATGTATACTGAAATATTTTGAATCCGCGGCAATCCTCTGCATCCTATATCTCTCGTAATAAAATAAATCCGCCCAGCAAGTCAGAGACTTTCGAAACGAATGAAACAAAATGTCCACGAGTAATGCAAAGTCGCAGTGCTCTGGGTTGTTCAGCTGCAGGGTGCCCCATCCGAACTCGCGCACAAGGGATATTTCGCGTTTCTGGTCATATCTCTGAATGCTCACAGTGTCCGAGCGCATCACCAATGATTGTGACAATCGGGTAGCCACGGGCGCATAAGGGGAAATACTTTCCTCATTACTGCTGTTTTTCTCTGGCAGCTGGGTATCGTCGGCAGGCAGCAATATTGGTGTGGGGTTGGATGACTTGCGGTTACGGAATATTCCCTCCGTTATCATCACAGACCTGGACCTAACCCGGTTATGCTTCGAACCCAATGACCGCCAATCCGCCACACAGCCACGCCCAGGGCTCCTGCCTCCCTCCTCTGTCTTTAAATACTCTGGTAAACGCATCTTCTGCCATTCCTCCACATGTTTGCTGCCACAAATAAACAACGGCATTTCTCGCAAAATCCTCCTCCCAAACACCCGTACTTCCTCTGGGGATTCCCGCTGGGTACCGGGAATATCCGTAAAGTCAAATAATTTCGTCGGCATAATCAGCTCATTCACCTGGGAGTAAAACCGATAGGTGGTGTTTTTTAAAACTTGGTGGTCGGATTTCTCCATCGTGTCACTTTTGCCAATGGCCAGGAGGACACTGGTAAACTGGCCGAGGGCGCGGATCGCTTGGATGTCTATCTCGGAAATCACATCCATGGCGGTATCCACCCGGTGGCAATGCGAGTCGGTTTCTGAGCTAGAGTATACTGGCGGTGGGATCACGTAAATGACTGCATGTATATGTGCAGAATGAAATGATTTTTCCCTCCTCGGCCGCATCTCATCATCCAAGGTGTTCTGCAGCCGGCGTTCAATCTCCCAAGATATCTCATTGACCGACCCATCACTATCTATCCCGGCGTATCCACCAACTCAACACATAGGGGGGTTTCGTGGTCCTGGTCCTGCAGTTGTACGCGGCACCGCCGAATTTGCGTGGTTCCAGAAAGCGTGTCAAAAACGCAAAACGGATCCAACACAGCTTCTGCCACTATTACTGTGTCTTTGTGTGTGGCGGATGGCTGTGTGTAGATGGTTTTGTCGCCTTCGGTTAGTGACTGTATTTGGAGCGTGTGGAAGGAGTCGCAGATGGTCTGAAGGATTGTGGATTTGCCAACGCCGCGTCGCCCAGCGACTAGGAGATTGAATGATTCTGGTGCATTGTGGCGATGAGAGAGTCTGCGCTCGGCAGTGTGTCGAAGTGTCGATGCGTGGGTGTCGTCTTTGGGCTTGGATTTGAATCCAGCTGAGGCTGAGACTAAAGCTGAGGATGCGGTGGCAGGACGTTGAAGAGGTTGAGACATCGTAAAACAAAAAAATGAAGTGAAAGTTAATTAAAAAAGGTGTAGCAAGAGAGAGAGAGAGAGAGAGATAAATAAATAAAAATAAAATAAAAATAAAAAGTTTCTCTTTTTTGTCTTTTTAGGGTCGGAGAATAAATAAACAGGAAAGCCAAAAAAAGAAAGAATTGATGACAGATGATAAAAGAAAGTAAAATGAAAAATAAGAACAATCTGGTCAATGAAAAATTTTCTATTGTTCAAGTGAATTAAAGCAATGAAATTTTTTCTTCAGCATACATTCTGACAAGACATGCATAAGACAGAAAAAATAATAATATATTTTTTTCCTCATGTGTTGCATCAAATGGTAGTTTTATTTTATTTTAGGTGTTCATTTTTTAAAATGAACTATGGATATATAGATATACTTCCGAATACATCGTATATATTCACACATGTGCAAATAAAAAACATCAAGAGGTAAAAAAAACAATTAGAAAACCCACTTATATTTATATAATTCTAAATATCGCTCAGTTCATATCTACCTCCATGCACAAGATGCAATCTCCTCCGATGATACTTCCACAACTCCTCTCGATGTCCCACAGAAACCAAAGTGACACCATTTTCCACCAACAACCGATACACCTCTTCCTCCGCATGGATATCCAAAGAACTCGTACACTCATCTAAAACAGCAAACAATGGTTTGCACCAGAATACCCTACCCAGTGACATTTTCTGCTGCTCTCCGGGAGACAAAGCCTTGAGCCAAAACTGCACTGGGAATTCGCAATCAAATATAGACTTGTCCATGTAGTTATTTTCAGCAGCAGCAGTAGCAACTGCCTGTTTCAGCGTATCTATGATATGCGTCAGGTTGATCAGCGATAGTAACTGGGTGATATCGGCGTCCGAGCACCAGGTATTAGAATATTCACTGCTGCTGTCATTGTTGTTGTTGTTGTTGTTGTTGTTGTTGTTGCTATTGCTGCTGCTGCTGCTGCTGAAAGTGGTAGTACAGGGGTAGGTGATCTGTGCGCGGAGCGAGCCAGCGATAATGTATGGTGTTTGCGGAAGGAAAAACACAGCTGGAGAAGAAGAAAAAGAAGAGGAAGTACCGGTGGAATTGGCGCGGTATGGAAGCTGGACACAGCCATGCGAGGGCGCCAGAGTCCACAGAGAGCGCGCAAAAGGGATGTCTTGCCCACACCATTAGCGCCCGTAATAATGAGCGACTCTCCAGGACGAATAACCAGATTCAAGTCCCTGACAAGCGGTATACCACCAGGCGTGCACACCGTCAGGCTGTCGGCAACCAATTGGTCTTGTTGCTGTTGTTGTTGTTGTTGCTGGGTTTGGCTGTATTCTTCTCCATTCTCCGTCCGCATCGGCGGCGGCACGTACCGGTTATCATTCATTCCATCGATTTCCTCCCACAACTGCACAATACGAGCAGTAAATCCCGCCACATCCGTCAGCTTCCTTGTCTGCTCAATGACCACAGAAAAGCGGTAAATAAGATAAAGCGACACAAACGCATTCAACTAATAATCCCACTCATCTCCGATCCAGATTTATCATCATATCGACCCATGAAGATCGGAATAGCAATGATAACGTAGGAAACCGTCGAACCCAAATATGAAAACACCTGGGTAACCATGGACAACCAGAATTGACTACCCAAAAGCCGCCTTTGCACAGTGGCCACTGCGTGTAGGTTTGCGTCAATCGCTTGTTGTTCGCGAGATTCGCCAGAGAAAAACGCAATGGATTCAGCAAACTCCGCCATGCGCAAATGCGCAAAGCGGAAATCACCCTCGGCGCGTTCCAGTAAGTAAACCTGGCGGATAACAGGGGGCATAGCGCATCTGGAGATAAGAACTCCGAGAACAAAGTAAAAGTAAATAGATAACGGGCCGATCACCCCGGACATCGCCCAGCACTTAACAGTGTAGTAGGCGATTAGGAATGGGGCAATCAGGAGCTCCGGCAGTATGGTGGCCAGGGATCCAGTAAGTCGCTCGATATCCTGGGTCACCCGCTGATCCGGGTTGTCCACGAGCCCGCGCGATACCACAGGATAAAGCACCCCGGCAGACACGTAGCTCCGGTGGGTGTACGCAGTCAGTGCCACGCGCATATGTACGCCCAACAGCCCCGACAGCAGCGCAAGCGCCGCCTGACATGCGCCAGCCAGGGCCACAATAAGGAAGCAGCGAACAAGCAGAGGGAAAAAAGCAGAGCGGTCGCGGTCGCCCAAGACACGGTAGAATTCCGAAGGCAATTTACCAGAGTAGTAAAAAACACCCTCGGAGGCAAGTTTGGCGCTGAGCAGTAGGAGACAGCGCAGGGCGATGCGCCCGCCGGATTGGTGCAGGACATGGGCGATACGCCGGAGTCGCCGGAAAAGCAGGAGGTTGACTGTATATTGCTGCGACGTTGCTTTTTCTGTTTGCTCTGGTGGCATTGCGGCTGGAAGCAGCGGTTCTGTTGCTGAAGAAGAAATAGTGGCGGTGTTTGTTGTGTGGCCGGGTAAATCAACGTGGTGTGAGTCAATTGTCCCGTCGGCTGCGTGGATCCGACGGTTTGTTTGTATTCGGCTGTGTGTGACAGGCTCCATTTCAAAATTAGACAAGAGAGGAGGGGAGCCGCTCATTCAAGACAACAGGACAAGACAAGACAAGAAAAGAAAGTGTAATAAAAGGGAGAAAGTGAAAGGGGTTAAAAAAATCCAAATACTTTTTATTCTTTTTTAACAGTTGGCTGACTGGTGGGGGGTGGTTGACTTTCTGCTATTGCCAGCTTCTCGACACACAAATAAATAAATTAAAATAAAAGCTGGATAGAGAGAGGGATGGAGAAAAAAAAAAGAGAAAAAAACCCTGCAGCTAGGCAGGGAGGGGGCTTTTATCCACACATTAAAGTAGCTCAGGCGATGCGACTTTGTTGCATGACCTCACGCATAAAATTTTCAAGAGAAGAAAGAGACGTGCGTAAATTAATTTTTTTTTTTCCTGCTCAATATTTTTGTCCTGTTCAATATTTGTCTTCACAAGGGCAATCACAGCCCGAAATCGGGCATTCCCGATGTGTCGCGAACCAAGACCGCATATGCGACACATGGCCGCCATGTCCACAGGTCTGGCACCACGAGAACCAATGGGCAAAGTCGCCCCCAAGAGCCACGCATTCCTCGACGGAAGCATTCGGGGCGACAACCGGGGTGCCCAGGGTCATCCGGCAGACAACACAGCGCGGCAGTCTATTCGAGCAGCCGGGGCACGATGTGATGACCAAATGCGACTGGCTCTGCTGCTGGGAGTCCTTCGGCCGCTGCTGCTGCTGGCCAATGCCAGCAGCCGCCACGAGCCCGCTGGAGGCAGCGCCGCTGTTCTTGTTGCCGCCGTGCACGGCGCCGATGCCGGGGCCCGCAGCAGGCTCGGACGCAGCAGAGGCATCGGCATCGGCCATCGACAGGCCGCGCTGCTTAACATCGTAGCCCAGGGCCTGGTGGCAGAAGGTGCAGCGCACGTCGGCCGGCCGCATCGCGATCTCGTCGGTCGTGCGCGACATGCGCGGCAGGCCCTTGTCCTCGCGCGCATTGCCGCGCGCAATGTCGAACAGGCAGCGGGTCGTGAACATGCGCCATTTGTTGAGCAGGTGGCGGTAGGCGTAGATCCACTGCTCGGCCGGATCCATGCGCTGGGCATCGTCGGGGTCAAACAGCGCCGCCAGCGCGGCCGTCTGCACGTCGCCCGTGCGGTCGACGTAGGCCTGCATGATCAGGCGGCCGGCGCCGCCGACGCCCGTGATGGCCAGCGCGGCCATGTACCCGGACCTGACGGCGCGCCGGCCCTCGCGCACCACATACGCCATCAGCTGCGCGTCGTCCAGGTGGCGCAGCGCCAGCGCCAGCCGCATGGTCAGCGGCTGCGAATGCATGGCTGCGAGCACCTGCATCCAGTCGCGCGTCACAAGGAACGTGAAGATCATGCGCAGGTGCGGGCTCTGGAAGATGTCGCTGGCCGCGCCCTGCACGCCGTCGCTCCCGCGGCTGTGCGCGTGGCCCGGCTCGGGCTGCGGCTCGGCCAGCTGCGCCTTGAGCATGAACGACAGCAGCTTCTGCTCCTGCGCGCTGCTGCGCTCCAGCGCCAGCATCGCGCGCGCGGCGTCGCCGTAGACAAAGGCCGTGCCGGCCGCGGCCGCGTGGTCGTCGTTGCGCTCGAGCTCGGCGATGTGCTGCTCGCGCAGGTGGCCGGCCAGGTCCCAGCCGCAGAACACCAGCGCCAGCGCGCGGTTGAAGTTCAGCCGCGACCGCGGGTGCACGCGCGCGTCCAGCGCCTGGCCGACGCCGCCGCTCTTGCGCAGGTACGCGGCGTGGTGGCGCCGCAGCCGCAGCCGCAGCACGTCGTGGACGCCGTAGAAGCTGACGTCGGCGCGCGGCGCCACAAGGAACGCGCCGCTGAGCCGCCGGATCTCCGCGTCGCGCACCCAGCGCCACAGGTCGCGGTGGTTGATGTGCGCGTTGGCCTCGGGGCTGTTGCCGTAGCCGCGCGCCGCGCGCTGGCGCATCAGCGCGAGGATGTCGCGCGCGAGCGGCGAGTGGGCGTGCGCGTGGGCGTGGGCGTGCGCGTGGGCGTGCGCGGCGTGTGCGCGTGGTGGCCGGCGCTGCTGGGCGCGAACGCCGGCCTGCCCGCCGGCCCCGCCGGCCCCGCCGGCCCCGCCGGCACGCCCGCGTCCAGCACCAGCTCGCGCACCTCGGGCACGGCGGCGTGCAGCGCCGCCATCTCCGCGTCCGACGCCGGCGCGGCGCCCCGCAGCGCGCTCCAGTTGTTGGCCACGGCGATGTCGCCGCGGCCGCTGATCTCGGCCACGCGCGGCACGGCCAGCCGCGCGCCGCGCAGCGCGCCGTCGGCGCCGCACACCACCATCTGCTCCGCGCGCAGCGTCGCCGCGGTCGTCGCCACGGGCACCCACAGGAACGCGGCGCCGCCCACCAGCGTCGTCGACGCATGCGCCACGTCCACCTGCAGCCCGGCCGGCGCCGCGGCGCCAATGTCGGCGTCGCACATGCTGCGCGCGCACTCGGCCGCCTGGCCGGGCCGCACGGCGCCCAGCGACGCCACGCGGCCGGCCAGAAACTCGCTGACGTTGTACACGCGCACAGAGTCGGCCGCCATGGCCGCAATCATGCCGCTGCGCCGCGGCGAGTACGCAATGCGCTGCTGCCGGCCCTCGCTGCCGCCGCCGCCGCCGCCGCCGCCGCCGCCGCCACCAGCAGCCGGCGCCCCGGTGCTGAATACGTGCAGCGGCCGCAGCTGCCACCGCAGGTCCCAGATGCCCGCGTGGCCGCGCCCGTCGGCTGCCAGGTACCGCAGGCTGTTGAACGGGTCGAAGTGCACATCGTACACCAGCGGCGCTGCGCCCTCGGTGGTCTGCAGGACGAGGTTGGGCGTGTCGCGCACGCCTCCGCGCAGGTCGAACAGCCGCACGACGCCGCGCGACTGCCGCGACGCCACAAGCAGCGCGTCGGCCGACCCCGGCACCCACGCGACGCTGGTGACGCCGGCCGCGGCGTCGCCGGGCTCAGCCCCCGCCACATCAACAGCGCCGGCGTCCTGGCTCCACAGCGACGCCGGCCGGCTGCCCCCCAGCAGCCGCCGCACTTCGCCGCCCTGCCGCACATCGTAGATCCGCAGGCTCGACAGCCCGTCGCGCTGCTCAAAGCCGCACGCCAGCGTGTCCGTGTGCGCCGGGTTGAACGCCAAGGCGCGCGTCGCCCGCCCGGTCTCCGCGTAAAGGACTGCGCGGCTCGCGTGCTCTTCGCCCAAGAATTGCAGCTCAACTTCGCCCGTGCGGCTGCCGGTCGCCAGGATGCTGGCCTTGGCTGATGGATGCGCTGTTAGCGCCGTCACCGCCTGCCGCGTACTGCGGAACTCGGACGCTTGGAAAAACGTGCCCGCTTGCGCCTCCGACCCTGTGCACATGCGGAATATGTGCACGCCTGCGTCGCTGCCCACTGCCACCTGGCTCTTGAATTCGGGCTGCACCCAGCACACCACTGGCACCGGTGGGACCGCCGCTGCCATTTGTCGCTGATGAGGAGTTGTGAGTGAACACGTGTGAATGGGTGTGAATGGGTGTGAATGGGTGTGAATGAGCGTGAATGAGTGTGAATGAGCGTGAATGAGTGTGAATGAGTGTGAATAAAGGTGAATGAGTGTGTGTGCGAAAGGAAAAGAAATTCAGAACGAGGGGCGAAGAACGAAGAGCGAGGAGCGGGGAACGGAAATACAAAAAAGAGCTTTTAAATTGAGCGCGGTTAAAGTTGAATTGTAATTGTAATTAGAATTAGAATTGGTAGAGACAAAACCAGCTAGCTGCAGCAGGGAATGGAAGAAGAAAACGCATCAATGCGCTCACAGCCTTAAAACTACATTTTGTGTACACTCAAAAAGAAAAAAGAAAAAAGAAAAGGCATAATATATGCCAGCCAATCAAATCACCTGCCAGAAAAATAAACACCACAAACCTTCATTATACACGGTTGCTGAACCCGAGCCTGAACCTCCTGAAACTGCACCTGCGTTGGCACCTGCCGCAGTGTCTTGACCTTCAACCGAATCCAGTCCATGTTCTTTTTTGTTATGTTTCTACAATAACTTACAAATCCAATAAACAATACTTTTCAGCACTTTCATTTACCAAAAAAACAAACCAAAAAAACCAAAAAAAAATATATACCAAGCGGCCCTTCAAATGATATCAACCGTATCAATTCACACATCACACATCACATATCACATATCACATATCACATATCACACCACACCACACCACACCACACCACACCACCACACCACACCACATCACATCACGTCTTTTCCCGACTTTGTCATTAAGCAACAGCTTAATTATTTGATATAAATGTGAAAATATGAAGAAATATAAAATAAAAAAGAAATTAAAATGTCAGAGTTAAAGAAAAAAGAATTCCATCACATTCATTACCACGACCCGCCTGTCGAATCATCATCAATTCCCAAATCCATCGACCCCAACACAACTTCATCTCCATCCTCCCACCCCTCAAGGAGTTTCTTGCGCACATCACTCATAGACCCCTCCATGGTAATCTCACCAGCACCACTGTCCACCGGTCCATCGCCACTACCGTTGCCATTATCCTTCACAGTTTCATCTTTCCGAGCCTTGCTCGACTTATCGCGGTTGCTCCGCCGTCTGGACTCATGTCCACGGCTTCTCCCACTTCTTCTATGCGACCCGCGCCTCTCATCCTTGCTGCGGCTCCTGCTCCTACTAGCACTCCTGCTGCGACTACGGCCGCGGCTGCGACTGCGGCTGCCGCTGCTGCTGCGGCTGCTCCGGCTGCTGCTCCGGCTGCGGCTGCGGCTGCGGCTGCGGCTGCGGCTGCGGCTGCGGCTCCTGTCTCTTCTGCCAGAACGCGACGACTGGCCACGCTTACTGCGGGTGCTATGGCTGCTCTTCCGACGAGACCTGTCCTCAGGCGACCTGCTCCGGCGACGGCGGCTGCTCCTCCCACTCCCTCTCCTTCTCCTCTCGCCCTCACTCTCACTGCCGCTCTCCGCCTTCTCGGCACCCTTGATCGGCTCCAAACTAACCCGCGACCGAGGCACCCCCTGTTTACTCAAAAACTTGCGCAGCCCGTCGCGCTCAGGCACATACGGATCGGACTCATGCTGGTCATTATTAAGTGTGCGCCCCACTTGGTTGCCCAAAACTTCCATTACGCGCGAAATAGATTTGGGTGTCCCTACGATTTCAACCACGCGCTCGCGACTGTCGGAGATGCGCTCGCGATAGACGTAGACCCGGCGAGCTGCGCAGATTACTCGTGTGTTTATGAGCGTTTCACTTTTCTGTCCGATTATTGCCCCGCATGTTTTGTGCGGCAGAAGGAGCCGGATCGGGATAAACGGCTGATCTGTGTCGACCTCCTTGGTCCCGCGCCCGCGGGTTTGCGCCGGGTAATCGACATGCATGCCCTGCGAGATAAAGTGCTCGGCCAGCTTCTTGAACGCCTAGTTGATCCAAATTAACGCAATGTGTATAGGAAAAGGAAGAATAAAAAACAGGGAAGATAAGCTTGTGAACCAGAAACAGATGAACACTGATGAAAACGGGGGACGAGAGAGAGTAGAAGCAGAGAAATGGATAGAGAGAAATGTAGAAGTCCAAATGTAGCAGCAGAAATAATGGAATGGAAATGGTTTGACGAGCCTTCTGTTTGCTGCTGGTCCGTTCCATCAGCTCTCTTGAAGATTGAAGGAGGATGAGGAGGAGGATGAAGAGGAGAGGGGGTAGAAGGAGGGATGATTTCGGTGGAGCAGCGGCCACAGAATGAGAAAGAAAGGGGGAGGGAGGTTGGACTTCTTTGCTTTGCTTTGCTTTGGAAAACAGCAAAATTCAGCCAGCCAGGCAGGAGGGTGGGCGTTCTTGGCTGGACGAGTGGACATTATCAAAAAATGATGGATATAGAATTAAAGCCTTCAATGCACCCTGGGAAAACATACTTCGATGGTCTCCCATCGCTAAAAAAAAAAAGCCACAGAGCTTCCCAACCAATCCGAGGTAAGGCCACCTAAATAAAAAGGAACAAAAAAAGCCACACAAACAAACACATGACAGACGAAACCAAGGAACACAAAGCAAGCAGCATCCCATCAGCTTACCTCAGCAACGTTTTTCACAGAGCCACGGACGACCAGAATGCGGTCCTGGCGGTCGTTCGTCTCGTTCGAGATGCGCAGGTCGACCAGCGGCACCGCCTTGCGCAACTTCGTCAGATGCGCACCACGGAGCCCAATAATAATGCCTCCGTCCTCATACGGGAACACGCAGCGCATACTGACCTTATCGTCGTCAGAGTCAGCATCAGCGTCAGCGCCAGAATTCTTATCTTTCTCCTTCTCCTTCTCCTTCTCGCGCTCCTTGGATACCGACCGCGAACGCGACCTGTCGCGACGCTTATGCCGGCTGCTGCGCGCATTACGCCCGCTGCGGCTCCGTGACCTGCTCTCATTATCACTACCGCGCGATCGCCTGTCGCTTCTCCTGTCATTGCGCCTATCACTCTTCCGGTCAGCCTTACGCATAAGCGACCGAGACCGCGAGCGCGAGCGGCTGCGGCTGCGACTACGGTGGCTAGTGTGGCGGCTACGGCTGCTGCGCCGCTGCCTGCTACTTTTTGAGGACCGCGACTCGCGCTTGTCTCCACGCCGCCCATCGCGCGAATCCACATCCTCGCCATCCTCGTGGTTGGCGGGTGGCTCGGGCGATGCGCCGGGGGTGCGTAGGATCCCGGGATCCTCCATGTTGACGTCGGACGCCGCGTAAATGCCGCCAGTGTCGACTGAGCTAGTGCCTAAAAGCATGTGCAGCTCCTCAAGCTCGCTCTTTTGCTCGTTGGTCGAGACCGCTGCTGAGGCGGGCTTGGCTGCCCCGCGCTTGCTCTGGTAGTCAGAGAGCGAAAACCGCTTTGGTTCTTCGTTCATCTCGCCCTTTAAATTTAATTGATTTGGTCCTTTTTCCCTGAGATTCAACCGAATAAATAATAATAAAAATAACTGAATAAATGAATGGATGGATAGATGATTGCTTGCAGCTAATAAATTTCAATTTTAATGAAACACAAAACAAAAACACTAAAATATCACTGAAAATCGCACCACTTTAAGCACGCGCAGACATTGAATTGGGGAGCGCAGAAAATATGCAGCTCATAATATTGCCTCTCATTTCGGCTCACTTTACGACAATCCAACCAGAAACGGCTCGTCATAAAAACTTCGCAAAATGCTGGACCAAGCATAAAAATAAATAAAAATCGTCAAACTCATTTAAAGCCATTTAAAGCCATTTAAGAGCCGAAAGAATATTTGTCAAATTTTCAAGTTTCCACTTTTCTTTTGGTAACGTGCAACAAAATAAGCAGCAAAGGAAATGTAAAAATATAATATTTGTCTGTGTTTTGTTTGTTCGTTTGTGTGGGGGGAAGGGCACTGATAATGATGATAATGTTGCTTCCAGGCTTCAGGTCATCAGCCATCTTATAAAATTGGTTTTCTTTTCTGTATACTGGCAACCACCATTACCATCCCCCCCCCACACACACACAGGTGTTCCCCACACATACATTCAATTTTTCTAAATTTTAATCTAACTAATGTATTTTTTGACCGTTTGAGTTGACTGAGAATGTGGACATTTAAGTAGATCCAAGCTGTTTTTTTCGTCTTCTTTTGTTTTGCTTCACTTTTTCATTTATTTTGACTATTATTTTTTATTTAATTGCGTCTTTAGCTCAGCTTATACTTTTACATACTCTTTCTTTATAATGATGTACATGGACGGACCCACGCTGCGCCAGACGACAAAACAACCAGCCAGGGTCAATGGCCGCAATACAACCAACATTGAAATACCCAGTGATATACCAGAAAACTTGTCAGATATTGAACTAGGTACGCCATTCGCACTCTAATTTTTTTACTCTGTCCATGTCTAAAACACTCATACACAAAGAAATAAATAAAGAAAGCAGGTACTCCAGGATCGACTTTAATAAAACCTGAAATATTTTTCTTTCATTTTTCGCAAATTAAAAAGCGTGTTTGTATTGAGCAAGCCGAAAACACTAAACAATTTTTTTGGATTATTTACTCTGAAATACAACTCTTTAGAAGCGGTAAGCGACTCCGAGCACCTTTACATTATATCAGCAGGCAAATACCATGACAATGACAACAGCGACAATGACAACGACAGCGACAGCGAAGAAGGCCCTTTCAATGTCGAAGAGAGCACAGTGACCGCGGAATCACACAGCCCAGCAGCCGACAAACAACCTGCCACTGCAGCTGTATCTACAGCCAAGAACCCCAGTGATGCCATCAAAGACATCCTCACTTTGAGACTCGTATTTCCCGCGGAGGACGGCGGCATGTTGATTGGAAAGAATGGCCGCCATATCATAAAGCTCAAAGAATCAACTAGAGCCAACTGGTTTATCACTGCAAACAGCAGCAACTTTGAGGACCGCATTGTTGTTATTCGCGGAACCATTGATAACATCGCGCATGTAAGTCACCAATCCTTTTTCATGCATTTGCACTTTTGTTTCTTGTATCTTTTTGTGCTGGCCTTGAATTAAGGTCGAAAAGACGCAGTACTTGCATTCTTTGTTTTATTTCCTAATACGCAGTAACGCAAACATTTTATTTTCCAGCACATAGCCACAATTCCATATTTGCAAATACTACCTTTTCACTCACTTGCTCACTCACGCTTACGCGTGCTCTATCACTGCTACTAAGAACATCTCTTTCAAAATAATACCATTCTTGACACTTAGGCCGTCCACACACTGGCAGAACACATTAACCACGAGCAATCCGTTGGCGAAAAGGACACGCCACAGCAGCAGCAAACCATTCTGTCTCTGCGCTTTTTATTCCCCACAAAGGTCATCGGCTTCATTCTCGGCTCCGGTGGATCCCGCATTGAAAAGCTGCGCCAAATCTCAGGAATCAATCGGGTGCACATATCCAACACTGCCATCCCATTCACACACGAGCGCATAGTTGAAATCACCGGAACCGATGACGGATTAAGGGCGGCCGCCACAGGCCTTCTCCAAGCCACAGAGTCCGAGTTGACCCGCATGCAGGATGCGGCGACGCTATACAAGCCGACGAAAAATGGACTGAACCTGTTTTTGGCGCAAGAGAAAATTTTGATTGGCGGACCTGGACCAAGTAGGAGTGCTTTGGATGGTGACCATAGTAGGAAGAGATCGCGGTCGGCGTTGGTTGTCGAGCAAAAAGACAGTGCGCAGGGCGCGTATTCAGGCGGTAAGCGGTTGCGCAGATCATCAGACAATGCTGAGAGTCGTGAGTCGCCCACAAAATACATTTGGCCAACCGAACGGTCCCCCATGCGCGCCAAAGATGGGCATGACACAAGCAGCAGCAGCAGCAGAAATAGCAATGACAATGGCAGATATAGTCGTGGAACTGAAGAAAAACTTGTTATTCCGGACTTTATTGCTGGTCGTCTTATTGGCCGCAACGGCTGCCATTTGGAAAGAATAAAGTCCGACAGTGGTGCCAGTATACATCTGTCGCCACGAGTGCGCAACATGCCTGACCGCGTGGTAACTATCATCGGACTGTCGGATGAAGTGAGGAGCGCTCGCAAGCTCATTTCGAAAACCATGCGCCACTTTGAAGACAAGGAGGTTTAACGACCAAGCTTGGGAACAAATATTATTATTTTTTAATTATTAAATTTTTGCATTTATAAGTTCATATATGTATATCAACTGGATATATTAATTATAATTGCATATATGTTACTATTCGTGCAAAAACACATGACATACCAAGACTTCTTTTTTAGGCTAATTACAATGCTTGTAATAGTACTTTTAATAAAAAACAATTCCTTATTTATTCGATGCTCCGGAACAGAGTGTTCGCGTACGCAGGATGGCGCTCAATCAGCAGATCAACAGCATCCTCAATGGATTGGCACAGGTTAACGATCCGCAGGTCCCACTTGGCAGAAACAGTCTCGCGGAAATGCATCGGCGGCTGCTGCTCCTTGGCATGTCTCTTGAGCGAAGATATGGCGGCCGCAACCTCCTCGACCTCGTGCGCGCCCTCAAAGGTGATGACGCCGTCAATCTGGTCGATGCGGCCCTTCATTCTGCCCTCCGCAATCATCCGTGAGCACGTCATCTCGGCCTCGTCAGCATCAATGCCCAAAGACCGGCCTAGATTCTCAAACTTCATGTTCGTGTACAGCGACGACAGAACAAACACATTGTGCTCGCGAACGGCATGCTCAAGAATGCTTACCTTGTCCTGTGGGAGCTGTGCACGCTTGCCGAATTCCTCGAGCTTGGCCGGCCTGACCAGTCGCTTCAAAACCATGTTCTCTAGGATGCCGAACGACGGCAGCGTGGACGCCAGCTTCTCGCGGTGCAGACTAGTCAACAGGCGCATCTTCTGCGGGCCGGCATCCGCCAGGACCGCGCACTGGATAGCTGATTCCAAGAGCTTGCTCTGCTGAGAAACGTCCTTCAGGTCCGACTGGCTGACGTTGCGGTATGCAGTGGCAGCGTCAATATACCTGTGCGTCAAGCTGTAGATTTCGGCCTGGACACTGCGGTACCAGATTATCTGCGCAGCGTTGTTTACTAGGGGGGCAACCGCGGCCGCACGAGTCAGTGCCTGGAACGCTTGTTCCGTGTTCCCTGATTTGACATAATACTCCATGACCCGCACGTAAACTTCAAACTTGGCCCCAATGTCAACAGGTTTTTGCAGCTGATCAAACCGAATTTCGCGCAGCTCGCGTGCTGCATCCTCCCAGCTCTCGCCGGCAACCAAAATGGCCGCCATAGCCAGGCGCGCGGCGATAATAACGCTCTCGTAGGCCATCGACCGCTGTTGGATTCGACCCAGCAGGTGGCGAATGACGTTTTTCTGCACATTCTGGCCAAAGCTTTGTTCGTTCTTGCTTACAACAGCGACAATCTCAGCCAAAAGCGCTGTCGAGGTCCCTGGGTTGACCTTCTCGTTGAGGCTGGCGTCGACAAGCGCAATAAGCAGCTGCTCCGAGGATCCGCTGCTGCTTATGGTCTCTGCTAGCTTGCTGCCAATGAAGCTGTGGACAATTTGCTGGACGTCGGATACGTCACTGCTGCGGAGAAGCCCGAATATCTCGGTGGCGAGTTGGTCAGCCTGATTACTCATGGTGGGTTGAATTTGGTAATGTGTAATGTTATGAGCTATTTGAATGCAAATAGAAGAAAAAATGCGGGTGCTTGTCGATTGGAAGTATAATAAAAACAAAAGAAAGTGAAAAGCGTGTCAGCTTTTTGCTTCATAAAATAAAGGCTGCGGGTGTGTGCTTTTTACAAAGACTGCGCCCAGCAAAGCTACACCAAAAGAAAAAATGAGGCTATATCCTGTAAATCGACATCCTTCCCACAGATCGAATAGCAACCTGAAAGGTGTTTAGAAACTAGTGGCAATAGACCACTATCACTATGGTTGACGGTATTAATCAGTTCGCTGCTTCTTTTGAAGAGAAGAGGCAGGGGCAGATGGATTCTTGCGCACACGCTTGGTCTTGGGCTTGGGTAAAGTCTCAGGTGTCGCTGCAGACGCGGATTCAGCCAACTCTGACGATGTCTTTTTGCATAAAAAAATGGGTTTCGAAAACCCCCCACATAAAAAGCTGGACTTTTGCTATAAATGTCTGAAAATTCCAAAAATCCATTTACACCAGTGTAATTAAATAAAATCTACTAGCACGTGTTTACTCTTCTATTGGCTGTATTTTTGGGGGGCTGGCTCTCCCCCACCCCAGCTGGAGTAGGTGTGGAGTTGGACGCGCAATGTCAACAAAGTAACCCGGCTATTCAAGCTTTTTGCATCACCAACAAGGGCTGGCACACCACCGTCGGTAAGGTCGAGACCGCATTGGCCCATGCAGGGTCAAGGTCTTTGGATCCCGACAAGTACATCGAATACCTTTTGGAGATGCACAAGGCTGAATAAGTTTTCAACGAGTTCTACCAGAAAACCGTGGCCTGGCATTACACCATTACCACCAATGGTGCTGATTTGTCCATCCCACTGTATCACAGGCTCCATTACCTTGCATACAAAGCCCAGAAGAAGGCTGACGCGTACTATGCCGCAGCGACGCCTTCCAAGTCCAGCCAAGATCATATTCAACAAAAAGCATAAGTGCAGAGTCAAAAGAATCAAGCTCATATTCAAGACCCAAGCGACAGCTATTTCTGCGACACAGCCTGAACAAAAGGTCCCAAGAATAAAGGTCAAGCTCAAGCTTTTCGCTGATACTAATCTCCAGTCGGTCGATTAACATGGTTGTGATGGAAACTTTTCAGAAGCTCTATGCATAAGTAAACAGGAGGATAATTTCCGTGAAAAGTAAAAACTGTGTCAGCTGCTAAAACAAAGTACGTGTGTACCTTGTCTTTTCTTTTCTTTTCTTTTCAACATCAGATTGTCTTTCATTTTTAAAATACAAATCTTGCACTCATTCGTTGTCAATTTATAACTGCCATTAGATTTATTTTCATATTCTTTATTGCTTTTTTATAATGTCTGACACTGGAGATCACTCGGATCTATTTGTCATTTCGAACACTCCGGGCGATGAGCCCGAGAACAACAGCACCCAAGGGCCGCAGGCGGGTGCTGATGAGCCGCCTCGCACTGATGACGAAGAGGAGCACAATCACGAAGAAGAGAATGATGAGCACGAGGACGAGCAAGTCCGTAACAACAGTCCCAGCCCAAGCCCAAGCCCCATTCCGTCGCCAGTCAAACCGGCAAAGACAAAGGCACCAAAGCAGGTTGCCAGCGCGCCTATCGTTGGCAAAAAGCGGACCCGCAAGAATACCCAGGAGAGCAAGAACGTCTCTGCCGACCAAGAGAGCGAGGACATCAACCTCCATGTAGATGCCGACTGGTCCGAGGACGAAAAGGAGGAGAGAGACTTGAAGGAGCCCCCGGCCAAGCGCCTTGCGGCCGCCACCGAAAGCAGTGGTCCTGTAACGGTCAAGAAAGTCATCGCTAAGCATCTCGAAAACTTTGTCATCCGCGCAGTGGTCACTCGCAAAGATGTTGATGTCATTTTCGAGCACGAGGAGGGTGCCAAGGAGAAGCTCGAGCAAGATACTGGCGCCCAGATAACCATTATCGCCGGCAAGGATGACCCCGACATCGTTGTTGACCGCGTCCTGGTTATCAAGGGCCATATTGCCAATGTGGCTGCTGCTTACAAGGTGATTACTGAAGGCATGCTGTCGATCAAGAAAAAAGCGGCAGCTGCCACCAGCGCTGCAAACCAGGCTTCTTCTGAGAAAGAGGCTGCAAAGGACGATGAGACCTGCGCTGATGCCGCTGACGACGACGAAGAGAGCGCTTCCAAACACGGAGGCGACGCAGCAGGTGACGAGTCGGTTACTAAGGACGCTGCCGCTACCGACAAAGACAACGCCTCCGGTAGTGGCAAGCCCGCCGCTGAGAAGAAGCGTAGGAATGGAAACATTGACCGAGTCACGCTGCGCATGTTGGTTCCACACAAGTGCGTGGGCAGCATCATGGGCCATGGCGGCAAAACCATTAACCACATCCGCGACAGCTCGTCCGTCAGTATCCACACTTCCGAGCTGACGCTCCCACAGTCCTCGGAGCGCATTGTCGCCGTGCTGGGCACCCCGGTGTCCATTGAAAAGGCCATTTCTCTTATTGCTGAGGCCCTGACTAAGGACATGATCTCGTATAACAGCCCCGACTACTATGTGCCCGCTGCCCACCTCCCGTCGGCGATGACGGTCGAGACCAACGTTCGCAAGCGTAAGGACAACAAGCGCACGGGACATGGTCATAACGAACAGTACGCCGCCAACCGTAGCCACTCGAGCAATCGGGGCAACGGGTTCCGCCAAAACAGCAACAACAACAGCGCCGCCAACAATCATGCCAATCACAGACAGGGAGGCGGTTACGCGCAGGTCAGGCAACCTAACTATGCTGGCGGCAACATTAAGGGCAATGCTTCTGGTCCAGGCAACAGCTTTGGATTAAACAATAACCCGGGCTCCAGCCGGTTCAACCCGTACGGCGCACCCAGCCCCAACCGCAACGAAAAGTTTGGGCGGCACAATGATCGCCAGAGCGCGCGCAACCGCGTCTCCGGCATTGTGAGCCAGGTCAACCGCATGCCTGTCGGCGCTAACGGTGCCCCTCAGGGACATGCGTCAAATCAGTATGGCAGCAATTACCGCATGAACAGCCACTCGAACAATGCCCGGCCGCTGTTGACACCAGCCATGTCATACAACACATATGTCGTTCCGCCGACCACCACGTACCCAAATTATGGCCCGCACAGCGCTGGTAGCAACATCAATGGCGGCAACATGGGTAGTGGCAACATGGGCGGCGGTGGAGGCGGAGGCATGCCTGGTGGGCGCTATGGCGGCAGTGGCATATCTCCCGTCTCTCCTGCCCAGCCGCTCGTAAATGCCTACAACAACAACTACAATGCTGCACCCGCGCCCGCGCCCGCACCTGCGCCCTACCAATTTGTGGCACCGGTACCTTACGGTTATCCATCCGCACCCGCCCAGAACATGTACAACAGCCGCCCCGCGCCACCTGCCGGTGCCTACCAGCCGCGGCCCTATAATTCGAGAGGTAGCAACCGTCCCCCGATGCAGCAGCAGCACCAACTTCCGAGCCAACAGAATCAGCAGCAACACCAGCCGCATCAGCATCAGCAGTCGCAACAGTATCATCAGCAGTCACAGCCACAGCAGCAGCCGAATCAGCAGTACCAGCAGCAGCCACAGCAGCCTCTAAACCACCACCAACAGAACCGCCACTTCCAGCCGCCAATGGGTATGGGCAGCACGGGTCCAGTGGGACCCGTAGGGCCGGTGGGTTTGACAGCCGGAGGACCCCCACCTCCCGTTGCGGGCCAGACGATCCAGCAGATCTACGTTCCTGGGGACAAAGTTGGAGCGGTCATCGGCCGTCGCGGAGAGACCATCCACGAGATCCGCCAGTCCACCAATGCTCGTGTTGACATTCAGGACTCGGCGCAGGGCGCAAAGGAACGGCTGATCGTCATTACCGGCGGATACGATCAAGTGCACTCGGCATATTATATGATCAAGAACAAAATTGATATGGCGCGGCCGTCATTGACGCGGCCATGAGTAGCTCGCTTTTTATATCGCCCTTGATTCCTTTGCTCCTTGTGCTTCAGCACTGCTCTGATTTTTTGTGCCTCCCACCTCTCCAATTCCTCCTTTATATTTTTATATCTCCATGTCCTTTTTCCAATGTCTGCCCAGCATTTCTTCATCTCGTTTTTTGCAGAATGCTCCTTTCCTTGCTTTGCTTATCCCAGCCTATCCCAGCTTATCCCAACATATCCCAGTCCTGAAACCATTTTGGAGTTTTTTTATTTCCTTTGGTCCACTTTGTCACTCACAGGTTCCTTTGAGGTAAGAAGTTTGCACATGCCCATCTATTCGCCATTTTAATGCTTTAAACCCGCAAAGCCAGATACGAATTTGTCATTTTGCATCATTTGCACGATCCACTTGGTATTCCTGTACATGTATATGTGCATTCGCCCACCATCTCATTTGCATTACCATTGTCATTGCTATTGCGCTCAATTCCTCTTTTGTGTCTTCTATTCCATTTGTTTCGCCCAACTTGTAGTTTATACCTGTAGCTTTATGCTTAACCCTTGACTTTGTTCAGGCATACAATGCAACTACAAACATTTATCTATTTTTACCGCCTACCTCATGGCTGGTTGGGCGTGTTCTTGTAACACATCTCAATTTATTCAACTGTCCTTGGCACGAAGGCTTTCAGACATAGACTTTGTTCCGCGTTTCCCACCGCTTGTCATTTTCCTTGTTTGCTTGCGCGCGCCGATGCAATGCGGGGTTGCCGTGTTTTGCCCGGGCTAACTTGTTGCTAGCGTGGCTTGCAGCTTTTTGTCGACTCTCCAGATTGTTCATTGGCGGACCTCAGACCAGTCTAACCAACGCGAACATTGGTGCATTCGTGTGTGATTGGTGTCCGCACGGCTTATGTGCGTGCGTGAAGCTGTGTCGCGAGTGCGTTTGCAATACCTTGGACCAGCACCATCTCTATTTACTTGTGGAAGTTGAATTATATTGCGGCCTTCGATGTCCTTCCCATGAGTGCCCGACAGCCCAGTGCGCCAGGTACTTTTTTACATACGGATAGTCAGCTTGGACGACAACCCAGCTTGTCTCTTTTATATTATTTTCTGGGAGTCAGGCTGAGTTCACATCTTTCATGCTGACGGGTGTTTTTTGCTTCGTTTGACCGCCGTGCGTACCATTCTCGATGGAAATTTTCTTTTCTGAAATTTTTTTGGTTATCAATCTCCTTTTCACTTATAAAACTGTCCTTACGAACCCACGTGCCTCAAGCCGGGTATTTGCCGCATTATCTTTGTATTGTATTCAGTGTCTTTTATTTTTGCAATATTGAACATGAAGTGTACATGTTTTCATTGCAATTATTATCTCCTGCGTGTTTTCACACTACAAAGGGACTGAGCTGCAGTGTTACGAGTAAACGTGTTTAAGTCTTAGAGACATCATTTGATAGACGAACACATAAATAAATAAATATTAATTGAAACTTGATCACGCGTTTTCGCGTTATGGCCACCACATGTGCGCGTTTAAGCGCGCTTCATGGCTAGAATGAAGTGCTTGTGAAGACGCCCGCGAGAATACAGACTCTGGGTCCAGTTCAAATACAGCTCCCAGGCTCTATATGCGTCTTCGCCAAGCTCCATCTCGATTTGGCGCTTGGCCGCGCAAAGTCGGTTGCACCATACCGCTGTGGTCGTCGCGGCGTCTGTCGTTAGGCTCTCCATCTGGATAACCTCAAATCCTGCCCGCTGCAGCTCACCCATCACTTGTTCAACACTGATAAGCATGCTCGTGTCTGAACCGGGTTGAATGTACCGCTGGCGGAACCAATGGTACCACCAGTGCTCTGACCACTCCTCTTCGCCCTGTATTTTAAACCCATCGCCGTCCTCGGGCCGATTGTTGTCGCTGTCTCCCATGATCGACTGTTGATGGCCCGAGAATGCGCGTCTGTTGGGCTTATACCCTAGGCTGGACGGGGTGGTGGTGACCTGAAGCATAAACCGGCCGCCACTCTCCATGACTTCGTTCACTGAGCGCAAGAAGGCAGGAATGCTTCGCGTGCCAATCGTGTCGAGCGCATCGATCGCCAGCACCTTTGTAAACAGGGGCAATCCGGCCGGCAGGCACTGTGTAACGGCACGGTAGTCGCCGGTGACAAAACGCAAAAACCTCTGCACCTGGGACTCGCCAGACAAGTTTGTCGCATGGTTGAGCTGCGACGACGTGGCCACAATAGCGCATGTGGGCACCTGATAGTCGTGGGCCAAGTACACGGCGAGATCGCCCCACTGCGAGTTGACATCCAGCAGCCGGTCATTGGGATTCAGATCCAAATACTCTTTGCCTATGCGCTCCATCTGGACAGCCAGGCTGTTCTCCAGCTCCTCTGGAACCTCATCGCGAAAATAACCAACAAGCGGCAGACGGTCGGGCCCAAGAACCTGCTCAAGCAATGAGTCGCTCGTCGTGACATATTTTTCGACATTGCGCTTGTCTTGATACTCTGTGTGCGACGTGGACATGAACGTGCGGAAAATTCGCCAGGCAAGCGTCAAGTCGAAGCGGAACGAAACCACCTGTGCTATGTGCTCCATGCCCCGACCAGAGTGCGCGTCACGGAGCTCGATACGTCCGTGCAAAAAATCGTTGACAAATTGCGAGACGGATATTTTGCTGCGCGACGTGTAGACTTGGACGGGTATGTTGAGGTGGAGGGAACAAATATGTCTGAGGGCGCGTAGGGCGCCTGGTATCCGCGCTTTGTCCACAGATATGCTACGGCGACTAGCACCAGACTTGTGAGGGCGCGTACCCAGTACCGAAGCAAAAGCTCTGTCGCTTGCTCCAGCAGCTGCGCATTGTCGCTGACCATTTTTGCCGCGATTGGTTTGTATAAGGAAAGCAAAATTTCGAATTATTCGTGTAAAATAAAAACAAAAAGAGGTAATTATCGAAACGCGATCTGCACACGAAACAACAATTTAGCTTTGGGGGGTTTCTTCTCCTTTTTGGACAAGCTCTCAATTTTTTTAAAAGAAACGCTATCTCAGACATGCATGTGCACATCAATTTTATCGGTGTTTTCGTCAGACCGTCGGCAAGCCACTTCTAACAGACCGCGTCCTCATCACCTCCGTTTTCGCGCCGCACCTGCACGCGTGCAATAATCTCCTTTATCGACTCTTGCAAAATGATGACGTTTTCCAAAAACTCGGCAATGTTCGCGTTGGCCGGCGGGACGCTCAGCGCATGCCACGATGAGCTCGCCATCGAGTCGTCGCCCAAGACGGCGCCACTGGAGCCCATGTGACTGCCAGGCCGCAGCGTGTTGTTTGCACCAGTCGACGTCGACGAGTTAGAGGCCATATCCGATGCGTGGCTTATCGAGCTGCCCCTCAGCCGAGAGGCCGGGAAGCCAGATGACAGGACGCCTGCCGACAGAGATGATGCAGTCGCGTTGCTTGGGCTGCGCTTGCGATGGGCAGACGCGAGCAAGGCCGGGTTGGATGGGGCCGACGACAAGCCAGCCACTCGTGCGTTCTCGAGACTCGCCGATGACAGCCCACGGTCGCGGCCGCGATGTACGCTCGTATCACACGCGTCTTGGCTGCGGACTCCGCCGTGTTCTCGAGCTCACCGTCCAGATCGTCGACATCCTCGACAATGCCCATCAGTGCATTCCTTGCTCGCTTTAGCCGGCGCGAAAAGTCAGGAATCTCGTTCCGCAGCACCCTAGCTTGCTGCACCAGGCCGCTAATCACCAGGTACAGCGAGGGCGGCGTGGCACCGTTGGGGAGCGTGCGCACCGCCGCCTGCAGCTCGCGGTCAAGCCCAGCGTATTTTGACGCATTGGCCGTTGCAATTGCCGCTGCCGGCGCACCGCCAAATCCAGGGGCACCACGCGGATTGTCCTCGCCCTCGCTGTCGCTAGCTCTCGATCCGCTCTCGTCGTCGCTGATGTTGCGCAGGTTATCCATCCATGTGGACCAGGGCTTGCTCAAAACACCACCAAGCAACGCTCCCAAGTTAAAGCCCAGCCACAGGTCCAGCGTCCGGTGCTGGCAACCGACAAGTGCGGCCAGCACGCCAGTCAGCGCCAGGTTGCATTCGCGCGGCTGCGCAAAATATTTTGTCAGCAGGTTCATCAGCGCGCGGACAATTGGATCCGATGGCTTGATGTTATACTTTGCGCGCTTGCAAGGTGCAGACGCGACTGCCCTGGATCCAGCGGCACCGGCAGCCAGAGGCCTGTGTGCACCTGCCTTGGCCCCGGACAACAGCTTGTTGGCCGGCAAACTTTTTGGAGCACCCGTGTTATTCGCAGAAATCATAAATGCCTCTGAGTATTTGCGCGGCCGCATCTGGTGCTGCTTATCCTGGCCAATGCCAATGCCAATGGGTGTGTTTGTGAGCGAGAGGCTGTTCATTTGTGAGCCCAGTTTGGACGCACTCTTCGCTGCAAAAAGCACGTCCAGCTCGGCGTGGTACGCCTTGTGTGAGTCCCAGTCAAGCGCCGCGTCCTCGAGATACTCGTCATACCCGGTCGAGAAGGACTCGGGCACCGCCGGCCGGAGCTCGGACTTTGGTAGAGAGTCTTGCCTCCACGGGATGCGCAGCACCTGACTGTCAGAGTCGGTGCCACCGTCTCTTTTGCTGCTGTCTCCATGCTGTAGTTGCGTCATTAGTCGGGCGTACATGTCCAGCTCCTGGCGATGAACGTCGATCGCGACGGTGCAATTGGTCATCCAGCCGTTCTTGATCCCGCAAGGCTGTGCGCGCTCAACCTCAATTAGGCGCGACGAGTAGCGGCAATGCTTGCTCAGTATAAGCCGCAGTAGGTTTAGCGCCGATACTACCGCGTCGATGGACACTGTCGACTGCAAGTTTGTGTACACGAGATCGCGCAGCGTGAACGGAAGACATCCAGAGTCCGTGGAGTTTGACGCTGGCGAGGAGTCGTCGGGAGTAGACTGCCGCCGCTTTTGGCCAGGCGCAAGTTCGCCCTGGCCAAAACTATGCGAGTTGCCGCCTGTGCCCTCGTCTGTCAAAAAGTCCATAATTGTGCTGACCAAGTCTTCATGCCGTGCGACCTGTAGCATTGTCTCCAGGTATCTCATTACTGCGACGCTGCTGCCGTCGGTATCTGAGCTTTCCAGTAAACTTGGATACATGATTGCTTGCAAAAAGTTTTCGCGCAGGTTCTTCAGGAGTTGGTTGCACACATACGACGACGGGCAGCGGTACAATACCTCCTGGATGAAACCGAGCAAGTTCGCAAATTCCAAAAGCCGCGAGCGGAACTCGGCATTAGCCGAGCTGACTGATCCCCCACCCTCAGTCCATCGGTCAATGCTAGCGGCCCGAGCGCCATCAGCAGAAAATATCGAGCTCTCGATCGCATTCTGTAGGTCTGCCGAGTAGCTGGGAAAAGACTCGGGAACCACGGCAGCGGGACCTGTGGACACCCGAAGGCTGCGTGGAAGCTGCGAGTACAGCGCGCCCAGAGTCGCCGACAAAATGGCTGCAAATCCGCTGTCCTCTATTATGAATCGCTCGAGCGCCGTGTTCCCACCGGTAGACGCCATGATCTCGGTCGTCGCCAACTCCAGCAAAAACAGCAGGCTTGTTCGACCCGTGTCACCGGCCTTTCCCTCAAGATGCACAAACTGGAGCAAGTGCGAAAACAGCACAAACTCGTACGAGGTCGATGCCGGCTCTCCCCTACGACCTGTGTCCTCACTGCGCAGGCTCTCGACGCTCCGCATCATCGCCGTAATGCTCTCCGCGCTTATGCTGCGCTGCTCAATGCTCTTGAGCCACTTGCGGTCCTGAAAAAATATGTTGAGCAGCATGGGCTCGCCACGAATCTTGCTGCATATTGCGTACAGAAGGTCGACAAAGTCGTCATCGTAAATGTGCTGTTGCGTGTTAAACAGACTGGTTACCGACTGTGAAGTGTTCATATCGCCAGTGCTCCCCTGCACGGCGTACGAACGCAGCAGCTCCAACACTGGGTTGTGAACTGCCTTTTGCACCAGCAGCTTGTCATCTGTCAAGTTGACAAACGTGGAAAGGTTTCTGATGACCACACCGCGAATACCGACTGGTTGGTCCTTCTCTGCAAGCTGCACCAGCGACTCCAGAATATTGTTACCCAGTAGGTATTCCATGCATGCGCCTGTTGTCGAGTCGTCTGTGTCTGACTGGCGGATGTCCTCCTGGACCAAAAGGTCGAACATTATAACCAACTGCACGGGCAGGACTGTTTTATCGATTGGAATACCGCGCCATTTTGACTGGTGGTAGCAAATGTTCTGAACTGTCTTCCATGCCTTTTCGAATTTGTTGAGCTGCGACGTGCTGCCTCCGAGCGCTGCCCTTCTGGGTGTCGCAATATGCCGCGTGAATTTCGCAAAGTACTCCATGTGTGGCAGCAAAGATATTAAAGAAATGCGAATGCAGAAATTGCTAAAAAAAATATAAAAATAACAGCAGTGGCCTGGGAGAGAAAATGAAAAATGTTGTTGTTTTGGTTGTTTTGATACACACAGAGAGGAAATAGAATATTTGAAAATAATAACAATTAGAACGCCGATTGTACAATTATCAAATTTAAAGAAGAAAAAATAAAGAAAGAAAAACAACGTGGGTAAGAAGATGAAGGTGCAACACGAGTCGATAAAAAAAACCGTTGTACACATTGTCCTGTGCGTGACAGTATGCATATGCGTGCGAGGCAAGAAAAGTAAGGACAAGCAGTGAGGACAAATGCAAATGCAAAAAAGCCGGTTTTAGCACTTGAATTGTCTGTAGGTTTGAGTCAAGAAAGTTGTCGTCACTTTGAACAAAAAACACTCGCACACAAATCTTATAGCTTATTTGTTACAGTGATCAGATGAGCGGATCAAAATAAATTCTAGTATTTGATTTAAATATAAATTGTCAAGATGCACACTAAAAGAAAAGAACGAGACTACAAGTATCCTCAAAATGATATTCCCCCCCCCCCCCAGATTGACTAGCAACCTGACAAGTGTTTGGAAACTACTGGCAGCAGACCACTATGGTTGACGATATTAATCAGTTTGCTGCTTCTTTCGAAGAGAAGAAACAGGAGCAGATGGGTTCTTGCGCACACGCTTGGCCTTGGGCTTTGGCTTGATCAAAATCTTGGGCTTTGACTTGGGCTTGGGTTTGAACAAAGTCTCGGGTGTCGCTGTAGACTCGGGTTCAGCCAACTCTGACGATGCCTTTTTGCGTGAAAAATGGGTTTTGAAAATCCCCCGCTTAAAAATCTGGACATTCGCTATAAACGTCTGGAAATTCCAAAATCCATTTACACCAGTATATATCACATATGCACAACAATTTGATTCCGGAAACACATCCTGCACATATATATTGCAAATGCGACCAAGCCTCAAATGCTTCCTATAAAATGACACAATTATTTTGCATTCTGGGTGTGTCTATCACAGGGTTGTTTGACCGAGCTTGCTGTAATATTTTTATTGAACTCATATTTTTCATTTCCTTTCAAAAGAAAAATAAACATGTCAGGTATACCAATGCGACACTACATACACTGCCCTGTGTGCGGGCGAGCCCTTCCTATCAACATGTATTATGTCAGCCATGTTTTGAGCCACCATGTCAGATAGCTGCTCGGTGAACATGCACAATTAATGTATTTATTTTTGCTCGGTGGACATACACAGAACACGGGTCAAGTGCAACCAACGCAGCTAGTTCATCCTTGTCCTGCCTACTCTATTTATTTATTATTTGACAATATAGCGCCTTGGCTGAAATTCCAGAAATTAATACTTTGAACTTGCTATCAAAAAAAAGTTAAAGAAAATTTTAAATTTAAGCGGACTGCTTCTTCGAGTCCTCCTTGAGCGTAACAATGCGATTCATAATAATCTTGGCCTCGCTGGCGTTATCGTTCGCAATAGACTCGGCGGTCAGAACGCTGTCCTTGTCAAGGGTAAAGTAGCCAATGCGCATGAACTGGAATCTGATATTCTCAACGTGGTTTTCGGCCAGATCCTTCTTGCCCGATGCTGTGGCTGCAAACTTCTTGATCGAATCCCAGAGCCCAACCTCGGCAACAGCCCCCTTGTAGACCTGCAGCGAGTTGCGGTCGACATCGGACAGAAAGCCCTCTGGAACTGTGCTCTTGTCCTCGGGGTTAGAGTGATTGAACAGCGGGTTGTAGATGCGCACTTCGTCCAGGCGCACCGGCGAGCCCAGCTGGGGGCAGTCGGCAACCCACTGGATAAAGGTCTTGGGCTTGGGCTGCTTGCCTTCGTTCTCGTACCGGCAGACAAGCTCGGCGATCGAGCCGTCGGCGTTCTTGCGGACCTCAGTGCAGGTGATAGGGTGGGAAAGGCCCTGCAGGCCAACGGACTTGTTCGGGGCCAAGCGATAGTAGTCGGCCGAGTCGACATCGCGGAAATCGGAGGCGTCGATGTACAGGACGCGGGTGAAGGGCACTGTGTGGGAGCCGAAGGACTCGTCGCGCGGCTTGTAAGGGAGCTCGATCATCTCCAGGTGGCTCTCGGGAAGGTTGGACAGCACAACACGCACAGGGCTGATGGCGGCCATGATGCGGGGAGCGATCTCGTCGAGACAGCTGCGGATATGGTTCTCCAGGCGGCCGACGTCGATGGTGGCGCTCGTGGTGGTAACGCCAAGCTCACGGACAAACGCGTTGATTGCCTGGGGCGGCACACCACGGCGTCGCAGCGCCGGGATGGTGTACACGCGCGGGTCATCCAGATCGGAGATCAGGCCCTCGTCGCGAAGCTTCAATAGCTTGCGCTTGGACAGCAAGGTGTTGGTGACGTTGAGGCGTCCGTACTCCCATTGCACCGGCTTGTAGACCTCCACGGCGTCACACAGCCAGTAGTACGACTGTCTCGACAGGGTGAACTCACGCGTGCACAGCGAGTGCGTGATGTTCTCGAACGAGTCGCACAGGCAATGCGTGTAGTCGTAGGTTGGGTAGATGCACCACTCGGTGCCAGTGCGGTGGTGGCTGGAGTACAGGATGCGGTAGGCGATCAGATCCCACATCTGCGGGTTGCCGTCCTCCATGTCCATCTTCATGCGCAGAGTCGCCTCGTTGGCAGCATACCGGCCCTCCTTCATCTTCTGGAACTCCGCCAGGGACTCGGCAATGGGCCTGTCGCGGTGCTCGCAGGAGAACCGCGGGCCCTTGTCCTCACCACCACGCTGCTCGCGGATCTGCTCGCCAGTGCAGTGGCACACGTATGCCAGGCCGCGGCTAGTGAGTTCGACCGCCAGGTCAAAAAGCTCCTGGAAGTAGTCCGAAGAGTACAGAATCTTGTGCGGCTCGAACCCCAGCCAGCGGACGGTATCGAGGATCGAGTCGACGTACTTTTGCTCCTCCGCCTCAGGGTTGGTGTCATCATAGCGCAGATTGCACACGCCGCCGTGGGTCTTGGCGTAGCCAAAGTTGACATTGATGGCCTTGGCGTGGCCAATGTGCAGGTAGCCATTGGGCTCTGGCGGGAAGCGTGTGATGACCATGCCCCTGGTTGCGCGCAGATGCTCCTCCATAATCTCGGGCTTGATCTGCGGGTTCTCTCCAGCCTTGTGCAGCCGGCTGATTTCGCCGTCGGCAAACATGGCCTCGAGCGACGCGGGCTCCCACTTCTTGGCCTCGGGGGCCTTGGCAGCAGCACCAGCGTTGGATTTGGCGGCAGCGGCGGGCTTATTGGTGGCGGCAGCGGCCTTCTTGGCAGCGGCAGGGTCGTCTCTCTCGTCCTTAGGGCCCAGAAGCGCAAGGACCTGAGCATCAAACTCGTTCTTCACCTTGCCCGAGTCAGCCCACCGTAAAGCGGGCGCCTTCTTAATCAGGCCCAGAACTTTTCCTTGGCCGCGATACCGCTCCTTCACCAACGAGGCCTTGACGCTGTCGATAACATCCTTCACGCTGGCAGAAATCTCATCGTCGCTCACGACAACGCCGACACCGCAGGCCTCGTCAAAGGCCTGTTCATTGGCGGGAGGATCATTCTTGATGCAGAACTTTGTAGCTGCAGTCAGCTGCTCGGTCGATGCAATGCGGCCGCTCGCAATGGCCTGGGCGATGTACTCGGCGTGCGGTGTCTTGTCCTTGGTCACTGTGGTTCCCAGTGTATAGAGCAGCATGCCCGATGATTTGTCGAAAGTGGTCTGGCCAGTAGCATCAATGATCCCGCTCAAAGTAGGTGCGAGCTTCTTATTGCCAGCGGCCTCCTTGGCCTTTTCAGCGGCGAGTCCCAGTGCCTCGAATTTGGAAATGAGTGCGTCCATAGCGTCGAAAAGTTTTTTGGAGCTTTTTGAAATAAAAATGAATAAATAGTCTACTGGTGTATTGTGGAAGAAACAAAGGAGAAAGATAGAGTAATGGTGGTGGTATGGAATTCAAAGAACAATCAGAAAATAACAAACTTTGATTAGTTAGAATAAAATAGAAACAGTGGTGAGAAAATTTTGTACGTTATGAAAACAAAAACAAAAAAGCGTCTGGCAAAACTGGGCCAGTCTGATGAATTTTACAAATCTGCTTTACATCACGTGCGCTCATGCATGATGGAAAGCAAAAAGGCGCGAAAGATGAGTCAGAATTGAGTTGATATGAAATTGAATTGTGATGGCAAGGTATTCAAACTTTTCCACTCTCGAATCGGGCTTTCATTCTTTCTCAGCGCTGCGTGTCGTGTGCTGCAAGTGCTGCCGATGGGCGGTCGATAAGCTTGCCTCGCTGTGATGCTGGCAGATATGCGCAGCAGTGGCACCACTCTCGTGTTTTAAATAACGGCAAGATCAGCCAGGATCAAGAAGCGGCATTGTCTGCCAAATTGTCATGGCAGTCATAACATTTGGAATTACTGCCTTTATGCATTGCCAGTTACCGCCGAATATTGAAGGTTACTATCGCTGAGAATAAGCTCATCTTGATTGAGTTGCTTCCTGCGAATATTCATTTGGCCCAGAGAGACCCTGTTGCGCGGGGCAGCAACTTGTCCAAAAAACCCGCTATCTTTGTACTCTGTAACACACCTACCAAACAAACTTATTATTAAACGACACATAGAGCTCATATTTTCAGAGACCATGCCTAAAGTCCGCCTGGTCCATGCAAAGACAACGCAGCTGATGGGTACTCAGGCCAACAACCAGAGGACATTGGCAGAAATCGTGCAAGACGAGTGCCCGAGTCTCGCCGAGGGAGCGGTATTCAATCCGTCGCCCTTTGTCCCCGGTGGCCATGCCCAAACCATCTATGCATTTCTTGGATTTTACTTTTACTATGCTCACAGCTTGATAAGCCCCAGGTTTACTCGCGAAATATTCCGTCTCTCTGACGGGGGCATTGTGGATTTGGATTGGGCTCTGTGCGAAAACCACACAGAGCGGCCGATAGTCACCATACTTTCTGGAGTCACCGGAACAAGCTGCGACTTTTACGTGCGCAGATGCTACAACGAGTTTGTCAAGATGAACTACAGCGTGTTGGTTGTGCACAGCCGCGGATGTAAGTATTAACGCATGATGTTGACTGGAAATAAATTCCACATGTTTAATCGGCACGTATTGTTGTTAAACTGACATTAAAGATTAAAATTATTTAATACTTTCACTTTTGTAGGCGGCAGCTCCAAGCTGACAACCCCCATGCCGTTCCACTGTGGCCTGACCACCGATTACCGCGAGGTGATCAACAGTATCCATGCGCGTTTACCGAATTGCCCGCTGCTTGGGCTTTCTTTTTCGCTGGGCGCCAACATAATGGCCAAGTACATTGGCGAGGAGGGCGAGCAATGCCCGCTAGTGGCAGGCATAATTGTGGGGAATCCCTACGACATGTACAAGGTCATCCAGCACCTCGACTCTCGATTTTTCAGTCTAAACAAAATCTACGATATCGCCATCCTTAACTTTCTCAAAACGGCGTTTAACAACAACAAGGAGGCCATTGCCAGTGCGCCAATCGACTTTAATGTTCCCAATATCACCAACTCGACTACGATCATGGAGTTTACTGAGGAGATGACGCGCAAGGCATTTGGGTACAAATCGGCCAAGCATCTGTTGGATGAATCGAGTAGCGGTCCGTTCTTGGACAACATAAGGATCCCAGTTATGTTTCTCAACTCGCTCGACGATCCCATCTGCATAGAGCCCCTCATAACGTACGAGAAGTTTATCAATAACCCTTATCTCATGCTTGCCTTGACAGAGCATGGCGGCCATATCGGATATATGGGCGGCACTTGGCCCACCTCGTGGATCGAACACCCAGTGTCGCAGTTCTTCAAGGCCATGCTCAAACACAATGCTCCAGCAGCGCAGTGATAAAAATACATTTTACTATTCTCCTATTATTAATTACTTTAAACTGGAATAAACCCCATTAATTCTCTTTTATTTTACTCTAAAAAATATTTGAATGTAAAAGTGATATATTGCCAGCAGGTTTGCCGCCATTGCGCTTTATTTAGATATCATTGTATATTGTTATCAAGGAAGCCCTAACATGGCTGATAACAAACTGCAAAGCAAATGTAAAAGTGTTAATTTCGCGAGTGGCGCAATCGCCGAAATGTGTGGCGCCAAATATGAAATGAGCATACACATGCATTGTGCAAAAATTTTGTTCAGAATATCAGTTCTGAGACAGGATTTTACAATACAAAGTCCACTCGTTATTTGTAGATTCTACAATTTCCGCTCATTTACTTGGCGTTGACTTGTCTCTTTCCTTTCCCGCCTTTCATTTTGCATTTGTTTGTTGATATTACAACTTTTTTGGATTATACTTGCCAATGGTGTACACAGCAGTTCTTCCCAAATCGTGGTTCAAGGTCCAACTGACACACGCACCTTCTGAAAAGCAGCCGCAGCGTGGAGGCAGAACGCTTTTGGAGCAGCTCAAATACACATGTCCTACAATAGCGGACCCCTCAAAGGCATACTATGTGCCGCCGTGGACAATTCACAACGGTGACCTGCAAACAATCTATCTCTACACGCAGCACTTTAAGCCTGCCGGGTGCCCGGTTGAATTTGAGCGCGAGATATTCAAGTTTTCCGATGGAGGAAGGGCGGCCGTAGACTGGGCATTGCCGCGACTGGACACACATCCAGACTCACCATTGATGGTGCTGATTCCTGGCATTGCTGGGTCTAGCTATGACTATTACATAAGATCGTTTATTACTTGCATCGCTCAACAGTCATATGGATACCAGGTAGTTGTGCTGCACAGTCGAGGGTGCAATGGAGTCGATTTGGCTACGCCAAAGGCCTTTCACGGTGGAATGACTGAGGATCTGCGCGAGTTTATGGACTACATTGGCAGAACTAGGCCCAACGCCCCGCTGGTCGGCATTGGCTTCTCATTGGGCGCCAACATTTTGACAAAATATATTGGTGAAGAAAGTGACAAATGTCGGTTTGTCGCGGCAGCCTCTGTGTGCAACCCATTTGACATTCACACAACGGTCACTAACATGAGCCAGCCTTCAATTAAAAACCGCTACTTGTATGCGGCGGCATTAACACGATCGCTAGTTTCGGTATTCACTAATAACGAGAAAGTCATCTTGGCTGGCAATGTGGAGCTCAATGGCAAGGCAATTGCGGCGTCACGCAACATTGACGAGTTCAACGAGGCATACACTGCCAAGGTGTTTGGTTACAGCTCGGCCAAGGAACTAAGCATCAGCGGCAGCAGTGTTCGCTATTTGAAGGATATCAAGGTACCAATGTTGTTCATTAACGCACTCGACGACCCCATGTGCTACAGGCGCACAATCCCATTTGCTGAGATCAAGGCCAACCCGAATCTGGTTCTGGCATGCACGCGGTATGGCGGCCACCTGGCGTACTTTGAAGGTATCCAGATGACAACTTGGCTGCCCAAACAGCTTTCGCAGTTTGTCCGCGGAATGCTTGAGTGGAAATAAAAAGATAAAAACATTTGTTTTTTAATTAAACAATTCATTGGCTCTACAAAAAAATCAGTTGACATTTAGTGTGCTACGCGCGGTTCGGCGGATAAAGTTGAGTGTGCACAAAAGCATTGCGACAATTCTGAGTGGAAGTACCTTTTTGTGTGATCCAGAGGTGAGGAATCTGCCATGTCCGAGATCTGCAGGCACTTAGAATCTGGCATGTTTGCTCCTGTAAAATTGAATTGAATTTATTATGCATGACAAAGGCAAACACATGAACTCGCTTATCTTTATTTATTTCTCTTTCTTCTTTCTTGACACTTTTTCTTTTTCGTCTTCTCTTTATCTGCCCACACTAAAGCGTTTTGCTCGTACTTTTTAATGCCATACAACCCGCTTCTAGCAACCAGTGCTATTGCAGTTGGCGCAGCTGTAATGTATCGCAAGAACACCATCGACAGCAGCGGCGTGAGTCTGCTGCATGCCCCGCAAACGGCCAGGATTGAGGGCAAAAAGACCCTACTCGACATCATCACAGCCGAATGCCCATCGCTGGCAGACCCTGAAAAGGCACGGTTCGTGCCCACACCAATGCTTCCGACCGCCGACTTCCAGACATGTTACAATGCTATTAGAGAGCGGTTCGGAAAACTCAAAATTGTAAAGTACGAGCGCGAGCTCATCACCACAGAGGACGGTGGTACTATCGGCCTGGACTGGTCGCCTCCGTTTACGCAGATGCCCGAGGATGACCGTCCAATTGTGGTCCTGTCCCATGGGTTGTCGGGCGGAAGCCAGGAGACCTACGTCCAAACAGCCATCAAGGCCCTCACGTCTGCGCCGTACAATTTCCGAACTGTTGTGGTCAACTTCCGCGGCTGCGCAGGCGTCAAGCTGACCACACACGTACTGTACAACGGCGGCTTCACGTCAGACTATGGAATTGCCGTGGAGTATATCAAGGGCCGCTTCCCGCAGTCAAAGCTTGTAGCAATTGGTTATTCACTGGGCGCGAACTTGATCACAAAGTACGTCGGCGAGCAAGGCGAGGTCTGTCCGCTAAAGGCTGCCATATCTGTGGGCAACCCTTACGACCTGGCAGCCTCTTCGGACGCCATTGAGGAGCCCACCTTCCGCAACAAGTACGTGTACTCGCCTGCTATGCTTGAGGGTCTGATGCGGCTTTACCGGCGCCATAGCAAGATGATGGCCACGGGCCCGGTCAAGCTTGACGCCAAGGCAATTGCAAAGATAAAGTCAATTCGTGAGTTTGACGAGCTCATTACATCGAGGGTGTTTGGGTACAAGAACAGCACCGACTATTACCAGCAGAACAGCAGTGCCCAGTTCATGCCCAACATTAGCATTCCCTTCTTGGCCATCACTGCGCTGGACGATCCTGTGTGCCCCGACAGTTACATTCCTCGCGAGACATTCCGCTCCAACCCGCACTTGGTCCTTGCCCTTACGCAGTACGGCGGGCATCTGGGCTACCACGAGAGCTTGAGTCAGTCGTGGCTACCTCGCCCAATTGCCGAGTTCTGCAGCGCCATCTTCAACCACACAACGGTGTAAAGCGAGGGCCCTCTTCAGTTTTATATTTATTTATTTTTGTCGAAAAATTTCCAACAATTTGGCCCAGTCCCAAAACAAGCCAGTTCCTGCCCGGGCGCCACTATGTCGCAATTATACTTCGCGAGGGGTTTTTCTGTGCCTCAGCTATATTCGCGACGGCCCTTGTCTCGTCTTGTTTATTCTTTTAAATTATTTGTTCTAATTCTTTCGTTTTTAATATCTACCAAACACGCAACACATCAAACTCAAATAAAAAACATTGCTTCAAAAGAAACGAAACGTATGGCCGGTATACCTCTTTCCGGGTGTTTCCCAGTTGTGTCGACGCTGCAAGAGTACATGGACGCCCTCGTTATTGATGGGAAGTGTCAGCAAGACGATGACCCGTCCAGTTTCAAACGGTTTCTAAGCAGTACCCTCGTCGGCCACAGTCCTATAACTCGCCAATGCTTCTTGGAAGAGCCCAGCAACAGCGTCAGAGACATCGCAATCAAGGCCATCCAGAGGCTGCTCAAAATGGAAGTGGCAACTGTCAAGAAGCAAACAACGAGCGAATGGTTTCTAGAGACAGAACAGCGCAATATCTTGGCCGCAGGCTACAAGTGCACAACAGTGTGCTCCAAGAATTCAGTGCGCGGGGCTATTGGGCTGTCCAACAACAATATCAACTCGACAATGGTGGAGCTGAACAACAGGCGCTGGGACATTTTGCTCGGCCGTGTCGGAGATGTCGCGCTGGGCAGGTTGTTTATCGAAACATCGATATTCGTGCCTCTCAAGAGGGGAAGCTTCCAACAGATATGTGGCGCCCCGCTCATCAACGCGAACAGACCACCGCTTGAGTCGGTCAGCGTCCCCATCATCGAAAGGCTCTTTGACCAGGGATTGAAGAGCAGCAGCAAACGGCGACTCGCAGATACTGACAACCATGGGGGTGGCGAGGCTGCCTCGCCGAAGCGATCTTGTGTCTGCAGTAAGCGGCCCGATCAACAGAAGCAGAGGCAGAAGCAGAACCTAGGGCCAGGTGTGCCTATACGCTTCCTTGAGCCCCCAAAGCTGTGCAATGCCACCGTGTTCCGCCGCTCGATGCAGTATTGCGTACCGGCGATTACCAAGGGTAATTTTAAAAAGAAGGAGCACCCGGTGTGGGCCCTTCCCGAAACCTTTCCGCTCAACAGCTGCACATCCGCAGACGAGCTCCTCAGGAACATATTTTCCGGGACGCCAGAGTTTATTGTGCATCTTCCAGAAAAGCTGATTGTCCTGGGCCGGCGAATGCTCAAGCTGCACAAAAAATGCAACTACCGTTTTCATCTGTTCAGGCAATGCCCTGCACCGTGGCAGGTCTGTGATACTTCTGGCAGCAGTCAGGGTACAAAGCAGGACGGGCCGCTGACTGGCAGTGCCGGCAACAGCGATAGTGACAGCGATAGTGACAGCGATGACCAGTTCAAAGGCGGACTCGAGGCTGACGGCCTGCCATTTTCGATTGGCCTGAGCTTGCCGACTCCCGAGCACACGCCGGACGGCTCGCCGGCCCCAAGTTCACAAATGCACGCCGCCACCAGCCAGCCTGGGTCGACCGGCGGACAAACCTCTCTTTCTGGCGCAAATCCAAATGTGCTGGAGAAGGCTACTTCGCACGAGCAGGTGTGCATGTATCTCCAGCTGTGCATCAGTCGTGTTATTCCGCGGGAACTAATCGGCGGCAAGAAGAACCTTCGCGAGCTTTTCAAGCTCGTCCGAAGTCTGATCCGGACCGGAAACTACGAGAAGCTCTCCTTGCACGACTCTATCCAGCATTTTATGGCGAGCGAGGTTAGCTCATGGCTCAATGGCTGGGACCGGCAGCTGGCCTTTGACATTTATGCAGGTTTAGTGCGCTGGATCTTGTCCGACTATGTGATCGGGCTAGTGCGCTGTTTCTTTTACGTGACTGAAGGCTCGACTACCTACAACGCACTGCACTTTTACCGCAATGACGTGTGGACAAACATAACTAGAAAGCCATGGCAGAGTTTGGCGGGCGGCATGTACCAGCGAAAGTCATTCGATGAGCTGGCGACCGCGCACGGGAGCAAGAGTACCGGCGATGAACCAGCTGCAGGTATCCAGTACTCGCACATGCGTCTGGTACCCAAAGTTGACTCGTTTCGCCCGATTGTCAACATGAAGAAGACCATGTCGATTAGCAGGAGGAGGACAGACAGCTTGGTCGTGGGAAAAAGGTTTTCGAGTATACCGCCAGCAAGGCGGCCCCGATTAACCAAGTATTGAAGGACGCGCACGCGGTGCTGCGACGCGTGCGCAACGCGAACCCCAATATTACCGGGGCGGCTGTGCTTAAAAACGACGAGATTTTTGGGCGGCTAAAGGCGTTCAAGAGTCTGCCGCAGGTTCAGTCGGTGCTGGGAACCGGCGAGCTTTTCATGGCCAAGTTTGACATCCAGAGCGCGTTCGACACGGTGAACCAGTCCAAGCTGATAGCGCTCCTGCGCGATTGCCCAGTGCTTGACAACAGGGCATACATGGTCTACCGCCATTGGGCTGTGTCTCTGACAAGCGATTCGATTAAAAAGTATGCCCGCCACGCGTTGCCGCTGCCAGAGGCAGAGTCATTTGGTGCAGCGGTGCACAATCTTTCCAAGCAATCCAGGCAGCAGGTATATGGCGACTGGTCGGGAAGCAAGCCAGTCCACATGGAGGGGATAGTCAGCCAGGTCGTGGACCACATTCACAACAACGTTGTCCGCACGCCATTGGGGCTGCTGCACCAGTACGTGGGCATCCCACAGGGGTCGGTCATGTCGTCGCTGCTGTGCAACTTCTTCTATGGCCAGCTTGAGCGTGAGCACCTGTCGCTGATCGTCGACCCGTCGCGCACTCTCCTGGTGCGCATGGTGGACGACTTTTTTGTTGTTTCCACCAGCCGCGACCAGATTATGTCGGTACTTGAGCGCATGTCCTTAGGCGTAGCGGAGTATGGATGCAGGCTGAATGGGCCCAAGACATTGGTCAACTTCAACGCCGTCATTGGCAGGCAAGTCCTTAATCGCACGACCTCGTCGAATTTCCCCTGGTGCGGCAAGCTGATCAATGACAGGACGCTCGATGTCATGATCGATTATGCACCGTTGGCGCTCATGGACAGTGTCGAGCAGAACGTGAGTATTAATACCAGCAGCGTGAACGGATGCATGCTGCGGCACCGCATGCTCGGCGTGGTGCGCTCACGCATAGGCAAGCTGTTTTTAGATGGCAGCCTCAATTCTGGGCCCACGGTGTCGCTCAACCTCTACCAGCACCTTGTGATCTGTGCCAAAAAGTTCCATGTCTTTCACCGGCGTATTCCGACGCGCAGCAGCCAGATGCAGCTCTTCGGTGTTATAAAAGAGACCACCGAGCTGGCATACATAATGATGCGATCTGTATGCAGCAACAGTGGCATTTCGGCCACAGACATGACATGGCTGGCCATGCATGCCTTTAAAACGGTTCTGTTGCGGAAACGCTCCCGCTACACGCATCTTCTTCAGAACATAAATTACATACTAGCCTTGCCAAAGTTCGATCAGCCGAGCTTGCGATTCAATGACACTGTGAAATCGCCGCTGAACAAAGTCGTGCTTTCGATTAAATACTAGCTACTGCGCAATCCCTCTTCTTTTTTGGTGTATAAGGATACCTTTATAAGTACATGCCAGCATTATTTTAACCCCGACAGGAAAAATTAACATGCACCAAATGTCTTGATAAAATAACAATACTAAAATTAACAGCTCTTTTTTCATGTATAATTTCATGTTCTTTTCGCGTGCAGTCAGGAAGAGACTTCCAAGAAGTTGTGAGCAAATAAAATTATTTCAAAAAGAAAAATTGCAGCCAGTCGATTCTCCTTGTTTCTTCCAGTCATGATATAATTTTTTCTCTTTTTTCTCTTTTTCTTTTCTCTTTTTCAATTCTCTTTTTTTACTCTTCACTCGCATTTTGACATGACACTAAATTCAAAATCTGGCGAAACAGCAGAGCAATTCAAACAAGCGCAGGAGCAATATCAGGAGCAAGAGTCTCTGCTGCCCTTGCAGCCATCAACATTACCACTAGCAGCGCCAGCCAAGGACAATGCTGACCCTGCGACATTGCAGCTCCACCAAAGGCATCCCTCCGGAGGAAACATCAAGAGGATTCTCCATGCTGTCAGCGACCGCACATTTCGTTCTGGCGACCGCGACCGCGACAGCCACAAACAGTCACGCCACAGCAGGGGGTCGTTGGGCAGTATATTCCAGTGGCCCACCCAGGGGAGCCTTTCTTCAGCTTTGTTTGGCAATACCTCCACTGATAGCACCCCATTAGCTCGGGCGACAGGCCTGAAAATATTTTCGACAAGGACACAGCCAGGGCGCACGAGCGCGGCGAGTATAGTGCTGATGCCAATGGATTGCCACCGACAGCGAGCGTGCAGCACGCTATCGATGGCGACTCGCAAGTCTTTTTTGCGCGTGACGAAGGCGATTCGAATGTAGCTGGCGCGCCGGTTGCTTCCGAAATGCCTAAATTAACAGCACGAGCAACCACATTCACAGCTCAATATAAAGCAGAGCCAGTGCCAGGCATGTGGGAGGGCGGGAATTCGGCTAAAGCCAAGGCGCGCGAGCAAGATCCAATTACTCTGGCTCATAAAAACATGCCACTAGAGCCTGAAGAGTGCGTACGGCCAGAAATGCCATGGGTGGTCGAGCAATTGAAGCTGGGCGAAAAGCCCTTTTCCAATTTATTTGAAGATGACACTAATGATGCAGCTGTCGAAGACAACAGCGATGACCGCTACGCCAGCGCCCATTTAGAGAGAAAGCGCAAGCGCAAGCTGGCGTTTGAGGTGTTGAAGCGGCGAGTGAGCGAGGCGCGGATCGGCATTCCTCGCGAGCTGCCTGCGCCAACCATTGAATCCTTCCGACGGGAGGACGGCACTGTCGATTACACCCGCTACGGATGCAGTCTGGTCAAGCATTTGGCTGAAACGCGATTTAGCCACAAATTGGACTATCGCCACGACCCGCGGGACCCATGCAAACTCGACAAATTCATCACTACGCTGCACCGGCTGGTCGAGGTGTCGGCGCCATACCAGCGGTTCCTTGTTTGGCTGTACAGGCTCGCGCGCTGGGACAACCCCCGCCTGTCGTTGTGGTGGTGCAGCGTGTACTTTTTGTTGCTCTACTTGGGCATGGTATCTGCGGCGCTGTGGGTGACGCCTGTGTTTGTCACGGCATACTATCGCCTGCGACCGAGCCATGCGTACAGCTGGCTTGGCTTTGAGCGCCCCGAGACCAGTATTATCCCGAGCAAAGTTCTTGAGGACGCCTCAACGGCACAATCGGAAAAGGCCTGATAGCCAACCACATGTGGGACATTTGGCGTGAGACGCTGGGCGCGCCTGTGCACATGTATCTGGCCGACTTGGCCGACTCTATGGAGCGAGCCAAAAACTGCGTAACTTGGAAGCGCCCCTGGGCCTCCCGGGCAGTGATGCTTGTGCTGACAACCATGGCCATATTTTCGTATGTCGTGCCTGCAATTGTATTTCAGAGACTCTTTGGAATTTGCATCGGCGTGCAATTTTTCTTTCTGGCACCGCTTCAGCTGAGGTACCAGCGGTACCGGCGGATGGTGTGGGTCGTCGACTGCCTCCTGTGGCACTGCCCAACGGATGTGGAGCTGGCGGCAGATACTCTCTACACGAAAAAACTTTGCCGCAAGTCTAGCTATGCCTCCGAACCAAAGGATGGTGGCGATGAAAACACCACTGCAAAATCAAAGACGGGGCCGACGACGTACCTGCGCACAGTGGTTGCCGACATGGTCTACGCATACAACCCGCTATCCAGAAAGCAGCGTCTGCCGATCACCATTCTCCAGACAGCATCCTCAACATCGCTGGACCGCCTTGTCGACGAAACTGAAGACGCCGGTGACATCAGCGCCGTTCATGAGGCGCTGTTGGCTGGCAAACGACTGGGGAGGAAGTTTTTCCATGGCTCTGGTGTTGTTGGCACAGATGACGACCGTTATACAGGCCTGGGAGGCGATGCTATCGGCGGCGGCGACAACGACAACAGCAGCCTATGCTTGCCTTCGATGATGGGCCTGGCAGAGGAGCGGGAGTGGATGAGAAAGAACAATCTATTCAAGCCTGTTAGTCGCACATACTCCGTAGAGAGCTTACTCAGTATGTACAAGGGGGACATTGCCACTAGCCCGATCGATCTTCAGCACACCAGGAAGTTGTCAGATGCGAGTGTCTCTAGCATACCCGCTGACAACCAGCCCACAGCACATATGGCTGCTTTTTCAGAACCCGGCCTGACTGCCACCAACAGCAGCAGTCATTCGCACGAGGGCGGCATTCACAGCATTGGTCGCGTATTGCTGGCTCGAGCAAAGGGTCAGCTCTCGTCAAAGTTCAAACGGACACAAGACCAGGATGCCAACTCCTTCAAAGCTGGGCATCTGCCCGGTCCAGTGGAGAGACCCACTTTGCGGCATTCACTGGCGATTTCTTCAGATAACATGGCTGGCGACAAAAAGCGCCAGACATTATCAATGATGGACTTTACAGGGCTGGGCTTTGACGGTCCCATTGCAGGCGGCAGCGATGTTGACGAAATTTCCAGCGACAACGCCAGCAGCAACACTGATAAACACGGCGCCGAAGCCAGCGGCAACATCCAAAATCTGAAGAGCAAGAATTTCACAGAGCTGTCCTCCGACGGATCCAAGGGCGGGGGATATGCCGAGGAACTTTTTGGCAGCCTTGCCAACAACACAGACTCGAGCAGCTTGGAGCTAACCCACGAGGCGAATGACCTCAATGCACTTCGAAACAAGGACGCGCTGTCAACAGGCCACGGTGTCGATCTTCACTCGCTCTATGCGTTCCGCTGCATTCACAACGGCAAGTATGGTACGCTGTTTGTAACAGCTGACCGATTCGTGTTTCGTAGGTCGCGAATCATGGGTGGGCGCCGCTCGAGCGTTTCGAGCTATCTGCTCAGCAGCGTCGTGGCAATTCGCAAGTCGACTGGGCACTTTGGCAAGTCCCACGGCATTCAGATTCTTCTCAACGACGGCGTGCCGTACTACTTCTACGGTCTGCCAAGCGCGACGATGCCTTTGGCTTTTTATTGGTGCGCTGTGGAAACAGCCATGCATACTAAAAATTAATTGTCAATAAAATGCGTGACATGTTTAGTCCATTTATGAGAAGAGCTGTAATGTGGCGCGGTGCAGTGCATCGTGTGTTTGGTTTGGTTTGGTTTGTTACATATGTGCGTGCCACTTCGGTCTTGTATGTTCGAATCGTTGGTAAAATTGAACAAGGCACATGTGTTGATGCTTCCTGGACCGCCACAACTCCCGATTCATCCTTATTGCAAAAATATGCAATGTAAGTTTGGCGGTTCCAGACTCGCAATGTGCGGCCAATCTTATGAACACTCTGCGCATATGTCGATGACATTTGTCTGTATGTGTACATCCCATGTTTAATCCAGGCAAGTGCATCTATTTACTTGGTCGGTTCGGTCAGCTCAAGGCTCAGTAAATTTTTCTTCTTCCATATGAAAATAGTAGCCGGGGGGTTTTTTTCTGGCTGGCTGCTGCCAAACTGCACGAAAAAATAAAAGCACCACCTTCTTTTCCCTCTCAACTCCTCTTTTTGTTATTCTAAATTTGCACTGTTTATTTTTTCTTACACTTTCCCTGCTTGACAGCCCGGCATAGTTCCTTATTGCATCGTCTGCATCAGCCAGCACTGCAACACGCTTTTTATTTTTTTATATTTTTACTTTGCCCTATTTTCTTTAAGAACCCTCATATAACCCCTCACACACACGCACATAAGCACGCACATACACAGCCCTTAGAAGCTTTGAATTCTACAACTCTAGTATGCCAATGGGTGAACCTTTTAAAGAGCCGCGTTATGCCAAGCTTGATAAGGTTGGCGAGGGCACATATGGCGTGGTGTACAAAGCTCGCGATTTGAAAGAGGGAGGAATTGTCGCAATGAAGAAAATTCGTTTGGAGGGCGACGACGAGGGCGTCCCTTCAACGGCTATCCGGGAGATATCCTTGCTCAAGGAGCTGCAGCACGATAATATTGTCAGGTAAATTACAGCTGCCTTGGGTACTGGAAGGGTCAATGTTTTGCGCCTTTTTTATTGTAAACAACCTTGGGCGGGCAAGTCGAGCATTTACGTTGATTTGTTAACAATTGGTGATTGTTGTGCTTGATTTTCGTAATTAGCCATCATCCTCCCAAATGTTTGATCGTGTGATCACTGTCTAGTAGTAATCAATTGCTGTTGCTTAATTCGCCTGCCTACCTGCTTGTTTGATTTATTTTTATTTGCGCATGTAGGCTGCTGGATATCGTCTACGATGACTACAAGCTGTACTTGGTCTTTGAGTTTTTAGATCTCGATTTGAAAAAATACATGGACAGCGTGGGTCCCGCAGGTCTTTCGCCCGTACAAGTGAAGGTACATAGCGGTTGCCAGCATGTTTTATTGCTTTCCATGCAACTGGCCGCCCTTGTTTGGTTTTATGTCTTACTCACTAACATTATATGTACATGTGTGTGTGTTTTTTAATTCTTGAACTGTAGAGTTATATGCACCAGCTTGTTAAGGGCATTGCATTCTGCCATACTCACCGTACTCTGCATCGCGATCTCAAGCCGCAGAATCTGCTGATTGATCAGAACGGCATGCTCAAAATTGCCGATTTCGGACTCGGACGGGCCATTGGCGTGCCTCTGCGTGTGTATACCCACGAGGTTGTGACACTGTGGTACAGGGCGCCCGAGATTCTAATGGGCTCGCGCCAATACTCCCTTGCAATGGACATGTGGTCGATCGGCTGCATCTTTGCCGAGATGGTGCGGCGCAGGCCTCTGTTCCCCGGCGACTCTGAAATCGACGAGATTTTCAAGATTTTCCGCATTCTGGGCACGCCCACTGATAAGGTGTGGCCCGGCGTTTCTATGCTGCCTGACTACAAGCCAAGCTTTCCCAAATGGCAGGCCAAGGATCTGGCAGAACTCCTTCCGGGGTTAGATGCCGATGGAATCAATCTCCTTAAGCGCATGCTGATATACGACCCCACACGTCGCATATCTGCCAAGCAAGCGCTGGCACACCCTTACTTCAACGACATCAAGAAGTAGGCGGCTATTCATGAACCATGCTCTTGAACCTTCATATTTCTATTTAGTATAGAAAACGACCTTATTTTTTTATTTTTTATGCATGATGCTTGGACCTTCTGCTGTGTTATATTTGTCTTAAATTGCACCTTACTTTTTTTGCAAGCAACGCCGCATCAGATACTGTAATCACAAAACGATGACAGTGTGCATCGGAAGATCGCAGTGACTGAAGCCACACTCGTATTGTTGGGGGGACAGTCCATGGCTGATCGCGGTTCTCCGTCCGCCAATAGGGCTGCCATCTGATAAGATGTAATAAGAGTAACCAATAACCTTCATTTCAGCGCGCTTTACGACGAATTATCTGTATTGCGCCCAAGTGTTTGCAAAAGCGTAAACCTTTGGATTTTTTATCCGCCGGTCGCGGAACCCAATATTAAACCGTTCCTCAAAAATTTGACATTCACCTTGTATGCCCAGATAAAAAGTTGGAATATAAAAGGCAGACCAAAAGCGCTGCTATGTTATTTTTTTAAGCTTTTCACCTACATTTTTATCTTGGCCCATTTAAGCTGACACTTTATTAATTTTTCCCTTTCATTTTAATTTGCACTTTTCAAATTTACAAGCATAAAACCATATAAAACGATTAAACTCGATCTTCGAAGCAATGGCGCATAGAAATATCGACACCGAGTCTGACTCAACCAACCTCTCCAACTTACCGTCTCTGATACTGGCAAACATATTCGCGCATTCCGACCCAAGCAGGTGGTGGGCCCTTGGTAACACAAAATTTTGCTCCATCATCGACACGACGTCGTTTCGCTGCTCGTGGGTATTCCATCTGGCCAACAACTGCAATATTGCAGCAAAACACATCACTTGTATTGAAGATATAGCCGACATTTGTGACAGCACGCTGCGCCCGATCAGCGATTTGGTTGGATCTGACTCGTGGTTATCGGAGGTTTTTGTTCACGCGCTCAATGCTCATCGCCCGCGTCTTCTCAGGGCACTGGCGCCAGGCTTGCTTTGGACGGCGATCCTCTCCAGAAAGCAAAAAGTAGCATACCTTGTTGCTCAGTGCTCGGATGTCAAGCTAGATATTCTTGAGGGCAAGTTTCTCCGTGATCTACTTGTGCAACAGCCATCACTGTGGGTGCTTGAACTGTTTGCAACTAATTGTTCAGACATTTCAAAGTTTAGCGGCCGCGACAACTGCTTTGATATGGCACTTATGGTGGACTGGGTGCTGACCAGCCGTGTTGGCTTGCTTGGATTTTTGGCAGATCACAATCTTGAGATTCCTGTCCGGTCGCTGATAGAATATGCGCTCGGCGCATCGACGCCGGCGACGGTTGAGCTTTTAATGCGCTGTAGTGCCGGCCAGCGCAACGAGCTCTCGTGGAACGATCTTCTACTGATGGCGAGCGCGGAAGCTTCCACGCGGGCGGATGTTTTTGAGCTTGTGGTCAACAAGACCGAGCCCAGTATTGTTTGGGCGTTCGCCGCCTCTTGTCTGGCAGCGCACGCATTGCTGGACAATTGTGCGTATCAAAAGTTTTCGGTTCTGCGCGGCCTGCCCAATGCAGAGTTATGGATAGTCAGGTCCATTGGTGGGCAGACGCCAATTCAGCGCGTGTGCGAAAAGCTGACATTCGAGAACCTCACCTCATTGACGCCGTTTATCCGCGACTACCTTGATTTGGGAGTCTCGGCAGTTGATATGCCAAGCATCGTCGCCGCACTTTGCCATTAGCGTTTTTCACGCTTCTGTCGATCATACCATTTAATTTTGACTCGCAAAGCCTGATAAAAGGCATATGAGATTTGCCATTTCGGGTGAGGGGGAAGAAAAGCCTAACCTTCGGAGACAGATAACGCATTGCATGTGACAGGTATTTTGTCTTATTTGCGCGATGCAGGCGAGCTCTTGTGCGCACGGGTCATCGCGTTATCTTGGCAGACTGGATTGTACGAGTATAAAACGTGAGCAAACGAAGCTCGGCCGTTCCCAGACTTGGAATCAAAACTCTTTTGCGCGCATTGCTCACTATACTATTTTTTTAATTTACTTTCTTAATTGCTGCTGTTTTTTATTTCTTAAAATTTTAATACATATTGCAAAATTATTTTCACCGTTAAATACTGTGCAAAAAATGTCTTTTGTTCCTACCGTCACAGACATCGGCTCTATCTACAGCCTCGAGGTGGAGGCTCAGTCCAAGCGCTACGCCCAGCTGGCCAAGTCGTTTGAGGAGCTCTATGGATCCAAGCCTGAATTTACTGCTCGCGCGCCCGGGCGCGTTAATATCATTGGCGAGCACATCGATTACTGCGGCTTCCCGGTCTTCCCGATGGCGATTGCGCCCGACACCCTGATCGCCGTCCGGGCCAACGGAACTGATCGCGTTCGTGTGGCCAATGTCAACGCAGACAAGTATCCCGCTCGCGATTTTTCCGCCTCTGGTGATGTATTCGATATCGACTCGGCGCTTCACGAGTGGTCCAACTATTTCAAGTGCGGATACCGCGGCGTGTTCGACCATTTGGGACGCAAGGACGGAAAGGGCTTTGACGCCCTGCTCGACGGCACAGTGCCTGCCGGAAGTGGCCTTTCATCGTCGGCGGCATTTGTATGTGCGACAGAGCTGGCCGTCCAGCGCATCAATGGCTTTGAACTGACGCAGTCAGAGCTGGCTTCGATTGCAGCCAGCTCCGAATGCCATGTTGGTGTGAACTCGGGTGGCATGGACCAGACAGCCAGCATCATGGGCCAGCAGGGATCGGCGCTGTTTATTGAGTTCCACCCTGAGTTGCGCACCACTCCAGTCAGGTTCCCCAGCGTCAGCCCGTCGATAGCGTTTGTCATCGCCAACACACTGGTTGTCTCTGACAAGCATGTGACTGCGCCCGTCTGCTACAACCTGCGCGTGGTCGAGACCCGCGTTGGCGCGCTGATTCTGGCAAAGCACCTGGGCATCTCCGAACGCCCGGCATGCAAGGATGTTGACCCCCTGACATTCAAGATCGTCATGGGCGAATACTTTGCCGACCAAGCTGATAGCGGCAAGGATGAGGTCCAGGTTTGGATTGACCGCCTGTCTTTCATGCTAGAGGAGTCCAAGAAGGCGTTTGGCAGCCAGCCTGATGGCTATACCCGCGAGAGTATGGCAGCTGCGCTCGACATCTCGCCGGAGGCTCTGAGTATCAAGGTGCACGAGAACCAGTTCCCGGTGCGCGCCGACAAGTTCCAGCTGCTGAACCGCGCTCTGCACGCGTTCTCCGAGACACTGCGTGTTGTCAAGTTCCGGCAGATCTGCGAGCAGCCCTCGGGCGATGTGGCAAGGGCTCTGGGAGACCTGATGAACGATAGTCAAGATAGTTGCCGCGACTTGTTTGAGTGCAGCTGTCCGGAGCTTGACGAAATATGTGCTATTGCCCGTCGCGCCGGCTCATTCGGCTCGCGCCTGACGGGTGCTGGGTGGGGCGGCTGCTCAGTCCATGTGGTGCCCGGCGACAAGGTTGAGGAGGTGAATAAGGCGCTGGCAGAGGAGTACTACGCCAAGCGCTTCCCCGAACTCACCAAGGAGCAGCTCGACGACGCGCTGTTTGCCACAGCGCCCGGATGCGGCGCCTGCTATTACAACGAGGCTTGATTAAATTAATTATTAGTTTTCAGACATAATCGAATCAAGTATATTTCAAATCAGCAATGCTTTATCGATGACTTGTCCGCATGCCACACTGCGTATTGCCGATTTCAAGGCCATGTTATAAGTATACAGATGACGACCGGACAGGCCAAAATGAAATCAAAACCAGCAAACACGGAAGGGATTTCGACCACAGTTCAAAAGTTTATAAATAACAAAAACAAATATTGAGATTACAAGCAGTGTTGGATTTGCGTATCTCGAGAGTGTTTGTGGAGTGAGAAAATGGAGACAGACGCAGCAATGATTTTTTGAATCTAAAAATGGACATGTCCAAAAATAAGCGCATCAAACATTTGATGAAGACCGTCGTCATCCCTCCTCCATTTGGCATTTTTTGGTAACTGGCCGATTCAGATAAAGAAAAATCTGGTTTACTTGCGCGCAGGATCCCGCACATCTTGAAGCCAAAGTGATGTATTCCATTTGCGGCAGATTCGTTCGAGTTTGCATCGTTATTTTTGTATTGTATTGTATTGTATTGTATTGTTTTTTATTTTGCAGGTACGAGTTGGGCTCATTGTAATATTTTCTTTAGTGCTGAAAATTGCACCTTGAACAAAAGGGGGCCCAAGAGTGCGACATTGGAGCAGGGGATAAAAGCGGGGGATAAGAAATCTTCGTCTCATTTTGAAATTAAGGCCCGGGAACTGAGTAATAATTATATTTAGCCCGAGTATGTTACTGCTGTGTTGTATAAAAAAATATATTTTCCGAAAAAACAGCCAAATTGTTGCTCAGATGCGCAGACGGGCGTTTTTGATGGTAAAACAGAATGACTTTTTTATCAATGATGTTCGTTACTGCAGTGGCAGTCGTCTCAGTTGTTGCGTTACTATTTGCTGAGTGCGGGGAAATGTACGTTTGGTCTGGTCTGCTACTATTATATCTCCTCTCCTGCCATGCTTTTTTAAAAGTAAATATGGCGGTTTATGTTCGTCCGCCCACCCGCATGCCTTAATTTGCTATTTTTCGACTTGTCGTGTCCTGTCCTGTCTCAATTCGCCTCGTTTCGCTGCTGATGCAGCAGCAGCAGGAGCAGCAGCGGAGGCAGGTCTGCCCTTAACATTTTTCTGGTATTGATTTCCACCCCCCTTATTTCTTTCTTTCATCATCTCTCTGCGCTTGTGATATTCCTCGAACCCGAGCCCCTTTTTCCGAGACCAAGCTTGTAATTTTTTTATTTTGTCCACCCTGACCACTCTTGCTTTCACACACCTTTTTTATTTTCCTCAGGCATTCGCCATTTGTTATTTTTTACTTTAAATTGTTTTCACGCTTATTTTAAATTTTACACTCCTCTGCGCATTTTACACCCGGCTTTTTAATATCTTTCCCCTGTGCACGCCGCAGCACACACATACACACTCCTGTTGCTATAATACGGCTAAAAGACACCCCACTTATAGTGGCAAACCCTGGCGCGAATAACGAGATAGAAGTATTGTGGCTCGACCCTTGTTCTATCCCCACCACTCTTACACCCGCCCCTCATACTTTCATATTTTGACTGTTTTTTCCTTTTCTGCTTGTTCTTATTGCATACATTACACATCACGGCACATTTTACAGCGCGCAGCAACTCCAATACAAGGAATGCTCAAGGCATTTTCAAAAGTCTTTCACAAGTCGGTTAGCTCGCCCGAAGAGCAGACAAAACACGGCCCGACAAACACCCAGGTGGTCGGTGCACATCAGTCGACTGCGCAACAAACCACAAAGAAGACCTCGGATGCGCACCAGACAGCCGGGTTTCTTGTCGACAGTGCAGTCAGCAGGGGTGGCGATGGCATTGGTCTGAGCACTCCATGTAGAAATGGGGGTGACGGTGGTCAGGGTCGGCCATACGCGCAGGGGGTCAATGCACGGCACACTAACGAGGCCTTTGGGCGGGCGCCAACACAGCAGCATGTTCAGCCGCGTCTCCATATGAAGCCCCCCGCCCAGGGTGTCGACGGGAGACTCCCATTGACGAACGACAACCTCGAATGGCATTTGCGCATGGTAAGTCATCACAATCCTTCCCGCGGGTTTACCATTAAACCTATATCTGTTTGTATATTTGCCAGTGACCCTCTAAGCCGAAACAAGCTATTTGTGTTGGCGAGTGTTCTTGGCAAATATGTGTGTGCCTTGGGCTATACCAAGCAACAGTGAATGAGGAAAAGTAATTTTTTTGTCATGTCTAGCTTTCTAATTTTTTGGAGCAAACCCACTGGCAATCTGTAACTGGTGGCTGTTTTCTGAACTGTTTTTTACTTTGACACATCCATTCTATCGTCTCCTTTAAGGGCGTAATGTTATCGAGTGCGCATTCCAGCACACTAGTGCCCCAGGGCCAGTTACAAGTCAGTCATTTCTTTTGTTATTTCTTGACATGAACACTCAAAAAATACACCCTGCGAATAATAGTCAGGTGGAGAATGTGGTTGCTTTTTTAAAACTACCAATCCAAACAGCGGGAATTGTCGTTTCATATATCTAGCTTATGCCTCGCCCGCATTGTCTTTACACATTGTATTTAAGCATACCCCCTTTCTTTCATATGCAACATCTTGCATCCTTGTGCTTTTGGTATTGTAGATACCTCCTATGAAAGAGTCCAAATACGACCGGATTATGCGCTACGTCCAAGAGCAACAGCAGAATGTGGCTGCTGCCGCTGACTTGGCGATGCAGCAGCAATCCCGCGATATCGACTCGTCCATGCTGATGGGTGGTCAGGTGGGCTGTGAGTACGGTGTGACTATCCCAGGCATGGAATATATGGATCCGTCATACAACTCGATTGATCACCAGATGGCAGCACAGCAGCAACAATACTATCAGCAACAGCAGCAACTTGTACATACTAGCATTGGTGTTCGCCCTTCATACGCCATACCTTTAGGGATTCCAAACGCTACATCTCCTGGAGCAAATGCTGCACACACACACGCACTTGACGTCGGCAAGCGTGAGATTATGCCAAGTAGTCATGCATTCTGGCCCGTAGGCAATATTGGCAGCAATCCTTCTCAGCACCAAATGCAATCACATGCGGGGTTTGGAATAGTGCCGCCGCCAGTTAATCACTCAAACACGAACAACACTGCAGCTTCTGGCCAGCGAGATTCCGAGCTGCAGCTTGCTGCGAGGAATGCTCACGAGGAGGACGACAACATGCCGCTGGCAGCATTCAACATTGGCGCCAGCCCGTGCCAACAGAACACGCTTTTGGAAATGCAGCCAGAAAGCCTGAACATCTTGGCCGGATCCAGCCTGGAGAAGTACATGAAGGGGCCGCTGGACGAGCCACTGCCGGCCCTGGTTTCGCCCATGAATCATGGTGCGCGCATGTCGATGATGAGCTTTGGCTCGAACATGGCAGTGCAGATGAATTCCGACATGCACGCCCTATCACGCTCGCACTCGCTGTCGAACCTACAGTCAAACTCGGTGTACGGCTCGCAATATAGGAACACGCCGATCGCACGCTCGCCGACAATCCATGACACCGGCGCGCAGCACATGTCTGCGCACTCGGGATCGGCCCAACAGCCGTTGTTCCTCTCAGCGCAGATCAACAAGCGGCAAAGTATGGATGCAGTTGCGGCGTATGCGCGGGACAGGGGGCTGAGCCATGCTCGCAGCGATGGCTATGGTCAGCCACCGGCAACCCTGGCTACCTTGGGTATCTCCATGAACAACGTAACTGACGTTCTTGGTCCTGATGCTATTGTCGAGAATGTGGGCGCTGGTGACGCCGACGATATCGGCGAGGGTGACACAAATGATGACGATGACAATGCGCCCTTGATGCTGCCGACCAAGCAGCAAGATCTGAAAGCAGACACGCATTGTATATTAGATTCCGTGTCCAGTGTAGCCCTGCGCGTCGTCAACCAAACAGACAGCTGCCGCAAGAGCGATCAATCGACGGGCGAAAAGGGTTCCGGCAACCGACAAAACCAACAGGCAGACAGGCTGGGCGCTTTGGATGAAACCAAAAACGAAGCCGATGAGGACGACAACCAGCCGCTCATGCAGCTGTCCAGAAAGCTGAGTGGCCTGCGCCCATCCTCATCTTCACCCGCAATGCGCCCGCCACAGCTTTTTGTCAACACTACCGTTCAGGTCCAAAAGACGGGTCGCAACGAAGAAGATGACGATGACCTGCCGTTGTCAGGCTTGCTGCTGAACCCAAATAGTGCCGATGACGAACCTGGGAATTTGCCCCTCCCAATGCCGCGCCGCCTTGCTGATCCTGATGCCGTGGCCAACATGGACGAGATGATCAACGAATCGGCAGCACCTCTGCGCCTCAGCATTGGTGATTGCCCCGAGTCGCCTATAGCTCTGCCCCGGGGTGCCGTGCGCAAGCACTCGCTGCTGGTCCGCTCGTCCGGGCCTGGGGGCGTGCGCTCGCATAACAAAGGCAGCGAGCGCGCCCCAACTGAGCAGTATACAGCCGAAAATATCTTGCTAGCAAGAAGACCGACCGCGTTGAAGATCCAACCTGTGATTCTCAGCAAGCGGCAATCGAAAATCTCCGCGTTTGCGCAGGGAATGCCAATTGCCGAGGCCAATGCCATCAGCGAAAGTGGCAGTGGCAGTAACAGTGGCAGCAAGAGTATCGATAACTGCCCTATTTCAGCCAATGTCACAGCGATTCGCCAGGATAATGGCTGGAGCAAAATGACCGACAACGAGTTCGTCGTGTCGGAGGAGGTTGGGCGGCCGTGGGCTATGCAGCAGCCATACAGCCCCTCAACATCCTCACAGAACAGTGCGCGTCGAACCCAGCGTGGCAGCACCCTTGGCCAAAAGCTGACGGACGAGCTACAGCAGCTGCGGGAGGGCCTTTCGCGGTCGCGATGGAACGATAAGGCCGAGCGGAAATCGTGGCAGCTCGGAGACGACATGCCGCCGGTAAAGCAGCCGTGGCTTCAGCACCACGAAAAAACACTTTCGGACCCGGCACTGTCGAGCTCGGTTGTGGGCGCAAATGCGATTGGAATGGCCACTGGTCGCACTCTTGGCGCCGCCTACCTTAATGACAGCGAGCCGTTGCAGCCGTCGTCCTGGTCGCATCTCGACAAACAGCGGCCCATGAGCACGCAGTACCACCAGGTATCGCGGTGGTTTTCCAAGGGCTCCGGCGCAAACGACGGCGGTGGCAACAGTCGCACCCAGAATGTTGAGCAGCAGCGGCCTTCTAAGGACGACACTGAGCGTGTCTCAACGTCCCCACAATCGACAAATTCGCTGTCTCTGTCGTCGCGCCTCAACAAGCACCTGGGAAAGCTCAAGCGGTCATTAAAGCCGGCCAGTGGTGCTGTGTAGATTATTATTTTCATGTGTATTTTAATCAGTACCTTTTTTGGGCACTCAAAAAATGATCTATTTAAGTTATCGCGAGTTCACATATGAGTTCACGTGGCACAAATAAGAATATTAACCATAAGCGGAAGGCAGCACATAATTGTAGTTGTGTGAGTATATAATCAGCCCGCACGCCCGCGCACTTTACTCAGTTTTGAATTTTTCTTTAAATCTGGCGCTGCGTCTCTCCTAATTTCGCGTGAACAAGCAAATCGCCTTTTACTATTTGCTTCCGTGGGAGGGACGCGCTATTAAGGCGTCTATTACCAATTTTTGGCAACCCCCATTCAACACCATCGTCCGCGAGGATGCTTGGTCTTAACACCAACACACCCACCACCCCCAACCAATTCAACAAAAAAAGAATAATCCATGTCACAGCTTCTGTGAAGCCGAAATGACCAGAACATTACGCTTTAGGTAACGTGTGGTGTCATATTTTTGGTTTCTCAAGAAGCCACACTGAATTACAGCCAATCGACACTCGTCGTCTTAACACGCGCGCGCAGAGGAGGGAATCTCTAGCGCGCATCCAATCTCAGCAATGTCAGCTTGCTTCCAAGATGTTCTTTCTGTCTCTCCGTCAAGTTCCCCTGCTCCGAGGAGCGAGATCCAGAAGAAAGCATAGTCATGTTCGCCTGCTTGCTGATGTCTCATCGACTTGTAATGATAGCCCTTTCTTGTCTCTGTTGAACTGTCTTTTTTCTTGAAACTTTGTGAAAATATCTTATTTTTATTCTTCTCTTTCTTTCTTTATTATTTATATTTTCATTGCTCAGATTCAACCTCTTTCATCTTACTAGTCGTGGGATTCTGTTTGACAATTCGTAAGTGCCTGACAGATTCACTCCAAACTATTCGACTCAACACACCCGCTTGGCAACGCAATTCAAGCTGCTTTATAACAGTGGCAAATGGCAACCGCAGCAAAAAGAGGGAAGGCAGCGGCACTGAGTCAAACGTAAATGCGAGCTGGCGCAGTAAGAGTAACCACTTTGCCACCTTTTTATTTGACCATTTATCGCTCGTATTGTTTGCGCGCCCGCACCCATGGCTTGTTGCCTTTGTCGCCTCTATTCTGAGCTGGCGGCTGCGAGTGCGCGCCGCCATGAAAAAATGGCATCACTGCTGGATGGGAATTGTGCGTGTTTACTATCACGGCAGATATAGACAGTAGCATATCACCAAACTAGCAAGAGGAACCTGGATGCTGTACTGTCTTGTCTGTATCGCTTTTCCTTCTCCACTCATATTTTTCTTATTATTCTTTGCACGCAACGCACCAAGAGGTCTTCTTCCACTTAGCTTACATTTTCATTTGCTTTTATTTGTTTGTTTGTTTTGACACTCCTCTCCGGCTGCCTCGGCAATTTTATTATTTATCTCCCAGTTATTCTGCCCAATTGCCTAGGTGTCGTGCGACCGCTGTCTGCCATCTGCCATCGGCTCTGTTCGCTTTTATTGTTGTCCTGCGAGCGAAAATTCGATTGATATTTTTTTCGCCCGCGCTCTCCATTTATTTTTGGGACTTGGCTCGTTGCCTCCGCCCGATATTGAAGTACTTTTTTGGCTGTGTATATTTGCATATTTGCACACTCCGTCCTCCCTCTCCTCTCTTTATTTTATTTTTCCTTTCCTTCTCCGCCTTTTCTTCGTCGTCGATTAATTTTCGCACATACACAAATATTGCTTTGCACTTTTCTCTTGACCGTAGACACAAGCACTGCGCCGTAACATTCATTTGTATCTCAAAAACCTTTTTTATTATATTTCGTATTTCTCGACCTTCCTATATACGGGTAGAATTGACTGCTTTTTTCTGCTCTTCTGTTTTTCAAATAAGGGTTCCCCAGCACAACCAGCAGGCAAAATATACCCATGTCGTCAGCTTCAGCAAATACTTCACTGGCTTCTGAGCAGCAGCCCACCGGCATTGCGACCAGTGCAGCCTCCGTTGCTGCCGCCGCTACCAGTGATAAACCAATGTCGGCAGCAGCAGCAACGTCAGTTGCCGACGAACAAAAGGATCACGCCCAGAAGCCCGCGCCGGCGGCAGTTCCCGCCAGCGTGCCATTGACGAACGTGTGGAAGGTGGCTGATCAGAGCACCGCAGCCAGTGACAAGAGTAAGTTTGCTTCTTTGCCTTTTTTCCGCCACTGCCACTCCAATACATGCTGTTATTTTTTTGTTGTGGTGGTACAAGCATTGTCAGGTCTGCAATTCACTGGCGCTGGTCGCTTGCTGTTTGCGACCTGACCTGGCCTCAAATGTTGAAAATTTGGTTGTGATTCTAGCCATTTCAGGTTGATGCCACATGCAATGGGCGAAATCCGATGCTGATCAGTAGAAAAATATGCAACAAAAAATTAAAACTGATCGTCACAATTTTTTTGGGCTTTGCCTTTTCCGATTGTCCTCATGTAGCCAATGTGACTGCCGACACGACAAGCTGGCCTGATCCAGCCACAGCAGCTGCCACGGCGGGATCAGACAGCACTGTCCAGTCGCAGACACTTCTGACAGCCGGCAAGCAGCAGCAGCAGCCGGCTAAGAAGGGAAAGGGCAAATGGATGCCCCTTGAGGCAGAGATCCAATATCCGAAGCCCAAGAACGCCGCTCAGCACCCTTCCACTCAGCGCCAGCCAAAGCAGCAGCAGCATCAGCAGGCCAGCCAGCAGCCGCAGAGCGGGAATAACAAACAATCGGCAGCATCTGGGTCGGCGAAGGACTCATCGGATACCGCCGCTGCCAAGGGCCCCAAGCCCGCAAACGCACACAAAAAGAACAGCCGCTCGGACAACTCGTCGCACGGACAGAATATCCACAGCAACAGCAACAGTGACGGCTCGCATCAACAGCAGACCCAGGCCCAGAGCCACGGCCAGCAGCAGCAGGGACGGAATCAGCGGTCGGCCGGACGCGGTCGCGGTCGCGGACGTGGACAGAACCACAATGTTGCTCAGACCCGTCGCACTGGCCCTCGCATCGCCGGCCACGCACCCAGCCACTACCAGGGCAAGGGCAACGTGCAGATCGGCGGCTTTGCCCCCCTACCCTTCCCACCGCCAGTGGCCGGCGACGAGCAGTCGGTCGTCGACTTTGTCCGGGCGCAGGTCGAGTACTACTTTAGCGTTGACAACCTGTGCAAGGACATCTTCTTCCGCACGCAGATGGACACCGATGGCTTTGTGCCACTGACGCTGATAGCCGGATTCAACCGCCTCAAGATAGTCACGACCGACCTCGAGCTTATTCGCGGTGCGCTCGACGCTTCAGAGCAGGTCGAGCTCGGCGAGACCCGCGACCGCGTGCGCAAGCGCGGTGACTGGGCGACCTGGCTCTTCCCGAGTCCCGAGGTTGTCCAGCAGCAGCAGCAGCAGAGCGACGCCCTGAAAAGTGAGTGATACTGATACACATTACACCCATCCATCCCCTCTCCTTCCATACACGCTCTCCTTCCACACACACACAAACAAACACACGCACAAAATCATCTTATCCTTATCACCGATTCAATCAAAACCAAGCATGCTGGGGTCTTTTAGCGCTCCTGAATCCGGCCATGATGAACACAACTATAAAAATCAAAAATATGCTGCTGTCTTGCGCACACAACCATCCTTTTTCTATCGGCATGTTGCTTTCCTGTTCGTGCGTTATGCTGGGCATTGACAAACGGGTGGCACTGGCGAGATCCGTCTTGCCGATTGCAGCCATTATTTTGTGCTACTTCTCTCCCTCTCTGCTCGCCGCTTTACTGCCAGGCCAGCTGGGCACCCAGGGCTTCCGGCCAGCGCGCATTCTACTCGATCATACAAACTATAATTTTGTACTTTTCCTTTTCTATCATTTATCATTCAACTTTACGACTCCCTCCCACACACACAAACACATCATTTACTATCTTTGTGCGCATGTCTTGAAAACATATCGATCAATAAATACATGATATTAATTATCCTTTTATTTTCTAACTCCATTATCGGACTTAGAGCAAGCCCGGCTGAGCGCTAATGCTAATGCTAATGCCAATTCCAAAGATCTGACAATAGCGGCTGCTACTGCCGCCACCGCCGCTACTGCTGCAGCTGCGAGTAGCAACGTTGGCAGCGCCAATACAATCAATCTACCCTCTGCCTTGCCGATGACCCCCACGACGCCCTCCAACTTGCCGATGACCCCCGCCGGATGGAAGCCCGTCGGCGCGCGCGCTCCTACTGGCCGCCAAACGGCTGGGTCAGACAGACTGCAGTTCAACCTCACCCCGCCGGATTCGGGCTCTAGGCACACCGACTCATTTGGCAACGACTACGACGATGATGACATGTTCCAGCTTGATGAGGAACTCGAAACCCGCACCCGTCGCGAGCGCCGCAACACCGGCCGCCACAGGTCTGTCAGTCACTCTGCACGCCGCCAGTCCTTCCGGGCTGATCACGGCGACTTTAGCCAGGACGAGGACGGCAATTGGTTCTCGGGCGACGAGGGCGACGACGACATCGACGAGGATGTTGTCGCCCGCCTGCTCATCGTCACGCAGCGGCGGACGCGCGATCGCACGCACTACCAGTACGAACGCAAGGCCGCACACGACGACCTGTCTGAGATCATCAACGAGGGCCTGCAAAACTACGAGCGTGATCTGCGAATTCGCCAGCGCCAGGAGAGACAGAACAATGTCAAGGTGAACACCGTCGGCCAGTTAAAGTTTGAGCGCTTGCACGTCGATGACACCACTCCTTCATTTGCTGGGCCTATGGCGCAGCTTGGTGCTGCTGGCGCGATGAGCACGCTTAGCGTGTCCGAGCAGATCCAGCGCGAGATTGAGATGTCCGACCGCGCACAGGCAATCCCGATTGGCGATGGAAAGGGCGGTCGCGGGAAGCGCAAGAGCCGCCATCTGGCAGCGCGCTTTCTGCCGGTCCACGAGAACGGAGAGGGCTCGGCATCCAAGCAACATCAGCAAGCTGCTTCATCGGCCGCCTCCGGAAGCGCCGGGTCCTACGGCAAGAGCCCAATGTTTGGCCCGAGCAACGGACCCCGGTTTCCTCGCAAGTACCGCGACAGCCGCAAGTACCAGGCGCAGGCACCCGTCGGCTGGCTGGTCGGTACGCAGCCGTACACTGCCGCTGAGGCGGAGATGTCGAAGTCGCTCGACCGGGCGTCCGGCAGCAGCTTCAACATGGGCAGATATATCGAGCAGCACATGGGCGGCAGCGCCGGATCGCAGGCCGGAAGCAGCAGCAGCCATATGGCCGTGGACGCGGCGGACCCAGGCGCGGCGCATCACGAGCACCCGTCGCACGAGCTTCTGCGTGAGAACGGATTCATGCAGCACAAGTACTACCGCTACCATGCCAAAGCGCTGAAGGAGCGCAAGCAGCTGGGCGTCGGGCTCTCGCAGGAGATGAACACGCTGTTCCGCTTCTGGTCGCACTTTATGCGCGACTCGTTTAACAAGAAGATGTACACCGAGTTCAAGCGCCTGTCTCTGGAGGATGCCAAGAGCAACTACCGTTACGGCCTGGAGTGCCTGTTCCGCTTCTACTCGTACGGCTTGGAGAAGAAGTTCCGCAAGGACATCTTCAACGACTTCCAGGAAATGACCAAGTGGGATGTCGAGCAAGGCGAGCTGTATGGTCTGGAGAAGTTCTGGGCCTACCTGCACTACAACCGCAACAAGCTGCCTCGCGATCTGCACATTGATTCTGATCTGCAGAAGAGCGTCGATCAGTACAAGAGTGTTGATGACTTTAAGCGGGCCAACCGGGACCGGCGCAGCTCGCTCTCTGGTGGAGTGAGTCACAGCCAGCAGCATCGCGAGGGCAGCGTACAGGCGCTAAACAACAAAAAGGCACTGGCCAATGCTGAGCAGGTCGTCCCCTCTCAATAGACAACGTAAGCCCTGAGTGGGTTAGACTATTTATTTTCATTTATTTATTTTTACACTTTTAGACTTCAATATCCTTTTTCCTTCCTCATGGCAAAATTTTTTATAGTTAATGTCGATTTTGCTTGGTTTTCTGAAGTGGCCCATTCACGAGCATCATTTTTTGTTGCTTGTCGGGATTGCTGGCCATCTGTATGTGTGAAGAAGGGCCAGACCACATACAGTTTATCATACGAGCGCTTGTATTTTTCTCCCCCAATCCCCGAATCAGCAGACAAAATGGACCCTTTCTAGCTGGGCTAAAGCTTCTGAATTAATATATTGGAAGGCGGTCTTCAGCAAAAATAAGAAATTTGTTTTTTTCCAGTCCACTGTTGTTGTGGTGTTTCGCTTGGTTGTTCACAAGTTTGCAAACTTGTCAGAAAATCGGCTGCAGAACAAAAAAGTAGGGAGAGAGAAAAGCAAGAGAAAAATAATAATATTTATTTCTTTAGACGTTTTCATTGTTTTCGATGAAAGAATCAAAAAGGTTCCAATTTTATTTCTCTTTCCCGTCGGCTTGTCTTTCTCCAAAAAGTTAGTTTTTATTCCGTTTTCGTCGTAGTCTCAAACCGTTGTTTATTCTGTGGCACTCGCGGCGTTTTTTTGCGATTTTCTTCTTTTTTTCCTCTTTTTTTCTATACACTCGTCGCATCCGAATTTAAAAAATATATATTCTTGCGTGTCGGCGCACACATTTTACCCACCCACCACTCATCGTTCTGTCTACTCATTTGCTCGCTCTGACAGTCAGCTACGCCTCCTCCATTCGCAACCTTTCTGTTTTTTATACCTTTACTTGCGCGCTCGCACTTTGAAGCATGGGGGAGAACGCCTCGGGTAGCCGCTCAGCGCAAGGCCATCCGGGGAATTTAAATTCACCGCTGCGAATCTATACGCGGGCCAACAGCAACGAGCACACGGAAGAGGACTTGTCGCCACAGCCAGGCGATGCAGCAAACGTGCTTCTGAGCAGTGCATTTTCGCAGCCCTACGAAGAGGAGTCCAGCGAATCGCAATCGGGCGGCGGCAGTGGGTCTCAGACCACTGGGAGGGCTGCCAGAGTCGCGCCGCGTGTGGGCCGCCCCGGTGCGCACTACCACCCGCTGCCCAGCCATTGGCGCGAGCCAGAGTCAGGCTCCAGCGGCGTGGGCTCGCCGGTCACGCCAGATAATGCCCTGGGAGACGATTTTTCTGGGAACCCTGGCCTCGGGCTGCCGCGGTCCTACAACAGCCCTCGTGAGTACCAGCAGGCCAAGGCCAAGGCGATGGGCCAGAGCCCAGTCATGAGCCCGCGCATCCAGGTGGGCGCCCTGAGAGAGGCATTTGGATCGACGTCAAGTCTAGAGTGGACGAACGATCGGCCTGGCTCCAATTACTCGTTACAGAGTACAGACCAACCAGGTCCTGGCTACCTGAGTGAAGCGCAGGCGGAGTCTCCACTGGACATTCCCCCGCACGGCGGTCGCTTCCTGCCCTCGCTGAGCTCCATGGCCGCCCGCCCGGGGGCTGTGCGCAGCGCGCTGGTTGTCCACAATGGCTCAAGCAGGCATCATCCGTCGGCATCGACATCGTCGTCGCACTATTCATACAGCGTGAGTTCGCCACCCATTCGCGGCAACGGCGCTACTGCCCAATTTTCCAGTCCCAAGGACCCCTCCAACTTGTCAGCGGTGTTTGCTACTGCCTCCTCGCCTCCACCGAATGTCTCTATCGAGACATCTACTGGGCAGTCGGAGGATATTGTGCGCAAGTACCTCGGCCTTCAAAGGCGCACTGCTAGCAGTAGCGGTCCCATACAATTGGTCGAGTCTTCGCTGCGCCAGCAGCCGCCGCACCACCAGCAATCGGGCGCGGCTTCCCTAGTAGCCTCCGCGCAAAACCTGCCCAGCCTGTCTCCTCCAGGCCCGAATGCGACCGCCAGCTCTGCGGACGCTGAGGATGAGTCTTCGGGCAGCATTGTTTTCCGGCGCGCGGTCTCATCGGGTGATCTGCCGAGCCTCGAAGAGCTGCACGGCAACATGCAGAACAGCTCGGGCAGTGGCTATGCAGACAACCGTAGCTTTTTGACACCTGACCTGGTCGAGTCGCCGCTGGAAGCCTTGGTCAGGCGTTTGACTATCGAGCTGTTCCAGCTCTATGTCAGCGAGGACCGTAAAACGTCCAAGAAAACTGCACCTCAAACGCAGCCAAGCGCAGGGCCACCATACGGCCAGAGTCAGCAGCAGCAGCAGCCCCATCAGGAGAATTTCAGAGCTCAGGAACACGTTCGCAGTGGTCAGCAGCAGCAACAGACGGCAGACGAGTATGAGGGGTTTGACAATGTCGACGATAGCACTCGAAACGAGTATGTGCAGCAATTCCGCCTTGGCCCCAGCCTGCAGTCGGGCTCGACTACGCCTGCAGTGACAATGGATGGCTACTTTGTTCCCCAAAAGGTGGAGGACACCGCCCCGACTGCCGATACGAGCGAGGTTCGCCCGCGGCCGCGTCATCGTCTGGTGCAGCGCACGTGGATGGAAGAGGCACTTATCAAGGCGCGGCGGGTATCGACCATCGACGAGAACGCAGAAGAGTCCATCCTTGAGGGCCTGGCCCAGGCTATTGCTAGGAAGCCGTCACCGATGCAAGCTCCGAGTATTCCTGCTGCGTCGTCAGATGTGCCAAAGTCGCCATCACCCCCGGGAGGCGGAGATCTGGCCCAGTTTATGCCTGGGTCAGGCGCTAGCAACTCTGCCAATACAGCAGCAGCAGCACCGCTGCCGCGCGTGGCTCACCGCGGCCAGGCATTGTTGGCAGCAGTTGGTGGCGCGCGGAATGTTGCGCACCGCCAGGCCAGCAACGAGGGCATGTGGGCGCGCGGTCGGATCGACCTGGCCATGCTCAGCGAGGAACCGTTGGAGATTCTGGCCAACGAGCGCCCCGAGGGAATTCCTGGCGCACTCCCCGACAGGTCCCACGCAGTATCGCCTCGAGGCTACTACCGCGCGCGAGATCCTGCCGCCCCCAACCGCAAGCTGCCCGCCGAGCGGCAAATCAGGGACCAGGTGCTGTCAAGCAGCATTTCGCCGGCGCGCGCCTCGCTACTTCGTGCGGTCGGACGTCGCCAGAGCGTGCGTCTGCAGCCTGGCAAGGGCCAGATTGTTGTCGCTGACATGGAAATGGGAACGCGCACGACTTCGGTCGATGATGGCAATGCCGGCATTTCAGTGCCTGCGGCTATGGGGCCTGATTCGATGACCCGGGCCAAGCGCGCAACGTCGCTCCCCGAGCGCATGCAGGTACCGGAGACCAAGGAGGTGTCCTACCGCGATCTGCAGCTCAAGGCGGCCCGACCGGTGGAACTTAAGAGAGCGCGCAAGTCGCGGGCGCGCATGGTGCACCGTGCTGAGCGCATGATGCTTGGGGGCTCGAAATCCGGCAACGCGCGCAGCGATGATACGCACGAGTCCCTTGCGAGTCACTCGCACAACAGGACTGGCAGCCGCCCGGACATTGACCAGCAGCTCATCAAGGTTGAACTCCCACCTCCTGTGCCACTGCGTGTGCGCCGTGAGCAGGTTAGAATTGTGCCCGAGCCGCTGATAATTGTGCGGCAGCTGGCCAAACACCAGCAGAGCATTGGGCGGCCAACTCAACAAGTGCTATTGCGGCAGTCGCTTCAGGGCAGAGCAGAGGGTGCAGGCATGGGCTTGGATGAGCAGAAGCTCCTACGGGTGCACAACCAGCTGCTGGGCGCGCAAGCGGTGCTTTCACGGCATAACAGCCTGATGCGCAACGCGGTGTCGTCAAAGCCGGGAAGCGGTCGTAGCACGCCGGGTGGCGGCAGCGCGACTGCCGCTGGTAAGGAGCTGTCGTTGAAGGCATCAGTCCAGGCTATGGTGGTCCCCCCGCTAGTGCAAAACACCGTGCGCAAGGAGGCACTCGAGATTGTCATGCTGGACAATGCATTGGACGACCGCATGGAGGACACAGAGAAGCAGCTGATCGAGGAGGCCAAGATACGTCGTCGCCGTGATCGGCGCGAGAACGTTCAGGACAATGTCGCAGATACTGAGGACAGCGAGGCCGGTCTGGTCAAGCCATGGCGCAATGCGCGGCGGCGCTCGACGCTGCGCAAGAAAGAGCGGCCCCAGCAAAATCAACAGCAGCAGCAGCATACTTCGCAACCGCAGTCCACCACCGCCGTTTCTGCTACTTCGACTGCAAGCGAGCCCACACTTCCCAGAAGCGTTCTGCCGCGCGGCCGCCGTTTACTACTTCACGGTCCGGCCTTCCGCATTTACTCCGGGATAAGAGCGCGGCCAGACACATATCTGTTCCTCTTCACCGACATGATGGTCGTCACAACGCGATTCAGCCCGGCATCCTCATTTGTCGGCGTCGACCAGATGTCCATGGCATTCATGGCACCGCCGTCCTCAGATCCAAGCAGCATCCCTGCTGACTCTCGCTTCAAGTTCCACATTGCAATCCCGCTAGCTCGAATCACAACCGCGCTCAAAACCATGCGTGAAGGTGGCTCCAAGCGCCCAGGTGAGGACGATGATGGTGAGGAGCGGCGCTTGGTTCGACAAGAGGAGCGCATCAGGCGGGCTTGCCATGCCTTTGAGAAGAACACGTCGGAGGCCGTGGTCTACCTGATCAACCGCGACATTATCGATCCGGTTCCCGACACAGTGGCCGGCTTCTTGTACCGCTGCACCGCACTCAGCCGCCGCCAGCTCGGCAGCTTTCTGGGAACGGAATTCTGGGCGAGAACTTGCACGAAAACCCGACAACCGATGAGATCGAGCAAGAGAAGCTGTTCCACCGCCAGATCTGGATATCCTTCCTCGACCGCTGCAACATTGTCGGCGTGCCCATCGACGAGGCGCTACGCTCGGTGATGTTCTATGTTCGGCTGCCTAACAACCAGCTATCAATCAGTGTGCTCCTCGAGATTGCAGCGCTGCAGTGGTTTGCAAAGAATATTGAACACGGCCAGTCGGGCAAAGTGTACGTTCCAGACTCACAGGACATGGCGATCAAGCTGGCGTTTGCGATCATAACGCTCAACACCGGGCTGCACAACCCTCTGCTGCGGGGCGAGACCCAGCCTGAGGTGGCCTATCGCGACCTGCTCCTCAAATTCCGCGCGTCAGTCGTGGACGACCCCGCGGTTGCCGGCAAGCGCAAGGGCAATGTCCTGCGGAAGCGCGACCAGCCACGGGTGGTCACCATCATGGAGGTGCCGACTGAGCGCCTCAAAGCCATCTACGAGCGCGTGGCAGCCAACCGCCTGGTGACGTGCTCCGACGCGCGCCCGTCGGCGCCCGAGTTTGACGTGGACTGGATCCGTGACGCCGGAGACATCAACGCTCTGCCGCTGACCGACGATCAAGTTGAGCAGGAGATCGAGGAGATCTACTGCGATCCCGGGTTCCGCGACGGCGTGCTCTTCAACGCCTCGAGCGACCGGCTGCCCGCAAAGTTTAATATCGAGCCGCCCGCGTGGCTGCGAGTCACCATCCGCATCCCCGAGCCTGACTCCAAGCTGTCGATCCGCATTCGCGTGCGGAGCATGCCGGCCGATCCGGCGCCTTCGGCGGCCGGTGCCGGACAATCCGAAGTAGTGAATATTTTTCCGAACAACTGGCTGACGTTCCGCACATCCAACACGGCCAGCTTCATTATCAAGCCGCAGCAGTCGGCCACTTCACGCTGCAGTTCATATCCGAGGGCTCCCACGCGCGCTACTACCACCCGATTCCCTCGCGCACGATGGTCGTCGAGGGCGTGTTTATGCGGCAAACCGTGCAGCTCAGCTGGAAGCGCAGTGACGAACAGGGCAACCGGGCGCGGCACATGTTTGGCATGGACTCTCAGCCGACAAAGTCCCGATGGGTGCACTGTCTGGAAGCGGCGCTGAACAGCTCTTCCGACGTCACGCAGGATGAAATTCTGAGTCGCGTGGACAACGCCACCCGCTCGCTGACAGCTCTTGCGCCGCAGCCGCCCATTGCTGGATCTGAGCAGCTAAAGCCCCCTGGCGACAAGGCGGATGGCGCAACGCTTGGTCGCGGGACAGTCACCGCTGTGACAGGCATCTCTGCAGACCAGTCTATTTCTCCTCTACAGCTACTCGATGCACTTCATCACTTGTGAAAATGTATTTTGAAATTTTCAGATATTTATAGCGAAAATCTGGATTCTTAAGCTAGGGGTTTTCAAAACCCCTCCCCCACCCCCAGTTTTTTAGCCTAGAATATCAGAAAGTCCAGATTTTTGAAAATGCGGGGAAGTATTTAATGTTTGCGTCTGACTGGTGCTTTGGTTATGAGTTAAGCATGGCGCTTAACCATGTAATTATATTTTTGATTTTAGTTTTGAAAATATATTTTTTGGAAATCATTTGCATTTATTGAATTAAATACAAATAAAATGCAAAAAATCTAAAAAATGCAGGACGCAGATCTGCCACGCGGATTGGCACCAGCACCAGCACCCATAGCAGAACCAGATTTTCTATGGCAACCTTAGTTTAGAGCTCAGGTTGAAGTGGCAGCGGCAAGCTGGAAGACACGTGCAAATCAATATGCAAGATGAGGAAACAACGGTGAGTGTGAGGCAAAATAAGAGACGGAGTAACAGCAGTGAGCGCAAGGGAGAGGCAGAGTAATGATGGCAAGCGAAAATAAGAGCGCGAGATGGAGAAACAGTGGTAAACAGAGAAAAGAGAACAGAAAACAGCGGCGAGGGTATGGAAGTGAATCAGTGACAATGACGATAACAGAGACAATGACAACAGCGGCAACAGCAACGACGACAAACTTGCCAATGGTGTGCCCCACAGTAAGAAGACTCATTCCGAATACATTGATAATTTGTCAAAAATGGCATTCATAATATTGTTGACAGATTAATTATCTGTGATACCGGCCGTAGGGATATATTATATTGTCTGGGATATGACAGCAATTACAAAAAGGATGAAAGACTTTCCCCACACCAAAACTTCTGAGGTTAATAAACGTCATGAATACATTTTTCGTCAGATCCGCGAAAACGCAAAAAAGGTCAAGCTTAATCCCGTGAAGCTTGCCAAGGCAAAAAATACATGGTATATGTCTGTTGAGGATGCCAACTGTGCGCTCAACCACCCTGGCTCCAGTACACTTGATTGCAAGTTGTATGTCGAGTACCTCCTTGAGCACTGTAAAGGTGATTTTGTTTTGGCAGAACATTACCACAATGCGTGGACCCTCAGCAAGAGTCGAAAACATGGCGGCAGCAGGTCAACCGACCCCTTGCACCGCAAGCTCCACTATCTTTCATTTGTTAACAGAAAGCGCGCCGACATCGAACTCGCAAAATATTTACGTGCAAAATTTGAGCCAGATCTGGACCTTATTCTTGGTAATTGGACCCAGGCATGGCCCGTTACCATGAGCCAATTCCTGGCAAGGGGTTGCAGGAAATGCTAATAGGCCAAGGACTCGCTGTTTACTTGATCGATGAGTACTGTACCTCAACATTTTGCCCGGCGTGCGAGAGCAGGATGGGGAAATTTCACAAAATTGATGATCCTCGCCTGAAGAATCCCAAGCACAAGTACCATGTCGCAATGGCGGCAGCAGCGGCATTCAATTTCGTCGCAGCCGCAACAAATATCGCTGTTGATTATGTTGCAGCAGCAGCCACTGCCATTTCTGTTGCAACTAAAACTGCCTCCGATGACGCACCTATTATTGACAGTGTGTAGCAGAGTTGCAACCAGTGGATGCCTATTCGCTCACAGTCTGCCGATATCATCCGGTGGATAGGGGAGGAAAAGAGCTGGTCAAAGCGAAAATTTCCCGCAAAATTAAGCAGCAGCGGGATGAGCTGGCTGAGCGAAATCTAAAGTAGTACATCAACATCCAGCCTGCCGATAATCCCAAGCGCATTGTCAGGTTGAGCGGCTAGTCGCGGGGCAAAATTGAGCGCAAAATCAGACAGAGGATGCGCGACGAGTTGGCCGCACAGCAGCAGGAGTAGGAGCACCAGCATAATGGTCAGCAGGAGCAGCAGTAGAATCAGCAACAGCAGCAACAGGTAGCCGCAACAGGCGTGAATATAGTTCCGGCGGTAGAAAAACCTCGCCAAATTTTATGACATGGCTTGCTCCAGTGCACAATGAAAGACTGCCTGCAAACCTTCAGGGCCGCCAGAACCCAAGATCAAGGATGGAGAAAAAGCGCTATTAGGCAGAAGGAAATGGAATCGCAACACGGCTGCGGTGTTGAACTTTCGCATCATTATTAATCCTCTGCTTACAGGCGAGCAGCCTTCCCGTTTTTCACGCAAATAGGCACCGTTCGAGTCAGCTGAGCCCGAGTCTACAGCGACGCCCAGGACTTTGCCCAAGCCCAAGCGTGTGCGCAAGAATCCATCTACCCTGCTTCTTCTCTTTGCAAGAAGCAGCGAACTGGTTAATATCGCCAATCATAGCGGCCTATTGCCACTAGTTTCTAAACACTTTATCTAAGGGGAAGGGTGTCGCTTTGAGGGATACTTGTAGCCTCATTATTTTCTTATAGTGTTAGAATCGTTTGAACTCACTCATTGGCGAATATTTAATACAATTTTTACACAACTACAAAGACAATATATATATATATGTGGATTGCTTTTGAAATAAAAATAATAATTCATTGATATTGAAGTCTGTACGCTAAATACCCGCCAAGAACCGCGGAAGGGCGCCTCACATCAGATTGACATTAGCATAAGGGAAGACGTCGTGCTCCAGCAGCTTGTTGCCCTCGTTGTCAAAGTGGAATGGCGTGTAGCACTTTTCGCAAAAGTAGCAAGGACTCATGCCGCTATGGAAGTCGTTCTTGGTGACATACTGCGCCGGGTATGCCGAGCACATGCGGCACTTGTGTCTCATGTGGCGCGTGCGGAAAATCTGCTTCGGATAGTTTTCGACGAACTGATCGTCCTTTGGACCCAACAGGCGCAGGTCCGTGAAGATCATGACGTGCTCGCAATCGCCCTGGTGGACAAACGTGTACGGCTGCTTGAGGCGAATCGACAGGTCCAGGAATCGAGCGCCGTCCATAAGGCGCGACTGTAGGCCGCTCAGCTTGGGATTCTTTTCCTGGCGCTCGGGATCGTTCGCCCACTCCATTATGACACGGCTGTAGTCTGTAGCCGTGGGCGAGCGCATATCGTTGTAAAAAGTGTTTTCAATGAAGAAGTAGCTCGAGCTTACTTTCTTATCCTTTGTGTTCTCTATGGCCTCGTCACGGTGGGAAACTAGGAAATCCGATATACAATAAAACGCGTCGCGAAGCACAGTGAGACTCTGCGAGCCAAGCACTAGATACTCCTCCATTTTGGAGGACGACGAGCGCGTGTTATAGAAGCACACGCTAAGAATAACCTCGTCGTCAGCAACAGGCGTCGCATCGGGGGCGACCCCGGATTGTACACGGTTTGTCATAAAGTTAACCTCGAGCCGGTACTTCGGGGGAACCATGCGCCGGTTGGCCTTCCGCAGCGACGCCAGTGTAGACTCATCGAGCGACTTTTTAACGCTGCGGAACTTGTTCTCGAGCTCCGACACGCCCGCCGGCTCCTCAATGCGCACGCGCTGTTTGGGAGGTTGCTTTGGCTCTGCCTCAATGTCAGTGCTACGCGCAAAGCCACTATTGGCAATGGCCCTCTTCAGCATCTCCTGCGTGATGCCCTCCGGAAGCTCGGATTGCGGCGCCAGAAGGGTAACATCTTCGAAGCTCCTTATCAAAGGCGTCATTATTGGCTGTGCGCTGACATTGCGGGGCGCGCCATAGGCCAGGGCCTCGTCGTCCGAGGATGCCTCTATTTCAGACACGTCGCTTGCACTGCTACTTCCATCGTCACTGCCATTATCGTCGTTATTGTCGTCTTCTCCGTCAGTGTTGATGACTTCATCGTCGGTGCTGACTGAAATGCTGCCGTTGGCCTCATTGCATTTTGTGGGATTGCTGGCAGTGTCCTCATTCATTTCAAAGCTAGCCTGCTCGTGTGCATCCACACTCTCTGGAATGTGCTCGACGATGCTGTTATCGCCGCTGGCAAGGCGGCCAGCGCATCTTCTACAGTTGTGCTATCGATATCCATGGTCTGCGCTCCCAATTCGGCCTCACACCCGCCAATATCAACTGCCAGCAGCATGCTGCTTTCAGCAAGCTGGTTGCCATCGTTTGCCTCCTCTGCAGCGGCAGCGGTGTTGAAATCAGGCATGCCTTCCAAACCGTGTTCCCTCTGCCGCTGCTGCTGGCTCGTGGCTGATGGTGTGCTCCAGTTTCTCGTACTTTCACCCTCAATATCAGCCAACTTAACTGGCGCTTTCTCTCGAGCTCAGCTGCCACGTGGCGCTTCTTCTGGAGCAGCTCGCGCTCGGTGGCTTCGTTAAACTCGCGGTGCTGCCGAAGCATGTGGAAGAGAGTTGGGTTGACAAATGCAGTGTTGGAAAAGCTCAGGTCGTCTGCAATTTGGCATCTGCTGGCGACTTCGCTTTGAATCTCGGGTGACCATTCCGACTGAGCGCTGAAGACACCGCGGTCCTTTTGACTGCGCACGAATCCGGCAAACTTGTCTCTGAAATTGCGGACGTTGATTAGATCTGAGGGTGGCATTCTCGCTAGCGGATGCAATGTGTGAATTTGTTTATAGGCTTAAAAATAACGAATAAAATAAAAATGAAGCAAAATCGTAATATGCCAACATTGATCAACGCGAAAGTTGCAACTGGCAAAATCAAAGAAATGTGCGTCTTCGCATTTGATGATGTCTGATTTGTTGATTTAATACAATATTGATCTAAACAAATGTGTTTGATTAAATATCGAACGCAGCTCCTATACGAATATGCAATCTGCCAATACGCCAATACGCCTGGCTCACTTGATACATGCGATCTGCGCCGCTGTGGGTCAATTCATTTTTTAATATGGATTGAATACGCGTTTGGGTGCAAGTTTATATTTGTCGTATTTAGTCGCGGACAAGTGGCGATCACACATTCTAGGCATATAGGGCAAATTGCCAGTCTTTTTTATAAGGCTTGAAAAAGGAGAATGATCAGGCCCAGACCACGGCGATCGCGTTTGGTCTACTTGCAAGCGCGTAACTGCCTGCCTTGGGAAATAATCAACAAATACACATTGAGCGTGCTGGGCCGTAATCACCATGGTGAGCGACGATGTATGCGCCAATAACCGATTTGCAACATATGAACACCACAGATGATCAAAGATATAGTATCCAAAGACGGCCGATGCTGGAGTTTATAGTTGAGGCATCCTGGCACCGAATCTTTGAGTTTGAAACATATTTTTGTTTGATTCAACCAAAATTTTGTTTGATATTCCTTTCCTACTTCATTTCAGACTCTTTGTTTATACTTTGCCACATTTTACAACTCACGCGGTCCAATTAGTCAACTGAAACTAGTCTTCCATTGGAAAAATTACTGGTAAGTTACCAAACATTGACAGCTAGTGGTCTTTCATAGCAAATGCGTTCATTCCTAGAGTCGCCACATTTTCTACCTTCCCCACAATCATGCACTTACTCCTTGGTGAGTTGTTTATATTTTGGGATGCTGTAGTAAATGCCTATTTTGTTGCCCACAACGCCTATATATCGCTCTCATTGTCACCGACTACTACGATTCCCCTCTTCCCCCTCTTCCCCCCACATTCACCCTGGCACTTTGGGCATGGCTAAAAATATTTTGCATGCACACACATACTCTCCCTCTCTTCCTTTGCACGTAAATTGCATTGCGTTGTCATGCCATGCCATTACACAGCCACCAGCGGGAAGTAATTGTCGTGTATACGTTGCCCAGCCATTTTAATTGACTGCCAGCAAAAATAATTTAGCCGACCACATTTAGCTGCTACGCCAAATAGCAGCCTAATTTATTTTAGATTGTGTGGTCCTGTTTTCTGTCTGGCGTGGGCTGCAAAACAACTGATACAGTAGATATTTCTACAAACTATTACTCACCCCGATCCAAGCGCTATTTACGTGCATTCAGCTATTTTGAGCAGGTGAACTAAAATACGTGGTTGCTTTGCTATTATTTCTGTCAAAATAAATCCACTCACGCTAGAAATTCGCATCGAGTGCATCATCATTGTGAGATCATCTCTTTTTGAATACTTGGCGTGTAGATAAATAGTGTCATTATCTCATTTTTATACTTTTACAAACTATTTTGACAGACACCGGCAATATCCTGGCAATATCCTGGCACTATCTTTGCATCTACCCGCCCAAAGTCTGCTGTTGCCATAGTCAATTATTGAGAGGTACTTTATCCTGTTAGCATGCTCGGTACTGACAACCATAATATTGATCACTCACAAAGCTGCAATGTTAGAGCTCTGATAGATTCGCCCCTATCTATTTTACAATTATGTTTGCCTGCCGTTTCAAATAGGTTTAAGCCATGTTGTATGTGGTCTTTGATCCAATTAACTTTGTTGCGGTTTGAGCTTAATTTCCCGCCCTGATTTCCTACTGTCAAATGTGCAATATGGCTGCCGAATATAGAGCAAGTTGCTACTGACGCCCTTGGCTATTTTCCCTTAAAACAAAGCGAATAACTTTAGCATGTTTGCAAATAGCGATTGTCTTTTGAATACCGACTATTTTGTTTAGTCGGCTCCAATCATGATCGTCATAATGAATGTCGTTGCTTGATATGAAAATATGCGACCTCCCGGCCACTGCCTAATATTTATTGCTGCTGTGACTTTCTTTTTTGCTCCTTAATGATTCTTTATTTTAAAGAAACCCCCAAATTGCATTTTCAAGCCCAATATAGTACGTGTTCATGCTGTCAGATATTCAATTGGTTTGTAGTCCGTGTATACGGATTTTTTGCTGACAGCTTTCATTCAATAGACACTTGGCGGCAACGCCCCATCTACCCCACTTGACATTATTATTTTTGACCTACCCCCTTGTCCCCTCACTGTGCATATGCCATAAACCCGCACAAACCCGCATATTCTCCAGCCTTCTCCATTACTTTATTGTATATTAGTACACATACTTTATAATCTGGGCGTTAGTCTGCGCGCACGCTCCGCCATCCAAACATTTAAACATCCAAACAACCAGACAACAAAAATAAAGTTGCCCCTCTATCTCCCCGCACACATTTTATGGCATCAATCGATTACAAATATTTTCTCTACAATAAAAACATAATTATATTTTGCTTTGCCGTTAAAATTTGTTTAAAATTGAAGTCGGCCGCTACCACATTTTCTGTGTATTTTTTTGCAAAGCTTTTTTCTATACCGAATTCCAGATTTTACCATCACCTTTGAATAATTCAGCATTAAGTTGATATTATCTGCGAGTTTATAAACCATTCTTATTGTTATTTATTCATAGACACCATCTTAATCCTTAACTGTTCTTTATAATCTGCGCCTTCTATCACCCTAATTTGTAGACCAGTGAAGTTTAGTTTTCAGAATCTGACAACGTACAGCCGAACAAAACGCACTTTCGACTGCATTTTTAATTTTGCGGTGATACCCGTTTTCGAAAAATATATTTGTGTCCGATATTCTCACTGGTAAGAACCAAAACAATTGCAAAAAAGCTTGCTAAACAAATATTATAACAAATTACCACATATATTTATGAATGCTGCGTTTCCAAAGTTAAATCTGGGAGCGCGGGGGACATGCCAGTAGCTTCGAGACATTTGTGTTTTAGATTATTTAACATGGTTGCAAAATGACTGATAATTCCCCAAAAATTGTCACCGCTATAATTATTTCCCCATGTATTTTTCCGCCTGATATGTCATATATAATGTGGACATCTTGTCTTTTATCTTTGGAGCCTTTTTTGACTTTCAACGCTGTTCATATTGTTTTATTCTGTAATTGCCGATAATTTGCTGCCATTAATTGATTATTTTAATCTATATCACTAATATTTTTGTAAAATTGTTATTAAACGCCCACCATAGAACCAGATGATGCTTTCGTCACACAACGGTAGTAGCCAAAACAACAACCAGAATCCGCAACAGCCACAAAAACAAGCACCACGCTCTCAGCAACAGTACAATCGGCAGCTGGATTATTCCTTGTCCACAACGGGCCTTTTCCAGAACTTAGACCAGAGCAAACACTCGCCCTTCAAGACCGTCCAAAATTTAGGCAACAAAGTCGTTGGTGCAGCCGGCAGACTCCCGTTCACTTCGTTGGGTCTAGGCAGCGGGCTCTCAATGAATCGCGACCAGCTCGGTGGTGCCAAATTACTTGACCACAGATCGATGGTCCCCAGCAACGCTTTAAATGCGGCTGACCTTCAGTTCTCAGGCTACATATTGAACGGCGGCCTTGACCACAACCGCACGTCATTTTCTTATTCTCCGGCCGCGAGTAACCCAATGCTGCCAAGCGGCGGCAGCAGTGGTGGCGGAAGTACTCATGCAAACCGCCTGCTAGAAACCCTAGGAATGGCTAGTGCGCACCAGCTTTCTAACTCTTCATTTGGGAGTAGAACCAACGCCTCGTCTTCGCCCACGCTGGATCACTCGATAAACTCGGCAGGAATTATCAGCCCGCCTGCTTCTTCTGTTGCATCGTCCTCTTACCACCACGGGATTTCGTCTGTCAGTTCTATGCCACTGTCAGGATACAGCTCCTACGCATCCTTGCTCAACAAGGCCAACCTCATGTTTGAAAACAACCTCGACTCGATGATGGTTGACTGGTAAGTTATCGTCGAATACCTCGTGTTATTTGCCAATATGATATGTTTTGTTATGGTGCCTTTCCCCGCGCTCCTAATGTTATTTTATTTCCCAACAATAACCCACACTTTTTGCCTTTTTTGCACCATTCCCCCCCCCCCAACGTGCTCAAAAATAACTATTTTTGTAAATCTTTTCATTTTCGATGCGGGGAACCAAAAATTATGTTTTTATCAACTGGGTTTCTTTGAAGACAAACATTTGGAGAATGCAGTATTCCGAGTCATATTTGCAAATATATCGCAATTTGTTGGTCCATTTTTTTATAAAAAAAACTCCTGATGCCATAGTATTGGTGGTGCATTGCAAGCCTGGTGTTTTTTTGCAATTATTTTTACTGCTATTCGCATACATCCCTCCACACATCTCATTTTGCGCCCATGTCTATGCGCATTTTATAAAGTACTAACCCGAGAGCCCCTACAAACACATTTACATCTCTGTTGTTTTTCTAGGTCGCTTGAAGAGCGCGAGTGCCGACGCCGTCTTGTCCAGTTTTGGAGGCGCCACGAAAATAACAATATATTCTGCACCTTCAAGTCGGTGGCCGCTGCCGATCGGGTTCCCAACAGCATCGTGGTGTCTTGCATCTACTGGGAGGAGAAACAAGACTTTTTCATTACCAGCGTCGATTGCATCCACTTGTTGGAGTCGCTCATTGCAGTTCGATTCACTGTTGAGGAGAAGAACCGCATTCGGCGCAACCTCGAGGGCTTCCGCCCGCTGACCGTGAGCAAATGTAAGGCGGACTCTACTGACTTTTTTAAGCTGATCATGTCGTTCCCGAACCCGAAGCCCCGCAACATCGAAAAGGACGTCAAGGTCTTTCCGTGGCGCATTCTACCCTTGGCCCTGAAAAAGATTATTGGCAAGTACACAGCCAGTTACAGCAGCACAGCCAGCATCACATTGGACGCATACCAACTTCGCGAGTGGCCAGTTACTCGCAACTGGCAGGAATCTCACCATCCACATCGGCCAGGAGCATGGCCGCATTTGCTTCACAGTCGCCTGCATCTAGCATAATAGGAAGCTCTTCAGCATCCGCGGCGATTGTGGCCGCTGCATCCAAGCTGTCGAACGCATCCTCAAAACCTGGTGTAAACTCAAGATCCAATGTCGACGGACGATTTGTGTTTGGGGGCCTGGCTCAGCCAGATTTGCAGCAGCCCATTGCATTGTCATCGTATCGTCATCCACAAGCCTGGCCGCAGTGATTGAGGCCCAACGCTCTTTGGCTATGCCGAGATTTGACAGCTCTGGCGCACTCGGCGAGTCTTCGATGATGGCGGGCCAGGGGCAACGTGGTTTCATGGGCTCGGACTACAACATTGGGGCAGATTTTAACAGTGGATTATGCGGGGATATCAGCGCAAACAGCCACACTTCTACTACCACCACCACATCTACAAACAGCGGTGGCCGCGACCAATACAACTCAGAAGCAACGCTATCCATCTCAGTGCCCGCCAGGGGGAGCTCGATTTTGGAGACAATTCGATGATGGCGTTTGGTGTCGGTGACCAAAGAGGTGGCTCGCGTTCCGCCGCAGCATCATGCGTGCCGACAAATGTAAGCGCGATAGACCAGTTCCACCAATTGTACCACGAAACCAGGTACAGCAGCAGCAGCAGTCTTCGTCTGAGTACCTTTTGCAGCAGACTTTAAGGGTCAGTACGACTTTTCTGGAATGGCCATGAACCACCCTCCACTACCTACCAGTAATGGCATGTGTGCACCACTCCAGGGTGACCCGCCGTCAATGCACACGCCCCATCATTCTTTGACCAGCTTGCCGCAAGCTACGCACTGTCTACTGCGGACTACATGGAGCAGCAGCAACTCCAGAATTCGCAGCAACAGCAGCAGCAACAGCGAGTAGTCCGCAGCTCAAGCACCAAAAAGACAGCACCGCGCGCCCATATAATGTCAATAAATCTGAGCGACGCCGAGCGGGCAGCAACGGCGTTGGCATGAATATGATGTCGATGGTCAGAATGGCTCTGGCAGCGGGCAGAGCGAGCGAGAGACATCGCCATCGATTCCGCTTATGTTTGAGCAGCAGTGCCAGAACATGAGCTTTGACATAGAGGCGGCCTCGTCGGCACTGTCAGAATCCATGCTGTTAAGTGGGCCGACCATGGGCAACCACACCAATGCATTCATGCCATGTACAGTGCATTGGATAAGGCTTTCGGAACACCACCAAGAACAGCAGCAACAGCAGCAATGTCAGCAGTAGCGGCGACACAGTCTTTAAAAGTGCCTCGCCGGATGCCAATCGGGCAGACACTGTAGTTGGCTGTACACCCGCACAGATGAGACCGGCGCTGACTCTGACATGTTCAAGTTTGCTATTGGGGAGGGATTGACTCTAACGACTTTAACTTCCTTGCCGAGCTCATCAGCGTGTCAGGCGGTCAGGGCGGCGGTGTTATCGAGTCTTGTAATTTCAATAGCAGCGTCAGCTCTGGAGGCAACATGTCCTACATTGCAGAAAGCATGGTTGACACAGGCAAATGTCCTAATATGTTTACGCTAGCCAACTCCGGTACTGACATCCGCCAGAATGCCATGCAGCCATCCGCCACTAGCCACCTGGACCATACTCCATCGCCGACAAAGACGCACACTGACAGCGAGACGCAATTCAGGTCGGGGACAAAGGTCAGCGCTCCATCAGCTGGCGGTGCGGAATCTGCGCATGGCTTGGCGTCACCGCTCGCGTTCGGAGCAGCGTTATTTGGCAAATCAAAGACGCCGTATCTGCTGGATGGCAGCAATGGCTTCTAACATGCGCATTTGTAACGACACAAACATGCTTGAACTTTGCCATGTGCTAGCATTTATAAATTTCTAGCTTGCTGCTGCGTACGTGCAAGCGTATGCCAGCCTGCCTGACTGCATATTTAGTTTTCATTATTTTCTGTTTCTGTTTCCAGCAATTTTATATACTATTTTCTGTCAATATTACACATTTTACTACTGCACTTAATAGTATGGCGGAACCACCATGTCTTCTTTTCTTCCATTATCCTTCTGTCCGCTCCTCACTGCCTGACCACGCACGAAAACCAATGTCTATTAACGCTGCCACCCCTAATTTGTATGGCCAAATACCAGTTGCAGGCGCTGTTACCTCCATTCTTGATAGCACGGCACAAGTTGCAACTGACGTGGCTCTTCCTGTGAATAATGCGGCTCAGTAACCAATTCTTTTCCCACATATTTTTCCTTATTCCAGTGGTGTTAACACCTCACTTATTCTCCCAAGTGTTTTTGAACCTGTCCTCGATTAGCAGTCTGAGCAATCAGAGAGCTAAGCGAGCAGGTGATGATTGTTTGTATCAAGCTTAAGCATTTTAATCTTGCACATTTTAATGACAAGCGCATCCTGGAAGCAAAGCAAAGGCCAACTGACTGCGTCTCACAAATTAATCGGAGCAAAGTTGGGCTATCTCTTGTTTGTCGCCTCAAGGGTAATGCACTTTTTTTTTAATTTTTTTGCACCCTCTTTGTTTCTTTTTTCATATTCTTTTTCATTTTCAGACCTAAATATTGAATTTCTAGACGCATATTTTTCTCTCTCTGTTTCTCTTTTTGTCTTCCATTCCCTCATTCATATAACATTAAACCATAAAATAAAAAAGTGAAAACATTAGTTCAGCCATCTGATTGCTTAAACGCGCGCGCTGAGGAACCGGGCAATTTAGTTGCTTTCGTACAGTCTGACAATCCACTTTTTATATATACGATATTTGCAAGCGCAAGGGAAGAAGCATGAATACAAACACAAACAGCATGGATGCGCGCACGACCACAACAGCAGACAATTTCAACAACGCATCGGGGCTGCGGACGTTCGAACACAACAGAAGCGGTACCAATACAAGCACAAATGCAGAGTCGCAACCAATGACGCCTGAAATCGAGGAAGCACTGGGCAAGGACCCAGAAGACCCCCTCTCAAACGAACGGTTTATCGGCCACCCGTACTCGTCCGAGTTGTACGACTACCTGCGCAGGACACCCAAGGATAACAACTACATGCTAACACCGGCAGTGCGCAAGGAAATTTTGCATCGCGTGTCATGGTTCCTTTTGTCCAAGGACGACCGGCTGGCGGACCTGGTTCCGCTGGATGAGCGGACAGGTGGAGCTCCGCGTGAGGAGTTGCAGGACGAGCTCGAGGTGCCAATTGAGTATACAGAGGTGCGACGCGGGCAGCCTTGCGGCCACGTATTTAAGCGCGGAGAGGGCGTTTACCGGTGCAAGTAAGTACAGTATGCTGTGGGTTTCTTTCTTTTTTTCTGCACCCTTATTTTCTGTTTTTTTTGGCGCTTTACTATGCACACACATGTCTTTTCTCCACATGGACACAGCACGACCCACACCCGCTGTTTTTTTTCTCGGCTGCAGGGGTGCCTCTATAGAAAGTGGGAATGGACAGAGCCTGGTTCTGCTTCTGGCGCATATTTTGTGCGTGCGGGTCATACTCGCGCTTAACAAATATAATTTGTTACAGTGAAGCAGGTTTATTAGGGATACGCCATGCTTGTCATTTTGCTTGCAAGGCCGCAGCGGCCATGCGCAGTGCGTTTGCAAAATTGCAAGACTGCTCTTGATGCGCGACACCGCAGCGTGCATTATGTAATGCTGGCGCGTTTATTTGTGCACCCCACGCTCCAAGGCAGGCAACCAATCAAGCGGCCAGCCTAAATTTCGCCCCTTTGGAAAAACAATTGCATATTCAATTAACACAGGTATCCCTTTTTCTTGTACGTGTAGGAACTGCTCAATGGACGACACGTGCGTGCTGTGCACTCGGTGTTTCCAGGCGACGGGCCACACGGGGCATGAAACATCGTTCAGCGTCAACTCTGGAACCGGCGGGTGCTGCGACTGCGGCGACCCCGAGGCGTGGGGCGTCTCGCTGTGCTGTCGCCACCATAGCAGCTTTGAGGCGCTCGAGGAGGCTGGGGTAGAGCCCATCGTGTCCTCAGCCGGCGCGCCGTTTGTGCCAGGGTACAACAACAGCGAGTGTCCGGTCAGCGTCAAGCAGTCGATCGAGCTGACAATTGCCGTTGTGCTCGAGTTTATACTAGAGACATTCTCCACGTCACCGGTTGCGCTGTCGCGGCACATTGACGAGGCTTCAATTATGGAGGACGCTATGAACACGAGCATGGTGATCGGCGACCACGAGCAACCTACGATGTTTGCAGCGGTGCTGTGGAACGACGAGGTACACTCATTCCAGGACGTGATCGACCAGTGCACAGAGGCACTGCAGTGCTCAGTCATGGAGGCCAAGAAGATTGCGATGACGGTGGACATGAGCGGGCGCGACGTGCTTCACATCAGCACATCGATTCTGGATCTGATCGACATTGCAACAACCATGACGAATGTGTCGCTCAGCGTGTCGATCCGTGCGGCCCGCGATGTCTTCCGTGAGCAGCTGTCGGCGTCGCTGCTGATATGGCTGCGGGACCTGGCGTGCTGCAAGTTTCGGCCGCTGGGGCGCGTGTTCCAGGGAAAGATCAACAATGAGATCCGCGCTGAGATCAGCCATCAGCTGTGCCTGCGGTGGGTGGCGCCGTACCGCAGCGAGTACCTTGCCGACCTCCTGGAAAAACAGTATAACTTTAACCTTCCCGAGAGTGATTGCGAGGATGACGACGACGATGATGATGAGGATGAAGATGATGACGACGACTGCATGGACGAGGACGACTGCATGGACGAGGACGACGATCTCGACATCAACGACATTGAAGACTATGGCGGCGGCGAGGAGGAAGGCAGCGCCATCCATGCGCACATGATATACAGCGGTGAGGCCAGAACAGGCTACAGCCATGGTTACGCGAGCGCGGCGCAGGCACATGCTCAGGCCCAGGCCCAAGCGCAGTTACTCGCACAGGCACAGGCACAGGCACAGGCGCAGGCGCAAGCGCAGTCTTTAGAGTTTTCGCGCGGGCGCCGGCGCCGGCGCTCGGCGAGCAACGATTCGCTGCGGATTCAGGGCGACGAGCGCGCCAGCCCGCGTGGGTTCCTACAGACCGACAGCACAACAAACGGCGCCTCGCCACCGAGCATGTGGCTGTCTGACAGTGGCGCTCGTGGTCAAGGCGCCGGTGGGAGTAGCGTGCCAGCGACCATCCACGCGGCTATGGGAGCGGCAGCCGATGCTGTGGGCATGGCGCGTTCGTCGCTGGCGCGGATCATGCAGCCCAGCGCTACGGCCGGATTTCCGCCGCACTCGATGGCACCGGGGGCATTCCCGCAGTTGGACGAGCCCAGACCCGGATCCAGGTCGGGTACGCGACCGCGCGTCCGGCGTATGCCTACAGCGGCAGGGCTGGTGGCGATGGCTGCGGCGGACCCCGACACGGCGTGCGACGTCGAGACGGCAGTGGCGATCGAGCGTGTGCTGCGCGGCTGCGGGCATCAGCGGCTGGACTGGTTCCTGATGTTTGACCTGCAGCTGTGGAAGGAAGTACGCAGCGGGCTGCGCGAGCTGTACATGGCAACCCTGATGTTGGACAACCGCTACAAGATGAAGATCGCGCTGACGTTTGCGCGCAACTATCCGCGGCTGTCGCGCGCGTTCCTAACGCAGGACCGTGCACCCGAGCACTCAGTGCTGCTGTTCTCAGTGCAGTTGTTCACACCACCGACGCTGTCAGCGTCACTGGTTGACCACCACCGCTTCATGCACATCATCATTGACGTGTTGCGCAAGTTCTTTGTGCAGCCGACGCCGGCGGCGCTCCAGCGCTGTGGCGTTATCCTGTGCGACACTGAGTCGTTTCGAAACCGCCGCTACTTCCACGTCTTCCACGACATGCGGTACCTGGCCGGCACGCCGCAGGTGCGCAGCTGGGTGGCCGGTCATCGTGCATTCCTGGCCACGTACCTAGGGTTTATCGGGCTGTTCCAGGGCATGAATCCCAATCGCCGCGCCGTGCTCGAGCACGTCGAGTTCGAGGCAGACACGTGGGTCAACGCCTTCAACGTCACGCTGCAGGTCGCCAAGAGCTGCCGCCAGTTTGCCGAGTGCTACGGCGCCACCGCCCGCGACCTGTTCTTCGCCATGCGCGGCACGCTACGGCGCCTGCACCGCGCTGTGGTGCTGATGCCCGAGGAGAACTATGCCTTCATCGTGCGCGCTGCGCAGGCGCAGGGGCTGCCGTTGCCTCCAATGCCTAACTCCGCGTCCGATGATGTGCAACTGCGGCCGCAGATGCATACGCTGCCAACGCTGTGGGGCCGCCAGTACGACATTGTGCGCTACGACATGGCCATCAGCCCCGTCAGCTTCCACCACCCGTTGCATTGGTTTATGGCCGAGCTGTGCCAGCATGTCGCACTGATGACCGACACTAACGCGCATGCCCTGGGCTTCGCCAGCGTGCGCGACCTGGTCTTTTCGGCGCTGGACGCGAGGCTCGATGCGCGGCTCGACGCGCCGCTGCACTCGGAGGTGCCGTACGCGCTGTCGCCCCACGAGGTGCCGTTTGCGCAGCGCGAGATGCTGCGCATCCTGGACTACCCTGTGCGCGTGTGCGTCGTCATGGCGCAGATCCGCGCCGGCCTGTGGGTGCGCAACGGCTACGTCATCCGCTCGCAGTCGCACCACTATCGCGAGGTGTCGCTGCGCGAGAACACGTACGACCAGGACATCGTGATGATCCAGTTCTTCATGAGCCTGTGGCCCGACCCCGACCACATTCTGATGACCATGCTGGACCGCTTCGGCCTGTTCGACTGGCTCAGTGGCCGCCCGCACCCCCTGCCCGGCTACGAGCCGACCCACATGCACTATATGGTTGAGGAGTTCCTCAACCTGCTGATTGTGCTGGTCTCCGAGCGTCACGTGGCCACTGGTAAGACCGCCGTGGACCTGGCGCGCCGCGAGATCGTGCACGGCTGCCTGAGCCCCATCTCGTATTCGGAGCTGACCAAGAAGGTCCCCGAGCGCCTAACTGAGTTGACGGAGTTTGACAACCTGCTGCAGGAGATGGCTGACTACCGCGGCCCGCTCAGCGTGCTGGACCACGGGCTGTACGAGCTCAAGGACGAGCTGCTCGACGAGGTCGACCCGTACTTCATCCACTACTCGCGCAACCAGCGCGAGGAGGTTGAGGAGCTATTGCGTGAGCGTCTCAAGAAGCGCCTGCGCAAGAGCGGCGGCGACCCTGACGCCGTGCCGGCCTACTTCCCGCCCAAGCTGGAGCCCATCCGCGCCGGCCCGTTCCAGCGCGTCGGCCTGGTGCTTCATACGCCGCTGGCCTGTCAGATCCTGTTCTACGCGCTGTTGCACGCCACCCACACCCAGAGCGAGCTGCTTTCCGAGACCATGGTCGACGAAGCGCTCCAGCTGATTGTCATTGCGTTGGAGGACGGCCGCCGCGACGCCGTAGCTCGCGAGATAGGCGGCCCTGATGCGAGCAGCCCCGCCACTACTGGTGCCCAGCTTCCCAACGCCGACCGCGGTGGTCTATGGAAGTATGCGCTCGAGCAGGGCTACCCGTCTGGCCGCGGCGCGCCGCTGAACCTGCTGGGCCTGGTGCTGACACTCGGTCTTAAGCCCGAGATGAAGCAGTGGAAGCCCAAGCTTAACTACATTTACCAGCTGTTCCGCGAGGGTGGCCCGCGCATCGTTAGCTGCATTGACGACTACTACGCCAACCTTGAGGCCACGCCCATGGGCAGCCGCGTGCTCAAGTCAGCCATGGAGGAGACCAAGGCCGCTGAGCGCAAGAAGAAGACCGCCCAGGCGCGCCAGGCCGCAATCCTGGCCGAATTCGCCAACCGCCAAAACGACTTTATGAACCAATATGGGGACGAGTATGATGACCTGTCCGACGATGAGAACTACGCCGAGGAAGGCTACGAGGTTCTGGGCGCGCCCGAAAAGGACAAATCGACCGACACCAGCCGCGTGCACAAGGCTCTGTGGGGCGCCCCGAGCGGTGCCTGCATGGTCTGCCAGGAGGAGTGCGACAGCAGCAAGCCCTACGGCATGCTCTCCCTGGTACAGACCAACCGCGCCATCCGCAACGCCCCTCTGGCCGATGCCACGCATATCGTTGACATTCTGCGTCTGCCCGGCGGGCTCGACACCACAATAACCCACACCAGCAGCCTGGCGCCTCAAAGCCCTGAAGACACAGCGCTGCCATCGCCTGTTAAGAACACGGCAGCGGCGGCCGCCACCATTGCCGCTGCGCGCTTGCGGTCGGCGGACAACTTGGGGGTAATTAGCCAGATGGCCTCTGGAGCCTACGGCGCTCCATCCGGCCTAAAGAGCTTTCCCGTGCTGTACCATGAGCGTGGCCTGGCTGCAAGCACGTGTGGACACGTGATGCACACGCGTTGCTTCACGCAGTACTGCCAGGGCATTGAGGCCAAGCGCCAGCAGCAGCCTACGCGAAACCACCCAGAGAGCCTGCACCGCAAGGAGTTCTTGTGCCCGCTGTGCAAGAGCCTGGGTAATGTGCTGCTTCCATCGCTGGCGCAGTCCGCCGACTTCGACCCACTGGTGATCGCCGACCGCAACCCTGCTTTGTTCTCTCAGCCTGCCTCTGCAGTCACTGACAAGCTCACGACTGAGTTTGAGCGCTGGATCCAGGAGGACTGGAAGCCATTTGGCGAGACCATGGATGCCATCGCAAGCAACCAGATCATACGCAGGCCTGAACCTGTCCACGCATCAAACTCGGCGTCGTCATCCGGCGGCAATGTCAATTTGGCTGGTGCTGGTGCCAGTCCCCCAGCGCGCGCCGTGGTGCTGTTGGTTCTTCTGCTGTGTCGTCGTCATCAGTATTGCCAATGGCTGAGCAGCCCGCTGCCAGCGGCGCTTCTGTGGGGATCCAATCCGCCCTGTCTATTGATAGCGCCATAGGCGGCCTGACCTCTGCACTGCGCAATCCGGGCAACTTTTCGTTCAACATCGCCGACAGCCTGGCAGAATCGATCCCCCGGCTGGATGCTTTGCTCCGCAGCGCCCAGCGCTTCCCTGCTGGCCTAACCTTCCAGGCGTTATTATCGCGGTTTTTGCCGCAGTTGGGCTCCGGACCGCTGGGCATGCCGCCAGGAGTCGAGCGCATGGTTTTGCCCCTCTCCCAGTACGTGCACTGGCTGGTCGAGCGCCAGGCTGCTGAGCACACGCACCACCAAAATTATGTCCAGAATCGCAAAAACATGCATGATCAGGCTCAACTGCGGCTTGCTCGGGGCATCGCAGGGGATGACAACGACAACGACAATGCCGATCAATACGCCACGCCGGAGACTAGCAGCAATCTGTCGTCGGGCATGCCCCACTTGCCGGCTGGCAATGCCGCGCTGCCCGAGCGCGTGGCCGGCGACCAAGAGGCCAAGGCCCGCGAGCAAATGGAAACGTATCAGTTCATGTATACCCGCCTGTACGATGTTTTGCAGAATGTCCAGCGCGACAACTACGTCGGATTGCCGTCCACCTCGCTCTTTGAGCACCTTTACAGATCCAAGGACAAGGGCGCTGCAGGCGCTTCGTCGCACCAGCACCAGCACACCTCGCACGCTTCGGCAATGGTGGAGCAGTATGCCGACCGCAACTATGGCGAAGAGGACGAGGACTACGAAGAGGACGATGACGAGGAGGAGGACCACTACATGTACCGCGGTGCCTCTGGCTCTGGGCCGCCCGGGTCCGTTGGCCACAACCCCGAGCAACCGGCCGCCTCGATGCCGCAGTTTTTCCAAAATATCATGGAGCACCTGCGCGTGCTCAGCGCGAGCAGCGGCAGTCAGGCGGGAATGCAGTCGCTGACCAGCAGCGAAAACGCAAGCTTGTCGGCCCAGCTTCACTCGGCCAGCAAGATGCGGCCGTATCCGTTCGACAAGGCCACCAGCTCCCTGTTTGCGCACACCATCGAGCTGTTTGAGCTGTCGCAGCGCGGTATAAGGAACCCGCCAGTGTTCGACCACGAGGATTCACGCACGCTGCCATCGGGCACTCTGCTGGACGCCATACCCGAGGCGCACGCTGTGTTCATGCACTCACTTGGAAAGATCCCGGAGATCCAGTACCGCACCATGTTTAGCCCCATCACCAACATATTGCGCACAAGTGTCGATGGTTCCGACTCCCAGGCCGAGTCGACATCGCCGGCCCAGCGGCTTCGCACATTAGTCCTCGAGTCACAAGCGGGCGCTGTGCTGCCGTCGGCCGGCCTACATGGAGACTTTGTGGCGCGCACGAGGCTCGAGATGCTGAAGGAGCTCGGCTATGCCTTGTCGCCACTCAACGGGTCGCACATCACGAGACCGCGCGACCTGCAGAACGAGCAGTCGCGGTGGGCGACGGGCGATGACGGAATGCCAGCCAAGCCATTCCTGATGCAGGACAACTTTGCACTGCTCACTGACATTAGCTTGTCGCTGGTCATTCCGTTTGGGCTGGACATTTGGCAGCTGGTGCGCCTGTTTGTCACGGCCGAGCTGGTGCGTGCGTGTGTCGCTGTCGGAGACAGTATCCTCGGAGAGTACACTGGTGCGCCGAAGGGCCTTCGCATAGCCCAAAATCAGCCTGTCGATATGGGTAGCAATCCGCCGAATATACTGCCAACTGTGCATTCTGCTGCTGCTACTACTGCTACTGCAGCAGCGAATGTCGCAGAGGCAGCTGCTGGCCAGGCTCCGACAGCAGCGAGTTGTGTTCCTCATTCATGGGTTGATGCGCCTGAGGCCCGGGACGTAAAGCTGCTCTCCCTGTTGTCAGGCGGCAGCGACGCGTCCCTGCTGCAAGAGTCGTCAGCCGGAATCTATACGCTGGTTAGCTGGGCGATTCGCCAACTGCAAGGCCCAGAGTGTGACGAAGAGGCCCTGGAAGGCTGCAGAGCGCTGTCCACCCGGTTACAGTGACGAAGCTGGTGACCACATTGCTTCTGCCCTTTTTGCGCCGCATCGCGCTGCTCTTCTACCTCCAGTACGGCGTGGACATCGCTGGAGAGGCGCCGTGGCTCATTTCCGAGCGGCAATGCGCGCTTGGCAACGAGGCGAACCCGCAGGTTTTGTCGCAGTCCGAGCCCGAGTGTGTGCGCCTGCTGAAGCTTTTGCATCTGCCTAATCTCGACCAGATATTAGTGCCAGAGACCCAGCCGCACACTCTCTCTCTGGCCGAGGGCTGGCTGCGCGACCTGCGCAACTTCCGCCGTCGCCACACGTCGCCCATGTCGCTTGGAGCCGGATACACCATGGCCGTGCCAATCGGGATGCCCACACTATATTCACTCGTCGATCTCCCCGACCGCTTCGAGATCCTGTTTGAGCGCTCGGCAAAGGCGTTCTGCACGTTGTGCAACAGCGTGCCCAACGACCCTGCGCTCTGCCTGCTGTGTGGCAACTTTATGTGCGCGCAGAGCTTTTGCTGCGAGGTGGATGGCATTGGCGAGTGCAATATGCACATGAAGACATGCGGCGGGACTGTTGGGATTTTCTTGCTCGTGAAGAAATGCGGGTTAGTGCTGCTACACCATGATAACGGCTGTTTCATGTCGGCGCCGTATCTGGATCAGCACGGTGAGGTCGATGTCGGGCTCAAGCGTGGCAGACCGCTGTTTATCAACCGCAATCGCTACGCAGAGCTGAAGAAGCTGGTTCTCACGCAGAAGATCCCTGTGTTTGTAGCCCGCAAGATCGACCAGGCGTTCGATATCGGCGGATGGGTCTCGATGTAGTGACCATGCCCCCTTATTTTTCTACTCTTTAAACAATTTCATACTTTTTTTACATATATCAATTACATTTATCTCACACACATGTATATTGCAATATCGTCGACTGTTGGTGTGAGAGAAGAAAAAGTTGAACATAGATTTATTAGCGACAGCAGAGGCGGCTTCTGTACATTGTGCGTGCGAGCCATTATTTGCCACGGGTCTATTCGGTTACGATCTGTCGCGGTTGACCGATATCTCTATCTCTCTCTTTTTCTTTCACGCATGGTGGCCGCTGTCAGCGATCTGTTTGGCCTGAGTAGCGATCCACTGCCGTGTGATCCTGGTCTGCTCGGACTCCTCTCCAGGATCGGGCAACATCAGCTGCCGGCTGGTCAGGAACCCAGTGTCAATGTGCTCTTTGACGATTGTTGCCAGGGCGTCGATGAACGGCGGGTAGTCGTTCAGGGCCTCAGCGCGCAGGAACTGGGTGATGCCGGCCTCTTCAGCGACCTCACTGTACTCAATGTCAAGCTCAAACAGCGTCTCGATGTGGTCAGAGGTGAAGGCAATGGGTACCATGACCAGCGATTTGTAGCCAGAGCTAGCATAGCTCTTGATGGCGGACTCAGTCTGGGGGCCGAGCCACCTGAGCGGACCCACGGCGGACTGCCACACTAAGCGGTACGGGTTCTCAATGCCCCGGCGGCGAAGCTCGTTGATGACATAGGCGACTGTGCCGCCGACCTCGGCCACATAGGGGTCGCCGCGATCGACCACATTGAGCGGCAATGAGTGGGCCGAAAACAGAATCGGCGTGGTGTGGCGTACGTCTTCAGTCAGTTTTTTGATCTGATCCTCGATACGATCGGCAAATGAGCTGATGAGCTTCGGGTGTGTGCCCCAACGGTCAATGAAGCTCCACTGGACTTTCGAACCCGGATCGAGCCTCTTCTGCACGCGGTATAGCTCGTTGAGGTTGCTGCCCGTGGTGGACCCCGAGTACTGCTGGTACTGCGAGAATGCAATTACGTGTTCGATGCCGTCGCTTAGCATCTGTTCAACTGCCTGGGGCATGTCTGGGCTGGTGTATCGGAACCCCACGTAGTAGTTGTGGGGGCCGGAGTTCGGGGACGTATTGTTGAGAATGTCAACCATGCCCCTTCCCTGAGTGCGCGTCCACATTTCAATGGGGGAGCCACCGCCGATTTGCATATACTGCTGTTTGACCTTGCCCACCCGCCGCATGGCAATAAACTGGCCCAGGATACTCTGCATCGGAAGCTTGAGGATGTCACGGTCGTTGAATATGTTGGTCAGGAACTGCTTGACATCGTCCTGTGTGCGCGGCCCACCCATGTTCATCATCAGAATGCCAATCTTTTTGGGTGCTCTGTGTGTGCTGCTGCTGCTAAGGAATCGTCTGGAGGCAAGCGAGGGCGCCGAGAGGGCTGTCTTGAGCAATGAGCGTGAGTTCATTTGAATAAATAAATAATACTTCCGATTCGAATGCCGACAAAATTGCGAAAAATAGATAAGGAGGCAAGAAATAAAGTGCTGTTTTGCAAATAAGAAGAAAGTGGGCGGGCGCGGACGAGGACAATAACAATGGAAAAACAATGGAAGAAAGGCTACTTCTACTACTGCTGCCTCTGCTTCTGTTACTAATTGTGTGCCAGCGGGTATTTGATTTGCTTGGCATTAAGATCGTTTTAGATGAAGAAGCAACAAAATCGGCCATTTCTCCAAATGGAGATGCCAAAAAAAGATAAAACCTATTAAAACCCAATAAAAATCAGTTGATGATTTTAATAAGCAACATTTAATTTTGCTGGCCCTCGTCCTCCTTTCATATTACTCTGTGTTCGCTGCTGGCGTCATCGTCAGAAGCAGCTCGACCAACTTTTGGTCAAGCTCTAAAGCTAAAAAATTAATAGTGCGCATGTGCGCGCGTGCCATGAATGCGTGGCGCGGAGCCCTCGGAGAAAGGCCTGGACATCATCACGCTGTTGCGCAATGTATAAAAAAAGCTTGATAAGTGTGGCCCGCGCTGTGAATATTATCTCTGATATCGTGAGAGGAGGACCTTTTGTTTGTTTTGCGTTTGTTTAATTTTTCAATCCATCTCTTTCAACGTCACTTTTTTTCGTCTTGTTTTTCAAAATGGACAACAAAGTTTTATCCGCCACCGCTTCCCGACAAGACAGCGAAAGGGCGCTTCTTGCCGATTACAAAGCCGACACGGCAGATTCTGCACCGTTCGGACATTCCGAGCTGCCACCGGCGACGACTCAGTTTGAGGCGCAATTCAGCAAAAGAGCCATTGCCGGCGTAGTATCGGCCGCGGCTCTACTGTTTATCGTCGCTGCCTCCTTTTGGATGCCGACACCAGAGTGCATGCACGGAATGGGCGGTTTCCAGCAGCCCGGCAAAGTGGAAATCCCCAGAGACGGTCGTATTGACCCCACCCGGGTATTCCTGAATATCCCGTCGACGGATCAGCTGCGTGAAAACCTGCTGTACTACAGCTCGGGCACGCACGTTGCTGGAATCAACAGCACTCAGGCCGCGTACACCCGTGACTACTTTGAGCAGCAAGGCATCGAATCCAAGATCGTCGAGTACTTCCCATGGCTGAACTACCCTGTCGACCAGCAAGTCACGTTGTTCAACGAGACAACGCAGGGGATCGTATTCGAAGCCGGGCTCAAGGAGAACGTGGTCCCGGGCGATCCCCTTTCAGAGGATCCCAACAATCTACCGGCGTTCCATGGCTACTCGGCCGACGGCAACGTCACTGGGCAGCTAGTGTACGCCAACTATGGCAGACTGGAGGACTTTAAGGCGCTTAAGGATGCGGGAATCAGCGTTGTCGACAGGATTGTGCTGGTTCGCTACGGCTACATATTCCGCGGCGTGAAGGTCCACATTGCTGAGCTCAACGGCGCCAAGGGTGTGCTTATATATTCGGACCCTGCTGACGACGGGTATTCCAAGGGCAAGGTCTATCCAGCAGGGCCATGGCGCCCCGAGTCTTCCATTCAGCGTGGCTCAGTGATGCGGCTTCAAGTGTACCCTGGCGACCCGCTGACTCCAGGGTACGCAGCAACCAAGGATGCGCCACGCATTGACCCTAAAGACGCAAAAAACCTTAACCACATCCCGTCGCTGCCGCTGTCCTACCGCGACGCCGAGCCACTGCTTTGCGCGCTGCAGGGCCATGGCAGGAACGCGTCGGAGGTGGACAGCGGCTGGATCGGTGGGCTGACGTCAAAGGGCGTCGAGTACTGGACTGGCCCCAGCAAGCTCAGTGTCAACCTGCTCAACAAGATTGAGTATAAAACTAGGGCAATTCAGAACGTCATTGGGCGCATCAAGGGCAGCGAGAACTCCGAGCACACAGTCATCGTCGGCAACCACCGCGACGCGTGGTGTTCCGGTGCGTCTGATCCCTCCTCCGGGTCGGCTGCGCTGTTGGAGCTGGCGCGCGCCTTGGGTGAACTGATGAAGCTTGGCTGGCGCCCTCGCCGCACGATTATTCTTGCTTCGTGGGACGCCGAGGAGTACGGCTTGGTCGGGTCGACAGAGTGGGTTGAGGATAATATCGACTGGGTGCGCACCAATGCCGTTGCGTACATCAATGTCGACAGTGCTGTGGGCGGCGGCGACTTCAAGACCGAAGCATCGCCTGCATTTGAACAGCTTTTGTACGACGTGACCAAACAAGTGCCATACCCGCACTCAAACGGGTCCGTCTACGACGCCTGGCTGCAGCAGTCCTTGGCCAGTGCAGAGCTCACAAACCAGGCTGCTGACGACTACACAGACATGGCCGACGTGGCCGACGCACTCAAGTCGCCGACCCCGCTCATACGCCCGCTGGGATCAGGCAGCGACTACACCGCTTTTATGGCGCATGCCGGAGTGTCCTCTCTGTCCATGGGCTTTAGCGGCAGATCGGGCGCGTACCACTCGAACTATGACAGCCCCAAGCGACTGACCACCTTCATCGACCCCGACATGCAACTGCACCAGGCGATGGTGCGCGTGTGGGGGCTAGTGGCGATCAAGTTAGCCGACGACCCTGTCATCCGCCTTAGCCCGGTCAACTACGCCAAGACGCTGCGGCGCTACATCAGGCAGCTCGAGGGCCACGTGGGTGCACAACTGAACAACACCTCAGGCGACAAGCAAGCACAAAATGGCGCGATTGCAGCTGCTTCCAAGATCCACCATCTGCGCGCGGCCCAACGCCAGCTCTTGAGCAGCGCCCGCGCAATCGAGCGCGAAAAGGCGCATCTGCGTGCGGTCTATGGCGAGGACTGCCAAATGGGCAGCCGCCGCCGCCACACAAGCTGCATCAAGCTCCGCAGCTCCATCAACGACCGCGCATTCAGCCTGGAGCGCCACTTCACTGAGCCGGAGGGCATCCCCAACCGCGAGTGGTTCAAGCACGTACTCGTGGCTCCTGGGCGCTGGGAGGGCTATGGCGCGCAGGTGTTCCCTGCTCTCGCCGAGGCAGCTGAGGACGGCGACTGGAAGCGGTTCCAGCTGTATTCCAAGCGCACTGTCGAGACGATCTACGAGGCAGCGTGGTTTTTGCGCGAGGTCTAGGCGCCTGCTGCAGCGACTTTGGTTTCCAACTTTTTTCTCTCCTGCTTCCTCAAAAGACAAGGTTTACAATTTCGTTATAATATTGAGCGCGCCTTGTTGCTCCGTGTGGCAGCAAACGGCAGCTGAGGTGGCAAAAAAAATCCTCTATAGTGGAAAATAAACAAGACAAGAAACGAAACAAAACGAAAACAAGTCAAAACAAAAACAGGACAAGACAAGACGAATGCCCGAGCGACAGGAGATTCGAAACAGCCAATGTCGACGTTGCTGAAGCCCCCTCCACGCAACAGATCGCAACAAAGGGCAGGCACTGTCGCTGCCGCCTCACTCGGTCACAGGAGCCTTCTTGAAGTACTCCCACTGGCGAGGAGGGATTGACACCTCCAGGGGCTCCCATGCCTTCCACTCAGCCATCCGCGAAACAAGCTTGATCTCGTCCTCAGCCTGGTCAATAAGCTCCTCGATCTGCCCGCAGTTAATCAGCTCCTCAATCTTTACCGTATCCTCGTTCTGCTCGACAATCTTCAGGCGCTGCGTTGTGATTGCCTCGACTGACTGGCGGTAGATCGCAGCCTCTGGGATCTTTGCCTTCACCTCCTCAAGCGTCTTCTTATAAAGCCCGAGCAGCTGCGGGCGCGCATTGGGGTTGACCGGGAGGCCAACAATTCCGGTGGTAACCTACAGAGATAAATAAGGCGTTTGTTTGAAATAGCAAAAATAATTCCAATTGAGTCCTGTGAATTTGCGGGTTTTGTGTCTATCTCTGCTGTCGCTGTGGGACGCGGTGCCTGTATCCTCTGCCTCGGTGCGTGGATGGTCTGGTAAGTAGCAAGCAGCAGGCTTCCTCTTATAATGCTGCGTTGGCTTCCCCGGCATTCGATGCCTCCGGTTGCGTTACCTTTTGTGTGGCCTGGAAAAGAGCGCGAGTGATTCTCATTGTTGTTGATTTTTGTGTTTGTAGAATGTGTGAACAAGGGGGACAAGAAGCAAAAGAATGTCAAATTCGACGTACGAATTTTCAGTCAATTAAAAATGGCAATAAAAATACGAATTTCTCAGTACTTATCTTTTTTTCTTGCTGCTGATGGAATGTGGCAGGCTTGGGGGGGTTGCCGCAAATCAGGTTGATCCAGGATGGTGTGGGGAGGGGAGGGGAGTGTTTTTTTGGATTAAAGTCAAGTGGTGTGTGGGCTTTTGGCTGCATTTGCCTGTCCATCAAGTGTTGCATGACAAGCAGCATGTTCTCTTGTGCTTCAGACTTTCGTCATTCCTCTTCGCTCCAGCTTGGCTTATCTTTAGTCTTTCTGCTGTGCGTCAGCAGTGTCCCACTTTCTTTTTCACTTATTTTTTCACTTTCTACCAACACACTTACACACTTACACATGTCGTCTGCTCTTGCGCTCAAGTGCGCTGCTATTTTGGGCGCCTCAGGCGTTGCTCTTGGCGCCTTTGGCGCGCACGGACTGAAGAACGTCATTACAGACCCAGAGAAAATTAAGACTTGGGATATGGCGTCTAGATATCAGCTAATTCACGCTGTGGCTCTTTTGGGATTTTCAGCCACTGGCCGTCGCAGCCGCAGTGTCGTCGGCCTGTGGACAGTTGGAGCAGTGTTGTTTTCGGGCTCGATATATTGTCTGGTCCTCAATAGGGATGTCTTTAGACCGCTGGGACCCGTTACGCCTCTTGGTGGCATGTTCATGATCGCTGGCTGGCTTGCGCTGTTGGTCGCGCCCTAAGCCCCCGTGCTCCCCCTCTCTTACGTATCTCTTACATCAAACCCCTCCTGACCAAAAAAAAACAAAGCGGGCCACAATTTGTTCCTTTATTTTTCCTTTTGTCTATCCAACTCGTAAACATTTTTCAAAGTATAAAATTGACAAATATTAAAATCGATACCGTATTGAAAAAACATTGCTAATCTCTCTGTTTTTTTACTTGAGCGAGCCCTTGGCAATAGTGGCAGTTGTGCAGACCTTACCGCCAACAAGCAGCTTGTGGAACTTCTTCTCATCATCGTACCAGCCAGCCTCGCGGTCATCGTTAGTGAACATGCCGGGCTGGATTGTCTCGAAGATCTTGAGCTTAGGCTTAAGCACCTCCTCAGGCTCAGCACCCTCGAATCCCTCAAAGTACACGCGGTCTCCAGGCTTGCTGCCCTTAGGCGGCTCGACAAACTCAACAGTGTTTCCATCAGGGCTAGTGGCGCAAAGGACCATAGCGAAGGACTTTACGCCGCGCATAGCAACGGGCTTAAGGTTGCAGACAAGTACAACATCGCGGTCCTGCATTTGCTCAATGGGGATGAAGCGCACAAGGCCGGAAACAACAGTGCGGGGCTCGGGCTCACCAAGCTCGATGATCTCGACGTAAAGGGCATCGGCATCGGGGTGCTTCTGAGCGTTAGTGATGTGGCCTACGCGAAGGTCGAGCATGGAGGGAACAATCTTGAACTCTTCCTTGGGGGCTGGCTGTCTCTTCTCCTTCTTCTCCTTCTTCTCCTTCTTCTCGCCCTTCTGAGCCTCGGGCGTGTCCTGCTTTGCCTTCTTCTTGCCATCGGCGGCAGCGGCAGGGGCGGCAGCAGCAGCAGAAGCAGCAGCATCAGAAGCAGCGGCAGCGGCCTTATCGCCCTTAGCGGCAGGAGCAGCCTGCTGCTTCTTGACCGGAGCGGGGGCATTCAGATTAATGGCGACCAGCTTAAGACCGGCCTTGGCCAAAGCCTCAGCAGACACAGAGTGCTGGATGAGATCAAACCAGCGCGAAAAGTTATTCCAGTTGAAGCGTTTTTGGGCCGACAGCGACTCCATGAATGCATGTACATTGGCAAAGGCGATCAGATCAGCCAGGGTAATGCTGTTGGATACAAGGTAGGTCTTGCCAACGAGGCTCTCGTTGATGGTTTGGGCGAAAATCTGGCGCTCCGAGGGACCGTGGCGGGAAGACATGGTCATCCACTGGCTGATCTCGGCTTGGTCAGAATCGGTCTGGCCAGCAAGGGGGCTGTTGTACTTTGCAGCAATGAGCTGGGCGATCGAGTTTGTGCCCTCGACCTTTTGGCCGTCAAGATCCAGCTGCGACAGCTACACCAGGGGGTGGGGGAGGGGGGCAATACGGGTGGATCGAGTTGTAAATATGTATTGTTTTAATTGTCAGTTAGAATTGCCGCCGTGTTACTGAATTGTTGAGACTGCAGACATTTGGTGTTTTTGCTTTTTTATTGTAATTACCTGATCTGCAACAGCGGCGACAGAGAGCTCCTTTTCGGCCTCGGGCACAAATGCCAGCAGCAACTTGAGTGCAGAATCGGTGTTGTTGATTGAAATGGACATTTTTTTTACAAGTTGAATTTAACAAAAAAATTTGAAGGACAGAAAGAAAGGAAAATATTGAAAGACCTTGATTTACCGCTTTGAACGCTATAGATGCGTAAACACAATCTCGAAAATTACCCTGCAGGTTTAAGTTTTCTTACAGTGTGGTTTCGAGGTTCTTCATTTTGTAATCAACACGCGGGCTCGGATTAACAGTCGCAGTTGAATAAAATGGCAGTGTTTGTCATGCGTATGGCGCCATCTAAAATGCAGCCATCCATTCAAGCACCTAACCTCCCTCGTGCTCTTCATGGCTTTAGTGCATATCTTTGTCTTTGTTCGTCTCATAAATAGCATAGTAAAACGAGTATGTACTTGGCATATTTCATACGATCAGTATACGCGCTTTTCGCCCTGCTCGCGCTGGTATTCGAGGCCTTTCCGTGGACGCGTGACACCTTTGTAAAGTACGGCAAGACCCGGGAGGAAGCCAAAGAGGAGCCAGCAGAGCCAGTGCAAGGCGCGTCAGACAGCAGCACTGCTAGCATTGCGGGCAACCGCAATTCGGGGGAGCACTCAGGGTCGGCAAGCATTGTGCCCCAATGGTTCGCGCAGATGACAGTGCCAAAGCACACTTTTTCCCATTTTTACATCTTTGGCACAATATGCAGCGCATTGGTGACTCTGGACATCATCAACTGGGTCAAGGGCCAGAGTGGCTCGCAGCTGCCAGAAGCCACAGCAAAGTGCTTCATCCAGCTGTATATATCGTGGGAGCAGCGGATCCTCGACAGTGATCTAGCAACGGTCGTGGCGTTCCCTCACAAAATCACGGTGCTTGCGTTAACCATGTGTAATATGCATATTATGCTGCGGCTCAAAGAGAGCGTGTACGACCAGCCCGCCACCAAGGCGCGCATGCACATTTCCCAGTATGCAGTGGGAATCATCTACTATGCAGTGACGCCTCTTGCAGTGGTTGTTGACTCGTTCTACAGGCCGGCGTGGAAGTCTCCGCCGGTCTGGGCGGTCATTGCAGGTCTGGCGACCTATACTTATGCATCGGTTCACCAATGGCGCTGCCACCATATCCTGTACAATCTGCGCACCCAGTCGCTGCGCGAAGACTCGGGCTACGTGGTCCCGACAGGCGACTTGTTCGCGTATGTGGCGTGCCCGCACTTTTTATGCGAGATCCTTGTGTATGTGGCGATCTGGATGGTGACCGGGTTCCAAGCGACAACTCTTCTGTGGAACATCGGGTGGATCATAACGGGACTCGGTATCACGGCTAGCGAGTCGCACCGGTGGTACAAAAGGACGTTTGGAGACAAGTACCCGCGCAACCGGCGCGCGCTCGTGCCGTTCATCTGGTAGTATGTGTAGGGATACTTTTTTCGGCTTTGGTGTGATTTTTCGATGGGCAATTTGAAATAAAAAATAAAGATAAATTGAACGATTTTAATGTTGTGGAGGGGCATACGCTTTAGTAGCGGCCGGAGTCACTACCACGCTTCACCCAGGGCTTGTCACTGCTGCTCCGCTCGCTGCTGGATGAGCTTGAGCCGCGGTCACCGCCTCTCGAGAAGCTCGAGCTACGGTCGCCACCTTTAGAGAAGCTAGAGCTACGGTCGCTGCCAAATGAGCTGGAGCCGCGGTCATTGCGAGAGAAGCTAGAGCTGCGGTCGCTGCGATCGTTCCTCGGGTAGCTGGAGCCGCGGTCGCTGCCAAATGAGCTGGAGCTGCGGTCGTTGCGAGAGAAGCTAGAGCTGCGGTCGCTACGGTCGTTTCTCGGGTAGCTCGAGCCGCGGTCGTTGTTCCGGGAGAAGCCCGAGCTGGAGCCGCGTGAGCCGCTCGAGCGGTTGAAGGAGCCGTTGTTGCCAAACGACGACTTCCGCTGGCCACGGTCGACGCCCAGAGACGCGCGCAGCATAGCGGGAAGTGGTGGTTGCTCGGTGCCAAAGGTCTCAAGGATCGAGTTTGAGCCTTCAACAATTTCCTTGCCGCGGGGGCCGCCGATCATCTCGGCGTGGGCCTGGTAGAAGGCAACCAGCGACAGGAAGGCGCCCTGGACAATCTCCTGGTCCATGTTCGTGACGGCAGCCTCCCAGCGCGACGAAAAGCGCTGCAGACCCTCAGAGCCAAACTTGGAGATCTGCTCCATGTACTCGGGCGTGTACTTCTCGCTTTTGGTGATAGGCACGTTGTTGAGGCACTTGAGGAAGCCCATCTCCACCGGGGCCAGCAGGATCACACCCTCGCCCGACTTGCCCGCACGGCCCGTACGGCCGAGGCGATGCACGTAGGCGTCGCGCTCCGACGGCACGCCAACCTGGAGAACCATCGAGACGTTGGGGTAGTCGACACCGCGCGCCGAGACATCGGTGGTAACCAGGATCGACGTGTTGCCGATGGTCACCGGGAACTTACGGAAGCTATCAGAGCGGCGCGTGCGCGACTCCTGCGAGATCTTGCCGTGCAGCACCGACACATCGATGACCTCGCTGTCGGCGGAGCCAAAGGCGCCTGCACCGGCACCGCCGCGTCTGTTGTCGAACTTGCCGCGGCCGCCAAAGCTGCGACTGGCCTGTGGCGACGAGCCCTTGCGCATCAGGGTGCGGAGCAGCTGCGCGTACATATCGGCGCACTTGACGGTCGGCAGGAATATGACAATCTTGCTGCCGCGGTCCTCGGCCTTATTCTTGTCGATATGCGACTGGATGATGTCGCAGATCAGCGGGAAGTGCTGCGAGTGCTCGGCCTCGACGTACTCCTGCTTGACGTGATCGTGCGTGTTAGTCTCGCCCTTGTCGACGCAGTCGATCAGGTCGAAGCCGCGCTCGAACACTGTCGGCGCCAGGTCGCGCACCTTCCGGTCCAACGTGGCCGAAACAAGGAATGTCTGGCGATCGCTGGGCGCGCGCTTGACAATCTCGTCAACCTCCTTGCGGAAACCCATCTGCAGCAGCACATCGGCCTCGTCAAAGATTAGAAGCTTGGTCTTCTCGGCCAGCTGTGAGAACGTGGGCTGGTTGTCCATGAAGTCGAGGATGCGGCCGGGCGTGCCAATGACAATATCCGACCGTGCATACTTCAGCCGCTCGAGCTGCTCGCGTGGCCGCTCGCCGCCGATGAGCGACTGCACGTTCCACCCATGGAACTTGACCAGGCGCTCGGCCTCGGTGGCGATCTGCTTGGCCAGCTCGCGCGTGGGGCTGACAATCAGGCACCCGACCGCACGACCCTTCTTCGCGCGCTCCGGGTCCTTCGCGTACTCACTCAGGAGCGTCTCGATGGCCGGGATCAGGAACGCCATGGTCTTTCCGGTTCCGGTCTTGGCCTTCACCATGATGTCGCCCTCGATCGGCAGCCGCGAGATAATCTGGTCTTGCACCTTGCTGGCTGTCTTAAAACCCATGACGCGGTCAATGGCCTTCTTGGTGTTCTCGTGCACATTATCGTACGACGCGAATTCAACAGGCACGTACTCATCAGCTACTGGAGCATCGGTCTTCTGGGCAGTCTGCACCCTTGGGCCTGTGCTGATCTGGTCCTCGGCTCCGGCGGACGACATCTGGCGCGCAAGAGACTCGCTCGAGAGGAAGCGGGCGAGTGCCGGAGCTTGCTGGAGCATTGTGCCTTGGGCCGGCATCAGCAGCCGTCTGCAGGCACTAAGTGCCGTGAGAGTCGTGCTGCTGGAGGCCGACAGGCGGGCGAGTGAGCGCGGTGCCAGGCGGGCGGAGGGAGTGATAAACCGCTGCATGTGTCGAGTCTAGATGTGATGAAGTGTTGGGAAAAGAAAATGTATGTACTGGGAAGCAGGGGCAGCACTTGTTGGCAGATGATGCGGTGTGCTGTTTGGGGATGCTGTCAATGAGAACGGCGTGCGAGAATACAGGTCGTGTGCAAACTATACAGGAAAAGGTACTAAAAACTAATCAGATCAGCCCAGATAAACTATATACTTTTCAAAGAATAAGAAGTAAAATTGCAAAGATAAACTATTTTCGAAACTATGTCGCTCAAGGAGAGGAAGAATTGTGTTTGGCAATTGTTTGTGTGTGTGCGGGGGGATGGAGAATGTCGAGAATATAAAGATAGTGGTTGGAAAACTTTTCAAGCAAAAAAAAAAAAGTGCTAGATCAAAGTGTTCCTCACTGTTTTTTTTCGCAGCAGATTCTGCCGCCACATACCATTCGCTCAGACTCGGCATGCTGACCGTGATTATTGGTGCTGCGGTGTTTCCGAATCCAATCAACACATTTAATTTCAATCAAGAGCAATTTTGCGGCTCGACAAGTCTGTTCGAGCCGACATTTTATTTGAGCCGGTATGTGTCCGATTTTTCTTTTATCGCACTGCCACAGGGAGCAGCAGAAAAGAGAAACAGAAATCCCGATGATTGCCATTGGCCAATTTTTAAAGCACTTGACTTTAATTATGCTGGGCAAAAAGAAAAAGAAAAAGCTGGAATACTCAGAGGGTATAAAAGCGAGTATGAGGGATGCTTTCGTCTTGCTTCTCCGGATTGCTTGAAATTGAAGCAAAATAGCAAAATAAATTATCCACAAGTTTGAACTCCTTCCCTCTCGGGCAGAGAAATTCTCTAATTTTCGTACATAAACTCAACTCTTCTAATTGTTTAGTAAAGTCCGAGTTTTAAATTTTTTAAATTTTTTCTTCTCATTTTTTGCTCGTTTACACATTTGCACATTCAAAGCTCAGGCGCAATACTGCCACCGCGCCTGCTACTTCTGTATCAACCTCTCTTTTCATTTGAGCACCCTCGAGTATTCTGCGCGCTGCAGTTTATTTTTGTTTTTTGTTTTGTTATTGCTGAGCAATTTATATTTTATTTTTACTTTATTTTGTTGGACTCGAGCAGCAAGTTTTGCTCTCATCCGCTCAATTCAATTTCTGCATTTCATTGTCGACGCTTATTTTCCAGTCTTCCCACCCCTCATATTATTATTTCTTGAGCAAAATTCATTCGAGGCTAATCGCGCGTCACGGCTCTCACATTCATTCACTTTTTTGTTTTATCTTTGGCCAACCTGCTTTTTTTATTCTATTGGCTTGTATTGGTGGCCGATAAAAGTCAAGTCGGCAACGCCCTTTTAGTATTTCCCCCAGTTTTTTTGTTGCTACTGCTTTGCACTGGTGCCGTAAATAGCTATGCCAAACACCTCAAAACCTAGCGCTGGTGGGTCCAGCTCGGGTGTGGTTGTGTCGACTGATGATGACATTGTCATGGACAACTCTGCATCTGCTTCAACTGATGGCACTGATGTGCCAGAGTTGACTAGGCCAGCTCAGCCTTTGGGCGAAGCTGTCTTAGGTGGCGGCTTTGCCAGCATCAACAAAGGCGCCAATGGCGTTTGTGTTGCTGGTGATAAAGCTGAGAAGAAGGAAGAAGATGAGGATGAAGAAGAGGTCATAGGCGGTGGGTGCATTGTAGCCAACGGCAACATTGCGTCTATCGCTGCTGCTCTGCCATTACCATTGCCCGCTGAATTACGTGAGTCCAACATACCTCCTCAGGAGGCCAGGACCGTGTTGACATCGGAAAAATACAGTGATAAAGACATTGACAATGGAAGCAGGCACGACCCCGTGTTATTTCCACCATCTCTGGTATCGCCTTCTACTCGCATAGAGGAAGCATCGCTGATCCCGCCGTCCCTACAGGATCCCTCGTCAGCATACAACGCCCTGTGTTCCAAAGATCGCGACTCTCCCGTCAATGCTGCCTTCGAATCCCTATATTCTGGCGAAGGCAGTGGGCCAGTAGTGCCCACTGACGACGATCGGCCCGTGTCGTCTCAAGAGGACTACGCTGCTGTTGCGCGCGAGGCGCATGGCCATTGGCGCGCGCGGTCGAAGCAGCCAACTGGAATTTTTGAACAGGTATGCCATCGTTATACTGTACTGGCGACACCCGCCCTAATGGCATGGGCCGCATGTGCTCAATGCATACAGTTTAGTGAACTGCATACCATCCAATCTAAACTTGTGTTCAGCCAACGTGAATACCACTCACTAATAAGCATCATTACCGCCTAATCATTTACCAATCAATACCTTTTTATGTAGTCATCGGCTGACATTCGCGATTTCATGGCTGGATCTGCGCGGAGGCGCTTGCGGCTAGTCCTGATTCAGCTCCACGACCTTATAGACAAGGCGCCCAAGGTGTATGCGCTGTTGGAGCGCAAACGCATTCTGGAAGGCTCGTTGGTGACGCAGAGCCGCGTCGAGAGGGCCCTGAATTCGCTCTGGGGCGAGCTGAAGGCGCGGTGCTCGCTGCTTGTGCTAGACAAGGATGCCAGCCACGCTGTCGTGCGCCAGTGCCCCCTGGTTAACCATGAAGATGGGTCGGATAAAGTGGAGCACGTCAAGTCACTAGTTCTGTTGGTAATCAGCGACATAGCCGAGCACTGCTTGCTGTTGTGGGAGCTGTTCGAATCGTCTGTCCGCGGACTGGTGCTGGTCAACTCGGGCGCCGAGATTATCAACCGCATGTGGCACTTGTCTCAGGACAACGTAGACATCCAGCAGAGCATTATCACCACGCTGCTAGAATCATATGCGGTAATGCCCGATCTGTACAAAGTGACGATCAAAGAAGTTATTGAAGGCATGGTCGCGCTGGACAACCCGAAAGGAATGCGCTTGATTGTGATGGAACTGCAGAAGTACAAAGCTCTTCCCAGCGTGCTTTTTCGCACGCTGGCCAAGGCTATGCGCACTGCTGAAATGGCAGATGAAGTCAGGCTACGCCTCGACGAGCTGCTCCACACTGGCGCGGGCACGTGGGTCGGCTTCACGACTAGTGGCGCCAGGCCAAAGTACGCACAAGCGGGCTCGGAGCTCAGGGACGCACTTCTGGGCCAATTTGCTGCACTGCTTCCCTCTGCCAAGCGGAGGCACGTTTTTTCATACATGCGGGTGATTTCGGGTCTGATTGGATATCTTCGCTTGGATGTGACGGAAGCGGACTTTGAATTCTTCAAGCAGGCCGCCGGAACGGCCTCGGACCATCCCAATTCTGCCGACGTGTGTGCGGCGCTGTTTTTGGTGCTGGCCGGGTTCGGAACACGGACATCCAACCAGAATATTATGCTCGCCATCATGGACGTGTCGGAGTCGCCGGTTGCCCACCAAATCGACTGCTTGCTCGCTCACCTGGTCACCGACCAGGTCAAAGATGTCAACTCATTTGTGACCAGCGCGCTGGCCATGGATTTTTCGTATCCGCGCGATCGCCTGTTTTATCTGAAGGACATTGCGTCCGAGTCGACGACATCTTACTTTTCGCGTGCCAGCCTCGCCCGGCGCCTAGTCGCTTGCCCGAGCCCAAGCGCGCCCTGTGAGGGCGGCGTAAATTCGGTCCCCACTGCGCTACACCGGGCGGCAGCGCTGAATTTTCTCCGGAGCGCTACTTTCCAAAACAGCGGCGTGGACGTGCGCGAGTGGATGACTCGCTTGATGCGCGGTGCAGATACGGCCACGGCTAATGAGTGCGGCCCGCTGGTTAGGGCCTATGTGTCGGCTATTTTTTCCTCTCCCTCAATCACGCCTGTTCCCGAGATGCTGCTATGGAGTGAGTTTACTGCCGAGGCAATCAAGGATTCTGCTTGTCACCACGCGCCGCCCTCGCAGGTACTATTTTTGATGTACGTGCTCTACTACTGCGAGCAGCTGCTTGAACAGCCCAAGCGACCCAACTCGGCCTTTTCGGTTTTGGCCAGGCGCCCCGCCATTGTAGCCCCGCCGCTGGTCAACGGCGGCCAGCCTCGCGCCGGTCCGTTTGGAATATCGGTCGGCGCAAATTCCAGCCGTGCGGGTGGCTTGGGGTCGTTGGCTCTCGGCCGAACTGTTGGCCGGGACGCGGCAGTCCACTAACAGGATTATACGACGTGGTCAAGCGCGGCGAGTACTCTGACCAGCTGCTAGACTCGCTCCCTGTTTCATGGATTCTTCATAAAGTTGGCCGTGACACGGAGTACCAGCTTGTTTGGCCCGAGCTTCTGTCAATGGCGACCGCGCAGCACCCGGACCAGCTCGATGTGGTGTCTGTGCTGCAGCGCGAGCTGGCTGCTGGCTTTTCCCAAGAGTCTTCTCATTTGGGCGCAGACAGCGGTGGACAGCAGCTGCCTCGGCGCGAAGCAGCAGAATTTGCGTCGTCGGGCAGTACTGCTGATTTTTCCAAGCAACTCAAAGCAGCGCGCATGCTAATTGGCAGCATGCTGCTGCCCAACAACCCGGATGAACCTCCAAGCATGCGGGCGCTGCGATTCACCGTCGAGGAGTACTCAAAGCTATCAGTTTCTGTGCGCATTATGATGTGCGGGCTGCTGGCAGGGCAGCTTTGTCGGGCGGCCGTCGCGGGCTATGACGATAACGAGCTCACCGCCAGCGTGCGCCAGACGTGGCTTTCTCTGCACGCGCTGAGCCCGCACGCCGTATCTGCCGCAACTGTCAACGCGTGGCGCTCCGAGGCGGAGGCCATCAAGCCTAGGCTAGCCGCACAGGACATCTGGCTGGACCCTTTGGTCGTGTTCCGCAGCGACACGCGCGTGTTTCAGTCGGCGAGCCTGGTGGACATCCTACTGGTTGTTCTCGGCGAGTTCCTGGTTCTGTCGCGCACTTCCATGCGCAGGATCTACGCACTGCGGCAGAGAGACGACGGCGCGCTCAAGAAATCGCACTTGACTGCGCTGATTCAGCTCCAAGAGTCGAGCGCGCTGCAGCTGCTGATCGAAACTGCCCGCTTCGTGCAGGACGATAAAGTCAAGTGGCTAGTCTATGAGTTTATCCACGCCCGCTTCCTTGAGCAGCGCACGATCCAGAAGCTAGTACACTTCCAAGCGTATGCCATTGAGGCCATCGACGATATGGTCGGTTACGTGCCGTCGATGCATGCATGCTCCGAGTTTATCCCCGAGCTGCTCATGCAGTCGGCCCCGTGCCTGCAGCTGTTTGCGATCAAGCTGGCGGCGGCCATCACGACAAAGTACCCGATAATGGCCAACGAGGGCATGGCCAAAGAGGTCATCCTGCCGCACATCCAGACTACACTTGTGCAGATAGCCGGCACGGCCATTGCCGAGCAGCTGGCCATCAGCAACGCGATGCTCGCTGCAGTTGTGTCTATCGGCTGCGCTTTCCCTACGATCCGCGAAGAGTGTAGGCGGCTAGTGAGTGCAGTCAAGGACTCAGTGCTCGAAAGAGCCCGCAGCGTGCATCAGGTGCAAGCGCAAGTGCAAGTTCAGGCCCAGCCTGTGCAGCTGCAGCACCAGCACCAGAACTTTGCCAGGTGGATCGGCTGCTGTGAGCACGTCGTAGCGCTCATCGACGCGCCCGATCAGGACGAGCGGCCCCAGTTCGTTCACATCGAGGACACCGAAGCAGGAAACATTGCGATAAGACTAGAAAAGTTGTTCCATCCCGATAAGGGCGGCCACGCCGGGCATATTGCATCGCCGCGGCTGGCCGACTTTTCTGGACAGCCATTGCCTGCCAATGGCCCGCCAGTGCCTCCAGGCGCCCTGCGGCCGCCTGGTCCACCTCCGCCGCACTTCCACCCGAGCCATCAGTCGGCGCAGCAGTACGGCGTCTCTCCCGGCCAGCAGAAAAGGTCGCATAACCTGATCACCAGCGGAAGCAGTGGAGGCGAGCGCGGCGATCGCGGCGGCCGCATGTCAGCCCAGCGCGATGCCGGTAGCCCGCCCTTGGACTATTCCCGTAGCCGTGGCGGCAATGCCAGCGGTACAGGCTCTTCCCGTCTGCCAGACCATATGTCTGGGCATTCGTCGGGCGGCATATCTCCCGGAGGCAATGCTGGATCGTCTGGCAACTTTAAGAAGAGAAGCCGGCATCGCTCTGGTAATGCCGGTGGCGGCAACAACCCCAAGTCCCACGGACATGGCGGGCCCAATAAACGCGGGAAGGCGCCTGGAGGCGAGCGGCCACACATCAAGGATCATTGACTGATCCTCTCGAATAACTATTGTTTTTAAGTTGTACTTTTTTGTCATCGCAGAAACACACACCATGTGCATAATTTCCTGACACAATCAACTGTTGAAACACGATGACAATGCTAGTGTGGATAATATGTATGTGTATATATAGGATAGAATTGAAAACATTGAAATATAGAAATTTATAAATAAAAAACACCTGACTCTCAGAACGTGCTCTCCTCCTCCTCGGCGTGGTATCCGTGACGGCGCATCTCGGCAAGGCGCCTTCTGGCACCGACAAGATCCTTCTCGAGCTTCAGGATCTGTACCTGTTGCTCCATCTCCTTGCTCTTGAACTCGAGGTTGCTCATCTTGTCATAGTCCTCAGCCTGCTTGTTCTCCTCCTCACGCTCCGTGAGCTTCTGTGTGGCCCGCACCAGATGAGCCGACGCCTCGGTGACCGCCTTGGCAGCCCACTCGAGCCTCTCCTGAGTCTTAGAGTACGGCTGGGACTTGACGCGGGACGCAGCAACAAGCTGCACGGTGGCCGCCGAGACCTCGCGGGCAGCGACCACTAGGTGCTCGAGGGAGCGCGTGCCCTTGATGACGCCGTCGGCAGTCTCAACAAGGTTGTTCGTGGCAATGGCAACTGCCTTGGCGGCAGAGATCAGGCCCTCAGTCCAGCGGTTGTTCTTCTTGTAGAAGGCTGCCTTGGTGCTCGAGCCACGGCCCTGCAAGACAATCTCCAGCTGCGAAGCCGTGGCAGCGCGGATGAGCTGGGCAATGGCGTTGGTCATGGCCATTGACGAGTCGAGGATGGCGTCGTTGACCTGCACCTGGTGGTCGGTGAGCGATGAGTCGCGCGGCTGGTTCATCAGACCCTGCAGGCGAGCGACCGCCTCGTCGATGGCACGCGCGGCGTTGAGCATCTCGCGCTCAACCAGGTCAGAGACGTCCTCGTTAGTGGTTGCAACAGACACACGGTTGACATCCTTGGGGACGAGGCTTTCGGTGAGGCCGGTTAGTGTGGTTAGGCTCTGCTGCAGCTCGCGGTTGGTGTCCAGAATGACGCCCGGGCGCTCGGTGGCGAGCAGCCTCTCCATGTGGTTCGACTGGCCCTTGGTGAAGAACTGCCGGCCAATTGTGGCGGTCTGCCGGGCAACCTTGATAAGGCGCTCGACAGACTCCTCGCCGTTGGCGAAACGCACAATGCCCTTCAGGTTGGTCAGCAAATGATCGAGCCCGTTGGCCAGGCCAACGGCGGTCGAGATAACCTGCGTTTGGTCGCCGTCCGGGTTGGCCAAGTATCCCGCAAACGACGCTGTCAGCGAGTTGCCGGAATCGTGCACCTGCTCGATAGTTGCCAGCACGTGCTCTACCGTGGTCGTCATGTTTCCCAGGTTGCTGGGGTCGTTTAGATTAAACACAGCCTCGTCGGTCTTGTCGGCGCACGACCGCAGAATCGAGTCCAGAATGCGCTTGAGCTTTTGCGCGTGCTCCTGAAGCACAGCATCCAGCCGGCGTTGAAGGTCGCTCTGGTTGCCGCCCACCTGCTTCTTGAGATTGGCCATGGCGACAATGCTATGGTCCATGCCGGCCTGGAGCACAGCGATCTCGTCGTCCTTCGCCTGCCGCAGCTGCTCGTTTTCGGCGCGCAGGTCGTTGTACTGTCTGCGCGCCTGGTTGGCATCGGCGAGCTTGGCGTCGAGCTGCCTCTGCAGCTCGTCTCTCTCTGCATTGAACTTGCGCATAATTTCCTGAACCTCGGCAGCCTTGGAGCGGTTCAGGTCCCGCACATTATCCTCGCTATCTTCGAGCTGGCGGCGCAGCCGCTCAAGCTCTTCCTGCTGGCCGTTCTCCATGCGCTGCAGGTCAGCAAGCGCCCTGTCCCGCTCACGCATCATGTCTGCAAGCTCCAGGTTCTTGCGCTTCATGTTCGCCTGCAGCTGGTCCATCTTGGCCATCACCTCAGCAGCGCTGTTGGCCTTGATGTTGACCTGGTTGTACTTGTTAACAAGATCCAGGTACTTTTGGCGCAGCTGCGAGTAGAGCTTGGCCAGTGCTTCGTACTTTTGCTTCCACTGCTCAATCTGGGCCTGCAGCTGGCGAATGAGCTCATCCTTGCTCGCGTCCTGCTGTGCCTGGAGCATCTGCAGCTGGCGAATTTGGTCCTCCAGGGCGGCGACGCGGTTATTGTACTGACCGATCGTCATCTGGTCACGCTCATGCTGCCCGCGCATCAGCAGCATCTGCTGCTCGAGCTCCTGCATCTTCCCCTGCACCTGACGCTGCATCTGCTCGCGCTGAAGCTGGGCGAGCTGCTCCTGCTCCTTCTGCCTCTGCAGCTGCTGCTGCTCTTCGTATTTCCGCTGCTGCTCCTCAAACTGGCGCTGCTGCTCGACGCGCTGCTGCTGGGCAAGCTGCTCCTGCTCCTTCTGCCTCTGAAGCTGCTGCTGCTCAATGCGCTGCATCTCCATTTGCTGCTGGAGCAGAAACTGCTGCTGCTGGCGTTCCTCCTCTTGCTTGCGGCGCAGCTCCTCAGCAGCCCGGCGCTCGGCCTCAAGATCGATCTTTGGCGACGGGATGCGGGGGGTCTCGGTGCGCACAGACGTCGAAGCGCTGCGGTTGAGATCCTGCTGCGAGCGATCAGGGGGCGGCGCCGCGCCGTCATTGCCCATCAGGTTGGGTGGGTTCTGGCTCAGGCGTGGCACAGTGATAAGGCTGGTCAGGTAGCGCAGGTTGGAGCATTCAAAGTAGAACCTGCGCAGACCATAGTGCATCGCGTTGAACCTTGTTCGCAGGGGTTCAAGTGCATGCTCGGCGCCGTCGACGCGCGTGTGCATGGCGATGAGCATCCGCGTGGCAAACTTGTAGATACCGTAGCTTTCCTCGACCAGTGGCACGAGCGAGGAAATGCGACATTCGTTATTGGAGACGCGCTGGAAATTGACAAAGACGAGCTTCTGGAACTCGTCGAGGCGCTCTTGCAGGCTCATCAGGTCAGCAATTGTCTCGTACCCCTCGTTGGGGTCGTTGGTGCCGCGCAAGCTGATGTACTCCTCGTACTCAAACATGCCGTTAAAGTCAGGGTGCAGGCGGTGGTACTCGAGTTTTGCCAGGAGGAAGTTGACATAGCCACGAATAAGAACGCTATAGTTCCGCCATCCGGCGTACGCACCCCCGCCCATGCCGCGCCCAAGCTCCTCTAGAACGGGGTTTGGGTCAGTGCCTCTGGTATGCACACTGGGTGGCCCTCGCGAATCACCTTGTGCAGCGAGATGATTGCCTTGTAGCACTGGACTTCGTCGGCTCTGAGCGGTTGGGCCTTCATGCACTCCCAGATGGGCATGGATGTTTTGTAGTCACAAGTGAATAGAATCATGGTTCGTACGTGTTTACGCTTGGGTGCATTCTCTTCGACGCTGGTGGCCTTGCGGATGGCCATCATCAACTCTTGCTCGGCCTTCCCACGGTCGCCCGTGCGAAGCGAAAAGTTAGAGATACTCATGGTTCGGCCTGGCAGTGTTTGTGTTGTGCTGTGTTGTGTTATTGTTACTTTTGCTGTTGCCTGTTGTCCGCGAATGAAAAGTATAAATTCAGATGTCTTAAATAAAATAAGTAACGAAGCGGTAAATTTGAAGAGAAAAAAGAGAGAAGGAAAGAAAGAACAAAGTTTAGCGTGGAGAAAGGCAAAGAGACGGAGAAAAATAAAACGATATTCAGGCTCCTTTCAAGCACAGATATTGTTTATAATTTCTAAAAAGAACAAAAATCTGTACAAAAAACAAAGGTTGGATTTTGACTTGGCTTGGCTTGGTTTGGCTTTGTATCTGCTGATGCTTGCCAAGATGGAAAATGAATAAAAAGCAGCCACGACTCGTCTTTTTTGCCTTACGTTCGTTGCCTTGTGCGCATCGTTTTTTCTTTTGCCAAAGCCCTCTTTATATTTCCCCGCATAGACTTTTCCTCCCCCCTCGCAATCCTTGCGAACTTGGGAGTAGGGTTGTACTGCGTTTGCCCGCAGTGATAATCATCGACTTTTTTATTCACTTCTTGCTTTCTCTTGGCGTTTCTGCACGCACAAACACTCATACATGCACATAAGGAAATAAAACAGCGAGTACACCTTGCACTAGTGTTACTCTTCTCACCGTTTCCACAATGGGATGGAGTCAGTCACTATGATTTCGCGGGCCACAATTGATAACTAGAAAGGCCTAGCTAACTTTTTTGTTTCTTATATACAATCTCATTTCCGGTTGCCCGATCCAGATTGCCCAGCAGAGCATATGCGCCGGGACCACAGATAGTGCTGCCTTGCATAAATCGGGCTTTCCAAAATAATAGTTTCTTGCAGGGTGATCTCAAGGCCGGGACGGTCCCATAGTAAACGTCATTGTGTTTTTGCGAATCGACTGCGCAAATGAATAGAATATCAGCGGATCTAATCAGCCACGAACTGCCAGCTCGTGCGATGTGGTTGACGTGTAGTGACGTATGACGTTACAGTGTGATGATGTGTGTGATGATGTTTGTAGTGACAAGCTCTGCATTGCGCTCCAGGCCTTTTTTGCATCAGCATGTGTCTTAGTTTGCACGACCACAGCATACACACTCAGCCGGCACCGCGGTTGAGCTGCAATTTTTACCCTACCTTTGCATTTAGCATTTAGCCATTCCTCCCTTCTCCTCCATCTTTGCTTCATACCCATTCAAGATTATTATATTATATTATTCTTACCTTTGCAGCCAGTAAATTTTTAAACAATATCAGCGAGACTGTTCACAAAATAATTAATTTACCCCTCCTGATTTGATAATTCACCTCAACCATGCCCCAGTCTCTCCAGCGCAAGTTCAGCATCCTTGAAACAGGATCACCCCGCTACATTCTGGCTCGCAGGAAGGCGATTGGCAAGTCGGTGTATATGGGAGTTGCCCTGTCAAAAATGAAAGACGGATGCATCGAGTGGGCGTGCTCAAGTTACGATGGAAACGAGTTTGAAACACACGAGGACGCCTTTTATCCTGACTCGTCGATTCCAAAGGCCAGCCAGCTTGAGAAGCTCGATGACACCATCATCGAGATGCTACGCGAATATGCGACGTCGCACAACTACCGCATCCAGGCTGTGTGCATCGGGGGGAACGCTGAGACGGTCAAGGTTGTGGAAGAACACCCAGAGCTGAAGGAGCCAATCTGCACCATGTGCACGCGGTTCTGGTTTGACCTTGATGTGGTCCCTTGCATCTACAAGCTGCGCGGTGTCTCGCTTACCGAGGAGTCAGCGTCAGCAGCGCGCAAGGTGTATGATTGGTTCACGCCGCAGTTTCCCGGGAACATTCCGCGGATTGCTGTTGATCCCAACACCAATGAGGTGCTGGTCGACATGAAAGGACACTGCCACATGGTGGACCTCAAGCACTTTGAGCAAACCACAGACAAGCCCGTGTGGGACAAGCTGCTGGGGCTTGCCGACGAGTGCAAGCAGCGCAAGCTCAAGATTATTTTCTTCAGCTCGACGCCCCAGGGCGGCGGTGTTGCGCTGATGCGGCATGCAATGATCCGACTAATGCGGCTGCTGGACGTGGACTGCCGCTGGTATGTGGCCAAACCAAACCCCGATGTGTTTGTTATCACGAAGCGCAAGTTCCACAATGTGCTCCAGGGTGTGACAGATGATGAGCAGTACCGCCTCCAGCAGAGAGACAAGGACCTCTGGATTGAGTGGTGCGAGCAGAACTTTAATAGGTATTGGGGCAAGGGCAATGATGTTATCGAGTCGGCCGACATCATCATCATGGATGATCCGCAACTATCGGCAATAATCCCGCTGATTCGCGAGCTAAATCCTGCCGCACGCATTGTCTACCGCTCGCACATCGAGATACGGTCGGATCTAGCGTCGATTCCGGGGTTGATGCAGCACGACACATGGTCATTTTTGTGGGAAAAGTTTATCAGCAAGGTCGACCTGTTCATCTCGCACCCAGTGGCCGGGTTCATTCCACCACGCGTGCCAAACACACATGTTGTGCTGATGCCCGCGGCGACGGATGAGCTCGATGGACTCAACAAGAAGTTGAGTGTGGCGGAGATCGAGTACTACCGGCGCGTGTTTAACAGGTGTGCTGGGGACCAGGGCAGTCCAGGAATTTCCGGGGACCGGCCGTATGTCATCCAGCTAGCGCGGTTCGACCCAGCTAAGGGTATTCCGGACGTTATCGAGGCGTATTGTGCGTTCCGCGAGCTGCTGCTGGCCAAGGGAATCGCGGACGACCAGCAACCACAGCTTGTGCTGTGCGGCCACAGCAGCATTGATGACCCTGACGGCACAGTGGTGTATGAGGAAATTATCCAGCTGCTCAACCAACCCGAGTACTCAAGCTACGCCATGGACATCTGTGTGGTGCGGCTTCCGGCGTCTGATCAGCTGCTGTGTTCGCTGTTGCGCGGGTCGTTCTGCTCGCTGCAGCTATCGCACCGCGAGGGCTTTGAGGTCAAGGTGACAGAGGCGCTGGCCAAGTACAAGCCCGTGGTTGCATATCGGTCGGGCGGTATCCCGCTGCAGATCGAGGATGGCAAGACAGGAATTCTGGTTGAGCGCGGTGATACGAAGGGCATTGCCAATGCGCTGACGCGGTTGTACACAGATGTGGAGTACTACCAGAGCTTTGTCAATGAGTTGCGTACCAAGGATCAGGATAGCAAGCGGCAGCAGTATTTTACGCCATTCCAGTCTGTCAACTGGCTGTACCTGGCGACGCAGCTGGCGTTCAAGGGCAATGATAACGCAGTGGCGGTGGCCAAGAGCCAGCCGGCCGGAGACATGAACACGAATATGGATGGCACGTATATGGGCAACGGGGAGGTCAGACAGTGGGATGCCAGATACGTGCGCGAGTACTGGCAGCAACAGGAGCAGACAAAGGGTAACAACTAATGGAGATGGATCTTTTTTTAGTTTTAGTTTTAGTTTTTTTCTTACAAAATAGACATTTTTTCTTTAGTTTTAAAAGTTTTAAAAGTTTTGGTTATTCACATTCTAGTTGAAAAGTATGGCCTTAATAGTCACACTGCCGTGGGATGACTCGTCGGCTGGCTGTTGTGCGCTTGATGGCGTTTGCTCAGGGCCAGTATTTTCTCTGCGTGGCGAGTACTCTGTCAAGTGAACGTCACGGATAAAACGACGTGCCTCAGAGGGCGTAGCAAACTGCAGAATAAATGCGCCACGGCGCGACAAGAAAGTTTGCCCAATCTGTGGCGCAGACTGGACAGCCGGAATATTTGTCTCGACCAGATCATAGTCGCTAAAGTAGTCCCTAATCTGATGATGATGCATATGAGGCGGGTATCCATAGAGAAGCACAAGTCTGCCCAGTGCACTACCCAGGTACTTATCCCTAGTAGCATTAGGCACATACCTCCTAATAACAAAACTAGCACGGATAGTGTGCGCGGAGTATACCATTTTGTTAGCGCGAAGAACAAACTCTGCAGCGTCCGATTCGCTGAAAAAAGTTATGCGGCAGGAGCGCAGTGGCCGCAAATTAAAGTCATACTCAAAGTAAATAGCTTTTATTTTGGCAGAGTATAGGCGCGTGGCAATGGTGCAGTGGATATCGGCGGGGGTGGTGCCGGGCGGCAGGTTGGATAGCCGGACGATGCATGTGGGCGTTGGGCTGATGTCTGAGGCAACCGAGAGGCGAGAATTGGAGTCTTTGGATGTGGATGGCATTTGGTGCTTCGGCTGCTGCATTTGAGTGCGGCGGACCTCAACTGGATCAGTGTTTGTAGAGTAGGCGCTGCTGTGGCGATGTGAGAAAAGGAGGATCCTGGTGCTGTTGATAGTGTTGATGCTGTTGGTGATGTTGTTGGTGGCAAAGGTGGCAATGCGACACAGGCCTTTGGAGGCGCGCAGTTTTGTGACCAGAGACATATTGGTAAGCGCACAAAGAAAAAGAAGAAACGAATTGAATTTAATAGAATAAAATTAGAAACGACAAGTTGAAAAGGTAAAAAAAAGAAGAAAAAAAGTTAAGATCCGGTTTCTCAGTTTCGTAATCAATTTTTTTTAAAAAAAGGGTATGGATAGAAAATCGGGCCCACTGATAATCAAGGGATCAAGTGTTAAAGTAAATTATAGGTGTATTTATTTATTTTGCTTTTCGTCAGCAACATCACCATCATCATCATCAACATTATTGCGCGGGTCTTCAGGCTGCGGCGAAGTGTTGTTGCTGTATTCTGACAGGGCGCTGTTGACTTGTTCAGCCTCAATGTTATCGAGAAGGCCTAGCGACGAGAGATAGCGGACGTCTTCGCCCTTTTCACGCATGAGATTCTGCACATTGATGCTTTTGTCGCGGAACCAGCCGAGGTTGTCGGCAATAAGATGCCTGTTTTTGCAAGAATCGCATTGGATTAGGACGACGCCTTTGGTGTACGCTTGTTTGGACATTGTTTTGTGCTGGCGGTGTTTGCAGACGTTGCATGTGAAGCCGATGAGCATACGGGCCTGGTTTGGATCGGTTGCAACAGAGGCGGATGTTGAAGCGGGCGTTTTGATTGATGTTGATGTGGAGTTCAATGGTGTAGTTGATGTTGTTGATGTTGTTGATTTGGATCGCAAAAGTGCAAATAATATGGCGCTGTTGGCAGGTGGTTTGCGGGGCAGCGCTGCAGTGGCAGCACTAGCACCAGCAGCAGATAAACGGATGGTCAGCGAGCGGAACATGGTTGGACTCGAAGCTTCCAAAAAGTGTGATGTATTTTTTTTATTGTTGCGGAGAATAAAAAGTTTAAAAAATTATATATACAAAGCAAAAAGAAGTGGAGGAGAAAGTGCGTTTTGCTGGTGCGACAAAGGGGGGGAACCCCTTCCGCATGGAAAATAAAAAAGCCGAGGGCGATCGATTCGCTCCATTATCTTGATCAATGATTTGATTTCGAATTTCAAAGTTCCAATATCTTTGAAACTGAACTAAATTTCGAATTTGGCTTGTATATACATATGCTGTGTGAGGATAATTAAAATTCATATAAAACGTCATGTGCACCTTTTTTTTCTCGGCGTGGACCAGCCCTGATCCTCTTTTTTTTAATCAAAGGCGCGTGTTGATTTCGAGCATCGCATCTGCTTTTAAACTCGGAGCAAAAGCAAGAGCCAGCAATCGTCACAACAACAACCAACATTACATTAACTGAACATTGTAAAGCAAAGCAAAAAAAACAAACCCAACTATAATAATTATCATGGCAGCCTGTATCAATAGCCTGACAACGCTCAAGCTGCTGCCGGCCGAGCTCGAGGGCAAGCATGCGATCGGCGTATGCATTGACCGCGGCGGCACGTTCACTGACTGCGTGGCGACATTCCCTGTGCAAGCGACACCAGACGACGAATCCACGCAGCGCACAGTAGTCGTTAAGCTTCTCTCCGAAGACCCAGCGCACTACTCCGACGCCGCGCTCGAAGCAGTATGGCGCGTACTCGAAGCAGCCACAGGGCGCACACTCACGCGCACGGACCCACTCGACACATCCAACATCGCCTGGGTGCGCATGGGCACCACGGTGGCCACCAATGCGCTGCTGGAGCGCAAGGGTGAGCGCTGCGTCCTGGTGACCACGCGCGGGTTCGGCGACGTCCTGCATATCGGCACACAGACGCGGCCGCTCATCTTCGACCTGGCAGTGCAGCGGCGCGGCGGCGTCATCGAGGAGTCCATTGAGCTGGACGAGCGCGTGGTGCTGGACCCTAAGGGCCCCCATGCCGGCGCGTCGGGCGAGCGCCTGCGCGTGCTGAGGGAGCCGGACTGGGCGGCGCTGCGCGCAAGGCTGGACGCAGCATATGCGCGCGGCGTGCGCGCGGCAGCGGTCTGCCTGATGCACGCGTACACGTTCTCTGCGCATGAGCGCATGGCGGCGCAGGTGGCGCGCGACGCAGGGTTCACGCACGTGACGGAGTCCTCTGCCCTGGCGCCGGCGGCCGGGCTGGTGGCGCGCGCGCAGTCGGCGGCGGCCGACGCGTACCTGGCGCCGGTCGTGGCGCGGCACGTGGCGGGGTTTGCGCGGCGGCTTAGCGCCACAGTGCCGCTGGCGCTGATGCAGTCGGACGGCGGGCTGGCGCCGGCGAGCGGCTTCTCGGGGCTGCGCGCGGTGCTGTCGGGCCCGGCGGCCGGCGTGGTCGGGTGCGCGGCAACGGCGTACAGCGCCACGGCGCGCGTGGCGGTGGTTGGCTTTGACATGGGCGGAACGAGCACTGACGTCAGCCGCTTCGACGGCACGCTCGAGCACGTGTTCGGGGCCGAGGTCGGCGGCGTGGCGGTGGCGGCGCCGCAGCTGGCGATCCAGACGGTGGCGGCCGGCGGCGGGTCGCGGCTGTTTTTCCGCGGCGGGCTGCTGGCGGTCGGGCCCGAGAGCGTCGGCGCGCACCCGGGGCCGGCGTGCTACCGCAAGGGCGGCGCGCTGGCGCTGACAGACGCCAACCTCGTGCTGGGGCGGCTGCGCGCCGCGCACTTCCCGCGCATCTTTGGGCCGCGCGAGGACGAGGGCCTGGACGAGGCGGCGGCGCGCGCGCGGGTTGCGGAGCTGGCGCAGCGCGTGGCCAGCGAGTCCGGCGCGGCGCCGATGAGCGTCGAGGCGCTGGCGCTGGGCTTCGTGCGCGTGGCCAACGAGGCGATGACCCGGCCGATCCGCTCGCTGACCGAGGCGCGCGGCCATGCGCCACAGGCCCACGCGCTGGCGTGCTTCGGCGGCGCCGGCGGCCAGCACGCGTGCGCCGTGGCGGCGGCGCTGGGCATCGGCCGCGTGTTCGTCCATCGGCTGGCATCGGTGCTGTCGGCGCACGGGCTGGCGCTGGCCGAGGCCGCACACGAGGAGCGATCGGCGGCCGCCGCCGCCGCGTGGACGCCCGAGGTGCATGCGCGCAGCCTGGCGCCGCGCCTGGACGCGCTGGAGGCCGCGGCGCGCGCGCGCCTGGCATCGCAGGGCTTTAGTTCCGGGCTGGCTGCGGCCGAGCGCTTCCTGAACATGCGTTACAAGGGCGCCGATGCAGCGCTAATGGTGGCCGAGCCGGCCGACGGTGATTTCGGCGGAGCCTTTGAGAGGCAGCACCGCTACGAGTTTGGCTTTGTGCTGCGCGACCGCGCCGTTGTGGTCGATGACCTGCGCGTGCGCGCGACGGCCTCGCTGCCCGGCCCAGAGCGCTCGGACGTGTATGCGGAGCTTGCTGCGCTGCGCCGCACGCCCATTGGCCGCGACCATGCGGCGTTTGTTGAGGCTGCGAGCGTGTACTTTGATGGAGGATTCCGCGACACGCCGGTGTTCCGCCTTGACGCGCTGGCGCCGGGCGAGTCGGTGCCTGGGCCGGCCATTGTGCTGGACCGCAACAGCACCGTGCTGGTTGAGCCGGGGTGGACTGCGACGGCGACGCGCGAGCAGGTGGTGCTGGAGGCGGAGTCTGTGTCAGCAGGGTTGGACACCCAGACCGCAGGGCCGGACTCTCAGACCGCAGGCCCAATCGCTCAGACCGCAGGCCCAATCGCTCAGACCGCAGGCCCAATCGCTCAGACCGCAGGCCCAATCGCTCAGACCGCAGGCCCAATCGCTCACCCGGCCTCCCTTCCCGCAGACCCGGTCACCCTCGCGGTCTTTGCCCACCGCTTCATGGCCATCGCCGAGCACATGGGCCGCACGCTGCAGAAGACCAGCGTCAGCACGAACATCAAGGAGCGCTTGGACTTTTCGTGTGCGCTGTTCGACGCCGGGGGCAACCTGGTGGCCAACGCGCCGCACATCCCGGTGCATCTGGGATCGATGTCGCACGCCGTCAAGTACCAGCTCGACCAGTTTGGCTGCTCGCTGCGCCCAGGCGACGTCGTCCTGGCCAACCATCCGCAAGCCGGCGGCTCGCACCTGCCGGACATCACAGTGATCACGCCGGTGTTCTGCGCGGCCGGCGTGAACATTATTTTTTTCGTGGCGTCGCGCGCGCACCACGCTGACATCGGCGGCATCGCGCCCGGCAGCATGCCGCCGGCTTCGCGCGAGCTGTTCCAGGAGGGCGCCGTCACGGCCGGCTTCAAGGTTGTCGATGCCGGCGAGTTCCAGGACGCCGCCGTGCGCCGCTTTCTTCTGGACGAGCCGGCGCGGTTCCCCGGGTGCTCCGGCTCGCGCAACTACCGCGATGTCGTGTCGGACCTGCATGCGCAGATCGCCGCCAACCAGCGCGGCATCACGCTGGTGTACCAGCTGTGCGACGAGCGCGGCCTGCCCATTGTGCAAGCCTACATGCGCCACATCCAGCGCACCGCCGAGGCCGCCGTGCGCTCGCTGCTGCGCGACGCACGCGCCAGGCTCATTGCTGGCGCCGGTGCCGATGCTGACCCTGACAAGCCCGTCCGCTTGGCCGCTGCTGACCACATGGACGACGGCAGCCGCATCAGCCTGGCCGTCGAGATCTCTGCCGATGGCTCAGCTGTGTTCGACTTTTCTGGCACGTCGCCCGAGGTGTACGCCAACACCAACGCGCCGCCGTCGGTCACGTCCAGCGCCATCATCTACTGCCTGCGCTGCATGGTGCGCAGCGACCTGCCGCTCAACCAGGGCTGCCTGGCGCCCGTCACCATCCGCATTCCGCCCGGGTCGCTGCTGGCGCCGTCGCCCACCGCCGCCGTCGTTGGCGGCAACGTGCTGACGTCGCAGCGCCTGTGCGACGTCATCCTAACGGCCTTTGGCGCCGCCGCCGCGTCGCAGGGCTGCATGAACAACCTGACCTTCGGCGTGCCGCCATCTGCGCCCGATGCCGCCGACGGCTGGGGCTACTACGAGACCATCGCCGGCGGCCACGGCGCCGGCCCTACGTGGGACGGCCAGAGCGGCGTGCACACGCACATGACAAACACGCGCATCACCGACCCGGAGACGCTCGAGCGCCGCTACCCTGTCATTCTGCATCGCTTCTCGCTGCGCCCAGGCTCAGGCGGCCGCGGCGCCCGCCCCGGCGGCGACGGCTGCGTGCGCGACATTGAGTTTCTTGCGCCAATGCCCGTGTCGCTGCTCACTGAGCGCCGTGTTTTCCAGCCGCCCGGCCTGCATGGCGGCTGCAGCGGCGCGCGCGGCGTCAACCTGTGGCGCCGCCGCACCGCAGCCGGCGGCTACCGCGTGCTCAATCTTGGGGGTAAGAACACCGTCCACGTGTCTACCGGCGACCGCATCGTCGTGATGACGCCCGGCGGCGGCGGCTACGGCGCCCCGCCACACTCGGACGACACGGCAAAAGACGATAATTCGGCGCTATTCGATGACGCGCTGGCATACTGTGCCTAACCCCTAAAGTTTCAAAACGATTTTTTATTCAAAATAAAGAACGTAAACTAATCTAGTCCGTCATCATTACCTCGCCGCCGTCCCAGCCGTCCTTTGCGTCGACCTCAAACAAAAACTCGTCGCTGACGCCGTCCACATGCGTGATCCTCACAATGCTGTGGTCATGCAGCGTGCCACGGATCAGCTCCTTGGACAGCGACGTGACCAGGTTCTTCTCGAGGAACCGCTTGATCGGCCGCGCGCCGTACATCGGATCGTAGCTCTCTTTGAGCACATGCTCTGCTGCCGCGTCGTCCATAACCAGCGTAATGTCGCGGTCCTCCAGGCGGCTGCCGATCTGCGCCAGCTGCAGGCGCACGATATTGCGCAGGCTCTGTTCGCCAAGCCGGTTGAACACCACAATATCGTCCAGCCGGTTCAGCAGCTCCGGCCGCAAAGTGTGCCTCAGATCATCCATCACAGAGGTCTTCACTTCGCTCGGCAGCTCACCCGTAGTCTGGTATCCCGGGTTAGTCTCCGTGTACCGCAAGATCTTGTCCTGCCCAATATTCGACGTCAAGATAATCACGCACTGCGTAAAGTCAACCAGCCGGCCCTGCCCGTCGGTCAGCCGCCCGTCATCCAGAACCTGCAGCATGATGTTGAGCACATTCGGGTGCGCCTTCTCGATCTCGTCAAAGAGGATGACAGAGTACGGCCGCTTGCGCACGACCTCTGTCAGCTGCCCGCCTTCTTCGTAGCCGATGTACCCGGGCGCCGCTCCGATCATCCGCGAAACAGTGTGCTGCTCCATGTACTCGCTCATGTCAAGCCGAACCATGTACCGCTCGTTGTCGAACAGCTCGCGCGCCAATGCCTTGGCCAACTCGGTCTTACCCGTTCCCGTTGGGCCCAGGAATAGGAACGATCCCGTGGGCTGGTTCTTGCGCGCCATTCCCGCGCGCGAGCGCAAAATCGCATCAGACACTGTGTCAATTGCCTTGTCCTGGCCAACAACGGACTTCTTCAGTCTCTCCGAGAGCGTCATCAGCCGATCCACCTGCGACTGCGTCAGTCGCTGCACCGGGATACCCGTCCACCGCGCAATAACCTCTGCCATTTGGTCTGGCCCAACAGTCGAGCTCAGCATCTCCTGTTTCAGCTCGCCACTGGCCACCATGGCATCGTGCGCAGCCTGCTTGGCCTTGAGCTTTTCGATCTCAGCGCGTTTCTCGGGAATCGCGTAGAACTCGAGGTCCGCAGCGGTTTGCAAATCCTGCCTCCTTGTCGCCTCGTCTGCCTTGTGCCGCAGGCTTTCCATCTTCAAGTTGGCTTCGCGGATCTGGTCTAGGAGCCCCTTTTCCTGCTCGTAGCGGAGCTTTAGCGGCTGCAGTTCCTCGTTCAAATGCGAGATCTCGTCGCTAACCACCTGCAGACGTTTCTTGGACGCGTCGTCTTTTTCCTTCTGCAGTGCGGTGCGCTCGATCTCTAGCTGGAGGATGCGGCGCTCCAGTTGGTCGATCTCCTCTGGCTGAGAGTCGAGTTGCACGCGGGTCCACGCCATAGCCTCGTCGACGACGTCCAGGGCCTTATCGGGCAGTCGCCGGTTAGTCACGTAGCGGTCCGACAGCTGCACCGCCGTGACCAACGCGGAGTCCAGTACTTTGACACCATGGTGGTTTTCGTACCGCTCCTTGAGCCCGCGCAGGATCGAAATGGTATCTTGGACACTGGGCTCGCTGACATTGATCTTTTGGAATCGCCGCTCGAACGCCGCATCCTTTTCCACGTACTTTTGGTACTCATCATCGGTCGTCGCACCAATGACACGGAGCTCACCGCGCGCCAGCATTGGCTTAAGCAGGTTAGCTGCATCCATCGAGCCCTCGCTCTTGCCTGCGCCCAGGACGAGGTGGATTTCGTCGATAAACAGGATGACCCCGCCTTCGCACTCGGTCACTTCCTTGAGCACTGCCTTGAGCCGTTCCTCGAACTCACCGCGGTACTTGGCGCCCGCCACCAGCGCACCCATGTCGAGAGAGAAAAGGTGCGTTTGCAGGGACTTGGGAACATCGTTGGCGATAATGCGCTGCGCTAGACCTTCGACAATAGCGGTTTTTCCTGTCCCCGGCGGGCCAGCCAAAATGGGGTTGGACTTGTTGCGGCGGCACAGAACGCGAATTACCTGTCGGATTTCGTCGTCGCGGCCAATAATAGGATCAATCTTGCCTGACTCCGCCTGCTTGATCATATCAATACCGTATTTGCTCAAAGCATCAAAGTTTTCTTCGGCGTTTTTCGTATCAACCTTGCGCGAGCCGCGCACCTTCTTGATGGTCTCGCGGAACTGCTTGTTATCCACACCTGCGTTCTTTAGGATCTCGACTACGCTTTTTTCGTAGGACATGGCGAGCAAGAAGGTGTCGACGGCAATCAGCGAGTCACCCATTGACTGCATCTCCTTTTTGGCCTGGGTGAACACTTCGTGCATGTTTCTGCTCATTCCGGGAAGTGGCGGGGCGGGGCTTTGGGAGGGTAGCTTGACGATGGCGCGTTGGATGGCGCGCTCGAATTCGATTGGTTGAGCGCCGAGCTTGTCGCAGATCCGCTTCAGGTAGCCGTCGTCTTGCTCCCAGAACGCTATCAGCATGTGCGCTGGGTAGAGCTCGGTGTTGCCGTTCTCGGTCGCTTTTCCCATGGCGAGCTTGATGCCCTCGACGAGCTTTTCGGTGTACTCTTCGGGATTAAAAGACATGATAAAGATGAATAAGGATAAATAAAGATGTGTGTAAAGAAATATACAAAAAAGTACAAATAAGGAAAGGGGGTTTTCAGGAAGTTTGTATGTTTAAAGCAAAAGGTATAATTCTGAGAGAATATATGTTGTCCAATATGAAGTTGGGAGGATATGAGAAAGACATGACTCCTTTTATACCCTTTTTGCCAACGACATCCTTAGGGTGTTTTTTACTCTTTGATCAATAGTGCAAGCAGCAGCAGCAGCAGTGTGCGACCCCGCATCCAAAATTTTTTTTTGCAGAAAATGTGGCGGACCCAAGTATATTTCTTGAAGCGTCCAGAATCGCGGAGACCCTTGTGCAACGCACCGGAATGTTCTGCATATAACGCTTTTTTCTCCCCCCCCCCCCCCATCTCACTTTTAAGCTTTGACAGCCTGTGCACAATCATTTTTTAAAGTCCAAGCACGTGCACTAATTCGACATGGAATATTCGAGAAAAGTCCAGATAATGCTAATAAAAATAGTTTACTGGCTGTTTTCCCCTTTATTCGAGTTAGCACACTTAAAAATAATAATTATAAATTTCTCTTTTTTTACAATCCTTGACGAAATTTAACCCCGACATCTTACGTCACTAATCTCGTGTCACGGAAGGAGGAAGCCCAAACATATTTCCATTCTAGCCAGCAGCCAATAAATCCAACTTGCCGGCAATGAACTCGGGAAATGGCTTTGCCAACTTTGCCAAAAAGTTTAACGACTTTGGCAACCAGCTCGGCAACAACATCAAGCGCGTATTTAACGATGACGACGATAACGAAAATGACAGCGTGAATGGCCACTATCAACAACATGGTCAGCGCCAACAGCAGCAGCCGCCACCGTCAGCGTCGCAACGCAGGACGTACTCATCCGACGACGTGCTTGGTTTGGATGCCGAGGCATTCCGTGAGGCGACAATTGAGGGCAACGACGGCGGCGAGCTGGCCACGTACGTCAACGAGAAGCTGGTGTACGAGGCAGGCGTGGACCACGAAAGTCGCCCGATGCTGGTATTTGCCGCATGCCGAATGCTGAACCCCGACGTAGTCGACTATGACAGGCTACTAAACCTCATTCTGTTCCGGCTTGAGGACTTTGTCGAGAGCGACTACACGGTTGTTTTATTTGCTGCCAACGCGCGATACAAGCCTAACCTCAAGTGGCTGTTCACGGCGTACCGGCGGCTGAACCGCAAATACAAAAAGAATCTCAAGGCCCTGTACATTGTGCACCCGTCAAAGTGGGTGCAGATTCTGATGACGGCGATGAACGCAGTTCTGAGCCCAAAGTTTGCCAAAAAGGTGCAGTGGGTTGATACGCTATCTGAACTCGCGACCTCGCTGCCAATCGACCAGATAAACATTCCGCCCGAGGTGTACCAGTACAACGCGACCAAGGAGGCTGAGATCAAGCTGCCGGTTCAAAAGGCGCCTATGAGCCGCTTCTTTGGCGTGCCGCTCGAGCAGCTCATGGGAGTGCACGGCGAGCTCGGTCTCCCGGCGCCCGTAGCCGATGCACTGGACTACCTGTACACGCATGCGCTTGAGGTACAGGACCTGTTCCGCCGCTCACCGCCCTCAGCGACATTGCAGAAGGTGCGCTCCCAATATGAGGCCAAGGGCGCCATCTCGGTCACCTACGCTGTTTGGGGCGAACACGTTGCTGCAGCCATTCTGAAAACCTGGTGCCGCGAGCTCCCACATCCAATCATCCCAGCGCACTACTACGAGCTCGTCCGGGAGCTACCGGACCCTGTGACTCAGCCCGAGCAAGCTGTTGCCTACGCGCGCGACGTTGTGCTGCCGGCTCTGGCCGATCCGCCGTGCGTGTCCCTGCTGCTTGCTGCACTGTTTGGACTGCTACGCGCTATTGCTGATCACTCGCGCACTAACAACATGACTTCTGGTCGGCTCGCGGCAGCATGGGCGCCAAACTTTGTGCACTCGTCGCAGCCGGACGTCGATATCACAATGTGCTCGGTGACACGGTTCTCCGAGGCCCCTGCAGGCAGCGAGCCTAGACGCTCCACCGGTCACTTTAACGACGACAATGATACTGACGAAGATGACGACGACGAAGATGATGATGTCTTGGATCTGGGTGAGCAGGACAATGAGAACCGCCCCAATGTTGTTACGCTGACTAAGCTGATGATTGACAACTACCAGGCTATTTTTAAGCCTACGCTTGAGGCCGCCGAGGCTTTGACGAAGCGACAGGCTCCGAGGGTCAACAACACGGCGCCGCCGCCAAAGCCGCCGCGCAGAGCCCCATCTGCAACAGTTGTCTCCACTGCTGCTACATCTATCGCAACAGCCGCTATCCCGGCTGCTTCAGGCATGGCTCCGCCGCTTGTGCAGGCCAGCGATGAAGATATCGCTGCGCTAGTCCAGGAGCTCGGCACCACAGGTTTGGAGGCTGGTAACGATGCGGTGGCGGCGGCCAGAAAGCCAGTGACAGTCGAGGATATCACCCGGCGCCTACAGGCCGAGCACGATGCTGCAAGAGAAGTGTCTAACGCAAAGGTCAGCAGCGACGCAGCTTCTGAGGAAATCGTCATTAGCAATTTTGTGTAAAGCAATAGGCCATTTATATTTTTCTTGTGAGTGCAATGAGCGGGATATTCCGTTGGCGCATACGTGCCAGGCCATGGCTGCATCGAACACTTTTTATCTTTTTTAATGGGCTGATTCTAATCTCTATTTTTCAGCGGTCTGTATCCGAAAATACGCCCTGCAACTCCTTTTTTGCAAAGATCTGCTGCTTGTAATGGATTGTATATATCTTTTGCATATCACTTTCAGGACCACTGGACACGAGTGCCGTGCCAGGGGTTCCAATTTGATATGGGCGAAGAAGAGCTCACCGGAACACTTACGTTCCGTAATACTAGTCCAGGACAGCTGCCTCAACTACCACGCACAACGCAATCCCCCACATTCGGACACCAGCCCCACTGTCCCCTTGGTAGCTATAAACGCAGCACCGCCACCCATTGCAGGGGAATTATGAATTACTCGTTTAATATGTGTTTTATTGCTTTTATAATAAGATTTGCACTAATTTACTGTGTCAAAAAAACATTATTTTCGGATGCTCCTGGTTATTATTGCCTTTTATTAATTAAGTGCAGTGGTAGCAGTGTTGGAATCATGTCTGCCAAAAAACAATGTCAATAGGGTCTGGGACCACACAGATAATTCTGAACAAACATTAACCAACCACATCAACCATTTAAGTAGAGTATGCAAGGTGTTATAAAACTTTAGATATCCAAGCTGTACTCTTAACTCACTAAAAAATAGCTTGTGTCGATCTTTGGGGACGGCAATCATTTAGATCGGCCTATTGCCTCCAGTGAGCTGCAGCAATCTGCTGTCCATTATTTTTGCCTTTTGCTTTTTTCGTTTTTCAGAATTTGGTTTTGAAAAAATAGTACGCTCATTTATTGAAATAAAATAACAATAATAAATATTTGCAACCAGTGCCAGCCAGCCAGCCCGCCCGCTTGCTTGTCCACTTCCTCGCTTGTCAACCTGCCTACTAATTATAATATAAATACAAGCCAAAAAATAACACTAATATAAAAAATCAAATATATATGTGCAAATTTACTTACCCGAAGGTGTGCGTGTTGGTGGTCGATTAAAATTGTATTTAGAAATGTATTATCCGAAAAGAAAAAGAGATGAGAAAGAAGAAACGCATCTATTTTATGTTTTAGCCGTCTTTGTATTTTGGCTGGTTACTGATCATCGAAAAAAATAGTGGTGCTAAAATTAAAATACATCACGCGTCATTGCTGGCACATATAATCACATTTTTGTGACATTGCACGCACGCTGCGATTTAATAAAGTGAGCTTCTTTAGCGTTATTCGTAGTCTCAATAAAATATGTATTTAGTAAATACAGTAAAATTGTTGTTGCGCAGCCCGAGGATATGGAAGTGAATGTTAAGCTCGAGAATCGTGAAACAAGCTCCCATCTGCATTGTGATGCCAGGAAAAGTATCACGTCGCGTAACCGCGAAAGGCGGCCAATCACCGCCTAGGTGAATATTTGTTGTTTTGTGCGAGGGCATCATAAACCCTTACGAGCGCGAAAAATAACAAAAAGGCGCCTTAGTTTCACTTAGTTCAATAAATTTATATTTAGCACAATTTAATATCCTCAGCAGAGATATTATACACGCATAATTGCACTAGTGAAAATGGATTATGGAATTTCCAGCCATTTATAGCGTAATTCCAGATTTTTAAGCGGGAGGTTTTTAAAAATCGGCTTTCCCGCATTTTCAAAAATCTGGAAAAGTATTTTTCAACAGTGTTGTGTTGAGAAACACTCGAAAACACACTATACTTTTACTCGCTCAATGAACGCAAATAGTAAAGGTAAAAATATATATTTTTATAGTTTTATATAGTGCAATTTATCACAAATGAAACAGTATTTTTTCATGTCATTTTTAAAGTGACATTTTTCATTTCTGATCATGCCTTATTTTTCTATTTCTTGCAGCATTTACTATTTAATATAGGGCATTATCAAAGACTTTATGCTTGCTATGCTATGTATATTTGATTTTCTGCGGCATCAAGTATGTGCTTTGCGGCACATAAATAAATTCGATAAAAATAATGTTTGCAGAACCTTTAACCAACACAGACGACGATTATAACAACAATAATTACAAGATGTACAGCACCAGCATCAGAAACAACAATAGCACCAGCACTAGCACTAGCAAAAAAAAGCAATGTTGTAACCTGCAGTAAGAAGGCTTCCCCTCCCGAGTACATTGATAATTTATCAAAAATGACATTCATGGTATTGTTGATAAACCAGTTATTTGCGGTTCAGGTCGCAGAGATAAGTTATATTGTCTGGGATATAAAAGCAGCTAAAAAAGGGTGAGAAAGTTATATTTCGCTATACCAAGAACTCAGAGGTCAATAAACAATGTGAACGTATGTTTCGTCAGATCCGCGAAAATGCAAAAAAAAAGTATTACAGCTTGACCCCGCGAAGCTCGCCAAAACGGAAACAAATGGCTGGTATACATCCGTTGAGGATGCTGAGCGCGCGCTCAACCACCCTGGCTCCAGCACAGTCGATTGCAAGTTATATGTCGAGTACCTCCTTGAGCGCCGGAAAAGGGGTTTTATTTTGGCAGAACATTGCCATAACACGCAGACCCTCAGCAAGAGTCGGAAACATGACGGCAGCAGCTCAACTGACCCCCTGTATTGCAAGCTCTATCTTTCCTTTGTTAACAGAAAGCGCGCCGACGTCGAACTTGCAAAATATTTACGTGCAAAATTTGGATCAGGTGCAGTCCTTATTCTTGGTAATTGGACCCAGGCATGACCCGTCACCATGAGTCAATTCATAAGGGGTTGTGGGAGATGCTAATAGGCCAGGAATTCACTGTTTACTTAATTGACGAGTATTGCACCTCAAAGTTCTGCCCAGCATGTGAGAGCAGGATAGAGAAATTGCACAAAATTTATGATCCTTGTCTGAAGAATCCCAAGCACAAGTACCACGTCGCAATGGTAGCAGCATCTAACTTCGTCGCAACCGCAGCCACCGCCGTTTCTGTTGCAATTAAAACTGCCACCGATGCTGCATCTATTATTGACTGTGCGCAGCAGGGTCGCGACCAGTGTATGCCTATTCGCCCACAGTCTGCCGATATTATCCAGTGGATTGGAGAGGAAAAGGGCTGGTTTGAGGACAAAATTAGGTGGAAAAGTAATCAGCAGCTGCGGGATGGGCTGACTGAGCGGAATCGGAAGCAGCACATCAATATCCAGCCTGCCGATAATCTCAGGCACATTGTCAGGCTGAGCGGCTGGTCGCAGGGTAAAATTGAGCGCAAAATCAGACAGAGGATACGCGATGAGTTGGCCGCGCAGCGGCAGAATGGTCAGCACCAGCAGGAGGCAGATAACCGCAACAAATTTTAATACAATTCCAGCAGTAGAAAAACCTCGCCAGATTTTATGACATGGCTTGCTCCAGTGCACAATGGAAAACTGCTTGCAAAGCTTCAGGCCTGACGGAACCAAGATCAAGGATGGCGAAAAAGTGCCACCAGGCAGACGGAAGTGTAATCGCGACATGGCTGCAGTGCTGAACTTTCAACTTTCGCATCATCCTTAATGCCCTGCCTATAGGCAATTATCCTTACCGTTTCTTGTACAAAAAGGAATCGTCAGAGTCGGCTGAACCCGAGTGTACAGCGACGCTGAAGCCCAAGCCCAAGCGTGTGCGCAAGAATCCATCTGCCCCTGGTTCTTCTCTTTAAAAGAAGCAGCAAACTGATTAATATCGTCAACCATAATAGTCTATTGCCACTAGTTTCTAAACACTATGGGGAAGGATGTCGGTTTATAGTATATTTGTAGCCTCGTTATTTTCCTATAGTGTAACGAATGTAATATTTGGTATACAATGCAATGCAATGCAACATCAATATTATGTTTTGTTGGCCATTGCTTGCGTTTTGAAGCGAAATAATGGATCAGCACAAACACTAGCACACATGTTGCCTAGCTCGAATGTTATTCGATGTTTTTGGATAAAAATAATACACCCTATTTTTCTCCATTTGTTCGAACAGCAGCCAAGGCTAGTGATTTTGCTGGGAGAGACGGCATATACACTCGCAAGCGCACGCATTCATCCGTACGTAGAAAAAAATGGTTGTGCAGCAATTAAAAAAGGGACGCGGCATTCTAGACGCTGAATAAAACATAATGGATTCTCTTAGGAAAGGAAATAAAAAATGCAAACCAGTTTCTATGGAGAAAATTGGACCACATGGACCGTTTGTATATAAACATTGGCAATCCTTTTTTCGCTTGTATTGTGCGCCCCGCAATGCCAATTTGATCGGCGGAGCAATTTCGTGTATTTTTTTCCTAGTGCCAAATTCACACAACCCAATGCATGTTTTTAAAAACAGGCACAAGCTGGACTTGGAAATGCCCCTGCTGCTCCCGACTGCTTCTAGTTCTTTAGTTGATTTTCACGAAAAGCGCAGGCCCCTCGCACGTCCGTTTTTGTTTTTCTTCTTTCCTGTCATCAATTATTTTCTTTATTTCGCATCGAATTTAATTATTTGCTATTTTCCATTAACTTAAACCATTTAACTTTTATCACAATATACATTTCAGGAGCGCCTATACTGACACCATTCTCCCCCATCTCTCTCCCTTCACACACATACAAACAGAAGCACACCTATTATTTGTGCATACTACTGCTACCTGCATTATCGACACAGGACCCGACCTCCCTACACACAGAAAACAGGGCTCGGCCATCCCCCGCTTGCTTTTCTTGCTATTGTTTCAACTATTTTCCTAATCTTAACAGCTGGTAAGTGATAATTGTCACACTGCGAAAACCGCAGATTCCCCCTTTTTTACTGCTCTTCGCCCATGCGCCTTCTCTGCTGAGCTGCACTTGACCCAGGTCAATTGAAGCATATAACAAACACGGGCTCACACACACAGACAACCAATAAGTGGTCCTGCCAAACGCGGCATGCGGCTCGGTCCGCATTAGCGCAAGTGGGTGGTAGTATATAAAAAGTTGCTTTGGAAATGTTTTATTTTGTCATTCTCTCTCCAAGCTTTTTTCTCTCAAACCCTTTCCTTCATGGGTTTTGCATACTTTGCTCAATGCTAATAATCTCTAGAATGCCCTTTGGCCATTCACGTTATTCTATTGCATCTCTTCCTTTTAAACTAGCTTCTCTGGCGGCAACCTAAGGACGTTGCATCACCATTTAATGAACACACGCGAAAGCCGACCGACGCCAAACCCAATGACAACGTCACTTGAGTATGCCAGCGACAGTCCAACACACTCGCTTGGGGACACATTCCAGCAGCAGCACGCACAATTACAATTACAACAGCAGCCGTCGCAGCCGGACGCAGCCGCTCGGCCCAACGGCTTACTGGGAAAGATGTTTCGTAAGAGCACTTCCAAGCACCCAAAGCTGAATCCGGTGGGCATTTCCTCCAAACAATTCTTTGGCGAAGAGCCCCGCCCTGTAGTCATGCACTTGTCGCCCACAGAGTACCATGCCCCGCCCAAGGGCGTCAAACTGACCAGAAAGCTGTCGGCCATTTCACCAACAATATCCAACGTGTCCTCTAATAGCCACCCACTATTCGCGATGCAAGGTGCTGGTTCTCATATTTTCCAAACAATGAATGGGCAGTCCTACACAGCTCAGCAGCATTGGCTAGAGCTATCTTTGCCACGAATTGGCGACAAGGCTGCCGAAGGGGACAAACCCGCCTCGAACCCTGCATATCAAACCCAGTGCTACCGTCCATCCAGACTAAAGCTGGATGTTGCGCATGGAGTTGCCACAGCGGTATTAGACAAGGATATCAGCAAAAGCCCTGTCCATCAGACCGCATCGGCAGCTCCATCGCCTGGCGGACCTAATAAATTGCTGTTATCACCGGGCTCCCCGTTTGGGACGCAGCCACAAATGCAGTCAACCCCCACAAGCCCAATGCACGCACCTGCAGTGCCTCAGTCCGAGTTGCTCGCCATGTACAACGAGGCTGAAAGGGCCATATCTGCCGGCGAGCGCAAGCAACGAGGATCGCCGTGGAGCGCAAAGCTTGGTTTCACCAACATCCGCCGCCCAGAGACTAGAACCCAGCGGCATCAGGCATTCGACATCAACTCGGTAGACATCGCCACGCACCCCTGCATATACCCCGAGCCCCCGCTCGTCTCTGTGCCCTCAATCGCCCCAGTATCTGCTCGAGGCAACAACGCCTCTGGCACTGCAACACCTTTCTCGGCGTTGGATACGCTGGTAGGTACAGCCGCGGATTCAACATCGTTACCCCAGGACGGCTTTGATAATAACGACGACAGTCCGCTGTACGCCAACTCTGAAGTGATTGCTAGCGTGAGCAACTTGGGAAGTATCGACAAGGAGTTTTTGTTGACCATTCAGCGCAACTCCGCCCTGGAAGCGAGACGCCAGCGGCGCCGCGAAACGCGCCGCAATACAGTGTCAGTTCTCAGCACAAGCGACAGAGACAGCAACGCTGATAAGGAGCACCTTTCGTCTATGCCGCCGGCTCTGGTTTCCAGTTTTGCTGCTCGCAAAAACATATCGGCCTTTTTGGCACCCACCGACAGTGGCCACGACATGATGCCTCACGGCATTACAATAGAACACCTGTCGCGACTCTCGCAGATTGGCGAGCCGCTTCCGTACCCAGATACGGCGCTGCGGTTGGCGGACATGGCCCCCAGGCCCGCTGGTAGAAAGTTGAATCAAAGTCAGGGGCAGCAGCAGCAAAAGACGCCGGCACCCAAACACGAGCTTGATTTCACAACCGCGCCCCAAAAAGACAATATTTTAAGCCAGCCGGCCCTTGACATCACGACTGAAAAGCCCGAGTTCAGCAGTCCCAGTACTTATACGTCTGTTTTCTGCTCCCCAAAGAATCCGCGGCCCTTATCGTCGGACTCGCTAACTTATGCCGAGCAGCAAGTAACAAGCAGTGCTGACGATATTGGCAGCAACAGTGGCGAAAGCGATGCTTGGAGCGCACACCGCCCCTCTACCCCAACATGCTATCACAAAGAGCGCTGGCTTCTGGGCCTGACGGTGCAACGGGCAACAATTATACTAGTCCTGCTACATTTGCATCATCACCAATTTTGGATTCGCCCATCGCAAAGTTGCCTAAGCTGTCTGCACTGCTCAGCGCCGCCTCACCGACTCACTCTGTTACGACACTTACGCCGCACTCGCCCGCACTCGCGTCCACACTGCCCCCTTATTGCGCCAGCAACAGCAGCAGCGTAATTTCCAACATGCAGTTTTCGACATCAGTAACATTCAGCTCTTTGAACAAATATGCCGCGGACGGCAGCATACCGCTAGTGCCATATCTACCCCACGGCACAGCAGCACAAACCAGCAGATATGAAGCAATGGTCTCCATCCCGCTGCCAGCAGTTGCTACCAGGCCGGGGACAGCAAACCCGCATGCTTCGCCTCGCATAGTATCAAACAACCGCAGATATCGCGGTTCGACGCTGGTGGGCCCTTCAGCGTCAATGGCGGCCGACACTGAGAATTTTGCGTATGCGCTGCCGCCACTCCCATCAACAGTTGCCGCTATCATCTCGCCTCCGCCGCTCCGCCAGCCTGCGTCCCAGATACACGTAGCCCAGTCAAACAGTGGATGGGATGCAGATTCAATTAGAATGCAGAGGTATCGCTTGACGCCGGCCTCGGGCCGCCAACATGTTGGGATGGACGTGGACTGCTTGCCGGAAAGCCCGGTGCATCCCGACACTGAGAGCGACGATATTTTGGCAACTTCGACAAAGGCCGCCGAACAGCAGGAATCCGCCACCAGCCAGCCCTTGCATAAAGCTTTCGTGCGCAAATTCAGCCACCCAGACACACAGCTGCATTTGACATCGCGTGCGCCCATGTCGCCTACTCGGTCACCTGATACATTGTCAAAGTCTGTATCCAACCTGTCCACCACTTCTCACAAGTCTGTCAGCAACAGTAATGATGACAGCGGTAATGTCAGTTCTTGCTACAAAAACGGAATCAGCCGCTTGTTCTCGGTGAATCCATCAAACCGCAAGCTACACCTGACAAAGAACAAAGCTGTTAACAGCCAACCGCCGAGCGGCTCCGAAACAAGCGGGAACAATTTGGTCCGGACTCAGGCGCAGCCACAGCAACAGTCGCAGCCTGTGTCACCCGCAGTAACATCGCTTGTGAACGATCCTCTGGCCAGACGCAAAATCCGCGACCAGTTGGCATCCTCAACAGCGTTTGACCGTCTGCTAGAAGAGGATGACGAGTTTACCATGGCCATTTCGCTGACACCACTGGTCGCTGGCACTTCGCGGAAAAAGCCGGTTTAAGGAGTAGAGTTAGTGGCAGTGCTAACTATCCTCACAATTTCACGACACCATCATTCATCACATTTTTTCCCTCATGTTACTTTCTACGCCTAATTACACTAAAAGAAAATAATGAGGCTACAAGAATCCTGCAAATCCACATCCTTCCCCCAGATTGCATAGTAACCTGACAGGCATTTAGAAACTAGTGGCAATAGACCACTATGGCTGACGATATTATCCAGTTCGCTGCTTTTTAAGAGAAGCAGGAGCAGATGGATTCTTGGGCACGTGCTTTGGCTTGAGCAGAGTCTCGGGTGTTGCTGTAGACTCACTCAGGTTCAGCCAACTCTGATTATGACTTTTTGCACAAAAACGGGGTTTTAAAAAACCCTGCTTAAAAATCTGGACTTTCGTTATAAATGTCTGGAAATTCCAAAATCCATTTACACCAGTGTAATACATTTGAGTTTTCTATATCCCATACAACGCATTGGTTTTTTTGTGAATTGTAAAACATGCAACATAAAATATAACTCAAATTAGCAGCTTTAACAGCAGCATCGCTATGACTGTCGTGGAGACGGACGACAAAACGTTAACCATATTGTTGCTTATGATATTTCTGCCGGCAATCAGTTGAGCACCCTTTAAGCGCTTAAGCTCGCTAGCGCTGAGATCCGAAACTGCGCGCTTATCAACCAGGTACGACGCCTGAATTGTCGCGCCCAAAAGCGAGTCAATCAATGACCCTACTGTCCCAAGGATGGACGCGAGCATGTTGTATGGTATTTTCGGCATCACGCCCGAGCGATACGCCCCAAAGTATTGCACCCAAAGAGCAATGTCTGCGGCCAGACCAACAGCAGCACCACCAGCAAACGAAGAGAGAACACCCAGCCTGCTCACTCCGCCGTTTGTCCCAGGCGGCACCGGCGAAAATGTCGTTATCAGGATAGGCCAATCGTTGCTCAGTGTGCCCAGTTCGCTGGCCCACGTGTCAGCCGCGCAACAAGAGTAGAACCCGATGTACGCCCAGGTCAGCAGCACCATTAGCTGGCGCTGCTCTCTTGTCAGGTCCTCCGGATGCCGCCCGTCAAAGTAGTATTGGTACACAAGAGAAATCACCGATCCTACACCGCCGTTACACAGAACTTGCTTCCAGTCGCGCTCAGAAGCCTTGGCATATGATGGGTCAATTTTCATCTTTTCCCGCGCCTGATACTTTGTGCAATATGAGCTGGAGATGAAAAACGCCAGCAGCACGGCTGTGAACATGACGTTGTCATTGCTAACCGTGGCTAGGCCCACAAATGCGGCTGCTAGCGCCCCTGACTTTGACAGTGAGCGTTTGCGCAGCGAGGAAAAGCACATAATGCTCGTGAGAACAACTGCAAAATATGCGCGCATTGTTCGGATACCAGAAGTGCGCTGCCGTGTTGCCCTATTTGAGGCAAAAGTGTAGTTAAAAATAAATAAATGCAGGTGTAAATATAACAAAGGAACCGAGTCTTATTAGACTAAACCAAGCCTATTTGGAGCGTAATTGCTTTTTAACACTAAAAAGATAAATGTTATAATACGTTGAATCCATGCCCTTATTCAGCGCCCGCCTCACTCTAAATCCACTTGAAATATGCACTGGGATATTAACCACAAAATATAGACGCGTGTGGGCGGTCGGCACGTGAATTTCCAGTTTAACCTTGAAGACAATATTTTTTATTCAATATTTTTGCATTTCTTTTCTGCTGTCTTTTTTCAATTCACTCTTTTTCAAATCGCTTGTTTTTTTTGTTATTCCCGCCCGCTGTAATTTTAAGTACAGCCACTAAAATGTCGAGTATCGCGCAAATGCACAGGTCGCGGACCGTTATTTCGGAGGCAACCACACCGGTGACCGTGTTCACAGGGTTTCTGGGAGCAGGCAAAACCACGCTTATTTTTAACCTGATCAAGCGCGCCGACCCTGATTACAAGATAGTCTTGCTGAAAAACGAATTTGGCGATGCCGAGACTGACAGCGCGCTTGCTCGCGAGAGCCATATAGAGATAGCTGAGATGACAAACGGGTGCCTGTGCTGCGTTCTGGTCGGCCAGATGAAGCGGGCCTTAGAGGAGCTGAAAGAAAAGTACCAGCCTGACCGCATAATCATTGAGACTTCCGGCTCAGCCTTTCCAGCGCCCATTGCATGGCAGATTCGCGAGATGGAACCATCAGGTTTCCACCTTGACTCGATCTTGACGGTCATCGATTGCGTCAACTTTTGCGGCTATGAAGACACTTCGTATACCGCCCGCATGCAAGCACAATACACCGATCTCATTATTCTCAACAAGTGGGAGCAAGTCAGCGAGCGCCAGCTGGACATTGTAATTGACCATGTCAACGATCTTAATACGGACACGCCCAAGATTAAGGCGCATAAAGACGTTGGAATCGATCCTGCAGTAGTTTTTGGACTGGACACCACCTTGTTCCGTCTTTCAGAGCGACCTGTCTCTGCTGCCAAAGGTGAATCTGGCGAGACAGACTCATCAAGCTCTGTACATCTGCCACTTGGTGGGCACGACCACCACGCACAAGAGGTCGATTTAGTAGAGGTTCGCCGCAGCCGCAGTGATGATGGCGCACAGCATGCGGACATAATCGACACCGAATCGTTTGTCGCGTTTCTCAAGTCATTACCCGCTGACGACGTTTACCGCGTCAAGGGAATTGTGCGTCTCTCTAATGCTGTTGCCGACGAATCCAGCGCTGATGTATGCGACGCTGGTCACGCCACTGCCGCCGTATCTGGCGAAGGTATACTATATATTGTAAACCATGCGTTTGGCCGCTACACTTTCACACGGCTGACCTTAGACACGGACCGACTCAGGAATACACTTGTTAGAGTCACTGTCATGGGCAGTGGATTGCGCATGCTCTTGCCCAAACTCCAGAGCGGCTTTCGTGCCGCAGACGATGAGATTTCTACACACTGGGCTTGCACGCACTAATTAAGAATACAATAAAAGCAGTTGCACAGATACACTTTCCCTCAATGAAGCTGATTTCCAAATGATAGTTTACTAACGAACTGGGCGTACTTGTATATATATCCCTCTCTCAATTTTAATTAAAATAAGAAACAAAAGTGTTATTAAAAGTTGTGCAAGCAAGCTACACTGCTAGCACAACAGGAGTGTTGGTACACCTCAATTCAGCGGTCTTAATTCTGTTAACCTCCTCGTCGACGGCCTTTTCGAAGTAGACCTGTCTCAACTTTCTTCTTTCTTGTCTGAGCTGGCCAAGTCTGTAGAGGTTGCGCCCAATGTCTACATTTAAAAAAGCCAGAGCGGCAGCATTTGGATATTAGTAAGATGGTGGGGGTTTAAAGGACAATGTGTTTTGTGCTAGTGTATTTATAAAACTGGCAATACACATGCAGCCTGCCAACTTGAAATCACCCAATGTGGCACAATTCTGGTTGTGCTGGCCAACTTTGATAACTTACTGTAATGAGCATCCTTGGCGTGCATGGGGTCCCACAGACAACTGATCACAAAATTCAGGATGCTATGTGGGTAGTATGGAATTGCTGTGTGCGAGTCCGAAGACCCACACCTGAGCCCAAGACGGTCAAAAACGCACTCTACGTACTGGTCTGGCGATGGCACCGATAATGTCGGATCTCTGTATCCAGACATCTTAGAGGTAACCCAGAAGCTGAAAATATGCGACACCATAATCCCTTGGGGCTCGAGCTCATATGCCAGGCTCTGCGAGTATGTCTTGACAAAACCCTTTGTTCCCGCGTACACTGAAAGGAAAGGGAGTGATCGCATTGCAGCAAACGAGCCTAGGTTGATAATAAGGCCATTTTGACGCTCCTGCATCTGGGGCACAACAAGACGCGTAATGTTCATCATGGTTGTGATATTGACTTTTACCATGTCGTTGCACATAGTTTCGTCCTCCTCATCGAAAAAAATGGGGTTATCGTGGCACAGACCAACATTGTTGACTACAGCGGTACGTGTTAATATGATCTAATTTTAGCATAGTATACATGGCACAGGGGAAATTACATTTTTCAATTTAATAATCATAGGCAGTAAACGTGGTCACTTACTCAAAACACTGACGCTTTCCCCTTGAATCAAATCGCGAATATCACTCCATTGGGATTCAGTGCACTTTGTAAAGTCCACCGCATATGACTTTACGCTAGCGCCCTTCTCCTCTACAAAAAAAATGTGACAGTGCACAATCAACAATATTAGCATATCATATGTTATTGTGTTGTGTTAAACATTGCATTAGTAGAATTGTGTTATACTCACTAATTTCTTTTTCCATATCAGCAAGCTTTGAGGGAGTGCGTGACAACATGATAATATTGAATCCCTTGTCAGCGAGATGTAGAGCCGCCGCCTTGCCAATTCCATCCGTGCACCCGGTTACAACTAAAAACATAAAAGTGGTTATTGAAATATCAGTTACTTGACAAAAATTAGTATATAAAACAATGGAATATAACAAAAACTTTGTTAATGCATTTAAATTATTGGCATTACTTACCTGCCCAGTAACCGCCCCCAGCACCATATTGATCCAGCTACACGAAAATTGATTTTTCAGTCGATTAATTTAATAAAAGTACATAATATTTTGTTTGACAAACAAGCTCGCACAAATGCTGTCTATAAATTAAGATATACTTACCGAAACAGCGTCACGAACAAAGAGATCCATGAGTATGTCCATAACATTGATTACATAATAAAGCGTCGCCACGGATCCATAAAGCATCATGATGACCCACATCGTGCTACAAAACAAAACAAAATGTGTACGATGTCACCTGCAAAATAATGGTTTTAAATTCGTTGTAGTTTGTTTGCAATTGTATATACATTGGCAACCAAAGTGTATCTCTTTTGCACACATGTAACGCAAAATTATTGCGCGAGTACGTACTTGAACGACATAAACTTGTAGTCCTCATTGAAGGCGATGTCAACGATGGTGTGGTCCATTTCTATGAGTACAGACATTTAAAATATTGTAATTTTATAATTGATAATTGTTGAAACAAAAAACACTCGCTCACCACAGGTCAAGCTTTGCAATGTCATTATACTGTAGAGCAACAGCTTGCCTGCCAACCTCGCCGCACTGCTAGTACTAGAAAGTAACCCCGTGCATAATGCATGTGTCCATATTGCGCAATACCAACCGCATTAATACTAAGACAATGCGTTAATCACTGTGTAAAGCAGCCAGTAAAGTTCAAGCCCTACACACATTACCGAGTAGAAGTAGCATAAAGTTATTGACTTTTACTGTGCTTTTTACCACATGTCTGCGATGTAAAATAATGTTGGATAATGCAAGAAATTAATTAAACAGTAATCGCCAACATTTATAGCATATTATAGTAATCATAACAATACAAAATAAAGCAATTTGAGCATGAACTAACCCACAAAAGTCACCACCATCCTCCGGGCAATGGATGTGGCAGTGGATAGGAAAGGTAGTCGGCATCACAAGAACACCTGGCGCATCACCAATACAAGAGACTCCATCTGTCACTCATTTGCATTAACGATGCTCCTTCGCTCACTGCCTGTAGCAAACAGACAGTGTAAATGATACCCTGAACCAGAGATGCGTCTATGACCCGTCGCCTGGCTGTCAGACCATCGAAATGCAGGGACACATATTCATGTGTTCGCAACGCGAGCGCCAAATTCTGACGCGAGACGATCAAGCTGATCCGCAAAAAGAACAACATTTTGAAGCACAAGCACAGCCTCACGATGGAGGATGTCAGCAACCTGTACCAGAGCGCCTTGGTTGCTGGCGGTAAGCATTCAACTCTGGATATCCGCAGCCTGTGCATGCAGAAACCCGCGCATTTGGCGTGTAGAGCCCTGAATCGCAAGTGGGGCACGTCCTTCAGCTGGGATCTGATCGACCCTCAGCAAAAGTCGCTGAGCTGGCGGTTCCCCGATGAATTCCGGTGACACAAGGCACCCTTCAAAGACGGCGAGCAGGTTTTGGTGCGCAACCGCCGCTGAATCAATGAAAGATGACCATAATTGGATATAATAATATAATAATTTGAGAAATTTTGAAGGAAAAAATAGGAAAAAATAATCAGTACATGAAGCCGTTCACGGCACAGCACACGGCAATGAACGCGGTGATTGCAAACGTGACTTGATGTCCGACCTCGATCACAGTGTCGGTGGACTGGAAGACGGACGACAGGGCAGACGGCTGCGTGCCGGCAATGGATCCAGCAATCACGAGCGTGTAGCCCAGAGTGATAACCCAGCTCGCCAGCTCATTGATTTCCATGATTACAAGCAAACTCGTTGCCATGGGCAAGATCGTCAGGTACGTGCTCGACAGAGTAATGCCGTCGGAAATTAGCGCGTACTCCTGCTGGAATGCGCGGGTCATTTCGGCGCCAGAGTTAGTCGCGGCCGCGGTCTGTTGCATCCTCCTGCGCAGCTCACCCTTGCGCGCCCAAATTCCAAACACCAGGTAGAGCAGTACCAGAGCAACGGCCGGACCACAGCGCGCGGCAATGGGAAGCTGCGTGGTGACATGTGAGCGCGCAATACTCTCGAGGATCTCAGAGTGGAGGTTGAGCTTGGATTTGACGAGCGAGTGTGCGTGCTGTGATGCATCGTTGAGCTCCTGCATGTAGTCATTACATTCAGGGTCGCGGTTGCCGGACAGCACCTTCTCGGGCCATGTGGGCGTTGCACTATTGGAGCTTCCATCAATCAGGTCTCTGAGCCTATCCACACCAGCGTTGATTTCCGAGCGCAGCTGGCTGCTGGGACCGCGGGTGAATGAAGCAAAGTTTTGAAGCTTGTTCACTATGTAGTTCTGGACGCTGTGAAATAGTCCGGTGCTCTTGCGGTCAAGCTTGCGCGCAGCGTGCTTGGTACTGCGCGTTGCCCTCCTGCTGTCAACGTTGAGCCTGTCGTACACATCCTCCTCGGCATGCTTGACCCGCTTGGCTGCACCCCTGACGTTCTCCTGACCCCATCTCTTGGCGCTGTCGGCTGCATCTGTGGCCTCCTGGCCAACATATTTGGCATTTTCCGCGACACGTTGGCCAAGACTGTCGGCGCCGTCTTGAACGCGTTGCTTCAGGTCGTCAGCCTTGTTTTTGGCCTTGTCCACAATTTGATTTGCGTTGTTCTTTGCCCTTTGTCCAAGGTTGTTAACGCCCTCCTTGGCCTGCTCGCCAATGTAGCCAGCTTCCTCTTTCGCTTTTTGCCCAAGGTTGTTGACACCCTCTTTTGCCTTGTAGCCGAGGTTGTTAGCGCCCTCTTTTGCTTGCTGGCCAAGGTATTCGACTCCGTTTTTAGCTTGCTGGCCGTACTCGGCGACGTTGCTGGTGACATACTCGCCGGCATCCATTACATTATTCTGCCCGCGAGACAGCAGATCGTTGGCGTGATCAGCCTTGGGCTTGAAAAGGCCATGAGCGCGTCCAGTCATCACGTCCCACCAGTGATACTCCTCCTCGTCCTGGACAACAAGAATTGGTGTGACAATCGTCATGGTCGTGTACTCCTGGTGGGTCACCAGCTCGGCTTGAGCCGGGATTGACATCGAGAACAGGGCAGCCGCAGAAATGGCCAAAAGCATGCCAATGTTTGTTGGCTTATTGAATACTTTCATTGTAAAAAATCCGTTTAACTTATCGAAAATACAGAAATAATTCTTTAAATAAAGTGAATAAGAGATGCTGCGTTTTATTATCTTGTATATAAAAAAGTTGTCCGTTTAAACTGAAAAATAATTGACAAAATGTTTGTCCAGATTCTTTTAAAGTCTGGGTCTGTACGCCGGCGTATTTATACACACTTGCATGAACTTATGCATAAAATGGCGTTGTGCACAAACAAATGCATAATGGTGACGTTCTGCTATCACAAGCGATGATGCAACGCTGGTCATTGCATTCCAAACAATAATCAAACGATGGCGCGGCTTGAATGGAAACACACAATGCATTTATTATAAAATTCCAATGACATCAAATGCTCTTCGACGGTGCCGCAAACTTGTACCCCACTCCCGGAATGTGTGTTGGATCACATTCATGATGATACAAACAATATTCGAAAATACTAGTGATCAAATATAGTGTGATTATGTAATATTTTAATCTTGAAAATTTAAAGTGCTGGGTTGATTGCAGCAAGCCAAGGAAAATAAAATACTAGCGTTAATTTTTTTACTCGACACATATTTAATGTTGCTTTCTGCCTTCGCATTCAGAATTCATTTCGGTACTTTTTTATTTTATTTTATATTTTTCCATCAACAATCAACTGAAATGACCAGTCGACTGCTGGCATACCACCTACACGGCGCTCGATGGATTGCGCTTGGCCGTCGAGTGTCGCCTGTGCAGTTCCGGAGAAACGCCTCGTCTTCCGACAAACAATCCGATCCCACTATCGGTGCTAGCGAGCAGACCACAGAACCCAAAAATGACAGTGAGCCTAGCGTCGTTGAAACCTCGCCTGTATACTCTAGGGATGAGATCGAGGCGGCTGACGACTATAAGACCCCGCGTGGCAGCCGAACCGGCGCGCGCTCAGACTTTATCAAGGAGCGGGAGCCTGTTGTTGTGCACAATCTAGCCTACCCAATTCACAACAACAAATGGTACCGCATCGTGCCAGAGAGCGTGGATTACTTGCCGGTTGGTTACAGCCACGTCAACCGGGTGCCCAAGCTGGGGCACGGCCTGGAGCGTGTGCTGTTCAGCCCAGGAGTGCATTGCTTGGAGGATCCGCACAGTGGCGTGTACAATTTTGATCCCTATATTCGCAACATCACACAGCCAGCTGAGTTTGACTATGACAAGCTAACACCGTATATAACATCTTCGAAGGACGAGACGCTCATGGGGTACGCCCGCCAGCGTAGGAGGCAGTTTGTTGGATCGACCTCGTCCATGACCCACGTTTTGTCACACCTGTACTTTGCCATTGCTGCGGGCAAGAAGCCCGATATCTCATCGATGTCAATGGCATTCGCAGACATGCCGACCGGTTTCACTCGCGGCATGCGGTATCCGGCATCCATAGCGCTGCGCTACCATGACGGGGTATACGCGATCGACGCTGACAAGAGCTTTGACGTGGGTGACAGCATCCTGAGCATTCTTGGAAAGTCGCTGGAGAAGCTACTGACGTCCACACCCAAAGAGTTTGACATGTACAAAAAGATGAACTCATGGAAGGTCAAGGACATCCCCGAGGAGAACTACCATTACGTCGAGTTTGACGAGTTTGTTTTGCGCTCGCAGCTGGACTGCCGTGACGACCGGCTGCCGCGAAAGACATTTGATCTCAAGACGCGCGGCTCGCTGGCGGTGCGCATGGATCTGCAGAATTACGAGATCAGCAAGGGGTACCAGATCCACACCATGAAGGGTAGGCTGCAGTCCTTCGAGCGCGAGTACTACGACATGGTGCGGTCTGCGTTCTTGAAATACAACTTCCAGACGCGTATCGGCAACATGGACGGAATTTTTGTTGCTTACCACAACACAGCTCGTATGTTTGGTTTCCAGTATATTAGCCGCCAGGAGATGGACAGGGTTCTTTTTGGCAACGAAGCCACGGGAAACAAAGCGTTCAAGTCAGTGCTCATTTTGCTTGGCAAGCTGTTGCGCACTGTGACCGACCAGTTTCCGAAAAGGGACATCCGAGTCACCTTTGACAGCGCCTCGAGCGGCGGCAACCTGGACATGTGGGTTGAGGTCATTAACGACGAGGCCGAGGCCGTTGCCATGCAGCAGTACCAGGAGAACGGCATAATCCGTGCGCCCAAGGTGCAACCGAAGAAGGCGTCGGCTGCGGCGGAGGCCGGCGAGGACCCATTCAGCACAGCTGACCCGCTGAGCCCCAACGCTGCCAACAAGGACGGCCAGGAGGACGAGCTGGCTGCGGAGCTGGAAGACGCGGAGATCGACCCGGTCGAATTTATTTACGTTAACTCGGAAGAGCCAATCCTGAAATACACGATGCAGACATTCTCGACGTACAACAACCAGGACACAGACGGCCCGGTGACGGTCAAGAACAAGGACGAGCACTGGTACATAAACTGGAAGCTCGCAAAGTCGCACAAGTCGCAGGACGAAGTTGTGGCTCGGTATCGGGTGCTGCGGCACCGGCAAGCGACGTACTTTGAGCGCGCATCTCCAGAGACTCCGGACGAAGAGTTGTCGCCGATGCTCAAGATTCTGCGCCGTATATCGCGCAAGAATCTGTGGAGAAACGAATTGCCTGTCGGCAAAGTTGTTGTCAACCGCAGCAGGATCCCGAATGTTCAGGCGGCGCCAAAGCCGTTACCGACCGCAGGCAAAATGGGGAGGGGTGAGAGTGATGATTCCAGAAAGGCTTCCAATGGTTCTAAGAAGACCGACAAGCCACCGTTGGCTGACAAGTTTGTAGACGATGACACGGCCCTGGAGACAGAGTATGATGCGCACACAAACCCAGGGAATGCGGCGAAATCGAAATCGCTGCGCCTCAAGAGCGCTAAACCGAAGACCAAGGCTAAGCCCAAGCCCAAACGCAAGGCCAGGAAGCCCAAGGCACATTTAAGCAGCACAGGAAAGCCACGAACAGACTCTGGGCCAAGCAAGAAGGCTGACTCCGATTAAGCTTATAATTTTATTAGTGCTTTTTTGTCGGCTGAATTTACCGTTGTATACTTTTCTTCTTCTTGCCAATGGACACGCTAAAATATATATGTCGGCTGCGAGCAAACTAAAACAAAGTTGAGATGTCGTTTTCGCAGAGGCCATCAAGAAAAAAACCATGCAACGTAGGGAATCAGTGGGATTCCGTGTTACTGCAAATTAAAAACGTTAAGGGTGGATTTTGTTTGTTCGCAGGGACTTGCAATACAGGCGTGGATAAAATCAGAAAACAAGCGGAGGTGTCAGTCAACTCAGACTCAGCCGTAGAGTTTGGCAGTAGCAACGCGCAGTTGTTCAGGCACATACGGACACCATGACTTTCAACTAGTAAAATGCAAAAGTACATTGTGGACAGTGAGAAAGTCTTGAGACATATATCCTGGCCTTATTCATTCATTCATTCTGAAGCTTCATTACATGAGTGCTGTCAACAGCTGGAATTGGCGGAGATATTTGCATGCGAAATTTTTGACTGCAATATGAAATAATGTGAAACTGTGGGCATCAGCCACGTATACATAAGGTCTTTAAATTTCCTTCATTTCCGGGATGGCTCTGTGCTTATATGTTGACTTGTTCCCTTGTCGAGCTCTGTTCAAAAGTTAAATTTCCTAAAATAAAAAGCAACTGCACTGTATTGTCATTTATAAGTATTTTAATTTTTATAAAATTATTTTTCGTATACTAATTGTAAAGCTATAAAAATCCTACACATTTATTGTCATGAAGCTTCTGGGAGTGTGCACAATCGGCGTTTTCGCGGCCACCACATATGCCAGACTTCAAGTCACTTTACCAAATAGCCACACCGAGTGGGAGGCGGGCGCGCCAGGCACAATCAAGTGGAAGTAAGTAAAAAACAAATTAATGATGTTTCGTTCCTTAATATAAATAATGTATACTTGGAACTGCTAAAATGTACTGCACACGTATATTTACAATAGGCCCATCGGCAATGGTATCAAGGGCCGTCTTTCTATTGAGCTAATGGAGGGTTCCGATCCGGGAAACATGGACGTGGTGACGACGATCGCCGAGAACATTCCCGCCGGTGGCATGGAAGCGCGTTGGAATGTGCCCAAGAATTTCAAGAACAGCAACAACTATTCGATTAAGATCGTCGATGAGGACGGTGAGGAGTACTACGGCCAGTATTTTAAGGGCGTCGGCGGCAGAACTGAGGTCGGGAAGAAGCCCGCAAATAATGGACCCCCCCAGGCCGGCAACAAGGAACAGCAACAGGGAAGAAATGATCCGAGGAACAGTGGAAACCCCACGGGCGATGATCACTCAGGTAACGGCAACAGAAAGCAGCAGCAGCAGCCGCAACAAGCGCAGACGCAGCAGCCGCACAACTCCAGGAATAACATGGCGATGAAGGGCGGCAATAGCTCAGGAGAGAGCAAAGACGCCTTTGTCAGTGGCCAGGCGCGCTCCGTCTCCTTCTCAGGCAGCACAGCTGTAGTTGCGTGCGCAGTGGCTGCGGCGGCCGGCGTGCTTGCCATTTGTTAAAAATTTATAACATTGATTTTTATTATTTCATTTTCATTTTCTTAATGACATTTTACTTCCCAAACAGCCTGTCTACTTTAGGTTTTTTTGCGAACTAATCCAGCTTCCAGCCAACCCACGCTTCCTTCCTGGCTTGGCAAATGAAAAGTTAATGTGGCAAGTGCAACCGAGAAAGTTGAATTAAAAATTCAATTTAAAAATAGTTTCCCTGCGGCAGGAGCAATGATGAGCAAGGGCAATTCCAACACCACAAAATCTTTGTTGGAATAGCCGACACAACCTCGACTTCTAATTATGATCGACAGCCAGAAATTCTACTTATCATGTGGCAAGTCCGCACAAAGTTTGGGATATGTTGCTGATTGGCTGCAACTTTGTTTAGTGGTTAATGATAAACAGGCTTTTAGCCCACGAATAACAAATCACGCGCTGCATAATCAGTCTACAAGCGATCGGAAGCAAGGCTTTTTTTGGGGAGGATTTTTGTGTGTTGTCTATTTTCACACAAATTTTGGTGCGAAAACATACAGCTGCAAGACCAAAAGTGCAGCAAAGACACATGTTGGAAACAGGAGTACAGCAAGTGAGGGAAGGTGCGCACGAATGAGATAAAAAGCATTTTTGATGTTTTCCACTTTTTTAACTTGTTTTTAAAGAGTATACACGTGCATCACCATCAGCATCGCAGCAAATGGAAAAAAGAGGGGATGCTTTTTTTTGGAATGGGGACAAGCCAGGCACACTTTATTTCCCGCACAAAGGGTTTTTTTTCCGTTTAACAGTCTGAGTGAGCAATTGTTGCCTTTTTGTGAGCAGCGAGCACGACAAAAATTTCACCATTTTGAAGCAAGGTTTTATCCTGGATATTTTCGTTAGTTCGTTTTCCCTTTTCTTTTCTCTAGTGAAGTTTTTTTATCGACTGTTTGTTCACCCATTTTTATAAACTATTTTAGGCTCCTCTACTTGTTTTTTCTAAGCAACTAATACCACGTCTAATCCTTTTCCTTTGTAATCTCTACGCACTACCAACATTACCATTTTATTTACAAAAATGAAGGTTGCCATTGCCGCGTTCGCAGCGTTCACGTCGTCCGTCCTTGCTGCCCTCAGCATCAACAGCCCGGTTGCTGACACTGTGTGGCCCTACAATGGTACCCCCATCAACATTACTTGGATGTAAGTGTTATTATTAGAGTATTTTCCTTTTTATTCTCTCTTCATATCACTATTGCCGCACAGCCTTTCCATTACCTATGCGCATTGTCCGAGTTGCACAACAATCGCATGCAACGGCACTTTTTTACTATTGTCTCTTCGAATACGGTCTACAGCCGAAGACAAGGGTTAAAAGAACGTGCCAAATTTTATTTGTCACTCGTCGATTGCTTTGCGAGACCACGTCCAAACCTTACTTTCAAGGTCTTCCTTTTCGAGTGCTCCTTTCTACTCCTTTTTTCCCACATGCCTTTTTCCCTTTCCATTTTTAATTTTGTACGCGTTCGCAACAAGCATACGTGTTTTTTTCCGGCCACAAAGGCAGCACAAAATTGAGAGAAAAAATACGATTTATTTTTGTGTGGGATAGTGCCCTATTGTATTGCAATTTCATCTTTGCACATATTGACACATTGTTGCGCGCTGGACTACAAAAAGCCCAATTTTATAGTGCCGCTCCTACTTTTGTTATTTCCTTTATTTTTCCCGGCTACTTTATTGCTTCCGCTTTCTTGTTATCCCCAAACTGCCATATGCGCAGAATGCCATAGAAGGCCGACGACCAAAACAAACATTCGGGCGGTTGATATCAGCATATTTGCTGTCTGCATGAGTTGTACAAGCAAGACTCAAGCCTGATGGGCCCTTGCATTCATCCAAGCGGTCCAACGCATTGTCCAGAATTTCTTATTTGTCCAAGCCAACTCCCAAATCAAGTTTAAAAAATATGGCGGCAGCACTATTCACAAAAACACAATCAGAAATGTAAAGCACGACAAAACAAAATATATGTACAATATACTAATTGTTTTCTTGTAAACATTCTAAAAATCATTAACCAACTATAGCTCGGACGATGCCACGGTGCTCACCGGTACCGTGCTGATTCAGCTGATGGAGGGCGCCGACCCCAACAACCTGGCGCCGGTCCTGACTATTGCTAGCGGCGTGTCGTCGGTCCTCGGGAAGGTAACATTCACCCCTCCGACCAATCTGCAGGGCAGCACCAACTACGCCGTACGCGTGACATCCTCGGTGGATGGACCCCACTACAGCCACAGCTTCAAGGCCGGCAACCCCGCGATCAGCGCATCGGCCTCCACCGCAGTGGTGTCGACCGCCACGACCAAGTCCACCGACGACAACAGCAGCAACTCGAAGACCGCCAAGAACAACGACAACTCCACCCCTGTGGCCGATGAGGAGGACGAGATCTCGGATGAGGAGACCAATTCGGAGGAGGAAGAGAGCGAGGAGGAGAGCGAAGAGGAGAGCGAAGAGGATACGGATGAGAAGAGCAGCTTGGAGGAGGACGAGAGCGCCTCTGATGATGTTGAGAGCGACTCCGATGATGTCGAGAGCAGCTCGAAGCATAACAGCAGCTCATCGTCGAAGAAGGATAGCTCAAGCAGCGGCGCTGGTCGCACGCACATTGCTGTTGGTGGTCTTATTGGCGCTGCTGTTGTTGCGGCCATGTTCTAAGAGGGGCATACATGCTCTTTTTTCTTTTTTGGTTTTCTTCTTTATCTAGCCATTTTCCAAATAGGAGGAAAGTGGTGACCGAGGGGCTTGGTATTTTCTATTTAAACATTTTCATGCGATTAAGGCCTTTTTTTCTATACTTTTCTAAACCTAATAATATTAACAAATATTTTTTGTAAACATCAAATATGATTTGCATTGGCACTTTTTCTTAAACAAAAAAACAAATTGTCGTACACACACGAAGAGAGAATGGGTGGAATACAACAACTTCTAGCTTTTTCTCTCTTTTTTCTTATTGTTTTGAGCGTCATTTTATTTTTCTATTTTTGGAGTAGAAAAAAATGCAGTTAACCACAGGGCGGAATGCAAGTAGAGTATGAGCGAGAGAGGGAAAGAAAAAAGGCAAAGTGCTTGTTTGTTTTCTATTTTCGGTTTTTTTTCTTCCTCTCTCCCCAGATATAGGTCTTTTTTTCTCTCTCCCAAAGCATATACCCAATTCGTTTTTTTATACGCAAATGACAAACATTATTTCCCTTTTATCGACAGCAGTTGTGCTCGGTAGCTATGCCGTGGCAGGAGCAGCAGTAGCAGACGGCCAAAATGAGGCAGTGGCGCAAGTGAATGCGAATATCGGCCGCATTCCCAGAGCCCTGGGGCGTATTCCGAGGGATGTGGGCCGGGTGCCCAGAGAAGTGGGCCGGGTGCCCAGAGAGTTGAAGCGTGTACCCAGAGAGCTGAAGCGTGTGCCCAGAGAGCTGAAGCGTGTGCCCAGAGAGCTGAAGCGTGTGCCCAGAGAGCTGAAGCGTGTGCCCAGAGAGCTGAAGCGTGTGCCCAGAGAGCTGAAGCGTGTGCCAAGAGAGTTGAGGCGGATTCCCAGGATACCAGGCCAGCAATTCAAAAAGCGTGCTGACGAGACACAGGGCCAGGATAATGCTGATAACAAGGAGAATGACCCAAGTCCATCTCCAAGCGCCAGCCCATCCCTATCTCCGAGCCCGAGCCCGAGCCCGAGCCAGAACAAAGACACAAGCTCGAGCAGCTCAAAGACGCCCAGCAGCAAGAGCAGCTCGACGCCTGAAGAAGACAAGCTCGGCGACGACAAGAAGGAAAATTCTGCTGACGAGAAGAACAACAGCGACAATAATAACAAGAGCAGTAGTGCGGACAATGATGATAATGATGATCTTGGAGTGGTCGAAGATGAGTTTGGAAACCCAATTATCACGAACGCTGATGCGTCGTACTGGCAGATGATCACGCCTACTGGCGTCAACTATCTCAGTGGTGCGGCGACTGCGCACTGGGATTTCGCAGCGGCAGCAGCAGCGGCAGCGATGCTTGGCAGTGCCCTGTTCTAGTGTGTTTTCAACATACATTGTTTTGGCTTAGTTTCTAGTCCTGCTTTTATAATTCATTTCATTCCCCTTTCTTTCTAATAAAATAAAAGTTTAGTAGTCCAGCCAGTACTCCTCAGGGAAAATAGAGCGCATGGCGTGCCAGTGCTGGATGGCGCCGGGCAGCTGCCACTCGGACAGCGGGTTCCAGGCGTCGGTCAGCGGGCGCACGGCATCGTTGGGCAAGATGATCTCGTTGGCCAGCATCTCCGACAAGACAGCTTTGCGAAGAGAAGTATTTCTACCAGGACTCGAATCAACGGCTGGTATTTGGAAGTTCAGCGGCGCGTCCGAGGCAAAGAACATCATGTTAGACAAAATCCCACTCGTATCTTTCTCCGGATCGTCCTTGCGGGCGGGGTTGGGCTCGATGAAGCAGCGCACATACTCAAATGTCGTGCGCAGCGTTGCGGTGATATGCGCCATGGAGCGGTGGTCGTTGGGAATGCCGACGTAGTTCATGGCCAGCACGCCGTTGGGAAGCAGGATGCGGTGCAGGTGCGCAACTGCCTCCTGTGAGAACAGGGACGGAGGCACGGAGCCGCCGGTGAAGACGTCGTGGACGATGTAGTCGTATGTGCCAAAGGGCGCGGATTCGATGAATGCGCGCGCGTCGTACAGGTGCACGGCGTTGAGGTCGCGCGGCAGGCCAAAGAAGCCAACGGCAGCGTGGTGGACGACGGGGTCGATTTCAACGACATCCACGCGCACTTTTCTCTTGTGCAGCGAGCGCGCCGAGATGCCAGCGCCCAGGCCAATAATCAGCGCATGCTCGTTCTCCCGCTGCGCGCCACGAATCATCCGCACGGCGTCGGCGTAGTAGAAGATGGCAAAAATCGATTCGCGCGTGGTGCTCCACTGGCCGCCAATGAGCGAGTGGCCACTGCGCAAAACCCGCATGCCGCGGTCGTGCTCATCGGATACCGTGATCCAGCCAGTTATCGACTCCTTGCGCAGCAGCATGCGGTACTTAGGCGTCGTGGAGATGACACCGCCGTTAATTTTGCAGTGGCGGTTGGTCACCACCATAATTAACGCGAGGAGAACCACGACCATTGTTGGCACTACCACGGTCATTTTCAGTAGGCAGCTACCGAGGCAAGCCTGCGCGGGTCGGGCCAATTTTGCCCCCTCGGGCGCGCGCTCCTCGGCAGGCTTGGGCAAAGCCTTTGTGGACTCCTCGGACCCCGCCTGGAACTTGGAAACAAGGTTGGCGGCTGACAGAAACACGGCGGTTATTAACAGGGCATTTCCACCATAACGAAAATGCACCGATGATACTCTGTGCATTATGACCCAGCCACACGCGCCCAAAAGCACCGCCACCACCGCTGCCTTGCCCGCCGACGTGCTAGCCCCGTGTGAAGCGCGCGCAATGGCAATGGCACTGGCGAATCCGCACAGCGCAAGCACCGGGAAGGACAGTGCGCACTGCGTCACCATCGGCCCCCACATCGGGCCCAAGCGTCCTGAAAAGCGCAACAGGTAATCTGTGGGCACTGGCGCAAGCGCCAGCATAATCGCCGCAAGGTCTATGGCCCTGGTCATCGCGTGTCTCGCTTGGGCGTCGACTGACAGCGACTCGCCCTGCTTGCGCGCCAGGATGCGGCGCCAGTAGAGCACTCCCAGAGCGCCGCCAGCCGCCATGACCACTAGCAGGGCGCGCAGGAACCCTAGCTGTGCCAGAACGTTGCCGTATAGCGGCTCCAGGTACTGCGGCCCCAAGGTCAGCAGCGACCATGCGGTGATGCTGGAGACCATGAGCGTGAGAGCTATGGTGACAATGGTTGACTTGGACAGCTTGGATGAGGCCGGAACATAGTCGTTGTGCTTCTTGTCCTCTCTTTTGCTATGCTCGCCTGTGGTGCTGGGTTTTTTGCTTTTCCCTGCCCGCTTGGTGATATCGTTTGTTGAGGCCATCATGTTTACTGTCCCAATTCCTTTTGTTTCAGCACTGCTGTTTTGACAAATGCAATAATAGGCTATCGAAGCGCGACTTTAAAAAATGTTGGATATTTTTAGTATAAAAATGAAAAGTATATAAAATGAAAAATGAAAAGTGAAAAGTGAAAACAAAAAAAGCAAGCCCCTCTTTAATTTCCTGCCTTGGGCACAATGGATGCTGTCCGGGCCGAACGTGCTTTGTGTGATTAGAATGCCTGAAAGAGCTTCAAACCAAAAAGAATAAATGCCCCATTTGGGACACATGCACAGCGGTCTGCCAATTTTATCGCTTTTTTGGGCTGGACTGCTTTGGCCTGACTTGGCCCCTGGGCTGGGTTAGCCTTTGGCTATCCGCTGATCTGCGATCACTACACGGTGATTATCTTCGGAGTTTTTGCCACTGGCCATGCGCGCATGTACGCCCAAATGGTGGTGGGGGAGGTGCGGACAATCACAGCTTAAAAAATTAAAGTTGGAGGGTCTGGCCTGGTTTGCTGTTCTCCGCTCAGCTCAGCTCTGGTGCTTTGCTGCGCATACAGCCAAAATGCATTTTTATTTTCTGTTCTCCCCATCACCACTACTCATCCACGCATCCACTCACTCACGCTTCTGCTCTCTTTCTCTCACACACACACTCTTCTCAATACGCTAATCAATAGTATTCCTTGCGCTCAATCTGTACATTCATGTCACCCTCCACAAACTCGCGCACAGAGGTCGCCAATACCTCGTACTCGGCCGCAAACTTTGCGTCCATCTTCGCAGTCTTGAACACGTTCAGCGCCGCCATTCGCGTGCCTGACATCCAGGAGCCAGAGGTAACTAACACACCAAGTACATTGTTTTTTATGATTAGCGCTTAAACACGCGAGTTACTAATGCTATTATCGTTGCATAGGATCTCGACACCGTGGTCAGATGCACAGACGACACAAAGGCCCTCAGGGAGCTAGCGCTGACTCTGCTGGCCGCCGCTGTGGACCGCAAGGCAAAGTCATTGCTGACGGAGGACCAATGGCCTAAGCTCTGCAGCTCTCTAGCAGCCGGCAGCGCCGTTCATCTGCTCAAGGGCCTGGAGGTTCCCGAGGACGCTGCCGAGTCGCTCGATGACTTTGTCGCGCAGCCGCCAGCCGTGCGCGTCGACGTTCTCTACTGGTTCTGCGAAATCGCCCTGATGAACAACACAGTCATTAAGGCGCTTATCGATGGTGAGTGCGAGAGAGAACGCAAGCCCGCCTCTGCCTCGACAAACACAGCTGTGAATGACGCACTCGTTCGTCTGACCCCCTTGGTTGAGATTGCCAAGCAGAGATACTGGCTGTTTGGAAATAACACGCGGCAATTGTATCTTGAGTCCCTGTCGCAGAAGGGCAAGGGCAGGCTGGAGTTACTGGCCCAAAGTCTGGAAGAATTTGCCGCTGTTGCTGCTGATCTCAGGGCTCAGCGCAGCCACGCCCAGAAGGAGCTGGCTGACCGGCTGGACACCGAGGTCGTTCCGTTCTTGGAGAAGCAAAGGAGGAAGAGGGAGCGCGTCGAGCGCGCGCTGCAACGCCAGGCCATAGCCGCAGCCAACGTCCACCTGTACGAGACGCGCACCAGAAAGCGCCAGCGCGTCAACTACAATGTCGACGAAGACATTTCGTACGACTTTTAAAAAGTGCTGCACATGCACGCACTCACGTTTCCGGGCATTTGCTTTTTTATTTATTTATTTATTTCTTGCGCTTGAACAGCAAAATGCCAAACAAAGAAAAATTGTACATCCAACTGGCTCATGGCGTCGACGATTTCATTGTAATGCTTAGCGCGGTCAGGAACAGCAAGATAGACAGGCTGTCGAGAAGCCGGCTGCCCGCCGACAGAGCCACAAGAGACCATGCGGGGACTCCCGGAATCTGCGCCAAAAGCGATGACGAAAGCGAGCGAGAAGGAGCAGTCCGCTGGCCGCTGCCATTGCCGCCAATCAAAAAGTATGCTACGTAGATGACCAGCTCGAGCATGAGCAGGTACCACAGAATGTAGTTGCCATTGGCCCACTCCTCCAGCCGCCCATCTGGCCGCGCGCGCAGCAAGTTCGCCCACTTTGACCGCACATCCTCGGCACTCTCACCCACCAGCTGCTCGTACCGCGCCTCCCGCGAAACACCAAACATGTACACGCCAACCACAGGCACAAGCTTGACGAACGCTCGCGACAGCCCAACTGCCGAAAATCGCCGCCCAGCCAAAAACTCACGCAGTCCCGTTCCCCCGCCCGCTGCCGCCGCCACCGCCGCTGCTGCGGGATCAGAAATCGTTGCATTGACATTGTCGTGTAGCGCGTCCGAGTTGGTATCTGCTGTGGCCACCGTCGGGCGCAACCGGCTGCTGCGGAGTGTGCGCTCCTCAACCGGCGCCTCTGCCGCCGTACCCTCAAACTCAGCTGCTGCCGCTGCCTCCTCAGCCTCTTGTCGTGCCTTGCGGGCCAGGTTTCCCGCACGACGCCGTGGCTGCGAGCTACCATTATCGATGGCTGCTTCATTGATCGCGTCGATGGATATTCCGGACGTGTGCTCGACAGGAGTGCCCTCTGCTGTCTTGAGCTCGTGTCCGCCGGCCATGCCTAGCTCAGCTTTGTCGGACTCCTCCTGTGCTTGGCTGAATGTGCTTTTAATGCGGCTCAGCCGATCGTTTCCACGATTCAAAATTCGCTCTTGTCTCAGCCGGCGCCGCTTCTGTGCCTCGGTCTCTGTGCCAGCTGTCAATGCTCCAGCTCCAGCTCCTATTTCGGCTACTAGTTCAGGCGATTCGGACATTTTGTGTGTATAATTTAATGTTTTTTTGGTGCGCAAGATGAGAAGGTCGTTCAAGTTGCAACCGCTGCCAGGTTCGAGAACATCCTTTTTCTGGCTTGTGCGTAGGCGCTTCGTGAGAGCAAAAGCGAAAGGAGCTCAAAAATTGAAATTGAGAGTAGTGCGCAACGATTTGGGCGATCACCACATCAAATCAACCAATCAACTGCATTTGGCTATTCGCGCTCAATCTCGCTTCAACATTAGCACTCATGCCCAAAACAAGCGCTATATTGAAGTTGAAATTGGGCTTGGGTGGACAAGAAAGAACACAGTGATTTGGCAGACGCAGATGCAACAGGCTTGAATTAAACCCTCTTTTCTCTCACACATTGACAGATACGACAAAATGGTAAATTATCTATCTTTATAAGACGCATGAGCGAACACTACTCCCCCAGTTTTTTGGCGATGGATGCGGATGCACAGTGGCAACATATTCGAAGGATTCGCACGAACAATTTGGAGAAAAGGCCCCAGATGGATGCATGGATTCTGCGAGACCAGGAATGGATGCGGCGCAATGAGGCAGTGCGGCTAAGAATACGCTTTTTTATTGGCAACGGCAAATTTGGAGTGTGAATTTGAAATTTCATCTTTGAACTTTAAATTCTAATCTGCACGAACCATTGCGCTGCTACTTTGGGGCCATGCGTTTATAGAGGCAGAGTGCCGACAAAAGAGTTGCACTGCATATAGCATACAACGCTTGCGTGCTAGCAGCTTTTCATATATTTGGTTGGCTTCTATTTGGGGCTCTTGTCAGCAGCACCATTTGGCCCGCAGAGCGTACACGCATGCACCCTTTTATTGCTGGTTTTGAGCAGCGAATCCTTGGAGCAGATTGGGGATTTCAGGATTGGAATCAGAATCGTTGTTCAGAAGCAGAGGCGCTAGTTTTGCAAAATAATAGCGTTGCACAGAACGTGCCTTCTTGTGCTTAATCGTTTGAGCTTGTCTGTTATTTTGCGGTCTAGAGTCGCACCCGCTGCAGTTTTGAATTGGGGGAGGATGAAGAGCTGCTTGAAGCTCTTGACGCGCAATACCCAAACACACAACCTCCTGGACAAATCGCTAAACTTGAAATGTCACTATCTCTCTTTGTTACTTCCACTATAATAGGCCGACGCTACTGCCCACAAGAAGAGAGTCTTCCGCAAGTTCTCGTACCGCGGTATTGATCTCGAGCAGCTGCTCGACATCTCCAGCGAGGAGTTCATGAACATGGTTTCGTGCCGTGCCCGCAGAAAGTTCAAGCGCGGTCTTAAGCGCAAGCCCATGAACCTCATCAAGAAGCTCCGCATTGCCAAGCAGAACGCTCCCGAGAACGAGAAGCCCAGCGCTGTCAAGACCCACCTCCGCAGCATGATCATCGTCCCCGAGATGATTGGCTCTATCGTCGCTGTTTACAACGGCAAGACCTTCAACCAGGTCGAGATCAAGCCCGAGATGATCGGTCACTACCTCGGTGAGTTCTCCATCACCTACAAGCCCGTCAAGCACGGTCGTCCGGGTATGGGTGCCACCAACTCTTCCCGCTTCATCCCCCTCAAGTAATTTGTCGAAAAGTGGATCCAAACCGGGGCCTTTCTTTTTTCCATGTGCACTTACCGAGGCTGTTGCTTTGTTGTTTAAATACACAACATTTTGTTGCTAAAATTGATTCTTTTTTGTTTCGAAATATGGTGGAGTAATCGAAATGGTTGCGGTTGCGCCTTCATTCCGCCAACATCATTCCTGAATCGGGATGGGGCTTGAAAAAGCTGGCTTCTCGGAAGCACCAAAACATTGAGGCTGTCTTGTTGAATCGAAAGATGTGTGCTGCTGAGTGCCAGATATAAAAAGGCATCTAAATCACCATTTTGGTTCCGTCACAATGACGCGGGAATAGCTGCGCTCTTTGATATAAATACAGGTTCGTGGAAAAAATTTAAAAATTGAATTGGCCTCAAGCTGGGTCTTTTTCATTTTATTTTTGACTACATTCACTCTTTTACCCTTTTTTATTCTTTTAATACACTCTTTAATTTAAAATTTCGCTTCAAATACACGGTCGTACTTACATATTAACTTTATACTTTATTCGCATTTGACAGCAGCACACTAGATAGCAACACCCAATGGATGGACCGACAGAGACACTCGATTCAAAGGCAGAGCTCGACCAAGAAGAAATTGAACGGCTACTGCGGGAGAACCGCGCCCTCAAAGGCCGACTGGACGAACTGGAGCGCGAGAACCGGCTTTTGAAGCAGCGCAACTTTGATCTGTCCATGCGCTATGGCCGCAGTGTGGAAAACCGCCGTCAGCCCTTTGAACTAGTATTTTCTGACAGCGAGAATGAGGGCGAGCAAGGTCAGAACAGCGACGAAGCCGAAGGCGATAACCGGGTGGGTGAGGAGGATGCCGCTGAGAATAGTAGCAATGTCAGCGATAATAATAACAATGAGGCCAGCAGCGATGCTGGTGGATATACAGTTGAGGAGAGCGATATTAGTCGGAAAGGGGGCAGCGGCACGGAAGGCTCGGGCGCGCGCGAGCAGCGGCTAAATATCCTGATGGGCACTAATTTCAGCAGCATATCTGCGTCGGCGGAAGCAGCCGAGGGCGCAAGCCCGGCCAAACGAAGAAATAGCAGCACCCACAAGAGCAGCAGCAACTTGGGTACTGACCGCGCGACGAGGGATGCATCCGCAGGGAAATTCGACACTGCTGCATTGGAAGCCGATGGATCATCCAGGTACGCCGACAGCGAGTCGCCAGCGCTTACAAAAGAGAAGAAGAGCTTGCGCGAAAACGCCGATGAGCGACAGGGCGTGGCCGGTGGATCGTCGCGGCGCAAGGAGGCAAAACAGCTCAAATGCTATGCGGAGCTGGAAGGGCACGAGGGGGCGATCTACTCGACGCAGTATTCGCCGACAGGCGACCGCGTGGCCAGTGCGTCTTTCGACAAGAGCGTGCGTATCTGGGATGTGGGAGAGCAGAAGCCCCTGGCAGTGCTCAGTGGCCACCATCAGAGCGTCTTTGACGTGGTATGGCGCGACGACAGCATAGCCGTGGCGTCGGCGGGCTTTGACCGGTCGTGCATAGAATGGGACATTGAGACCCAGGAGGCCACCACCCGGCTGCAGTGCGACGGGCTGGTGCAGTGCCTGCGGTACTCGACGCACAACCCGCGGATCATATATGCTGGTGACTCATCGGGCTTCATCACCATCCATGACACGCGAGAGGCATCCGGCGGAACAAAACTGAGCAACGATGGCGCCATGGTCAACACAATCTACTGCTTCAATGACGAGACTCGGTTGGTGTCGGGCGACCGCAACGGCGAGATCAAAATGTGGGATGTGCGGATAGGCCGCTTCATGCGCCTGGTCAGCTCAGACACCCAGCGTCACGCCATCAGCCACATCAGCGTTGTCAAAAACGAGAAGAGCGGCACCGAGTACATGGCTACAAACTCGTACGACAATGTGCTGCGCGTGTACGATCGCGTCGATGACCCGTCTGTGCCGACTCCCCGCGTTATCCACGAGCTGCAAGGTATTCGCAGCCGCAACTGGCCCATCAAGAATGCCTTTTTGGACCCACGTGTGGCCCAGGAAAAGCTCATGGGTCTGTACGACGATGATTATTACGAGCTGGACACGCGCTCCCAGAGCGAGGCCCGCGGCCTGCGCTCGATGCTGTTCCTGATCACTGGCAGCGCCGAGCCGCTTGCCTACTTGTACAAGCTGAACACGCACTCCAAAAGCGTGCGGATCGATGACAAGGTACGTGTGCGAGAAAGTAAACGTGATTTGGGGGAGGGGAAGGGGGGCTGTGAGAAGCATTTTGGACAATGCGTGCTGCACAATGCTAACTGTTTACTTTTTTTTTAATTTTTTGCTTTGGGTGTTTCTGGTCTGTATAGGGGAAGCATGGGATGCGACAGAGGCTCGAGGGCCACTCGGACAGGGTGTATGCGGTGGCGACGCACCCGACCGAAATCAAGGCGTGTACAGCCGGCGCCGACAGCACCATTCGACTCTGGCACATCCCATCGGCGGGCCGGCTGCTCAAGGAAGGCTACTAGCTCGAAAGCACATAGTATCTGTGGTTTGTTTTTTGGGGAGCTGAATCGTGGCGGTGGCGGCATCTTTCTCCCCTTGTGACTGGGCTGCCGGTGACCAACTAGACTTTATGGGCAATAGAAAGAAGGACATGTGTTATCTTGCGTCGCAAGTACTATTCTCAGACCTTTTATAATCAGTCGAATATAGCGAAACAAAAGTGCCAAGCAAAACTTACGATTTGAGACGCCAAAATGCACTACAGACCATCATGTTCTGGTCGTGGTCTGCCCAATAGCGAATGTCGGAAATATGCAGACGAAAACCTTGCAGATCCATTCTTTTCTGGGCTGCAAAGATGTGCGTGCTATTTGTGTGCTCAGTTCTTTGAAGCTGCCGGGATTGGCAGGCTGTGAAGAAGGAGGGAGAAATCGAAGTGAGTGTTGCTTATTTTTTTCCCGCCATTTTTGCAATAAAAAAGTGCGAAAAAACAGTTCAGCTTTTTTATTTTTCATTGTTGTTGTTATTTGTCCGGGTTCTTGGGGTTTTATTTATTTTTTGACTATTATTATCGCACTGTTGAATTTGGTGGCTTCAAACACCCTCAACTATATTTTGTTCTCTTCTTTTATTGCAGTTTTTGTCATTTGGCAAAATTCAAGCTTTTATAAAAACAATAAATCTATTTTTTAGGTGTTACTGGCACCTGCGCTTCTTTATTATTATTCCTCTCAATTTCGCAATCCATCTCTTCCCTCTCTTCCTCTTCCTCACCCACTCCCTTTTCTTATTCTTCTGAAATACTCACCCACCATTCCTATATATTCAATTATTTCTACTCTCATTTGCTTGCCAATCGCACGCCTTCTCTCTCTCTTTTCTAACTCCTCTCACTCGGTCATTTCTCTACGCTAACGTCTGCGACACACTTTTTATACACGCCACATCTCTATCGACGACAACGCTGATATAAACAAAAACCAACAGCTGTGACTCGAAAACCCACGCGCACCCGACATCTCTGCGACCTTAAGGCTATATACAAAAAGGAGTATATTATCAACAGGTAAGAGACAAGTTAAAAAAGAACCAAACTAAACAAATCGTTTTTACTTGCCTTTTCTTTATTTTGCTGGTGTTTTTGTTTTTGCTGTTGAGCTGATCCTAGCACCAGCCAGCTCATCTTCTTGCCTCAAGTTTTTCTACCATTCGCCCATTTATTTTTGCTGTCAACTCAGCCTGAACAACCTACCTCACTGCGCATTATGGCCGAGCGCATGCGCGCTGCATGGTGCGAAATACAGTACCAACAGCATGGAATGCTCCGTCCTGTTGGGGTGGAAAGACAAACAACATCGCAATAATGCTGGGGGGAGGGGGCATTATCCGACATCTGGCATAGTCGCACATGTCAAGCAAATACAGAATAAAAATGATGGACCACCGCACTATTTCCTAGAAGCCCAAATAATTGATTTCGATTCTCTCTCCAGCACAAACAGAATGGAATGTTGTATGTTTTATTCAGTTTGCTTATTTTTATTCAGTGCGCACAAGAGTTTCTCATTCTACTTTCTCGCATTCATATAACGCTGGGCCTGTTCTGTCGTCGTCAGAGTGCCCATTGATCCAACCAGCGCGCGCCGCGGCAGAAGACAGGCGCACAAAGACACCAATCTCAGCTCTCAGTTATGTTCTTTATTCTCGCATTTCGCATTTTTCACTTGTTCGTTTGGTCTACGCATCTGACAAAAAACGGCGATTCTATATTCTCTTATTCTTTTTAGTTTACATTTCTCTCCCTTGTTTTTTGTATTGCTTGTTTCTGTGTTCTCTATATTTACGTTTTTGCGCATACCACGCGCCCTCTGCTCCCCATTTCAACACCATCTCGATATCTTCTTTCCCCTGGCGCAGCTCACTACTCTTCAAATATCCATTTTTTTCGTTATCTTTTTTTGCTTTATTTCCAACCAAGTTGCGGGCCTGTTATTTGCTTCCAGCTCATCTATTAACCTTTTGTACTCGCGCGCAACGCCGGAATTTGCTTTCACAATACCGCCGCACTCCTCTTATTTTTTGTACGTGCTTTGCACACATACACTTTCAGGACAATTTCTCAAACTCGCTTAATTTTTCATCATTGCGATAGATGTCCAAGGACCGTGCCCGCGCTGAGCACTGGGCACGCTCATCTGCCGATAGAACAGCCACTACGCGCGCAGACTCTGCGCTTCGGGACAACCGATTAACAGCATCAAACACCCAGTCGAGTGGGCTTCAGGATGGCGCCAGCAATATCTGCTCTCAAACGATAAGGGCGCGACCCGGGACCTGGTTGCGACGGATTGCTGTCATTGGCTTGCTTGTTGCAGCAGCAATCTCGCCGGCATTGGCGGCAGACTCGTCCGGATCATCGGTCAGCACCACCGTCGCAGCGGCCACCAGCCCATTTCCACAGCTACGCCTCTTCGTTCAGCTTCAGAGTCAGAGTTGGACGAGGAGTCCGAGCTCGAGTCGGACGGAGACTCGAGCAATGAAGCGGAAAGTGCCGAGGAGAGCGATACCAGCGGACTTGACACCGGCGACAATGAGGATGATGGGGGAGGAATTGGAATTGTTGGCGGATTCAGCGGCGTGTCCTCCTTTTCGCCAGATGTCAACAGTCCAACTCTGTCGCTGAACAATAGTTTGACGTCTGTTGTTGCGCTGTTCGCAGACTCAGCCAGTCTCCTCGGCTCGTACACTGCTACGGGCCAAGTGACAGCTGGCTGCTCATTTTACAACAAAGACGGCAGCATCTCGCAGTCGTTTTTTGGAGGCACACTGAGCTCACTCGACTCGAAATATGTGGGGTACGTTGCCGGCCTTGACTCCGACGGGCTTGTTGATACCATGAACGGCGGCGTGGACGGTCCTATCAACGCGCTATACTGCGACCAGGGAACTCAGCAGGTGTTTGTCGGCGGAAGCTTCACCAGCACGGTGGAGGGCATGACGTCTAGCATTGTCACAATGCGCTCGTCCTCGACTGGCGGTATTGCTGTCTACAACGCGACCGCGAAGGCGTGGAAGCAACTGCCCTTCCACGGCGTGGACGGCCCTGTGCACGACTTTGCCCAGATGCAGGGAAATGTGTTTGCTGTGGGCGAGTTTTCATCGACCAACGACAATGCCACGTACGTATCTTTGGCCACACAGCCAATGGACCTGGGCGCATTCGACATCGTGGGTGGTAACAGTGGTGAAATCCTTGGATTCAATAACCCGTTCAACGTCATTTGCACGAACAAGGCAGATACTGCGGACAACACGTGGCTGATGCGGGACAAGCTGACTGGCTTCTTCAAGATCAACTTCCCGTTCAAGGCCACGCCATCTCTTCTGCGGATAATGAACACTGCATACGAGGGTCGCGGCACCAAGTCGTTCCGCGTAGAGGCTGCCGAGAATAACCAGGCGCTGACAATGTCGTATATAGATCCCGAATCGAGAATTGAGCAGTTTTGCACGCAATCTTGTCCGCTGGAACAGAATTACAACTGGCAAGAGTTCCGCTTTGTTGACGACGATGTCATGCTAGCCAACATCACCGGAGTGACAATCAACATTGTCGACTGGTATGGCATGGGCGGCGGCTTCAACAAGATTGAGCTTTACCAAAGAGGCAAGTACCATAAAAATACCCACTAACCCGACCTGCAAACATGTATCTGTTGCTGTGACCAAGACAACAGAGTCGTTGGCTGCATTTGCACAGCTTTGTTTTTTTGCGCTTATTCTTTTTTTCCTGTTTGCCACTTGCTTGCTGTACTTGTCGATTCAGATTCCTATTGTCACTATCCAGCACACCTGTCCCTTTTTGGAACATACCATTGCTTTTGCGTGTGTCCTTGTTGGTTGACAGTTCATTTTGGCACTCAATAGGAAACTTTTACTTCATTTTGTCTTGTGCACCGCTAATATTGTCTCTCGTTTTTCCCCAAACAACCATATGCTATTTTGAGTGTAGACCCGCGCATTTACTCCGTGGACACGTTCAACGGGTCTCCGTGCAGCACCATGCCGCTCAAACCATCGTCAAAATTTACCGGCAACTGGATCAAGACCACGCCTGCATCATACCACGGCACCTATATGACCCTTACTGTCAATGTTGCCGATGTCGCGTCGGCGACTACCCAAAGCTCGGTGCTGCTTCTAGCACCCTACATTCCCGAGGCTGGCTTCTACAGGGTGTACATGATGATCCCCGGGTGCCAAAACACCAACACTTGTCAGCAGCGCAGCTCGGCGCAGGTTCTGATAAATATGAACTCCAAGGAGTCGAAAAGGTTCAACGTCGGCCAGTACAATCACGATGATGACGAGTCTATAGTGGCCACTATTTACGCTCCCGAGTCTACGAGCCAATTCTCTGTGACCGTCCAGGTCTCCTTGGATCCCAATGGCGCTGTAAATCCCCAGGCAACCACGGTCGAGCTGGTCGTCGACTCGTTCAGATTCGAGCGCATCACGTCGTACGACAACCTCAACGGGGTTATCGTCGTGAGCCCCGACTTTGATTCTTACAAGCAGTTGGAAGGGCCGCTGTATGGGCCGCTCAATGACACACTTCCCAATAACAGCGTTGTTTACTCAGTTGCTTCGGGCAAATCGAACGACGCGGACTCTGCGGATGTTTTGTTCCTTGGCGGCAAATTTATGGGCGCCAATGCAGACTACTACGGCATTACTCAGTACCGCGACAACGCCATCAAGCCGCTCGACAGAATGGGCCTGTGGGGCACTGTCAGCTCGATGGCCTTTGTTGGAACCTCACTCTTTGTCGGTGGTGCCTTTAATGGCACGGCTGATTTCGGCGTTTCGCTAGGCAATATGGCCCAATACAACACCACCGATCAGCACTGGTATCAGCTGAACGGCGGCGCTGATGGGCCGGTTACCAGCGTGGTGCCGTATTCGCCATTCGGTCCTAGCGTGGTAGCATTCAGCGGCAAATTCAACAACCTGCCGTCCCGCCCCGGCACTACCAGTGCAACCATTGCTACAACTGGACTCGCGATGTGGGACGCATCCACATCGCAGTGGGCCAGTATGCCGTACATAAAGAACACACCTACGCTGCTCTTCGCTGACAGCTGGCAGGACCGGCAAAGCAACGTGGCCCTGGTTGCTGGCTCACTGACGGCTGTCGCGGCGCTGGAAGCCAACGGCGCTGTTCTGCTCTCTTCGGATGGCGGCATCAAGTCCCTCGACACTCTCGGCGCTAACCTGTTGCCCGATCCCCAGGGCCGGCTCCTGGTCAACTCTGGACTGTGGTATGCCAAGAACAACATGACTACGTCGATGCTGATCGTTGGCGGCCAGTTCCACACCCCCGACGGTGCGACCAACGTGGCCAAGCTGCAAAATGGTAAGTGGCAAAGGTTGATGGACGACATCAACGGCGAAGTGCTGACCATTAACAACGCGGCCAACATCCTGTTTGTTGGAGGCGTGGCCAACGTGTCCCAGTCCGCCTCTGGAAAGGGAGCGGGTGGATTCAGTGGCCTAGTGGCGTACTACATGGACAAGGATGAGACCATGGGTATCCAGAGTCTGCAGGGTCCCGCCAACAGCGCCCCCTCGGACGTGCGCATCAACAAGGTGGCCATCCGAGCCGACACATCGATGGTCGTGGTGGGTGGCAACTTTACCACCGCCGGCGGCCTGCTGTCCTGTCCCTATGTCTGCACGCTGGACATCAACGAGAGCCAGTGGTCGCCGCTTGTTCCCAGCACGCTGATCGATCAGGTCACCGATATGCTCTTTGTCGATAGCAAGCTCGTTGTCGCGGGTATGTTCAAGAATGGCACGGCGCCGACCACGTATCTCATGGCGTACGACTTTGAGATTAACAATTGGGCCAACATCACTGGAGCCGACAAACTTCCGGGTCCCGTCACGACACTCACCTCTGCCGATCATGAGGACAGTCCCGGAATGTACTATATTATCGGCACGGAGGCCCTGAGTGGCGCCCCTTACTTGGCCAAGTACGACGGATTGACCATCATCAACGCCGACTTTACAATCGAGCCCCAGAGTACCATTCGCAGTGTTTTGCTGGTACCCCTCTCTCGCATTCCCAGCTCTGTTCTCGGAAGCAAATCAACACTAGGCCGTCGCAGCGATATGACCATCCCCTCTGGTTACGTGCTGGCCGTATCCGGAGACCTGCACTTGCCTAGCGGCAGGCGCGCGTCCAACGCATTCTTCTACGACAACAAGTGGGCCGAGTTCCTGTCGACCATCCAGAGCGACGGCAGCCCTGGCTTCATTGGCTCGACGTTTTTCGAGATCCCGCCGACCAACGTGTACCAGCGCAACCGTCTGTCTGTCGCGCTGGTGATTCTGATTGCCATTGCGATTGCTCTGGGCATAACCTTCCTCATTGTTCTCATCGGTCTAGTGTACATCTACATGCGCAATCGCCGCGAGGCCGCGGCCACCGCGTCTGCCGCATCGGCAGCGCTAGCAGCCACTGTTGGCGGTGCCGGCGGTGCGGGCACAAACAAGATTTTGGGCGCGGGAACGCTGGCTGGCGGCACTGGCGTGTCTGACTACCGGCCAAATGCTGGAGGCAGCGTTTCTGTTGCTGCTGCTGGCGCTTTGGCTGGCGGCGCGCTAGCAATGGGCACGAAGCGAAATACTCAGAACGAAAAGCAGCGCAACATAGCCGGGAACCGCGACACTTGGGGCGAGAACATGTTCGCTGGCGAGCCCGTATCTTACAACAACGTTGCTTCTAACACTCTCCGGCTGAACTCTGACTCTCCGGCTGGGCTGGCCGGACTGGCTGTGGCCGGACGGCAGGCAGCAGTGTCCTCAGAGACTTATGTCAACCACGATGACAAGAAGCAGAGGGAAACCAAGTTTGCCCAGAAAGAGGACCCCAACGAGAGCCTGGTCTCGATCTTTGAGTCCATTGCTGCTGAGGCCGAGGCCGAAGCGGAGGCCGAAGTCCAGAAGGCTAGAGAGCGCGCTGCCTCAGAAAGTAGCATGGAGGGGGCCATGGCCAGCATCGGACCTGGTGCTGCTGGAGTTGGAGTTAATGCCGCAGCCACTGGATACCATATGCCCATTGCACGCCACTATGACAACGACGTAAATATGCTTTCTGGCGATTCTGGGTCAGAGTCCAACCAGTACTCTCGGACCAGCATGTATCGGCCCGACTCGACGAATCCCTTTGAGCAACGTATGGCTATGCGCGAGTCGCAGGGACCCTTCCCGCCGGCAGGACCGTTCACTGACACCGACGATGGCCTTGGCCACATTCCGATGCCCAGGGCGTATCGTATGGATGACGAGCACTATACCGCTGCGGCGCTTGCTGGCGCGTCTCCGGCTGCGGCAGGGCTAGCGGCTGCTTATTCTGGTAAGACAGACGCGAAGAACAACAGGTATCGCTCGGAAACCACGAGCACACGCAATACTGACGCCGCGGCATCTGTGTCCCAGACGCCGTCATCGCGACCTTCGGGCGAGTCGTCAGCAGAGAGCTCATCGGGGCATCTGCCCATTCGTGACTCTTTAAAGCAGTATCCAGTGTTCTATGCTAAATTTACATTCAGCTCGCGCGAGACCGGCGAGCTTGGATTCCGGGCTGGCGAGCGCGTGTTTGTCATCGACCAGAGCGACGAGATCTGGTGGATGGGCATTGTCGACCATGGTGCTGACCAGCCGCTGGAGCAGGGTGTGTTCCCAGCCACGTACGTGAGCAGCGAGCCTCCAAAGTCCACGGACTGGTCCGAGCTCATGTAATGAGGGTAGGGCCCTTGGCCTGTGTTGCTTTTTTAATTTTCATAAATATTTGGTATTCTCTCGGTTTTTTACAATTTCTTTTTTTTCTACATATACTTTCATTTTACACATACATTTCTTGGACACAAAGTCGCCAGTGGCGTGGGCATGTGTGTAGTTTAGATTGGGCCATATTACATCGGGTCATGTCAGGCCATGTTAACAGTAAATATTTTTCTGTCAGGCAAAAAAAAACGAACAAATTTAATTTAAATTGTTTGACTGGTTGATTAGTAGCATCAGTTTTGGAAGCGCACTTAGACGGCCTCGATAACAATGGCAACGCCCTGGCCTCCACCGGCGCAGGCAGAACCGACGGCGTACCGGCCGCCGGTCTCCTTCAGACGGTGAGCGAGATGGCCCATGATGCGGGAACCCGACGCACCCAGGGGATGGCCCAGAGCGATCGCGCCGCCCGAAGCATTGACCTTGCTGGGGTCAATATCAAGGGCCTTGGCGCAGGACAGGACCTGAGCGGCAAACGCCTCGTTGATCTCGATGAGGTCCATCTGGGCGAGTGAGAGGCCGGCCTTCTCGACGGCACCCCGGATGGCCTCGACGGGGCCAATGCCCATGATTCCGGGCTCGACACCAACGATATGGTACGAGACAATGCGGGCCAGCGGCTGGATGTTGTGCTCCTTGATTGCAGCCTCACTGGCAACAATCACCGCAGAGGCGCCGTCACTGATTCCCGAGGCATTGCCGGCTGTGACCACGCCGTCCTTCTTGAACACGGGCGACAGGCGGGCCAGTGCCTCGATGGTAGCCTTAGGGCGGGGGTGCTCGTCGGCGGTCATGGACTCGGTGGCGCGCTTAACCTTGATATCGATGGGTGCGATCTCGCTTCCAAACACACCGCTCTCGTTCGCCTTGGCCCAGCGGCGCTGGGATTCAAGCGCAAACTGGTCGCACTCGTCGCGAGTCACGTTGTATTTTTCAGCCAGGCGCTCGGCAGTAATGGCCATGGGGATGGTCTCGGGGTAGCGGTCGGAGAGGGCGGACATCAACGAGTCCTCCATCTTGAGGTACTCGGGGCCAAACTTGGTTCCCCAGCGGACATTGCGCAAAATATAGGGCGCCTGGCTCATGCTCTCGGCTCCACCGGTGATGACAATATCAGAGTCGTCGACCTTGATCTCCTGGACAGCACAGATGATGGACTGGAATCCGGACGTGCACAGGCGGTTGACTGTGTTTGCTGGGGTGGTGACAGGAAGTCCCGCACGATGGCCGACGTGGCGCGCCAGGTAGGGCGCGTCGGTCGAAGACTGCAGGACATTTCCAAAGATCACTGACTGCCGCGGGCTTGTGCTGTTGGCCAGGTGTGTTTGCACGTTGGCGGGCAGGCTGGCAATTGCTGCCTTGGCTGCAAAGCCACCGAGCTCATTGGCAGTCAGGTCCTTGAGCTTGCCACCAAAGGCACCGAAGGGAGTGCGCTTGGCTGCGATAATGAACGACTGGGATGACATGTTTTGTGAATAGGTAAGGGGAAGAAAAAAAAAGTAAAGTATTAAAAAACTGGAAAAATGAAATACAGGGAATTGAAAGGGATGGCAAGCATGGCATGCAGTCATCGCCGTCTTGTCCTTCTTATCTTTTGCGCATGAGGGGAGAGGGGGGCGTGCATTTTTTTCCAATTTGAACGTGTCAGATGCCCTGTGCATTAAGCTTTCCGTCTATCGCATGAAATTCGGCCCGTTTGGGGTGACATTACCTTTTCTCGTGTCTATTTTCACATGCGCACAAATTTATTTTGCACATGAAGAGAGGAATCAGGCCAATCCAAACCTCTGAGAATTGAGGGGCCGCGAGCAGCTTAGCCTGCTCGTAAACTGGTGTGCGGGCTTGACCTTCTGGGTTAAGAACAAACTCATCAATAACAGCTTTGGTAATTAAATATTATGTAGAACACAAATTGTGCACGCAATTGAAGCACATCGGTTGTGTCCGATGTAAATGTTGTAAGTTGTTGGATTTGGGACAAAATCAGCACTGCTATACCACGGATACTCGGCGTTGTTGCTCTTGACTTTGGACCAGGTTTTGTTGAAAAGGGGTTAAATATTTTGCTAATGGGTTCGGCATGGGTTTAGCGGCAAAACAAAGCGTCAAGTGCAAGGGGTTGCATTGGAATAATAGAAAATATCCGCAAAATAATGGCTAGCAGCGTACATATGTGAATAACCACTTTCATGCAATTATCTCTATCTTTTTATATATTAGCATATTAGCTTGCTCTTTGCTTACACAGTTGCAATTAGGCACTGTACGCTCAATGCAATATACAATACGAAATGAATGGGTTGGGTTGGGTTGGGTTCTTCATGATCTACGGTGTATATTTTTCAATACTTTAATGAGATAAAATTTTTGGCTATCAGTAACAATAAAACCGGTATTATCTTTTAATGTGCATTTCACCTTTTCCTTTTTCATATTTTCCATTTTTTATCTTTTTGACAAGTCACACAGAGTGGAAATTAAATCAAGTTTATTTATTGAGGCCATAATGTCATTTCAATTTTCGATTTCGTTCGTTGGTAGGGGGGAAAAAGAATACTGTTGAAGCCGTGCCCATTGAAGAGCACTGTTATGCATCCAAAAGTATTGACGCGCATCTATTTGATATATAGACGAGTGGATGGATAAACAGACGGTAATTGAGGTGTTGCAAATGAAAAAATGATTAACCCTTTTTCTTTATTATTATTATTTTTCATTAATTTGGGGTATTTGGATAAAGATGAACAGAATGGTTGAGAAAAAACATTATAAATGCGACTTTGAGTCGTTGTGTGTGGATCGAATAAACATAACGTGTCCTTGTTAATTTTTTGTTAAAAACATTATTACCGATATCGATGGGTAGCGAAAATATTGAATTCGCAAGTGGATCATCCAACAAACCAGAGGAAGGGTCGACATGCTCAACATGCAAAGGATTCTATTCAAGTGGCAGCGAGTTTTTTACACCCGTTATTGAGGGCAAGTGCGCGCCGTCATCGTCAAAGCTGGCACCGCTTGGCAAAAGATAATAAAATAGAGACGAGAAGGACAGGTGATTTTTTTTGTGTGCTTATCAGTTCCAATCTTTTTTATTTTATTTTATTTTCATTCATTTTTATTTTATTGGGAATAAAAGTGAGGAATGGCGCAATTGTAGGATACAACACATGGGGGTGATTGGCACTGATTGGCTTGGTGACGAATTGTTAGTTGAGAGGGAAGCGCGGCGGTGTGGTGCAAGAGCATGCGCGGTTGCAGGGCCAGCGGCAGCTTGAGAGAGGAGCTGATCGGGTATGATAAAAATGGTGGGAGTGGATGAGAACTGCACCCTGATGCTTTGGATCGAGTATTTTATTCCTGTTCTTTTCTTTTCTTTTCCATTCACACAGTCATTTTTCTCTTCTTCCATTCCACTTTGGTTTTCATTTTAATTACAGATAAATAGATAGATATATTGCATTAGCACCACCTCAACATCAACACCAACAAATAGAAGCAATAACACAACATGTCTGAAGTAATAAACGACGTAGTAGTGGTAAAGGAGCAAGCACGCGCACAGGCTCAAACACAAGCGCAAGGCGGCGGATGGAAGGACTTTGTTGCTGGGAGGTAAGCAAGGCGCAGGCGCCATGAATTCTTTTGTCTGCTCCTGGTTGTATTGTATTGCATTGTATTGTATTGCATTGTTTTGATTTGATTTGATTTGATTTGATTTGTGGGTAAGAGAGAAGGGAGGGCGTGGGAATACATAGAAAACATAATGAGCTAATGCCATGTGGAACGTATAGTCTGGCTGGCGCGACACAGGTAGCAATCGGGCATCCGCTGGACACAATCAAGGTAAGGGGCGCATTTGATGTGCAAGTGTGGGTTTGTGTGTGTATGCAGTGGGCTGATCAGCATAACTAAAGCAGCAGGCAGGCGGTTTGTAGGTGCGCATGCAGGTGGAGGGGACGCGAGTGTTCAGCGGGCCAGTGGACTGCCTGACGAAGACGGTGCGCAGCGAGGGCGTGCTTGGGCTGTACCGCGGCATGGCGGCGCCGCTGGTGGGCATTGCGGCGGTCAACTCGCTGCTGTTCTGGACATACTCGCTGGGCAAGCGGTTGCAGACGGGCGCGGCGGGTGGCCAGGCGACGCTGGCGCAGGTGGCCTTGGCCGGCGCCGGCGCCGGCGCAGTGAACAGCGTGCTGGCGTCGCCAGTGGAGCTGATCAAAGTGCGGCTGCAAACACAGCGCAGCGGCGGCGGCAGTGGCAGCGGCGGGCCGGTGCAGCTGGCGCGGCAGCTGGCGGCGCAGTTCGGGGCGCGCGGGCTGCTGTGGGGGTTCTGGGCGACGGTCGCGCGCGAGGTGCCGGCGTACGCGGCGTTCTACAGCGGCTTCGAGTTTGCCAAGCGGCAGCTGGCGCGCGGGAGCGACGCAAACCTGGGCGCCGGGTCGCTGATGGCGGCGGGCGCGTTCGGCGGCGTCAGCTACTGGACGGCGGGCTACCCGCTGGACGTCATCAAAAGCCGCGTGCAGAACGCCGCGGCGCCGCCTGCGCGCGGGCTGGGCTACCTTGCGGCGGCAGCGCGCGCCGTGTACCGCGAGCAGGGCGTGCGCGGGTTCTTCCGCGGCTACTCGACGGCTGTGGTGCGCAGCGTGCCGGCGGCCGGCGCGACGTTTGCCGTGTACGAGCTGGTGCTGCGCGAGCTGGAAAAGTAGGCTGGCCGGTGCAGGCTGATTTGATTTGTTTGATTTGTTTGATTTGTTTGATTTGATTTAATGTAATTCAAGCTTGGCTAACATCCTGGCTGGTGCGTGTTGCGCATGACCCACACCAGCGGCTCCAGCCGGATCCACAGCGGCGGGAAGCGGCCGAGGTCGACGCCAATGCCCGCGTAGCCGCGCTGCTCAGCCATGACTTCAAAGCCGTGCGCGCGGTGGGCGGCGGGCGCAGCGGTCAGCAGGTGCGTGTAGTTGGCGAAGGCGGCGCCGGGCGCCAGGCCCTCGGTCTTGTCGTAGACCCAGCCGCTCCGCGTCTGGCCAAAGCGCGTGGCGCCGGTCATGGCCGCGTACGTGCCAATGTGCACGGTGGCGTGGGCGGCCGGCTCCAGCGCGTGCAGCCGCGCCAGCGCGTGGCCGCCCGGGTAGTTGTGGGCCGACACGTACGCCATGCCCAGCGCCATGGCCGCGCTGGCGGCGCACAGCACGGCGGCCAGGCGGCGCGCCCCGAGCCGCACAACGGCCGCGGCCGCGCAGGCGTTGGCCACGGGCACGGCCGGCAGCACGAAGCGCCACTCCTTGTGCGCGTTGGCCGAGAACACGGCGACGGCCAGCGCGCTGGGCGCCGCCAGCCGGGCGATGCGCCGGTCAGCCGCTGCGCCAGCAACGGCCAGCGGCAGCGCGGCAGGCAGCAGCCGCGGCAGCAGCCGGGTGACGTAGTGCAGCGGCGGATCCGTCCCCCACTCGGCGCTGCGGCCCTCGACGACGTTGAACCAGAACCCGCGCGCCTCGGGCCACATCCACGGCTCGCGCCACAGCGCCGAGTCGACGGCCACCGTCAGCGCAACAAAGCCGGCGGCGCAGGCCGCAACAATGGCCAGCGTGCGGCGCGTCAGGCTGCGCAGCTGCGAGCCGACCATGGCGGCGGCGAACACCGCGCAGTCGAAGCGCAGGACAATGGCGGCGAACGCCAGCGCAACGGCCATGCGGCGGAAGTGGCGCTGGCGCTCGCTGCGGCTGGCGCAATGGCGCCGTGCAGCCAGTCGGCGTGCGCGCACAGCATCGGCACCAGCGCCAGCGTGTTGGCCAGCAGCCGCGACGCCCAGAACGCCAGGTGGAACTGCGCGACGCTGAGCACGCCGTACCACCACGCCGCGCGCGCGCCGAACGCCGCCCCGACCGCGCGCCGCAGCCGCGCGTTGGCCACGGTCACCGCCAGCGCCAGCGCCAGCCGCACGGCCACCTGCAGCGCCGTGCCGCTGCACACGAGCGACGCCGGCCACGCGAGCGCCGCCACGCCCAGCGGCCCGACGAACGACCGCGGCACGGCGCCTGGGAACTCCACGTGATCCCACTGCGCCAGCGCCAGCCCTGGCGCCAGCGCGTCGTGCGCGGCCTGCATGAAGAAGCTCTCCTCGACTTTCGTGTACGGCGCCGCGACGGCGTACGCTGCGGCGACTGCGAAGAACAGCGCGTCCATGGGAAATAGTGCAGGGGGAAAAAAGATAAAGCGAGGGGGGAAGAAAGGGCGAGAGGCGGATCGGCGCCCTTCAAGTGCCACGCACCCCTTGGGCTTTGTTCACCTTTACGCTTTTCGGCTTTTCGGCTTATTTTTCAGCACCCGCCAATTCAAATTCGTTTTCGTTCTTTTTCAACTTCCCCCCCAAATTCACTCTCACATCCACTCGCCTCATCTCGCCGCATGGACCATCGCAAGGAGGAGCTCGAGAAGAAGCGCGCCAAGCTGGCCGAGCTGCGGCGCCAGCGCGAGGAGCGCAAGCGCCAGGCCACGCAGACACGCGAGCAGCTCCAGCCGGCATCGCCGACAGCAGTAAGTATTCGAAGGCGAATGGCAGTTCGAAGGCGAATGGCACTTCGGACGCGAATGGCACTTCGGACGCGAATGGCACTTTGGACGGACGCGAATGGCGCCCCGAACGCGAATGCAGCCGACCTCCCATGGCAATTGCTAACATTCTTTATATATGCCCTTGCTGCCCGTGTAGTCCAGAATCGACATCAACGACCTCGTCAACTCACTGGTCGGCGAACGCTCGCGCTCGCGCTCCAACACCGGCTCCGAGTCGGCGCTCCTGTCGCGCGAGTCGTCGGAATCGGCCGCGAGCGGCGCGCGTCGGCGGCCTTTGCTGCCAGCCCCGAGCCGACCAGCCCGCTGCAGCAGCCGACACGCCGCGCGCCTTCCGCACGGCCGAAATGGTTGTCATTGACTTTCCGCCGCGCGAGCGCGTGGTGTACAACAAGGGCGTGCAGACGGCCGCTACCGACGCCGGGTCTGGCGCCGACGCCGACGCCGCGCTTTTGTCCGAGGCCGAGGTCGCGCGCCGCGTGCGCGAGCAGCGGGAGCGCGACGAGCGCGCGCGCGCGGCCCGCGAGGAGGACGCCCGCGTGCGCGCCGCCGAGGCCGCCGAGCGCGAGGCGCAGCGCGAGGCCGAGGCGCGGCGGCTGACGGACACGCAGCTCGGCGGCATTGTGGGCTCGGCGCACTTCTCGGCTTCCTGGACCGCGCGTCGCGCGTGGTCGAGCGCGCGCTGGACACCGACTACGACGTCACCGTCGACTACGCGCGCGCGCAGGCCGGCGACGCGAGCGACGCGCGCCCGCAGCTGGCGCTGGTGGCCGCGCTGGGCGACGAGCGCACGCGCAACCGCGCCGTCATGGACCTGGCGTGGTCGGCGCGCTTCCCCGAGCTGGTGGCCGCCGCGTACAACCGCAACCCGACCGCGCCCAACGAGCCCGACGGCGTCGTCGCTGTGTGGAACGCCCACTCGCGCGCGCGCCCCGAGTTTGTCTTCCATGCGCCGTCCGACGTGCTGCAGGTCGCCTTCTCGGACTTTGACGCGCACCTGCTGGTCGGCGCCGCCTACTCGGGCCAGCTGCTGCTGTGGGACACGCGCGCCAAGGCCCAGCCGGTGCTGCGCACGCCGCTGACGGCCGCCGGCCACACGCACCCGGTCTACGCACTCAAGGTCGTCGGCAGCACCAACGCGCACCACGTCGTCAGCGCATCGTCCGACGGGCTCGCCTGCGCCTGGCAGCTTGACATGCTGGCCCAGCCGCAGGACGCGCTCGACCTGACCAACCCCGCCCACGCGCGCACCGACGAGGTCTCGGTCACGTGCCTGGACTTTGCGGCCGACGAACCGCGGCCTTTGTCGTCGGCACGGCCGAGGGCGTCGCGTACCCCGTCAACCGCTACGACCGCGCCGGCTGCAAGGCCGGGCTCAACGCGCTCGACGCGTACCGCGCGCACACCGCGCCCATCAACTCGCTGCGCTTCCACCCGCCGGGCGCCGCCGCCGACTTCGCCGACCTGTTCCTGACTGCGTCGTCCGACTGGACCGTGCGCCTGTGGCGTGCGCGCCCGGCAGCCAAGCCGGCATCGGCTGTGCCCACCGACATGCGGCCGCTGCACACCTTCGATGCCTTTGACGACTACGTCTACGATGCGCGCTGGTCGCCCGTGCACCCGGCCGTCTTTGCGTCGGCTGACGGCGCCGGCCGCCTGGCGCTGTGGAACCTCAACGCCGATGTCGAGCTGCCCGTGTACGCCGCCCACCCAGAGTCCGGCCGCGCCCTCAACAAGCTTGCGTGGGACCGCCCCGGCCGCCGCATCGCCACCGGCGGCGCCGACGGCCTGGTCTACCTGTACGACGTCGGCGACCTGGCCACGCCGCGCCCGGACGACGCCGCCAAGTTTGCGCGCGTCGTCGCTGAGATGGCCTCGGCATGATTCGCCCTCTCTCCCTCTCTTATCCTTCTCTCTTGCAATACAAACCAGTTCTTTTTAATTATTATGTGTAAATCTCACCAACAACAACAACAAAGATTATAGAGTCTAGTACGGCGCTGCCCGTGAGCCGCCGCGGCCTCCTCCCCTGCTGCCTCCGCCGCGCCCACCGCGCCCACCCCTTCCGCCTCGCCCAGCACCACTGCCTCCAGCACCGCTGCCGCTGCCGCTAGGTCCGGGCCCGCTGCCTCGGCCCATGCCGATTCCGCGCATCTTGGCGAACTTGGGATCCATGCGCTGGAACATCGGCGCATTCTTCAGCATATCCGGCACCACGAAGAACCGCACATTTGATCCCCGCACATACACGTGCTTCAGGTGCCCCGTACGCCCGTCGCGCTCCGTCACCGTGATCTCCTTCATCTGCACGTTCATGTTGTCCTCTGTCTCAACAAGCTGCCCGCGGTACAGTTGCCCAGTCTTCAGCTCCAGACTGATAATATGCCCTGCGCCTCATGCAGTAGCTTGACTGGAACTCCGATTGACATGGTTTTTTTTACGAAAGAATGTGTGTGTGGGTATGTGTGCGTGTGTTCGTTCGTTCGTTTGTTTGTTTGTTTGTAGAATGGAGATTTATATGGAAGAGTTAAATAATAATGGAAATTTTTACAAGCTTATGATCACCAAATCAGGAATCGTTCACCAACCTGCACCCGCGTAAATTCATTAAAACATACCCGTCCGCACGTCTTCAATCCAGAATTGGGTCTTGCACGTGACGTGTATTTTTTTTGATTCCCCCTCTTATTTTTCATCCGCAGTCTTAGACAGAGCAGAACCAGCCGCCCGGCCTCTATCGCATAAATGTCCCTCTGCTCCCTTTTGGTATATTTCTATTTTTGGTTTTATTTTATTCTGTCTTGTCTTGAACGAAAAGAAAAGAAAAATACTCTATGGAGCGATGGCTGTAAACAATCGACGGGGAGTGATTGTAAGAAAACTTGTTGTTGAAACATCATTCCATTGTCTCGTTAATTCATGTCAGTTACTCTTTTTTTGAATATGTTGCTTGGCTGTGCCACAACAGCTTCAATCCGGACCGGAATCATCTCAATCATCTTAAATGTCACAATATGATAATAATAAAAATAAATAAACCCGTTTATTCTTTTCAATTGGTGCTTTCATATTTTCTCTTCTGTATCACAAATGTTGGAAATAATACCCAAAATCTACTTGTTATTTATTATTTTGCTCAGTGTTATCATGCAACAACAACAAAAACAAAAGCAAACAGCGATTTATTTGTTTCTCAACCTGTAAACAATTGCAACGCCAAATTGAGAAGCTGACCAACTATCTGACTGCCGAGGCGCATATTCTATTATTATTTTTTTGCCGCCCAATAAAACTTAACCAATTGTGTTTAGGTGCCAATGTTTTATTTCTTTTCCACTTGCCTCCCCCCCTTCCTTGAAAACAATCAAAATAACTTTTTTCTTATAGCCAAACATTGTAATTCCCGGCGGTATGCAAGCCAAGATGCCGCCATCAACAACTCCATCATTCTTTGGCGAAACAAGAAAAATAAATTGTAACTGCTTTTCCATCCCGGGTTTCAACAAAAAAAGAAAAAAAGAAAATGTGTACGTGTTGCTGTTGGCAGTTTGTCAGTTTTTTTTGCTGTTTGGCGCGGGCCTACTATGGTTTTCTATATTGCGCTTTCGAATGTGTGGCGACCTGAACGTCTGTCAACTATAAATATCCCTTCCAAATCCCTCTATTTTTCTTCAAAATTTTTGTCTGTTCATCTTTGCTCTGTATTCCCTTTGCTCTTTGCTATTTGCTCTTTGCTCTTTGCTCTTTGCTCTTTCGTTTGTCCTTCCTTATTTTTTTAAAACCTTTTATCATTTCCAACTCTCTCGTCTCCAACTATACACTCCCCTACTCCCCCCTTTTAACTTTACTCTGCACATCCTTGAAAGCTCGCAAATAAAAAAGATTAGGAACGGTTTTAATCTCGTCAAACAACTAGTATCTGAAAGAACATTGCGACTGCACGCACAATAAATAAAACACCAACATTGGCAGCTACTTTAATAACCATGCGCTTCTCCATCGTCTCTCTCTTTGTCATCATTGCTGCTGCCGCCACATCGCTGGCCGCACCAGTTCCTGCTCTTGACACTCTTGTCAAGAAGCAGGACAACGGTAAAGGTGTAGTCCCCAACCGCGAGTGGCCTTCCAACACGTCGTAAACGAGTAATTTTTTTATCTATTTTAATAGCAAAAGAAATGATACCTATATTTTAGGGTTCCAAATTCATCTTTTTTTACTCTTTTAATGTCGTGGTTCCATATCCACAATATTCTGTAGCTAAATGTGAACTTTAAGGCCTTTTTTGTTCTCAATACCCAAGTATTTTACTCTATGTTTCATGTTTTCACTTTCTACTCTTTACGTTTTTGATTAATAAAAGTAAAACAATATATATATTCTTTATATTCAATTTTATGTGTATGTGTGCAATCGACCCGACCGGTTATATTGGAATTGCAATTTACGTGCAGAGAAAAGTTCTACTGTCAATGCTATTTTACATTTTGCAAAAAATCAAAATATGAAAAAAAAATTCTGATGCAAAATGAAATTATACCACTCCACGCAGGAATTTTGAAGTATTGGAAACTCGAATCGTACTTTTCCCTTAAAAATTGAAAAAAAACACCAATCCACCCATCGCAGTATACACACTGCTAAGACCCAGCCAGTTCATTTTTTGTTGAAATAGCCCAATCTGAGCAAAACTCCCTCCTGTCCCCAGATTCTAGTTTTTTCCCCTCTCTGTGGCAATAGGTGCACTACATTTGCTACTATTCATCTGCAGCTGTGTTGCCACCACTACAGAAACAGTTAGTGAGTTTGCACAATAAAAGTGAAAAAATCAGATACAAAATGACAGATGTAAGAGCGTGGGACCTGGTACGCTGCTGCTGCAATTAAAAATTCGGACACAGTCCCTGTTGTGTTTGCATGTTTACACTTTTTTGATCTGGTGAGCGCAGCAAGCAATTGCTTGCTGCTGTTACACCGAGTAATAAAATGTCCGGAAATTACATCAAGAAATCCACCTTCAGGGATGCCATTTTCCGCAATGCAATATTATTGCTGTTGCTGCCATTGTGTTTTGTAGCCACACGACCAGATATGCAGGTGTAATTTTTATTTACTGCTCCTGGACAACCTTTTTCGCCCCAATCTTGGCTTGACGCCACTCGTAGCGCTGATCATAAGAAAAGACACGCATGTGCAAATATGTGCAATTAATTTTGCAATTAGTTACCAACATTTCAAGCCTCCCCCCTCTACTGCCGAGCGCAAATGCGTGCCACAGATGTATTTTTCCCGATCATGATCACGCATACACTGATTGTGACGCGTTGTGATCAAATCAAATCACGTCGCGAAACACGCGGTCGGACAGCAATTGCTTTCTAAACCTGGCCGCGTTTCGTTGTTTTTATTTTTGTGATCTAATGTACGCGCGCGCTCACTTTAGTAAACAAAAAAAACAAAAAGCATTTCTTCTCTCTCTAGTGCTCAATTTGTTCTCTATTTCAATTAGCTTTTTTTTCTTTCTCTTTTTCTCTATTTACGCCACATAAAAAACTGTTTATTTTTCTTTCCTTGTCTCTTTTACTCATCATCAACCATGAGCGTCGTTCAAATCACAAACGTCAATATCCTCGAGCCCGAGTCGCACTTTCTGGCACCATACAAGTTTGAAATTACATTCGAGTGCCTATCGCCCCTTGAAGATGGTAACGTATCTTTCTTTCTCTCTTTCTTGCTTTATTCAGCGTCCTTGGTGGTTGAATATAGGACACCGCCATTCATTCTCTCAACACGACCCACATTGACAATAACTGCTTGCCACTAACTAACAATGATATCTAATTGAATTGCCAACTACCTTCCATACCTGTTATATTGTTATAGATCTCGAGTTCAAGCTGGTATATGTAGGCTCTGCAGATAACACAACACTGGACCAGGAGCTCGACTCGCTGCTTGTCGGCCCGGTGCCCGTCGGTGTCAACAAGTTTGTCTTTGAGGCCGAAGCACCTAAAGTCGACAAGATTCCCAACGAGGACATTGTCGGCGTAACCGTAATTCTTCTGTCGTGCTCATACAAGGAAAAGGAGTTTGTACGGATAGGATACTACGTGGACAACCTGTACATTGACGAGGAGCTGCAGGCCAACACGCCAGAGGTCCCCGTGCTCGACAAGATTTTCCGCAGGATCCTGGCCGATAAGCCCCGTGTCACTCGCTTCCCCATCAACTGGGACGACCCCCACAGAGTGGAGGTCCCGCCTGTGCAAAGGCTCGACGGTGAGATGTGCGATGACGACGATATGGACACCGATCTCCGCGATGGCGATGAGATCGTTGGCGGCGAGGACGATGACGATGAAGAGGAAGATGAGCTTGAGGACGAGGACGAGGAGGACGAGGATGAGAAGGGTGAAGTTGATCTTGATATGACGGAGGAGCAGGACGAAGCTGAAATCCTGAGCGACGACGACGACGAAGGCGCTGTGTATGAGGACGACGACGACAACATGGCCACTGACGATGCAGAGCATTCCAGAAGTGCCTTTGGTGCTGATGCTGCCTCGTACTCTGCCATCTCAACTGGCGGCGGCATGGACATAGAGTAAAATGTATGCCTTTTAATGTTGCTTTAGCGTACGCTCCTTCCACTTTTATAACTAACGCGCTTTTTCTTTATAAAAAGATAATGATATTCTACAATAGAAAAAAAGAGATTTTATAAAAGAAAAAATCACAGCTCCTCATGGGCTGCTTCCGCTGCCTTCTTGTCTGGTTGAGTGCTGCTGATGTCAAGGTCAAACATAAAGCGCCGCATGTGGTGACCCTGGTAGCAAGCATTCGCCCACTCCAAAATATCTTCACCAGCAAACACTCCACGGTACGGCGCCGACGCGCTCTTGCGCGGGTTGATGATAACAGCCGATGGGAGGTCGTCAGAGAGACCAAACATGTCGCGGATTCTGCGTCCGAATCGCTCAGGGCGTTGACCCAGGACACGCGGAACGGAGAGCCGGCCTTTCCAACAGTGCTCTCCCTCTGCTGCTCCGATTTACCATCATCTTCGTCATCGTTGTCGTCGTCAAAAGCTGCTGTGGACGCATTGGAATCGCGAGTAAGCTGACGCTCCAGCACTGCCTGCAGCTCACTGATTGCCTGTGCGTGCTCCGAGCGCGATTCCTCGTACTCGGGTTCCAGAGGCACAATTCCAATGATGCATAGAACGGGCACCTGCGAGGAGTCCGCCGGGTTAATGCAATGGCGCTCAAGATCGGCCTGGTTTGCAATTTCTTCTACGCTTTGAGTGATTTGGACGTCAGGCTTCGCGGTTGTCTCAACCTTGGCCTTCTTCTCGGACACAGCGCTGCTGATAAACTGGGCCAGCGGCGCATACTTTGTCTCGCCATTATACACGCTAAATAAGCTGGTGTCAGCTGGGTTAGGGAACACAACGATGGCCGGAAGCTCGCTCACGCCCAGGCGCTCCAGGGCGCTCTTTTCGGGGTTTGAAATATGCGCAAACTGCACTCTGCGGTCAAACTGCGCGCTTATACCCTTCCACAACTCGCTGGTCTTTGCGCGTTCGGTCAGCAAAACAGCCTTGGGCAGCTTGCCGCTGGCAACAAACCCATCGAGCTCGTCAGAGGCCAGCTTCTTGCTCAAGTTGGGCAGCATCGAGCGCACGTACTTGGCCATCGCTGACGCCTTTCTCTCGCCCTGGTAGTCGACCGACCGGCGCGTGCCGCGCTTGGTGCGCTTTTCAGTAAAAACCTTGAGCGTGGGGAATCCCTTTACGTCAAACTGTGCGCACAGCCCGCGATTCTTGTCTTGGTCGCAGTCCACGGCGTAAAACCTGGCAATGCCCTGTGTTTTCTGGGCAGCGCGCTCAAACTCAGGCTCCAGGGTTTTGCAGTGGCCACACCAGGGCGCGTAGAACTTGACAAACGTCGGCTGTGAGGTTTTTCCCAGCACCCGCTCAAAGTTTGACGGGCCGAGCTGCTTTACAGCTGAGCCCTTGTCATACATCCCCAGCACTGGGCTGGCCACAAACACCGCCGCTGCCAGCGATATAATGCTTGCTTTGAAAGCGACCATGGTAAAATGGTTGGTTCTTTATTTATTCTAAGGCTCGAAGCTCGAGGCCAATGAATTAGCCGAATGAATAATAATAAAAATGTAGAAATCGAAATAAAAGAAAGTGAAGAAAACACACAGCGGAAGAAATGTTTCATGCAAATCATCGTGGTCTTTATAATGGTTGGCTCTAAGGCTATAATAAGCAGCCAATTTTCTTTGTCCACGTCACTGAAAGCGGCGCGCTAAATATGTTTTTTTTTTGAAAAATTCAATTGCGCACCACAGCATCGAACTCAATGCGACTGAGCTCCTTGCCTTGGTATTCAAGGCCAGCGACGACGCGCTCGCCTGGCTGGACGGGCCCAACCCCCTTAGGTGTTCCGGTGAGCAGAAGGTCACCCTCCTCTAGAGTCATGATGCGGCTGACGTGCTCGATCAGCTGGGGGATCCTACAATAGCAGCAGTAGCAGTAATAGTAGCAAAGCACAAGCGTGCGTTTAGCCCGGCTACACTTTTTGCAAACATATATATATACATGCGCAAATAAACAATGTTTGCCAATACTGTCGCTCGTACTTACTGGAAAATCATCGCGTCCGTCGTGCCGTTCTGCTTGATCTGACCCGCAACCTCAATCCACAAACGCACTTTGTGAGGATCGGCAATCTCGTTTGCGGGAATGAACGAACCTACAGGAGTGAATGTGTCGAATCCCTTGGCTGCCGACCAGGGCAGGCCCTTCTTCTTCGCTTCGTCCTGCAGATTGCGCGCTGTCAGATCCAGAGCAAGCGCGTATCCGGCAATATACTCTGAAGCGTCGGCCGCGCTGATGTCGCGCCCGGCCTTTCCGATGACCACACCGAGCTCAACCTCATGATGCACGACGCACCCCTGAGGAATCTCAATCTTACCCGGAGACACACGTATGACGACGTCGGCTTGAGGAAAAAGAACGGCGACGTGGGCACCGCGTTCCCGAGCTCCTTGGCATGCTCGCTAAAGTTCCGGCCTATGGCAACGATCTTGCGGCCCGTCTGGACAAAAGTGCGCGCTGACATTTCAAAGATAATTAAAAAAGCAAAATAAAAGCAAAAATAAAAGCAAAAATAAAAGCAAAAACAAAAAGCCGATTGAAACTTTGAATTCGTCAAAAAGGGTATCATGCAAGAAAAAGGCTGATCAAATCAGCTAAAATAAATATAAGAATGCCACGCGCCCAGCAACAGCAGCAATCGAGAACGTTACGCTAAAGAAAAAATGAGGCTACAAATATACTATAAACCAACATCCTTCCCTTAAATAGATTGACTAGCAACCTATCGTGTTTAGAACCTAGTGGCAGTAGACCACTATGGTTGACGATATTAATCAGTTCGCTGCTTCTTTTGAAGAGAAGAAGCAGGGGAAGATGAATTCTTGCGCACACGCTTGGCTTTGGCTTGGCTTGGACTTTGGTTTGAGCAGAGTCTCAGTGTCGCTGTAGACTCGGGTTCAGCCGACTCTGACGATGCCTTTTTGCGCAAGAAATGGGGAGGACGCCTTGCCTTTAGGCAGGGCATTAATGATGATGGGAAAGTTTAGCACCACAGCCATGTCGCGATTCCACTTTCGTCTGGCTGATGGCACTTTTTCGGCATTTTAAGCTTGGTTCCGTCAGCCCCGAAGGTTTGTAGGCAGTCTTACATTGTGCACTGGAGCAAGTTGTGGCATAAAATTTGGCGAGGTTTTTCTACCGTCGAAATCGTATTAACGCTTGTTGCAGCCACCTGCTGCTGTTGACCATGCTGATGCTGTTTCTGTTGTTATCAGTATCGCCAGAACCTTTCCGAGACTGCGAAATACTCTTATCCTTGATCCTCTCAGCCTTGATCCTCTTCTTCTGTGTGTTTGGGGTGAGTCAAGTAATATGATTATTGCAACACCATCAGTACAAATGATCCCTCAGAACTTGTGTGGTTTGGCGACCTCTCGAGTATTGAACGAGAATGGCCAACAATATATATCACAAAGGAGTGACTACATTTCCCCTGGCGACTTGATTAAGAGCTCTGTCTGAGATGGAAGCTTGTGGAGCTCAATATCCGGGTAAAGTTTATCCTTGTGTAGTGCTTTGAGTTGGCTCTTTGTGACAGAAAGAATACCCCGTGCAAGAAGGGGCTTATCGATTGTCGTAAACCCTAGTACAGCAGACGTCCTCATTGGGAAAAGGGAAATCGTTCGCACACTGTTGTTGAGATTTAAATGCCGGAAAACCTCAACAAATGGTCCAATATGATTAGCCGTATTGACCACAGAGACATACTGGAGCCCCTTGCCGTCAAAACTGTAGTCCTCAGAGTAGGTGCCAAAAATCCTCTCAACTAGGCGCTCCATTCTGTCACGAATAACAGGGTCTAAAATCTGCTTGGTGTATATCTGCTTCCCAGCTCTGCTGGTCGTAGCAAACATCAGATTCCACTTCATGTTACTCACTGGAAGCCTAATCTCGTTGCTAATCCGCTGCTGTATTTCCTTTTTAGTGTGGCCGCCCTCCGTAAGCGTTTCGTGTCGCTGCTCAGCCCTTTTCCTTACGTCAAGTGTGACGTCGACCAAATTTTCCAACTGCCAGTTGAAACGCTATGATATGTGCGATTTATATACCGCCAGAATAGTCAGACCCTCATAATGAGCAACCCCGGCTGCATTAATGAGCTGCGGGCACTCAAACCTGATCTCCTCGACGGGCGTGTGCCTGTGCTTGTTGACGAGTTTGCAGTTTGAATTTTCCAGGTTGTTGGTGCATGATTCGTTTCCAGCGGTGAGACAAAGGGCGATGAAACATTCCTTAAAAAATATTGATTTAAATAGTCGACAATATTATGTCGTGCTCTATAAAAATGTGGGTCTAAATCGATCTATTCAAGTCTTAAAAATGACTTACGGAACTGAAAAAGGGGGCGGCGCTATGTGGGCGGTGCTGTAAGCAGCATGATGTTCCTTGATGTCAGCCAGCAATAACAGAAATGTGTATAGTGGCCATGAGGGCAATCTTGATTCTTGAAAAGGGAAGATAGTGGCTTGAAATGTGTGTTGGGCACCACATATTAAACCCCTCATTATCCCAACTCTTGTAAAAAGATATACTGCGCGAGCTCATATTTGGCTGAGGTAACACGGTAAATGATAACGACATGTTTGCGCATAACTGGAAGGAGATAGGGACAGTGCATTTTGCAGAAGTCGAGGAGGTCTTCTATGCTAATGGGTATAATAAAAATAAAAATAAAAATTGATTGAGTTGATTTGAAAATAGAGTGTAAAAATGTAAAATTGTAAAAGATCTAATACTATGTAATTACATGTAATGCTACTACATTCATATATATATGTATTTATTTTATTTGTAAAACAAGTTCTCATGTAAATACTTTATTTTTACATACATTATTATAAAGTATTTTTTAAAAAAAACTTGGCTTTTTGTCTGTTTCTTTAGAAAATAGTAAAAATAGATACATTTGTTTTTATAATACAATAAAAATGTTATATTATATTATTTATAAAGTCAGAATTAAAGACTTTGTATATCTTTCATGTAAAACCAAGCTTTTTCAGTAACAAATGAACATTTCGTGTAAAAGCATATGGGCGCATTTTGTAAAATTTAAGCTTTATAAAAGTGAAAAAAACCTGTTACAAAAAAAAGTTTTTTTTTGCAGTTTCCACACCCTTTCCAAATTTACAACACCACAAAGGCAATGCACAAAGTTGTAGATAAAAAAGTAGCCCTTTTTCGCTCTAGTGCCAAGATATAATAATGGTAAATATAAATATGCTCTGTTTATTTATTTACATATCAGATAAAAATAAAAAATTTTGCCAATTACTGCTCCCTTGGCAGCATCCATGTATATCCTTTACAACTTCATCCAGGTGGTCTTCATCCCATGTGAAGTCAGCAAGGTGGCAGATGATGGCCTGCAAAAAACGTCTCGTACAATGTGTGCACAAATACCATTACTGTAATAAAACTTATTCGTACTAACTAATTTTATTAAAAATCCACTATAAGGGAGCTTAAAGAGCTCCGCTTATCTATTCGAAACTATCGCCCGTGAAAATAGAAATCGCGATCGTAAACAATCACAATTTCAAACAATCGCAAATTCCCAATTGCGATTGTCACGTGACATAGCAATAATTGATGTCACAATTACTACTGTTTTTGTTTCTGATATTGTCGTTGTTGTGACGATAGCCGACAATGGTAGCTGGTAGTACTGTGCTGTGGTGTGCATCTTGTAATTGTAAAGTTTTGTCATTGTAATTATTGCTGTTATCGTCGTTGTCTGTGTTGGTCAAAAATGCCGCAAAATAAATACATGATGGCGCAAAAGGTAAAAATAAAAATAATTATTTTTTATTCATTATCCTTTTCCCTGTTTCATTCATCATAAATTCCACTATACAAATCTATAAAAATACATTTTTTACCTTTATACTTTTACTCGCTCAATGGACGCAAATAGTAGTGTGCTTTCGAGTGTTTTTCAACACAACAACACTGTTGAAAAATATTTTCCAGCTTTTTCAAAAGGCTGGAATTTCTGATATGCTAAGCTAAAAAACTGGAAATACCGATTTTTTAAAAGCCCCAGCTTAAAAATCCAGAATTTCGCTATAAATTCCAAAATCCATTTTCAATAGTGTACTGTACTAGATGGGAAGAAAAATATTGGAAATGAAATATCGAAACTCTACTTTAAACATTGGGTTATACTCGCCATCCTTTACGCGCGCCTCTTCTGTCTCTTGTTTCCACGTTGTGGCGTGCTCGTTTGACCATTAATAACAATCTGGATTTCCTTCTTGGGCTGCTTCTGCTGCACGGGCTTCAGTGGCGATGCCGATGCGTCAGGCTCGTCGGAGTAGGCAGACTGTTTGCGCAGCGCAGGCTTCACATTCTCCGGTGTGATGGGCGTCGAGTCTGTGGATGGGAGCATGGGCACCTTCTTCAAAAACCGCTTGACCGTGTTGCGCTCAAGGGCCCACGTTAGCTTCTTCTTATCCGAGCGGATGGCCTTGCCATTGGCAACGGGTTCGTCCTTCGCGACGGGAGTGTTTGAGGCAGCGCCTGCCTTGCCCTTGGTAGGCTTTGCCGACGCAGCCACGGGGGCCAGCGCGGGCACAGCGGCAACCCTGTCATGGACAACAATGTTTTTCAGGGCTTCGGCTAGCATGGTCTGGTCACTGTTGCGCCTGCGCTTGACACCACTGCTGGGTGCCTCTGGCGCAACCTTGGTGCTCCTATCCTGGATTTCCCAACCATCATTATCGGTCACATTAACGCTATCGGCGCCGGCACGCTTGGCTGCAGCCTTGGCTTTCTTTGGTGAGCGCTTGTCAACGGGCTCGATCGCAATCAGCTCAGGCGCCTCCTGCTGGTCATCGACGGCAGCACTCGAAACGGCAGCCTCACTGATTATCTGCTGGGTCTGCTTTTTCTTCTCGGCACGCGCGTTCTTCTTGCTCTTCTTGCTCTTACAGGCTTCCTCCAGCGCGTCAAGTCCAGCGCGCTTATCCATCTCGCGGATTTTGACAATGTCATCCTGGAATTTGCGCTCCTCGTCAACAGTTGCGAGGTTCTCCAAAGCGTTAATGTCAAAGTCCATAGCCTCCGTTTTGAGAATGCTAGTTGCGAGGTCCTTCTTCTTCTGCTTGCGCTCGACCTTCTTGGCCTCCCTCTTGCGCTTGTGCTTATTGGCGATCTTGCGCTCCTGGGCTCCAATCGGCTCGTTTACGGTGATGCGCGTCTGCAGAGGCACGTCAGTGTCTTCGTTGGGGAACGTGTCGCACAGAATCTGGTAGAGCGCGTATAGACGTCTGCGTCCCATCGCCCGCATGCTCTCCTCGCTGGCCACGGCAAATATGCGCTCCTTGATCGCCGACATGCTGTCAATCAAAAACTGCACCTTATCGAGGGTCTCATGCTCGATCTGGTTGTCGCGAACAATACCCTCACTCTCTGAGTCCGACGCGTTGTCACCGTTGTTGGCCCGCTCTTCGGCATCAGCAATGCGAATAACCATGTTTTCGAACACAGACTCCTGGATCTGTGGTGGAAGGTGCTTGATCGTCGTGGTCCCGATGAACCGCATGAATGGCTCCAACAGGGTTGTAACGGGTATTTTAGCCACTTCGGCCTCGGCCTCGTCCTCATCTGAGCTCTTCAGAATCTCTGTCGACAACCGGACAAGCTCGTCGACGTATACATCAGCAATGTGCGAGCGGGTGCTGTTGGGAACCTTCGGATCGGTCGGGTTGATTGGGAACTGGTAGTACACATCAATGTACTCGCGGACCAGCTGCTCATTCCAGTCGCTTTGGTGCATCGACCGGAAAGTGAAAAAGACCATGCGACGTATCAGCAAAAGATATTTGTCTATGCGGTGTTTGTCAATATCAAACCACTCCCGGCTAATTGTTTCCCAAAAGGCCCGGACAAACTGCACCCGGTTTGCGCCCTGGCACTTGAGAACCATGTTTGCTAGATCCCACGACAGCTCCTGTTGCACCAGAGGCATGTCAGACAGCCAGAAGCAGTAGAACAGCGCTTTCCAATGCCGCACCATCTCCATGTGCGTAAATTCCTCCTCGCGCGACAGGATAATACCAAACTTTTCGATAGCGAGATCGCGGACTTCTTTGTCTACAACAGATGGCCGTCAAGATAAAAAAAGCAGAAATTGATTTAGCAGACAGAATGCGAGCAGACTAGCATCCCGTTTGAAAACAGTCGGCCAAGACAAAGCTCGGCCAATGTATGTATGTATGTTTGCTTGGTGATATCTTACCGACATGAGCTAGTCGCTTGCCGAAGGCCACTTCATTTTCTGTCAACTCGATCATTCTGGGTATTTGAGAGTACAGCGGTGTGGTATTAAATAACGCGTTTATAAATGGAGACAACACACAGGACGCAATAATAAAGAATCGTTGGAGAAGAAGCGAGAGAAAGCGACTGTAGCAATGGCACGCTTTTCGAGTCTTGTCAAGAAAAATAGCGTTAAATCGCACCAAGGCAAAGTGGAAAAAATAAGAAAATTTAATTTTTTTGATGCAAAAAATGCAAGTGTTGATTAGATCATCGTCTGTTGATTTGTCACCTTGGGCATTGGAGATAATTGGAAACAGTCGGGCGTTTTATTGGCGCGTTTGGATTACTAGGCGTAGCTTGTGAATTTTGAATTGTGGCAAAACTAAAGTGCATCAAAATTAAAACGAATTCACAAATGGCTGCGCTCTTCACGCCTGGCCGTGTCAAGCAATGAGAGAACAGCTTGCTGCCAGCCAAACTGCTCGGGTGCTTTCTCTCTCAACCACGACGATTTTTCAATTATATAAATTCGACGCCATGACCGCTAGCGATATTCGGCACGTATCCAATACTTAAAATGAGAAGCTACAGCAGCAGAGGCCGTACACCGGAGGTGTGGCTGTGAGAAATAGAGACAGGAGATACGCGATGGATGCGCCCGCTTTTTGATGGATGCATCGGGTCAGATGCCGATCAAATATTATATTTATGTTGGAGACGGCATATGCATGTCCTGGAATTGCGCACACTAAAAATCGAAATTCACAATTTCCATTTGGTCACATTTGATTGTGGATTTTTCAATTTCTGAAGTTTGAGTGAGCGCAATTTTATCTGGACACAGAGCGGGTGCTGCCGATGGTGGCGGTATTCTAAGCACAGTTAGAACAGGTCCTTACTTGTTGCAAGGACCAACTCTAACTGGCTTTTAATATTTACCTACGGCAGGGAGCGAGTGAGCGTGTCTGTATTGCTGTTTGTATTTTAGTTGCACGTGCAGCTATTACAGACAATGCACTACAAGCAGTTACCGGGGCGAGTGTATTTGGTCTATTTGCGACACTTTATACCCGTCCTGCGGCTATGACATTGCTGCTCCTTACTTTTGGATTGAGCCTAACCAGCGTTACTAGGCTTGTCGCGAACTTTTTTCTCACAGCGATTACCTCCAGCAACAGCTGACGAAGCAACACAAAACAGCAGCATGTATTAGCGCAAACGTCAGTATGGCCAGCTTATTGCGCTTTATTGGCGGTTGTAGCAGTGGCAGTGGCGCTGCAAACACACTGCAAACAATGCAACTGCATGAAACAGAACCAACCAAACTGCATTCTTGTAAGAATGCAGTTTGGTTGGCTCTATTTTGCTGATGTGGCTGTTTTGTAGCTGTCTGCCAAAGCTGTGTGAATTCTGTGGCAACGACTCCAAGTGCACATTAGCATATTTACTAATCTTGAATTTGTCTGTACATTGATTTTTGCACTTTATAGTCTTTACAGCAAGGGTCGTTTCCTCGGCTTCACTCGTGGAAAGCGCGCTCAGAACACCAACACCGCTCTCCTCCAGCTAGAGAACGTCTCCACCAAGGAGGAGACCCAGTTCTATGCTGGCAAGCGTGTTGCGTACGTCTACCGTGCTGCCACCGCCAAGAAGGGCACCACCGTCCGTTGCATCTGGGGTCGCATCTCCCGCTCCCACGGTAACTCGGGCATTGTCCGTGCCAAGTTCCGCCACAACCTGCCCGCCCGCGCCATGGGTGCCTCGGTCCGTGTCATGATGTACCCCTCCAACATCTAAGGTGCTTGGGTGTATGTGCTAGTTGATATGTCTGGTGTAGTGTATGGCGTAGTTTTTTTTCCCTACAAAAATGAGCAAGAATACAACTCCAATTCTCTATGCTTGAACATTTCCATATCTATTTTTGATGAATTAATCTGTTTTTGAAGACTGACAGTATGTTGTATGTATTGGGCATTGAGTGACCTGGCTCTAACCTAGAAGGTTTCTGAAAAGTGAAGTGTAAGCGGCAGGAGCTTTCGATCCAGATGCAATGCCACATCTTTTCACACGGATGCAACTGAACTGAGCTAGCCATCGAATGCGCTGCTGAGCAAACGGTACATGGCAAAGCCCCAACCGTAAGCAACATTAAAACATTAGTCGCTTTGAGGACCAGATTGTTGCTGCCGTGACGCACAAGTTCGCAGAGATTAATATCCACAGTGAATTTTTATTAAAAGAAGCCTCCAAAAGAAACGAGCGCGAAAAATGTAATTACTCTACTAAACCAATTGCAGGTGACAACAACTGTCGGCCAATATGTGTGTTCGTGTGCTCAAATACTCAAGTGCTCAATTGCTCCGTATCCATAACCTTATCTTCGGAAGCAGCCTTAAACGCCGCATCATGGTCATTCTTCTCTTTCAGCGAGAGCAACGACTGGGGGCCAGGCATGGATGAAGAGACGGTGCGTCCGTTGTCGGTAGTCAGACCGGCGGCAGCCTCGGCCTCCTTCTGTGTGTAAGCGGGATCCTTCAGATCACGGAGTCTCCTTTTGTGTTCGCGGCCGCGGCGGTGTTCTACCAACATCTTGTCTTCGGTGTAGTATCTAGAGCATTCTATGCAGTAGTGCTGGCCCAGACCGGGCAGATCCTCGTCCTCGGCAAATTGAGTAGGCGGTGCTTGTTCTCGGGCAACAAGTCAGTTTGGATTTGGTCGAGGTCCTTTGTGCGACGCTTGGTCTTGTACTTGTGATGCAGCTCCTTGTTGTTGCAGTGCATGCGCTTACGACGAATGCGACCCATTTTGATAAAAAAAATTGTTTGTGTTAGTGGCCCGCTGAGGATATAGAGGATAAAGATGTGGTGGCAAATAAATAAAGTAAGCAAGGAACAACAGCAAAAATGAGCTCAATCAAAGAAAGAAGCGAAAATTGCGGCAATATATTTGAAAAAATAAGAAAAAAATACGAGTGTGATTTGTTGATTTTTCGAGATCAGGTAAAAGTTTTTTTTACAAGCAAGCCTACAGCCAATCAAAGCCAACCAGATCCATAATGAGGGCGTCAAAGTTTGCTTTGAAATTGGCGGCGGGCATTGTGCCAACGCTAAATTCGACATTTAAATTATTTTTCTCTTTCGCATTGTTGCTATTGTTGTTGCTCATTTGCTAAATTCACACAATCATTTTTGTTTATATTAATAACGGTGGCGATTTGTCAATGAATTCTCAGACGCAGTACAACGGCCAACAGCCCATGATGGGCATCAAGAACAACGTCGTGCAAATGTCGTACCAGTGCGCCAGCTGTTCCAAGGCCAATGACATCAAGCCCAGGGAGCCCATCCGCTGCCGCGACTGCGGACATCGCATTCTGTACAAGAAGCGGACCAAGAGAATGGTTCAGTTCGAGGCTCGCTAATGCAGTCACAACGAAGAAGTATAATTTTGAACGACACGTTGGGCTGTCCTTTTTGTGCAACCATTCCAACTGATATAGACGAAGGTGCCGCGCACAATCTCTAGCGATCTATATATACTATTGAAAATATAAATATAAATAAAATTTAAAGATGTACCAGTAGCAGATATTTGTATGTAAAATGCGGAGCCGTCGTCGGTAGCTTCCGGCGCGACTGAACAACACCACTTTTGACGCGTTAAATGTTTAAATTGGTGCGCGCTGGCCACAATACGTGATGTCATGCGTTTTTATTTCGCCGTAAACTTATATACACGGGTGGTGCTTGCTTCGCTGCATGGCGGCAGTTAGCTGAATTGAGCTACTGCTGAAAAAACAATCAAGCGCAGACAATGGAAACGGCGGAATTGGATATTGTCAAGGTCATGGAGTTGGATGCAGGGGAATGGTACTATATTCTCTGTACACATATCTATTTTAAGGCGCCTGATGCTGCTGCGCTTTTTTTTCTTTTTTTCTTTTTTTTTTTTTTCTTTTTTTCTTTTTTTTGGGGTGTCATTTGTTTTATCGGTTGCTCTGCACCTCCAAACATCTCTTTGGGATATGTGGAATACCTTCCATCTTCTTTGTACAATATCTTGCGGACAGTGCAGTCAAGCTGGCTTCGTTCTTTTTATTCCTGCATCCCTTTTACCACTGTTGTCTATTGCATCGGTTTTCATTGGGCGTCCCAATTTTCTTCTTTCCTTACTTCAAACTTACAACCAATAATTATATTTACGCACAAGCAAAAACCCGTCAAACCTATTATCATGCAACCGTTCGAGTGGATCACCACAAACGGCACGGCAAACGGCAGTGATGTATTCCAGACCGGCAACGAGGATTGCTGGGTGGTAATACATGGCAGTGACAATCTGACCTGGTACCAGTTTGACGGTAAGTTGGCATAGTTATTATTTGCACTCAGCAAGGCGGCAGCACCAAGGGCAGTTCATGTATGCCATACAATGTTAAATAGTGTCAATATGAAACTCACCGCACACACAAACGCATCCTCATGTTTCTTTTTTCACATATTTTATTTTCAAAAATAGCACACAAGGTCGGGTGGATTATTTCGGGGGCATTTGCACTGGCAGCCACTATCATCTCGAGCATCCACATCGCTTACCATCTGCGTCACTATACGAAACCTCGGCAGCAGCGGCACATCGTGCGCATCATTCTGATAATCCCCATCTACAGTATCATTTCGTTCTTGAGCTACCGCTTTTATCGCGAGGCGCCGTACTACACAGCGGTGCGAGACTGCTACGAGGCATTCGCAATTGCGGCGTTCTATATGTTGTTGCTCCAGTACATCGGCGACTCGTCAGCCGAGCAAAAGCGCAGTATGCTCGAAAAGCGCGGGCTGAAGTGGACTTTTCCGTTCAACTGCTTTGAAATGAGGCCCGCCGGGCGGCGCACATTCGTCCTGCTCAAGTGGGGCATCCTGCAGTACGTGATTGTCAGCCCTGTCAACACGCTGGTCACAATTATCACACACGCCAATGACGTGTTCTGCCCAGACAGTATGCGGCCAAAGTACGCGCACTTCTGGGTCGCCATCATCGACTTTGTCTCTATCTCTGTAGCCATGTACTCTCTGGTGTCGCTGTACCGGGTTATCAAGGAAGACGTCAAGAACGAAAAGCCCTTTCTCAAGTTTGTCGCCATCAAAGCCATTGTGTTCCTGACTTTCTGGGAGGGCTTTATCTTTTCGTGGCTCGGAAGTAACAATATTAACGTCATCAAGGGCACAAAGTACTGGTCAAAGGACAACGTGGTTGCTGGTCTGACAGCACTAGTCATCTGCATCGAGATGGTGCTATTTGCTGCACTGTTCATCAAGGCATTCCCTGTCCGGGCATACAAACGCCCTGATGGCACGCACAGGACGCCCATGCGCCGCGCCTTTATTGACTCACTTAACTTTGGTGACTTCTTCATCGAGATCTGGTACCATCTGCGCTGGCTCGCCGCACCAATCACGCGCCGGTACCCTGATGAGCCTGATACCGAAAAGGGCCGCTTTGGCAGAATGGACATCAATGGCGCCGCACACTATGGAATCGACAAGCAGACTGGCCTCCTCGACGCTGCCAAGGAAATGGAAGAAACATTGCCACTACAGCCGATACCCCCAGCCGAGTTTGCACCACCCGCAGCTACGTTCCAGAGCCCCACCCCCCACACAAGGCTCACGCAGCAGCTGCCTACACCATTTCAAGCGCCGTCCAACTTTCCGCCTCATGTCCACTACCCTCAGTGAACAAAGCTATTGTGTGTAGTACTTTTTGCCTCGGTGTTTATGTGTTAAAATGTAGATGCTGTTAAAAGAAACGCCAACGTTAATGCGTGAATTCCCTCACAAATCATTGGTCTGGTTGTCTGACGCGGTGCCAGCACCAATGTTTAAAAGTTAAATATGCAGCACAATGCCATCTAACTAACGGTAACCATTGCGGGCGATGCATTGAACTCTAGATTTTAAATATTTACAATGTAATTGTGGCAAAGCATGGCACAGATTGATATGTGAGCTGGACGCAAGGATGCACTAATTTTAGATCGCCCCAACTTCCATGCCACACGTAGTCCACCAGTCAAAAATTTCCCCATGCCAGCGGGATTTGCATTCGGCCACACATTACTTTGCTGGCTAGCCTACCAAACCGGCTGACTGGCTGACTGGTGACTTGGGGCTGAAAGTGACTCCGTTGCACCATAGTGCCTTTTTTGCTTCTAAAAACCCGTCTGCACTCGCTCTCATCCACTTCTTTTTTATTTTGTTTATTTATTTGCTTTTTTCTTGTTACTACTATCAAAAGAAACCCACTATTTTAGTCATTATTTTTAGACACGCACTTTTCTGCTCTACAGTCGGCAGGGTCTTGAAATTTCGCCAGTTCAATCGCGCACATTTAGAATCTCGTCCCAAATACACACCATTAGACCCGCCTGCGCAATGTCGACGCTGGCCATGTATTATCAGCAGCTGGTGGATCTGCCGGCGGCACAAAGCGCCTGCGCGCTTATCGGGATACCAAAGCTGGCCCCGTACTGGCCTGCGCTCATCGGACTGTCAGTGCTGTTCCAGCTTTTGCGGCTTTCATCCAACGCGCTCTCATCGCTGGTCTTTGGGACAAAGTTTGACTCGCTGAGTGCCCGGCAAAAATACGACTGGGGTATCCGCCTCGTGTCGCAGGTCACGCCATCCTTGTTGTCGTGCTTGCCATTCCAATCTTCTTCAAGGAGGAGCTCATCGAGGACACCATCTACGGCTTTAACGAGTACGCTGGCTGGGTCTACACGATCATTTGCGGGTAAAGTATCGAAACAACATGTCTATCATTTCCATTACAACAGAACAGCGTCTTGATGAAGCTGGGGACAACATGCTACTCTTCTTGTATGTTCTGCGCTGTGGCATATTGTGTGTCCCCAGCTTAATAGTATTATAAATACTCGCCGGCCAGTCACGCGGTCAAATTGGATGTTTTCAAAACTAAATATTTGCTTCCATTTTTCACTGCGTGATGTTGTATCTCGTCTGCAGTCCTTCACATACCCAACTTTGCACGTATTTTTCGACTAATTTGCGCTTTTTTGTATTTTTGCTTCACATCAATTAGGTACTTCCTGTGGGACATTTGCATTTCGATCAGCGACATTAAGAAGCAGGGTTTGGGCTTTGTTGTCCACGCACTTGCCTCCTTTGGCGTCTATATCTTTTCGTTTGTAAGTTGGCAAAATATTGGCACGGGCTGTCTGTCGAGTATTTGGAGATTCTCGTGTGCATGTGTATGTGCGTCAAGGACATTTTTGCTAACCAAAGTTGTGATGCCGTGTTTTTTTCACATATAGAGACCTTCGCTGCAGTACTACGGCGCCTCGTTTATTATGTTCGAGGCCAGCACAATTTTCCTCAACATGAACTGGTGGATGGACAAGCTTGGTTTGACTGGCAGCCGCATACAGATGTACAATGCAATTACCCTGCTGTTCCTATACTTTGTCGTGCGCATTTTGTTTGGCACGTACATGTCATACCACATGTTTGAGGATCTGAAGGCTAAGGGCACGCAAACGCCCATTGCCCTGTACTACTTCTACCGTATTGCCAATGGCTCGATCCTTGCTCTTAGTTACTACTGGTTTTATCTTTTGATTGCCGCTGCCAAAAAGCGCTTCCCTAGCAAAAATTCTACCAAGAAGACCGAGTGATTCCGATGCAGTGCCCGTGTTTTCCAATTTCGAGTAGCGTGTGTGCCTTGTCTCGGTTATTCACTGTTCTCTCGATTCTTCAGTTTTCATGCGATTTTAAATATACTTTTTTGCATTAACCAAACACATATCGCGGCCATAGTTTGTGCGGCAGGATGTTGAGTCTTTAGAGATAATGTTATTGTTAAATAAAAGAAGGGCGCGCCTTTTAATAGCTGTGTGCTCGACTTGACTAGATAGGCGGCCGAATTTGACTTTCATATACTGCCGGCTGATTTGTTTTCACCTATCCTCTCTGACACTGCTCTCGCCACAACGCCACTTGCAAAAAGGTATAATTCAGCGATACTGCATTCTGGCGAATTCCACTAATCGGGGGCAGTAACAATATGCAATAACCGTTATTGATATCGCACCAACAGATTCACGCTTTGTACTGATTAGATGCCCAAATGTTAGTTACAAATTACTCGAGCGTTTCATTCGCTAATATTAGCTGCTAGCCATTACTTGGCGCCTTGCCAATCGCTGCAGTAGGTGGCTTTGTATCTTCAAGGCTGCTGTGGTAATAAAAAACATTTTATATTACGCACCATTCAAGTTGAGATGATTTTATTCAGTTGTAAATAATAAAAAATCGCCATTTAAATTGCTACTAGTCGCGCCATTATTTGGTTCTGTGCGCCTAAAGCACTTTGGCCAGACTCTAGGCCCACCTCTGTCACTCAAACCTTGCATGCGACGAATATCTACATATTGGGTATGGCTAAAATGCTTTTCATTTGCAAGCTTTCACTAGAGCGCTGCAGCAAGAGAACTCTTCTGTCTTGGAATTTATTTTTTGTTTTGCATTTTAGTTTACTTGAGCACTACGCACCCTTGTTTTACCTTTATTATATTGTTTGGCTAAAAAATGAATGCAATCTACGATTCCTTGGTCAATAATAATGCCTCGGTCAGCTTTTTCAACGCAGTTGGTCTTCCGCGCCTTGCCCGTATTGGCCACGTGTGTTCGCGGTAGCAGCGATATTCGAGATTATCTTCCGCTTGGCTGCCTTTTTCACACCAATTGTATTCCCATCCACATGGGGCCGTCTGAAGAAAGCTGAGAGATATAAATGGTGCGTGCGGGTGGCATCGAGCACCCATGCCGTGTATATGGTGACCCGGGTGCTGGTGATCATTTCCAACTCCAAGCTGAGAAGCAACCCATTACACGGTTTTGACCAGGTTGCCGAGACCGTATATTCCGTGACAGTTGGTTACTTTTTGTGGGACATAATCGACACGTACAAGAACATTGACATTAATGGAATCGGATTCATGGCCCACGCAGTCATGTCATTCGGAGTGTATCTCCTCTCCTATACACCGCTCCTGCAGTACTACGGCGCATGTTTCATGATGTTCGAGGTCAGCACCATTTTCCTCAACTTTCACTTCTTCCTCGAGGATTTGGGGCTGCAGGATGCCATTATGTACCTTATCAATGGCATAGCTCTTGTATCTAGCTTCTTCTTTGCCCGTGTGGTATATGGAACGATCATTTCAATCAACGTGTGGAAGCTGATTGCCAACTCGGAGATACCGATCAACCCATTCGTGGCCAACTTTATCCGGTATCCAACCTCACGCTCATGGGCCTCAGCTACTACTGGTTTAGCATAATCATCATGTCTGCCAAGCGGAAGCCCCTCGATGCAGATCTGAGCCGCGCGTTCGATGAGATGGATAAGCCCGAATCCAAAGCCAAATAAAACCACTTAGCGTTAGCCGCAAGGTTGTGTGGGGTCGAGGGCTTCTTTTGGGTTTAATTTGGTACTCGATGGGTTCCAGTGCTTACTGGATGTACAATGTTTCAAAAACTAGTTTCATTTTTTGCAGCTAAAAAAATACTGTTCACGGTTCTCTAATTATAAATTTACGCAATCGCGACGCAGTATGGGGTTGTTTTCCATGTTGAATACACCAAAGAAAAGAATGAGACTACAAGTATCCTACAAATCGACACCCTTCCCACAGATTGAATAGCAACCTGACAGGCACTTAGAAACTAGTGGCAATAGACCACTATGGCTGACGATATTAATCAGTTCGCTGCTTTTTTGAAGAGAAGAAGCAGGGGAAGATGGATTCTTGGGCACGTGCTTTGGCTTGAGCAGAGTCTCAGGTGTCGCTGTAGACTACTCAGCTTCAGCCAACTCTGACGATGCCTTTTTGCATGAAAAACGGGTTTTGAAAATCCCCCGCCTAAAAATCCGAACTTTCACTATAAATGTCTGAAATTCCAAAATGCATTTTCAATAGTGTATTGAACTGGATTTAGCCTGCATTGGGAAACGATTCGTGCTCGTCGGACCCTTTTTTTCTGATGCGCCAATATGGCAATCAAATCACAATCAAGAAAATCAAATCAGATAATAATAATTGTGGTGGGCGGTCACACCCAACCTCAAAAATGTTAATCTTGATCGAGCACTCGCAAACAAGTGCAATGGCAGTTTAGTTTGTTTAAAATTCGAAATTCGAAATTCAACTTTTTTCTTCTTTTTTTGCTTTCCTAATTTTAACTTTTTCAAATCTCAATCGCCTTTTTATTCGTTGTTTATCTAATCATGCCCGCAGGACTATTCGGAGGGTATATCGTGCCCAAGCCTAAAATGGCCTATCGCATTGTTTCAAAGACCCTTGGCGCATCGATGTGGTTTTGGATGATGTACCGCATGAAGGAGGACGGCGCCGTCGCATTTGTAAGTTTAAAACCAACAATGGCCACGACACACACAGTTGTGGTTGCTCAGACCACTGCATGTTTCCGAATTCAGGCTGAAGTGTCTCGTTTAACAGGGGAAACTAAACAATGTATTGCTCACCTTACCTCGCTTGTTTTATTATTTGCCTTGTTTGCAATTTTTGTAGGGCCTTCGTCACCCCTGGGACCACCACGGCGATCACAGCGAGCACGGGCACAAGGAGGAGGATGGCAGCCACTAAGGGTGTGTACCCACTTTTCAATATGAAGTCATTTCGTGCTGCCACTCCAATCGCTATGTTTTGAAACCCATGCCACTCTTTTTCTGTTTTATTAAATTGTTTTCTTCAAATAGACATACTAAACCAATGTTGTCTTTTGCTTCTGCCTTGCATTTGGCGCCTGCTTGCAATTATACAGAGTTTGACGCGGCATATGAGTGTTATTATTTTTTTAGACATTTTAAGCTTAAATGCCTCTATTTTTATTTCTTGGGCTTGGACGCACCGTACTTGCTTCTGGCAGACATACGGCCCTGTACACCCTGGAGATCCAACGCTCCGCGGACAATGTGATAAAGGACACCGGGCAGATCGGGGACACGGCCGCCGCGGACAAGAACGACGCTGTGCTCCTGCAGGTTGTGGCCCTCGCCAGGAATGTATGCAATCACAGTCTTGCCATTGGTAAGGCGCACGCGCGCAACCTTACGCACAGCCGAATTGGGCTTCTTGGGTTTTGTCGTGTACACTTTCACGCAGACACCCTTGCGTTGCGGGCACTTGTCCAACGCGGTGCCTTGCTTGCAGTCTTGGTTCTCTTGCGCATGCCGCGCATAATCTGGTTGAGAGTCGCCATATTAGCCCGCTGCGACGCCATGGTCCAGGCAGCTGGTGTAGAGATCGTAGTTTTCCTCAGCAGCGCTGTGGCTGGGGAGCAGGCAGTCGCTGCGGCGCGATTGGTGAGGCGCTAATTCGCAAGTTGCGAAGTGCCGACAGTGCAAACATTTGGGTGTGCGGGTGAAGCGATTGTGGCTGGGTGCGCTGCGTAAGGAATTTTGTATGTATATAAAAAAGAAAGCACTCGATTTCAAATGAACAGCAGGGGACAACAAAATGAGAGAAAGAGGGATAAAAAATATATATATGGAGAAAATAAGCAATGAAAATTCAAATGAAAATTCAAAAAAAAAAACTCCCATCACAACGTGGAGATATCAATCCAAGTTGCCTCTGTTGAAAATCGCTTTGATTCTCCAAATAATCCGATCAAGCTGGATTTGTGATTTTGAAAAGTGTTGGGATTAATCCCCAACACACAATGGTATTGACACACAAAATTTTCCTTTTTCGACCGACGCCCTGTTTCTTCTCTGCATAGCTTTCGCATTCCCTTTATTTTTTTCGTATAAAAGTATTTACATATATATTATACACAACAGCCTTCATTTTACATGGCCACTGCCTGCAACTATTAACATCTATAACTTGTATCGACTCTACCTTTTTTTAATATTCTTTTCACCGATGCCTCCATCCGCCAATGTCTGCGTGCATACACACGCACAATCACAGTCACACGAGACATCGCTGCTGCTGCCTGCCAGCAGTGATTGCGGAAAAGTTAGGAGCAGCAGCAACAGTCGCAGCAGCCTGCATAGGCTTCCAATAATGGAGCCTGCAGTGGAGAAGTTTAGCCTGCCGACCACACTGCCGAAAAGGTTGGCCGATTTGGGGGTCAATATTGCCGTCCAGCAAACAAGCGTCGTGCTCCAATACTCGATACACCTGTGCCCGCGGCAAATGAAGCGCGAGCTGCGCCTGGTATTCCCCAGTTTGTCTGGCAAGGAGAATGACCTTCTGATCATTCCGACATTTCAAAAGACAAAGTCGTCGATGATCAGCTATGACGCAGAGACGCAGATTGAGAAGGACGAAAAGCTGGAGCTTTTCTACCGCTGGGGCACAGATTTGGTAGAACGCTTGCGTGAGAAAGGGTTTTGGGCGGACATTACCGACCCAATGTCGGGCGCGGCGCTGTTCAGCACAAGCGGGCCGTCGTTATACCCCGACGTTGAAAGTGCCGAGATACTTCTGCGCTACAGGCCATTCAACCTCGGCAGCTGCTTCGTAATGTCGCACCCAAACTGGGGCACTCACGTGTACCCGGCAACGGCCTTCACTCTGGCGCCAGCCGACGTTGTGGCCAGGGTGCTGGCCGATATGCAGGCTGGCCCGCCGCCAGCGAGGTAGGGACGTGTTTGTCTGCCGATACTGACACACACACACACACACACACACCAACTTTTCAATATCAAATTAATATACTGCAACGGTAGCTTGTGCCGCCTTTTAAAAATACACATACGGGCTAAGAATTGGACTGCTCTTCGGAGACAATCTTGATTTGGAAGGTGCACTGTGGAAGGCCCATGGTCTCGGCAGTTACGACTGTGTTGACGCCAAAGCTGTCGAGGATGCCGCGGATAATGCCGCATGGCAGCCATATATACGGTTGTGCGCGTCTAGCGGCAGCGGCCCCGCCGTTGTTGCCCGACATGCGAAGGAACCACTTGAACTTGTTGTCCTGGAGCACGTAGACGCCACGATGGTTGGTCTTGAGGTTGTCGACTTGGCGGTTGAACAGCACCATCCACACGTCCTTGCACACAAACTTGACAATATCCAGTGTATCCGTCAGACGCCTGTTGAGCGGGGCAAAACGCTCCGCTAACCGTTTGCCCACGCGGAAGCCGACCATCTCGAGCTTCACATACACTTGCTCCATCAGCTCGTCGTCGTCAGGGAGCTCTCGCCACCCGGAGATCATTGCCGAGTCGCGGGTGGCGGTCTTTTTTGCCTCGGCAGACACGGCTGCTTCTGTGCTTTCCATTTCGTCCTCAAGCCCTAGGTTGAGGGCCAGGCGCTCGGACCTTTTCTTGGTTTGGAGTGTTGTCGATATGAGCGTGCTCACCAGCTCTGGGAGTAGAAATTCAAGGGCGCCGCCGTTAATCTGTCTGCCCTCAATGGCCTTCCGACCGTCGAGCGAAAGCGCGGACATGAGCTGGGTGGCGGACGATACTGGCGGTGCTGTGGCGCTCATTCGAACGGTTTATGCGATTATAAAGTACAACAAATCGAGCAGCGTTTAATTTGATATACAGAAAATTTAAAGAGGGAAAAAAAGGAGGCAATTGAATTGAATCGAGAAAATAATAAAAATGAAGTATGTAATTATTATTGGGGAAGTTTTGGACAAAGGCCCTAGTTCCCCCCCCCCCATCTGGGTGTCATTGGTTTTACCCAATGGAGATCGAGCCGTCAGGCAGTAATAGTAATATCTTTGCCTCGATGTGAGGAAAAGGTCAAAATTTGTCTATTCTTGTTGGGCTTGGGCGTGGCATTTAAATCAATTGGTAGACTAGCAGGGCGTTTTATGATTTTTCTAGAGTCATAAATCAATAATGTGATTTTGAATTATTTTTTTATTGAGCCACGAAACAAAAAAAATTCAGCGATACATTTTTAAGCCAACTACTATTCACAATACTAGTCGAGAGTGCTTTTGCACACTTGCATTTCTTAAACTTTGAAAAGCACATTGTTCGAATAGTTGAACTATTCTTGAGTATACTTCTTTTACAGTTACATTTTTTGAACTAGTAGCACATTAGTAGGCGCAGCTTAAAATGACTAGTAGGTTTTCAATCAAAAAATTCATATCCTTCATATTATCGTTCCAACAGTGTCGACAGAGCGCAAACATCACTGGAATTGATGAAAGTAAATATATATATATATATATATATATATTATAAAACCGAAGACAGAATGGACTTACAAAACAAGAAAAATTAAAACAAGTGTTTATTTTAAAATTAAATAAAACTGGCATTTGTAGCCTCCTCAATAGAATTAATAATTCTTCCAAACTCCACCTTGTGCGCATCATTGGCCTCAAAATTGTCACCACCCTCCTCCTCCTCCTCCTCCTCAGGGTCGAATGCACCACAGCCACCTACCATTGAAGGAGTATACCCCCACACCGGCATCTTTCCCTCCCTCACCTCTACAGCAGTATTGGAACCAAACAAATCCCGGCCACCAAATTCCTGCACAGGCAATCCCTTAAGTTCATCCACAAGAGCCAAAACATTGGAAAGTGCAGACACAGACATCGGGGCTACTTTCTTGTCCGACTCGACATTGTTATCCTTGAACAAAGTCTTGGTCACTGTGGCTTCATCTGCAGCAGCGTCCTTGGTGCGGATTTCAGTGACGGAGAGGATCTTGGGTGCTAGGATTCCAGGAAGCCTGCCGTTGCGGGGTTCGTAGTTGATCAGGGTAATAGTATGTTCTACGGTTTGTGGTGCGCTCATCTTGAAAAATAAAAATAATAGTAAAAATAATAGTATATTTATAAAGTTTAGAAGTATAAAATAATAAAGTAAAGAAAAAAGAAAAGAAAAAGAAGAGAGGGAGAGGAACAGGATGCAATAAATGACAGAAAACTCGCAATAAAAAAGCAATAAAAAATCCCCGCCCTATACTTGTTGGACCCACTGCGACTTTGCTGGTTTTATTCTTTTGTCCTTAATTAACGGTCATGTGGACAAAAGGAGCTAATAGCGTGACCAAATTTCCTCAATGACGAAAAATCCAAGTCCAAAACTAAAAAAAAAAAAAAAAAGATTCATCCGTAAATCATACTAAAAGTTCCCACCCAGCTCAGCACAAACATGGCAGCAGCAGGACCAAGACTATCCCCCAGAATCTCCATTTTCCCACCAAAATCCTCCTCATCAACGCCCAAAAACGTATTCCAATAAAACGACGGGACAACAACGACGGTGGCAAAGTACAGGGCTAAGCAGGGAAGTCCTTGAAAATCAAGTACACCTAGGAGGGTACCGAGAACGAGAGAGAAGAGTGAAATTACCCAGAATACTACATTCCGGAGCTCATCTTTGCGCCAATCGAGGTCGCGCGTAAAGGCTTTGGTCCAGAGCGTCGGTGATGGTGACTTTTGCGACTGTGTCTGTGACTGTGGCTTTGACTTTGACTTTGAGTTAGCAGCAGACATTTCAATTTTCAATTTTTGGTTGGTTGTTGCGAATTACAAAAAAAAAAAAAAAAAAAGATAAAAGTAAAAATTTCAAAGTATATTTTAAATTTCGAGAAAACAGGAAAAAGAACAAGATAAAAAAAAAGGATCAAATCCCCCAAATAAATATCTCTGCCATTTATCTTTACTTCAGATACGACTGCAGTGATTCACCCAAATGCGACTCAATAATCTTAATAGTCTCCTGGGTAACCCTCTCTACTCTCGCACTATCATCCTCCAAAAGCTCGGCCAAATACGGAATGGTCTCTGGCAAAAGAATCAAAAACTCCTCTCCCAGCTTCTCATAGAACGCCTGCAAAACCACCAAGGAACCAACCCGAACCGCAGGATCATCCGACCTTGATTTCATCATAACCTCCTGGTTCAAGCTCTTCCACATGGCATCGTTCCCGGCAGCAACCGCCAATTGCGCAGCCGCGGGTGCCAAATACTTGCGAACTCTAGAGACATAGGCCTCAAACGCAGACTCGGAGACATTGTCACTGGGATGGCTGATGATTGTCGAAGGCTTGGTGTTCGGCAATTGGTTGGCCAGCGGGTGGTAGATCTTGCGGAAGTTCGCATCTGTCCAGAAGCCAGCGGCAGAGTCATACAATGCGCTGTTCCGTAGAGACTCGAGAATCGAGCACCACAATTGGCTCGGGCCGGGCTTCTCCACGCGATCAGCCTCCTCCTGCATCTCAATGCTATCCAGGGAAACCCCGAAGCGCTCCAGCTGCGCAACCGTCGTATCCATCACCGACGCATAGTACGGCGCCATAATGGACTTGAGCTTGTCAAACAGGATGTTCAGCGTCCGGTAGAACACACGCAAACGCGCCTCAGCCGCGCTCTGCATGCGCAAAGCGGAGTCATCGCTGGATGCAGCAGTGAGCCACGCAGAGGGGGCAGGCAGCGTAGCCGGGTCAACCGTCGCCCACTCGACAAACGACAAGAAAAGAGGCTTGAACAGGTTCTCGTTCAGCTTGACCACAAAGCGCATAAACGCCGCAAGCGCCGCATCCTCCACCACCTGGACATCAGCAAGGGGCACCAGTGGGTTACGCGTAGTGTCGAACACCGTGAGGAAGAACTTGAACAGGGGCTTGTAGAACTGCAGCAGGTGATGGCGCTGCAGAGCGCCCGCCGTGCGACCAACAAACTCGACAAACGGCACAATCGCCGCGGTGCCCTGCTTGCTAACCTCGCGCTGGTAGAACGCAAACTGCGCCGGCAGCAGCTGCCTAGGCGGGATGCTCTTTGCCAGGGCGCCCAAGACATCGTCGGTCTTCTGCCGCGCCTGCGCAGCCAGCTGCTGCTCACTCCTGCTGCCCGCCAGGGAACTGTCGGACAGGGCGCGGAGAGTCGGGCTGAGCAGAATGGCGAACAGCGGTGGCAGCGAGGGCGCCAGGAACGCCGACATGTTCTCAACAATCGCTTGCACGGCCGAAAGCGCGCTAATCAGCAGTGCCAGGTCATCATCGCTGGCTCTGGCAGACAGCCGCGCAACAACGGCGTGCAGGTGCTTGAGCACGGCCGGCAGGTACTGCGGCAGGGTGGGGATCAGCCGCGAGCCGAGCTCCGAGCACAGAACGGCCAGCGCCACCAAGGCCGACGACGCCACAGGCGCGCTCGCCGACTGCAGGCTGTGTGCGCCCACAATCGCCGGCACGATCTTGGTGAACAGCACGGGGCGCAGAACCGCAAAGCGCTTGGCGGCCGTGGCCACGCACAGCAGCGCGGCCTGCTTGCACGCGACAGCCTCGGCAGCACTCGCCTGGTCGCCGCCCTCCACAGCAGAATCAGCAGAATCAGCAGAATCAGCAGCAGCAGCAGAACCAGCAGCAGCAGCAGCAGCAGCAGCATCGGCATCACAATCAGCAGCAGCAAGTGCGGCAATAGGCTCGAGCATCTCAAGCATCTCGTCCGTGTCAGATGCAGGCGCCGCGGCGTCAATAACAAAGCTCGCGAGCTTGGCGTTGGCCAGGCCCAGCACCTTGCGGCGCACCTTAAGGTCGTCGTTCTGCACAAGGTCGATGACCGAAGCCACAAAGGTGCGGCGGTCCATCAGCGCATTCACATCATCGAGCACCGAGTACGCCAGCTGCAGCGCCTTGCGCCACGCCGTATCGGCCACCGCAGCCTGCAGGCGGCCCTCGGCGGCCAGCTGCGCATGCTGCTGCGCCAGCGCGGCAATCAGCCGCAGCACCGTGGCGGCAGCGGCGGCCAGCTGGCGGTTGGCCTGCACCGACGCCTGCACGGGCGCAAAGGCCTGGGCGAACTGGCGGCTGGTCAGCAGCTGGTGCGCAAAGTCCAGGCACACCAGCCTGAACGTGCGCAGGTCGCGGCCCTGCATGCGCGCCACATCGACGTACACGGCGGCGCATGGCGCGTCGGCGGACGGCTCGCGCGGCAGCAGCGCCAGGTCGCGCGCCAGCACCGTGGCCACGTGGATCTGCTCGGCGGCAGGCAGCCCGTGCACCAGCGACAGCGCAAACGACGCCACATCGCGGTCCTCGCCGCCGTCCTTCAGGATGCGCGCGACGTTCTTCTCGAGCAGCAGCGCAACGACGGCCGGCGCGTAGTCCAGCGCGCCCATCGTGCGCACAAGCGTCGTGAACAGCGCCATGCGCCGGTGGCGCGGGATGTGCGACAGCGCATCGACGAACACGCGCAGCACGGGCCCGGCGGCCGCCACCTGCGCCGCGCGGCCGCCGGCGGCCGGCACGCGCACCAGCGGCGGCAGCACGCGCTCGAGCGTCAGCTGGATCACGTGGAAGCTGTACTCGTCGTCCTGGCGCAGCACGTTGGCGCCCATAAACGTGAACACGGCCATGACGTGGTGCAGCACCGGCTGCGGGTGCTGCGCGGCCACGGCGGCCAGCAGCGCCAGCGTCTGGTTGTGCGTCTGCGGGCTGGGCGACGTGCGGATGGCCTGCACGATGACGTCGACGCGGATGGCGCTCTCGCCGATGACCGCGCCGGCCGCGTTGGCCGCGTCGAACACGCGCGTCAGCAGCAGCAGCACCAGCTGCTTGACGTACTCGACCGGCACGTGCACGTCGGCCGGCGCGCCGCTCACCAGCACGTGCAGCAGCGCGAACAGCGGCGGCGCCAGCGCGGCGCTGGTGGCCAGCGGCTCGGAGCACGCGACCAGCTCGAGCAGCGCCGCCAGCTCGCCGAGCCGCGACGCGCCCGAGGCGGCCGCGGGCTTGCGCGCGCGCTTGGAGCTGTGCTCGGCGGCGGCAGCGCTGCCGTCCAGGCGCTCGGCCACGGCCGCCAGCTCGTCGGCCGCGGCGGCGGCGTCCAGCGGCAGCGCGGCAAACAGCGCGCGCAGCGACACGCGGCCGGCGGCGCCGGACAGCTCGTCGGCCGAGCCGGCGTCGGCCACGCGCAGCAGGCACGTGGTGACGTCGGCCGCGGCCTGCGCGCCCAGCGCCGCGACAAAGCCCGGCGCGGCCAGCCGCTCGAACGCCAGCTGCTGCGCGTACGCGGCCAGCCGCGCGTCGCCGCCGGCCGCGTACGCCAGCAGCGCCAGCCAGCACGCCGCGCCGTCGTCGCCGGCGCCCAGCTCGGCGCCGCACGCGGGCGCGAAGCACGCGGCGAACAGCGCGCGCAGCACGCGGTCGTCGGCGCTGCCGGGCTCGGGCACGCGCGCCGCCGCCTGCAGCCGCTGCATGTGCGCGGCGACCAGCGGGAACAGCTGCTCGAGCGCCGCGGCCGGCGCGGCCGGCACGACGGCCAGCAGCCGCGTCTGCAGCGCCGGCGCCACGCAGTCGGCGGCCGCCACGTGCGACACCAGGAAGGCCGCGGCCGCCGCACGCGCATGCGCGCCGAGCTTCAGCGCCGGCCGCGACGCCGCGCTGCCGAGCCCGCGCGCCAGCACCAGCGCCAGCTCGCCGCGCACGGCCCACGCGTCGCCGGCCATCGCCGCGGCGTTGTCGGCCAGCAGCGCCAGCAGCCGCGCGATGGTGGGCGGCGGCAGGTACTGCAGCCGCTGCGACTGCGCGCCGTACACGGCGTCGTACGCGTAGATGCTCTGCGCGCGCGCGGGCTTCTTCTCGTCGCGCACCGGGTGCAGCGCGGCCAGCGTCTGCAGGCAGGCGGCCGCGGCCGCGCGCACATCGGCGGCGCCGTCGGCCAGCGCCACCAGCAGCGCCGGCAGCAGCGCCTGGTAGTCGGCGCCCGGCTCCGCCGCGTGCTGCGCCAGCGCCGCGAACGCCAGCAGGCTGCGCGCGCGCGCCGCCACGGCCACGTCGGCGCTGGCCCACGTGGCCGCCAGGAACTCGGCCCACTCGCCGCCGACGCACGCGCCCAGCACGCGGCCGATCAGCACGCCGTCGGCCGGCGCAAGCGGGCCTGCGCGCGCCGCCAGCCCCAGGTACGCGGCGCGCACCACCGCGCGGTACGCCGCGTCGGCCGCGGGCTCGGCAAACCACCGGTGCGCGGCCAGCCGCCCGACGCCCGGCAGCGCCTGCACGACGGCCGACAGCGCGCCGACGGCCACGGCGGGTGCGCGCAGGCCGGCCAGCAGCCGCTCCCACGCCGCGCCCTGCGTGGCGTCGACCAGCACGGCGCCGGGGTCGAGCGCGCGCACCGCGGCGGCATGCTCGGCCGCCACGCGCTGCGCCGCCGCCACCACGGCCGCCGCCGCCGCCACCGCGCGCTCGGCGGCGCCCTGCGCGGCCAGCACGTCGACCAGCCGCGCGCCCACGGCCAGCGCCAGCGGCGCGCCGGCGGCCAGCTGCGCCGCCCACAGCACGCGGCCGGCGCCGGCGCCGTCGCCGGCGCCCTCCGCCGCCAGCTGCTGCGCGAGCAGGTCGCACACGCGCGCGTTGTACGCCGCGTCGACCTCGGCGCCCTCCAGCGCGCAGAGGCACGCGAGCCACCCGGCGCTGCGCGCAAACGCGCTGGAGGGCAGCGCGCGCGCAACGGCGCGCGCCACGGCGCTGTTCGCGCGCGTCACCGCCAGAAACTCAAACAGCGCGCCAGAGACCAGCGCGTACAGTGCGCGGTCGCCGGCAACGTCGACGGCCAGCAGGGCGCGCACGATGCCGGCGGCAACCCTGTCCGGCGCCACGCGCCCGCCAGCCGCCAGCGCGGCCAGCGCCGGCACCAGCTCCTGCGGGCCCACCATCGCCGCCACGGGCATCTCCAGCACGACGCGCAGCACGTCGGCCGAGTCCTCGTGCTGCAGGCGGCCGAGCACGAGCGCCGCAGCGTCCTCTGCCGGCAGCGTGAACTCGCCCTTGCCCGCGTCGCGCACAATGCCGGCCAGCGCCTTGGCCGCCACCAGCCGCATGCCGGCGTCCGCGTGGTTGATGCTCAGGAACAGCGTCGTCGCCGTCTCCTGCAGGGGCAGCACGTCGCTGCGCGCGCGCGCCGCGGTGGCCCGCGCCTTGAGCTTGTACAGCAGCCGGTGCTCCTCCGCGCCCTGCATGCGCGCCGCCATCGCGCCGATGGCGTCCTCGATCTGCTGGCCCATGCGCAGCTGCATCAGGTCGATAACCACCGCGGCCGCGCCCTCGGCGCCCTTGCTCTTGACGTACTCATCCACCAGCCGCTCGCACAGCACCGGCGTGCTCGGCGCCGGCAGCAGCGGCACGAAGCTGCCGAGCAGCCGGGCCAGCGGCTCGCTGCCGCCAAACGCCCAGTGCATCAGCGAGCTGAGCAGCGGCCGCATCAGAAGCTCGACGTCGTAGGCTGTTGCCAGCGCACAGAGCGCGCGCGGGAACTCCTTGTGCGGCGCAAGCAGCGTGAGGAACCGCTCGGACAGGACCGCGCCCTGCATGTCCGCCTGCGTCTGCATGACCTGCACCAGGCACATGGCCATGGCGGCAATGTCCGCCGGCCGCTGCGCCACCGCGCACAGCACGCGGTCGGTGGCGTCGCGCGTCAGCGTCACCCGCGTGGCCAGCGCCCCAAGCACCATATACGCTGCGACCTGCGCGTCCCTGCTGGCCAGCGCGAGCCCGTCCATGACAAGAGGCAGGACAAACTGCACCGTGCTGCCGTCGACCTGGCCCAGCTGGCCCAGGTACTGCGGGACGATCGTGGCGTAGAATGAGTGCAGGCCCGGGTAGTCCAAAGCCTGCGCGCTTGCGCGAAACACCGCCTGGCACATAAACGCCAGCACCGAGCGGTCAATCTGGCACTGCGCCTGGAGGGTTGCGCGGTCCAAAAGCCGCCGCGCCTTTCTCTGCGTCACAAGGAACCCGAACACCGCCATGTCCTCGGGGCTAAACGTGATGATCGTGAGCATTGTCAGGAACGCCTTTGTCTCGTGGTACGGCATGATGGCTGCGAGCACATCCTTGGCGTTAAACTCCTGGATCCTAAACCGCCGCACCAGCCACTCCAGTGCCTTTCCCGCCGGCTTGGTCAAGAAGTACGGCGCCAGAAGGAAGAGGAACGCCTGGATGCTCTTGTCTAGCTTCTCGTTCTCCTCCTTGGTCTGCAGCACACGGTCCATGTCCTTGACCGCCTCGGAGAAGAGCGTGTTGGCGTATGTGCTGAATTTATTGTTCATCTTGCGCAGCTCGTTGAGGCCGTCGCGACCAATGTCAAAGATCGTCTGGTTATCCATGTCCGCCGCCTGGTGCCCGTCGAAAAGGAACGACGCGCGGATCTTTTGTGCGCGCTCGCCGCTGACCATGCGGTCCACCGTGCGCATTCGGTACAGCTGACTAGCCAAAGATGATGCCATTGTCGGTGCTGTTTTACTTTTGGTGTGTTAAAGATATTTAAAGGATAAAGCCAAATAGATAAATAAAAAATATTACGAGAAACTTTGGTAAGCGAGAAGAAAAATAAATTATATATTATATAATACTTTTGGTTGGATCAAGTGTGTAGCTTTATTTTTTTTTTTTTTTTTCACACAACACACATAAAAAAATTGTAATTTGAAATTTGATCGGTTAATCCCAATCAACCCCCGCGTTCAGAAAAGAAAATGAATAAAAATTCTACAATCTCAGAAAATCCTATCCAGCACACTAGCCATGGACCCGCGTTTCTGCGCCGCGCCATCGTCCTGGCGCTCCCCCTGGGTTTTGCGGCGCTTACTGCCTGGTGCGCCATCCAGGGCATCCCCGCCAGCACCATTTGCTGCCATGCCGCCATTGCCGCGCACAACAACATCCCGCTGCCAAACATTCCTCGACCTATCCTTCATCGGCACAACCTCCTCGCCACTCTTCGCCTTCGCCTCCCGCTTCGCCTTCATACTCCCAAGCATCTTCGCCCTACCAACATTCTTCACATACGCATCCAGCTCCTTCCTCGACTGGCTAACCTCACTCTGCAGCCTCTGCTCCCTCGCCGCCTTCTCCCCCGCAAGCTGCTCAGATAAATGCCGCCATTTGAACTTGGGCAAATATTTGAGGTTCCACAGATCATCATGGTAAAACCCATGCTTTTTCCCGCCCATCTGCGTATTATTGAGCATGGAAGCTACGGCGCGGGCGTATTTTTTGTTCTTAAACTCTATCCACCCTTCGACAAACTGCTTGCGCCGGTTGCCGCCGCTCTTCACACGGCTTTTGCGCCGCTTATCCTCTTCCTCTACGAGGTAGACGCGCCCGATCTGCCCGTATTTCTCTAAAAGATGCCGCACCTTGGCGGGCTTCATGAATGGCGGTACACGAGACATGTAGACTACTCCGGATTTCTTCTCGGTCTTTTGTGCACGCTCAATATCCTTGGATGACAGAAGCTTATCCTTGCTGCTTTTACCACTGCTGGCTGCTGCTGCTGAGGTGTCGCCGCTGTCTAGGTCGCCGATAAAATAGTCATCGGAGGCTTCGGAGTCGTTGTCAGACTCTGCCGGATGCTGGTCACTGCCGTTCTCAGCCACAGCCACAGCCACAGCCACAGCCACAGATTCAGCCTCAGCCTCAGCCTCAGCCTCAGCCTCAGCCTCTGCTTCTGCTTCTGCTTCTGCTTCTGCTTCTGCTTCTGCTTCTGCTTCTGCTTCTGCTTCTGTCTCTGCCTCAGAGTCGCTGTCATCACTGTCATCGTCGTATTGCTGACGTTTCCGAATCATCGAGCTGCGCCCAGCCTCCTCCTCCTCTTCATCGTCTGATCCGGTGTCTGATCCAGTGTCTGACTCCGCATCAGAGTTGCTGCTGTTGGCCGCCTGCCGCTCCTTCTTCAATGTGCTTTTGGCTGGCACAGTGGCCGCTGTGAATTTAGAACTACTGCGCTTGTTTGCTGACATAGTTAACTTGTTGCTTGCTTGATACTAATGTTTTTTTGTCAGTGTGTTAATAAAACTTGTAAATATATAAAAATAACAAAATAATATTTGAAAACCAAATTAGAAAACAAGGAAAGCAGCAAAAAAATGAATAGAAATTTTTTTGAATGGGAAAAAATCAAGAAAAAAGAGGATAATAAAAAGGAAAAAATATGAAGAGGAAAAAAAAATCAAACCACTGATCCTTCGCGCAGCACCAGGTCCTTGATGCGCCGGACCAGCATCTGCACAAAGCTCATGTGAGTCGCCGCATTAGCCACCTCGTCATTGCTCAACTTCAGCTCCGAAAGCAGCGTCAACAAGGGCGGCAGCGTAATCGACACATCCGACCGAAGCAACTCGCGCTCCTGCAACGTCGGCACAACAACTATCGACGACTGGGCCCGACCCACGCTGCCATAAACGCACTCCCCACCATTGCTAACAGCAGCAGCACCTCCGCCCATGAAGAACGACAAATGTCTCCAGAACAGCACCAGCGCCTGCTCAACGGCAGAAACAAGCATAGCCGTGCTCTTGCCGATGCGCTGCGCCTGCTGGGTCAGCAACACAGATCCCAGCGCACGCATCTGCGCCGGCGCCAGGTCTTCTGAAAGCTCGACGTACGGTGATGCGCCCACGAGCTTGCGCAGGTCTGCCGTCGTCATCTCCCCGGAATTCTTCGCCAGCCGCAGCTTCTCATCGCGAGTACGCCGTCCGCGCTCGATCTGATGAAGCGATCGCCGCACAAACGACGTCAGCGTGGCCAGCGACGGCATGTAGTCCGACTCGCGGCTGTGCTCGATCGCCCACGAGAACGCTGGCCGGAACAACCGTGCTGCCTCGGACAATCCAACACCGCCCAGCGGCTGCTCCGTCATGGCCTGTGCGTACGACAGCGCATTGCGTACCACGGCATCGACAAGCTCGCTGGCCTGCTGCCCAAATACGGAGCCCTTGAGCTCGTTGCTGCCGCTGTCAGCCCCGTTCATGTCGTCGCTGCCGTTGGGAGACATCGCCGTAGATGTCCCGGCGGCCGACACATAAGCCTGCGCGCGCTCGACGTCGTTGGTCGCCACCAGGCGCTTGGTCCAGTTGCTCGAAGTGGCAAACTTTGGCAGCAAGGCCAGCATCGGCAGGTGCAGCGAGCTGACGCCAACATGGCCGCTTCCAGCCAGCGCCGCCTCACGCTCGAGAACCGCGCGCTGGCGGCCAATATAGAACACAAGCGAAGTAATGGCCTTGGCCTCGGTGAGAAGCGCGATCGACAGCGTCTGCGCCGGGATGGCCACCTCCTTGAGAACAGCCTCGAGCACGCTGTGGTGCTGCGAGACAAACCGCGCTGCCTTCATCCACAAGGTCAGGTTGTCGCGGCCGATGCGCGTGACCAGCACCAGAAGCAGGTTCAATGCGGGCATCAGCAGCTGGTGGTAGCGCTCGATCCGCGCCGGAATAAACGCGTCGGTGTAGCTCGCCGCCGCCTTGCCCTCGCTACTCACGCTGGGCCTCATGCCCAGGAACGCACAGTCGGCCAGAACGTCCAAGATACCGCTTTCCATCAGCTTCTCAGCTCCCTCCTGGCGCTGGGCCAAGCGCAGGAAGAAGGCCATCTTAGCTTCGTAGATGTACAGCGGGTTGAGCGAAGCCGGATCGGGGTGCAGCGTGGTCTGGATCGCCTGATCCTCGCGGCGCAGGATCGACCCAACAAACGACACAAAGAAGTTCTTGCGCACGAGGAACTGCACCACGCGGTTGACCCGCGCGTCAACGTTGAACAGCGTGGTCAGCGCGTCCAGAAGACTGAATGCAACTGTCTTCCACGCATCCGACGCATCGGCTGCGTCGGAGCTGACCGACTCGAGCAGACGATCGCCCAGGGTCGAATTGGCCAGGACACTTAGCGCACCAGCCACGAGCTTGTTCTTGGAATTGCGCCTGTTGACGCCGACGGAGCTCAGCGACGGCATGTCCTCAGCCTCAGCAGCCGCCAGCTTGCGCACACCGCCCAAGAAGTGGAGCATCGATGCGTACACGTTGCCGCGCAGCTGCAGCGATGACTGCGCTGCTGGAGTCAACGCTGCACCTACAAGCAGCTTCCACGCCTCAATAAGGGGCTCGACTGGCAGCTGGCTGTCGACAGCCGGCGGCAGCTGCCGCGACTGGCCCGAGATGCCCGGCTTGTTCATGGCCAGCGACGCGCGCGTGAGGATGCCAGCACGGATCCATTCGGAGCTCAAGCGCTCGGTAAACAGTGTCAGTGTTGACGCCAGCGCCGTCATCAGCTCAGTATGCCGCATCTCCTGCTCGGCAGTCGGTGGGCCAATCCACCAGCCCGGCGCATTCGCTGCGACCTTGCCCGGATGGTACACAGGGTCAACCTCGGCAATGACCTGCACCAGGCCGTGCAGCAGCTGGAACGCTGTGCGCTCGCGGCCGATGCGACCGCCAGTCTCAATCTTGTCCCACGCAGAGGTGACCACAATCTCGGCAATCTCCTTCCATCCGCGCAGCGCGCTGGCATAAGCAAAGTACAGCTCGCGCTCTTGGTTGGCAAAATAGCAGCGGATGACAAGGCGGCGGATGGTTGCGTTCACGCGCTGACGAGTGGCTGCGGCGCTCAGCTCCCCATTGGCCTCGAGCACGCGCTCAGCCTGACGCAGAAGCGCCACAAGCGCGTGCAGATCGTACACTGCACAGCCGCGCTCGTTGGCAACGGTGCAGGAGTTGATGTCGACGTTGAGAATGTCGGTGTCAAAGTAAGCGGCCTTGCCTTGATCAGACGTGGTCGCCGCCTCGTCCTCATCCATTGCCAGCGAATTGCTGAACTCGGTCAGATACTCGCGCTCGGTCTCGCGCTGCTGGCGGCTCAGGGCAACTGACGAGTCGCGATATGCCTGGCGCAGGCTGTCAAACACGGCCAGCAGGCGTATGCGCGAGTCCAGGAACCCTTGCGCCCCCCTGCCCGGCAGCAAACTGAACATCTCGCCGCAGTCGGCAGAACCGCCGTCCTGCTGGCTCGCGTCGCTGACCAGCCACTCGACAAGCAGCTTGGCCCGCGAGCGCGAATCCTGTAGCACCAGCGTGTGCAGTTCAAGGGCAGTACTGCGCCACAGCCACGCGCGCGCGTGCATCTGCGCATAGACCTTGATCGGGCTGTACACGCCGAGAGCGAGATCATCGCCGTCGGTCTCCTGGAGGTCGGGAACAATGACAGACGGCGTCGTGCTCATCTGCGTATAGAAGAAGTTCTCGCGCGCGCGCAGGTAGCGCATCGTCACATCGCTGGTGACCGGATCCGAGCACAAGTGGTAGATCAGGTGGAGGCAGCGCTCGGCAAGACGAGGCCGCTGCACGAGCAGTGCCGAAGACTGGATGTCGTACGACTCAAAGTCGTGGTGGTCCCTGCGCAGAATGTCGAGAATGGTGTGCATGCAAGTTGCGCGCTGCGACATTTCGGGCAGATCGTCGGACGTGGGCTTGGTCAGACTGAATCCAAGCAGGTAGTGCGCGATGGTTGGAGCAGGCTTGTTAGGCGAGATGTTGGCCAGAAGAAGGTCGATGATCGCCAGGCGGATAGACTGCAGTGGCGCAGTCGGCTGCTGATCCTCAAGCCCACTAGTGAATCCGCGCGCCGCTTCGCTGATCAGAGCACCCGACTGCGACTCGGCCACAACGTTGTCATCGGCCTCCAAGCAGCTTATAAAGCCGTGCATAATGCGCAGGCTCTCGTCGCTGTTGTCGATCAGGCCAACTAAGCGGTTCAGCGTCAGCATTCCTGACCGCGTGCCAGGCTGTCGTCGACGCCGTTAAACACGGGGGAGTCGGACAGAATGTGCAGGATCTTGACAGTTGCCAGGCACACGTCGGGCGAGACGACGCAGTTGATATATGTATTATCTGCACGACAGACTGGCGGCGCGAAAGCAGCAGGTTCTCCAACGTGGTCAGGGAGCGAGGCAGACTCAGTGGGAACCCGAGCACGTCCGACGACTCGAGGAGTGTCGGCACGACCGAGCACAGCAGCGTGTCCTGGATGCGCAAAATGCGCAGCAATATGCGAAGCGTGCTGAGCACGGAGAATGAAACCGACTCGCCCAAGTCGCCAGTAGCACTGTTCAGCGTGTCGACGCCGACGCTGAGCACGTGCAGCAGCGTTTCGAGCAGCTTGGAGCCACACAGGATGCGAATAGCAATTTCGAATCCAGGGTGGGTCACCAGCGCGCGCAGGGCCGAGGCATCAGGAGCCCGGCTCGTTCTTCCCTGCTGTTGCTGCTGCGCACTGCTGTTGGTGTCTGCAACCAGCCCGCTGAGGTCCATGGTACCCAGGCAGCGCTCAACGACGTCCAGCGACAGCGCGTAGACGCGCCACTTCTCGGAGCGTAGCGGTACGAGCGCTGCTCTGTCTTGAGAAGCACATGGTCGAGCACAAAGCCGACATAGGGGCTAATTCCGGGAATACGGTATGATTCGCCCAGGTCAATTGGGATAGACGGCGACGACGCAGTGTACAGGATAGGGTCACGTTCCATGTTGGACAGTGCCGGGGCGCTGCTCGACGTGTGGATAAGCGTGCCCACCAGACGCACAAAAGCACGCATCTCAGGATACGTCTCGACAGGGGCCTCAATCTCCTCGAGCTCGTACACAATGCCCCGCGACTCTGCCATGGCTGCCGCCACTGTTGGTGCTGCTGCTGCCACGGCCAATAGTCATGCCGCGCTGGGGAGTCTGCTCGGCATCGGGACCTGGTGCGCACCGGCCGGAAGTGTGTTGCGCAGTGAGTCGATGTCGCTAGTGGTAGGCAGCGTCTGGCTTTGCTCTAGCAGAGCCCAGCTGCGGCGTGCCATCTCACTGATGGCCTGGCGCATGCTGTCGGGAACTGTCTCATCGCACAGCTCACCAAATGCGGCAATGGTATCGATCAGGCTAGCCTTAGGGACACCGGCACAGTGCACCCGAGCAGGTTAAACATAGTGATCATGGGACTGTAGTCAGTACTGTCGTAGATGCTCGAGCGCGCAACGATCGAGTAACGCACAACCGAGCGGCACAGTCGCAGGAAAGACCGCAGCAGTGCAACCTCGGGCTCCGGAATCTCAGGCGGCGGCGACAGTGGGTCGGGCTCGCTCTGGCGCATCTGGCTCGCATAAAAGTCGAGAGCCCCAAACAGCGCTGGCCACGAGCACAGCGGCGCCTGGTTCGATGCCACCTGGCCGCGGCTCGGGCACAGCACGCTGTTTTCGCTCGCGCTCATGAAATCGTGCGCGCAAGCGCTGGACTCGGGCCGCACGCCAGAGAAGAGAGCATGTTGAAGTACCCGCGAATCATGCCTGGCTCGCGGCAGTCGGAGCCCCAGCGCAAGAACACAGCCAGACGATCGTCAAGGTCGATTTGCCCGCCCTCGGGCCGGCCCCAGAACCGCAGACCGGCATCAGGACGATCAGAGTATAGGACAGTGATCAGCAAAAAAAGAGCCTCGGTGTCGCGGCGGGGATCGGAAGTGGCGGTCGAAGCGCCTGCAGCCTGGCTGCTGGCGCCCTGGTTGTTAATCGGGCGGCTGTACCTGTACCCGCTCTGTGCAAGTTGCTGATGTTGCTGCTGTTGCAGAAGAAGCTGGCGCTGCTCCTCCTGGGCGGCACGCTGGAGTTCAGCCTGTTGGGCCTGGTATATCGCGTCCTCCTCGCTATAGCGCATGCGCCTGATCAAGCTAGACATGCGGCCGATGAATGCTGCCACTGTGTTCTCCAGCATGTGCTCGATGTGCCACTGCAAGTCCTCAGAAATGTCGAGAAAATGCGGGTACCTCTGCTTCTTCGAGTCGGCTGCGCTACTGCGGACCGAGCCAGCTGCCGAAGATGTGTGCTGTCGCTGCAGAACCTCAAACTCGGCTGAAAGCTCGTAGTCGATGTCGTCCGTAATGCGATAGCCAAGAAGATAGTCCACTGCGAACCGATATGCGCCCATTTGGATGGCCTGCTCAGCAATCCGCTCGACGCGGTCCTCGCGGAAGCCAATCAGGTGGTCGAATCCGGGAGAGCGCTTCATGCCAAACAGCGCGAGCAACGCCCACTGCAGCCAGATCAGGCCCTTCAATCCATCATCTGACCACGGCTTCTCAATTATTTCGGCGTTGAGTTTGACCAAGAACTGGCTGTCGCGCACCAAGTGGTTTATCTTGTCCAGCGCAGTCGCCTCGGCCAATTCCTGGTTGGCTCCTTCGGCCGAGGTGCTCAGGGCCGTCAGTAGCGCGAGGGACATGCGCAGAGTGACCGGATCGTCTACGCTGCTGGACCTGAGCCACTCGACGACGGCGATCAGCTCGCCAGAGTTCAGCTGGTAGTTGCGAATGATGGCAAACATCAGCATCGCCAGCTGCTTGCGCTCCTCACCCAACTTTGTCAGTGCGAACTCGACAACATCGCGCTTTACGGTATGTCGGCAGTTGGCCCATCGAGGATAGCAGTGACCTTGCCCTGCTTGGTCTTCAAGTCTTTAATGTGCTGAGGATGCGCTCAGGGAACATCGTGTTGGCTGATGTCAGTGTGGTGGAGAGCATCTCGCTGGCAAACTCGTCCAAAACTGTCCTGACCGACTCGTCAACCGCCTGGCTCCCGCCGGCGACAAATATCGTGGTCAGGCTCGCCAACTTTGCCTCGCGTTCGCTGAAGAACAAGAGCACCGCTGACTCGGCAGCCGGCAGCTCGAAGCGTTTTTCAAAAGGCCCCGCCTTATGCACCAGCGCCGCAGCAATGTCCTCGTCAATGTCTAAAAAGTCAGACAGCTTCTTTGCCTCGCTGATAAAGTCATCGCTGACCTTGAACTTTTCGCCGTTGATCGACGGTGTGCCCTTCTCTAGCTCGGCGCGGTGCTGCAAATTCTTTCCCGGATACTCAAACAGACCGGCCAGATCCGGCTTAAGCTTTGCTAGTTGCTGCTTTAGCTGCTCGAATGTGGGCGAATCGTCAGTCAGCTCCAGACTCTCCTCGAGCAGCTTGTTGAAGTTGGAAAACCTCTCGGGCACCCAGGTAGTGTTTACCATTCTACAAGTTGAGGTGAATGATTGTTGGATTTAGTTTTACAATTCATTTATGTATTAACTTTTTACTCTGGCTGCCAGAAATAAGACTCTGCATTCCGATTCTGCTTACTATTATATTTTTTTATAGTTGTGTCGAAACTTTAATAACGAATACGAAAAAAGCAACGAACGTCCGAGCACGCGCTGTAATAGTAAATCTGGTGTATTTGGAAATGCGATTGAAACAGACGCGCTGGTCAATAGTATAAAAAGTGAAATAATATAGAGATGGTAAAGTAAATGTGGTGCTAATTGAATAAAAAGAAAGGAAAAGACAAAACGAGGATTGGTAAATGTGAAAAAATAATTGTTTCGATTCGTATATTTTCTATTGTTTGTTGACGCGAGACGAGGCAAGCGCGCCGAAAAAATATAGAATCGTTTTTTTACGCGCACTGCCTTGATCCGATGTTGTTGATCTCTGAATTCTCTTTTTTATTAGATCAGCACTATGCCGCACAAATAAATATCAGCAGAGGCTTTTGGTTAGGCACAAACTTGAGATTGACTTTACTCTTCGAAGCGGGCCTGTTGGCTGTGCTATTTCTGCCAATGAATGTACCTGGTATATAATATGAAAATTAAAATATGACAGTTAAGCGCGGATGTTTACTGGGCAGGGCCAGTCCATCTGCGGTTCTTCCAGAACTCGACTGGGGTGGCAAACTTGTGGTCAATCAGCAGCTTGTTGCGGTCAATGAACTCGGCTCCTCCATCGAAGCCTCCAAACTCTTCGATGCCCTTTAACCCCTGGATCAGGCTATCGTTGCCAATTTGCTCAACCGGAATCTGGACGTAGCGGGCCGGAATGCCAGTAGCCTCAGTGAATGCCTCAACTAACTCTTGAATTGTGTAGTAGCCACTGCTTACCTCTCGCTTTTCCAAGGCTCTCTTCGGGGTGGTCCAGAATGTAAGATACTACAGCGCCAACGTCATTGGCAGTGTCAACAATTGGCACCTCTGTGGTGGGATTCAGCGGAAATACAAACTCGATGGTCTTGCTGTCCTCCAGCGAAAGGCGTGACGAGTTTATTAGATTTTCAAAGTAGAATCCTACATAGACAAAGTATCCGCGGATCTGGTTTTCCTTGCTCAAAATGTATTCTTCAACCCTGTGCTTGCTTTCAAAGTGCATGACGCCCGGGTACTTGCCATTGGAATTTGCCTTCAAAGAACCAAGGCTGCTGAAGACTAGGGACTCAACACCCTCGGCGATGGTGGCATCGACTATGTTCTTACCATGCTCGTACTCTTTGTCATAATTAACGTCCCAGTCATTGGCCACCAGGTGGAAGTCACACTAAACACAATATGTGCGCCCTTGGATGCTTGACGTAACGAAGCAATGTTGCCGAGGCCAGCGCTTGCCAGTTCAATGCCCGGGTACTTCTCCACCAAGCTCTTGGCAGCGTTGCTGCTAGTATCACGAGTCAGTGCGCGGATTTTGTATTTGCCAGTGGCGTAGAGAGTCTTGAGAACACTGCCGTCCTGAAGGCCAGTTGCGCCGACGATTGCAATTGTTTGGGTCATTATTTGGTGGTTGATTTGGTTGAGTTTAAAAATTTTAAATGTTTGCGAATATATGATGTGTGTAAGCGAGTGTAATTATTTATGGCAGTATTGTTTGGAATGAGCACCATGCGATACCTTTTATACACTAAAGTCTACATGCTTTTATTGACAATGCCAACCTGGTACTAATGCAATAATTTTGCAAATGGCGAGAAAATATGTTTATTCTACGTTTTCTCGATAATTATCCATATTAGTACACAAACAAAGACACGTTGGCACCATATATTTGCTTTAAATTGTTGGGTTTGTCCTGTATTTGTGGTGTACTTTGCTCGCTAAACAAGGCAGTATGCACTTATCGCATCATTTGTCTTGTTTGTTTGTTTGTTTGTTTACTAATGTGTTCAACTTGGTTTGCTGACAAAGCTTTATTTAATGTTTTATACAACTAATCTTGCAGCGCGTGACATCTGGCTATTTAAATTATGTCGATTCAGGTTGCTTCTGGATGGCTAATGCTTTGGCCGTGTTTATGTTGGTCCTCTGGAACTAGTTTTAAACTCAAGAGATTCGCTGCTGGCAACATAAAAATATAAGATGTGGTACGCATAGTGAAGGGGAAATTACAAATACCAGCTGCAAGGAGTGTTTGGATAACTCATGTATTTGACAATTGATTGTTTGTAATCTGGCTGGAAGTTGACATTAAATTTCAAATAAATAACATTTAATAACATTTAATAAACTATCAAAATAAAACTAAATATTTGAGCAGAGATGCTCGGACAAAATAATTGGCTTTTGTATGTCGTGCTCTATAAAAATGTGGGTCTAAATCGATATATTCAAGTCTTAAAAATTACTTACTAAACTGAAAAAGGGGGCAGCGCTGTGTGGGCAGCGCTGTAAACATCATGGTGTTCCTTGATGTCAGCCAACAATAACAGAAATATGTATAGTGGCCATGAGAGCGACCTTGATTCTTGAAAAGGGAAGATAGTGGCTTGAAATGTGTGTTGGGCACCACATTGTATATGTATAACTGTGATGATAGTGGGCCGATTGCAAACATAGTCTGCTTTTCACTGGTCCAAATTGGACTCAGAAAAAGAATATTCTGGACTGGACTAAAACAAGTGTTTAAAATCGGGAACAAGTTATATATTAATAATGGCGCTGAAAACAAGTACTAACTTACAATATTATGCAACAACTATCGTAACACTTGCAAAACCCTCTTTCTTTACAGCATTTCTTGCAATATTCATAAGTGGGGAACTCAGGGCCTTTAGATTCTGCAAAAATTGAGGTTACTTCATTGACGACGTTAAACATGGTTAATTTGTATATTATTGTATGCCTAGGCTGCTAATAAGAAGAGTAGTGTAGAAACTTAGTGATTAATATGTAATTATAAAAATGGATATACATTATCGGTGTATTTATACCATTTTTAAAGTTGGTTAGATATTTTTTTAAAAAATAATAGCATTGCATTTTTATTCTTTTTGAGGTAAATTGTACTTCTCAATTTAACCCAAAGCACACTCTTTACTTACATTGTACATGTACTTACTTTTTCTCTTATTGTGTTTTTACTCACCTCATGCTTTTACTCACATCATGCGCTTTGCAATATTTTTTTAAAAGTATTGATGCCCATCAATTCCGAGAAATCGATAAAAATGTATCCCTTTAAAAACAAATTAATAGCATTGCATTTTTATTCTTTTTGAGGTAAATTGTACTTCTCAATTTAACCCAAAGCACACTCTTTACTTACATTGTACATGTACTTACTTTTTCTCTTATTGTGTTTTTACTCACCTCATGCTTTTACTCACATAATGCGCTTTGCAATACTTTTTTTTAAGATATTGATGTCTATCAGTTTTTACTTCTGATCTAAACCTAGGAACATTTTGTTTGGGCGCCAACACATTGATGCAGGTCACCATAATTTAGTTTATTCATAAAGTAGATCTTTTGTTGCAAAAAATAAACACCTTATTATTGACATGAGAGAGAAAATAGATACATTGATCAAGATATAAAATAAGCACACCTTATTTTTGACATGTATGTGTGAATTTCCCATATTGGTTGCAAAGCTTGTTTTATGCAAGCCGAAATATGACCTGAACCCAGACTCGAGCAAGGTCTTTTAACCGGTGCTAAAAAAACAAGATAACTGCCCACAGTTTTTATACCTATTCCTTTTTATTCTATAACATTTTAAAAAATACAGATGGGCCAGCCAGAGTTTGTATTCAGAGGCCACCAGGCTGCGGTCAACAGCGTGAGCTTTTTTGCTGATGACCGGTTTCTAGTGTCTGGGGACCAAGACGGCCATCTGATTGTGTGGAACATGCTGCTCAAACGGCAGCTGGTTACAGCAACTGCAGCGCATTCAGCAGCAATTTTAAAGGCCTGTGGTGTTAGCGGCGACACAGTCCTTAGTCAGGGTCGAGACAACAAGCTGAATATTTGGAAGCTCGTTGCCAGTGAATTTTCCGGTAGTCTTGAGCTTGTGCGGTCGATTGGCGCAGATTCTATGAGCTTTTGCAAGTTCTCGCACTGCAAAGTTGGGGGCACTACATGGGTTGTGGCCTTGGAGAACGCCGGATCCGGAAAGGCCTACATGTATAACATTGACGGATCACAGCATTTGTCATTCAGCATTGAGCGCAAGAGCCAGACCAAGGCAGGCGAGCGGGAGGACTCGCCGATGTGCATGAAGCTAGTTTCACAAGGTACAGACCGGTTCTTGTTGCTAATTGGTTACGAGAGTACGATGCTGCAATGCTTTGAAATATTGATGGACTCGGCGATATCATGCACATCAAATTGTATCAGCGCTGTGGCCACAGCTCACAAGGAGCCTGTTATGAGCATTGACTATGACCACCAGCGCAAACTTGTCTTTACATGTGCCGCTGATAATATGGTTTGTTGCTACTCTATTGAAGCGACAGGGCTCTATGAGGTTATACCGCCTGCGGTGTTGCGGAATCCTGGCGGCTCAGAGGTGCGCTGCTTTTTGTCTCCGCAACTGGTTGTTGTCGCTGGGTGGGACTATTCGATCCACATTTTTAGAGAACGGATGGAGCATATTTGCAGCCTTCAATTCCATCGTGCGGCGATAACATCCGTTGATGTAAGCACTTTGAGCCAGGCCTGTGCGGATGTCATAACAGACGATATGATTCGCAGGCGGTGGTGTTCTAGGCCGCAATGGCTGGTGGCTGCAAGCAGAGACTCGAGGATATCGCTGTGGAATATTGGCAGCATTGCTTAAGCAGCCGAAAATAAGACATTTTTGTGATCATGCGCATTTTATTCATGCTCAAAACCTCGTGCAATGTAACAAGATCAAGTGGGAACATGCGCACATCTGAGGATAAATGAAGAGATCTCGCCCACCTTTTTCATGTTCTTGCTTCAATTAAATTCAGTTTGTTTTATTTATTATATACTTGAGCCACACAAAAACATACGTAGTATATATTTCTGCAATGCCATTTGTCGGCAAACTTGTCCACTATAGTATTGATCTGGTGCTCGTTTCGACGACACTGGCCGGAATCCGCCGATCCGCGGGTCTAACGTAAGTAAAGCAAAAAGCTTCTGAGAACAGTTGAAATTATTGAAAACACTCGTATTAATCGCTAAATAATATTTATTGTTGCATGTGGGTTTCTTATGTAGTCTGGCTGTCGACGACACAAAGGGTACTGCCAACGTGGCCATCAAGAAATATCTGCAAGTCGGCGAGTCGGTCATCGACTACATTAGTCCCATCTTGGCGGCAAGCGATTATTTTAAGCGCGACAAGTAAATATGTTTTAAAATTTTTCAATGCACCGCGTTCAAGAGTATCCTCGAAATAAAAAAGACAAATAAGTGTACGCCTTCAAATGAATGAAAATGAACATTTATATGGATATGGAAATTGCACGTCTACAAATTGTTTTAATTACACCAAAGAAAAGAATGAGTCTACAAGTATCCTGCAAATCGACGTCCTTCTCAAAGATTGAATAGCAACCTGACAGGTGTTTAGAAACTAGTGGCAATAGACCACTATAGCTGACAATATTATCCAGTTCGCTGCTTATTTTAAAGGGAAGAAGCAGGGGAAGATGGATTCTTGCGCACGCGCTTGGTCTTGTCTTGGACTTTGGCTTGAGCAGAACCTCGGGTGTCGCTGTAGACTCAGCTTCAGTCGACTCTGATGATGCCTTTTTGCATGAAAAACGGGGTTTGAAAATCACCCGCTTAAGAATCTGGGCTTTCGCTATAAATGTCTGGAAATTCCAAAATCCATTTACACCAGTGTATTTATTATAATCAAATTTTCATGTGCGCACAAAAACATGCACACAGCGGCAACTTGTTTGGCCTATTTTCCCCTTGTCCTAGTTTGGAAATCACACATGCGTGAGCCTCGTTTCTTTTGTTTGCTCGTTCATGCTATTGTTTATTTTTGTTAACCTATTTTGCCTTTATGTGTTACAATTATTATTATTATTATTATTATTATTATTATTATTACAATTCAAATACTAATTCAGAGTCAGAAATGTACAAGGTTTCAAATCCGGACGTAAAATACACGGTCGCCGCTATGGTTGGCGAGAACGCTGACGGCGTGATGGTTGTCGGCACATACACCATTGTCAAGAAGCTCGGAAGGGGCGCGTACGGAACCGTCTACCTTGTCAAGCACGCTGACACCGGGAAGCAATATGTACGTATGCTGGATGCTCTCTTATTTCTTGCTTTGCGCCAATGTTATGTCTTGAAATATAACCAATGCTAAACCACATTTTTTTGTATGTAGGCCATGAAGGAGTACTTCAAAGCGAGTCTGCGCAAGCGGCGACAGTCTGATATAATGAAGAGCGCACGCGGCGGAGGATCCATGCGGCCAGGCCGTGGCGGGCTTTTTGCTGCCCGGCAGACTATGCAGAAGCAGCAGAGCGAGGAGGCATCCGACCCCTTTTCGCTGATAAAGACCGAGCTTGCTATATCAAAGAAGCTCAAGCACCAAAACCTCGTGCAACTCTACGAGGTGCTCAACGACTCGGAGCAGGATGTGCTGTATCTAAGTAAGTGCAGCCGGAAAATAAAATTAACACTTGATCCATGGTGCCACTTGTCCTTCTGTAGAGTGTTTTCTATCGTCAACAAACGCTGTAAGGAATGTAGATATGTGTTCTTAAAATAAGTTTTCTGCGTGTGTTTGACTCGCTTTTCATATAGTCATTGACCTGTGCGAGAACGGTCCCATCCAGATTCTGAACGCTGAGCAAAACTCAACTAGCACATACTCAACCGAGGTTGCGCACAAGCACTTCACGCAGGCGTTGCTCGGGCTGGAGTACCTCCACGAGCATGGTATTGTGCACCGCGACATCAAGCCCGACAACCTGCTCCTGACAAAAGACAATGTGCTCAAGATTGCAGACTTTGGCGAATCTGTCTTGCTCGAGGAGATCGGGGACAAGGTCAAGGGGTCCACCGGCACTCCTGCCTTCATGGCGCCAGAGCTCTGCCAGAGCTTAAGCGAGATCTCCGGCGAGGCCGCGGACATATGGTCGCTGGGCGTGTGTCTATATTGCTTCGTGTACGGCACCCTGCCATTTAAGGGCACCACTGTGTTTGAGATTATGGACGCGATTTCCTCAGACGATCTGCAGTTCCTGGGCACTAAAGATGAAAGCCTGAACGACCTGCTAGTTCACATGCTCGAGCGCAACCCCGAGACGAGAATCACAATCGATGAGATTCGCGAGCACCCGTGGGTTACTCAGGGCGGAAAGTTCCACCTGGCGACCAAGGAGAAGAACTGCGAAAACCCGGTCGAAGAGGTCACTCAGCAGGATATCGACAGTATCATCCAGCCCATCTTTGACATCATGCCAGTCATCATGGCCATCTCCAAGCTCCGCCGCTTCCGCAGACGCATCAGAGATAAACGTGGGCAAGAGGAAATACTGGAGAAGGAGAGGAAGCAGCTACAAGAGCAAAAGATAACCGTGATTGCAGATGACCAAATATAATTATTTTTTGCGTCAAATAAAAAGCACTGAATTGTATTGCAGCATGTGAAGAAAAGGCCGGGCTACAGCTCACCCAAAAACATGGTCTTATCGACGCTCGACGACAAGATAATCGGCTCCCGCGGATGAAAGTCAACTTGGGTTACGCAGCCCTTGTGTCCTGGAAGCTTGAACTTGATCTCGCCGGAGCGCATGTTCCATATTGTCGTCGTCCGATCAGCGCTGCCCGATGCAACCATGGTTTCGTCGTGGTCAAAGGCCGGTCGGATTATGTTCTTTTCAAAGCCGTGGGGAGCGCCGGTGAATACGCGCTCGCAGCGATTGGGGATGCGGCAGTACGGGCGCAAGTCCCAAAGACGCACGGTGTTGTCCAGCGAAGTTGAAACCAAATAGTTGCCCGTCTTTGGCGACAACGAAATGCCCATCACCGTGTCAGCGTGACCGCGCAGCACCAAGGAGGGTGTCGACATTGTGCGTACATCCCAAGCAGTGATGCAGTTGTCCAGCGAGCCGGCGTAAACGATATTTCCTGAGTGCGCAGCAGCCACAGACGTGAGCGGTAGCTGGTGGTCAATTGTAGCCACCGGATGACGCTCGCGCGCATCCCACAGCAATAGCTTTCCGTCATCTGAGGCGCTGGCAAACACATTGTCGTCGCCGGTCCCAGAACGCAGCAGACAGCACGCATTGACCGGCGCGGTGTGTCGCCGGCCGCGCTTCAGCACTTCGCCCGTAGTCGCATCCCACATGGTCACTGTTTTGTCTGCGCTTGCGGTAATCAGCCTCTCGCTACCGGGCATCCACTGAAGCTCCAATATTCCGCCCTTGTGTCCCTGCAAGACGCCATAATTTTCGCAGTCTCCGTACGTGTTCCACAGGAACACCCGCATATCGGTCGACCCTGATGCCAAGTGCTCACCGCTGGGCGAAAAGCGACAAGTGGTTACTTCACCCGAGTGGCCAGACAGCTGCATGATTGGCGCTTGCAACCCGGATGTGCGCCTCGGCCCGGCCTGAATGAGCGCTGTGCTGCCCTCGTGCCGACTGTCATCAGTCTTTGGACGCTTAACTAGCGCCACCGTTGTGCCATGCGTGTGTGTGTGACTGGATGAGGATTCGTGTTGTGTTTGATTGCCCTCATCCGAGGAGCTTACGGGCGGTACCTTGCGCTTGTGTTCAACCATTTCTTCCTGCCCTTCTAATAAGTATTTTGAGTAAGTAAGATTCTGATGAGGAGGATATGTTGTGGTACTGGGTGGAGAAATTATCCGCTCCAAAACCGTTTTAACTCATTTTTTGATAATCCTTTTTACAAAACGCGCATGCTTCTGGGGGTTGCACGTGATAATAGTTTGATGCGGCACCATTGTCAACATGCTGATCTGGCGTTTCCGCTTTCAATTACCATGGCATTCATAACCACGCATGGCTCGGTCCCTTGTTGCCACATGGTCCGAATTCAGTCTAAGTGGCGTACGACTGCTGATAATGACGATCATTAACATCGTATTGCACAGTCTCCACATGCTTGGATATGGCAAGCGACATATTTCCATGGCATTTCCCGCTCGTATAAAAGAGGAGCTAGTCGGAGCACATTATTCTCGCCCTCGCTGTGGCCTGCAAACATCATCTATCTATCTCAGTCGTTTTATTAACACAATTAAAATTGTTTCTACTCTTCCCAACTCTCATTCACATCAATTTTAGCGCACAATTGACCTTTTTATTTTGACATCTTGACAATGGCGAGGGCAATGTGGAGAGAAATATACAACTCTGGTGCATACGTACTGCTGATTTACCGCCAAGGATGTCTCGCACTATAAGGGACTTGAAGGATGAGCTGTTGATAAAACCTAGTGTTGTGCTGTCTGTTATCGTGCTATACAATGATGACGAGCTCGCTGGGAAATATATTTACCGAGATGATTTTTTTAATTGAGCACACCAATTACATAATCTACTACCTCCTCAATTTCAGGCTTCCTTATTGAAAAGTCCAACTTTTTCGTGGAAAAGGCATGGTCTTCAATCTTAACTGACAACTTTTTTTTGCTGCTCTGATATATGGTGCATTAATATTCTTAAGAGCCATTCTTTACGAATAAACTGCCACTTAAATGAAAATTTTGCGTGCTTGTTTTGTTTCATCACATATTTAAACGAATGAATTGACTCAACAATCTAAGCGGTCGATTTCGCTGCAAGATGAAGGAATTTTTTTACTAAAAAAAACTCGGAGCTAATATCGCAGCAATTTCAACCCTTATCTTTTTCTTGGAAATATGCGACTTTTGCGATTTTGATATCCAAAAAATTGCAAAATCTCCGAGCCCAATTATCCCTTACCATTTAAACTTTTATTTTATTTTATTTTTATTCTCTTTTTCTCAACCCAATAATTCAACCCAAAATTTACACTTTTTTTTACAACGATGGTGAATGCTAAGCATTTGTTCAGAAACATTCTGCGGACCCACCGGAGACTTCCCCAGGAGATGCGGTTTGTCGGCGACCAGTACGTGCGTGCTGAGTTTCGCAGTCACAGAGCAGTCACAGACAAACGGTTCCTCGAACCGTTCTTCACTCAGTGGACATCATACCTCGATCTTCTCAAGGAGCAGACTCGGGATCTCAGCAGCGAACGCATGGAGGGATCCTCCACGGGTATTGGCAAGCACCTCGATGCGGACTTGATCGAGAGGCTCGATGACGACAAGGCTGAGCAGCTGTTGGAGTTGCACCAGGCGTCAGTGACGTCCGAAGAGGAAGCGGCAAAGAACAGCGGCGAAGCTAAACAGGGCGGGGCTAATGTTTCCAACAACGCCTCGGCGCCGCCAAAGCGAGCGTGATGTAAAAAAACATCGTTTTTGTTGCAATGTCATTTTTATATAATTAGTCACGAAAAATAGATAGTAAAAGCAAATGCACCATTAGAGAGTGACTTTGACGCCAAGAAGTTTGATAAACTCGCGCAGCCAGACACCGATGGCAGGGTACGCAGGCGCCGAGACCAGGTTCCCGTCAACATGCACATTCTTGCTAAACGCATCAAAGTCAACGTACTTGCCGCCCCCAGCAATAACGTCGAGCTTGCACATGGGGAATGCCGAACACGAGCGGCCCTTAAGCACACCAGCAGCAGCCAGAAGCTGCAGTCCATGGCAGACGGCCGCCACGGGCTTCTTCTGGTCAAAGAAGTGGATGATGATATCCAACACGCGCTGGTCATAGCGCTGGTACTCGGGGAAGCGGCCGCCGGGAACGACCAGGCCGGCGTAGTCATCGAGGTTGATGTCTGAGAAGGTGTGCTCAAGCTCGAACGGGTGGCCGGGGCGCTCCGAGTATGTCTGCCAGCCATCAACGATGTGCAGCGCAGTCTGAATAGTGTCTCCGGCCTTCTTGTCGGGGCATACAATGTGGACGTCAATGTCCAGCATCTCAAGCGCCTTGAGTGGAGCGTACAGCTCGTAGTCCTCGATGTAATCGCCGGCGAGAAGCAGGATTTTCATTTTAGTAAATAAGAGGTATTATGAGTCAATTTTGGTAGAAAAAGATAAACAAAAGGGAGATAAAAAACAAGATTCAAATCGAGAACATAATAACACGAAAAACGTAATTATTATTATAGAGTTTTGCACAAAGGCCCTAGTTTCCCATCTGCTGTCATTGGTTTTACCCAGTAGGGATTGAACTGTCAGGCAGTAATAGCTGCCATGATGTGAGGAAAAGGATACACAATTATCCAGACTTGTTGCGCTTAGACCCGGAATTCGGATCATTTGGTGGTCTACCACGGAATTTGAAAGCTGGGTGGCGCGCACCAAAGTCGCAACGATATAGGAATATCAGAATAAAATTGCACACCAATGCAGTGTTGCGGTTCCAACACCTAAACTTGATGTTGGACTCGACGGCGGTCTTGGTCTTGTCCTTGAGCACTGTCTCTGAATTCTATGAAATGTCGGACCTCGTTTTATGATTTATCTGGTGTCATAAATCAATAGTGTTTTTGAATCCTGTGTTTTTTGAGTGAGCTGTGAAAGGACAATTAAGTAATACACTTGTAAGCCAACTATTTACAACACTAGTCGAGAGTGCTTTACAAACATTCTTTGAACTTTGGAAATTACATTTTTGCTTGAGATGAGCTAGTATTGCTAACTATTCTTGACTGTAGTTCTTTTACAGTTACATTTTCTGAACCAAATCGACAGCCAAACAAAATATACGAGCGTTTAACCAAAAAACAAATATAAAGGGAGTTTTGCACTCCAAAACTCCTAATGATACTTCTAGTTGCTGAGCGTCTGAACCGTGGGATTCATACTTTCCACTTTTTTATACCAGCAATGGCAACGATACCAGATGTATGGCGCGTCCAGCTGGATAAGGTGGGGAAAAACTAATGGCCAACGTGTTCGCCTGTTACTACTGATTTGGCGGCTAACCGGTATATCGGACATACAGATCGAATAAAAGATAAATATGCACAGCTAAAATTAAGCTACTGATAATCAAAGTGTAATTGTTCAAGCACACGGATCACAGTCATGCACACCTTTGGCGCCAGCACTGTGGTTCCTGGTTCATATGACCAACCGCTTTCTGCAAGCTTCTTTATTTTTTTAAATATTCGAAATATTCCATATTTTTCCTGCTCTAACACATCTACATTTGCAAAAAATAATGCTCGACCAATTTGTCATTGCAACCAAGGGCGGCATCCTGCTGTGGTCGAACGACTACGTCTCGGTCGGTGGGCATCCGGTGGATTCGCTCGTACAAGATGTGCTCATTCAGAGCACGCGCACGGACAGCAGCAGCAAATACATGTCGGGCGCGTACACGCTGCAGTGGACGTTCGCCAATGAGCTCAACGTGATATTTATTGCCGTGTACCAGAAAATACTGCAGCTACCCTACATCGAAGATCTGCTGAAGCACGTCAAGCGCCACTTCATTGCGCGCTTTGAGAGCGAAATTAAGCAGCTGATGGACTCCGACTGCCTGGATATTCCAAACTTTGGTGATTTTGACGACGAATTTGAGCAGGTCATGCGGGCCGTCGAGGATCGCGAACAGCACGAGCGACAGAGCAGGCATTCTCAGCCACGAAAGTTTGAAGACACAAAGAAGTTCCAGACGACGGCAAAGGGCGCCAAGCTTGAGCTGGAGGAGCTGGCGCAGGCCGGCGAGATGGAGCTGCTGGCGCCGAGTCGTCGCGCTGGCAGCAAGATGCGTTCGTTCGGAGAGCGCCGCAATGGTGAAGAGGCAAAGAAGACCGGGAAGAAGGCAGAGAAGAAGGGCAAGGAGAAGCGCGTGTGGGACGGCCAGGTTACCAAGGAGAGCATGCATGCACTGGACTACAGCGGCGCAAATGGCGGTAACGAAGATATGGGTAGCCACTTGGTCTCAGCTTTGGTCGACGAGAACTCGCGCGGCGCGCGCACGGCCGATGGCATCTACGAGGTTGCTGACGTGGCCGAGCGCTCGACAGGCTCTGGAGATAGCGATAGCTTTGTCCTGCTTAGCGACAACGACGGCGGCAGCGACAGTGAGGCAAAGGACAGCAAGGGTTCTGGAGGTGGCTTCTTTGGCATGTTTAAAAACTTGACAAGCGGGCGCGTGCTCACAGCCGACATTCTAGCGGAGCCCATGGCGCGAATGCGCGAGCACCTGGCAAACAAGAACGTCGCGTCCGATATTGCCAACGAGATCTGCAAGACCGTGGCCAAGGGTATGCTTGGTGTGCGCGTTGGCGGTCTGCAGAACATTCGCCAGCTGGTTGAGCAGAGCATGGAGACTGCGCTGACACGCATTCTGACACCCGTGTCATCCACAGACATTATCCGCGACATCGAGCACGCGCAGCAGAAGGGCCGCCCGTACACCATGGCGTTTGTCGGCGTCAACGGCGTCGGCAAGTCAACCAATCTGTCCAAGGTCTGCTATTGGCTCCTGCAGAACAACAAGCGCGTGCTGATTGCCGCCTGCGATACCTTCCGCTCGGGTGCTGTCGAGCAGCTGCGTGTGCATGTGCGCAATCTGCGCGCGCTTTCGAATAACCAGAACGTCGAGATTTTTGAACGCGGCTATGGCAAGGATTCGGCTACGATCGCCAAGGATGCTATTACTTTTGGCGCGAGCAACGGCTTTGATGTCGTGCTGATTGACACAGCCGGCCGTATGCAGGATAATGAGCCACTGATGCGCGCCCTGGCGAAGCTCGTGAGCGTCAACAGCCCCGACAAGATTTTGTTCGTCGGCGAGGCCCTAGTGGGCAACGAGGCCGTGGACCAGCTTGAAAAGTTCAACCGCGCGCTGCGCGACTTTTCGGGCCAGTCGAAACCCAGACATATTGATGGCATCATTTTGACAAAGTTCGACACAATCGACGATCGCGTTGGCGCCGCTCTGTCCATGACATACACCACGGGGCAGCCGATCATATTTGTCGGCACGGGCCAGACATACACTGATCTGCGCAAGATGAACGTCTCCCAAGTTATCCGCGCGCTGCTGCGTGCATAGGCATGACAGCCGAGCTGCTTGAGAACCCTTTGAAACGTGTCTTTTGAGTAAATTATTGTAGAAAATTTTAAATAGACCATAAAAATGCATTGAGCTTGGTTTTGTACATATGTATTCATCCCATCTCTCTCGTGCTAATGCCATGTCTTGTTTTTTGATTTGCTGCTAACAGTGCACACGCTAGCTGTTGTGCAGTTTGCTCTGCTTGGCCAACAGCTTGGAATCCAGATCTTCGTCGCTGCTGGCATCCAGATCCAGAGAATTCTTTTGCTTGTAGGTGCCACCGACGGCCGCTTCTGCGCCTATACCAACCATGTATGACGGGTGCAAGCGGCTATCCCGTTTGCCACCGTGCGCATTCATACTGCCTATAGCCTCATCCTCGCCATCGCTGATAATGCCAATCTCAAACTCCGACATGTCCATCGACACCTGCCGCGGAGCATGCAACGCAGACGACCTGTGGACATTCCTGCTTCCCACCGACGACGACGACATTTCAAAGGAAGTGCTGAACCTGGCAGCCGCATCATAAAGGCTGTCTTCGTCCCCGGCAACCATGGCACCATGTACATGCACAGATGCCGCATCCCGGTGGTTGAGCTTCCTCTTGATGAACTGGTCGAGGACCCAGGATTCAAAGATGTTGAGCGTCAGGGGCCAAATGGCCATGACAAAGATGATTTCAAAATGTGGACTGTGCAGCATTTGTACCGGCTTGAGGATTCCGTCGCCGATTGCCACAAGGAATGGCATCAAGGTTATAAGCAGGATGACAGTGAGCTTCATGCTAATCATGCTGGCGCAGAATATGCTCGCTTGCTTTATCCACCGACGCCAGTTGGGCGGATCGCCGTAGTGCCCAGACTCGAGGCCGGTGATTTGAAGTCGCTGCGCTATATTCCCGTACAGTGTCAAAAAGCCCGCGACAATGAGCACGCCCAGGGTGCAGTCCAAGGTTAGGTTAAGCACGTACCTACAAAATATTAAAAAAATCCCGCAACAAGCAAAATTTTGCGAAATCCAAGTTATTTATAGTAACCGGCAAATTGAAGAATATAAGGCTGCTGCGGTGGCAGGTGTAAAAGTCCCGCCACCCTCATTATCGCGTTCTCCTTTTTAAAAAAGAAAAATAGGGATTACAAATTAAAAATTAAAAAACTTACCACGAGCATGGATTGGTCATGTTTTCACCCTCCGGGCCTCGGCCGCTCAGCGCCGCAACCAGCAAGTTGCTCATGTGCATCATACTACCACCAATGACCTGCTTGCTGACATCAAAGGACCATACGAGCCATGGACGGCGTGGCTTCTCAAAGTGCCGCTTAATCACAAGTGTAGAAAAGCCCAGGGTGCCGACAATTGTCTGAACCACGAGGGAGAAGGGCCCTACCAACCGGCACTTGAACACTTCGTCTGTTGACGGCAGTAGCGCAGAGACAGCGCCAATGGCCGTTGATGGGGTGGGTTGAAGCAGGGTCTCTGCCATTGTGGATGATGATATGAGTGCGGAGACGGCTGTCGAAGCCGTAGCTGCCAATGTGTCTATGAGAGAGGTGGTATTCATTGTCTGGCTGTTTATGTGTGTGTGTGTGTGGTGTGCGTGTGCGTGTGCGTGTATGTGTGTAAGGACAGGTCGAATTGAATTTGGGCTATTGAAAACTGGAAAACTATTGGAATTGAGGATGCGGACAAATAAACAAAAAATATTGTTTGGGGGAAAGGAACAGGGTCTGCAAAAAAAGAGTCCAAAAGTAGAATAAAACCGCTGCTCTTTTGCATACTTAAAATGTCTTCATGTCAAATGCGAGCCTCTTTTTCTGTCTTTTAAAAAGTATTATTCATTTTTCGACTATTTTACGATCCTGCAGCGAGATTCGCTCGATGAAAGAAACAGATTCAGAGCAAACATTGAATGCGACGCGGGTTCATATCGAATCAAGCATGCGCATGTATGTGTTTGTGTGTTTATGTGTATGTGGCTTGATTTCTGCAATCCAAGAAGTAAAAGGTATAAAATTCAGGTATTTCTTGTATTTCAGGAACTCAACGCAGTTCATATTTGAAGAAAAAATATTGCACAAGATAATACTGTCGTTAAAACCTGTTTAAAATATCAATTTGACCATGCAAAAATAAAGAAAAATCGGTTCAATTACACGCACATTGCATTCTTGCCTTTACTGGTGGTGGCGTTTCGCCGGGGGCGGGCCCATGACAGTGACGAAATCATCGGCTGCGCGAGTGGTACCCGAATCTACAGACAATCCAGACGTCTCCCCATGCCGCTGATGCTGATGCTCGCTCTTCGGCGTGCTCACAGCTGTGGTTGTGCCGTCATCGTACTCGTCGTCCTCATCATCGTCGAAAATCCTTCTTTTAGCAGCAGTGGACTTCCCAGCACCTATATTTGAAGACGGCGTCGTGGGGGTCTCAGGCGTGCCCGGTACATCGTCGGTGCTATTGGTGTCAATGCATGTGTTGTACAATTTGAGCAGCCGCGGCTCGTCCTTTAGGATCCACGAGTGCTGCAAGGCCTTATCGACGCTCATTCGCTTGTCTGGGTTGACGCGGAGCAGGTTAAAGACAAACGACTGGCACTCCAGGCTGAGCTCGCGCCAGCATGGGGCGGTGAAATCAAGGTACCCGGAGAGGATCTGCGAGAAAAGAATCTGGGGATTGCCCTCGTCGTCACTAAACGGCAGCATGCCCGAGACCATGGCGTACGTCATCACGCCCAAACTCCAACAGTCCACCGCCGTGGTGTACCCCTGCTTCACGTGCTCGCCGGGCTTGGCACCTGAGGATATCATCTCGGGAGCAATGTACTGGAAGGTCCCGCACATGGTCTTCATCAGCTCCCGGCGGCCGGCGGCCTTGGCCATGCCAAAGTCCGTCAGCATGATCCGGCTATACGGCTTGTTGCTGGCCAGCAGCGTGTTTTCGGGCTTGAGGTCGCGGTGCGCAATGTTTGCGTCGTGCAAGTACTTGAGGGCGCGCAACACCTGGTAGATGATGAATTTGGCCTCGTCCTCGGCCAGCCGCTCGTTCTCCAGGATGTAGTCAAAGAGGTCGCCGCCGCGCAAAAGCGGCATGAAAATATACACGTTGCGTGGCGTCTCGACAACATCGTAGACGCGGACAATGTTGGGATGGCGGATGGCACGCAAAAGGTTAATCTCGTGGATATAGTTGGTTCCGCCGCCGGCCGTTCCGTTGACGCTAAAGTTGCGCTTCTCCATAATCTTGACTGCCATCTGCTTTTGAGAATCCTTCTTGTACACGAGCTTGATCTCGGCAAACGTGCCCTTTCCCAGGACAGTCTCTGTGATCTGGTACTTGCCGCCCAGCATGTCGCCCCCATCGCCCTGCTCCTTGTGGCGCTTCGTCAGCTGCAGGTACGTGAAAAAGTAACCCCGCTTGATCTCAACAACGTCGCCGTGCGACAGGATGACGGAGCGGCTTTTGCCAATCTTTTTGCCGTTCCAAAATGTACCGTTGGAGCTCAGGTCCTCGCACACTATCAAGTAGCCCATCGACTCCTGGTCAAACGATGCTGTTATTGTGCAGTGCTTGTTTGAAGACACGCTGCTTGTGATCTGGATGTCGCACGACCGGTGCCGCCCAACGACCACCGGCAGATTGAGGAACAGCTCGTGGTCCGATGTCTGGTTGCTGCGCTTCCAAACCAGCTTGCCGACGGGTCTTTCGCGTGCGAGAATCAGTAATGACTCGTCTGGTGTGGCGGTCGCCTGTGTGGCTTCCTCGAAGGGCTGTGTCGGCTGGGTAAAGTCAAAGTGATCATCGGGAGACGCCATTGTTTGCTGCTGCTGTTTGTAGAGAGTAGAGCTAAATATAAAATATAAAATATAAAATAGTAATTGCCGAGTTGTCGTAGGGAAATGAGCTGAAAATGGAGGAAATTGGAGAAATTGGAAAAAGAAAGGGGAAAACAGAGTTTGAAACGAGAGAACCTGCATCCCCCAAGTTTTATTTGCAATTTTTCCTGCGGAAAGAGAACAACCGGAAGGCGAAAATCACGTTTTTGTATTTTTTTGTCTCAGAATATAGCAAAAAATAAACGAACACGCGTTTTGCACATTGATCAAGAAAGAAACAGACGCGTCTCATAAATCGGTAATAATAAAAGACGAAAAAATGGCGCAGTCAAATATCATCACTCGCGTTTCGTATCTCAGCATGCTGGCAAATGCTTTCGACTTTATGTCCGCACCGCAGACACGAGCACTCGCTGCCCTCAACCATCAGCCGCGTCTTGATGCACACGTAGCAGTAACTGTGTCCGCAGTCGGCAATGTAGGGGTTTGAAACAAGGCACGATGACGGCTCCACCGGCACGCTGGAATCGGCGGTAGCCGTCGAGAAGCAAATGGCACAGACGCTCTCGGGCAGCTTCTCGATCACTGGGTCAATAGCAGCCGGCGGGAGCCGCAGAACAGCGCGCACGTTGCGCACCGCCCAGGCGCGCGCTCTGGCGGGTTTCAGCAGGGGCAGTGCAAACATGACAAACTCGGTGAATGCATGCCACACAAGCTGCCGGTTAAGAAACTCAAACGACACTGATTGCGCCATCTGCGGCCGCGCACTAACAAGCCGCAGGCCCAGCACCCGCTCCAAGACACTCTTGTACTGTCCGGCAGCAAAAAACGCCAGCAGGTTTGCCAGCGCCGCCACCTTGGAAGCGCGCTCCAGCCAACCAGCCATCCGCCAAATCCTATTGCGCAAGCTCTGCCATGGAGCACTGGCCCATCCACAGCGAGACATATGTTGCATTGCGCGCGCCCACGCGTAGCCGCCGCCAATGGACGCCAGTCCGAATGCGTGGATCCGCCAGGACAGCTTTTTGGCACCCGCGTATGTCAGGTTCTGCAGGGCTTGGCCGTAGGTTGCCCGCCGGTGCGACCCCACAGAGAGCCAGAAGAGTAGCGCCCGGATTGCCGTATCCACCTCTAGCCTGTAAGTCTCCACGAGCCCTGGCCGTAGCAGCGACATGGCCTTGGACACGGGCTCGCGCAGCATATCAGCGAGCTCGTCATCCAGAAGGTCAGCGTCCAGCTTGTTCACTCGCGCGTTGCGCGATACCACTGTGTGTGTCACCATTGCAGAGGTGCTGCTCCGGAGCCGCGCATCGGCCTCAAGCCACGACTGCCTCCATGGCTGCTGTGGCGCTTCTTGCGGCAGCATTGTTGGTGTTGCTGTTGCTGCTGCGGATCGCTGTGAATAGTCCTCGGTGGTGCTCATTGGCAAATTCAGTTGAATTGTGCCAAAATGTTGTAGAGTGGCAGGATAAAAAAGGCGGATAAAAATACACAAATAATAGTTACAAAACGGTGGCAAACAAAAAATTAACAAAGAGAGAGCCGCAGGCATGTGAGATGGGGGGAACAGTGACGCTCATTTTTGAGCGACAATTTTTTAAATCAAGCAAAACTGTTTCCCGTCATCATCACGTGCTTTATAGTCGTAAAACAATCAGTTCTGCAGATCTAGGATTCAGACCGCTGTGCCGATAAACAATACTTGGCAGATTCATTCTGTATCAATAGCTAACGCATGAATTATACTTGGTGCAAATTAGGTACAGGTGGAATATACTGATACAAAAATCGATGGGCTCGTGAGAATGGCTGCATTCACAGCCACACTCTTCAGTGCACAGTATACTCCACACGAAAATCTTTTCTATTTTCATTTCCACCGCGTGTTTTCCATTTTCAACTGGGCAAAGGAGAGCCCAACATCTCGCCTCCCTTTGTAATTTTGTACGATATTTTTATTTTTGGCTGGCTCAAAAGTGACTGGCACGCCATTCTAATGTTCACAATGACTTTGCCTTTTCTCTTTCTCTTTTCGTGCGTTTCTATAGTTTTTTATTGCATTTTACATACTGCTCTTTTTTTATTACTACCACTGGAGATACTTTTTATTTTTCATTTGTTCAATAATGAAGTTAGTCCCAGCATCAACAATCATATTTGCTGCAGCTCTGGCCGCTTCAACTGCTGCCGCGGCTGCCACAATGCCCATCAGCGGCTCCAACGGCTCTGGATCCGGTATCCAGAAACGCCAGCAGAGTCCTATTGATGGCGCTAATGAAATCACACATATTGGTCATGCAGATGATTCCACGAGTGCAACCAACAATGCGGATGACAGTACTGATGATAATTCCGAAGACAAAGGACCTGTATCTGAAACGTCCAATTCTCCGACCGCATCAGCATCCGAGCCAACTACAGAATCTACTTCGAGCACCTCCAGTCGCACCAGCACTTCCACCACCAGCACCGAGACTCACATATCGTCCAGCACCAAGGAGACTGAAAATACAAAGAAAAGCACAAACAGCGACTCCCTCTCAACTGAAAATAGCGGCGACGACAATAACAATGACGATGAATCCACAGAAATGACCGAAGAGGATACCACGACCAAGCCGCCGAGCGAGTCATGCGACAATAACGGCGAAAAGCGCTGCGTGGGATCCGGATCCAATGCATTCCAGTCGTGCGAGAAGAACATCTGGGTTAACCAGACCTGCGGCGGGTCAGATATTTGCGGCAACAACAACAAGGGAGAAATTGCGTGCATCGATAAGAACCAGGTCATTGTGGCGCTCGAGCCCTGTTCAAAGAAGAACGAGCAGCGCTGCGATGCCTCTGACTCGAGCAAGTACCAGACATGCGATGGCACTTACTGGCGCACATACGGGTGCAGCGATAATAACCTGTGCTCTTTAGTTAATGACAAGGCTGTTTGCGCGTCGGCCGATGCTCCGGTCGTTGGCGGCGACGGCGAATATACTGTGGAGTCCTACACGCTGTTTGAGCCGAAGCCATTTGTGCCGCTGAGCGCCGCTACGGTAAAGAGCGGAATGGGCATTGCTGCTGCTATTTTTGTCATTGTTGCGCTGGTTTAGCCAGTGAGCTTGGAGTATAGTAAAAGAATTTGAAATTTTGTTTTTATCCATAACCAAATAAAATTTGACATTTAGTTGTTTCATTTCTTGATCGACTTGCGTTGTCTTTGCACTCTTTTTGATATATGCGCCTGCGCCTGCGCATCAAAGGCGGGTCATGCTACTATTTTACTGCGTTTTGAACACCGAAGGCCTGGAAACCTCGCCTTTTTTCTGCAACAAGCTTTTTGTATTATTTATTCGGTTATTGCTTCCAATCTTGTATTACCATTTTTGCATTCTACTTATTGACATTTCGCTCACTACTCACTCGCTCCTCACATTCCAATGTTTGGCGGTAAGCAGCAGGGGAAACAAGAGTCGGGGCAGGCGTCGCCGACCTCGCCAAAGAGCCGCTTTCTGCAGGCACTATACCGACGAACCAATTTGACCAGGGCCACCCCAGCTCCACAACAAAATGACGACAATTTGACGTCGCCTACGCCGAGCAACAGCAACAAAAGCAACAACAGCAGCAGTAACAGCAGCACTAAAAATACAGTCATCACAGAGTCGACGCGCAAACAGAACACGTATTCCATACTAAGCAATTTCCGACGGCCAGGCAAGCAGCCATGCGCGATGGCCGAAGTGACACGGCCGGACCCCGAGGTTGAATTCAGCCGGGTGGCCGACACCGTGCGGCCTGAGCCCAACTCTCAGGGTGCGGGATCAGCCTCGTTGGTGGCTTTGCGCGCCAACCAACAAGGACCCGGATTCTCGCCCCGGCCACCCGTGCGGATGGGATCCACAGACGGGGCGACAGACAGGAATGCGATGAGGAAGGACTCTGCCAGCAGTTCTGGGCACGTAGAGCGCTCCGAGACGTCTGTGGTCACAACTGCTGCAGGCACAGGTGCTGGCGCTAAAAGCGTGGCAGGTGCGAGCATCGGCGGCAAGGGCGTTGGTACTGGTAACGCCGGTAACACTGCTGCGCCCGCGTATTTTAATGACGAGTGGGACGTGCCATTCCGCGCAAACGCAGTCGAGATTGCCGCACAAGATGACAAAAATGAGTGCGCATTTTTGTCGCACGAGCTGGGCACGCAGGGAAACGAGATGGAGCGGGCACGGTCAATCCTGCCCCAGCTTGTAGGCCAGCTGCATCCGCAACCACATTCGGTGCCAGTGGGCTGCCCTTGCATAGCGAGCGGCTGCGGAAAATGCGGCGTGAGGCGTCGTCTTCAGGCAAGCTGCACGATGAGCTTGCTGTCATCGATGACTTCAACAATCGCGCGCGGCAGCGCGTACAAGAAATTGGCTCGGAGAGTGTGTTGACGCAGTTTGCGTGCCAGCACCTATCCGTGGTCATTCGGCAGCTGCTGGATGAGATTGAGGTGTCGGAGGACGCCGGGTGGGACCAGGTGGTGTTCGACCTAGCGATGAACGCCGTGCAGAAGGTGCGTCCGAGCGTCAAGGCCGGGGACAACATGGATCTGCGCCGCTATGTGCGCATCAAGCGCATCCCTGGGGGCACGCCCGCTGACAGCCAATACGTCACCGGTATTGTATTCACAAAAAACCTGGCTCACCGCCGCATGCCCCAGTACCTGGATTCGCCGCAGATCATGCTTCTGACCATGACCCTGGAGGTTAGCGCGCCATCCAAGTACACGTCTTTTGATGACGAGCTGCGCGTACAACAGGGGTTCACCGAAAAGCTTGTGCAGCGCATCGCTGATGCCGCTCCAGATCTCGTACTGGCCGAGAAGACCGTGCCCAGACGCGTGCTCGAGGGCCTGATGCGTCACCGTATTGCTGTTGCCTATGGTGTCAAACGCAGTGTAATTAGGGCTGTGGCACGGTGCACTGGAGCAGATATTGTTACGTCAATGGATCGGTTCAGCGACTACCCAAAAACCGGCACTTGCTCGTCGCTAGCTGTGCAGACATACGAGCACGAGTCGCTGGCTGGCTATCGCAAGTCGTTTATCTTCCTCGACGGGTGCATTGAGGAGCTCGGCGGGACTATTGTTTTGCGTGGCGAGTCGTTTGCCAAGCTCGGCGAGATCAAACAGGTGGTCGATTTGGTGGTGTGCCTGGCGTACAGCATGTACCTTGAGGGATTATTGCTGGTCAATGAGTTTGTGCTGGCAGCGCCTGGCAACTACGACGGCGCCTGGAACGATCCGAACTCGACTTCTGTCGCTGCTGCAGCCGCTTCTCAGGATGCTGATAACCAGTCGCTGGCACTGCAAGCCCTGAGCGAGTACAATATTGCGCTGTCATCGTCGTCCTGTGTGCGTATACCACCACCACACGTCCTTGTGTGCATGCGAGAGCGCGAGCTTGCTATTAGAGCGGTCACTGAGCGGTTCAACAAGATGTCAAATGTTTTCCGGGATCTAACTTCAATTACTGGCGGCAACGGTAGCACCAGCAGCAACGACGGCGTTTCTGGCACGTTTGGCGTCTCTGGTGTTGCATTCCTAGTGTCGCGGCAGCAGCAGAGCGCAGCCAGCCTCAGCCGCATGAGGCAGCAGTACGAGAGCGAGGTTGCGCTGCACGAAAGCTACATTCACGCCGGAAAGATGTTCCTCGAGGCAAACCCGCAGGCAGTGAGCATGTGGGACTACCAGAGCATCGTGGTGACATACATGGTGACCTGCCGCAAGCATGAGTACATGTTATGTCTTGGGCCGCAGTACCATCCGATCGCCTTTTATAGCTTCACCGACGTCACTCTGGGCCAGTACCTTGAGGAAATCTGCTTTGACCTTCGGTACAACTGCCCCAGCGGCAACCGCAGGTGCACACATCCAATGTACGAGCACCAGCGCAGCTACATCCACAACCACGGCCGGATTGACGTGACCGTAGACGAGCACCCGTGCCCGATCGAGCGTCTGAGCGAGGTCATCCTCATGTGGAGCGAGTGCAAGCGCTGCAAGAAACATTCGCCTGTAACCCGCATGTCCGACGCTTCATGGCGCTACTCGTTTGGAAAGTACTTGGAGACCACGTTCTACAATGCCCCGCTGCTCCCCCGCGCCCTCCTATGTCCCCACGACATCCACAGGGATCACGTGCGGTGCTTTGCGTTGCGCAACATGATTGTGCGCTTTGAGTATTCGTCGTTTCCCATATGGAGCATCGCCACGCCGACAACCCCGCTGTATTTTAACATGGACGTCAGCATTCGCCTCAAAGAGCAAGAGGCTGCCGAGCTGCGGACCCGGATGGACGCCTATTACACTTCGCTGCTCAGCCGTCTGGACGCCTTCCCCCGTGATCTGGTGTACGCCCACAAGGCCGAGGAATGCCGACATGTGCTGCAGGACCTGGCTGCGCGCGCTGCGACCGAGCAAGTGTACTTCCAGCAGACTCTAGAGCAGACAATGCGCAACACGCATCCGGCTGACACGCTCGTTGTCGTCGTGGTCTACGAAGCCTTGCAAGCAAAGGTTGTTGAGTGGAATTTACAATTCTCAGAGCTAGCGCAGACGTTCATTCAGCTCGACGCGACCAACCGTGCGGCGAACCTCAAGCGCACAAGCACGGCCGATGGCGCAGTAGTGACGATTGAGCCCGCACATCTCAAGGAGCACGAGATTGATTCTCTTCAAATAATTGACGAGCTGCACACGGCCGCCCACCACCACAATATGATGCCGGCCGCGGACATCCCAGCTGTTGCTACGTCGTTTGCAATGCCGCAGCTGAGCTCATCGCCAAGCTCGGAGAATTTTGCCGACACTATGACTTCGCTGAGCCGGTCGAGCAGCATTGAGGAGCGTGAGTATCCGCGCATGTCGCGCTTGCACCGGCGCCTGTCTATGGAGGCCATGCGCAAGGAACGCATTCGTCAAGAGCGCGCACAGGAGAAGCAACGCCGCAATGCCGAGGCACTCGAGGCCCGTGGAAAGCACGCTCGCGCTGGTGGCGTCGGTGGACTCAAGACCATTGCTCAGCAACATCAAACTCAGCAACCGCAACAGCAACCGCAACAGGAACAGCCGCCGCAGCAACAGCAACAGCAGCATCAGTATCAGCAACTCCATGCTCCGAAGCAGCCCGCTCAGCTGAATAAAATGGCTACTGACCAAGCGGCTCTGACAGGTGCTGCGGCAGGAAAAAATATTGGCAGAGCATATTCGACGACCCGGCTCATTGGAGGCGTGGCGACTGATGTTGACGAAGACGTGCGGTTGCCGCGACAGACCGAATTCCCTGAGCTGCGCGGTCGCCGAGGCAAGTCCAAGATGAAGTATGCGGCGGAGTACGGCTCGAAGATCACACAGCCGCTGTTTGACCTGCTGCACAGGGCACTGCCACCACAGTCACCCGGTGTGCCTCCCGTAGAGGCGGAGCCGTTAGACGAAGCAGACATAGATATTGGCCAAACAGGAGCACAGGCACCGCCGCCGTCGCGCATTCCTGGTATTCGCACACTGCCCCAGTCGAGCGTACAGACTCAGTCCCAGTCTCAGTCTCAGGCTCAACAAGGGCGTGACGGTGCTGAGGGCGACATCACTGTAGTGGCTGCAGCGAGTAACCGTCCACTGTCCAGCTTTGGCCGGCCGCCAGACACGCGCAACTCCAACATACCGCGGCCACCAAATATCCGCGGAATTGCCACAGCCCCCCTTCCACAACCCCGGCTCCCACATCCGACGCAGGCACTATTGCGGGCGACGATGGCGGCGCGCGCAGCTCGTCCAATGTGTTTTTGCGGTTGGCCAAGCGTCTGAACAACGCCCGGGGCCAGCAGACGAATGCTTCGTCGGGCGCGATTCTGGGCACGGTGCCGCGCAAGATGAACTTGCTTCTGCCCGCTGCCGCCCAGTACATGAGCCAGCACCCGCATCGGCCGGCAATGTCCCAGGTCCAAGTGTTCTACACCAAGCCAGTATCCGACGAGTCCAACCGCAAGTCAACTCCCACGCGCCGACACTCGTACCAGCCGACCGCTGATCAGCTGAATACCGTCGATCCCGAAGCCTTACCAACGTCGCCGGCTACATCGGCGGCGAGGACTCATTTTTCTAGGGCAGCAGTGCCGGGTTTGAGCAACCCTCGCAGCAGCCATTACGAGCTTAGCCACAGTCACAACAGCAGCCAGCAGCAGCGCAGCCTGCGGCTTCGCTCGTCCACTGTGTCGCAGATGATATCCAAGGATTCCAAGCGGTACGACAGTGACAACGAGTCTCGCAGGCATCAGCCCTACAACTACTCGCCCCAACCAGCGCATTCGCTTGAGTCCCCAGTGGCAAGGACAACAGAGGAGGCGGTAACGGCTGCGGCTCCCCTGGAAGCGGTGGTGCCGCACACAACCCCTCCTGAGAGAAAGCCAAGTGTTACCTTGCGCGCATCGAATATCATCCCTACTATCACTCGTCGCTTGGGACTAGGTTTTGGCTTTAAAACTGCTTTGCACAGCGCCAGCAATACCAGCAAGAACACCGCTGACCAGGAGCCGGGAATGACCACTGACGAGGATGAGGGGCCGTCGCCCTCGGCTGTGCGCGAAGCTCACCGCAGCCGCTGTCCAATCCCGCCGCACTTGGTGATTTCTCGCAACAGCATGCTTGGCAGTGGGGACGGTTCGCACTCAGATGCCTCTGCGGATCGCCGCAGCCGGCGGAGGTCCGGCACGATGGCCAGGTATGTTAAGCCCCGCTCATCTTCGAGCTCAGAGTCTTCAGACTCTTCGTCTTCCGATTCTGAGACCAGCAGCGACAGCGATGTTGACAGCCCCAACGGCAGCGTGGATGACCAGCTGCCTGAATACACTGGCAAAATGCTGCGCACTCCTGTGGACCCCGTGTTGCGGCCGTCTCCCACCACCCATCACGTAAACTCTATTGGATCGACGGCTGCGCAGATGGATCTGTTTGTGAGCTCTCCCCTGCGAACTGCCTCGCACTCGTCGGCGATGGCCTCGCGGAATCACCACAAGCAGAGCGGCTCCTGGGCGACTGACCCTGAGGACAGTAGCGCTTTCGACCATGTGCACAACCCTCTCGACTCTTCCCACCAACCTTATTTGCGCATGCCCTTGCGCCGGGACTCTTCGACCGAGGACGACGAGCCAGATGCGCACGAGCCTGACCTGCACTTTGGTCAGAGTGATGCCGGCAGCGATGTGGAGAATGCAGGCAATGCGAGCGACCAGGAGGCCAGGACTGCCGCGGCATACTTGCAGTCGGTGATCGACTCGAGCAACGCCAATTTCTCCGCCGATCGTTCGACACTGGAATCCAAATCACCAGTGGGACAGTCACTGGGCAAGATAGGCTTGCTTGAGTCGGGAATGGAAACTGGGACCGGGGGCACAGTGACAGGCGGCAGCGGCAGGATGTCGGCAAGCGGCGATTCATCTGCAGCGATCACCATGCCGCAGGAGAACATGAGCACGCTGTGGAAGACCATATCGAATCTCTTGATGGCGCCCGGAAACTCGCAGTTGTTCCAGCTCGGCCTGGATCTCACGTACCCGCTGGATTCGACCGAGCACGTCATTGCGGGCTCGCCAATTATTGTGCGCGAGAACGAGCCTAGCTCTATCATCGCCTTTACGCTGATGGCTAGCGAGTACCGCCAGGCGTTGCACATCATGTTTGAGGAGGCCAAGGCCGACGTCGAAGCTGATGGCGAGAATTTGAATGCTGCTGCTTCTCCTCGCTCGCGCCGAAACTCCGACGCCTCGCATGCCGAAGATGGGAAGCCCGGATCCCCGGTCAACGAGTTTATCCAGGCAGAATCGCCGCCGAACGCAGCCACCGCTGAGGACGCCGTCATCGAGCGCATCATGCTGCACTCCCAGGGCCTCCACTTGAGATTTGAATTTACTGCCGGGCAGACTGAGTTCGTGTGCAGGGTGTTTTATGCCGCGCAGTTTGAGGCGCTGCGTCGGTGCAACAACTGCGAAGACAGCTATATTGAATCTCTGTCGCGCTGCATGACGTATATCGCCAAGGGTGGCAAGTCGGGCAGCGCGTTTTTGCGCACACGCGACGAGCGCTTCATCATCAAGGAGGTGTCCAAGGCCGAGTCGGACGCATTTTTGAGGTTTGCGCCGTTTTATTTTGAGCACATGTACACGACGTACCGCGACGTGATGCTGACCGTGTTGGCCAAAATTTTTGGTTTCTGCCGCGTGTCGTATCGCAAGGCGTCCACGGGCAAGTGGGTCAAGATGAGCGTTGTCATTATGGAGAACCTGTTCTATGAACGCAAATGCAGCCGCGTGTTTGACCTCAAGGGCTCTGAGCGCAACCGCATGGTCGAGGAGACAGGTATCAACGCAGTGTTCCAGGACGAGAATCTGATTAAGCTCATTCGTCAAAACCCTATCTGCATCCGCCAGCAGACCAAGAGCCATTTGCACGACGCCATCTGGAATGACACGCTGTTCCTGTCAAAGATGAACGTCATGGATTACTCTTTGCTTGTTGGATTTGACGAGAACAGCAAGGAGCTGGTTGTCGGCATTGTTGATTTTATTCGCACGTTCACTTGGGACAAGAAGCTCGAGAGCTGGGTCAAGGAAGCCGGAATTCTGGGCGGTGGCGGCAAGGGCCCGACTATTGTGTCGCCCAAGCAGTACAAAACCCGCTTCCGCGAGGCTATGGAGCGCTATTTCTTGATGGTACCAGACAAGTACTTTGTCATGCAACCCGGCGATGAGATCTAGCGTGCACGATTATTACCATCGTTACCATCACTTTTTTAATTTCGCACATGTCGTTTTGATTGTATCGTTCAAGTGGTCAGATATTTATTATATTTTTTTGTATGTTTAATCCACATTTTCTATTAATATTATTTTTATCCCACGCTTTCGCCAATGCCATGACGGATATTAATACTGTTTTATATATACTTGCGCTAAGTGACAGCATGCGTTCATTTGAAACAAGGGAGCATGATGGCATTTTTCTTTGCTGCTACGCATGCGTCCTATTACAGTAACTCGTGGAGAAAATATATGCGAGTAGCCTAAAGCTAACATTTCAGTAACGGTGGTTATTGTGCACCTTTTTGCTGCCACTTTGCCTAATGTGCGTGTGGACCGCGTGGGTTGCTTGAATTTTATAGCTCTGTTCTTTTGATTATTTCATGGGGTTTAATAATTCGGTGCGGGGTAAAAAAATCGCAAAATATATTATTTGTAATGCGTTAATAGAAGAATCCGTAGCCTGGCTGCTAGCTGAAATACATGAAGTATCGGAACAATATTTTTTCGTGTTGGTTTAAAAGAAACGGATATTTCCTTTTAATAGCTTGATCTCGCTTGCTGGCCAACTCTGACTCCAAATTTACAACTTCATTTTACATTTACGCATATCTATCTTTGCATGGCAATATAGTGGAAAAAAAACATTTTAACCTTATCTATTTGCTTTCCTAGCATTTTTCTTTACTTCATTTTTAAACTATTTTACTTTGCTAGCTTGCTGCCCCAAACAAACAAGAAAAGGTTGCTAGCTCATTATGCGCCTCTTTCGCAAATCCAAGGCTGCGCAAGATCTGACATGCCCGACGCCAGTACTTAGTGGCGAGTCTGCGCAACAACAACGACCACCGTCACCCTCCCCCTTGGCACAAGCACCGCCTCCCGCCCTGCAGCTTAATTTAGACTTGCCTGCGCTGACTCAGAGCACTCTGGGCCTTAACGCATCAATCCTGAATGACAATAACAGCAGCGTCCAGGGATTGGGCCAGGCTCTCCCACACCAAGGCACCACCACCACGAACTATGGCGTCCACTCAGTGCCTCCGCCGACAATGCCGAATCCCAGTAATGGAAACATTGTCCCTGCTCCCGCCGCCGCTGCAAACAACGGCAACATGTCGGATTTTTTCGGCTCGTATGATTTTGACTACAACACGTTTCAATTTGGTGAGGAGCCTGTGGACACGCCCTACCAGGATCCAAAAACAGTTGTGAATAACCAGTTAGTGGAGCAGTTTGGCCGCAACCAAGCAGCACTTGCGGCAGCATATGCCTCGGCTCCGGCGCAGCCTCCAGTTACAGGTGGAGTGCCGCCCAGAATGCAATCACAGCTACAAACCCAGCAGCCGAAGCAGCAGCAGCAGCTAAAGCAGCATGTGGCTGTTCCAGTCGCGGTGACTACATTCTCTGCTACCCAGGCCGTGCAAATGGCCCAGCAGGCTCAACAAGCCCACCAAGTGTACCGCGCTCACCAGATGAACCGCCTGCCAACTCAGCCTGCAACATCGATGGTGGATGCTCAGAGCTCAAAGGAGGGCAGTGCGGCGTCAAGCGATGATGAGGATAACATGCCAGTGCTCAAGAGCACGCTGGCCTCGGCTGATGCTGAAAAAAAGTTGTCAGACCGCGCAATGCATATCCAGAAAGTGCGCGAGGCCAGCGCAATGGGAAAGTTTGCAGCCTTCAACAGAGCTGTTAGCGCGCCACCGAACAACGACAGCGACGATGATTCTATGCCGCTGGGAGGGCTCAGGCAGGCTACTGTCATTAATTCCAATTATCCGGCGAGCGTTGTCAACGGCTCTGCCATGCAGCCAGGAGGCGGGGGAGAAAGCATGACTTCACATCAAGGTAAGAAAAAAGCAGTTGTTGACATTGCTTAAAAGGCAAACTGGCCACGCTGAAATAAGAACATGTAGCGTGGAGAAAGCATGTGTGATTTCCAACGCGCATGGCGCTCATTTTCTGGGTGTGCCTTTTCCTGATATTATATTTGAGCCATGTGCAAATGTTTTGTACACCCCCGCGTACGCATGCTAATTAACCACCGCGCATCATATATTTTTTTATCTAATTCCATGTAGCATTATCGATGTTCTCGGGCAGCTTGCCAAATGGTCCAATTCAATACGGCAATATTCCCCAGGATGGCATCCCCAATATGGCCAGGCAGCAAATGCCGCCGCATATGGCTGTTCCTATGCAAGAGATGGGTGCATTCAACGCGCAGCAGCAGTTCCAGCAACATCTCCACCAGTTTCATCCTGGACCAATGCCGTCGCCGAATGCCAACATGCAGGGTCTGCCACCAAGACCCCAGTCGGGCGGAGGACATGTTCATATGAAGGGTCAGTTTCCCGGAGGACCGATGATGATGCAGCAACAGCCGCAGCAGCAGCAGCAGATGGGATATATGCCTCGCAGCAACATGACTGGGTTTCCAATGACTGCAGGAGGTCCCAGGTCTGCTGCTGGCGGGAACCCAATCGCCAATATTGGTAGTGCCAGTGTTACATACGGCAACATTGGTCTCCATAGGGCAAACATGATGCCAGAGCCCGGAAAGCTCGCGTACACGCCGTCGCCACTGGGCCAGCAACCGCCGGTCTTTAACCATCAGCACCCGATGGGCACCAATGGCCAGATGATGTCTGTAGACATGCGTATGCCCCAGTTCCTGCATCCAATGATGGGCCAGATGCCGATGCACCCAGCGCATTCGGCCATGTACGTACCAAAAGTGTTGCCGCTTCAGCAACAGCAGCAACCAATGCAGCAACAGCTGCCACTTCAGCCACAGCCACAACAAGCAATGACACAGTTTGCACCGCATTCGGCACATAACGTGGCTAACAATGGGCAGCAGGGCGCCCTGATGAGCTTTATTCCGTCACAAGGTGCCTTCAAAGGGTCGATCAGCAAGAACCCGCTGATGCGTGATATCAACAAGATCAAGGAGTTTTCGGCCAAGGACTACAACTCCCGCCCGACGCTTTTGGCCGAGGCCGATACTCGCCGCCTGGCCATGAAGAACATTCCGGGTCTTGGCGGAAGCACGTGCCACAGCTTTCAGCCCAAAGCTCCGTCGCCTCAGCTGCAACCCGCGGCAATCTATCAGCACCAGCCGCCGCAGCCGCCGCAGCCGCAGCAGGGCGATCAGCCTCATCGCTACAACCGCGATCATGCTGAGTACCAGGAGCACGCTCGCGGGCCGCATCGATTTGATCTGCCGTACCACCGCTCGTCATCGTGCCAAAACCTTGAGACAGCCAATTACGAGTGCTCGTCAGTATACTCTGGAGCCAGCAACGGCAGGAACTACACCAGTTCAAAGAGTATCCGTAATCCAACAAAGCAGAAGCAGCAGAATTACTATCCCCAGAAGCAGCAGGAACAGCAGAAATCGCGCGGTCGCTATGACCGCGCAGAAAGCTTCCACAACAGTGAGTATGAGGACAGGCACTCTGTTCGCGAGTTCCGCCAAACAGAGCCGCCACGCTCCTCCCGCGGCCGCCCCGCACAGATGGAAGACGTCGTCAGGGACACCCGGAAGAGCGCCACTACGAGTACTACGAGTACAACGAGTACTCGGACGAGTACCTTAGCGACGGGTTCAATGAGTGGGACGAAGATGAGTACGACCGCCACAACAACTCAGAGGGTGCGGGCCGGCTCAGGCGCCGTGCAGCGCAGCGCAGAAATCGTGGTGACATGCGCAGTGACTACGGCCAAGACTATGGTCAGGACTACGGCAGAAGCAACGGGGCGCGAAATGGCCCGAGACGTGACGTAAAGGGCGGCACAATTCGAGATATGCGCCAGATTTTCAGAATACCTGTACACCTGGACGACCCGCGCGATAGCATCGACATGCTCCCGCGGGTCATTCACAGGGAGGGCCGGCGCAGCATCAGCACAGAGTCAGAGGCCTCAGAGGGCTCGAGACACGGCATGCCACGCTCGCAATTTGGACGCATGCTGGCCAACATCAAGCGGCGCGTGACTATTAGCAGCACTTCGTCGATCAATGCTCCGGCTGATATCGATGGCAAGCCAATTGATTCTCTTCCGCAGAAGACCAATATCGGTGCTGGAAGCGAGCCGGTGGCAACAGTGCCGGAGCATGAAGGCTATAGTACCAACGATGTTGCGGAAGAGGCATGTGTATCTCACTCGGGTGTCGCTTCGGCGACGGCCACACCTACTACTGCGCCTGTAGCCGTGGCATAAACAAACAAAAAGTAATCTTTTTCATTTTTCATTTTCAACATTTTCGTAGTATATTTCTATAAACATCGGTTCACAAACCAAAAGTCATTGGGCAGCAAGCATGGACAATTTCCACGACAAGTAGTTGGCATACTGCGGGGTCTCACGGTAGTCGCGATCATTGATCATCGATACGATTCCAATGCGCGGGCGCGATTCATTTACCTTGGCAGCCTGGGATGCAGCCTTCTTATTGACAGCTTCGGCAGCTTTAGTGGCTATGGATTTTGTGGACTTTGGAGCCGGGCCGCGCCTTGGTCGCTTTGCTGTACTCGGGGCATCTGACTCTGGCTCTGACTGAGCATGTGCAGCGCGGGATTTTGCAGTCCGGCGTGACGCAGTTGCCGGTGCTACAACAGGCTCCGCAGCCCTGCGCCCGCGCTTCTGTGCGACAATACTGCCGACCTCGTCCATCTGAGCAACAGCCGGAGCGGCCTTCGGGGGCGCTGCCGCCTTGGGCTTTCGCCCACGCGGCGCCGCTGGTATTGCGGGCACCCCATTGGCATCGTCATCAATGTCGTTTGCGTGTTGACCCTCTACAGTCGCCACGCCCCTTTTATTTGTTGGTGGCTTTGCCATTTCGCGAAAACCTTCAGCAGAAATCCGACTCAATGTAACCTTCCCAAACTGCTCCAGCTTCTGAACAGCAGTATCAAACATGGTCTTCTTAGTATTTGCCACCGCCATTAGCTTTGCCCTGGATGGTCCGCGCTTCTTCATATGCTTGTACACAACACAGAACGCAGCAGTGATGTAGACCGAATCGCCCCAATTCACACTTCGGCTTGCAGAGATGGACATTGTGGCAGAGATATTACACTTAAACTCGGCCAGCAAGCTGCAGGCGGCATTTATGATGCCGGGTGGTGGGTTGAACTTGACGTTGAGCTCGTCCAGAGTGATGTGTTTGAACAGGCCCAAGGCAACGCGCACCTCGTGCATAGCCTCGTCGTAGGCCTTTTCGCCGACGCCCGACATACCAATGGCGGCCCACTTATTGAACTCAAATGAGAGGGACTCGCATGCTAGGTGGATCGATATGGATGGGTGACTGAGCGTCGAAAAATTTTGTTTGGGGTTTGTGACACTCTTGCGTATGGTCTCAAAGTATTGCATTGCTTTTGGCAAGATATTTGGATTGTCTGACAAGCCCAGCCGGTTGACTAGGTTGTGAATGAGTTCGCTCATGACTATAAATGCAAAGTAAATAAAGATGATTTTTAATAATAAACAAAGACAAAGAAAAGAAAAATGAAAGAAAAATATACCCTGCGAAATCTCGATCTCCATGTACGCGTGTAAAGCATAATTTCTCGTGACTTCCCACAAACCTTAGTAATTTGCCTACTATTTATATAAAGTTGACAATTTTTTTAAAAATATAATAGTTTGATGTGCACATATAACACACACACATAAACACACTCTATTAACAATGACCAGCAGGAGCTCGGTAAGTGAATTTAGGCATGTGATATTTGCTTGAGCAAGCATCCTGCGCTTATCAACCACGCATTTAGTCACTCACGTTGCCACTATATTTTTTATTTGCTGGCGGTTCCCAACTGTGCGTAGGATTTGAAAAAGACATTTGACAGCATCTGCTCGGTGCCCGGGAGTATTGGTGCAGTGATGATTCGCGATGATGGCGAGATAGTGCGGGCATCGGGAGATCTGAACGACCCCGATGAGGCATATGCGCTGTCGAACGTGATGAAGGACGCGGCCCAGCTGGTGACCATCGCCGCACCAGACGCAAAGTCGTTAACACGGGTGACTATTACAAGGCAGGTTGGCGTGAGTGTGGTGGCTACGCTGCATGTCGGCCATGTTTTTGGAATCAAGCAGACTGACAAATAATCTTGCACTTCTGGAGAGTACAGCCGCAAAAACGGATGTGTGTGGGGATTGATCGTGAATGCGTTGTATACCTTTTTCTGTTTCTTTATTCCCCTCAAAGTTTGCAACCGCATTGAGCTTTTCTACTTTTCTTTTCTTCCATTTTGTTTTGAATTTCACGACTTTATTTGTTTTATTTTCTCATTTTTATACACATTTCTTTTGGGCGGTCTAAATGGATTCGAGTCGGCTACTTCCGGCAAGCTCCAGTAATGTCGGCAGTATCAGCAGTAGTATCAGCACCGGCACCGTAGCTGCTGTGAATCCGGCGACTATGGACTTGGCACATCAATACGCATTCGCCTCGTCGCTGTTGCCGGGACGCTCGCTATCGCCAGAGGGCGTGCAGTTCGTAGCGCAGCGCGAGTCATTCAAAGTCGAGCACCACGGTCACGAGGGGCAGCATCTTGCAATGTTCCTCATATTTATTGCAGTGCTGGCAATGCTGCCGGCCACGGTCAAGTACTGGCGGCGAAACCACCCACTGTCATACCGGCTGGTCAGCATGGGGTCGATCAGCTTGATCCCGCCATACTTTGCGGCGGCCAACGGCTACCACCGCTTTGTCACGATTTGGCTGCTGTACGCGGCGGCCAATATATACATACTGTACCAGGCCACGCGGCGACCGCTGCAGACGCACACGCCGCGGCGGGTGTACCAGTGGTTTGCATTCACCAACAAGGCATCGTACGCGGTGTTTATGCTGGGATTCTTTCTCTTCATCCTCTGCTTCTTTAACATTGTGCCCGGATTTACAGACACGGAGGCGTACCTGTCGGCCAGCATGCTGACTTTGTTCTATGGGCTGTACTTTGGACTGATGAGCCGTGATCTGGTGACGCTGTGCTCGGACAACATCGCAGCGGCATTGGGTTACTCTGGCGGCGAGCACAACCTGCCGACAAAGTCACTCCCGTGCGAAGTGTGCTGTGTCTGTGGAGACGGGCTCGGGGAGCGCGATGGGGCAGCGGCGGGCGTGAGAGAGCCGACGCATGTTTTGGGATGCGGACACGAGTTCCACGCGACCTGTATCCGCGGCTGGTGTGTAGTTGGGAAACGCGATGTGTGTCCGTTTTGCCGCGAGAAGGTCGATCTGGAGCCGTTCAAGCGCAATCCTTGGGACAAGCAGGAGCTATTTTACGTCACGGCGCTGGAGTACATGCGGTTCTTTGTCAGCTGGCAGCCGCTCACTGTGCTGCTGCTGACCAGCATTTACTGGATCCTTGGACTCAGTTAAACGTGCCTTTGCTACATGCTCGCTTTTTGACATTGCATTTCGCTTTGTGTGCTTTGTGTTCTTTGTAGGCCACATGGTTCCTCAACAAATGCGTTATTTTTGTCGTTTTCTTTTGCGCAAAGCCCAGACAAAGCCTGAAAAGAGGGGTACACTCTCAACTCGATTTTTGCTTTTGATTTTTAATCCAATGATATTGCGCTGCCAAGAATCACAATTTTCCCACTTTTCTGTCATGCCATGTAGGAACGCTTTGTCATTTTAATATTTTCTATTCCCGCTCTCTGTTTGCTGTCTTCTTTACTTATTCACAACTGCGAATTTCGATTATTCCTTTTATTTTTCTACCTTTTATTTGTCCCTATCAAAACTTTGCTTACAACCTCTCCAAAAGCAACAAGCAAAACCATTTTACACGCATATGGTGGTTATACGAGTAGCAGCACCGAAATGCCCGCGTTGCGCAAAGAGCGTCTATGCAGCCGAAGGGGTACGTTAATTTATTTGGAACAGATACAGTTTTGAAAACATTAACACGACATAGTCACTGTTTAGCATTTACTAATAATTCACTTGAATTTTGTTGTCGTATAGGTCACTGGGCCCGAGGGGCTGTGGCACAAAACATGCTTCAGGTGCCGCGAGTGCCGATGCGCATTGGACACAGCGACCATGGCAGAGCACGACAGCGAGGTCTACTGTCGTAACTGCCACAAAAAGCTGTTTAGCGCTGGCGCCAATCCCACACGACCAGCAGAAAACAGCAGTATGGTTCAGCCATCAGCAATCAACGCACAGCCGGCGACAGAGTACGCTACATGGAGAGGTTCGCCGACGCAGCCACCGGCGCTTCCGCATTGTTCAATAGATCCAGTGCAGTCGCCGCCACGGACAACCAGGTACAAGCGCACAACCGAAATGTCGCCGTCCAGCGTGTTTAGCTCAGGGCGGCGTCGGATCGAGCTTCCGACAACCAAGGATATTTGTCCGCGGTGCACCAAGCGTATATACCACGCAGAGAAGGTCGTTGGGCCTGGTGGCGCGTGGCATCGCGGGTGCTTCAAGTGCAAGCAGTGTAATTCGGCGCTCAGCTCGACTACGCTCACAGAGCACAATGGCGAGGCGTTTTGCCGGACATGTTATACCAAGCTATTTAGCTTGCGTGGATACAATGTGGGTGGGTCACTAGAGCCCGTCCAGGGCGTGAGGTCGCGCGGCAGCTCTGTTGAGACTATTTATCGCGGTATGTCGCCGGTGCCCCGCTCCGTGGAGTTCCCTGCGACGGAGACCAGGTCTTCCTCAGCGTCGGGTGAGACCAGCCCTTTTTCAGGAGCTGTTTCGCCGTTTGGCAGCGTTGTTTCTGCGGCGGCTTCGGCAGCAGTGGCAGCCCATGGCACTTCGCGCCCGGTCACGCCGCTTTCTAGCACCATGGCCTCGCGCCCGGCGTCTTCACGCAGCAGCATCAGCGGGCTTGCATACGGGCGGACATTCAAGCCCAAGACTTTTGGCGCCAGCATTGGCGGCGGCTATGTGCCACCTGACAGGTGCCCGCGCTGCAGCGACACTATTTATGCGGCCGAGATGGGCATGGCTGCGGGCCGCAAGTACCACAAAAAATGCATCCGCTGCAAGGCTTGCAGCACGTCTATCGGGTCGTTGCAGATCCATGAGCATGATGGCGACATATTCTGCAAGCAGTGCTACGCCAGGGACTTTGGCCCCAAGGGTTTCCGGCAGTCGCTCGGTCCGTCCATAAATGACTATTGATCAATTTGTCGTTATTTTTCAGCTTTGCGTTCTCTCGCTCTCGTTTTTGTTCTCTCATTTTATTTTATTTTGTTTTTATTCTTCATATATTAATTTTTACGCTTAACTTTTTTGTTTTACTATTTTGGTATATCATTTTGATATTAACTGTCATTTCGATATAAAAAAGTTTGGCCAACAAAAAAAACGGCTCTCTGTGAAAGAAAATTATAAGCCCCGGCTAATTATTTGCTACATCACCTCCTTTTTTCGCTCATTTCTTGGCTCCGGCCTTGAGCGCCCGAGGAATACTGAACGGAATGCTGCTCATAGTCTTATCATACATGACACCCAAATACGGCACAGGATTAACGATTAAAGTCAAGTTCGCGCCCTCCACGCCCTCAAATGTTTGCGCGAAATTCCTCAGCAAATACTTATTATGGTGCTTCCTCAGCTTCAGCTTCGCCTGCCTCTTTCCCCGAACAATCCTATCCCAAATAACCACACGGTTGAAACCACTGCTAGATTGATAGTCTACTGTGATGTACGTGAACAGGAGCTTGGTGTTCCAGTTGAACATGCTGGATAGGTCGGCGTCCACGTCAAAGGTTAGGCGGGCGTACTCTGCTGTGCGAGATGTTTTGTCATAGGGATCCATCATGCGCCCAGTGGTCGTTTGTACATTGTGCAGTTGGATGGCGTGCGTGGGGTTGGATGGGAGGAAAGGGGTGGTTAGCGAGATTAGAACTACGAGGGCCATGAGCGTCGACATGGCAAACGAGGTTATCCCACTGAGTCGCTGGAGAAAGTTGTTCATTTCTAGAAACAAATTGAGTTAAAACTCGTAGCTGATGGTTGCCAGAAATGGAAAAAAAGGGTTGGATAATTACACCTTTTTAAAAATAATAGTTGAATTTAGATGTACCAAATACAATAATAATAAAAATGAAAGAGCTTTGGAAAACTGCCAACGACAATGGCAGAGGAGTGCAAAATGGGTGCATAAAAAACAGGCTGCTGGAATTTTGTGCGATTTCCAGCTCGCGCTTCTTGAATTTTTTCTTTTTTATTTCGTTGGTGTGGTACGATTGGCTCCATAAATACTTTTTTGATGTATTTACCACAAGTGTGCCATAGCCCCATTATTCGGCCACATCTGGATATCCGTCACTCTGGGTATTGCCGCTGGTGGGCGGGCAGGCCAGACGCGCCGCCGCTGCTACCACACACACATACGATGAATTCCGAAGCGTATCTGAAGACCGCGGAATAAACCGCCATCATAACCTTTTACTTTTTTATTGATATTATTTTCTCCCACACATACACTCAAAAAAACATTTACAACTGCTCTTCTTTTTTAACTACTAAAAATAATGGATGCATACATCAGTAATAACCCATTCGCAGGCCACCGACTACAAACAGCCAATGTCCAAGGACTCGATAACATCATCATCCCACAGCCGCCTCCACCACCAACAGCAAATACTACGGCAAGAAACTCAGAGCCACGCAGGGTATCCGCAAAACACCATCAACTGACAAAAGAGCCAGTTCAACAACAGGCGGTTGCTCCACGGCCATGGTGGATGCGTCTGCTGGTTGACGCAGTGTTTGTCCCCTTTGTCCAAGGATTTATGCTCAATCTCGGCACACATTGGGTACGCAACTGGCGGCGTAACGGCGGGCTTCTAGGCGTATTCCGCCGTCGTAAACAGCAATAATACCCCTTTACCGAAATAAAGGACCCTTACATTGTATTGTATTTTTCAATTTCACTTAAAATAAACAAAAAAAGAAAGAATCATTATTCGCCCGGGCGCCTGGCATTGCAAGCTACAATCTTGACCTTATCTGCGGATGCCGAGTCATGGTCGAATTTAAATGTCGGGTTTTTGATAATGAACGTCCAAACATCGTCACAAAACCTGTATGTGCGCAGATTGCCTTTCATTACAGCCTTGGCTTTGACTTTGGATGACAGGGCCTCGGATATGCTTTTGTCGTATTGATCGAGAACCTGGATTGCCAGCTGTGGCGTGATGTGACCAGCCTGGATGAGTTCATCCAGGGAGTCTGTCAGCGCCATCCCCAATGTGCTCGTACGGTATAGCTCGTAATATGAAGGCATATGTTTATTGATGTTGTAGTTGTTTTTAAAATAAATAAATAAATAATTGGTGTACTGGTGCGCGTGTGCCAGAGTAGTTGTGATATAATAGTTAAAATGAAAATTACCGCGTTTTATACTCGTGCTATTTATAGGGCACTGGTCGGGGATGCTTTGTACCCCACGCCTGGACTTGTGAGAGTTTGGGGTTGTGTCACGTGGAATGTATGCCCGTAAGGTTTTGTTGGTTTTTAGCTTTGAGATATACATGACAATTTTATGTTTTATTTTGACAGTGAAAAAAGTGAAGACGGAGAAATACAATCCAGCTACCTAAAAGAAGCAGGCCACTCTGGCACCAGTTTTCAGCCGCATTTTGAATGGACCTTGAGTATCAGCAAGTACGTTTACTTCTTCTCGAATATGTTGCGGATGGCCTCAGTGGTCAGCGACTTGGGCCGCTCAATGGAGAAACCGAGAGCACGGTCCCAGATGAGCTGCGACAGGACACCGAAGGCGCGGGAGACACCGAACAGGACGGTGTAGTAGTCCTGCTCGACGAGGCCGTAGTGCTGGAGGAGGACACCCGAGTGGGCATCGACGTTGGGCCAGGGGTTCTTGGTCTTGCCGTGTTCAGTCAGGACACCCGGGACAACCTTGTACAGCGCGCTGACAGTCTTGAACAGCTTGTCCTCGGGCAGGTGCTTGAGGGCGAACTCGCGCTGGGCCATGTAGCGAGGGTCGGTCTTGCGCAGGACAGCGTGGCCGTAGCCAGGGACAACGCGGCCCGAGTTAAGGGTCGCCCAGCAGTAGTCGCGGATCTGCTCCTCAGTGGGGGTGTCAGTACCGATCTCCTTCTGCATGTTAAGGATCCAGCGCAGGACTTCCTGGTTGGCGAGGCCGTGCAGGGGACCAGCAAGACCGTTAAGGCCAGCGGCGAACGACAGGTAGGGGTCGGACAGCGCCGAGCCAACAAGATGGGTGGTGTGAGCCGAGACGTTGCCGCCCTCGTGGTCGGAGTGGATAACAAGGTACATGCGCATCAGATCGGCAAACTCGCGGTTCTCGCCAAAGCCGAGGAGGTTGGCAAAGTTCTGCGAGTAGTCGGCCGAGGTGTCGATGGAGCCGTGCTTGCCATCCTTGAAGACGTTGCGGTAAATGCGCGACGCGACGAGGGGCAGCTTGGCGAGCAGGTCAAGGGAGTCCTCGAAAACGGGGTCCCAGTAGTCCTTGCGGTTGATGCCGGCGTGGTAGGCCTTAGCAAACTGCGAGTCGTGCTGCATGGCGTTGACGGCCAGCGAGAACTGCGACATGGGGTGCAGGGTGCTGGGGCAGCGGTCAATCAGGTCGATGACGAAATCGGGCAGCGACGCGCGCGAGTTGAGCTCATCGGTGATGGACTGGGCCTGGGCCTGGGTGGGCACCTCGCCGGTGAGCAGAAGCCAGAAGAGGGCCTCGGGAGTGGTCTCGGTGGCACCCTTGGGCTTGGGCAGGGTCTCCTGAACCTCAGGGATGGAGAGGCCACGGAAGCGAATACCCTCATCAGCATCGAGGAGCGAGGTGTCCCAGACCATACCCTTGATGCCGCGCATACCGCCGTAGGCCATGTTAACGGTGGTCTCGCCCAGAACACGGTCGCCGTACTTCTGCTTGACCTCCTTAACCTCGGCAATCTTCTCGGGAATCAGCTCCTGGACGCGCTGCTTGAGAGACTAGATTTTTTGCGAGCAAAAAGAAAAGTTTGGGAAAATCAAAATCATTTTTGTGGTGATGATGTGATTAGCGTAATGAAAATCAAATAGATATGCGCTCTGCGTAAACTTTATCATTATCGGCCAGCGTAAACCTGCAGCTATGGCCGCCGGCATTCGGTTGGGGAGCGCTGGCCATGGTTGGGCGCGGTAGACAGCATGCAAAATCGCATTTTGTCGAGACAAAGTAGAAATCACGCCTGCGTCCTCGCACACACTATTCAAAAGCGCAATATGCACATAATCATTTGCAAGTTGTCATTTATTTGGTTGGTTGCTACTTACAGCGGCAGACGAAGAGGTCGACTTGAAGCGGGCGAGAGCCGCAATCGAGGGAACAGCTTTGCTGACCTATTTGGTTTGAAACGCGTTAAAAACAAAAAGATGTGCCACGATGAAGAAACAAATGTGTTAGTAGCGCTGCTTTTTGGTTTATCTCGATTCTGGACAATGAAAAGGATCGTGCGGGATCGACACACCTTGGCCTTCTTTTCAAGCGATATTTTCTGTATCAACACAGCGACAAAGGCCATTGTTGTCGCCAATTTATCTCACGGGCCTGAACTGGACGATTGCAAGTCGGATAACCGCCACGTCACAAATTAACAATAAAAAACAAGACGTGGACGATAGAGAAAAGATGATAGAAGCACGCCGGCCCAAATCACAGCAGCAAAGTTTGCTGAACAAGATAAAAAGACAGTATAGGATGTGTGTTCAAATCGTTATCGTGCTTGCTGTGTGCGCCCGTTGTCGACAAAAGCAAAGAGTAATATCGCCAAGTCAAATGAATTTAGAAAAAACGACGGCGCTTTCGAATCGCAGAACTCTGCCCGAATTCATGGCTTCCTCCATACATAAGACCAAAATAGCAAAAGTATATGCATGTGGCTACTCCGAGATATAGCATTAAAAGAAGACAAGGAGAGACGAGGGGGCGAAGAGTTGCCAAGCACGATAGCAAAAGGCATACACACGAGATATAAGCAAGGGGCTACTTACCGAGCGGACGGAGGCGTTGCTGGTGGCGCGAAGAACAAACATGGTTTTTTAAAAGCAAGTGTGTATTAAAAATAGTATAAGAAAGAATAAAAATATAAACAAGCAAGGAAAAAAGCAAAGAAAAAGAAAGTAAATGCGACAAGAGCTGAAGACAGGCTCCTCCTTATAACGGGGATGGTGTTAATGGCGGAAATTGATGGCATCCCAATAGATAAAAAAATCCGGAAATTGCTCTTCTTGGCTGCTGTCGCTACTGTTTGCACATCAGTCGCCGCACATACGAAATGAACACTTGATTTCATTTTGTATGTTGTACTGCCTTCCCTTGTTTGTGTTGGCATGGACGAAAAGATAAGGATTGGCCACCGGAGCACAGCAGCCAGAGTAAGGGAGAAAGAGCGTGCACTGCCCACTTTTTTTGGGCTGCGAGGGTGCACCAAGGAAAATCGGCTTTAGCGATTGGCCAATTGTTTGCCCTTTTGCTGGATGGTTATCCGGCAGAGTGAAGTTGGTGCTCTCATTTTTCACTTGTTCGGGGGGCTTAAGCACCGTGACGCGCGCATGTCAGAGAGATACAGATAAAGACGGGCCGTGTGACAATAACGTTGAAATACAGCAGGGGACACGGACTTTCGCAGCTTTGCGGACAGGCGCTTGAACAGAGAGAAGGACAAAAGGAGGCGTGGGTCAGCCGGTCAGGAATTCCCCAAGGCGGCTGAAGTCCGCAAACATGTCGCAAGTCCGCCAGCCCTTTTCGTTGTTTGGACGAAGCGCTGAAGCTTTAAACCGATTCAAGGAAATTAACCGAGCTCTGCAGATAAAAAATACTTGGACAGTATTTAAACACCTTGCGCAGCAGCCTTCCCCCACCGCCCTGAGTTTCGAGCGTTATGCTCTGGCTCTGTGTTCAACGCAAGGCAAGGCGTGCTTCAATTAAGCTTGCGCCGCCATCGACTCGAGGCCTCACAGGCGCAATGGCTAAGCATGTGGCTCACACATGCATGATTGCGAGCCAGAGTTACAGACTAAAAGTCGAAATCAGCTGAAATAGGTGGTATATATGTCACATGTCTCGTTATCTTTTCACCGCCGGGAAAAAAGCCCCTCAACTATAAAGCCTGTTGTGCCTGCCGAACGCTGCCTGTCTTGCGCCTTTGCGGCTCCGCGCGCAGATAAATTAATTATCCGACAAGACTGGGTTCTTTTCCGCAGCGGGTGAACGAGTGAGCGGACTCACTTTCGCATACAGAAAAAGATGAATGGAAAATAGCCCAGCAGTAATCTTGAAATCGTTGATCTGATTAATCGGTTTGCCAGTAGCAACTCGACAACCTTTCCGAGCCTTCCGGGCCTTCCAAGCTTGTTTCTACAGCGCTTTTGCCTCTGCTATTCTTTCCGGCCACCCCCCAAATTCCGGCAGGTGGGAACAAGGATATGGAATGAAAGCAACAGCTGATCCAATCTAAGTTTGTGTCCTAATTGTTCCCCCAAACTGTGTACGGTCAGCGGACAATTCAGAAATGTGGCTTGCGTTGCAGCCACATTGCACTCGCCACTCGTTGTTTAGAGGAAGAAGAATGAAAAATGCAACATTCGAATTAGTTATTTGAATTTCAGTTATTTGAATTACGGTTGACTGGGAGACACCTGGCTGTTTTTCCCACTTGGGATCCTGCGACGAGCCTTAATGAGGCGGTTATTTTTTATACCATGAGCAGAGCAGACGCATTGCCACAATAGGATTTCCGATCACTTGCAGCAGAGTGGGGGAAGAGAGGGGGTGTCGCTCCGTGCGCTGTGACCACCCCCTCTATTTACTCCTTTTATGCAAAAATAGGAATTTTTGTTTTTCTGCCAACGAGGCAAAAGGAGAGAACACACACTAGAATAAGCGAGGCTGCACCTGCATTAAATGACACCACCATCAAACTACGCGTATTGCCACACGATGTCACCGGCTGACGCAATAGCCGCAGGAATGGCTAGATATGCTGAAGTTGGTACTGAATTTGAATTTGTATCTCAGCCATTCTATTGTTTTATTTTTCTTTCTCTCCTGACACAGAGACGGAGCAGATGAGCACAACCCAAATTCGTCATTGGTCCCCCCCCCAGCCACTCCGCTCGGTGAGCATTTACCGAACATAGTGGACTTGAGGAGACATTATTTTGCGTCTTTAAACATGGCCTCACCCTTTTTTGCCCAACCAGCTTTTTAATTCGCTTTGTATTAATTTTTTTGCTTTTTCTTTTGCCCCTCCTTTCTTTTTTTATTGTTTGACAACAATTTCTTTTTTGCCTTTACGCCCGCATTCAGCTTCTCGTTGACTGCATCGGCACCATCCATCCATCCCCTTTTTCTTTACTTTGTTTTCTCTTTATTCTATTCACTTGCTCTACTTTTATCCTGGGTGTCAGTTCAGCAATTTTGCTATTGCCTGCGCGACTGTGCTGCATTTAAAAAGACTGCATCGCCCGCTCAACCAACCCTTTCCCTCCCCTTCTTTTTCACATTACTCATTTTTATTTTATTTTTTCGTTTAATGCAACGGCGCTACACAATTTTGTCTATTTCATAACCACTTTCCAGACGAGGCTAGACAAAGAATCGTCTCTCGTTTTATTAAATTATTTGTCGATATTTTCACGCTCTTTTTTCACTCGGCTGATTTTTCGTTCTTGGGCTTTTACTACACTCGTTGTTTTTTCAATTGTCTTGTTCACGAGGTTTTCTCGCACCATGCTCAACTGCAAACATAACCAGCTCAGCGCTGATGAGCTAGAAATGGCTGAAAAGGTATATACACGCCCACACGCCCACACTCAATACACTATTTTATATGCGCAGACGACACCTTTTCTCCTCCCTTTTATCTCTCCCTCTCTGTATATGGCCATTCATTTATCCAATTCTTTTTTGAGGCCCTGTTTAAAGGCGCTACTGCATGTCAGCAAATGCACACATATGATTTAACGGTGTTTGCTTGGCATATTGTGTTGCGCGCAGTAATATAAACAGCAGCTGACAATGCCAATTTTTTTGAGGTGTGGCAATTGCAAAATTCTACCAAGGGCCGCTTTGTCTGTCGTGGGATCGGCTGTTTTGTAATGCATCATTTGCGCTTTCTTTTGCCTTTTTGCATGTCTTTCAAGGAATGAATCCATATGACCAACACTTTTCCTGTTAAAAGGACCAAAAAGAAAGCAGAAAATTGCTTCTCTGCAATTTCATTTAGCCTTTGGCGCATAATTTATTATTCCGCGCCATTATCTTGGTCTTTTGCCAAAGCAGAACCACTGATTTTTTTTGCATTCACAATTTACTGCGGTTTGTGAATGGTGAATGGTGAATGGTGAATAGTGAATGACACTGCGCAAACGCCCAATTACCAGTTGTGTGCTGTGTGCCGTTCAAAATACCCTCGAAAATCTGGTGGAATTAATTTAATTGATGCTCTTTGTTTTTGCCTTTTCCGTCACTGGTTGTTGATCGTCGGGTATATATTGTGTCGCTCTGGCTTTTATTTTCCACTTCATTTGGCAGAACACCCCCAGCGCCAGATCGCACGCACAGGCATCATTAGTAACCATCACCGAAACAATGAAACCTCGACAATACTGTCTGTTGCAGTGTTTTTTTATCATCCTAACACGTCAATCTTAATGATGACAATGCTGATCCGCTGAACCACGCAAACACACGCCGCAAACAATGAAATGCTTGTTTTATTAAAAGTCCCCAATTATATTTTGATTTTTGTCTTGTAGACCATGAACTCGTACTTGGACGACAAGTGGGGCTCTGTCGGTTTGGCATTCGATCCGTGGGCGTACTCGCGGGCTGAACAGCAGGGCATTCTCTTGGCCATTTTCAAAAACATGAACGTGCTGACAGTTCTCGAGCTGACACCTAGCGAAATGCTGGATTTCTGCCTGGATATAGAGAAGCTTTATAATAAGGTGCCCTACCACTCGTTCAACCATGCCATTGACGTCGTGGTCAAGCTATATTATGTTTTGTGCGACCTGCACGCTGCTGCATACTTGGCCTCCTACGACATTGCATCTTTGCTCATAGCTGGCCTTTGCCACGACAGCGGTCATGTAAGTATCAACGCACGTGGACAAGATTGTCTCGCCTCGCTTATATTGAAATTGGGCATGAATGACATGAGATATGAGCTTTCTTATTTTGAATTTTTGTTCATTGTCTTTCTTGTCTTGTGTTGCACGTCAATGCACGTCAATGCGATGTATTGTTCTTTCTATGCATGTATTTCTTGGATTTGTATTTGCGGCTATGCACTACAATTACAGTAGACAAAAAGTGTGTTCATTGCATGCATTTTTAATAACAGCCTTTCATTGTAACAAATTTACAACCATTTGTAGCCAGGGATGAACAATCTGTTCCAGAAGAACGCCAAGACAGAGTTTGCTCAGAGGTACCCCGACGCCATTCTGGAGCGCTACTCGATGGACCTCGCCAAAGAGTACATTGCAAAGCACCGGCTGCTGCGCAACGTGGAGAATCTGCGCGACCCAATGTACAGCGACAGCACGACCATTGAGGTTGACGTGGCCACACGCATGATGAACAGCATATTGTCCGCCATTCTGCATACCGACATGTCACGGCACTTCAATGGCGTCGAAGAGTGCAAGGTGATTGTATCAGTGTTGTCAAAAAAGGCCCGCCGGATATCCGAACACGAAGCGTACCAAAAGGAGTGCCTTGTCGACCCACTGTTACAATATAGCAACCCAGAGCAGCCCACCACTAGCCTGGAGACGAGCACACCATACGAGCCCACACCCAGCCCGAATATAAATCGGTTGAAAACCAGCGGGCATGTCATCCGATGCCGCTCTCCTAGCGAACCTCCGGCGCCAACGAAGTCGCTATATTCGTACTCACTGCTGAATCCCGCCAGTACGCCCAGCATTACTTCTGCAGCTGGCACTCTTACGCCGAAAAGCAGTATAGAAGACTTGGATGCGTCTGCCCAGACGCACTTGGCTGAGCCGCCCACTGCTGGCATTGGAAGTCTCGGCATGAGTCGTGCCATGAGAGGAAAGGGCCGGCGCTTGCAAGTCAGGCGGTCGGTTTCTATGCGCGATGCGCTGCTGGACAGCACGCAGAGGCAAACCCTGATTAACATTCTGCTCCACGCTGTCGATGTCTTCAATCCAGTGCTGCCCTGGGACATGTGCAAAAAATGGTCCGACCTGATGAATGCCGAGTCCTTCCATCAGGGCGATGCCGAGAAGAAGCTGGGACTTCCAGTGTCACCCAACATGGACCGCACATGCACCGACCAGCGCCAAGTGTCTCTGGACTTTGGAAACATTATTATTCGCCCGTTCTTTACCGAGCTCGTCTCTATATTTCCAGTCGAGGACGAGCTGCTATCAGCCCTCGAGGCAAACTTGCAAAAGTGGAGTCGGTTGTCGACAGATGCATTTTATGAGATTAGCGCCCCCGCTGGAGCTAACAGCCACGAGTACTCCTGGCCTATCGGGCCTGTTCGCACGCCAGTGTCCCGTGCCAACAGTGGTTCTCTGTCCGAGGGCCGGCGGTTGAGCATTGCCGCGGGAACAGTCGAAATACCGTCTTCACGCTTAGAGATGATTCGCCGGCACTCTCACGAGGGATTCGAGGCGCTGCACCGCCGGATGGTCGGGCGTCTTTTTATGAAGCATTTGGAGAAAATACAAGAGCGACGCAAGGACTCTTACACGGCCACGCAGCTTACCCAGAATTTATCCGCTCGTCCGCGGATGACGTCGCAGATAAACAGCAGTAATAGGCGAAGTGATAATGGCAGGTGCAGCCCGCTTGTTTTTTCGCCAGGATCCACGCCCTTGTGGAAGGAGTTTGACTCAGACATGCTTTCACCGGTGACCGAGGCGGGCTGCGTTGATAATTCGAGCGCGCCGCATTCTGCGACGTCTGCAGAATTTGGGACCGACAGCCGTCATGGTAAGGGTGCGAAAAAACATTACATATCATACCCTCAGTCGCCACGCACATTGACTGCCGTCACTGCTGCTCCAATGAAGAACGACACAAAGTATGGTGTGCCCATGTCTAAGGGGCTGTCCACAGCGTCGAATGAATCTCCATTGCATGTTTCCATGCTGCCTTTGCGGGATCCTTTTGGCCCTGACAGCAACAAGGAACACACACCCGTTAATCCTCATTTGATTAACTACCGCATTGATTCTTTGACTACTTCGGGTCGGCTGGTCCGCAGCGCTTCGCTGGACCCATCGATCCTTTCGCATATGCCAACTTCGTATCCATCGCTGGCCGCGACCGATGGCAATTCAGTGTCCAATTCGACAATCGCTTCTGTCAAATTGCTGTCCGAGCAGACAGACATCAACTGAGTGCACAACCATTTCTAATTTATTTATTTACCAACCATATCCAATAACTTTTAATTTATCTTATAAATATCTACATTTGCATTATTCATGTCCTTTTTCATATTGATTTATGTTGTTGTTGCTGGTAAATGTGTCCAAGCGCATAACTGTCAGAGACATTTGTCTACTCCCTTTTAATATCTACAGGGACAGGATTCCTCAGGAAACCCAGAATCGAATTAAGCATACTCGAAAAGTACGAGCTGATAGACGCCGCATACTTGTTGACTGTACCGCCAGCAATATATGCGGTGACTTGCAGCGTCAGGCCATCATAAAATAACAGTTTCTCGGCCTTTGCGCCCATTGCAATCATAAGCGTGTCACCTGCCAGAGACTCGTCACCGAGCGCCTTGATCATGGTTTTGATAACTTTCTCTGGCTTCATAAGTCCAATCTTCTGAACCAACGGGTACGCTTGAACCAAGCGGTTGTTAGCAACCAAGGGAGTATCAGTAAAATAAGGCGCCACGGCATTAACACGTACTTGCGGTGCCAGTGCCTTGCATGATGCTGTAAAGAATATAATCCCGGCCTTGGTCGACCCGTAGCTCTCCATCAACGAAATGGGCATGAGGCCGCCGACCGACGCAGTGTTCAGCACAGTGCCGCGAATACCAGTTTCTCTGAAATACCTGACGGCCAGCCGGGTGGCCTCCATGGGAGCGCGCAGGTTAATATCAATAATCCGGTCTAACTCCTTATGATCCTCCTGACTGAACAATGACCTCTCGTTGGCAATCCCTGCATTGTTAACGACAATATCAATATGGCCAAATTTATCAATAGCCTTGTCAAAGAATTTCTGGATGGAGCCTCGCTCGCATAAATCTAAAACTATCCAGCTTGTATTGTGGTGCTGCTCGTTTAACTCGTTTGATACTTGTTCTACTTTCGGGTCAATGTCAACGAGTAAGACTTTGAGTTGGTTTTCGGCTAGAGCTTTGCTCAGTTGTTTGCCTAGCCCGCTGGCTGCGCCGGTGACTATGGCCACTTTACCACGGATGTTGGCAATGTATCTGTCCATGCTGGATGATGTGGCCATATTTGAAAAGCTAGCTTAATATATATTTTTTTTTAAAAAAGGGGTATAGGTAAATAAATGTTTCTTTACCAAAGAGAGATGCTTGGTGTTGTAAAAATAAAAAAGAAAGTCAGTGTGCCAGAAAATGTTACTGTATCAATAATGCGCTGTATATCGTGTATATTGTATTTTTCATGAAGGATACAACATCGGAGGATGCGACAGAAGCAGAGACAGCAGTAACTGTAATATACGTGCGCGCGAAAACCCCACCGCCTTGCAAATTTTGAAAGCTGCCTCAAAAATACACGTGACTAAGCCCAAATACATTGTCGCGCGCATCAGCACTGTCAAATATCTTATTGTGATATTGAAAAATTCTAGGCGCTTTAAACGGGTCCAACGCATATTCATATGGTTTACACGTTGTATTTATAAAGTCATCATGTTTGGGTTTAAAAAGTCCAAAGTGCGGAGGAATATTCGCAAGAGAGACGACAATGCGGCAGAAGAAGAGCTAGTCGATGACGCGCCAGTGAACATTGTAAAGCGATCAACAAAACAGACAAGCAAGCCCGCGACACCGCTCTCAGCGTCCACCGGATTGAGCTTTGGCACAGAGGATAAATCGGATTCTACACAGACACAGAAAATCCGGGCCAGTCTTCAGCTAAACGATGGTCTTGTTGGACAGACGGGCGCAAACGAGGCTGGAGCCAGAACGTATTTGGCTGAGGACTTTGAAGCACTAAAGAGCGCATCGGCAAAGCCTTTGGATTTGAGCGAGGAGACATGTGCAGACAAGGCGTATCCATTTGCTGACGAGGGGATTCCTAACGCGCAGGATATCTTTTTGGCAAAAAAACTGCGCCGACAACGCCAGGCAGCAGCGGCGGCGGCGACAGATCAGCAGGACGACGGCTTGGATATTGACCAGGACAGGTTTAGTGAAGGCGACGATTTTATATCATTGACCGACAACATGGCGAGCTCCCGCGTGAACGACACAAACGAGACCAAGCTGGATGATCCGTTTGACGACGGGGCAGCTGAGGGCGAGGATGAGCTGGACATGGTGATCATAGACAAGACCGAGCGCAACGAGTTTAATTTCACCGCGCGCAGGGCCAAAGAGCAATCAATCGAGCAGGCGCAGGATGCGGACGAGCCGAGCGACTGGGAGAACGAGCAGCTGCGCAATGCCGGTGTGTCCCTGCATATCGAGCCCCGTGTGAGCGGACTGCGTCTGCCCGAAGATAACGGCGGGCTCGAGTTTGACGACTCGCTTCTGAGGCTTATGCTCGAAGAGGACCGGAACCAGTTGAAGATAGAACAGCACAGGCTGGAGAAGGCGCAGGCGAATTTGCAAAGGTCGAGGGATGCTGTATTGGTGATTCGCAAGGGAACTGAGGAGGCGCAAGCGCAGCTCAGTCATTTTACTTTGCTTGCAAAGTCGGTTCAATAAAACAGTGCAAAATATTGTTCAAGTGTGAACTTCCCATGATTGTGCGCAGCCAAGCTCTCGATTATAGACTGCTCACTAAAAGGTTTCCGCAGCCACAAGTGATGGTCTCATTTGCATCCATCTAGATAATTTTATTTCAATTTTTTTATAAAAAAGCGTTCATACTCAAGCCAAATGGATAAGCCAAATGCTCATTTTAAAGGCCATTCTAGCGGCAGTGGCGGTAGCACATATCGAGAGTGCCAGCTCAGCCCAGAAGATGCAAACAATACTCACAGTTCTCGCTTTCATCGCGTAGCCTTGCTTGACAATAAGCCGGACGATAACATACCACCCGAGTTTACTATGGAACCGTCTACCATAGCACCGACATTTGGCGATTTTAATGCGTACTACGAACAGCAGAAGCGCGAGCTGGCTGAGCAAGCAGAGCAGAGATAAGCTGCATGTCATGCCAGACGTGCAAACATGAAAAATGTGCGGAAAATATATTTACAGCGCACTTGACATCAATACTAAAACCATGCTAATGGCCAGTTTGGTTATTTTTCTTCAATATAGGACTGTCAATGCGCCCAAATACGACCGTATATTTGATGGTGTTGTCTTCCACATCAATGGGTACACGCAGCCTCTCATTACGAGCTGAAGCTTATATTGATTGAGCGCGGCGGCCAGTTTCTGCGCTGCTTGTCAAAGACGCAGGTGACGCACATCATTGCTTCTGGCCTGGCCATGTCCAAGGAGAAAGAGTTTAGGAACTATAAGGTTGTACGGCCAGAGTGGGTTGTGGACAGCGTCAAGGCAGGAAAACAGCTGGCGTGGCACAAATACGCGCTTATTGGCAGGGCAATACCGGGCTCCCCACCGTTAAGTCATCCTACGACGACAATATGAGACTGCTGGCTGATACAGACTGGTCTAGGGGTGTTCTAGGAAGACCCCCCGTACATTTGGGAATTTCTGCCAACGACTCTGCAATAAATCGGGCGATGGTAATGTGGCCAGAATACATCCCGGTTATTGACAGATTCGAAGAAGGGCTTAACCGCGAGTGGGTGCGTAAGAATTTGGCGACAGAGAATGATTTTATACAGCGCTACTATGCTAGCTCGCGTCTCCACCATCTGTCAACGTGGAAGGTCGAGTTGAAGGACTATGTTGCACAGCTGCGCCGGAAGCAAGACAGGCCCAGCAGGCTGAACCAATGCGGCGGCTCGGCTATTCCGCGCGACCGAATAATCATGCACGTTGATTTCGACTGCTTCTTTGTTCGGCAAGCCTGCTTTCACATCCATACCTCAGAGACAAACCAGTGGCAGTATGTCACTCCCAGCAACACCACAGCATGGACACAGAGGACGGCGATGGACTGCTTACGGTAAGCAATTTGATCAATCTAGCAGTACTAGTCAGATAGCATCTTGCAACTATATTGCCCGGTCGTTTGGCGTGAAAAGCGGGATGATCATGAGCCAGGGCCGGCAGCTGTGTCCGGCGCTGATGACTATTCCTTACCAGTTTGAGACGTACAAGCGGATATCTCAGACATTTTACGATATTATCATTGCAATTGCAGACGAAATACAGGCGGTCAGTGTGGATGAGGCGCTTTTGGATGTTACCGAACGGTTGTGGCAGGACTTTGACGGAAATGCCGAATTACTTGCCTAGAATATTCGACAGCGGGTACACAAGGCCACAGGGTGCGCGGTCAGCATCGGCATCGGCCCAAGCATGCTACTTGCTAGAATGGCTACAACCAGGGCCAAGCCTGATGGCGTACACTCGCTCAATACACAGTCATTTTGCAACCTGAATATTAGTGTCCGCGATCTTCCTGGCATTGGACACATGGTGGAGAGGAGTCTTGCCAGCAACGGGATCAGCAGTGTAGCAGAGGTTAGAGCGACTGGGCTGCAAAGACTGCAGGATATTTGCGGAGAGAAGATGGCAGTCACGCTGTTCAATTTCAGCCGCGGCGTTGATGAGGGAACGTTGGAGTCGGACAAACCACGGCAGGTTTTCGGCGCAGACATTGGGTGGGGTGTTCGGTTTTCCAACCAAGCCGACGCCGACAACTTTATAGCCAGGCTTGCCAGCGAAGTGTGTAGGACAATGTCGGCAGCCAAGCGCACAGGCAGCTCGGTTACGCTCAAAATAAAGAAGCGGCGCGAGGGAGAAGGGAAGCCAGCAAAATTTCTGGGCCACGGCATCTGTGATAGCTTGTCAAAGTCGGCAGTGCTATCGCGGATGACCAACGAGCCGGAAAAGTGGCCAGTGCGTGTATCAAGCTGCTGCACCAGATGTCCATTGATCCGCTTGACATCCGGTCGGTGGGAACCCAGGTGTACAAGCTGAACTCGTTTGATTCCAGTGGTGGGGGCGACATTGGCAGTATGTTGGCAAAATCCAAGGCGAAATTTAGTGAGGGCCCAAATTCAGGCCAGCATGCTTTTCATGATTTGCCGACGGCGTCGCAGCTGGATACCAGCGTTCTGAGTGAGTTGCCAGACTCAATACGGCAGGAGTTGGAGTCGTATTATCGGCAGACAACCCCGGGTGCCAGCATTACCACAACGGCAGGCAGCATATCTGCTATGGGCGTATCTCCTAGAGAATTGCCTCATACAGGCTCTGCTAGATTGAAAATACCCAGAAGCGGCATCGGGAGTGGGAGACGAGGCAGACCACGCAAACTCACATTCCAGCCGACTTCCAGTGGATCAAAGGGGAAGCAGGCAACGTAAATCTTCTTCAGGCGTTCAAAAGGGTAGAGACGCTGGACTTGGTTATGCCGTCGCAGATGGACACAAATGTGTGGGAGAACCTCCCCATGAGCATTTGCCGCGAGCTGGCCCGCGAGTACATCAAGACAAAACTCACAGTGAGCGAGAAAATAACACCAATGACAAACCACAATTTGGCAGCTGCTGGTGCTAAAGCAACAGTGGTGACAGGCCCTAGTATCGGAGCGACTCCCATGTCTATGCTTTACGGCGCATCTGATATCAGTGACGTCCATCGGCTTGTCGGCGCATGGGTCGACTCCTCAAGTGCTGGACCGCTGGAAGAGGACATTAATGAGGTTGGTGACTATATAGAGGAGCTGGTCCAACACCGCGATCTGATGAAGGCAACAAATGTCTTGAAATATTTTAAATTCCGCTGCACGCAGCAGTCTGACTCCCAGCTATGGCAAATCGCTCTGAAAATTGTGCTGGGCCGAGCAAACAAGATGTGCGCTGACATGTACGGTGCGTATCTCGATATTTGAAAGCTGGCTCAAATGTACCACATGTTGGCACTTTAGATAGGTAAATGTATTATAGCGAAAAAATACTTTCAAAACTTTCCAGCGAGCGTGGTTTGAACCGCGTCGATAACCGTGTCAAATATGTTGGCATTCGCAGCTATGACACCCTTGTTGGCGCTCAATGTGCGACCAATTGAAAAGTCCAGCGGGTTTCCGTTCACATCGGTGACTCGACCTCCCGATTCATGGATGATGATGTTTCCGGCGGCATGGTCCCAAATCTTCTCCTCGTATGCAGCTTTCTGGGGAAGGCGCAAATAAATGTCGGCATCGCCGCGGGCGACTGCTGCGTACTTGCACTGGCTGTCCATGCGCACTGAGGGCCTAGTGATGTTCAGCAGCTTGGCAATGTTGGCACTGTCGCCATGGCTGGTGTGTGCGGCCTCGACAGACTCGCAGAACGTCGCGTCCCTAGTATCAGCGACCTTTGATGCGTGGATCAGCACTTCGTCTGCTCTGCCGCCACCATGAAGTCGTCTCTGGAACGCGCCCTGGCCCTCAACAGCCACCATCAATACGCCACGCTCGCCGTCGGGCTTGTCCAGCTCGTAGGGAAGGTTAGGGCAGCCGAGCACGCCCACGCGCACCTTGCCGTCAACAATAAGGGCCAGACAGACAGCAAACTGCTCGCCACGCAGGAATCCCTTTGTGCCATCAATGGGGTCCAGTGTCCAGTGGCTACCCTTGGGCCCACCAGCGTACTGCCCGCGGTCAATCAACCGAAGAATCTATAGGTAAATTGATATAACAAGAGCAGACGAACGCGCGTCAAATTGTCAGCATCGCATAGGTGAGGCAACATCAATGGCATTGTTAATGTCAATGCCAATACCAATATCGTAATGAAATGAAATACTTACCTCGTCAGAGCTGAGGGGCTGCTCTGTGATAGTGTTGACAAGATCCACAACTTTTTCGCGCAGCACACGGCCCTCCTCACCCTGCAAATCCTTGGAGTCCTCCTCGCCGACAACCGGGTCGTCGGGAAAGTGCTTCTCAAGGATGAGGTTGACAACGGCCTGCGCTCCAAAGTCAGCGACTGTAACTGGCGACTTGTCCTTCTTTGTTAGTGTCTCCTCTGTCACGAGCCGCTTGAACACGGCCTGGCAGACCCGCGAGGCACACTCAACAGCCTCGATGGCCACCGCTCTTTCCTTTCCAAAGTAAGCTAATTGTGTAAAATAAGTGCGAAATGTGCTTTGGTTACTGTCGGTGCTTATATTAATGTGCTTCCACGAGAAACATGCGAGACCACTACCGCTGGCCCTGCTCATGGCCCTGTGTCCTCCTGAAAGCATTGTCAAGCGTTGGAATGTGGCGGTGCAGCAGCGCATTGCCGCCGGCAAATTACCTGTCATTATGTTTGCTTGAAGTAAATAAATAAGGTATTTTCCCGCGAAATTGTTACAGGGGTGAGCTTTCCGGTTGGCGATATGCTCACATGCACAAAGATAACACACACAATTGTACGCCTGCCCATCGGTGAATCAGTGATTATCGATGATCAGATTAGTGCCTCAAATGGCAAGCCAGTTCGCACTTGTCCGCTTTTTGGCGCATGTGCACTTTGCTAATTGTTGAATTTCGAGCCTGCTAGCCAGCCTGCAACCATTATTGGTGTTGCTGGGGCAGGGCTTCTCTGCGACCTAAACCTGAAGCCTTGTGCAGCTGTTATTTGGAGATTTCTTCCTCTCTTTCAAATATATCGTCGATAAAATCCATTTAGTAAGTGTCACGATGGGAAACACGAAATTCGAAGAGGGGCTGGCGGGAGCTGTTATTTCAGGCGTGCAGCAATGGATTCAGCAGCAGAAAAATGAGCACACATTTCTATGGGATGGATTTGACGGACGCATCCATTGATTATCGATGTTTGCATCCATCCGGTACACAGATTTATGCCTATTTCTGACTTGCTATATTGAGAAAGTGGCGGTTGTGGATGCGTGGCAGAGTTACAGCAGAGATATCAGAGACATTTGACAAATTCGAAATTCAAATCTGCATGGGTGGAGTTTTGAATTTGCGAAATGACGAATTGGGCTTTGGCAACTGCAACGGCTGGGCGTTTGGCAAGGCTGGCATTATTGACAGACTTTCTTTATTATTTCTTGGCACGCCTGCCTAGTCTGTCAGAATCAAATCTGAAAGGCGAAGGCAATCTGCGTGTATGGGGTTGCGATTGGCCAATGCCTGAGCCTGCCAATGCAAGCGCAGCTGTCAGACAACTTTGCTTTGAATCTTCAGCTACATCTTTCTTTTACCTCAGCGCCGCTCACCACAGCACTCATAGACACACAAACGCGTCGAATCGTGGTGCCATTTTTGTAGTACACGAACGCTTCAGGAGTGCTTATTGCCCACAACTTATATTATTTTCAGCGGCAATGTGCACTTTTGGACGCGATAAAGGCTGCCCGTACTTTAGCCCTTGCTTTCCCTCCCGCGATTTCGAACGAGTTTTGGACCAAACGCAAAATTGACAGAAAAGCTGTTTTGCGTGCAGATAAAAGTAGAGCATGGTATTACTAAAATTCGAGGTTCTTCCACTGCTTCTTTTCTCCAATTGGATTTGTTGTAGCGATGCAGATTTTCGTCAAGACCCTGACCGGAAAGACGATCACCCTCGAGGTGGAGTCGTCCGACACCATTGACAACGTCAAGCAGAAGATCCAGGACAAGGAGGGTATTCCCCCAGACCAGCAGCGCCTTATCTTCGCCGGCAAGCAGCTCGAGGATGGCCGCTCCCTTTCGGACTACAACATCCAGAAGGAGTCGACCCTTCACCTGGTCCTGCGTCTGCGTGGTGGTATTATTGAGCCCTCCCTCAGGGCCCTTGCCTCGAAGTTTAACTGCGACAAGATGATTTGCCGCAAGTGCTACGCTCGTCTCCCCCCTCGTGCCACCAACTGCCGTAAGAAGAAGTGCGGTCACAGCAACCAGCTCCGCCCCAAGAAGAAGCTGAAGTAAATGTTTCGGTTTATATCCTTTCTCTTGTTTGAACATATTTTTAAGACAAGTTGGGCTTTAATACAATGCACGTGAAGCAAATTATTAAAGTTATCGATATCAATATCATAAAAACAATGCAAACGGTAACTGTGAACATAGTCAAATTCAATTAAATTATATCTGTGGTTACGATTGTTTTGACACGAGCGCCCAACCCAACGACAAATGCACTTTAGTATGGTTACAGCTTCGAATCGGGTTTTGGTAAGGTAAAGGTTATCCTAAGTGTCGTGTGCACATCCGCGCCTTTCATGAGCTTGGGAAAAATAACAAGCTCATCCTTGTCGTTTGCCTCCTCGACAACTGCATCAATGACAACGCCCTTGCTATTCAAATAAATCCCTTTGAGATAACGAACGTCCCTGGCAACGGTATTCACATGCGCAATGTCAATACCAGCGACTTTGGTCAGCAGGAGCGTCGAAGCGTTGTTCAATACGGTTGCCAGAACGCCACCATGTATAAAGACTACTAGGCCAGCGAGTTTTTTTTTGCCAAAATCAAGCATTACCACCATTCGCCGTTGTGGTATGCTCAGAAAACCAGCTCTGTGCCATATGATTCTGTGAGACAAGAAATTCATGACCTTACCGAGACCGCGAAGATCAGTACTACTCAATGTTTGTACGTCTGGTGTGTCGATCTGCGGCAGATAACTGTCGGTAACGTCGTATCCAGGCAACCCAGCCATTTACACCTGCTTAAGCGTATCCCTAAATGGTCCGCATAAAAAAGTTACCTGGGCAACAAGCACCAGCTTGGCAGTTTCAGCGTCGTAAAGCGGGCATTCGATAACGATAATGCGCTCGGAAATTTTGATGATCTGGTTCTCAAAATAAAAAAGTTTGACGGCTGGCGACGAGCCCTTTCTGGTAACGTTTAGGCTCATAGTAAATGCAATAAAATCCTTTGCATTTGCAGATATGAATACTAAGCGTAAGGCCAGATCGGCAGTGACATCATCCAGAAGTGTAAACAACGTTGTTTCTTGCGCAGACTCGGTACTGGGCAATTTGTCGCTGGTATTGAACGCCCAGAAGCCAATCGTTTGTCGGGTTGACAGCGAGAAGTAGTAGTCCGGCGGGTCGATTATGCGATCATCTACAATACGGCCCTTGACAAAATGGATTAGCCCCATCTCCCATAGTGAGTGTATTTCCAGCAGAATTAGATTATAAAACTTGTTGATTTGTTACTGGATATTGTTGTGAAGAATGCGGACAGGCTTCATGATAGTAGAGCTAATAAGTGTATATATGTTTTTGTTTAAAAGTATTTTAATTTTTAAGAAAACACTTTACAAGGATAATATTCGCTCGTTTATATACGCTTAATAATTATTGCCAATGAGTGTCGCCAATAATGATATAGCCTGCAATGTATTTCTTGGCAGCAAAATAAATAAATGCGGGCAAGACCTTATACATGTTCAAACTTTTACAATAGCAAATTAAAAATTGCAGCCACTCACGCTGAGACTTGATTTATAATTATATTTTCCCGGACAAAACTATAATAATACCAATTGCTTTGTATTACAAGTATACAGCATGGCAATACATAAAATCACAAGCCAGCATTATTAACATATTGTTAGATTTTAATTAAGTTTACACACAAACCCATATACACACATCACATTTAAAAATGGGGATTAAGGCTTTTAGCAACACAAAAACACTGTTGCCACCAAGATCGCATGCTTATTAATTGATTTTTTTGAATATTTGCCGACTATTGGGTTTGGATTGAATTGCCGAATTGTGTTGGCTGTCCTGTCAAATGACATTAATAAACTAAAGTTTTTACACATGGTATTGCCGCCAAATGTGTCGGCCACGGCCAGACAGCTTTAATTAAAATAGTACATTTTGCAGTCGTCTGCAGCCACTTCGGAAAGGCAGACATTTTTGTTTTGCCACACATTCAGCATTTAAGATTGTTGTTAGGATTGCAATCTCATCAACAATTGGCGTTTCTCAGGCATCAAGGATCCCTCATTTCTCATTCAATCTGCAGCTCATACCATCCCTTGTATCAGTCGTACTGTTTAACTATAATTCTGTTTACAAACGCCGTTGCTTGTTTTGCGCGATCACCTTGGAATTTCTTGACCAGCGTTGTGTACCTGTCCTCTGTCAGCCTTTGCTAGCCGCACCTTATATCCAGGTCTAACTTCTTGTCCTGATAGTGGGCATACACACGCCTTTTGAGGTTCTCTAATATTTTATCTATTGGTCCTGGGTACACCTGGATTCTGTTGACTGTCTCAACTGCGATATTTTCATGTAATTTATTTTTAGGAAAACAAAGGTGTTTGGATCACGATATAAGTTGTGATTTTTAATTACTAATTTGATCAATATATTAGTTTGCTGACCAATCGTCGATGGCCAAGCACCATCGCTGAATTTGGCACGCGTTCTTATGCCTGAACAGACGTCAGCTTTTCATGCTTCGTTTGGCAGGCTCAAACAATTTTGGATTTCTCAGCCCCTCTTTTTGGCTACACTATATTTTTTATTGTGCACGCTTGCTCTTTCATCTCGGTGTTCATTTTCTCAAGAGCAAATTTGCAATTACACAGTTTTAGCCAATTACCAGCGGAACGATTACCAAACGACAGAAGAAATGGTAAACACACTCCTTCGCGCACCGAGAAATACCAGGCCGAAAAGTTCAGCGAGGGATGCTCGCATTTAAAGGGCTAAATTAAACACAAAAAAGCTGATTTTATGGCCTCCAATCTCAACTCATCTCGGGCTGTGTCTATGGATTAATTGTAGGTTATTCTCGCTTCGTCGATTTGCACAAAGACCGGCAAAGGTACGTAGTATCCAATATCATGCAGCTTAGGTAACTTGGCTAGCCCAGTCAGCGGTCAATTTGTCTTTTTCAAAATTGCAACGGGCACACGCATCTTTACTAATAAATATGTTTGTGTGGAAATTCCATCCTTGCTGTCAAATTTGATATTGTGCCTGTAGCGCTGGTCTCCCGGCAGTTTGTCGAAATGCCCCGCACGCGCATCGAGGGCTTGCTGGCCTCATTCCCAAAGCTCATGACTCCAGGTCAGCAGCACACAACGATTGAGACCGACACTATCCGCTACGTATACCAGCCCATAGGCGAGGAGATGTATGCCGTGCTGATAACCAGTCGTCAGAACAACATTGTCCAGGACATGGACATTCTGCATCTGATCGCCCGCACGGTTTCAGACATTTGCGACGTTGGCGACCAACAAGACGTTATTCTGCACGGTATCGACATCATATCGGCATTTGACGAAATAATATCCCAGGGTCTTCGTGACAATGTCGATCTCGCCAAGCTGCGCACTATTATGCAGATGGAAAGCCACGAGGAGAAAATCCAGGAAATCATTGAGCGCAACAAGGAACGTGAGGCCAAGCAGGAGCTCACGCGGAAAGCAAAGATGTTTGAGCAGCAGCGCCGCGACGCAGCCAAGCGCGGCACAGACTCGGGTATGGGCGGTATGGGATCCAGTGGTTCTATACTTGGCGGCGGTCGCATAAGCAACAGCTACGAGCCACTGATCACACGCGACCCGGAGCCATCGCGCTCCTTTGCCGCAGCGTCGCTTGCGCCCTCGTCAACTGGTTCCCTCTCCTCGAATGCCCGTGGAATGAGGCTTGGCCGCAAACCCAAGGGTGCCGACGTTCTGGGGCTATGAGGGACGAGGTTGGCCTGTCTCAGAGCTTTGCCGATAACTTGAGCATCTCTGAATCAGCCATGCCCACCGCTCCCGTTGCTGCCGTTGCTGCCGTGTCCTTGCCGCTCGTCGACATGAAGGGCGTGCATGTCCAGATTGAGGAGCACATTACTGCCATTGTCAACCGCGACGGCGGTCTGGAGCAGATGGAAGTCAAGGGCGACCTGTCGCTCATTGTCTCCGACGAGGCGTCGGGGTCTGTCCAGCTGGCAGTCATCACCAACGACACACACAACGCCCAGATCAAGACCCACCCAAAGATCGACAAGAAACGCTTCCACAGCGACTCTGTAATTGCGCTCAAGGACGCTTCGGGCTCGTTCCCCATATCACAGCCCATCGGCGTGCTCAAATGGCGCATCGTGTCCAACAACGAGGACGACATTCCGCTGACAATCAACTGTTGGCCCTCTCCCACGGGCAGCGGATCTGTCGACGTCAACATCGAGTACGAGCTGAACAACACGAAGCTTGAGCTTGAGGATGTCGTTGTTTCGATCCCCATTCCACCAGGCACACAACCGACGATCAGCGACGTTGACGGCGTTTACGACATTAACCGGGCGCGCAGCACGCTCGAATGGCAGATCCCGACCATCGACTCGAGCAATAGTAATGGCAGCCTCGATTTTAACATTGTGGGAGACGACGCCGGCGCGTTCTTCCCCGTGGTTGTCTCGTTCGTATGCAAAAAGCCGTACTTTGACATCGAGGTGACAAGCGTCACGTCGCCTGACAGCCAGCAAGCCGTCGAATTTTCGCAGAGCATCATGCTTATTCCAGAGCAGTATGCGGTCATTTAATGCCCTATTTTATTTTTCACGTCTTTGGCATTTTATAAATTTTTACTTTGAACGCTTCTAAATTACAATAATAGTACAAACGCTGTGTTCCAGATTGAGTATCCACTTCAAGGTTTAAAAGTAAAGAATCAAGCCGACCTAATTTTGTTCAGCGGTCCAAACAGACTGGGCTTTTGCCGGAAGAGCCGGCGCCCAAGCAGTTTGGTCCCGGTCAGCGCGCGATTCAACGCCTGGATTGACGGGCCAGCATCCGGCATTTGGTCCACCAGCATGAGTGCCGCGTGGACTGCAAATGATTCGTAAAATAGCTCCATATCCTCGGATCGGAGTCCCAAGCTGGCAAATGTGTCGACAATCTTTTCGACAATGATGCCAAGCACGTCGCGCAATGTCGAAGAGGCATCAATGCCGGCGACCAGGCTGAACGAGGTGCGCAGAATGGCTCGCAGCTGCGTGGTGCCGCGTGCCGTGCGGTTTTCCAAAATGTGCAGCAACGTCTGGGCGGGCACCACAGTCCCATTGCTGTTTGACTGCGGACTGCCGTGTGCCTTTGGGACCAATGTGTTGATGTGGCCGCGCACGGACACGCAGAGCTGGTCAAAGTTGGTTTTGTTCTCCACCAACAGACTCTTCAGCTGCTGCGCATGCTGCGTCAGGGGCTCGTCAATGTCATCCAGCGTCATGGTGCTCGACGTTGTGGTCCAGTACTTGATCAGTATGGAGGCGCAAAAGTCAAAGTCGGCAAATTTGAAGTGGGCTAGACACCGTTTGGTTGTGTCCACTCTGTTGATGTTCAGGAAAAGAATGTGTGCGTACCTCATTGCTAGGGGCTCTGGCAGCGCAAACTTTTCCATAATCTCATTTACCAGCGGCACGCCCTCTTCGTCCTCGGACTGCTTGGCGATGCGCTTAATGTTTTCAAACTGCCGCTTGCAGCTGGCGATCGGAATGCCGGTCTTGATGGCCACTTCGGGCAAGTACGTGCGAGCGCGCGAGTTGAGCTTTCGGCCGAGAAACTCGAGCATGACAGGCTCGTCAAAGGCGTAGTAGCTCTCTATCAGATCCACGCGCGCCTTCTCGCCAAATGGCAGCAGATGGCGCTGCTCGAGAAAGTAGCGTGGCCTGTGCACGTAGTATTCCAAGTACTGCATCAGGTGGAGCTGCCCCTTGACATATTCAGCGATTGCAGCCTCGTGTGCGTCAACCATGTCCGGCTCGTGGCGTATTTTGACCACGATGTTGTCGACTATCGCCCTTGAAAAGTACGAAAAGTAAAGATTTGTTGCTGTTGTGAGTCTCCAGTTGATGATGCAAAAAAAGTCGAGACCCAAGGCCCAAGGCCCAAAGCAAAGCAAACAGAGATTGAGCTGGTTTACTTGTAGAAATGTTTTTTGCTGTATATCTTATTTACCTGTACTGCCGGCAATGTACTCGCTGAACACGATGCTGTCTACCACTACGGGCGTCGACACTATGGCTGTAAAGTTCGCGTCGTTTGTCTGTTCCTCGTGACGGTTGAACCGCAAAAAGTCCAGGTTTGGGTGCGGCAGGCGCAAACTCGACAGCTGAAAATTGCCAGACATTGTGAAATGGCAAAAAAGAATGAAAGAAAATTGTGCAGTATAAATGCAAAAAAAATTTAAAAAAAATGAAGAACGGAATGAAATAAAAAATCATTTTAGCTTTTTGATCTGCGACCACTTTTGTATTTTGTGTTGTTTTGTGTTTCACTCCTTTTCTGTATTTTTTTCTTGTTTTTCTTCTTTTCTTGCTTTGTACATTTTTTAAGAGGAAAAGAAAAACTCGCTCGGTGGCCATTAATGAGCACAAAGCAATGCACGGTTTGTAACGAGGCAGCTGCCAAGTACAAGTGCCCCAAGTGTCGGGTGGGCTACTGCTCGGTCAAATGCTTTAAAATTCACAAAACTGAGCCCTGCATGGCCATGGCTACCACAGACAGCTCTTCGACAGCACAGAATCTACAGCAGTCAACGCCCTCTGCGAATGGTGGGAAGGAGTTGTCCACAAATGCAGCCCAGGTTAACGACGACGACGAGGAGGAGGCGAAGCATCGGCTAACTGCAGAGGATCTGAATAAATTGGACACATCAACGCGAGTCAAGGAATTACTGATGAACCCTGAAACGCGGGCATTGCTGGAGGCTGTGCGCAAGGATCCGAGTCCTTTGGAAGCGATTCGTGCGCTGCGGCAACGGTCGGACTTTGAGGAGCTGGTGCAGGCGCTTATAAGCGCGACGGGCAGAGTCGACTGACTGACTTGCTTTGCTTTGCTTGTCTGATTTGCTTGATTTGGCAGGGTGCGAGACATTTGTACGCTGCATGCCAAGGCGTGGATCCAAAAATAAAGATGTTATGAAAAACAACGGAACCAAAGGAATATTCTTCGAGACTTGGCACAATTGTTTTTTCTTCCACGCTGTCTCGTTTAGAGCACGCGCAAGCCTCGACGATCGCAACCCCCATCAGATTGCTCCAGTAAATGTTCTGCAGACGAAATTAAACAACCACAACGTCTGCTTCGCGACCATTCAAACGTGCAAAAACATGACTGCTCAAGATTTCCAAATAATGTCTTGGCACTGCGACATGTTTCTCAACCACAACGCAAACAGGGCGCATCAACCCAACGTGTCACCAGGCACAGAGGCTGACTTGGGGGTTTGCTAAAAAAAGAGTAGAAAATACAAGTCTGTGCATCGATTGTCCCTGTTCTACAAAAGGGGTCCCGTTATTTCACAAGCAGACTGCAAGAGCACCATTGTCTGTTTTTTTAGTTGTTTTCGTTTTCGTCTTCAATTCAACAAACCGCAACTCTTCTCTTGTCTTTTATATTTAAAGTTTCAAACTAATTATTTTATTATTTTATTGAGCACCGATGCCTCCCCGCCCACTGCCGCAAATTCCCAAACCACGCGCGCCACGCCCCCTTTCAGAGGGCGGAAGCTCGCCATTCAGTATTCCAGCCGGTTCGCATACAGACATTGACAGTAGCTCAAGGATGATGGGACTGCGTTCCCAGCCACAATCACATCCGCAGCAGCATCAGCAGTATCAGCGTTACCAGCCACAGTTGTCGCCACTATCACCAATGCTGCGTCAGCCACCACCGCCCGCATACACGGCAGACTCTTCGTTTGTGATCACTTCCGAAAAGGCGCGCCCTTTATCGGCGCGTGCTTACAGCAAGCAAGGCGATGCATACTCAATCAGCTGGCCGTATGCCAGCACCGACGGCCATACCGATCACGAAGATTTAGCGGCAACATCGATGTCCGGGCTAGAGCTGGGGTCAGGATCCGGCTCCTCCGCGCTGCCAACAGTGGCAATGGGTCCCAGTAACAGCAATTCCTTCAAGGTGATCACATCAACGATGTACGCCGAGGCAAACAGCAGCAGTCACAACTCAGCACAACAGCCGATTGTCGACGAGCAGACAGCCTACCAATACGCCATGCGCTATGCGATACTGCTGGATGCCGAGAAAATGCAGACAGAGGCACGAGCGCCGCGCGGTGCTCGCGAATCAAACGAGTTGCGCGAGCAATGTTTTAGCCGCTCAGGCTCTGAGAGCAGCGTTGGCGGCGTCTTTGTTGTCAAGTCGGTCAGCAGGGCCACGGCGCACCCAACCTAAATAACCGCACGCCGACGCTGATCGTGTATCCGCGCGGAAGGCTGGGTGAATTGCTCGACCCAAGCAACTCTTTCGAGTTGGATCCCACCGCCAGCAACCACAGATCTCGTTACAAGGGCAAAGAGAAGGAAAAGGAAAAGAGCAAGGGCAAGGGCTGGCGATCCAGTTTGTTGGTGCTAGGAGACAGCGCCGCACGGAGACTCAAGGCGGAGATTAGCGGCGCCGGCAAGCTCAAGGATCTCACAAAGGGGAGGCTCAGCAGTGGTGGCAGCGACTCGCCATCCCAACCTTACTCGGAAAAGAATTCGGTATCTGTAAATGATGGCCGGCTGACGCCTGCTATTATAAAGGCGCTGGTGCATCAGCTCAAATCAGCCGCTAGCTCCCCATCGATTCACCCGTTCACAGGCGGCTGCTATCTGAAGATGTACGAGGAGCTGCGTGTCAAAGAGAACCTTGAGACCATCGGCGAACATGGCACACTCGACAACCTGATGAGCATGTTTTCAGACAAAGCCAAGGAGGTGTGTTGCCAGCATGGCATTGCGAGCAGCGACGACGTGTTGCGCACAGTTAATAGTCAGATATCCCTGTTTGTCAAACTCTTGCGCTCTGTGTTGCAGTCAAAGGCACATTCGTCGCGCGAAGCTGGGCTAGCGCTGCTCAAGCTCGACGATTACCCCGACACTACGCTGGGTGCCAGGTCCTACTCGCGACACGAACTGCCAGCATCATCTACTTCGCATGAGCGCGTCAGTTTTGATGCACCGGCCAGTGAGCCCGAGGATTTGGAAGGGCCGATCTGCGCGTGGCTCAAGCAGGTATTCCATGTCTCTGACCACGACCACTACCAGTTTTTGACAGAGCTGAGAAGCGAGGTGACCCATGTGACTGCTATTCGGGACTTGCGAATGTGCTTGCTGGTGCTCAAAATGAACCAAAGCTTTGCTGGAAGGCCTGAGGACTTTAGAAACCAGCACACGTACAACATCTGGAAGGAGCGCGAGATTACTCTGCTTAAGCAACTGGTCCATTCGTATTCGACGCGGCACACGACTGTCTCTGGCGAGGAGGACAGTTCCAATCTGGCGAAGCTGGACGCGAGCACGATCGAGCTGGTCAATAGCGAGGAAATGGCGGCGAACTTTGGGTACATTCCCGCACACGCGTCAGCCTGCTACCGGATTATTGTGCAAATGGCCGTTGCGCACGACGTGGTTTCAAGCTACGATACCGCCGACGCTCCGACGAATGTCAGGCAGCTGTCCACCCAGGCCAAGGAGCTGCTCCAGCAGCTGGCAATAGCCTGGCGGATTGGCGCTTCGTTCCGCACAACCTGCTACCTTGACATCATCGACAGCTACTGCAAGCGCGGCGTTTTGCCAGAGACATATCTGATAGACTCATTTGGCAAGATTGAGCGCATAGTGCATTTGATGAACCCGCAGGAGTGGTCGATATCGCAGTACGACTATCTGTTCAACACCGAGAGCCGGATCGAGTTTCGCATGCTGGGCGCTGTGCAGGACATCATTGAGGGGCTTGACCAGCAGCGGCCAGAGCTGAATTCCCCAATCAAGCGCATCCTACGAGCGCTGCTCATCAACGACGTCAGCAGCCCTATTGTCTTGAAAAAACCAATCCCTCAGGTTAGAGGACGGCGAGAAGAGGTAAAGTCGATATTGGAGTCGTCGATCATATACCGTTGTGACTGCCTGACCGGTCAGTGTTTTGGTGAGGACGAGTTGTCGCTGGCGCCTAGCATTGACGGGTATGCGCGGCTGGCACAGCTAATTCTAAATGACCACGAGCGATGCTACAATATATTTGCCGAGCCCATCCTTCAGGACGGCGACCGGCGGTTCGACATTGCGGGGATGTTGGCGGAGATCGAGACGGAGTACTTTTGGACAAACCTCAGGCGGCATATCGACCAGTTTGGGTATTCTGACAACAACATCAATATCGAAGCGGCGTTCGAACTGTGCAAGCTTATTAACAAAATTGAGCGGCTGCACGTGCGGTACAGCTCGCGTCCGCTGGATGGGGTCAGCAGCAAGCAGCTTTTCGAGGCGACCGTTGACACGTGGCTGCGCAGGATTGATGAACTGAAGGGCAAGTGGGTCGAGAATGCGCTCCGGCTTGACAGCACACCGGCAGAGCTGGACATTGGCAAGCACTCGACGTCGGTCATCGACCTGGTCACTTGCTTCTCCCAGCACGCGGATATTTACCGGCGCCTGGAGTGGCCCGACGCCGAGACAAGAGGCTATTTCTTGACGCACTTTATGAAGTTTGTCTGCGTCAGTTTTGAGGTCTACGCCTCGATGATGCTCAGGGGGTTTGTGGACTGCCAGGTCTTGCCCATAGAGGAAGACAGTCCCAAGGCGCCAGTTTGGACCAGCATGTGGAACACTCACAAGTACAAGGAGCAGTCGCTCGGCGTGAACGCCTCCACACAGGCGGCCATTTTGAAGCTGGATCAGTCGCACTCAACGGAGGTCAGCGCCGAGGCGTGCATCAAGCTGAATAATCTGGCAATCGCGCTCAGCAGACTGCAAGAGATGCAGGAGGGTCTTGGTGTGGAAGAGACATTGCAGGCGCTGGGGGGCGAGAACAGGCCGTCGATCAGCGGGACAAAGCCAAGCAATATGCTGATGTCGTTCAGGGTCATTCGCGCCATGGGTCTTGACTTCCACAAGCGCCACTACAATACCAGCGCGGGCACCGGCGCCAGGCCATATGTAAAGCTGTATTTGACACGACAGGCTGACAGCGACGGTTCCAAGCGGATTCAGATTGGGAAGACCAGACCGGCCCCTGCGGGACCGATCAACCCACGGTGGGACGAGTCATTTGATCTGGTGGTTGATTCTAATAAGGACTCGCGAGCGCTAGTGGAGGCGCGCATCTGCACTCGGGACGGGCCGAAGACAATGGGATTCCGCGAGAAGACCCGCGCTCGTGTCTATTTTGCGCCGCTGTCGGGTTCTGCACTCAATGCCGGCGGGTCGGTGGACATGGTGCTGGACCTAGAGCCTGCAGGCCACTTGATGCTGCAGGTCACTATGGATGGCGAGTGTGATGACGTAAACTTTTACAGCGGACGCATGTTCCGCTTTCTGGAGCGCACGCTGTCGGACATGCAGCAGCGGGTTGTCGAGCAGGTGTCGACGGGAATTCGCGAGTACCTGCGCCAGATCCTTGTTTCCCAGCCCACTCGCTACCGCGCTTCGCGCGTCCTAGGCCCCAGCTACGTGGGCATCGATCGCGGTATTGAGCGCAGCATCCAGTTCCTCAAGCGCAGCGGCCACAAGACGCCTGAAACGATCCGAGTGACCCAAGAGAGCTGCTGCGAGGCGCTGATTCCGCTGATCGACTATCTTGAGGATAATCTCCACACTCTTTTTGTCTACCTCTACGAAGACACAGCCAACGGCGTCATCTGCAGAACCTGGGTTGAAGTGCTTATCTCGATCGAGGACATCTTGCTTCCTCCGCTGCACGGCTCGTCCAAGGGCCAGGCTAAGCCGCTCAGTGAAACGTACCTAAGCAACATCTACGAGTGCCTGGACTTCCTCAAGTGGTACTTTGGAGGTGGCGCCGACAAGGACGGCATCCCGATCGAGATGCTTGAGGGACGCAAGTACGCGGAGCTGATGATGGTGCAGAGGATGTACTTTATGACATCAAGGAGCTGATGGACGCGTATATGCGCGAGATGCACCACTCGGCCGGAGCAGCGCTCGGTGATGCAGGCCAACATAATTCTCTCTCGGCTGCTGCGCAATTGTACTCTCTGCCCCCTGCCCTGCCATTCTCGAGCACGGCGTCTGGGGAAGATGCCTCTTCGTTTGTCGACTTTACAACATTTAGCGGCAGTGGCCTCAGCGCAAATGCGATGTGGTGGTGGTGCCGAAGCAGAGGCTAAACCGCCCGCTGCCGCCGGTTCCACCGAAGCCAAACAGAACACCCCCCTACTGCGTCTCACCAGCCACTTGGAAGCGAGAGTACCCGTGGCGGCAGCGCAAGCAACAGCAACGGAGTCGATGGTGGGAGGGCTCGCGGCTTGGGCAGCGGAGCAATAGACTCGTCGAGCGAGTCACTGGGCGCAAACTCCAAGGACATCCGCACTGTGATCATCCCGGCGCCATCGAACCAACATCTTTGAACCGCAGCCGGTCGGTGTGGGCGCACAAGAATGCAGCGACCATAAAGGGCTTCAAGCGCAGGTATCGGATGGTTACCGATACTGGAGACATTATGCTACGCATTCTGAAACTGCGCTTCGACAAGGAAGCGACCAGGTTTGTTCAGACGCAGCTGCACCTGCGGTCCCAGCAGATGCAGTACGAAGTGCGCCGTGCGGTGGACAAGGGGCAGGCGTCATAGACAAAACGTTATATAATTTGGACTAATTAATTTGTTTTATATATATATTTTACATGAATTAAAATTTTTGGTCTTTTTTAATTCATGAAAATGTTTAAATATCCTTCTCGCCTTGTTGCTCACAACATGCCTTTTGCTGGGCAACATTGGGGTTGATTTCGAGGTACCGATCCACAATCTCTTGGTCATTTTTGAGGTACTTTGGCACCTTGGCCAGCTTCTTGGCGTCGGCGTCAATGACTGCTATGTGGTATTCCGGCAACTTTGTGTTGCTGCTGTCGCCTTCCGCTGATTCTGATTCCGATTTCGAGGCCGATGGCCACGACTCGATTCTGATCAGCACTGATACGTCCTTGAGCGTGACCGAAATCATGAATTCCAAGGCTGCCTGCTTGTCATCAACATCTGGTGAATTTACGTTTGAGCCACCCTGCTCTTCGCGCTGTCTGAACCGGGCCACAGCTTCCAGCCAATCGTCGATGCTTGGCTCCTTTTCAGTCAACACGCCTGCCTCCAGGGCACGCTTGTACCTTGGGAAAAGACCTTCAATATCAAAGCATCCAACCGATTCTGCACGCTGCCAAGTCTTGGAAGCAGCTTCTCGGCCAGGATGATATTGGCAATGGTCTGCTTGAGTGCTGCGAATGTGGGACTTTTGCCACATCGATGCCACCGTTCTCGTCAGCGGGAATGTGCGTTCCGTCAACAAACACGCGCAGCCTGTCGTTTGAAACGTCAAAGAGGCAGTCCACCGCGTGCTTGACTTGAGTGCAGTTGGTCGAAAACAGATCAATCGGGCAGTACTCGCTCATGCTGTCCTTGTCATGCTTCAAGTACTGGTGCATGCAATGGCGGCACACGCGGTGCTTGACAGAGTTTGCCTGCGAGATATACTTGGAGGACGGCACGAACCCCCACTTGGGCTTAATTTCGATGGCAATAGTGTGTTCGCCTGGTTGCTTTGGCGTGAATCCAAGAACATTGATCATGTCCCGTACAAGCGCACCGACCCTCTGCCTTAGATCAATCTGCTTGTGTGTGCGCGAGCTTGGGCGTAGGGGCTCGGCCGCCAAGCTAAGCTGCTCGATAAAATTGCTAGACAAGTGTACCAACTGGTGCTGCAAAATGTAGTCAACCCCAATGAGGGGCCCGATGACCTCCTTTGTGAACACTACGTTATTGTGTACCTGCAGCGACAACTGTTCTTGCTCCTTATTCAAAGAACTATCGTCAGTGTCGCTGTCGTCAGCATTGATATCCGTATTTTGTGGAACATCTCGTTTGGTCAGGCGAAGAAGCTGGCCGCGCAGCTCTGAACCCTCGCCAGCGTAAGCGAACAATATGTTTGCGTTGCCCTCGCCTCGGTAGACCCAGTCGCCAGCCTGCATGCCAAAGCTGGCCGGCCGGTACATGTTCGCGTGTGCAGCCGCCGTTTGCATTATAAAATATTGTTAAAGAAAATAAGAAAGCTTTGTAAAAAAATTTGGTGTGAAGATAAAAAGAGAAGAGAAGCAAAATATTTTTAAATCAACTTTGGAGCACACAGCCGCTGGTCATTTTATGTGGGTGCAAAACATGGCATGCATGTAAGTTCAGTGTGATGACGATTTTCGCTGCATCTTTTTTGAGCCACACAAAAGAAAAGAATGAGACTACAAGTATCCTTCAAAACGCATCCTTCCCCCAGATTGACTACCAGCCTGACAGGTGTTTAGAAACTAGTGGCAATATACCACTATGGCTAACTATATCATTCAGTTCGCTGCTTTTTAAAGAGAAGAAGCAGGGGCAGATGGATTCTTATGCACACGCTTGGTCTTGGGGCTTTGGCTTGAGCAAAGTTTTGGGTGTCGCTGTAACCTCGGGTTCAGCCAACTCTGGCGATGCCTTTTTGCGTGAAAAACGGGGAGGCCGCTCGCCTGTAGGCAGGGCATTAAGAATGACGCAAATGCTTAGCACCGCAGTCATGTCACGATTTTACTCCATCTGCCTGATGGCACTTTTTCGCCATCCTCAACCCACGTTCCGTCGGCCCTGAAGGTTTGCAGGCAGTTTTCCATTGTGCACTGGAGCAAGCCGTGGCATAAAAATTGACGAGGTTTATCTACTGCCGGAATTGTATTAACGCCTGTTGCAGCTACCTGCTGGCTGCTGCGCAGCCAACTCATTGCGTACCCTCTGTCTGATTTTGCGCTCAATTTTGCCTCGCGACCAGCCGCTCAACCTGACAATGTGCTTGAGATTATCGGCAGGCTGGATATTGCTGTACCGCTCCCAATTTCGCTCAGCCAGCTCATCCCGCAGCTGCTGCTTAATTTTGCGGGAAATTTTGCTCTTAGACCAGCCATTTTCCTCCCCTATCCACCAGATGAAATCAGCAGACTGTGGGCGAATATGAATCCACTAGTTGCGACTCTGCTGCGCACTGTCAGTAATAGATGCGGCGTCAACAGCAGTTTTAGTTGCAACAGAAATGGCGGTGGCTGGTGCTGCAACAGAATCAGCAGCGATATTTGTTACGGCTGCGACGGAATTGAATGCCGCTGCTGCTGCCGCCATTGCAACATGGTACTTGTGCTTGGGATTCTTCAGACAAGGATCATCAATTTTGTGAAATTTCTCGACCCTGCTCTCACACACCGGGCAAAACGTTGAAGTGCAATACTCGTTGATCAAATAAACAGTGAGTGCCTGCCTATTAGCATTTTCCACAGCCCCTTGCCACGAATTGGCTCATGGTAACGGGCCATGCCTGGGGCCCAATTATCAAGGATAAGGACCAGATCTGGCCCAAATTTGCATGTAAAGATTTTGCGAGTTTGACATCGGCGCGCTTTCTGTTGACAAAGAAAAGATAGTGGAGCTTGCAATGCAGAGGGTCAGTTGAGCTGTTGCCGCCATGTTTCCGACTCTTGCCAAGGGTCTGTGTGTTGTGGTAGTGCTCTCCCAAAATAAAATCACCTTTCCAGTACTTAAGGAGGTACTTGACATATAACTTGCAATCAAGTATATTAGAAGCAGGGTGGTTGAGTGCACACTTGGCATCCTCAACAGACGTATACCAATCACTTGTTTCCGCCTTGGCGAGCTTTGCGGGATCAAGCTGGAAGACTTTTTTTGCATTTTCGCGGATCCGATGAAAAACACGTTCACGACGCTTATTAGCTCCAGAATTTTTGGTATGGCGGAAAGTCTTCCTCTCACCCTTTTTGTAATTCCTGTTATACCCCAGACAATATAACACATCCCTACGACCAGTATCACAGAGAACTGATCTGCCAACCATATCATGAATGCCATTTTTGGCAAATTATCAATGTACTCGGGAGGAGGAGCCTTCTTACTGTGGGACACACCATTGGCAAGTTTGGCCTTATTGCCGCTGTCATTGCAGTCGTCATTGCAGTTACCATTGTCGTAGTTGGTGTTGTCGTCGTTGCCAGATCCTTTCTTAGACCATGGAATCATCTCTGCCTTGATACTCTTTCTCTGTATGTTGGCAGGTGAGTCTAGTAATACGATAATTGCAATGCCATCAGTACGGATAATGCCACCGAACCTGTGCGGTTTTTTGTCCTTTTTAAAATCGGGCGAAAACGGCCAACATGAAATATCACAAAAGAGTGACCAAATTTATTCTGGTGACCTGCCTTTGAGATCCTTCAGGCGTGGAATCTCGGGAATATTGATATCTAGGCAAAGCTTCTCCTTGTGTAGCGCCTTGAGTCAGCTTTTTGTGATAGACAGAATACACCGTGCAAGAATGGTCTTGTGGAGCGTATTAAAATCCGGTACAATAGATGCCCTTGTCGGAAAGAGGGAAGTTGTCTTCACAGCCTTGTTGAGATTTAAAGACCAGAACATCCCAACAAAAGCTCCAAAATGGTTTAATGTCTTGGCCACAGAGTCATACTGGAGCCCCTTGTCGCCAAAACTGTAGCCCTCAGGGTATACGCCAAAGAAGCTCTCAATTAGGCGCGCCATCCTGTCGCGGAGAATAGGGTTGGAAATGTGATTGGTGTTGATAAGCTTGCTGGATGCTGGTCGTAGCAGACAGTATATCTCTCTTCATCTTTCCCGCCGGAATTCTGATCTCCTTACTAATGCACTGCTGTATTTGTTTTCCGGTATGGCCGCCCTCTTAATAATTTCGTACCGCTGTTTAGTCCTTCCCTTTACGTCAAGCGCTATGTCAACCATATGTTTCAACTGCTTGTTAAAGCATTGAGACGCATGGTGTTTATATGCTGCGAGATTATCGTACCATCATAATTAGCAACAAAGGCCGCACTAATGATATGTGGGCACTCAAACTTGGTTTCCTTGACGAATGGGTGTCTATGCTTGTTGGCGAGTTTGCCGTTTGCGTTTTCCAGGTTGTTGCTGCATGGTTCGTTTTTATCTCCGAGGCAAAGGGCGATGAAACACTCCTTAAAGAAGGCTGTATTTAGATGGTCGACAATATTAAAGCCCTCATTATCCAGCTCTTGTAAAAAATATACTGTGCGGGCTCGTATGTGGCTGTTGTAACACGGTGGACTGTGACAACATGCTTGCGTAGAACTGGCAGGAAGTAGGGACAGTGCATTTTGCAGAGCCTGGGTAGGGCCTCCACATTGATAGGCATAAAAATAAATATAAAAAGTTGATCGAGTTGATTTGAAAATAGTGTGGAAGATGTAAAATATAAAAACACTTCAAATAATGTAATTATATTTTACAAAAGCGTATAATCAAAATCAAAATATTTATTTATTCAAATGAGAAGTGTGATGCCAAAACAGATCATCACATAAGCTCATTTGAGCCAAGAGGCCACAAGCTACTGCATTAATTCCGAATAGGCAAATTATACAGTTGTATTTGAGAAGGCTTTAAATTGCCTATAAAGGGGCAATTAGAGAGAACTCAATAGGAGGCCCCCTAAGAAATTTTGGAATTAGTTTAATACGAGGTTTATTGATATGTTAAAGGTAGTCTCCTCAGTGGGGCGAGATCGAGCGCAAAATCAGACAGAGGGTACGCAATGAGTTGGCTGCGCAGCAGCCAGCAGGTAGCTGCAACAGGCGTTAATACAATTCCGGCAGTAGATAAACCTCGTCAATTTTTATGCCACGGCTTGCTCCAGTGCACAATGGAAAACTGCCTGCAAACCTTCAGGGCCGACGGAACGTGGGTTGAGGATGGCGAAAAAGTGCCATCAGGCAGATGGGAGTAAAATCGTGACATGACTGCGGTGCTAAGCATTTGCGTCATTCTTAATGCCCTGCCTACAGGCGAGCGGCCTCCCCGTTTTTCACGCAAAAAGGCATCGCCAGAGTTGGCTGAACCCGAGGTTACAGCGACACCCAAAACTTTGCTCAAGCCAAAGCCCAAGCCAAGCCCAAGCGTGTGCATAAGAATCCATCTGCCCCTGCTTCTTCTCTTTAAAAAGCAGCGAACTGAATGATATAGTTAGCCATAGTGGTATATTGCCACTAGTTTCTAAACACCTGTCAGGCTGGTAGTCAATCTGGGGAAGGATGCCGTTTTGAAGGATACTTGTAGCTCCATTCTTTTCTTTTGTGTCGTGCACCTTTTTACTTTTGCTTTTACTTTTACTTTTCTGAATTTTTGAAATATTATTATTGTTTATTTATACAGAAAATATACACGCCTGGTCATACAAAAAAGAACCTTACCTTTGTCATAAAAGACGGAAAGTACTGTCAAATAGCGTCTTTTTTATTTGACAACCAGCAAATTCAACAACCAGCATGTCGCGGCAACGCCGGCCTTCGCACGGGAACAGGGGCCAGCATGATATGGGCAATGTCAGCAGTGACGCGGAGCGCAAGGAGCAGGCACTTCGCAAAGCAGAAGGTATATCAATTTTTTTAGTGCTCAGCATTTATTTCAATTGAAATTTCGAGATGAGGGCAACTTGTGTCGCAAGGAACCAAAAATTAAAAAGCACACACTTTTCTCATCAACGCACTTATAGACGCGCTGTGGCAGCTTCCGCGGGGCCTGGACGGGATCAAGCGGAATGACTTTAACCCGGTTGCCCTGGCCATGCAGATGATGGATACGAGCTCGCTGGGAAAGAGCTACGATGAGTTCTGCTACTTTTACAACCTCCTGAACGAGTCCCTGGACGGCATTGTCAACGAGTACTACGGCGGGTTCAACGATTCCATTCTGACGTTCAGCGGACTACATGATAAGATCCAGGGCGCATCTGGCTCGGTGAACCACGTCAAAAACAACCTGCAAAAGGTGCGCCGCATGATTCTAGAGGAGCGAGGCAGTCTCGACCAGCTTTACACGAAGAGCAACCAGCTGGGCGCCATTGTGTCGATACTCGACCGCTTTGAGGAGGTTAAGAAGTTCCCCGAAGAGCTGTCCGGGTATGTGCGCGAGAAAAAGTTCCTCATAGCAGCGAACAAACTCGTGCAAAACATGCAGTTTGTGTTTGATCCCGAGCTTAACCCGATCGAGGCACTTTTGGGCCTGCGCCATCAGCTAGAGAAAGAGAAGAGTGAGCTCCTCAAGATGATTATTGACGAGCTCCATAACCACATATACCTGAAGAGCCCGTACTGCGAGCGCAAAATGGGGGTTGAGGGCGAGGATGACGACGACGAGGTCCCTGATAGCTCTTCTAGCGGGGGGAATGTGGGTATGAAGGCACAGGCTAACAAGCCCGGCGACGCATCAGGCGCTCGGCCGAGAGTAAAGGGCTCACGGAAGAACAAGCGTGCTGCCACAGCAGCCGGCGCGGGAGACGACGAAAACCCCGAGACTGACTCCTTTGCGTACGTTGAGATGTTGCTCGAGAGTCTTGCCGCCCTGGACAACACGAACGAGGCCATGCAGGAGATCAAGAGCTCTATTAATCTGGAGCTCTCGCGGCTGATTGACAGCGTTTTGGGCGAGGTCGAGGAGCGCAACCGGGCGCTCATCGTCAAGACCAGGGTGGCCGACCAGCAGGATGACTTGCTGTCGCAGGACACTGATCGCGAAGTTTTGTTTGATTTTTCGCGCATTATGTTTGCGCGGCTGGAGACCGTTCTGGAGTACCATGACTACTTGCTGGATGTGGTTAACAATATGGACCGCCACGATCGCCGTGCAGTCGCTGCGCCTGGCGGCTTTGTTACCGCGCGCGCCCAGAGTTCCCAGTCGTACTCTATCGAAGACGTGTGGAGCGCGATCAGGACAGAGATCCTGGCGCTGCTCAACGACTATCTCATTCCGGAGGACAGGCAGCTTGGCGGCTCCATGGATGCTGCTCGGGGCGGCAGCGGCATGAAGACGGGGATCCGCGATCTGTTCCACATGGATAAGAGCGCTGACATCACCGACACTGTCGAGTCGCTGTACTTGCAGATCGAGAGCCACTTCCAAGACTTGACCACAACAATTCCCAAAAAGAAGAAGGAAACGGGCGCTCCCGCGGTCATCGACGAGTATGCAGACCAGCAGAACAGCATGCGGCACAGGATGCTGGTCGAGCCGAGTATAGACCATGCGCCGACTTTGCTCAACATGGCGCTGTCGTTCACAAAGCGCGTCTCGGCGCTTGTAGACTCTGTGCCACAGGGGTCACTGCCGGCCAGCGCGTTGTCGCCCTCAGTCAGGCGCAGCGTCATGCGCGACATGGCGACCTCGCGGCCCACGTCGCCCAGCCAGCTGGCATCTTCTTATGATGACGGGGACGCCGATGCCGACGAGTACTTGCAGGTGTTCTTCAGAACGGTGTTTCTGCCGCGCGCCGAGGCCTACGCCATGCAGCTGTTTGACGCCGTCACGTCAGCCAGCGACGCATTCGACATCGACCTCAACACGTACTTTAACGGGCGTCCGATTTTCCGCAGCGCCGCAGCCATCGTCCCGCTGCTACACAGCTTCGGAACGCTGCTCAACAACCTCAACTCGTTCAAAGGAGATAACTGGGGCATCTTGCTGCAGCTGGCCAACAAATACTACGAAAAGTGTGGGGAGCTGTTCCGCGACACCGTGCGGTCGCCCGAGAACCAGGTATACACGAGCGTCAAGTGGTCCGAGACTCCTGACCTGCAGCAGCTGTTTGGCCGCAAGCTCAAGCAAGCGAACGCCCGCATTCGGGCGCCCGAGACCGGGGCCGACATTGACCGGGAGATTCGCCTGGAGGAAAGTCTCAAGACAGAGCGCTCCCTGCATCTGAGCGAGCTTATTTTCGATCTCAAACGGCTGGTGTGCACGGCGCAATTGCACCAGACGCTCGAGTGGCTTCTGGTCCAGCTCAACAAGGTTTCGGCGGACCGCGCGCACATACTGAGCAGACATGATGGCGCGACATCGGTGGCGTTGCTGAAGAAACACGAGGCGGACAAATCCAAAATTGTCGGCCGGTACACTGCGTTATCCATGCAATGTCTCATGGTGTTGCGCATCGAAGTGCACGCGCACTGCACGTATTATCTTGATTTGGCGACCCGCGAGGGCAGCTACTATCTCGAGAGTGACGCTGTGGAGCCCGACCAGTATATCCAGGCGTTGAATGCCGACGTATCGGCGATCGAAGACAAGATGGAGAACTGCTTGCCGGCGGACAGACTGGCGCTTGTTTTTGGTGGTATCTCCGTGTTGATGGCGCACACACTGATTGCTAACACGCGGTATATTCGCCATTTCAACGCAGCGGGCAACCGCAAGATGATTCGCAATATTTTGGCGCTGCAGCAGAACCTCACAAATATTGCTTTGCCCGAGGAAAGCGGGCTGGACAAAGCGCGCAGGTTCTACGAGTTGTACGACATGGGGGCGGACGGGATCCTCAAGCATATTGCGGAGAACGGGGTAGGATTTTCGTTTGAAAACTACCGTCGGCTTGTTGACTTTATTTATATGGGCGGCAGCCAGGCGGGCGAGTCATCGGCAGTGACAGGAACGGCAGCGGCGGGGCGTGTCAGTAGCCAGGCGGAGACCAAGCAGAACGAGGACTACGATGTTTACATTAACCGGTTGCGTGATCTGCTTGCGCAGTCGCAGGGTGTCGGTATGCCGACAGCGTCGCGCCCAGAATCAGGTGTGCAGCACCCAACATCGGCCCAAAAACACACGTTTGTTAAAGTTTGAGGTTTAAAATGTTCTATTATTATTCTTATTTACTTCGTATATCACTTTTTCTTCAGCTTGCGAGCGACTGTCGAGATGATTGCTCGTTTCAGTGGTGTTGTCAGGATGTTGGCAGCGGTGGCGATTAGGTCCAGGTCGGGGTTGTTCATGCGACTGCCGAATTTATTGACAAAATGGAGTATTACCGCGCCGAGCTTTTTGGACTCCGCATGGGCAGAAGCAGCGCGCTGCAAGATCTCAATCCACCCCTTGGACCACGCCGATATGGACGGTTGATCTCCAGGGATTGTGCCCAGCAGGGTCTCCATTACCTGAAAGACATTATCGCCTAGGGACTCTGCCGGCCTTTGTTTATCGTTAGCCCACAGGGCGATTCCTCGACAAAACGACTCTGTAGCAGTATGCGGCATATCCGCTTTTACGATCTTAACGACCATGGATGTGGTCGACGAGGGCATCCCCGCGGGGTTCTCCGTCAGGGGAAGCAGCAGGCCGGAAACAACAACGTGAGAGTAAATAGGGACCAGTGCTATGATTTGGCTCTGAAGTATAGCTGGAATAGCCTCCTCCTCTTCTTCATTATTACCATTGCCATTGCTGTTGCCATTTCTGGCACTAAACATAGAGCTCTTCTCGGCGACATACCGTAAAAGCAATTGCTGGTTTTCCATACTTATGTCAGGATTAACAACAATAGTTTTGATGAATTGCGCCAAGGACGAAGCACTGCATTGGAGAAGGAAAGTGAGTAGGTGGCCGGAGAAGCATAGTAGGTTGGAAAGTTGCGGGTTGGGAAGCTGCCATATTTGCGAGAGCTGGGTGAAATCTGGTGACTCTGTGGTTGACAAAATGCGCAGTTTTTCAATTGCCCATGCGTGAGGCTCAGCAACATCAGGAGTGATGGCAGTACTGTCATTGGTTGTGCTTGTAGTGTGATGATAGTGATTTTGTTGCTTTTGTTTGCGGCGGTTTTTGAGAACGGGTGTGGAGCCAATGGTGGAGAGCAAGGTGGCAGATAGGTTCGTGGTGGTGTTGGAAGTAATGGCTTCGGGAACATGTAGTGTGAAGGATGGTCTTTTGGTGGATTGCGTGGATGCGTTGGTTTTCAAGTAGCGCATGATATCGGACCAGGCATCGTCGAGGGGATAAAAGAATAGGGTTGTGACATGACATTTGACTTGGTTTGACTTTACGAGCGGAATTAAACAAGAAAAGAAAGAAAGAGAGAGAACAAGAGAACAAGGCAATAAAAAAGTTTAGAAATACATGGAGGGCGCGGTCGTGATCAGATCACGCTCGAGTTGATCGTGTTAAAAAAAGAAGATAGGTAGGGGAAAAGTGTACGAAAAAAGTTATTCTCACTTTTTTCTTCTTTCAATTCAAATTGCTTTAAAAACATATTCATTTTTACACACACACCTCAATCAAAACACACCAATCAATATATCACAATGTTTGGTTCTTTCATGGGCGCGTTCCAACCGACTCTCGCAGCGTTCGGAGGCAAGGCATGGCGGATCCCCTGGAGACTGAGCAAAACGCGCAAGGCCAATGTGCGCAAGAGACTGCGTGAAGTCGATAATGTCATAGATACCCTGGTGGCATCCGGGATCGAGTGCAAACAGCTGGATCTGGTCAAGGTCCTGCCCAAGGAGCAGGAGATGCTGCCCCGTGATAAGTACACGACTTTTTCGCGGACGGCAAAGTACCACAGAAAGGGTGTGCATAAAGTGCCGCATTTTACGAAGAGGCCGATTCCGCGCACGACGCCGACTGGGTTCTAATGCTGAGATATTTAGAGTGGGTTGTTGAATAATGAAGGTTTATAGATTTTTTCTTTCATTTTTTGGAGTAATAGTAGTGGTCTTTTGATATTATTGTTGTGTAAAATGTGCAGCCTTCTATGTTATTCAGAAGGCTATTTTTTGTTCCACATGACTTTGCCCACAGTCTTGGATTCTGAGTTTGAGGGTATAAATTGAAAACGAGATTTTTTGAATTATAATTTTTTAAAAATAAAAAAGATTTGCCAAAGAAAAAAATACATTTCTTTTCTTTGATTTTTCTATTTGATAAAGATTTATTTTTTATTTTTCTTTCTTTTGGATTTTACACTACCAAAGTGAGAAAGTGGTGCGGCTGATCGGGTGAAGAAAAAATAAAGAGCTTTATGCGCTTGTTTGGCATTCAACAGCTATCACGAAGCGTCTTGGCAGATCAACGAAAACAACGAAACGTACAAAAAGCAGCACTCCAGACCATGGACTACGATTCGTGGACCAAAGAAGCACTCGTTGAGCGCGTGCGCCAACTCGAACACCAAAAAGCAATCAAACCACGGTGGGGCAACGGCAAGAAGAACACCAGCAGTGGCAACACATCTGGATCCGACATGTTCTCCCTGGAGCCCAAGCGCAAGAAGCAGCGTAAGCCGGATTTTGACTTTAGTCGGTTTCCACAGCGTAAAGTGGCGCTCAAGTTCAGCTACTTTGGGTGGCCGTACCACGGGCTGGCACGACAGGGCAATGCGCTGAGCGACGAGGAAAAGAAGCGCGTGGAGGAGCAGTACCCGACGATCGAGGGCGAGCTGTTCAAGGCGCTGGCGCAATGCAAGTTGATTGTCAACGAGGCGCAGTGCGGGTACTCGCGGTGCGGGCGGACAGACCGCGGAGTCAGTGGGTTCGGCCAGGTGGTCGCCCTGTATGTGCGCTCCAACGGGCGGTTCCTCGCAGACGGCGAGGTGGTTGAGGGCGCAATGGAGGATGAGCATAATGGACGGCGATACGTTGTACCTGAGAACGAGCGCGAGCTGCCGTACGTCAGCATGCTGAACAAGAGCTTGCCGCAGGAGATCCGCGTACTGGCGTGGGCGCCAGTGGCGGAGAGCTTTGACGCGCGGTTTTCATGCCGCGCGCGGTTCTACCGGTACTTCTTCAGCGAGGCCGGGCTGGATGTCGCGCTTATGCGGGCGGCTGCGCAGCGGTACCTTGGAACGCACGACTTCCGCAACTTTTGCCGGCTGGACCCTGCCAAGCAGATTGGGAACTTTGAGCGCACGGTGCTGGCCATCGATATTACGCCGGTGCCCCAGGCGGTTCCGTTCATCGGCGATGCGCAGGCCAGCGAGGGCCGGTGGTGGCAGCTGGAGCTGCACGGGTCGGCGTTCCTCTGGCACCAGGTGCGCTGCATGATGGCGATTCTCTTCCACATCGGCCAGGGCTTCGAGTCGCCCGAGATTATCGACCAGATGATGGACGTTCAGACGATGAGCGGCAAGCCCGAGTACGAGATGGCCGCGGACACGCCATTGGTTCTGGCCGATTGCCGCTTTGACGCGGACGCCGTGCAGTGGATCTACGTGCGGTGCGCGCGCGACTACGGCAACATGACGGTGCTGGATCGCACGGTGCTGCGGCAGTGGGAGCAGATGACCACGCAGTCTGTCATTAGTGGCGCCCTGTTGCAGATCCTCAGGACCACGCAGGTGCCGGTGGTCAGCGGGACGCAGGTGGTGCAGGCGGCGGTGCCGTGGGACCAGCAGAGGGCCACGATCCGCAAGCGGTTCGAGGATGAGGGAGCGGGCCAGGCGCTGCTGGGCGGCGGCACCGTTAAGCATATGCGCAAGTACGTGCCGATTGCTACGAGGAACCGCGCCGAGCCCGTGGAGGACCGCAACCGCGCGTGGCTGGCGCGCAAAATGGCCCATCGCGCGGCGCGGGAGAGCGCAAATGCGGGCGGAAACGCGGGTGAGGAGCAGCGGGAGGACGCTTCAGCGGGCGATGCTTCAAGGAGCGGCGCTGAGGCGTGAACAGCCTTGTGTGGCGCTCTTTTTTCTTACTATTTGTCTCACATGAACAAAACGCATACAGGCAAGGCAAGGCGATGCGGATCCGCAGAAATTTTTGCCACGCCTTCTTCTCTGGTCCCCGGCTGCGCTAATTTTAATGCCCGTCGATTCTTCTTTCTTTGTCTTTCGTATATAACCCACTCTGTTGGCAAATATTTCTTTCTCTCCTTGTCTCTTTCTCGCATTTTCAAATACATATACACCCCCAGCCCATTATTGCCCATTGCCCATTGCCCATTACCTATTGCCTATTGCCTATTGCCTATTGCCTATTGCCTATTGCCTATTGCCTATTGCATATTGCCTACTACCATGGCCCATTGCCCATTGCCTACTACCATGGCCCAAGATGAAGCTCCTCTCCGCGCGTTCACCGGCCAGCGCGTGCTGCTCAGCTCCGCGTCCGAAATCGGGCCAGCCACGATCTACGTCACCAGCGAGGGCAAGATCGCGCGCATCACGCGCACATACACGCCAGACGGAGCAGCGCTCGACGCCGGCGCGCGGCTGCTGATGCCCGGGCTGGTCGACGCGCATGTGCATATCAACCAACCAGGGCGCACGCAATGGGAGGGAGTCGTTACAGCCACGCATGCGGCGGCATCCGGCGGCGTCACCACCGTCGTGGACATGCCGCTCAACTGCATCCCATCGACGGTTAGCGTTGAGGCGTACCGGGCGAAGCGCGAGAGCTTCCGCGACGGCATGTGGGTGGACGTGGCGACGTGGGGCGGCGTGGTGCCGGGGAACGCAGGCGAGTTGGCGGCGATGCTCAAGGCGGGCGCGCGCGGATTTAAGTGCTTTTTGTGCGATAGCGGCGTCGAGGAGTTCCCGCCGGTGGTGGAGCCGGAGCTGCGCCTGGCTATGCGCGAGCTGCGCGCGCACAACGGCCTGATCATGTTCCACGCTGAGATGGACACCCCCGGCGAGCCGACGCTGGAGAGCAGCGACCTGGCTCTGGAGAGCGCCGACCCGACGCAGTACGCGACGTTCCTGGCCTCGCGGCCGCCGGCAATGGAGGTCAAGGCCATTGACGTGGTCATCTCGCTGTGCCGCGAGTTTGCGCCCGACGTGCCCTGCCACATTGTGCACCTCTCGGCAGCCGACGCGCTGCCGGCGATCCGCCGCGCCAAGGCCGAGGGCCTGCCTCTGACTGTTGAGACCTGCTTCCACTACCTGACCATCGGCGCCGAGGACGTTCCGGCGCGCAGCACCGAGTACAAGTGCTGCCCGCCGATCCGTAGCCACTCCAACCGCGACCTGCTGTGGGCCGCGGTCCTGGACGGCACCATTGACTTTGTCGTCTCGGATCATTCGCCATGCACGCCGGACCTCAAGCTGCACGGCTGCTGCGGCGCCGGCGCCATCCCACAGGACGCCACGGAGGGCGACTTCATGGGCGCCTGGGGCGGCATCGCCTCGGTGGGCATCGGGCTGCCGCTTCTGTGGACTGAGGGCCGTCGCCGGGGCCTTTTGCTGCAGGACGTCGTCCGGCTGGTGTGCGAGCGCACGGCTGTGCATGCCGGCGTGGGCGAGCGCAAGGGCAGGATCGCTGTCGGGTGGGATGCGGACTTTGTCGTTTGGGCGCCGGAGGAGGAGAGCAGGATTACGCGGGAGAGGCTGCATTTCAGAAACAAGCTGACGCCGTATCTGGAGCGCGTGTGCGCTGGCGTTGTGTGCAAGACTGTGGTCCGGGGCGCGGTTGTGTATGACGCGGAGAGAGAAGAGGCTGGCAAGGACTGGGAGGGTGCCTTCTCGCGCTTACCGCTTGGCCAATGGATCGAGTCGCCCGTGACCCCGAGAACATGATGACACAAAAGGAGAGCCACTTTTCTCTCTTTACCTCTTTTCTCTCTTTTATTAAATCAACACACATTCCAACACACACACCTCTCTAAATTAATTTAACTTTTATTTCAAGATGGTTCTCAATGAGCTTGGCGCCCGCATCAACGGCGCACTCCAGGCGCTCTCCAAGGAATCAGTCATCGACAGCAAGGCAGTCGATGCGCTCCTGCGCGAAATCTGCGGGGCCCTCCTCGAATCCGACGTCAATGTCCGGCTGGTCCACCAGCTCCGCGAAAACGTCAAAAAGCAGATAAACATGGACGACCTAGCAACCAGCAGCAACAAGCGCAAGGTGATCCAGACCTCCGTCTACGACGAGCTCTGCCGGCTGGTCGACCCCGGGGTACAACCATGGGCGCCGCGCAAGGGCAAGCAAAACGTCATAATGTTCGTTGGCCTGCAGGGAAGCGGAAAAACAACCTCGTGTACAAAACTCGCCCTGTACTATAAGCGCAAGGGAATGAAGGTCGGCCTAGTGTGTGCGGATACGTTTCGTGCTGGAGCCTTTGACCAACTGAAGCAGAATGCGTCGAGGGCGCATATACCGTTTTACGGCAGCTATAGTGAGGCGGATCCGGTGCAGATTGCCTTGGAGGGCGTGGGCAAGTTCCGCAAGGACCGCTTTGATCTGATTATTGTCGATACCAGTGGAAGGCATAAGCAGGAGACCGAGTTGTTTTTGGAGATGGAGCAGATTGCTGCCGCCGTCAAGCCTGACAATACGGTTTTCGTCATGGACGGGACTATCGGCCAGGCAGCGGATGCCCAGGCGCGGGCGTTCAAGGAGTCGGTGGATATCGGGTCGATTATCATTACCAAGATGGACGGCCACGCGAAGGGCGGAGGCGCCATTAGCGCGGTGGCGGCGACTGGCAGCCCGATTATCTTTATCGGAACTGGCGAGCACATGCATGACCTGGACCGATTCTCTGCGCGGCCATTTATCAGCAAGATGCTCGGCATGGGCGACCTCACCGGGCTAGTAGAGACCGTTCAGGACATGCAGCTGGACAAGAACACCGACATGATGAAGAACATCGCCAAGGGAGTGTTCACGCTAAAGGACATGCGGGACCAGCTGCAGAACATCCTAAAGATGGGACCCTTGGGCAAAATCATGGGTATGATGCCCGGGATGTCTCCCGAGATGATGCAGGGCTTTGATTCGGACGAGAGCTCCAAGAAGCTGCGCAGCTACATGTGCGTCTTCGACAGCATGACGGAAAAGGAGCTGGCGAGTGACGGGAAGATTTTCGAAGACGAGGCGCGGCTGATGCGCGTGGCGCGTGGGTCGGGTGTTAGGGTAGTGGAGATTCAGGCGCTTTTGCACCAGCATCGCCAGTTTGGCCAGATTGTCAAGAAGATGGGCGGGCCGAATGGGATGCTGGGAAAGATGAACCCGCAGGCGATGCAGCAGATGGCGAAGAACCCCGGGGCGGCTATGAACCCGAATATGCTGAAGCAGATGGGTGGCATGAGCGGTGTGCAGAAGATGGTTCAGCAGATGGGCGGGATGGGCGGCATGCAGAACATGATGAAGCAGATGATGGGCGGCGGCAGCGGTGGTGCTGGCGGCGGCATGGGCGGAATGCAGGATATGATGGCCCAGATGATGGGCGGCATGGGTGGCGGCGGAGGCGGCGGCATGGGCGGCATGCAGGAGATGATGGCCAAGATGATGGGTGGCATGGGCGGTGGTCGCTGAAAAGCTTGATGCACTCTTGAATTGACTCCACCCTTGATTTGATCACTTTTTATTATCACATTGTGATCAATTCGAGTTTTTTTTTCTTTTTTCGCTCATACAAACATCAATGCTGGGCTATTTTTCCTCTAAATTTTTTTGGGATGCTTTTCAGCACCATTATTATTATTATTTTTCTCTCTTTCTAACCTCACCACCCCCACCCCCTTCCTTTTATTAATTATATTTAAACCTTTTTCTCTTCAATTCAGACTTTATTTATCAACACGCTTTATTAATACACAACATAATGTCTGAAAACAACCGCAGCATGACGATCCAGCCGTCCGAGATCAAAAACAAGGCCAAGCGCGAAGAGCTCTATGCCAAACAAAAAAAGGCCAAAAACAAGGCCCAGCGCCAACGCCGCAAGGAGATTCTCAAAGAAGAAGAAGCCGACCCCAGTCTCCGCGAAGCCCGCCTTCGCGAAAACATCCCACAGACGCAAGAAAACACGCGTGAATTCGACGAAGCCGTCATTCTCGAAGCCGACGAGGAAGTGCAGCAGGACGAAGAGGTCGATGAGTTTGCACAGTACTTTAACGGACAAGCACCCAAGGTTCTGATCACTACAACGCCGAATGCCGGAAACAAGACCGTGGGGTTTGTCCACGAGTTATGCTCGATTATCCCGAATATCGAGTATGTTAAGAGAGGAAAGAAGTTTGAATTGCAGAAGATTGTGCAGTTTTGCCGTAACCGTGAGTATACGGATGTTATGGTGGTGACGGAGGATCACAAGGAGCCGACGCATTTGACTTTGATTCATTTGCCTGAAGGACCCACGGCGCATTTCCGCTTGACGCGCGTGAAGGGCGGGAAGGAGATCTCCGGACATGGTCGTGCAACCTCGCATTACCCGGAGCTGATCCTTAACCAGTTCACTACGAGACTCGGACATACTATTGGCAGGATGTTCGCGGCTTTATTCCCCCAAGTGCCGGAATTCCAAGGAAGACAGGTGGCGACTTTTCATAATCAGCGTGATTTCATCTTTTTTAGAAGACACCGGTATGTGTTTAAGAGCGGGAAGAGAGTGGATTTGCAGGAGATTGGCCCGAGATTCACCCTGAGACTGAGATGGTTGCAGAAGGGTTTGTATGATCCAGCTAATGGAGAGTATGAGTGGATGTATAAGGCTGATTTGGAGACTAGCAGGAGGAGAGTGTTCCTTTAAATTTTTTGTATGTGTTTTTTTAACTTTAAATACAATTTAACAAGTCTTTTCCCAACTATTGAGAAAACCTTGGAGACTGTGTTTACACGCTTACCTTTACATTTCGTTAAAAGATAAAGTGCGCTAACCATATATCGTGGCGGTTATAGCCTTCAGTTGTTTATCACAGGACAGGGTTTCATCAAAGGAGTAAGTGGATTCATGGATCTATTTTCTCTGGGCGAAGTGCGGACGGTTTTTTTTTGTCCAGCACATCAAATTATAGTCGCTTGCTTTTCAGGTGTCTATGTTTTTGTACTCGTATTTTTGTTATTTTGTATATTTGATCTCCTTTTTTGATTATTGTCCAAGTCTTGTTAAATTTTTTGTATTTGTATTTGTATTTGTATTTGTATTTGTATTTGTATTTGAGTGATGGGTAGGTAGGCTGAAATAAATAGAGATGTAGATTCAGACATTTTTGGAAATATAATGTCCAAGCCTCAATCGAGCAGGTTTTTTTTGCTTTTCTTTTTTTTCTTATGTGCACAAGACTTGAGAAAAAAAACAGAATGCGTCGAACACACATACAATAGAAAACAAAAGAGCAGTGGAGTGGGGGGGGAGGTGGGTTTTTTTTTGAAACTCGAAAAGTTCTATTTTATTCTTATTCTTTTTCGCCTTGTTATTCCACATTTTTTCTTCGTTCTTTTTGGATAAACAGACGGACGGACTGACTGACGGACTGACTGGCGGAGAGACTGGCGAAGAGACTAAAATAAATACGTGCATAACTCAAGCAATAGTTATTCGGGGCTCAATTTCATTTTTTTCTCAGGTTTTAATAATTTTTATTTTTCAACCCGATTTGACCATTGCCCATTTTTTCTCTCCCTCTCTCATTCTTTCTCATTTTGAATTTTTCAAATTCCAGTACAAAAGTTATTATTATTTACCTTATTCCTTTTTTCCTTTCACTCTCCAACCTATCCAAAAAACAAACATTTATATATTTTCTCTGTTCAATTTTACCCTTTCTTTCTTTTTTTATATACACAAAAGCCCAAGAGCAACCAGAAAATAGGAACGAGAGAACGCGTACGCCGCTATTTTTTCTTTTATTTTTTTTGGGAAATAACTTTCTTATTTTCTTTTTTTTATCAGCCGCATTTTTCGCAATACGACCGATACCTGAGAAATATCTAAAGGGTATTTTTTTCTTGCGGGCTTGGAACAAGGTAAGAGTCAACTCACATTCCTAGTTTACATATGCCTGTTTAATTTTTTAAAAATGCCGACAGAGCTTTTAAAAAAACAGCTCCTTTTTTTATATATCCCTCTCTTTTTCGTGTGTGCTGTCTTTGTGTTCGTCTGTCTTTTTGTCTTGATTTTCGTGCTTTATTGCGGATATCTAGCAAAGAAGTAAGATTTGGGGGAGGGGGAGGGAAATGAATAAAAAATAAAGGAAAGGCGTCAGTTTTTCGATTCGATTCGATGACGAGCTAGGAAAAAAGAAATGGGAAGGGAGGGTTGATTGGAGTATAAAAAATAGTCTGTTAATTGTGGCCCAGCACTGTTATTTGTCTTGTTATTTTTTTATCTTGTGTGTAATCTAAGAAGGGGGAGGATAGAGAAGTGAGAAGAGGAGGATAGGAAAACAGATATATTTCTTTTTCCTATGCAAAAAAATTGTTTTCCTTTTTCCCATTTTATATTTATTCTAGTCTTTTTATTTTAAAATTCAAACACTAACACGCGTTCAGCAACAAAAAATATTTCTTTATTCTTTATTCATTGTATCTTGCTGCTAGTTAATTCACTCACTCATTCATTCAGTCGGTTTCGAGCAAAAAAACACTTCACAGCAGAAATAAAAAATGGCGTACGATCGAACATCCAACAACCCACACAACCTGAACAGTCTGTTATCACCACACGGCAGCAGGTCTGGTGGTAGCGGCGAAGACAGCAGCAGAGCAGCCGAGCGTGATACCAACACCTACACTCAACACACCCCCTCCTACGCCGCCACCGCCACTGGCAGCGGCGGTACAGCTGGCGAAAGCGTGTTTCCAGTCAGCGGAGCCTTCCAAAGTCCCCCAGCACCATCATCCACTACAATACATCAGGGTCGCGGAGAGTACTCGCGGTACAACGACGGCGACAGCGGCAGCAGAGCTTACGATTACACGCGTTATCACGAGTCTCGTCCTGGGCATGATCACCCTGGGACTAATCCCGAGCAGCAGCACTCGTATGCGTATCGCGGTGTGGCCGGTGGTGTTTCTTCGAGGTACTCGAGGGAAGTCGAGCATGATCCGTATGCTGGCAGGGCCGGTGTTGCGGCTGCTCATGCAGAGTATCCGGATTACCGCGACGAGTATGCGAGACAGCAGTCGTATGACTATGGAGCCGCACAGCATCACCATCAGAATCCCCAGCATCAGCACCAGCAGCACCAACCTTATGAGTATGAGTACGAGCACGAGTATGAGCGTTCACAGCATGTGAGGGATTCACGGCAGGTGTTTGATCGTGAAGCGTATGGACGTCATGGACATGGGCACCAGCCATACCAGTACCAGCAGCAGCAGCAGCAACAGGGTGTGCAGGATGAGTATTATTCAGGCCATTACGGATACGAGAGGTCCGTCGGGTACGGGCAGGAGGCAGCGGGATCTACCGACTATGTCCAGCGACTGCCTCCTGCCGGTCCCGTCGATTCCACGGCCGCTTCATCCGTGTACTACGAGGGTCAACAGTCATATCAGCAGCATGGGCGGCACAAGTATGCATCCCACTCATCAGCGTACTACGGAGCAGGGCGCGAGGATTCCCATGTGTACCACGCGGCAGGCGGTGAACCCACCGGGTACTCGTCGTACGGACAGCACGCGGCGCAGAACCATTCGGATACTGTTCACCACGGGCATTATCACCGCCACCGCTCCCCTGCTCCAGCGGTGGCACCACCAGTGGCGGCAGTGGGGTACGCTGCCACTCCCACTGCTGCTACTGCTGTTGCTGCCGATTACTGCTCGCCAACGGCACCGGGATCGCACACTAAGGTGTTTCAGCGTGGATCCGCGTACGAGGCTGACCCGTATGCCAGCGAGCGACCGGCGGCAGCGTACAGTGAGCGAGCGCGCGGGTCAGCGGGAATAGGCATCACAGCGCTGCTTTCCAATTCACCTGAAGCAGCGGCCTCCACACACCAGCAGCCGCTGCATGATGACAGGGCGCCGATGGCAGCGGCGAGCAGGTACGATTCCCAGCATGCGTATGCAGCCGGTGGGGGACCGGGTATGGGAGGGCGTCGGCGAGGTATGAACGCGACACGTACCATGGGTACCACCACCGTGAGCGGGACACGCCCGGGTATGCTGGATACTCTAGCTACACAGTGGATGAGCGTGGGCACGCGGAGCCGCACGGCGTCATGTCGATTTCCCAGCTTGTCGGCAGCGAGAGATCCAACGGCACTCACGCTGAAAATTCTGCCGCTGCGGCGGGCTCTGCCTCGGCGATGGGCGGTGGCGAGGAGCGCGGGGCATCGGATGTTGCGTATGCCTACGGAAATGGCGGCGGCAGCCGGTCGGTGGACGCTGTGGCTGGGTACGATCACTACACGCCCAACCCGGCGGACGCGCCCCAGCGGCATCGCACGAGCTATGAGCCGCCGATGGTGCCGGCCGAAGCGCCCCCCTCGGCAAACCACCACGGGCCCTGGGCGGCGCGCGCGATGTCGCAGCAGGTCGAGCCGATTGTTGTTACCGACGATGAAGAGCCGGCCGCGGCCGCCGTGGACGACGACGAGACGGACAGCGGCGACGACAACAAGCCTTTGGCCACGCGAGCCGGGCGTCGAGCCGCACGGTCGCCCTCAGCCAAGCAACAGGCCACAGCGGCCTCCGGCGACGACTCCAGCAAGCTGGCGTCCAAGCGGCGCAAGCGCGCGGCACCGAAGAACGGCACCACGCGGCGGTACACCAAATCCACGGCTGAAAACGGCGTTACCAAGCGGAAGCCATCGCGGCGGGTGCGCGGCGGTAAGAAGGTTGAGCTCAGCCGCGAGTACGTCTACGACGAGGACGAGGACGAGGACGACGACGAGCCGGCGGTCGAGCCGAGCACCGGCGATATCAGCGGCCGCTTCACCCCCGAGCCGCACGCTGCCAACAGCAGCAACCATGCTGAAATGGCGGCGGCGGCGCCGAGGACACTGCCAATGGATAACTACAGCGTGGACGAGCATGTGCAGGCGTACATCCACCATGTGAAGCAGCGCACGGACCGTGCTGTGGCCAAGTACGAGGAGCGCGAGAAGCGCAAGGCGCTGCGTATGCACGAGCACGTGGTGCAGCGGTACGGCCCGTATCTGCGTGGGTACCACGAGCGCACAGGGCAGCCAGGGCCCGTGGAGCAGAACCGCGACGGGCGGGGGGGCTCCTTTGCCAACGGGGACGCGTTTTCCAACGGAGACGCGTTCGCCGACGAGGACGCGTACGCCGACAACGGCAACGCGTGCACCGCGGTGCAGGTGCCGCCGATGGGGTACTTTTCGCCGGCGCGCGCGGACTCGCCCACTGGGTCGGCTGGGTCGGTGGCCAGCGAGCCGCTGGCGCGCCACATTGACGATGGTGCCCTGCGGCCTAGCAAGCCCGGGCGCAGCACGCTGTGGAGCACGCTGGCAGTCGAACACATTCCGCGCGCGCACCGCCACATGCACACGCACGCGGCGACACGCACGGCCAACCTGCGCAAGGTGGTGCTGCTCGGCCAGCGCGAGGCGCGGCGGCTCTACGGCGGCCCGGCGCTGGTGCGCGGCAGCCAGCCGAACGCGTCTGCGCCCGCGCAGCCGCCGATTGCTGTGCGCGCGCCCAAGGAGCTGCTGACGCGCGCGCGCCGCAGCATGCGCGAGATGCTGATGTTTTGGAAGCGCCATGAGAAGGAGGAGCGTGAGATGCGCAAGCGCGCTGAGCGCGAGGCGGCCGAGCGGCTGAAGCAGGAGGAGGAGGCGCGTGAGTCGCGGCGCCAGACGCGCAAGCTTAATTTCTTGATCACGCAGACGGAGCTCTACAGCCACTTTGTCGGCAGCAAGATGGGCGAGGGCGTGCAGCAGCTGCGCGCGGGCGGTAGTGGCGATGGCGATGGCGATGCGGCTGGTGGCGCGGCGCCGGTCCTGGGCGACATTGACTTTGACGCCGACGACGATGCCAGCCTGGCCGCCCAGGCGCGGCGTGGCGCCCAGAACGCGCTTGCTGCCGCGCAGGCGCAGACCCGCGAGTTCGACGACGTCCGCCGCCAGCAGCGCGAGGCACGAGACGACGGTGGCGCCGAGACGCAGCCAGCCGCAGGACGCCAACGTCGCCGAGGCGCTCGACGCCATGGACTTTCTGGACCCAGAGACCATGGCCGGCACAACGGACATTGCACAGCCGCGCATGCTCATGTGCCAGCTCAAGGAGTACCAGCTCAAGGGCCTGAACTGGCTGGCCAACCTGTACGAGCAGGGCATCAACGGAATCCTGGCGGACGAGATGGGGCTTGGCAAGACCGTGCAGTCGATCTCGCTGCTGGCGTACCTGGCCGAGACCCACAACATCTGGGGGCCGTTCATGGTTGTGGCGCCGGCATCGACGCTGCATAACTGGCAGCAGGAGCTGGCGCGCTTCGTGCCCGAGTTCAAGGTCCTGCCGTACTGGGGCTCGCAGAAGGACCGCAAGGTGCTGCGCAAGTCGCTGTGGAACCCCAAGAACCTTTCACGCAAGGACTCTGCCTTCCACGTGCTTGTCACCTCGTACCAGCTGATCGTGTCCGATGAAGCGTATCTTAACCGCGTCAAGTGGCAGTACATGGTGCTGGACGAGGCCCAGGCGATCAAGAGCTCGACTTCGGCGCGCTGGAAGACCTTGCTCGGCTTCCATTGCCGCAACCGGCTGCTGCTCACCGGCACGCCAATCCAGAACAGCATGCAGGAGCTGTGGGCGCTGCTGCACTTTATCATGCCAACGCTGTTCGACTCTCACGAGGAGTTCAGCGAGTGGTTCTCGCGCGACATCGAGGCCCATGCCGAGAACCGCTCGACGCTAAACCGCCACCAGCTGCAGCGCCTGCACGTTATCCTCAAGCCCTTCATGCTGCGCCGCCACAAGCGCCACGTGCAGCACGAGCTTGGCGAGAAGATCGAGCACCTTGTGCCGTGCGACCTGACACAGCGGCAGAAGGTCATGTACCGCGGTCTGATGAGCAAGATCTCGGTTCCGGACCTGCTGGAGCGGCTGCAGAGCGGCTCGGGGCATGGCGGCAAGGAGGATTCGGAAGAGAGCCTGATGAACCTGGTCATGCAGTTCCGCAAGGTCTGCAGCCACCCGGAGCTGTTCGAGCGCGCCGAGGTCGACAGTCCCTACGTCGTGGGGAACTTCCCGACGACCGGGTCGCTGGCGCGCGAGGGCGACGAGCTCGCGTATTCCTTTTCCACGCGCAGTCTGGCCGCCTACCAAATACCCAAGATGCTGTACCGCGAGTCCCTCGATGTGCCGAACGTGCGCACCGTGCGCCAGAGCCTGCTTCAAAACCGGCTCTCCCTATGGTCACCAGAGAACATTGCGCACGACTCGAGCGACAGTGGACTCTTTGGCTTGCTGCGGCTGTGCGAGCCGTCGGCGAGCTTGGCGATCCGCGCGTTTACGGGGTCGCTGTCTGAGCGCCTGGATGATCTTGCTGAGCTGAGGGAGCAGCAGGCCGGGCGGGTGCAGTACCAGGCGATGTGCGCACAGGCAGGCGAGCGGCCGGTGTGCGCCGGGCAGCAGGTGTCGGTGATGCATGCATTGATGAATGTATTTACACCGGAGAGTCTCCGCGTGTCGCCGGCCCTGGCGTCCTTGGCGCTGGTGACCACCAATGGGTTTGAGCACTCGCCGATGAGTCTTATATCCCCTGCATACAAGCCGCCTGCCGTGTCACCACCCGCCGACCTTGTCATTAGCGACCGCTCGGCGGTCTGGGAGAATGAGAGTATGCTGCTGGCGAATCCGCTGGCTAAGCGCGTGACGTGTGGTCGCGACTTCTCGCCTGAGATTGACTGGTCCCAGCCGTTCCGCGCCCAGGGGCTGACGGATATCTGGATGCCGTCGATGGATAACCTCATCCGGTACTCGGGCAAAATGGCAGTCCTGGACCGGCTGCTGGTGCGGCTCAAGCAGGAGGGCCACCGGGTGCTTTTGTACTTCCAGATGACCAAGATGATTGACCTGTTCGAGGAGTACCTGGCGTACCGCAAGTACACGTACCTGCGGCTTGACGGCTCGTCCAAAATCTCGGACCGCCGCGACATGGTTATGGACTGGCAAACGCGCGACGATATTTTTATATTTTTGCTGAGCACCAGAGCTGGCGGCCTGGGCATTAACCTGACGGCTGCCGATACGGTTATCTTTTTTGAGAGTGACTGGAACCCAACAGTTGATAGCCAGGCGATGGATCGCGCGCATCGGTTGGGCCAGACGAAGCAGGTTGTTGTTTATCGGCTGATTACCCGTGGAACTGTCGAGGAGCGTATTTTGGAGCGCGCAAGGCAGAAGGATGAGATTCACCGGATTGTCATTGCTGGCGGCGACTCGAACGCCGATGATGCCGCCGCCGCCACCGCTGCTGCTGCTTGTGCTTCTGATAATGCTGCCAAGGGAGATGCTGCTGCTGCGGCGCCGGCTTCGGAAGGGTTTTCGTCAAACTTTGAGCCAAGCTCAAAAGAAATCGTCTCTTTGCTTCTTGGAGAGACTGCCGACGACGAGAGCATAGTGCGCAGCGAACGACTAACCATGGCCCGACACGCCCAACAGACCTCCAACCGCATCTATGGCCCCGAACCTAGCAAGTACCCGGGTTTGCCTGACATTGCCACATTTGGCGAAGACTGGGACTCTGTGGTTTTGCTTCCGCCACCCAATATTTCTGCCCAACAGCGGACAGCTGCTGCCACTATCACGGGCCCTTTGGATGGCGTCATTGATGCGGCGATTGAGTTGCAGGCTTGTGAGAAACAAGCGCGCGAGCGTGAGTTAATGATGATGCAGAGACAGAGGAATAAGACGGCGGGACGGGGGTCCGCTAGGGGTGGAGTGGCGGCCGCTGGGCGCGGGGGCAAGCGTGGCGGTGCTGTTAATGCGGTGCGCAGCGAGAAGCGGAAGGCGCGCGCGCCAGCTGAGGAGCAGCAGCAGCAACAGCAGCTGAAGGCAGTGGAGACCGCGGGGAATAGCAAGGCAGAAATACTGGAACCTGGCAGTAAGCGGATTCGCACAGCGGAGAGTGGCATGGAGATTGCAGCTGCGAGTACGGCAGTGCCAAGTATTGCGGAGGCGTCGGAGTCTGGAACCGATGGAACCTCTGTAATCGAGCCTGTGGAGGCTGCGGTCGATGCGTGTTGAGCCTCAGCAGGATATTTTTCGACTGTTTTTGATGCACCTAGAAGTTGCTAATTAAAATATTTACTTTTTAGGTCTATTATTCATGTCAATTAATTTTTATTTTATTTTATTAGGTTTTGGTTTTGGTTTTCTTTACTGGGAATGATTTGCATGCAACTTAAAATTAATTAATTTATAGCCATTTTTTTACATTGCCAACCATGTGGTTATTATTAGTTTCCTGCGCTTTTGATATGCAGTTTTCTAAATTTTTTGTTTTTTTTATACAACTACAACACTAACAATACCAACAACAACGATGCTAGTCATTTTATATAAAAATTACAGTTTGATGTGCACTTAAGAAATGAGCGGAGCAAAACAAGCTAGACAACAACCTGTTTACATTAATTAAAAACAGAAATAAATAGAAAGAACATTAAATTATATACATGGGGAATTACAATACCGTTTTGCTTTTAATTTTATTTATATTTCCATAAGTCTGTGCGAATGGATCTGCAGATTTTTCAAGACCGTGCGTTGCGTTCGGTCCGACCGCGAGGTCTCTAACAAATAGAGAGAGAGAGAGATAGAGAGTCAGATAAACAAGAGGTAGAGGGGGTATAAAAATTGCTTGTTTTATTTGCATATTGTTTGCGAGCACGTTCACTCGTCTTTGCCAGGTTTATTCACGTTGGATTCTATTGCTATTTGCAATGCCGTGATTTTTTATATATTGCGTTGCGTGTAGACTCCTTTTTATTTTTGTATTGGTCCTCGGCTTATCAATGGGATTTCCTTTGTTTTCCTTTTGTTTTGTTTTATTGCGCAAATAATTAATATAAACGTGCATATGATGTTTTATTTTTGTTCTATTTCAATATACACTATAAGAAAAGAGTGAGGCTACAAGTATCCTTCAAAACGGCATCCTTCCCCCAGTTTGACTAGCAGCCTAAAAAGTGTTTAGAAACTAGTGGCAATAGACCACTATGGCTGACAATATTAACCAGTTCGCTGCTTCTTTTGAAGAGAAGAAGCAGGGCAGATGGATCCTTGCGCACACGCTTGGGCCTGGGCTTGGGCTTTGGCTTGAGCAAAGTCTCGGGCGTCGCTGTAGACTCGGATTCAGCCGACTCTGACGATGCCTTTTGCGTGAAACCGGGTTTTGAAAATCCCCCGCTTAAAAATCTAGAATTTTGCTATAAATGTCTGGAAATTCCAAAATACATTTTCACTAGTGTAGTCTACAAGAAAATAGCTGGATAAATGAAAACTCTTTTTTTAATAATGCCTTATTGGAATAGAAAATGAATGATTTGTTATTGTTTTTTATTTGTTTGTTGTGTTTTTGTGTTTTTTGTGTTTTTGTCCAAACCATTCGGATTTTCTCTTTGCTTTTGACACAAAACAAGAAAGAAAAATAGGTCCAACTTTAAGACAATATCAAAAAGGATGAAATCGGAATATTCGAGACAAAATCGCCACGGGAAAGGTTGATAAAAATCACCCAGTGCGAATAACAGAAAGCAGCAGCATTTTTCCATAAAGCTCTTGTTTATATATAAAGTGTCAAATGGTGCCTTGCTTTCATTATTTTTCATTATTTTCATTATTTTTTTCAAACTTTACACTTCACATTTCACTTTTTTTTACTTTTCTTAAATTGTTGCATTTTCTTTTAATTCTCTTTTTTTTGCATTCGAATTTGTTGTTTTTTCCCAGCACACATATACTTGAACTGAGCATCACGCAGACAAACAGGCAATAACAATAATTTATCTTTCCATTTAGTTCTGAGGGGAGGAGCTCAAGACCAACAACTCCCGATTATACTTTTTTTTTCCCTATTGATTTTCCCATTTTTTGGGGCCCACTTTAGTTTTTCAATCTCTTTCTTTTGGCTTGTTATTTTCTTTCACAAAGACCTGCGTAACAAGGCCACCATTTTTCTTTTCGTTTTGCTTATTTATATTATTATCCTAACCTCTTCTTTTTTCTCTTACTTTTTTTTGTACTTTCTTAAACTTTCCTATTCTTTTTTATTCATTTGACTGTCAATTTATCCTTCGCATTTTCAAAATCCGCTTATTTTACTTTGGCGCAAAGAACAATTGCTCGCTCAAACACGCACTCGGGATATATATTAAAAACAAAAGAGGGAACCCGGCAACTTATATACTCACAAACTGGCAGCAACGTCGGACCCAACATTAATTTTTCTATTACATACACGCACATTCACATTCAAATTCACATTCACACACACGTACACATATATATATACACACGCACACACACATACGCACGCACACATTCACACACATTCACACACTCGTGCATAATACATTTCAGCTTGCTTATCAGGGAGAATCAGACAATGGCATCGACAGCACAGCGCATGCGCGACGAAGACCAGCCGACAAATGTTGAGGACGAGTAAGTATCTGAATGTTTTGTATAATATATGTCTTGGTAGTTTTCTCGGGGGTTTCCTTTTTCCTTTTGGGTTGCCGGGAGTTAACACGATATCAAAGACATCAACGATGTGTGTTGCGCAATAATGCGAGAACATACAAAAAGGGGGAACAAAGGATGAAAGGAGTGGGAGTGTTGATATTTAAGCCTATTCACCCATTCTTTTCTTTGTTTTCTTGTTGATGTTTTGCATGCGCTCAGGTTTCTTCGGTCAACAATAATGACTGGGAGGTGGTGGTAGTGAGGATAAAATATTGTGTGCATAAAGCCGCAGCATTCTTTGTTGCTTTTCTTCTTTAGCTGCAACAACAACCAAAAGGAATAGAATGCACCTTGCAGTAGAACAAGGAATCATTTATGCTAAAAATTACACTCAATTCATTCTACTGCCTTTTTTTGGTAGGATTGTTTTAAAAGTCGGAATGCTGGGTGATGCACAGATAGGCAAAACGACGCTGATGGTGCGGTACGTTTTTGGCGAGTATGATCCAAATATTGTGCAGACGCTGGGCGTAAACTACTTGGAAAAGTCGATTCATCTTCGGAATACCAAAGTGCGGTTCAGCATTTGGGATTTGGGAGGAGAGCGAGAGTTTCTAAATATGCTCCCCTTGGTGTGTTCAGATTCGGCGGTCATATTGTTTCTGTTTGATTTAACGCAGCGGCGGACGCTCAACTCGATCGAGCAGTGGTACAGGCAAGCGCGAGCATTCAACAGCACGGCGGTACCCATTCTGGTTGGCACAAAGTACGATCAGTTTGCAGATGAGGAGTTTACGTCGAAGGAGGAGCAAATGATTATTACGAAGCGGGCGCGGGTGATTGCTCGCGCAATGAAGGCGTCACTTATATTCTGCTCGTCGTTACGGTCGATTAATGTGCAGCGTATATTCAAGATTGCACTGAGCAAGACGTTTGATTTGAGACCGAATTTTGATGAGATTACGGAGATTGGAGAGCCAATTTTAGAGTTTAAGCAGACTTGACCCGACATTCACCATTTTCATAAATAAATAAATCAAAAATGACAATGTGAGTGAACGAACGAATGTCTGACTTGTTATTCTCCTGTTCTCTTGTTCTCCTGTTGAACAGTGAGCTTGAGAATAGCACATTGTCACATTGTCTGGGGACGGATGTCCGATTGTTTTTTTTTTAAAATTAACAAAGGCATTTTTCAAACAGCAAAACGCATCGGTCTTGGTCTCATCCTCATTCTTTTCTTCCTGTGCTTTTTCATTTACACTATCCTACCGCTTTGCGCACCTAATTATTAGCACATTTCCATACTTGTTTTCAGCCATGGCAAGCTCTCCTATTCCGGCCAACATCCGCAAGCGGTCGGACAAATACGCAAACAACATTAAGCACCGCGGCAGCGTGCCCAAATCGCTCGACGCCAAGGTGCAGCAAAAGCTCGAAGCCCGCCGCCTGAGCAAAAAGGGTCTCGGCACCGGCATGCCCGTGCCCACAGCGGCCAACGGCCGCCGGATCCTCCTCGCCCTTCTGCTTCTCACCGTAGGCAGCGCCCTCTACCAAGTGTGCCTGCCACTGTTCGGCAGCCAGCCATCCTCCGGTGGCCAGCAGCCAAAGGCAAAGCAGTCCACCAGTGTGTTGACTCGCGAGCAGCAGGCGAAGGCTGCGCAGGCGGTCTTGCAAGAGTTAAATCGTAAGGCTACAGAGAAGTACTTTTCGATGGCTAAGAATTACCAGCCCCAGTGGCGCCCCAGATGCGGGATGTTGGTGTGGATGACTTTGAGGACGAGATTAGGAAGCTCATCGTGCAGGATGATGATGAGCTTCCTCATGTTGTCGCTGAGGCTCAGGGACCGCTTGTGTAGGATTTTTTGTTTCTGTGACGCGAAATATTAAGTTGTTTGCATTCTTGCTTTTTTAGTTTGTGTGGCTCGAGTTGATTGGCTGAAGAGATGGAATGCAAGACCGTTTTACTTCTGTGCGTAATTTTCTCCACACTGTAAAAATAGATCTTGGTGTCCAAACACGTTTGCAAGGCAAATTTAACCTCTTTTTTTGTTGTTTTCTTTTTCTTTCTTTTTTGCGGGGAAATCAAAGTGGAAGGGCGGGGGGAGCCAGGAACAAAAGACAAGCCATCAGAACACCCGATAATTCCCTTTGTTTTAAACGTTTAAGCTCGTCTCTAATCCATCCAACCCACCCATCCACCTGTCCTTTTTTATTTTATTTTACACAATCCTGGTTACACACAACTTTTTATATTTACACATTTTGAATTCAATTCATCTTTGCTTTTATTCTTTTGGGCACAAAACTAGAGAAAAAAGTGGTGAAGCAGGTCAACTTTCAAAAATAGAAAATAACGCTTCGAAGAGGGAGTAGTACATAAATTAGAGGACACAAGATGGCGCACTTGGAAAGCATGCGCTACCGGAAGCAGCCGGGCGCAACTGCAATTTACGAGGATGCCACTGTGATATCAGGGATATCGACGGGATCTGCCGGCACAACCCCGACTGTCGACAATGCCAACGGGCTGTATGGCGACGCAGGGCCACCAAATGGTGCCGGCGTGCTGTACGGGTACGAGAAGAAGGACTTGGACTACAGCAGCCAGTCTGCGGGCGCCATTGGCGGCGTCGGAGACACTTCGAACAGCAGCGATCGGTACCCGCGGTTCAACGTGAGTCGGAGCCAGTGGATAACGCTGGGGCTCATTGTGATCCTGGCAGCGTACGTGCGGTTGTGGCGCCTGTCCAACCCGGCAAACGTAGTCTTTGACGAGGTGCATTTCGGCAAGTTCGCAGGCAAGTACCTCAACGGCACGTACTTCTTCGATGTGCACCCACCACTGGCCAAGATGATGTTTGCGGCGGCGGGCAAGATGGCCGGATACGACGGTGTGTTTGATTTCAAGTCGATCGGGCTGGACTACGTGGCTGCTGGCGTGCCATATGTGGGCATGCGTTTGATGCCTGCTTTGCTCGGTCTGGCGATGGTCCCGATCACGTACGTGACGCTGGCTGCTCTGGGGCATGCAGGTGACGCGTGTGCGGTTGGCGCTCTGCTGATTGCTTTCGAGAACGCGCTGCTAACGCAGTCGCGTCTGATCCTGCTCGACGCAGCTTTGATCTTCTTCACGGGGCTGACGGTGATGTTCTGGGCGCTGTTTTTCACGGAGGCGCGGCGGCCATTTGGCCGCCGGTGGTGGGCGTACCTGCTTCTGGCCGGTGCCAACATGGGCAACGCGCTGAGCTGCAAGTGGGTCGGCCTGTTCCTCGTTGCGACCCTCGGCGTGTGGACCATCAAGGACCTGTGGGAGAAGCTCGGAGACCTGAGCATCACGCCGTCGCAGTATGCAAAGCACTTTATTGCGCGCGCTGTGGCCCTGATCGCCGTGCCCCTATGCGTGTACCTGTTCTGGTTCCAGGTACACTTTTCGCTGCTGCACCGGTCGGGCGACGGCAACGCATTCATGAGTCCCGAGTTCCAAAACACACTGGATGGCGTCAGCCTGGGTCACACTCCGCGGGATATCTACTATGGCTCGCGCGTGCGCATCCGCCATGACGCGACTAACGCTGGGTACCTGCACTCGCACTTGAGCAACTACGAGACTGGATCCAAGCAGCAGCAGGTGACGCTGTACGGCTTCCGCGACGACAACAACTACTGGGTGCTGACGCGCACAGAGGCTGCGGAGGCCAAGCACGCCAACTCATCAGACCCCACGGCGCTGCAGCAGATCAAGCACGGCGATATCGTGCGCTTGCTCCACTGGAAGACCTTCCGCCGCCTGCATTCGCATGATGAGCGGCCGCCTGTGACGACAAACGACTATCAGAACGAGGTGACTGGATATGGCTGGGAGGGCTTTAAGGGCGACTCCAATGACCACTGGCGCGTGCAGATCATTGAGGGTGACTCGGCCGAGCCCGACTCCAAGACCAAGCTGATGGCCATCTACTCACGCTTCCGCCTGATCCACACTGGCCGCCGCTGCGCGCTGTTCTCCAACCGCCGCAAGCTGCCCAAGTGGGCCACGAGCAGGTCGAGGTCACCTGTATGCAGTCGGCCAAGGTCCCCAAGACGCTGTGGCGCATCGAGACCAACGTCAATGCGGCTATTCCTGCCGGTGCCCCGCTGGCCGAGTACCGGCGCCCGGGACTCGTGGCCAAGGTGCTGGAGGCGACGGCCATCATGTGGCGCGTTAACAACGGCCTGACCAAGAGCCACCCGTACGAGAGCCGCCCGCACACCTGGCCGTGGATGCGCCGCGGCATGGCCTTCTGGGGCGAGGCTAACCGTACTATCTACCTCCTGGGCACACCCATTCTGTGGTGGCTGTCGCTGGTCGCCGTTCTGCTGTTTGCGGCCCTGCAGGCTGCCATGTTCCTGCGCAGCTGCCGCGGCATTAACGACCGCCTGATGGGTGCACGCGAGCGGTACGCCGAGAGCGTCGGCTTTTTGGCTGCCGCCTGGGTGCTGCACTGGGTGCCCTTCTTCCTGATGGGCCGCCAATTGTTTTTGCACCACTATTTGCCTGCCATGTGGCTGGCCGTGCTGGCCTTGACCGCGACCCTGGACCTGTTCACGCGTCGCATGGGCCGCCGCATGCGCCAAGTCATTATGGGCGCGCTGGTTCTTGTTGTCGTGCGCTCGTACTTCCAGTATAGCCACCTGGCCTACGGCACGCCGTGGACGCGCCAGGGCTGTGAGCGCAGCAAGTGGCTCAAGGCCTGGGACTACGACTGCAAGCGCTACCCGGGCGCCGACGCCAGCCCGAAGCCCGTCGTCCCTGTTGCCGGGCCTGTGGTTCCCACCATTGTCGCTGACGTGGGCCCGCCGGACGCTCAGAACTTTGATCCTCTGGAGAACGAGAACAAGCTCAATGAGCCCGCGCCGCGCATTGACCACGACAAGCTCAACTCCAACGCCAACAAGCTGCACCTCGAGATGGTCAAGGCTGCCACCACCGCCGGTGTTGCCGCTCCTGTCGACGCTCATGAGAACGAAGATGTTGTTGGCGAGGACGCCCACCACGACGACACTCTTGTCATGGCTCCGGTTCCCCCGCACTTCTAAGTATGTTTTTGCTTTTCTCTCTTTTTGTCCCGTTTGACAGGGGTTTTTTTCGTACTCTTTCTTTTTTCAATTAAAAAACAACAATTTTCAGTAACCCAGTTTTTCGTTGAGTGGTGTGCGTCCGTCACCGCTCTGGCCTGTGGGCGGCTGCCAGACTATTGATTCGTCTGTCTCGCACTTGGGCCTCTTGGGCTCAGAAATATCTGCAGAGTCGTGGTTGATGAGATTGTGTGGCAGTGTTGGACCTTGTACCAGCGCCTTTCGCTTTGTAACCGACACTGATTCCAACTCTGCTTCCAACACTGATTCCGATACTGATTCCGGTACCAGATCAGATGCTGGAACTTGCGGCTGTGCTTGTATGCCTTTTGGCTTTGGCTCTGGCTTTGGCTTTGGCTTTGGCTCTGGCTCTGGCTCGCTCGCAGCAGGTTTGATCACTTCCGCAATGTTTGGTTTTGGCATTGGCATTGGCATTGGCATTGAAGCGTCCGGCGCCACGATGCGCAAAAGTGAAACCAGTCGCTCCTTTTGCCCAGCCAGCTCAGTGATCCTGCGCTCCAGTGCACTCCTATCCTTTTTCTGCTCGCCGCTCGCCAGCGCGTTCATATACGCATCCAGCTCGTCCACCTCTTCGGCTGCAACACGGCCGTCGCCATCCGGCGCGATATCCATTTTTGTTGCGCCTGCACCATGTCCTCATCCACCTGCTTGAGCTTCTCTACCAAGGACTCAAATGTCTCGACAACACTCTCGCTTTTCGCGGCACTCTGCGTGAGATCATAACAATCCTCGTCGCTATCTTCCATCACCTGTGTCTGCGACTGTAGCTTTGTGGAATGTGTGTTGAGGATACCTTGGCTGGCCAGTTCCTCTAATGCGCTCGTGCAAGCTTGTCTTTCGGCTAGAGATCTTGTGGATCCTGTAGATGTCACTATTAGTGGGTTTCCAAACTCGTCGTTGAAGGGAAGTTCAATACGCACCGTGTACTTTGTGTTCAGATTATCACCAAGAGACCCAGCTCCTGATATGATCTCGGGATTGTACGTGTTGTCGTATTCCGCAAGGAATGCCTTGAGCGACTTTACAGGATCATTGAACGGCATGGCTTTTTGACTATTGGAAGGCTTTGCGTTGGCGACAATCTCCCTGGGTTCCGGTAACTGCGGACCGCCACCAAATACCCAAACACGCGAGCTTGCGCCAAACCTAATCTGATCTCCAACCTCCACTCTCCTGGGCTCACGCTTATCCACTCTCTGCTTATTCACAAACGTCCCGTGGCTGCTGCCCAAATCACAAATCACAACTTCATCGGTCGTGAATTGTAGAACCGCGTGGTAGCGCGATACAGATACGTGGTCCATGGAGAAATCGCACGTGGGAAGTCGCCCAAAGGTAAAGTGTGTTTGCGTCATGTTTAGTTTATGACTTTCCAAGAGTGCACCATCCTTGATCACTTCCACAATGTAGTCGTGCGTGGGTCGAATGGCGTTGGATGGCGGCGTGTATGGAAGCGGTGGTGCGGCGGGAAATGCTTTGGTAGTGGCAGGAAGAGAGGGGACTTTGAACCCATCAGTAGTCTGCTTTTGAGGCTGCTTGGGTGACATTGAATTGATTTTATTCAAATTATGAGAGGCGTATTTGATATCTATCGATTTCACAAATTAAATAAAACATTTTTATTATTTATACCCGTCATCACATACACTCTATTACTGGCAATTTCACGTGAATTTGATAACACATCTTCAGAAATTTCATCACTAAGCAATTAAACTCAGGTCTGGATAATTTCCGACTATGCCGCCCCTACAATTATTTTCATTATAGAGGTATGTACCCAGGTCTGCAATAGAGCCCATGACAGTCAAGGTGCTGTGGTAAACAATTATTCTTATTCATCAACATTAGTTTTGGTTTTTGGTTTTTTACTTGTTTTATATCTCTCCCAACGTATCTAATTGCTCTCTAAAATTATTAATAAAAATGTTTTAATTACTTTTTTTAAGTTACTACTAACAGAGATTAGCTATTAAGCTGTTAGAAATCGCTTAATCAAAAGCATCTGTGGTCCAGAGGTATGATTGCCGCCTGCCACGCGGTAGACCCGGGTTCGATTCCCGGCGGATGCACATATTTTTGCCATTTTTTAGTTGACCCAACACTCGATCAATTTGTTCCTGATTGATTACTAAGAATTAAATGCGAGTAAACACGATTTTTCTTTTTAATTTTTTTTTTTGCCTTTGCTCGCCTGCGAAATTATTATTCAAGTGCTGAGCTCTGTGAACTTGATATTACAAATTTTCTTTATTGCCTAGTATATTTCTTTTGCTCACAGCTCCTTTTATTCTAACCCTTTTTCATTTTTCAATTATACACTCGAAATGGCGGTCAAAAAAAGAGAACAAAAGCAAGCGACCAAGCGGTCCGTCGCTCAAAACGGGGGCTCCTCAGATAACGAAGATCAAGTTAAAACACAAAAGGCCAGCTCAAAGCGGCAGAAGAAAGCCATGGTCGACAAAAAGTCTCGGGCAGAGACCGACCTCGAAATGCTAGTTTTTGGCGGCGAAGACGAGGATGTTATGAACAACGTATTTGGAAAAATGGTTTCGAATCTTCCTGCAGCGTCTAAGGACTCTGATTCGGACCAAGACGAATCAGAGGAATCAGGGTCAGAGAACGAGGAGGATGAGCCCGAGGCGGAGTCGAAGGGCGAAGATGAGGAGATGGCTGAGGAGATGGTCGAGGACAGCATTGAAGGCGGCGATGATTCCCTGTTCTTTGTCGACACTGTGCTGGACAAGAACAGCGGTGACGAGGACGAGAGCGAGAGCGAGAGCGAGAGCGATTCTGACGAGAGCCAATCCGAAGATGAGCAGGATACTGCCGCGTGGGTTGATGAGGACACGCAGCAGGCGACAGTGGCGCTCAAGTCAAAGGCTCGCTCGCGCAAGCTTCGCGAAACCGAGGGGGAAAACGAGGTGGCCGGCGATGTGTACGAGGAGCGTCTGCGCCAGCAGTTCCAGAAGATTAACCCCGTGCCCAAGTGGGCTGACAAGGCAGAAATCAACGCGTGGGACGATTCTGACAAGGAGGATGACACGGTCGGCGGTGATCTGCTTAATACCACGGCTCCCCTGATTTCAAAGTCCAGCACTCTGCTGGCACCGACCAAGCTGGACACCATTCGCCTGCGCAATGCCAACCAGATGGCCCCCTCGCAGTCAGCCATCTCGAGCATTCAGTTCCATCCGACCTCCAGCGTTCTGCTGACCGCCGGCTTGGACAAAACCCTGCGCCTATTCGAGGTTGACGGCAAGGATAACCAGAAGATCCAGTCCATATACTTCAAGGACCTGCCTATCACCTCGGCGCAGTTTATTCGCGGCGGTCAGGAGGTCGTGGTTAGCGGCAAGCGCGGATGGTACTACTCAGTGGATATCGAGAAAAGCGCCGTGACGCGTATCTCGGGCATTCCGGGCTACAAAATGAAGAGCCTCGAGTTTATGCACAGCAGCACGACGAGCGACAGACTGGCGTTTATGAGCAATGGTGGTCAGATCCACCTGGTATCCGCGCAAACAAAGCAGTTTATCCACACGCTCCCGATGAACGGAGCTGTGCGCGATGTTGCTTTTACCGCTGATGGTAACTACCTGTGGAGCACTGGGCTGGATAATGAGGTTTACCAGTGGGATCTGCGGCAGAACCGTTGCTTGAGCCGCTGGCATGACTCAGCCACGTTCCGGCCGACCTGCCTGAGCGTCAGCCCGGACACTAGCTACTACGCGAGCGGCGATAACGCCGGTGTTGTGAATATCTACGATACCAATGTGGTGAAGGACAAGAGGGTTGGTGCGTCGGGTGCGTTCTACAATGTTAATGCATTCAAGTCGATCAATAACTTGACCACGTCGATCCAGGGCCTAAAGTTCAACCACAGCTCGGAGATCCTCGGTATTTACTCGCGCAGAAAGGCGGATCAGCTCAAGCTCGTGCATTTGCCCAGCGGGACTGTGTTTTCGAACTGGCCATCGTCAAAGTCGCATCTGGGTCATGTCCAGTGCATGGACTTTTCGCCGAACTCTGGCTTTATGGCTATTGGCAATGATGGTGGCAAGGCCCTGCTCTACCGCCTGCCACACTACCAAAACTACTAGTTCAGTTTGCTTTTTTTAAGCTTTTTGATTTTTCACTTTACAGGTTTTGTTCCTTCTTTATATATTTACATTTTTTTGCAGGAAAGTACTTTTTTTTTATTTCTTTGACATTTTTTTATGAAGTTACAAAAGAAAAAACACAAAAGCATGCTTTTGTTTATTTTTTGTCCTTCAGTGACTCAATAATTGACTCGAATGCCCGCGGTTTCGACAATACCATCTTCCTACGTTTGAGATTGTTTATCCCTCGCGTGGCCGGGGACATCAATTTGTCCGTCGGGCTCATCAGACCCGGAGGACAATACGGCATATTCTTGATTCTCCGCGGCAAGGCGCTCTGCGGCCCAGGGCTCTAACAGCCAGGTTGCGGCTGGCAGATAGACTGCGGACCATGCCATGCGACTGCGATGCTTCAGGCTGGTGCTGTTGTTCAATTTCCTGCTCAACAACCTCCATCGCGAGTTGGGCTGGATGTGCTTGAAGTGCGTGATGGAGTTCAAACTTTTGTGGAGAGCTTTCCGGGTCCAGAGGACTCTGGAGCAAAGAAGAGCTCTGGAGCTGTGGCTCTGGTGTGGCCGACCGACTATTCTGAGTATTCGAGCTGGTTATGGCAACAGAGATAGCTTCTGTGGTTATCTTAGAATCCATACTTATAGATGAAAAATATTGAAGATAAAAAAGGCAAATATTGAAAACCCGAGAGAGAGAGAGAGAGAGAAAAGGGGGAAAGAACGTAAAGTTCAACCGTTAGGCCAAAGCTAGGATGGGGTGATAGAAAGTTGGAGTGTAACGCCCTTTTTTTACTGCGCGTTTGGTTTTTGGTAGTTCATTTTTGCCGGCTCAGTTTTAATTACTTTTTTTGTTTTGTTTTCGTTTTTGTCCATACATTTTCTTACGCAAGCAACTCTTGTAGTTTGGGTTGAGTTGAGTTGAGTTGAGTTGATTCAAGTCCCCAAAGAGAACAAACAATGACGTATAAAAATGTATAGTGTTTATAAACACATACTTATGATACACGAAAAAAGGCGCGCGCAACAGACTGCAAGTTATTCATAGAATTGCTTTTGGTTCTCAGTACAAGACTCTGCAGGCAAGAAAATAAAATAAAAAAGCATAGCGCGCATGCGCTCTGGCGATTGGCCTATCCATAATTAAAGTAAACAAAAGCCTTGTGATGTGTGAGGATTAAATTCCATCAAGCAACTTGATCAACAAAAACCTTTTATGTTATTGTTGTCGATAGCGTGTCTGTTTCGTGTGGTAAGAATATTAAAACTGAAGAAAAAGAAAAATGAACGGTTGATCTACAAGAAAAAAGTGTGAGAAAAAGGAAAGTCTAAAAACATGGTTGAAATTTTTTAAATATAAAAGCCCAAACAAACAAGAGCAACAAGGAGGACAAAAGGATCAATCTGAATCCTCTTGCCGCTTTACTCGACCTTCATATGATGAGTGTGTGATTTGGCTGGAATGGCGCTGTGGCAGACCTCAATGTCCTTCATCCACTCGCTTTCCATGACCTGGTCCATGGTGAGGCGGCCCTTGGTCTCGGGATATACCATGCCCTCAATGACCTTCTGGCCGTCGAGCCGCAACTTGGGCAGTTGCGCAAACAGCTTTTCCCGGCCGCGAGGCCAGTCCCTGATGTACGAGCCATAGTTGCGGTCCCTCTCCATGTCGGCAATGCGCCAGGGAAACTTGAGTAACGTCATGCACATGTACATGATGCCCACCGACCAGATATCGGCCACCTGTGCGTAGTAAGGGAGCTGACGCCGCGAGTTCAGAACCTCAGGCGCAATGTACGGGTCGGACCCACACACGCCGACAACTTTGCTCGGCTCCTTCTGGAAGGGCGTCTTGAACACCGTTGCGCAGCCAAAGTCGATGATCTTGACAACACCACGGTCCGTCAGTAGGCAGTTCTCGAGCTTGAGATCACGATGGGCAATGCCGATTTTGTGCAGGTACTGGACACCCTGGCACACTTGCTTGAACCAGCAGAATGTCTCATCTAAATCCATGCCTCCCATGGTGACAAACGTGAATAGGTCATGCGGGCAATACTCCATGATCTCATACACGTGGTCACCCTCAAAAATCAGGTCTAGGGTCTCAATAACGTTCTCCTGATGAATTGACGAGCCGATGCAGAACTCCGATGTCACCTTCTTCATGTACGCGCGCGGTGTCTCGTCCGGTTGCCGCTTGCGAAACTCCTTAACAGCAAACAACCGGTGCTCGCAGGGCGCGTATGTGGCAGGCTCATCGCCGTTATGCGACGACGGAGGGCCGCTGCGCAGGCTAGGCGGCCGCGTGTTTACCTCGGCGCCCTGAAGCAGGCGCACGGTGCCGCCCGTTCCCTTGCCGATAACCTTGGTCTGTCGGCCAAACTGGTTTAGCGACGCCTTGTGCGTGGAGTACACCGGGCATGGCTTCTTCATGGGCACAGCCTCGTCGTGTTTCTGAGCGCAGGGTGCCGGTTCATCGGCGGTCGTCAGGGTCGGGTCCCTCGTTGTACCGGCAGTCAAGCGCTGCTTGTTTTCCGCGATTTCGGCGGCCGTGGGCCGGGCCATTTGCACTTTGTCGGCCAGCGTTGACTCCTCGCCTTCATCCAGTTGCTTCTTGGGCCGGCTGGCACCGCTGCTCTCCTGCTCGGGTGCTGCAGGAGTTGGGGATGCCGCATGCATGCTGGCAGTTGACTGGTTACGATGTAATGTGTGCTGACTGGGCTCACGCGACATGCCAAAAATAGATCCCTCGCGCGAGCTAGCAGCAGACGGCTCTATGCTTGCCAGTCTGACCGCTTGCGTCATCTCGTCGATGGCTGAGTCGGTGACATGGGACTTCTGCTTGTTGCAGACAGCGTCCATGCCCGAACTTGGGTCATTCAGCGACTCATGCATGGACTGTCTGAGCTGGTTGTTGTGCCGCTGGACAGTGCGCAGGCCGACTTTGCTAAACGCAAAGACATTGTCCTCGGGTACTGGCTCAAAGTTGCGCTGTGCATAGTATGCTGACGGCACCTGCGCGTTGTCCTGCGCGAGGTTGGTGGACGAGCCATGCGGAGAGACGCCGTAGGGTGGCGAGTTGCTGATCGAGGGCGCCTCATTTGTCTCGATCGACGCGTCATTGCTAAAAGTCTGCGAGGTGGATGAGCGGTAGGCGATGGTCGGTGTGGCAATTCCCGGCATGCGCGGCTGCGAAGCAACTGCGGGTGCGACGCTCTTCTGTGACTTGTCCCGGTGGAGCAGGTTATGGATGCGCTGCGAGAATGAAGTGTTGCGCTTGATCACGATGGGCGTCCCAGTGGATGGAATGGAGATGGGCTTTGGCGCCGTGGAGGATGACTGGATGGGGATTGGGTGCGGCTGTGACTCTGGCTGCATCTGCTGGCTGTGACTAGAGGCGTATGGTGACGGGGGTTTGATGCCTGCGGTCATGGGTTGCGGAGGCAGCGTGGCCTGCTGATTGACGCTGTCGGTGTTGATTTTTAGAGATTTGTGGCGCGACACCCGAGATTCTGTCTGGCTGCTGATGTCACTGAGCATTGCCGAAGACGACGAGGACGATGGGGGCCCAGCAGCCTTCCCTGAGGCCAGCGGTGAGTGATGATATGGCGATTGCATGGCAGAAGCAGCAGTCTCCTGGACACTTTTTGAGTGATAATGGTGTCCCTGTGATTGCTGCGGTGCGCCGTTCCCGTTCCCGCTGCCGTTAATGCCAGTAGTGCTGCTTGTCCGCTGGTGAAAGCTGTAGTTGCGCTGCTGTTGGTGCTGGTGCTGGTGCCGCTGATGATCGTGGTGTTGGATATGGTGGAATTCCCCCTCAACCTTCTTCACGGTTTCAGATATGATGCCCATTTTTGACTATATGAGTGGTAGATGTGAGCGAGTTTGTTGTTTAAAAGCGTGTGCTGACAGGCGCGGCTACTGAGAAAAATAATAAACAGAAATTTGTCCAAATGTCTAGCTAGCCCTTTGTGATTCGTGTGCACTACAAGTAAAAAACGACAAAATGTTTTAGAAAACCAAGGGAGAAAAATAAACGAAAAATATTTTAGCCCGGAGAGAATATAACAAAGAAACAAATTAGTAATGGAGGTCAAAATTTGCGGACTTGACCAAAAATAAAAAATAATAGTGGTTGAGCAGGTAGAGGGGCACGTGGAGAGCATATGCTTTTTTTTGGATAATCCCAACTGGCATTTTAATTGGCAGCTTATCAAACACTCGGCCATTTGTGAAGGGAATAAAAAAGTGAAGGAAAAAGGATCCGGTGTTCGGCAATGGTCGTTGGTGCTGGTGATAATGCTTGTGGCGAGTGTCATGCAATGTGAAAAGAAAGGGATTCATTAATGCAATTGGGCATTGCATCTGGCCCAGCCTGTGCACTTATAGAGAAACGTGCAGCTCGAATATTTAAGAAAATGGAAAATCCGTGTCCAATTGATCACAAGGGGGTTATGACGTAGCAACATAAATAAACGCACATATTCAGACGATCTCTGCAACCTCTGCTAATAAGGAAGACGATTAAAGGATAAAAAGAGAAATGGCGAGAGCAAGAGCAACAACAGACGCACATAAGAGAAATAAAAGGAACATAAAACCATAGCCAGCAGAAAGAAATATGGAGAGAAAAAAGTGGGGTTGCCCGATAAGAACAAAAAGCGGGTTTGCAGTTTCTAGCGAACACAGAGGAATAAAAACAGTCACGAATGGAACAGGACTAATCGTCGCATGATAACGCGCACTCTAAGCAGAAAAACGTAGTAAGCCAAAATGGCTCTTTTTTCGTTTCCGTGCCGTGCATGTCCCGCTTAGTGGTTCCACTATTGCCTTTAGTGATTCTGGTGCTAGTTCTGCTGGGCGTCACCGCTAACAATATCCACTGTCTGCATGCTGAAGAGTATAAAAATAGAGCATTTACCTTTTGGCAGGTGAAATAACGTGCGAAGAAAGTTGAAAAAGCAGCGAAGAGAAAATAAAACAGACTTGATGGCTACAAAACCTCGGGCCTCTTTGTTTTCTAAGCGGTTGTGCGCATGAGGGTATTGAGTAGATGGTGGAAAAAGGGAAATAAAGAGAAAAGGAAAATATACTTTTAAACAAGTGTTAAATAAAGTGGCACTACGTAGCGGAGTAAGGTAAGAATGAGATTGAGATTTTTGGCGCTATGATGTAGATGTGATACAAAAACTCACGGAAAAGTGAAGGGATAAAAAAAAGGAATAAATCAAAATGGAAAATGGAAAAGGCAAAGGGCGTGCTTTTATAGGCCAAAGAGTATAATGGCGGGAAGAGGGGGATTTTTTGTGTATGTGTGTGGAAGGGCTGGCCCTTTTTTATTTTTCGATTTTTTTACCCCTTCCTTTTTTTGTGTTTGCCGAGAAAGCAATGCCGCTATTGCCGAAATATGCGCTGCTGCGTTGTATGGCCGCAAAAAAGCACTTGTTTTGTTTGTCTCTGACGCACTGACAATAGAACCAAAGGTGGCCGTGATCAAGGACGTAGGATATGTTTCTTTTTTTTGCCTTGCATGCTGGCCGAAATAATAAAACAAAAGAGACTCGGCGCACATAGCAGAGTTGCCTTCTTGTTCATTTTTCAATGTACAAGGCAAACATGACGAGCAAGATAGCAAGAGTATCACAAGTGCGGTATATGGGCAGGATAAATAGATAAATAAAAGAGGGGTGGGCTACTTACCGGAAAACAGAACCACCACCCATGTATGCAGCCGTGTGAGATGACGAACAAAAACAAAAACAATAGTTTGCGTGTAAATGCACTTGTACCGTCCTTTTTTGTTATCGGCAGTGGTATTGCGCTTAATAGTAACCACGGCAAAAAAGCAATCCGATAAAATAAATAGTCGAATAACTAGTATAGTAGCAAAAAAAGATGAGAAAAAGTCATATAGATCGTACAGTCACCAACGCTAAAATATAAAGCACATTAATGTAGGGTGGGATTTAGAGTTTTTTGTTTTTTGTTTTTTTGTTTTCTGGCGATGATATGCTGTTTTATTTTGTTGGCAAATGAAAGAAGAAAAAAGCAAAGGAGGGAAAGAAAAAAGGTTAGAAATTCTTCAATATAGAGCGAAAAAACATTGATAGCAAAGGAAAAAAACCCCGACCGATCGATAGTGTTTTCGAGTACAGTTTAACATCTTTTATGAATAAAGGACAAGGGTCGCACGCTTATAAATGCGTGCAGAAAGAAGCAAGCGGACGTTGCAGCGCTGTGCCAGTGTTGTGGCGCCGCGTCCAAACACAACACAGCACAGCACAGCACAAAACAACGCTGATAACAAACGTTTGCTATTCAGGCCCTGGGCCCAGTCTCTATTTTTTTCTTTTCGAGCAAGCCAGCAAGCCAGGCAGGCCGCCTCAAGCAGCCAAGCAGGCCGACTCAAGCAGCCAAGCAGCCAAGCAGCCAGTCATGTATTTGTTCATTGCCAGGGAAATGGAAACATGTGTGGTGTGTGTGAGTTCTGCACAGATTCCCCCACCCGTTTCATATCACCGACTTTGGCTGCATGTAAAAAGCAAAAACTTGGGGAGCCGATGAGCAAATCAAGGGGGTGAAAAGACAATTTTGCACTTGTTTTTTTAACATCGGATTGTTTGTTTGGGAGTTTTGGCCTCTGCCAAAAAAGAAAATGATGGTGTTTCATAATTTTTCTCTCTTTTATTATTCTTGTTTACGAAAATAAGCCCACGCATTTCGTATATCTTGTTCGTCTTGCAGAATCCGCGCCTGCCCCTGGCTCGCTCAGAGTTTGCAGATCCTTCTTCTGTCGACTCTTCTCTGTGATCGCATTTTATTTTCTTAGTCGATGTATCAACTCGCTGCCATTTTTGGCCTTTTTTTTGGAAAGCAACAGTTTGGCTCACCGATTGTTGCTTTTTTCCATTGAATTTGTTTTTTTGGACAGAAGTGGCCAAATGCGCTCAAAGGAGCATGGACATGCCGTTTCTTTGAATTTCAGAGCTTGCAATTAAAGCGAAAACCCCAAATTCAAGCAGGCGGAATTCAAAGCACGTGTGTAACCTGTGACGAAATGGAATTCAAATGTTAAAAAGATCAACCAAGCATGCAAGGCCAGCAATTGATTTTTGGTTTTGGGCTCTTTTTTTATCATAGATCGTGCCTTACTAGAAAAAACGCCGTGTCCAAAAAAGCGTGTCAAAAAACGCCGTGTCCAAAAAAACGCCGTGTCCAAAAAAAACGCCGTGTCCAAAAAACGCTGTGCCCAAAAGTCATTTTTGGCTAATTCTGCCTTTGACATTTAAAAAAACCAATTAATATACATGGCAGCTGCGCAGCAGGCGGTGCAACGGATTTTATGCGCATATATTTATTTTATTCCAGTCGTCCTTTCATGTTGCTTACAATGCCAATGATTGCGTTGGAGTAGAGTGTCAGACGCCTCGCAGCCAGTTATGAATATTCCGTCTTTTTTCATTTAATTTTTTTCTTCAAATTTTCTGAACCATTCGGCGGATGTCCTTTCATCCACCCCTTCTTTTTTTAAACAATCCAATATTCCTTTACACTTCACCTTCTTTCCTCCCCAAAAAAAGTAAAAAAAAACGCACCAACAAGTGACCGTGGCTTGGTGGCTACGGAAACTTTAGAACATGTTCTGGAAATAATGATAAAACAAGTGCACTTTAAAAAGTTTCTGTCATAAGCTGTGCATGATATCATTCATCATCGTCGAGAGCGCTCATTCGCTCTCTCTTGGGCTGTATACACTGACACCATCTATATATTCATCCATCTATTAATTCTTGTTTGCTGCTATTAAAAATCTAAAAAAAATAGCGGTAGAATGTTCTTTCGACGTTTAAGTAACCCCAGCTGATGTAGCCTTTTAATTTCACACCAGCAGCGCCAGATCAACACGTTGACTAGAATAATTCCATAGAAGAGAACTGAGATGCATATATATATGCATGGTGTTTCCGCCAGCCAACCCCAAAAAAAAATATAATGTCGCAATTAACTGTAATACATGTTATTAAGCTAACAACGAATTAAAAAAGACATGATCGGGTTGCCACAGCGCATATGCGAGCTAACGGGCACCATGCGCTAAATATGTTTTTTTCTGCCGTGTCATCATTGCCGGCTCTTTACATAAAGTTTCTCCGCATGTACGTGGTTACCGTGTCGTAGACAACCAGAAGGATGCCGCCACCAGGGCCCAGGCGCAGAACCTTGGGCAGGTACCCCTTGTACAGCGCGCGCACGCCCTCCTCCTGGGCAATAGTCTTGACACCACCAAAGAATGTCGAGTACCTGGCAGGACCATTGGCTACATTGTGGTTCTGAATACGCGTCTTGACAACATCCGGCGGCGTGTTCAGCGTCGTTCCAATGGTGCCGCCGATAGCACCGGCGATAAAGTTGTTCACCAGCTCGCCCTTCTTGCTGCTCGCCTTCGGCATAACCTCCCTGATGGCGAAGATCGAGCCAAAGTACCCGCCATTCCACAGCGCGTGTCTCCAGATAGTCGCCTCCAGACCGTTGGCAAAGGCGCGCAAACCTTCCTGCGCGTAAATCTTGCGCACGCAATCCATTGTGCCCGTATACCTTCCGGCGTTCTCCTTAGCCTGCAGTCTGATCTTCACAAGCTCAGGCGTAGCCACAATCATCGCCTCCGTAATACCGGCGCTAACACCTGTCAAGATAGCCAGCGGCTGCGTCAGCTTCTCGCACCGAACAGCTTCATGTAGGCGGTGCCGTAGGTGTCGTTGGAGGCAAACTTGATCGCCCGCTTGGGTGCTTCGACCATGATGGGGGGCAAGATTCCGCGGTATAGGCGCGTGGGCCCTTCCTCCTTGATGATACGCGAGAATACGTCGATGATGGACTTGTACTGGTCGCTGCCCCCTTGCCCACCTGGAGCATCAGTCGGGTCTTGGCCACATCCAGCGGGTACATGCACAGGATCTCAGATACTCCGGCTATCGCGCCGGCGGCGAACTGGAAGTGAAAGGGAAGCGCTACATTGGTAAAAAAACCGAGTTTGTCAAGTTGAATTTTAATAATTGAAAAAAGAGGAGGCTAGGCAAATTCAACAAGTGCTTAGCAAGTGTCAAAAAAACAATGAAATAAATACAGTCGTAAGAACACGGTCGACTTTGGTTAACTAGGAAAAAACCACCCCCAATAAACGTACGCTTGGTCGATTTGTCACTCATAATTCAAAAAAAAAATATTTAACAAAAAAAAAGTTGTATCAAGTGAGGGAAAAAAAAGTTAACGAGTCTTGCGTTGAAACAAAGAAAACGATAAGAAAAACGGCCAAAAATATAAGGGGTGTGAAGACGCAACAAAAATATGATTATTCTCGCCCAGTTTGGGTGGAAAGAAAGCGAACAATAAGCATGGGCCATTTTGATTGTCTTTTTTTACCACGCTTGATACATCTTCATATCACCTTCGGGTAAAATGTTTCTCCCTGATTGTACCTCTCGCGTATCGATACTGACCCACACCACCACCATCGCCACAGTTTCTGCCCATGGTATCTGTAGAGTGCATTACTTAATGTCCAATCCCACTCTTGAGCAGATTGGTGCACTCCCTCAAATAAAAAAAGCAAACAGAAAAAAGTGAGACCATTGCGGTGCTGGTATTATTCAGTGATTTACCATTACTTTTTACTCTTGGCCTCACAGCCTACATGCGGGATCCGATAACAGCAATCGGTGCAAATTTTAATTCACACGTTAAAAATCAACAGTATTTTTAAATTTGCTATCAAAAGTAAAAAGCGTATATCGAAAAATAAATATATGTTACAATAGGAAAATGACATTACTATAGCCCGTTGTATGCACGCGATCAGGATATCCACTTTATCATAAGCTCATCGCCCAGCCTACGGGCCTCATTGACGCTGTTCAGGTCAAGCCGGTTACTCAACTGCATATCCTGAGTATGTGTGCGCCCTGTATGACAAACATAGAGATGTCCAGTGTTTCCGGCAACAGCTTATTGTCTTCTAGAATTACCGTGGATCCACGCCAGGGATCAAGCTCGCCGACAGTGTAATATATCTGCGTGGCATTTTGGAGAATACCAAACCACTTGTCATTGTGGCTGGCGACATCCACGGGCAGCGCAATACTGTCGTCAAAGACAGTCTGGCAGTCGGACTCCCATGTATCTGCGGTAATCAGCTGCGAGCGGTAGGATGTAAGGCCGGAGTCTGCCGGCGCTGCAACCTGCCAATCGGCAAACCACGTGCAGGAAATATAATGCCACGAGCGATACACTTGGTTCAAAGAAATATCAACAGACTCGTCACTCTGTCTCATCCGCAGGCGCCCGCTGCCAGTCTTGGATGAGTTGAACTGCATGGGTGGCGTGTATCCATCAACTATAGAAACCAGCGCCATAAGATAAGAGTCCAATGATGCGCGGTAACCATTGAAGAAGCTGCAAATGGTTCTGTCCACCATGTCATTATTTAACATCACCGGCGAGTTCACATTGGACGAGGCAATGTTTGCTAGTTGCGCGACAAAATCCTGTGTTGGCATTCCGACAATGCCGAATTTGGCCTGCATTGTATCGATAATTGTCTGGTTGCCAGAAAGCAGAATGGCGTCGAGGTCTTTGACGCCTGAGCAAATTCATCGCTACAGCCGCGTGTTTCGAGATGCTTGCCGAACGCCTGGTCGAGCTGATAAAATTCACGGTAGCTGTATACTGGGGCCGAAGATGACCAGGCGGCAGTCACCAATTCAGGATATTTGGCGCGCATCCAAGCAGCAATAGCACCGCCGTACGACCCACCGGTGAAAATAACGGTCGAGTTGGTCGAGACATTTGCAGAGGGAAATAATGTTTCTGGACTAGTTTTGGCCGCGCGAATTATCTGAGCAAAATCCTCCAATGTATTGTCCAATGTCAAGTACTTTAAGCTGGAGGCAGACAAGTCGGCCATTGGGTTGGACTGTCCGAAGAAGCGGTGCTCGACAGCAACTAAGATACCATTGGTCGATTCTGCTAACTCTGTGAAGTGCGTGCTGACTGCATACACGTCGCTGAGTTCGGCCTCGCCAGGCGTCAAAATAATAATTGGCCCACCGGGCTTGTAATATTCGTAGTTGACCATGTATTGTTGAGCCCATATGTCTGTGTTGCTTCCAAAGTGGTCGACGGTCTGGTTGAACCAACCCTCGATGGCAGAATTTTCGGAAATGTCTCTTTTAGCGAGGATTTTGACGTTGAAAATGGGACTTGTCAATGCGCTTGTCAGCACGGAAAAAGCTGCTACCAGAATAAGTGTACGAGAAATAGGAATCATCGTAAGTAAAATAAAATAATGGATGGCAGACAGTGGTTGTGGTCGTAGTTGCGGACGTGTATACTAGCTATAAACAAATAATTGCTAAATTAAACAAATATAATATAATAAGACATGTAAGAAATAATAAAAAAAAGTATCAAAACCTGCTAAACACTGTCACCGAGTTAATGAATGATGGATTAGTTTTTCTTCTACATCACCCAGTGGCCAAAAAAAACTTGTAGACTTGACAAGATGTAAAAGAAAATTTAAAAAGCACGCGTGTACATTGTACTGAAATAAAAACAAGCCAAACGTTTATAAAAAGGGGGGGGGTTTAAAAAGAATTTGTTTATTTTGGAAGGAGATTTTATTTATTGGTAGCAGCACCCTCTCAAATATTCTTCCAACAAAAGGCCAATGTATTAATTAGACAAAGAGTTAAAAATGAAAGGCTGAATTTTACTTTATTTTAAGTTTAAAAAAGAGGGAAAATGACACAACACCAAGGGAAAGTGAATGTGCACATGGTTCATTGAGCACTGTCTGCACACATTCAAATAATAATAAATGTAAAGTTTTTGAGTCGGAATAAACCCTGTTTACACATTATTATAATGGTTTGTTGAAGGCCGATAAATTGAATAAGTTTTAACATGCATATCACAAAAAACAATCTATTTATTCGTTGAAAAAACCATTAGTCAATCTTGATCGCGCCGTAGATTCGCCGAACAAAGAGGTGGCTGGCTACAAAGCCAGTGGCACCCGTTAGAACAAAGAACAGGAAGCAGGCAACAGCCATCCAGCCAAAGTAAATGACGAGTGACGCGTACGAGGCCAGACGCAGTCGAGAGAAATAAAACAGCACGCCGTACAAGAATACATAGAACGCAGATGCACCTGCAGTGTACACCGAGCGCCAGTGCCACCTGTAGTCCTCTGCGCACAAGTGAAAGTATGTCAGAAGCACAGTGACCTCGGCGGTCGTGAGAATCAGGATGATGAAGACGAGGAACAAAAACCCAAACACATAATACACCTTGTGGAACCAGATGCTGTTCATGATAAAGTACAGCTCGATGAAAATGGCACCAAAGGTTAGCACACCGCCCATCAGCGCCGAAGGGATGGGCCGGAGGTACCAAGGCTGCTCAGGGATTTGCCGCGGGATCTGGTTGACGCGCACGGGCGGGTCAAATGTCTTGCGTTTGTAGCCAAAATAGCCGCCGGCAACGGTCAATGGGATCGAAATTATAAACCACAATGCAATCACGCCAAGTAGCGTTCCAGCGGGAGCGGCCGCCGACGAGTTGGCTACCACCAGGCACAAGTTGATGACAATTAGTATGGTGCAGCACACCCCCGGAATGCACATGGCCGTGAGCAAAATGATTTGGCGCAGGGAAGTGCCGCCAAAGGAATGGTACAGGTGCGCCGCGTTGTAGCCGGCGGAAAAGCCAAAGATAATGTACAGCATCAGCATGGCGGTGCTCAGCGACCCGCGGCTAGAGGGCGAGAGGAAGCCCAGCAGTGCAATGACAAGGGTTATCAAAGCCATCCAAAACAGCTGATATCCGCTGCCTACAATGACAGCCAAATAATGGAAGTTCTGTGGCGGACGGAACACATCTCCGTGTACGAGCTTCCATCCAAAATCTTCCTGTAGGTCTTCGGCATCGTCGGCATTGTACCGGGCAATGTCCTTGTACAAGGTGCGCGCCAGTATAAGGCCGAGCATCGCGCTGAGGAAAATCACGATAACCAGCGAGTTGATCAGGCTGAACCAATGTATCTTCGGGTCCATGGCATGGAGATAGTCGTCCCAGCGAGTGGCCCACGATTTGTCAGACTTTTCCCATCTGACCGAGTATGTGAATACAACCTGGTTGTCCTTGCCCTCATGCAGGTTCATGGGCTCTATGGTATCACACGATGGTGTTGTGTCCTTCGAGTACACAGAGTGCTTGCTCTGGGGCGTGACAACAACACCGACAACACGATGATGGACGCTGTCCACTGTGTGGTACTGAACAGCAATATCATAGTGGTTATGGAAGTGCGGCACCAATTGACCCGACACAGCTGAACCAAGCTCAAAACCAACCGAATAAAACTCCTTATTCGTGCGGTCCTCAACCTTGACGGTTGCCGCGGGCAGACCATCAATCAACCAGTTGTAATTATAGCCCTTCATAATCTTGTCGTTGATAAATGCGGCATCATCTCCGGGAATGGTCTGCACACACAGCATCTGGCACGAGCTGTCCCTGAGCATCTCCAAGTTGAACATGGAGCCAAAAATGCGATCTCCAAAGAGAATGCTGCCCAGCGATTCGTGCGCAGCCGTTGGCCCGCCCTGGGGGCGGCAAAAGTGGAACCGCTCGTCGTAGTAGTTGTACGACAACACGGACTCGAGCTTGTTGTCCGCATTGAGCGAGGGCGTCAGTGAATTTACCTGTAAATCGACCTTTTCGCCAATCTTGTAGTCGTGCGGCGCAATTCCGGGGAGATAAAATGCGTCTGTTTGTTGCGAGAGCATAACCAGACTGCCAGCCAGCAAAAGCGCTGCCGCGCGCCAAAACTCAGACAACCGACTGAGTCTCATCTACGGTGAATTTGCGTCCGTGTAAAGATGTTACAGAGTATTATGGCCGAACTTGTAAAATAAGCAATAATCAAAGTAACAAAACGATAAAATGAGAATAAAACTCGACGGTCAATTAATACAAAAAATAAAATGTGCAGTACATAAAAGAGAATTGAAAGAAACAAAAACTGACGTTTGCCTTTTTTGAAACGAGGGACGAGCCAACCAAAACCGCGAAATGAAAACGCCGAGTTTTCGCATAAAAATCACACTAACAAATCCCCAACCTGCAGGGTGATTTTTAGGATTGTGTTTACGCACTTAACTTTTTATATTTTGTTAAAGGTAATACGTTAAAACCTTCGCCAAGGGTAGGACAAAAGTAGCACACACATAAGATACTCAACCATTTGCCAGCAGACACCCTCTAACCAAACAAACATTCCTATCTGCGCTACTGTTGTTATCTAGTATTTTTTGTCATCATAGGTTAAGGATGGCAAAAAGGCGACATTAGGCATATGTAAGTGGAATCGTAGCATGGCTGTAGTGTTTAACTTTCGCACCATCCTCAATGCTCTGCTTACAGGCAAGCAGCCTCCCCGTTTTTTTTACGCAAAAAGGCACTGTTCGGGCCAGATGAACCTGAGTCTACAGCGATGCCCGAGACTTTGACCGAGACTTTGCCCAAGCCAAATCCAGTCCCAATCTTCTCTTTGCAAGAAGCAGCGCAATGATTAATATCTTCAACCATAGTGGGGCTATTCATTGCCTCTAGTTTCTAAGCATGTGTTAGGCTGCTATGCAATCTGTGGAAAGGATGTTGATTTGCAGGATATTTGAATTTTTCTAGATATTTGTAGTCTTATTATTTTCTTCAGTGAAAGAGTATTAAATTATTTTATCTATTCTGATCATATTTCCGAATTGAAAAACATTATAACTGGCCACTAACTGGAGCATATATCGTGTTGGTTGTGCGTAATGTACCCGCTCTACAATCCAAAAATCTCACGCCGTATCTTCTCATACTCGCGTTGCTTCTCGATGAGCGACTCGCCTGCTGCTGACTAGTAGTGGCCGCCGATTGCTCGCCACCAGCAGGGAGTTGTCCCTTTTTTGTATCTGATTGCGATGGGCGAGCAAGCACCTTGATGGGTGGCCGAGATGGCTTCTGCTCATGCTTTACAGCAGCGGCCTCGCAGCGCTCATACCCACAATCAAATGGCTGCCACAGGGTGCGATTGGATACCGCTCCGCCTCTGTTCATGCGCGCTCTACTTGTTGGCGAGGTGGTAGTGACTTGTGTCACAGGCCTTTCGTCGACAATCAGCTGTGGCGGCGAGCTCGTCCGCTTGCTGTTGCCAGGGCAGTAAGTGCTGATGTCCAGCTGTCAGACCCATTGCTTCCCTCCTCCATCGCGTGTTATTGGTATCAAGGTAGTGAGTGATGTACAAAACAACCCTTGATTTAAAGAAGAAAAATAAGAAAAAAGCAAGAAAAAACAGTGTAGGGGTAAAGTACAGGCTAAATAGGCATATTATATACTACAGTACGGCTATTTGTTATGATACCTAATATGTTCGCTTTATTTGAAGGCTAGTTATAACGACGATGGTAGCCCATTGATAAAGTTGAAATGATTTAAACAAAGAATATTATTAGCTGGATCGCAAGCGGAAAAAAGGGAGCCAGCTGGAACTTGGAGAGTATCACATCACGTTGATCGCCTAAACATTATGGTGTAAATACGCATGAAAAAGGGTGCGCCGGAGTTCCGAGCATTTGCTTTGCTAATTTTTTTACACCAATTCTCAGGTATTTTAGATAAAAACAATTATTTAAATTGAAAAAGTCAGCAGGAAATTTGTTTGCAGATGAGGGAGGACGCAATGCAGCATGGTGGAACAGGGCATACGAAAAGAAAGATATGTTTGTAAAAAAGAACAGAAAGCATTTGATATTGCACTGGGCCTTTTGCATAAGAAAATATGTAAACACACGCACATACAAATGACACTTGTTGCCACAATGGGGACACGCAACAAAATATATTTGTCAACTTGAAAACCCCTTGCATAATAATAAAATACATTAATTTTTGTCTGCGCAAAAAATAGCCAAAAATATTTATCAATGAAATACATAGTTCTTCGTCTTTCATTTCTACTTTTAATTATTTTATAAACCAAAATAATATAATCTTAATTTCTTTTATTTATACGCGTTTTTTTGCTTGTTATTGTTTGTTTGTTTTTTTGTATCTATTGTACTTTTTTTAGTTAAAGTTTAAACATTTACATAAGGATATCAGGATATTGCGCATTTTATTTTGGTATTCTCGAGCTATCAGCACTTCCAGAGCATTCTGCACTGCAGAGACCTATTGAACAAGTGTTTGTTGCTTATCATATATCAATCCCACCACTTTCTTATTGAAACGCTTTTGTTAGTCTCACTTGTTTGTCCTTTATATTTTTCACTCGAGAACACATTACCAACAGCAAATTGCGTTTATAAACGCTAACTAAAAAAGAACATTGAATAAAAAAAGACACTTACATGTAAGTATTATAAATGGTCATTTTTTGGCCACCTGCCACCTGCCTTCTGCCACGTACATCTAGCCATCCAGTTTTATACATATATTGTGCGTATTGTCCACCTGATCAACTCTGCACATAAATGTTATTTGTGTGGCCGATAAAATGTATTATTTTACTATCTTTTGTCAATCGTTTATCGAGCACGCACAAATCAACTCTAAATATGCACAATATCGAAAATATTTTTCTCATGGGTCTGTATTTTTTTATAAAATGATAGCATATGTGTTGGTATCAGCTATTTGTAAAGTCAAATAAAGTATTTTGTTTATTGAATCCGCTCTAATTGTCAGATACGTCAACACTTTCCGGTGCTCTCTGCTTTATTTGTTGCTTTAACTCGATCAAAACAATGTATGCTAAATGCATGTGCATTTTGCTTGCATTATTTATCTCCAAGAAATAAAAATCACTAACAAAAATACATGCCCAATATTGCTCTCAGGCAACATTATTATTTTTTGGCCCATTTGCATCTGCTCAATATCAAATTAAAAACTTTCATTATAATCAATATAGGACCAAACTTGAAAAATCAAATTTCTGTTGTTTCGTTTTTTTCTCATTTGTATTTTTTGAAAACAATGCTCAGATAAGCACACGCAAGCATGATTATTAGTTATTTTGTCGTGATGATGGCTAAATGCACAACGTATTTGTTGGGTTATTTCTGTGAGCGCCGATACTTATTCTGCTCTGCTTGCAGCTGAAACATCCTTCTCACGCGTTTTATGGAAATATGTGCGCTACACAAATTCATTGTTGCTTCCCCTCCCCTTTTTAAAGACCATGCCACATTGGATGCCTGTTGACCTATACAACCAACATTACACACACACTTATCTTTTTCTTTTTTCTTTGCTGGCATTATTTTTTGTCTCATTATTTATTATTCTGGGAGTGTGCAGCATATCGTTTTATTGTTTTATTTTATTTTTAGTCATAAAATTGTAGACTTGTAACGCTGTAAATCCACCCTGCTGCGTTATATTTTCGCACTTTCACACGTTCAGTTTTTTATTCAGTTTGCTGTATACTTTATTTATTGTGGAGTATTATTTACTCGGTATTTAATAATGTCATCTAATCAACCATACTCACCTTTTATGTCTCATCGCTTCAACATGAACCTGCTGGTCAGGCCCTTTTCCGCGCACATCAAACCCGCACATGTCACCGCCTCCATGTCCCCTTGGCTGAACGAAACACTTTTTGCAATAGGATGCCAAGGGTTCATACCGGAAGTGTAAAGTTTTTCGACTCCGGAAAGGGTTTTGGATTTATTATCCCTCACAGGTCCATTGACGGGAATGCCGAAGGTAAACTTTTGATTTAAAACTTTCTTATTGTCATGTCATGTCATGTCAAAGATAGAGATAATTTTTATATACCCAACTCTCTTTGGCAAACTCTTGGTGTTTGAGGGTCGACAATATTTATCAATCAATTTATCAGCACAAATATCAACACTTCTTCTGGCGCCTATTGTCTCAATTGCATACTGCCACGTGTAGTATTCGTGCACCATACAGTCATCCACAACAAGGGCGGCTTCAAGAGCCTGGCCGAAGGTGAGGTGGTCGAGTTTAACGTGATCAGCGGTCCAAAGGGCTGCAGGCAACGCGGGTGACCGGCCCAAACGGCTCTTTTGTGCAGGGCGAGCGGTACCCTCGATTTAGGCCAAAGGAGCTCGAAGGCAATGCTGACAGCGCTCGATCAGTGGCTGTTGGCCCTTATTTTGGTTACCCTCACTACCCACTGCCGCCAATGCAAGCCAATTACCCACAAGTTATAGCTTACAGTAACCAAATGGCACAGTCGGACTTTGGTGTATTTGCCTACCCGGGTGTACAATCGGGAAACCTGGGGTTTATGCTTCCCCAGCCGACGCCTACTAATTCTTTCGCCGAAGAAAACTCGCACGCTCAGCCATCTATTACACAACAGTACTACAGCACAGGTCTACCGGCGTATTATCCGCAGCAGCAGCAGCAGCAAACGGTAATTAGCGCTCCGTTTGCTAGACAGATGCCAGAGCTGTACAGAACGTCGGCGTTTACGTCGCAGCCAGCTATAACCACAACAACGATGTCGTACACCGTGCCGAACAACTACCCAGCTTCGACCATGTCCCATCAATCTCAGGAGTTTACGGCATCGTTTAGTCGCAAGAGCTCGGGACTCTCGATGGCACAGCCGAACTCCAGCGTTCAACTTTAAAAACATTAATCCTTTTGTTGCAGTTGTAGCCATACATACCAAATTTCAGAATTTCTATACTTTCTATACTTATTTATTTATAAAAAAATCAAATGATCATTTCACCTTCTTCCAGCTCGCTGGAAAAGCCAGCCTCCTTGACACCAAACTCCAAGTCCTTGTCGACTTTGAGCCCCTTGGCAGGAGCTCCAACGCTGGCATCCGACATATACCCATTGGGGCTGCGCGAGCGCTTCCGAGAGTCCATGTCCCGGCGCTTTTTGCGTTGCTCCTGCTTCTCCACAAGGCGGATAATAGCCTGATCGAACACACTCTGGCACGCCTGCGGATCATTCACGTCCCGGTACTCGGGCAAGCGTCCAATGCGGGAACTTTCAGAGTCCCACTTGGACTCAATTTCGAGCGGAGGAACTAGATCATACAACGCATACTTAAAGTCATCAAGCAAGCGACGGCGGTGACGCAGCGCACGTTCCTCTTCTTCATCCTTCCTGCGCTTGGCCTTCTCGACTAGCTGCTGATAGACATGCTCCATGTAATTTTCCGTCACGCTGCAGTGCTTGTCAGCAGCAAACTGCTGCACATCAGCTAAGGGTGTGTCCACCTGCATTCTGAACCCGTGGTCACGCATGACGGTTTCTAGGCGCCTGCGATCACGGTACACATCCTCGTTGAGAAGCTCGACCTCATCCCAGAAAAGCTCCAATGGCGTCGATCCAGGCTCGCCAAGCATCCCGATGTATCGTGGGTCTGATTTGATCAGCGGGTAGAACTCGGTCCATGTGCTTGTCGGCGTAATTTCAGAGCGGTGCTCGTCTAGCAGCTTGCGGAATCCGTCGCGGGCCTGGCGTTCGTGCCGGCGCGCAGCATCTTTATCCTTTTGGCGCATCTCGGAATCGCGTTTCTCTGCGTCCAAAATGGCACGTTCAAATGCATCCATCAGATCAAGCATGCTCAATCCCAGCTCCGGATCAGCTGCATCCGCGTCCTTCAATACATACAAGTGGTCTAGCGGCAAGTGTGTGGGGCAGCTGTCAACGCGCAAAATAGGCATGAGCGACTTTTGGAACCTGTTAACGAGCTTCACTTTCACATCCGCCCACTTGGATCCAAGTGACAAATCCTTGAGGTACTCTTCCACCTCGCTCATTTTCTCGTTGCGTGCCCGACGCCGTGTCTCCTTCAAGCTGCGTACGCGCTGTTCCAGGTACTCGTCGAAAAGCCTGCCGCGCTCTGTATCTGTAGGCACAGCGATAAATGCTGGGAGTTCCTTGGCCATGTGCTGGATCTTCTTGAACCGCGTAAACTCGCTGATCGGCAGAGTGTCGAGCATAGCAAAATAACTCTCACGCCTCTGTTTCTGCTGCAAGAGGTGCTGCTCGCGCTCCTCTTCGCGCGCCTTGTCAATATACTTGTGGAACGCCTCTTTGCGCTCGTGGGTTGTCTTCAGCGCCCTGTAGTCGGCGTCATTGACTACCGCACGCAGGGTTTGCTCCCATGTCCAGTCGCCGCCAACTTTGTGGGCCTTGAGAATGTTGAAAAACGCTTGTTCGGCTTCCTCCAGGGTTTTGTATTCGCGACGCGCCGGCCGCATTGACTCCAGGCCTTAACAGGAGGGACAGGTGGCGGGGGTCTCAATAATGAGCGAGGCCAGCAATGCTTACCGGCGGGTGCTCCGGCATCGGCTGCAAGGCCACAGGTGGTGTGGCTGAGACTGGAGTCAAAATAGACATGGATGTCAACCTCGTTGCTGGAGACATCTCTGCATTTGACATGGCGGATGATGCCTGCTGATTTGGGCTTCCTTGGCTCGGGACCACCCAGCTCATCGGGCCTGGTCCAAGTTGATTTTTTGGTCACAATGTTGAACCAGTACGCCCGGCCGTCCTTCGCATACTCTTCCATACAGAGTTACGCTCCAGCTGCGATTTGAACTCGTCCGGCTTTTCCCACTTGGTGACTCGCGTTTCCCGGTTGTAGTAGTAGATGCGGCCGTCAGGCGTTGAGTACTCAGCCCACGCAGACGCGCTGTTTCCCCCAGCAGCTGGAGAGACCGGCAGACTATGTCTGTCACTGGGTGTCATTATTAAATAAATGAAAATGAAAATGAAACCAATATTTAAACAAAAAAGAAGCAGAGACAACTTCGGGGATCAGGGGTTTTTTTCAGTGCCATCGCGCGTAGAAAAAATCGAAACAAGCTCAAATATTTTTGCACTCTGGCAAAGCGAGTTTGATTATAAATTGGGATTGTATCAAAACAAATCACGTGTAAAAATTCAAATCGCCCAAGAGTCCTCGGCCACCGCGTCGAACGAATCGGCTTCGATGAACGGGTCGGCTATGGACTTGATCATGGCCTCTCCGCAAAGCACGCACTCGCCAGCCACCAGTGCATCCATCTGCTGCTTGGTCTTCCTCAGCTGCTGCTCGAGCTGCTCGTCCGTCTCCTTGACGCCGGTTTTGGTTTTCCCGACCAGCGGCGTCAGGCGCAGATGCCTCCGCTGCTTTGTAATCTCGACACTCTGGTTCTGCAGCTCATGAATGCGTCTGCGCTGTACGCGGTTGCACGTTCCAACCACTCTGCGCGTCAGGCAGTCGGCATGGAACGAGTGCTGGCAGGGGAACACATAGAACTGGCGCAGCCACAGCGGCTGCGAGCACACATGGCAGGTTTCCTCGGCACTAAGGATGGCGAAGCGGTTCTTCAGACTCGTCATGTCGCGCTGCATGGCCTCGGCTGTCCGAGTAGCCTCGTCCATCTCTCCCCTCAGGTCTTGGATCTGCACCTCGTAGTCCTCCAGGGCCACGCAGATGTCGTCCTTAAAGTCATCGACGCGTGTAAAATCAGGGAAAAACGGCAGAATGTCCTCGACTCCTAGCCGGTTCGACCGCCGCACTAGCTCCATGACCATTGATGCCGGCTCCTTAGCTTTGATAACATGCTGCGCAATTTTAAGCCACAGCCGCTTGCACAGCTTGTCATCGTCGGGCCGCTCAGCATGGATCTGTGCAAGTTCAATGTCGCCCTGCTTGAGCGCAAGATCGACTGCATCCTCGTACAGCTTGAGGAGGCTGTACAAGTGGACGCAGCTTTGGATGCGCCCGAAACGCTTGCACATACGCAGCGCATAGTCAGGATCGTACAGCATGTCCTTTCCGTACGTGGTCAGGAACGACATGAGCTCAGACTCATTGTCTGTGGTGGACTCCTTGACCAGGAGCGTGAGGTAGTAGTTGTAAACAACCAGGTTGCGGCACTTTAGCCTCTGGATGCAGAACCGCAAGTATTTGATCGCCTGGTTGACGGTGTTAGCTGTGCCGTCCTCGTAGCGCATAAGCGCCGGAATCAGCTTGTTGGGCGTCAAGTTGGGTTGGCGCATCAGGATCTCGACAAGCGCAGCGGGCTCGGCGCTCATCAGCGCTGGCGAGTACTTGTAAAACATGTCTGGGGTCCCGTAGTGGCCGAGCACTTCGATCACCCGGATGTGCTCTTCCTTCTCCATCCAATACTCGACCACCTTCTCGTAGTCGCCGCGTAGCGACGCGTAGTGCAGCCAAAAGTCCCGCCGGCCATGGCTCTCAGCCAGTTGGTATGTCGTGGCCGGATCCACTGCCGCCTTGTGCTCAAGCACCAGCGCATACAGCTCCTTCAGCAGGATGTCCTTCTCAAGCTCAAAATTGGCCACTGTGCTCGGGCTCATTGGCGATCTCGCCACGGCATCGGTTGCGCCGACCGAGGCTATCTTCGCGTCCACCGCGCCAAGCATGCTGAGGTATATTTCAATTAGCCACATCACCAGCAGCGTGTTCTGCGTGCGGTCTTGCCGCCGGAGTGTGCCCAGCTTGGTCAACAGGTAGCTCTTCAGCACGCGATTATCTTTTTTCTCGACAAACCGCAACACAGCCTCTTCAAAGGTCACCGATGTGCGTGCAAAGCACTCTGCAGACTGCACGTACTGCCCGACGCAAACAGGTGCTCTGCCTGGGCTCGCAGCACTTTGTCGCGCTGCGAGTCGTTGTAGCAGTGCTTGAGGGCGGCGTCAAACTGGCGACGGGAGAGGTAGATGTCCCACACGTCGCGATCCTCGTCGGTCACCACAAGCTCGTAAATGTTTGACGGCGAAAACAGCCAGCACGTCCGCTTGGTCTCGTCGACAGTCAGGCCCTGCAAAAGCTCCCCGGACGCGCCTCTGGTGTTTACGAATTGCTCAAAAATCAGCTTGCTGTTGAGCATGCTGAGCGCGCGGATGCAGTCAGAATACTGCAGCAAGATGTGATGCTCGGTAACTGCTAGCGACACGGGCTGCTCTGTGACAGTGTCATCGCCACTGGAGTTGTCCTCGTTTGCTACCGATGGCGCGGATGGTGCAGAAGGATATGGAAGCAGCGACGCGTTCTCTACAACGCTATCGCCGGACTCTTGGCCAGCAAACGTCAGGCCGCCAAAAAAAACGCCCATGGATGTGAGCCAGGCAAAATCCGTGGCAACCACCTGAACTCGGGCGCCGTCCCGTACATTTCGATGGTGCACACCCAGCGCCCCAGGTCCCGGCATGCCGGGTATTTCCTGAAAGTTGGGCATTGCCAGGCCGTCCTTGAGCATGACCTCAAATACCGCAGACTTGTCGCCCGAGGAGCGCGACTCCAAATCTGCCGCACCAATAACCTGGTACAGACGCGTGCCGGTCGCAATCAAGACAAGATGCTGCTTTTTCCGCGCAGGAAATGCCTCCATGGCTATCCCTGTCACCCTCTCGCGCACTGGCAGCTCGGCAACGCAGCGCACTGGAATATCGCTGCGCTTGGCCTTGGTGTCATTGCCCGGCTGCAGCTCTGTCTCGTATATTTTGCCGTCATGCGTGCCCACCAGCACCGTGCCTGTTGAAGATTTGGCCGTCGACCATGCCATTCCGTTCCACGCAACCGCAGTGATTTCCATGTTTTTGAACTTTGACAGCGGCTTCATCTGCTCCCAGCCCTCGTAGTAGTAGAAGCTATCGCCCTGCGGCGTCGACAAAAGCAAGTGTCTCCCCGTAGGATCCAAAAAGGCATTACATGTCTGCAGGACTGTCGGATTCAGTGGTATGTCGGCCTCGAGAATGTTGTGCGCCTCTTGCAGCTTGATGCGCAATACCTTTGCGCCCTCGATTATGAGTACAAGAACGTCGTTGGACACGGCCAGTGATATAATTTTGTTGGGCACCTGGAACTGCACAGTGTCGAGCGAAAATATCGGCACATCCTCGGTTTCTAATGTGGTCGCAATGTACCCGTCGACATCTGAGGTCAGGGCATTAGCCCCAGATGTTGCCAATTCGCCCTGGCGGGTGCTGGCGTAAGAGCTTGAGACAACTCCTGCCATGTCACCACTGTGTCGCCGAGCCGCGGATTCGTACTCTGCGTAATCGTCTAGAAGCGACATTGTGTGTCAATTGAGAAAATTAGTTGAAGAAAATAAATTTATGTAAAATAAATAAAAAAAAATGGAGGAACGGAAAAGGAGAAGCGGCCTTAAAAAGTTAAAAATCAATTTGTAAATATCATCATCAAATCACACACTCCTCACGTCATCATCATTTTATTGTGCCTTTGTGACAACAGTGGATTCAACCGCATTTTCATCGCGTACGTCTGCGCCTTTGGAGTAGTCACCGAGCTCTGCTAACTTTTCACGCAAATCGCTTTGGCACTCCGCCAGCACTTTCGCCTGGTCAAACTGCGATATGCTGATTCCGGGAAGCGACGCCACGGTTGCCCGCAGTCGGTCCATGTGTTGTGTAATGGCATCCATCTTGCGCGCCAGCTCGGCCCGTTGTTCGGCGCTGTCGACACACAGATCAATCAGCTCGGCACTCTGCTGCAGCAGAGTAAAGTCGCTTGGCTGGAGCTGGTCCATTATGCTGCCGAAAAATTAAGATAATAAAAGTACGGCTGTTGTGCGGACAAAAAAATTGAAAGGAAGAGATGACGCTGTGTGTCCCGGGCTAATTTTTTGAAGCCTTACGCTGGGTGCGCCAGGGTCTCGCTGGAATCTGCGCCGGCTGTGCGCAAACATAATGATGGGACAGGGTAGCGCCGCTGTCACGAGACTGCTAAATGTTTAAAAAAGTTGAAAATGATTGGCTCGCTTCCACCCCCTCATCCTGGGTTGAAAGCATTGTTTTTTGTGAAGAGAAGCGCACATCATCCCTCGCACTTCTTTCTTTCTGCATTTAGTATTTAATTGTTTTGTTAACTTTTGCTGTCCACCAAGTTAATTCGCCTCATTTGATCGTTTTGATAGCAATACAATGCCAGAGCCCGACGCTAGCTCGCCACTTCTGAGCAGCAGCAACATCAGCAGCAACATCAGCAGCAACATCAGCCGCGACGGTGAGCGCGAGCTACACAGCTTTGCTGGCCAGAGAGCAGGGATTTCTGCCTGGTGGAGGTCGCGGAGTCGCGATGCGCTCTCCCTGCTCACGGTTCTCCTGTTTCTTGGAATTGGCCTGGGGATCTGGGTCTACGGAACCCTGCCCACATCCGACCAAGACGAGCACCCGCATGAGTACGCTCTGAGCACGGGCCGCATTCGCGAACACCTAACACGTTTTTTGGATATTGCAGGGAAGCACAACAACTCTCGGTCAGTCACCAACGGACACGCAGCCAGTGCTGAATACGTCATTTCGCAACTGCAGACTCATGGAAATTGCGACGTTCACGTGCAGCATTTCAAGTCGCCCGTGTGGACGGTCCGGGAACCCCGCGGCTCGAGGTCAAGGGACCAGTGGGTATTGATTACATTTTTGGAACAGACTTTCAGGTGATGCGCTACGGCGGGCAGGGCGCAACATTACGAATGCCAAGGCTGTTGCGGTTGGCGGCAACGGATGTGTGGCCGATAATGTTGGCAACGTTGCAGGCAAGGTTGCAGTTCTACGGGAGAGCAGTGGGTGCTCGATATTCGAATCCGCATACATGCTCGAGAATCTGGGAGCCAAGGCGGTGGTCTTTGTGCGCTTGCCCCGGTTCAAGAGCCCGTCGACGGCGCGTGTGAGAATCACCGACTGGAAGGAGGGGGACCCGCTCATGTCGATTCCTGTGCTCTCGGTGACCAGTTCTGTGGGCCAGCTGCTGCTGAGCACCGAGATTGCCGCCCAGCTTAATATCGAGACCGACACGAGCATCGACATTGTCAAGACATTCAATGTCATTTGCGTTGGGCGTACAGGTGACTCATCCAGCACGGTCTTGGTGGGCTCGCACTTGGATTCGGTTGCCGCTGGTCCAGGAATCAATGACAATGGGTCGGGCTCGGCCTCGACGCTGGAGATTCACCTGACGCTTTCCAGGATTGAATTTAAGCCACGCAACCGACTGGTATTTGCGTGGTGGAGTGCCGAGGAGGATGGACTGCTGGGGTCACGTCACTTTGCTCGCGCATTGGCTCACGGCTGGAAGAACCGGTGGTCTGACGATGAGCCCGTGGATGTGCGCTGGGAGGACATTGCGCTGAACCTGAACTTTGACATGCTTGCCTCGCCCAACTACATTGCACAGGTGCACAACGGCACAGACGCGCCAGAGAACGCACGCACGGGGTCGAGGCACATCCAGCGCGTGTTTGAAGACTTTTTTGGTCGCCATAACTATCCACACCAGGTTACCGACATGCTGGCCGGGTCAGATTTTGTGCCGTTTATTGATAATGGCATTCCAGCTGGCGGCGTGCTCACTGGTGCTAGCGAGATCAAGTCAATTGAAGAGCGCCGCACGCATGGCGGCTTGGCTGATGCTGCTCTGGATACGTGCTACCATCGCGACTGCGATACTCTGCTCAACATTAACATCGACGCTCTTGGAAAGATGTCTAAGGCTGCTATGTATGCTATTTCTACACTGAGCAGAATGCCAAATCTTCGCGATGAGCTGGCAAAAGAATTTTGAGATGTTTTGCTGAGCCTTGCCTCAGTAAATTCTAGCTATGCCAATTCTAAATTGATAGATAGCCAACAAGTAATTATTGATGTTTATGTTGAAAGCTGAAAATAGCAAGAGTAACTAATTGTTTTGCCTAATTGAATGTAAGGGCTCATACAGCCAAATTTACCGATGCATTGGCAAGTTTTTTAAATAAATTTTTGGCTTAGCTAATGTCAATAATAATATCCTGTTGATGCACACCACAATTATAACAAGCCAATGATGTTCTTGATTTTCGAATTTTTCGCTCAAATGAAGCAAACAATTACAATGCCCTAATTATGACCACATGCAACATCAATAGTTATTGTTTGTCGTCAAAAATGTATTCCGTTTATTTTTGGTACCAAGTGTAAACCCAATGTAGGTTTGCAGACATGAACACAAAATAAATTGGTCATTTGGCAACTGATTATGCTAGCGCATAAGCTCGTGTTTTCCAATTTACGCGTAGATACAAGAGAAAATCATATCATTTGAGCTTAAAATTTGCCCAGCAATTACGGCGGAAAATAAAATACTTCAATTCTACTCAATAAATTGCCTTTTTAATTTTGTGCGCGTAAACTTCAACGCTTTTTATATTTATCGACGCTTTATAATGGAGATCCAAATTGCCGACGAGCCTGCAAACGCAACTGTAACCGCAACCGCCAATTTTAATACCCCCGCGCTTAGACTCAAGCGCAAGCTAACTGTCGAGTACCGCACTCTCAGCATCCAGATGGGCATGCATAACCAGAGCCGTTGCCAGCGCCCTACTGCAAGTCAGTCTTTTTTTGCAAAGCTTCAAATGTGGCTGTACTGCAAGCTGCACATCCATGGTGCACATCCTCAGCACCAGACCGACTACAACGACCAGCAAAACAAACTTAATTCAAATGCTGATGAGCTGAGCTCGCTGAAGTTCCATCTGGATACCGTCAACCAAACTCTGGCAAAATTTGGCACTAGCCTGATTCAGGGGCTCGAGGACCCAGCAGTCAAGCGCAGACGCGAGCGCGACGGTCCCAATACGCTCAGCAGCCCGCCCAACTGCATTTTACTGAAGATTTTTGAATGGCTGTTTAGTGGCTTTTGCCCCTTGCTCTGGATTGCAGCTATATTTGTATGGATTTCGTGGAAACCGCTGGGCAAACCCCCAACCCGCAGTACCTTGCTCTTGGTGTTGCAATTTTTATTGTCATTGCGCTGCAGGCATCATTCAGCGCGTGGCAGGAGTGGACTACGTCTCGAGTCATGGCGTCAATTAGCACTATGCTGCCCGCCGAGACCATGGTTATTCGCAATGGCGAGCTTGTCAAAATTATTGCTGGCGAGCTTTTTCAGGGCGACATTGTTCGCGTTCGCGGTGGAGACAAGGTACCTGCCGACCTGCGCCTTATTGAGGTTACTTGCGATCTGCGTTTTGACCGATCGATGCTAACCGGTGAGTCCGACGCCACTGTGGCCACGGTCAGCTATACAGACGAGAATTATTTGGAGACCCGAAACATTGCCGTCATGGGCACGCACGTTACGCAGGGCTCTGGCATTGGCATTGTGGTTGCCACTGGCAACAGCACCGTCATGGGCCGCATTGCACGCATGACTGCAAGCAAGAAACCTGAGCGAACTCTGCTGCAAATCGAGATTACACGCTCTGTTACCATTGTCACCATTCTATCGCTGCTGGTAGGCGTCACACTGATTATCATTTGGGCTGTGTGGCTGCAAAAGAGCTTTCCAACTTTTCTTTTAATTTCTGACGCACTGGCCAACAGCGCTGGCGTTATTGTGGTATTTGTTCCTGATGGCCTGCCCATATGCCTCACGCTCACCCTGACCCTCATTGCCAAGCGCATGCAGCGTCAGAATGTTTTGGTCAAGAACTTGACAACGGTCGAGACGCTCGGGTCAGTCAACGTCATCTGCTCGGACAAGACCGGGACCCTGACTTGCAACCGCATGTCTGTTGTCAACGCTGGGTTTCTAGACGCAGTTTTTATTCCCGACGCGCTCAGACAACAGCGTGTCGGCGGGAAAGGCTTTACCGCGGCTCAGCGCCTTTACGAAACAGCCGCCCTTTGCAACAGTGCTTCCTTTGACTCGGCAACAATTGGCCTGCCCATTGACGAGCGCAGCATCATTGGCGACGCGACTGACTCCTCTATCCTGCGCTTTGCCAAGAATATATGTCCGGTCAGCCAGCTGTGTGGCGAGTATTGCAAGTTGTTCGAGGTGCCTTTCAACTCAAAAAACAAGTGGATGCTCTCACTGCAGCAGAATGTTGTGGCCAGCAACAGCGTGTCGTTGCCACAACCGCCCCCACTGCTGCTGGTCAAGGGCGCACCCGATGTGCTCCTTCCACGCTGCTCGACTGTTCAGGATTCCAGCGGCCAGATCCACCAACTCAACACGGAAAACATAGAGCGACTGCAAGGTCTGCAGTATCAGTGGTCGGGACTAGGACAGCGGGTACTGATGCTGTGTCGACGTGAGTTTCCGGACACCAACTCCTTTGCTAGACTCGAGGATAACCAGGCAGAGCTTGAGCGAGTGGTTTTTATTCACAACTGCAACCTGTGCGTCGTTGGCCTTGTGGGCATCGAAGACCCGCCCCGCAAGGAAATACCGCATGTTGTTGACACATGCCGCCGGGCTGGCATTCGCGTGTTTATGGTGACTGGTGACTTTGCGCTGACGGCCACAGCCATTGCTCGCCAGTGCCACATAATTACCAACGACAGAGTGGACACTATTGAGGACGTGCATGCTGGATTGCTGAAGTGCGTGCAGAATACGTTTGCCAGTGCCGCGAACAACATGTTGCCGCTGGATAAAGACAGCTCGTCACCGGTGTCAGCAGTCACGCGCCATGAGGATAAAGTCAGTAGTCTGGTATTGTCTGAAAGCGAGCTCAACAGTTTGCAAAATGAGCACTGGGACATCATCTGCGCTTACGGCGGAATTGTGTTTGCACGCACAACGCCTGAGCAAAAACTGCGCATTGTGCAAGAGCTGCGCAGACGCGATTATGTTGCAGTGACTGGTGATGGCATAAACGACTCAGCAGCACTCAAGGCAGCACATATCGGTGTGGCTATGGGCGGCGGCTCAGAGGTAGCCAAGGAGGCCGCCGATATGGTGCTTCTGGACAACAACTTTGCCTCTATTATTGTCGCTATTGAGAACGGACGCCTGGTGTTTGAGAATCTAAAGGTGCTCATTTATCTCATGCCCGCAGGCTCGTTCTCCGAGTTTATTCCAATGCTTTTGAACATGGTTCTGGGCGTGCCGCTCCCTCTGTCTGTCATATTCATGGTTCTTATCTGCATGCTCACAGACGTCTGGGCCAGCATCTCGCTGATGTACGAGTCTTCCGAATCTGATATTATGCTTCGTGCGCCACGCAATCCCAAGAGAGAGCATCTAGTTGACCTCAAGTTCTTTGGTCAGGCGTATGGTTTCATTGGTCTTCTTGAGGCATTGTCTGCGCACATCATATTTTTTGTGTTCATGTACTGGCATGGCGGCTTTACACCTGGAGATTTGTTTTTGGCATTTGATAAGTGGACTCTGGGCGATTTTCACGGCAAGGATCAGGCCACACTCAACTTGCTGCTTCGCACCGGGCAGTCAATCCATTTCTTGACACTGGTTATATTGCAGTGGGGCAATATGTTTGCCACTCGCACTCGGCGGCTGAGCGTTTTCCAGCAGAACCCCTTGTGGGGGCCAACTTGCAATCTCAGGCTTTTGGCCGCCATTCCTTTTACATTGGGCGTGGTGTTTTTATTTTTCTATGTCGGCTGGTTTAACCGCATCTTTGGCACGGCGCACATCCCTTTACCATTCTTCTTTATTCCTATTCCATTTGCACTCTTTATCTTGTGCATGGACGAGCTGCGCAAGCTTGTTGTGCGCACCCGTCCATCCAGCATAATGGCCAGGGCTTCATGGTAAATATCTGACAATTAGTTTATTATAACTAGTTTTTATATACAAATTTATAGGCTGCCTAACAAACCAGATTTATACATGTATTATGTGCAAAAAGTGATAAGTAACCTGCGTTTTGCTTTGGGAAAACACAGCCAAACAAAATAAGTCATTAATATTTTTTGCTGCCAATATTTTAATTGCAAAAGCATTATCACAAAAGTCTAATTTGAAATTAACTATCAACTAAAACTGCATATCTATTCCAAGGCTGCTTGCTGCAAGAGCAATTTCCATGACTCCCGCAGATGTTCCTCGGGAAGCAACCTCCCAATAAGGACAAGCTTGTATATCGATTTTACATTGTCAGCACCTGATGCCGGTGAATGTTTCTCAGGAACAACAAATGAATCGTACATCTCGCGCACGCCCTGCACTACAACAGTGGCTTGGTCGACTATTTGGTCGCCACCAACAGGTGTAAAGTCTGATGCTAAAAGAAGCGCCTTAAGTCTGAGCATCTCCATTGCAGTATCAGTGCTATTTCCACCTGGAACACGCGAGTCCCACAGGAGCTCCTGGATCCACTCGTCGACCTTGGGCCAATGCAGTCTCCCCGGCGCCTCGAGTGCCATGGTGCTAATTGTTTTGTCAATATGGTGGTGAGAATGGGCGTCTCTGACAAAGGGCAAAGTCTCTGGGCTGATGTCCGCATAAGCACCGATGCTCAATATGGTATTCAAATCGACCCTTGCAAAAGAGGAGCGATAGACTTTGGCCGTCCCATTTATGTTTAAAACCATCGCCTCGATGTCCAGCAGATCCTGCTCCCCGACCAAATCCGTCTTGTTCAGCACAATTCGGTCGGCAAACGCCACCTGCTTCTGCGCCTCGTTCATATTTTCGCCCGACAGTGCTTTCTCTTCCAACTGCCTGTGGATGTTCTTAGCGTCAACCATGGTCACTATGCCGTCCAACCTGATGTCACTTCCCAGCTCTTCGTTGGACCACAGCATAGTGGCTATATTTCCAGGATCTGCCAGGCCGGTGGTTTCCAGAAGAATATAATCGAATTTGCCCTTGCGCTCCATTAAAGACTCAATGGCCTTGAGTCCCTTGTCCTTGACTGTGCAGCAGAGACAACCGTTTTTCAAGTCCAACCATTCTTCGACCAACTCGCCGTTGTTAACCGAGGTGAACGACTGGTCGATACCCTGGGAGTCGCCAAACTCGTTCATAATTACGGCTATACGCTTGCCGTGCTCTTCTGTCAAAATGTAGTTGAGCAGTGTAGTTTTTCCGGATCCTAGATATCCGGTGAGAATGGTTGCCGGGACGATCTTAGTATCGTTGCACTCAACACTGGGCCCATCGGCGCTAATTTTGCTAACAGTCGAGTTCTCCTCGAAGCCCAGTGCCTCAATGAGCTCAGGGATTTCGTCGTCCATATTTGTGCGTATAGTGAATTTGAAATTAAAATTAAAATTTAGAAGTAAAGGAAAAGAAAATTTTTTGTAGAAAGAAAAGAAAAAAGAAAGATGACGGTTGAAAATGATCCAGAATCAACCTGCGCTGAGATGCAAACAAAATCTAGGGGCGACGTCATTGGAAAAATAAAATATTTTGTAAAAATTTGAAAAAGAAAATTATTATTTTTGTCACAAAACATTGATCGCAAAAGCTCAGTTACCGCCCCAGTTGAAAAAGCCGGCATTCCGGCCTGTGATCTTCTCCTCGGTAACCGTGGTGGCTGCATGCGCATTGCCGCCTCCGCCGCGCAGGGGCTTGGCGATCCTGCTAAAGCGCAAAACATTGTTGCTTGTCGGCTGCATGGCCGACCGCGAAGCGTCGTGGCTGCGGATGGCATTAGCCTCCTCGTACTTGCGCTTCCAGCTCTCAGCCTGGTTGGTCACATCCTGGATGCGCTCCTCCAGGTACTCAATACGCTCAGTGCGTGCGTTCAGCTTGCGTTCCGACAGAGAGACCTGCTTCTTCAAATCGGTGTTTTGCACAACAAGCTCCTTTTGCATCAGCGTCAGCTGCGCGACGTTCTTCTCCAGGAGCTGCATGCGCTGAGGCTGGCCGGGATTGCTGACACGGCGGGTGAGCTGCGAGACTTGGCTGCGCGACTCATCCAAAGCCATCTCGAGCTCAATGATCTTCTCACATCGGTTCTGCACGTCACGCATAAGCGACTTGCGCATGGTGTCGTACTCCATGATGCGCTGGGCCATGTCGCGCCGCATAATGACCATCTCGCGCTCCTTGAGCATCGCGTGCTCGGTCGCGGCGGCAGCGGCAGAGTCACCGCCAATGGAGCTGCCGCCGGTGGTCGTGGCGCCGGCGGCAGAGGTGGCCGTGGCGAGAGAAGCGCTGAGGCGGGTCTTCTCCTCGACCAGCGCGTCGATTTTGGACTGGAGCTCGCGGTTCTCGCTGCGAAGCTCGCGGATGGCCACGTTGCTCTTGGTAATCTCCTCCTGGCGGCGCTGCAGGTCGGCCTGGGCGGCGTCCAGCAGGGTCTTCTGGTTGCTGATCTTGCTGCTGTAGTGCTCCTCGAGCTTCGCTCGCAAATCGTTGATGCTCTCCGTGTCGCGGTTGGTCTGCTGCTCCTCGGCAACAATGGTCTGCTCAAGCATCTCCTCATACTCTGACAGCAGGCGCTCGTATTTGGCGTCAGTTTCGGTGTAGCCCTTGAGCAGCTTGTCGTTCTGGATGGTCAGCTCAAAGATGGTCTCCTCCTTTTCCTGCAGGAGATCCTGGCAGTCGTCGAGCTCGCGGCGCATATGCGTCATCATCTCGACCTTTTTACTGTCGTCGTCGCCGGCCTCCACCAGCGAGCGCAGCAGCTCGCCCATGCCCGCCTCATGCCGCGACATTGCCTTTGTCGAATCCAGCTCGTTGAGCATTGCAGCAACCCGGGAGGCGCGCTCCTTCTCCTTGTCCATCGCTGCAGAGTCGTTTGCCTCGCGGCGCAACTCAACCAGCTCTTCCCTGAGCTTCTCCAGCTGCTCGTTCATCTCCTTGTTGGCGTCGTTCAAGCTCTCAATCGTCAGTTCGGCCTCCTGGTGCCCAAAGCTCACCTTTTCAAGCTCAAGCTTGAGCTGCGAGGTCTCGTTGGCCAGCTCCTCTTTGCGCCTGATGACGCCACTCGATTCGGATTTCAAAAAATCGAGCTCATCGCGCATCGCGTCGCGCAACTTGATACTCTCCTGCAGGTCGCGTTCCTTGTCGGCTATAATATCGTTGAGCTCGTTTTCGCGCCGCAAAAACTCCTCGCGCTCGTCCTCGCTCATGACTGTGATTGGCGAGTCCGATCGAGAGGCCAGGTCGGACATAAGCGATTCGTGGAACATGAGCGAGGGAGTGGGCGACGTGACGCGTGCGCTCAGGGTCGTCGGGCTCAGTGGCGATGGTGTCCCTACGCCTGCGCTTATCGAAAGCCGGCTGCTGGTACCCGTGGCCCGCGGGGTCGAGTAGCCAGCGCCGCGCGCCGCCCCGCTCTTTAATGATGTGGCCGGCGGCTGTTGCTGCTGGGAAGGTGCATAGAGCGCAGCCTTCTCCTTGCCCAAAACGCGCTCCCAAGTAACCTGGCTTTCGTTCTCGACAACTCCACCCTTCCGCCAAATCGAGACCTCGCCCTCTAGAGCCGTGTAGTACGACTTGAACGAGATGACTTGGGTTTGGGTCTTTTTGAGCATGATCTTGAGCTCGGTCGCGCTGACCTCCTGGTTGACCTTGGCCTTGTTTTTGATCGACTTTGCACGCATACCAAAGCGCAGCGTGCCCACAGTCTCGGATGCATTGAACGACGAGGGCGAGCAGTTTATAATCAGCGTTGTACGCGAATTACCACCAAGCGACTCTTGCAGGATACGCGTGAGCTTGGAGTCGCGGTACGGGATATGCGTGGACTTTCCATCTGTCAGCGCGTTGATGACCATGCCCAAGGCTGAGAGTGACTTGTTGATCTTCTTGGCCTCCTCGAGTGTCTGGCCCGTGGCGCCGGTCTTGCCAACTTTCTCGGAACCAGCCAAGTCGACGAGGAAAAGCCGACCCATCTTGGTCTTGCCCGTGACTGTGTCCTTTTGCTCGATTGTGATTTGGAAGATGCTGTGACTGCGCGAGCTCTCAGCGTTCATGTTGGTGGAGGCGACAACGCGGTTCTTTGCACCCTGTCGCATCACCTCGTACACCTCGTCAATGCTGCCAACAAAGACCTCCATCAGGCCCTTGACGTACACACCATTCGCCTTGTCCTCGTGTACTGGCAGGTTGGACTCGTCCGGGTTTAGCAAATCGCGGATCCTCTCCATGTAAATCTCCATGTATGACGTCTTGACCATGTACTCGAGGGTCGGCGGCGACTCGACAATCTTCTCAAAGATGCCCTCGACAATGCGTGGGATGATTCCCTTGAGGTCGTGGTTGTCGATATCCGCGCCCATCATTGTGAACGTCTTTCCCGAACCCGTCTGACCGTAGCAGAAAACCGTGCCATGGTAACCGTTGAAAATGTCTATACACAAAACAAAGGCAATAGTAAAAACTCGCACGGTCAATTTAGATAAATGAAAATAGCTGAGATTTTAATTAAATTCGCTCCACTTTTTTGGCGTTCAAGAGCAAAAATAAAATACATTGCATTGCGTTGCTCCCCGCTCCGCCCCGCTTCAAATCGATATATGTAAATAAAATTCAAAGTCATTGCAATCGATGCTGTTTCCTTACCTTCCAGTGTGTCGCGGATGGCGTAGTTGTATATCATGGACTGACTGGTGTCGGAGCCAAAGACGCGATCAAATGTAAAGGAGCCGGTGTGCTCGTCACACTATATAGAGAAAACGGCAGGAAACAAGTAATAGTAAGCAAACAGTACCGTTAGTTATTTTTAGCGCATGAATTGCTTTGCCTTCGCTGTGTGCGAGCAGCGCTCATAGCTGGTACCAGAAGTGAAAGCAACACTTGAAAAAGTGTGCATGGCTGAGTGTCAAATACATAAAAAAAACTGTTTGCGTACCTTTATGCCAACAGTCGTCTCATCTTCAATTTCAACCACAGATGTGCCGCCCGACTTTTTCTCTAGCGAATTGGGCGGGCGGAAACGCGCAATGACCTTGATGTTGTTGTCCTGCGACATTGCTTCGGGTCCACAGGAGGCAAATTAAAGTGAATCTATAGCAAGACTGGCGAGTACAAGGTTGAAATTATATATTCTGCGCGGGCCCTTGTGTCCTTCGATTAGCAAATAGTGCTCCTACTGCGATTATACTTGTTCTCTGGAAGGGACCAGCAGCAAAGTAGACTGGGTGGCAAAATAAGAAAAAATATGTAAAAAGAAATAATCCAGAGCGTACAAGGTAACTGATGAGCAGAACAATAAAATAGGAACAAAGTTGAACGAGGCAAAAGTTAAAAATAAAAGTGTATGAATTGAAGAAGAAAAAACAAAGACAGAAGGGGTATTTTTTGGCTGCACTGCCACGCCCTGCGAGCAATTTGGCAATGCACATGATAACTCTTTCGCTCAGATGAGAAATCGAAATCGAAAGCAGAAGCTGAAGCAGAAGTAGCAGCAGTAATTACCAGCCAATCAAGCTGTCTAGAGGGACAAACAAAAATAAAGCAGCAAACCAAAGCTTATTGTTGCTGGTTCTGCTGCTCTTCACGGATCCGCTGCACATGCCTTGCGTCGCTGTCGCACAGCGCCGAGTACTGGCAGCTGCACGTCAGATCCTTGTTTACAATTCGCATTGTGATCGACCACCGCTCATTGCGCTCGCGCAACTTTCCATCGATAACATCCGAGCGCCTGATGCGAATGGCATGTTCCCAGCCATACCGCGCCTCGCCAGTCATCAGCACCAGGCTGCCGGGCTCCAAATCCAGCGTTACCAGAGCATGGCTCGCGGGCTTGCGAAAGTCCATCTGCACTGGCGTGCCCATTGACAAAATGACCAGGGTGTCTGTGAACGATGTATGACTGTCGGCATGAAAGGCAATCCCAGCGCCCGGCGGGTACCGCTGGATAGTCAGTTGGTCTGGGTACTGGTCTGCAAAGAGATGAGGCAGCTGCTGATGGATGCGCCCGATAAACGGGTGGATCCAGGATGGCAGGCTCTGCGATGCGGTCATCGAGGCGTCGCCGATGTGCTTGCGGTGGTAGTCGAACGAGTGGCCGTAGTGCTTGACAAAGCGCTCCTGCACCCTGTACCACTTGTCAGCGTTGCCGACGCCAGCGGCAATCTCTCGCTGCTCGTCATCGCCAATACACTGCATTATCCGCTGCTCCTCGTCTTCAGTGATAAAATTGGCCATGTAGTGCAGCCCATTGTGGCTGTCCAGCGTCTCTGGCTTGGCAGAGGGGTCTAGTGAACGATCGGCCAGATACGCAAAGTTCAAGTGGGTCAAGTACTCAAGAAACACCGGGTTGCTATTGAGCTCTGCGCAAATATTCCCGTGAATATCCGCATACGCCGCGCGTGCGTCGTCGCAGCTGCGGAATATAACAAAGCTGTATGGCTTTCCGAGCTTCATCACGATGCGCTCAAAGCCGGCGTATTTTCCGAAAACGGCTTCGAGCTGCTCGCTTGTTGCGCCACCCATTGCGGCGCAGCCGATGTTCACAATACACATGGATTTGCGGGGCAGGCGGCTGAACACAGAGCCAGTGCTTGTAAGCTTTTCCATGCGCATGAATGTCGCGTAGGCCTCCTCTCGCCGCTTCTTCAGCTTGTACTGCTCGTTGCGCTCCCTGCGGGTGACCTTGTTTGGGTCGGTTCTCTTTGGTCCGCCACCCCGGTCGCTCGAACCGGTCGCTGGATCGTCAAGACAGAGATCAAGGTTGAGATCGAGATCGAGCAGTTCGGGGACAATGACCTGGTCTGTATCCATTCGCTTGCTGAATAAGTGGATTATTTTTGTCTTAGAGGCTATCAGTTGTGGGGGGAAGTAGTTATTGCGGCCACGCCACAGAAATGAAAAATCAGGCCCAGGAAAAAAATCATCAGCATCGCACATTTTTCGGCCAATTGAACTTTATGGTGTGCAGAGTCCACTAGTGAAAAATGTATTTTGGAATTTCCAGACATTTATGGCGAAAGTCCAGATTTTTAAGCGGGGGATTTTCAAAAACTGTTTTTCACGCAAAAAGACATCGTCAGAATCGACTGAGGCCGACTCTACAGCAATGCTCAAGCCAAAGCCCAAGCCCAAGCGTGTGCGCAAGAATCCATCTTCCCCTGCTTCTTCTCTTCAAAAGAAGCAGTGAATTGGTTAATATCGTCAACCATAGTGGTCTATTGCCACTAATTTCTAAACACTTTATCTGTGGGAAGGATGTTTTGCAGAGTACTTGTAGCCTCGTTCTTTTCTTTTAGTGCCTCGCACATCATTATCAATCGTCATGCTGTTTGTCTTTTGCTTTTCACATTTTTACCTTATTTTTTACCTTATTTTTTCTATTGCATCTTCAATTACGAGCTAAATGTGCCAAAAGCACATTGCACAAACACTCGCATTCTAATATTCTCCTTTTTATCTTACAACAGCGTGCACTTAAACTGTCGACTCGGGAGCAACATTATACAGCAACAACATGGAGTCGAATATCAACAGTGCACTGCCACGGAAGCGCAGTGCGGCACAAATTGTCATTCTGCCAGACTTGCAAGTTCCGCATATGGCCCGGGTGGCAGAAGCGCCAGAGCCGAGATCCGGGTCACTTGCTTCTGGCGGCAACGGTGGCGGCATATCGCGAGCTCAATTAAGACCCTCGGGCCATTCGCTTTCTCCAGGATCCAACGGGAGCCCTATTCCGCTGTCTACGTCACGCACAACTGACCACTTTAGATCGATGCACGCGCCCAGTGGAGTTAATGTCGGCAGCCGGTCTCTGCTGTCGGCGCCGGCTCCCTTGACATGGGACGAGACATTAACGGGGTTCCTAGCCCGGTTTTGCTCGCCGCACGCGTTTGGGCTGGAGAGCATAGCGGTGTGGCACGACGAGATGGCCAAGATTAAAACACCGACTACACAGACAAGGTACAGATATTATATGAGGTTTCCGCAGCGCTGCGACTCGTCACATTATTATTTCTTACGCTCGCTGATTGGGATTGCGGTTGGTCGTGTGTGTGCCTTATTTTTTTGTGTGTAGGGAGCAGTGGACCGAGGCCGAGGGCTATATCAAGTATCTCGCTCAACAGCTAGGTAAGTTTTTGCACGATTAATTGTATTTGTGCCTATGCACGCTTGAAACTTTAAATGATGCTAGCCATTGTGCTTTATTTTCTAATTTTACACTATATCAGCTGCACGCGAGCAACTTGCATGATTCTCATTGCTTACTTATAGCCGCAAACAACGCACTGACGGGAAACCTAAACTGGGCAATGTTTCATTTTGTCGCTCACATGCGATGCCTGAAGACAGTTGATTTCCTCGGCGACATTGACCCAGCGCTCGCGAGCCTGCAGTTTATCTTGCGTATTATGCTCAAGGGATTGTGTCTCACTCTGGATGATGGCAAGCTGCGCAAAGTGCTTGCTGACCGCCAAATTGTCCCGGGCACGATAGATCTGATAGTTGACAAGCACATGGCGCTGGAGAACGGCGAAGTGCGCACGCATGCGTTCAAGCAGACACTAGCGGACCCTAACAAACTATACCAGCAGCTGCTCCGCTACGTGGTGCTTGCAATTGCCCGAGTAGATATCAGCCGCTCGCAGTCGCAGTACGTGTTTTACCAGGACCTGGTCGGCATGCTATTAGATGTGTTCGCCTCTCAGTTGGCTGCCAGCAGCATCCCGACCGCAAACAACCTGTTTGTGTGTGAGCTGCTCAGCGTGGTTGGCCCATCGACAGTGTTTAATATTGGCAGCACACAGGCAGATGAGATTGTCTGCGCGCTGCTTCTGAACGCCATCGAGGCACCCACGGCTCCGTCGACACAGGGGCTGGTTCAGAGCGCGTACTCATACTTGTTTTCGCGCCAATACACTGCTCACTCCAAGCAGACCGAGCAATACTCTTTGTTTTTGCTTATGCTTCTCATATCAGCGCCGCCCTCGAATGATGGCTCAAGAAACCCCTATTTGCAGACGCTCGAGTCCCTGGCAAACACGTCCGAAAGCGTGTTGAAGATTGACAGGTGTGCGGTACCATTTCAAAAGCTGTTTGCAAAGATCGTCGCCGAGCTGCACTCCATCGAGTGGACGGCACTGTTTCAGACACTGGTTGCACGCAACGAGGCATTCCGAACATATGCGCTGGCACGCACGGATGCAGACACCCTGATTGTGCCGCTGTTGAAGCGGATAAGTGCGGCCACCGCGCTTCCATTTTCGTCATCGTTTGCACACGGCCATGGCAGCACAGTCCCAGGATCTGTTAGCGGCGCTGGCAGTGGCAAAAGGCGTGGTGATAAACATGTGGCAGCGCCCAGCTTTGTTACTGTGGTCTCTGAAGTAACACACCACCAGAAGCAGCAGCAGCAATCACAGCAGTTTTCAGGCGCCTGGACTATGCCGTCAACGTCGCCGCCACTCGGACCACCGACTACTGCGCCAACCGTGGGCTCGGCCACAACATTAGGGATGGTTTTGCCCGCCAGTACTGCTACAAGCAATACAATTAGCAGTAACAATGGCAGTAGTGGCGTACCACTCAATTCACCCGGAATTCGGTTACGACAGAGCGCAATGCTGCCCTATTCTCTCGTTCCTGAAACCGTCCCCTACGTTCACTTGTACCTATGGTTGGATATTCTTTTGGTTTTGTCCTCCGACGCACAGTTTGTCGAGCAACTCCAGCGCACGATGATAGACTTTTGGCCGGCAACGCCGCACCCACTGCACAAGCCGCCGCTGTCACACTGCCTGGTGGTCGAGTCCATGCGGATATTTCAGCTCAACTTAATGCTCCTCAAGGACAGTCAAGTACATAAGCTGTCTCTGGGAATACTTGTCAATGTGCTCAGCAGGTCAACTGCCATTCCATCAGCCATAGCTCAAAAACTGATCAAGCTCTTCGAGATGATCCACAAAAGATACTCCAAGCTTGCCGTCTTGCATCCGGACAACAGCAATCATGGCGGAGAGCCGACTGAGAATCTTGACGAGCAAGGTGTCTATGCACAGACACTATCAACCCTGTTGGCGCTATTCTGCCACCTGTTAAACACCAACAACCCGCAGTTTATCTACGGCGTGTTGCAGGCGCGCGAGATACTCAGTGCCTTTGCAGAGCCCACCAAAGCATCATATTTTGCCAATGCGGATGGCCTTATTGGTCGCGCGATGAGGGTTGCGGCCGAGCTGCGCGTGCGCGTAGCATATTTTCACGCTCGCATTGCTGCGTTGCCCAGCCCCCAGCAGGCAAAGGATATTTTGGCGCTGGTCGAATCAGTGGTTGCCAACGACCACGGGGATAGCGAAACACAAGTGGATTTGCTGTCGCGAGTGCCCGATGACAGCGAGTGGTCGGCGTTTATGCTGCCTTTGGTTTGGGAGCTTCTGCTCACGTCGACTGTTGCGTCGGTTGCTGAGGGGAAGACACCGCTGCTTGAAGAGTTTGAAAATCTTGTTATGTGAACCAATAGTTTATTTAAATTTTAAATTTTAAAAAAGATGTGGTTTAAACTATATTTTGCTACAATAAAGGTAAGCCTGATAACTATTCCAAAGCTAATAATTCCTACCAATAATTTTTTTTGGGAAAAATCAATTATAACCCTAAAATTTCCACATTCTTCATCCATAAAATTTACAAATATGTAACAATGGATGCCCTTACTCTTATCAATTTGTAACATCGGGCAATCCACAATGGCATGATGCTCAATAGGAGGGTCTTCAGTTGGCCTTTTACCTTGCCCACTTCCAGATAGACGCACAATTTCTATTATGTTTTTGGTATGTCTTGTGGTGACCTTATAAGCACAATTAGTTTCAACGTAATCTTTATCATATTTATTCCTAAAATTCTCATACCTCAATTTTATTGATATGTTCTTCATAAGTTAACTTGTTGATGTCATTGGCGGCATTAGATTCATTAGCGTCTTTTGCGGCCAGTTTCCGATATTTTAAAGACTCGAACAGTTCTTTATAAGTAGCCGACTTATCAACCACCATTGTTCTATCTTTACCAAGTTTTAACTGTTTTATAAACAGGTTTTTTGTGCAATGAAAATAACGATGACGACGACGGCATTATTTTGGTTGGCTTGGTGGTTGTTATAGCGCTTTTATGACTGAGTTGTAATATAATGCAAAAATAAGTTGTGTAAACCAGTTATAGAGCAAATAAATAATATTCCAAGCAGCGTGCACTCTAAAAAATTTTGCTGAGCTTCACAGACAAATTTAAAGGTAATTTTTTGTCAAAAACCAATGCTGACGTGCGTATATAAAAACAGAAGCAAGTTTGATTTTCATTTTTCCAATGTATATAGTTACCAATGTTGTCATGTAATATATCAACCATACCATATGGTGTTTACTATGCTCGCGCATTCTATAGAACTATATTTCGTAGATGCACGTAGGCTGCACCGAGTCAACATGTCTGTCATTCAGAATATGCTCAAACAATACCAATTAATAATTGTTTTTAAAAAAATTTGTATCAACTGAATGGGGTTTAACTTGTAATTTGAATTTAATTAAATGAAGGAAATACACGTACGGGTGATGTGGCAAAGAAATAAGATTATTTCCATTTATTTTTCATTGGCACTTTTTGTCCACAATCGACGCACCATGCTCGTCATATTCTGCACGCGATATCCAAAGCTGGTGGAAGGTGCCCAGCGACGCCAGGATCGAGCCGCCAAGCCAAGCGGTGACCTTGCGCTCAGTATTGGTGCTGGGCGCGTACATCTTGATACGACTGCCAGGAATAGAATTCTGCAGCATAACCGAAATGCGGTCGACGAAGCCTGGGAACAAAGTCGAGCCACCAGCCAGCACCACGCTGCTCAGCAGCTGTGGCCGCAGATCAACATCACTGGCCATCACGCTCTTGAGCGCAATCTCGTGCACGCCGAGCAGCGCCTCGTTCTCCAGGCGTTTAGGGTGGCTGACCAGATATTGGTTCGGGTTAAACAGAATCTCAGGTAGCGCATAGCGCATCGCGCCAACAGACAGGTTAAATCCATCGGGAAACTCGAATGGCTTGGGCGGCTTGCTGGCAACAAGGTCGGCGGTGTATGGACGCTCGAGGATCTCGCATGCTGCCTCTTTGAACTCCTGCACGGCACGCAGCCGCATATCCTCGAGGTACGAACTAGTGGTATCAGCACGGTTGTAGCATACAATTGCCGGCGGCTGCAACGTGTCCACGGGCGCTTTGGATTTGATGTCGAACAGCGGGGTCATCTCGTAGCTGTTCTCCATCCGCAGCTTCTCAAGAATCTGCTGCGAAATGACCTCCCCGCCGAGCTCCTGCTTGCACACGGACTTTGTCAGGCAGTATCCTTCGTACACAGCGCATGCGCTAGCCATCTCGCCACCCACATCTACTACCAGCCCCGTGGGCCGGCCGGTTCCAAAGGCCGCCAGCACTGGCGTCTTGCACACGAAGAACGCCGGACAGTTAAACTTTTCAAACGCCATTTCGACCAGCTTGGCCCGGTGCGCGCTGGTGTTCCATGCAGCCTCGCTGACCATCACCGGGTGCTCCTCGGGCTTCACGCGCAGCCGGGACTTGAACGCATATTCCCATATCTTCTCGTACATGTCCCAGTCCTTGACGAGACCCTGCTCCATTGGCCCGCCCACCTCCATGCCAGCGCGCCAGGTTGCCGACTCTGTGTCGCCAACAAAGAATTTGCGCACCTTCTTTGTCCTGGCATCGGTTGTCTCTCCCGCTGCCTCTGCCTCTACATCGGCCATCTCCACGTCCTGGTCGCCACCCGCCTTGCTGATATCCTTGGGCTCATCGGAAGTCTCGGTCACCTCAACCTCAGACTCGATGTAGCCGGCGTGCGAAGGAAAGTACGCCTTGGGCAGGTCCTCACCTGCAAAGCCCGCGCGCGTCCATGTGCTGCCGACGTCAATCACCAATGCATTCACCTCGTCGCCGCCGTATGTGGGCATTTTGTTTTGGTCAAGTCGTGGAAAATATAAAAGGGGAAATGAATGTGGTCAATGAAAAGAAAAAACAATTTGAAATGTAAAAATAAAAATGAAGCAGCGAATTGAAGTAGATATTAAAATGGCAGACGAGACGCGTTTCTTTAACACGGCAAGCTAATATGCGAATTGCTGCCGTCTTGTGTACGTTCAAGCGTCAATAGAACTAAAAAATACATCGATACGACTCGACTCGAATCAAGAGCCGAGCTGATTTGGGATCTTGATAAAATTTACCCAAAAATATTTTTTTTTCTCGTGCACCTCAGCCAAACTGATTCAAATATTTTTTACGCACTTGTCGTGGCGACAATTTACTCTTGTTCGGGTTGCTGTCGCTTGTGTTTTTTGTTTTCAATTCGGCCTTTTTTCTTCTTTTTTGGTTGTTCAATTCGTTTTTTATTTACTAGGCCCTTTACATTATTCTGTCCTTACAACGACCATGGGTTCTAAGCGCAAGTCCACAGGAGGCAGCGAGAAGAGCAGCAAAACCAGCAAGACTGCCGCTTCGACCAAATCATCCCCCGGCGATATCAGCATCTCGATTGACACCTCAAAAGCTAATGTGCAGCCGGTTCTGGCAAAGTTTTCCGCAGCAGTGCCCGCCGTAGCGTCCTCCTTTGCCACATACAAGAGTGTGGACTCTAACAAAAAAGATGCGTGTCTAGTGGTCAACGAGACAGAAAAAATCGAGTTTGTTGGCCAGAACTACGAGGACGGCAAGAAGCTCAACTCTGGCAGCCGGTACCTTATTGGTGTCTACGACAAGGAGACAGACACGGTGACCTTCCGGGCAGCGCCCCTGGTCAACGTCAACACAGTGATCAAGTCGCTGAAGAGCGCGCGCGGCGTGCTTGACCGGAACATCTCCAATGCCGTTATCCAGGCGCGGAATGAGCTTGGTGAGGCTTTCGGTAACAAGAAGAGGAAGGCGCAGATTCGCTCGGAGGAGCGCAACAAGATCAACATGGACACGGTCAAGGGAGACATGGGCATTATCGAGGCCAGCATTGAGAAGCGCATCAGCACTATGCCCTCGGAGAAGGACCTGGCTGCCGAGGCCAATGTCAGCCGGCCGCTGCCGAAATTCGATTCCGAGGCAAAGACCCCCGAGGCGATCTACGACATGGAAGATGTGCTGCCCAAGGCCCTTCAGTCGCATATCGATATTCTGCCCTTCATCAAGAACACCGACGCCGAAGGGTACAAGCCTTTTATTGCCGCGCGCTCGCAGTTCATCTACAAGAAGATCGAGCGCATCCTTGGTGTCACCAAGCCCGATACCGTGGAGCTCCGGCGTACCATCTATCTCAACTACCTCATGCGCTTCTACGGCATGCAAAACAAATTCCTCCGCAACCGCGCCGAGTGCATCAAGTCGCTGTCCTGCTCGCCCGAGATTGCCGACGCCATCTTTGACATATTCACGGACTGTGACGCTGGGTCACACAACCAAGATGGCTCGCCTGTTTTTGTCAAAACAACGGCCACCGAAAACAAGCTTGCTTGCTATATTGCCGTGCTTATGCTGTCGCTGAACAAGTGGACGGCGTACCCATCGGAGTTGGCTGCGGACCTGAATATCCCCGGAAAGAAGGCCGAAACCTACTTCCAGAACGTTGGCTGCAAGCTCGAGGCTGCTTCGGCTGCCGATATTGCCGCCAACACGTATTCCAAGCGCCCGAGGTCTGGTGGAAATAAGATTGCCATTCTCAAGGCGCCAGTGCAGTTCCCCAAGGCGAGCCTGAGAGGATCCAAATAGTTCCTTGAGTATGTTTTGAGATTTTGCAGAGTTGCTGATGTTGAATTAAAATATATATTTATCCGATCAAATAGTATAAGATCAAATCACCGGTTTACTTTCGGCAGGGTTTTTCCATTACAGCCGTGTGGCCGCTTCGCAATAAAAGTAAATTCGCAATAAAAAGGGACGATCGCTGTGATCTCACTGACAGATGCAGCGTGCCCGATTCGGGACCAGGAGCAAATTGCGATAATAAGTATATAATGACTGGTCACCACCATGTTAATTTTGCGTCTTTTTATAGAGATTTTCGCTGTGACCACCACCGATCACCATTTTCATACGGGATGGCAGACTTTAAGCACGCTCATCTTGCACCTTGCCATTGATACTGGCACCGAATGAGCCAAATATGTGAAAAGTATGTAAAAGGTATATGAAAAGGGGAAGGATTGCAGTGAGAGCGCACCCAGCTGCGTTTTCCAGGCATCGCAGTGGGATGATGCAATAATAGCCTCGCATGATGCTTTGTGGTTCTTAATTTAGCTTGAGTTTTCCCTCATTGCTTGATTTGGCAAGTATGCCCACCGCATGATTTGAGGGAGCGAGTGCGGGTGCCCGGCAAAAAAAGAGTCCAATATTGTGGCAGTGAGAACCACGTGCGCTTGCAGCAGTGGCTGCCCTGGATAAATTATGTCAACTAAAATTAGTTCAATTCGCCCCTGCTAGCAAAAAAAATCCGACCACACCGACACAATGACTGACAACTTATCACCAACATCGGAACAAGAGGAATGCGATCAAACACCAGCAGACATCCATCGATTCAACACAGTGCAAGGCACTGAGAGACAAAGGCAGACGCGGATCACTCACACAGAGCGCGTGTTCTCACCTCTTTGCGCATTGCGGACAAAACAAAGTTGATTTTTCTTTTTTTGGCAGCTCAAGTGATCATCTACTCGCACGCCAAGCCCAGCACAGCACTCGAGGAAATTTAGACACGAATGTAAAATCTGGCAGAGCGCAACGGTGGCATTCTCCAAATTGTCAGTCTTCTTCCTTTCTTTCTCTGGCCATGAAGCGCATGAATTTGCCAAGTAAACAACACGCAGCAAAAAAATAATGCAGCGTTTGGGATTAACAACCAATCACGCTCCGCCATGCAAATAAAAACAGGAAAATGGTGACGAGCATTCCTGCGATTTATTTTTAAAAAATTTATAGTAGTGGGGGATGTATGCGGGTAATGTCTGATGGTTCGTTCACCCCCCTTCTCTCTACCTTTATTTCCCTCTGAGGCATTGATTTTCATTCCTGCGTCTGTGTGTTTGTACAAAAATAGGTCTTGTTTTTTTGTCTGCTCGCATATACAAACACCTGTCTCCGCTCGACTTTGGTGTACTGTGTAAAATCTAAGGTGGCTGGAAAAAAGTGCACTTCACGGAAAGAGCCGCCTTAAATAATGAAATTACTGTTGTTGAATCCATGCCTTTTCTCTCCAGCGCCTTTATTTTCAAATACTTGTCACTACTTCATCGCGCATATAGAAAACACATTCCCTCCCTGTATCAAACTGCTTTGTGTCCTTTTTCTACCCCATTTTTAACTTGTGACAGGAAATTATTTCCTCTATTTACTCGCGTGATAACCTTTTTCTTACATTATTAACACCTGCTTTAAAGCAAGGCCACAAAGACCCGTTGCGCGACAGACTATCTCTTCTTTTGCCTACCCTTTTTTTAATCATTTGAAGTTTTATCAGAATAGCCAAAGCGCTCTTCTAAACCCTTCGACTCGCCCTTTTTTTCCATTTTTGTCTTTCTTTCTCTCTTTTATTTACATTTAATTATTCCGCTTGCACTAGACATAACATGCTATCAGCAAACAGCTTTACGAGTCCAGCAGCACATCTCCGTTGGCCAGCAAGCCGCACTACCACAAGGACAGCCCCAGCGCAACATCATCGCCGTTTGCATCGCTCGACAGTGTATTCTCCTCGTATCCGCCCACGCCCGTGTCTGCATCGCTCCCTACACCAGCAGCATTCACTGAAATCAACAAAACCTCGGCGGCGACAGTAGCAGCGTCAGCCTTTGCGTATGCGGCTTCGGCAGCAATGACAGCGACGGCATCGTCGGCAATCGCTGCCACTGCCGCCCTGACAGCATCGGCCATCATAACAGCCAACAACAACAGCAACAGCGGTAACATTAACATTAATATCGGAAACAACAGCAACAGCCACACCAACGGCATCAACATCAGTGGTTCGGCGCCCGCCAGTACACACTTTACAGCGCCCAGAGCCAGCCTGCCACTGATGCACACAATGAACAGCATTCCCAACATTGCAGTGGGCGCAGGCAGCAGCATTAGCGATAGCAGGGGGTACAGTTCGGTCAGTGCACCCAGCAACAATGTGTTCATGGATAGTAGGAGTGTCAGTAATAGTTTGTTGGCCGCTCCCCGGCCAGTTCCCGGCCAGCAGCTAACACCCCCCTCGTGGGTGCTGGCAGCTCTTCCACTCGAGCTGCTCCTGGGCCTGGCGGCGCCCAATTTTAAGCAAAAAATAATCAACGACGTGTTTTTTACGCCTGAGGAGCGCTGCAACTCGCCGCGGCTGACACCTGTCAGCGACATGGACGACACGCGGGTGCGGCCACTTGTGCCCAGCGGCGAAATGGAGAGCCTCGGCCTATCCGCCGACCTCGCGCTCTTTGCCGACGATGCGCAGAGCGCCGATGCCCGCGAGCACTGGGGCTCAGACGAAATTGAGACAACTAGCTTGTGCTCGTACGGCACGCGGCAGCCGTCGCCCACACCCACGATGACCTCGGAGCTCAGCGTTGACGACGATCTCCTTCTGCCCCTGATGCTGCTGCCAAGCACTGTTGCATGTGGCGGCAGCGATGCTGCAGAAAAGTGCCATCACTCGTCATTGTCTGCGCACGTTGCTCAGTCAAAATCGCAGTATTCATCATGGTAAGCAATTGTCCCTCTTTTTTTGATAGTCTTCGTCTTGCTCTTTTGGCTGTATGGCTGGCTGGCTGGCTGGCTGGCATACATGTGTGGTTGGAAGAAACGCGCTTGTATGCCTGCTGCTACTTGGTGCCATCTTGGTACCATCCTTGTCTCTTTCTGAGCCGCTTACCTTTGTCTTTGTGTGTGTGCGTCCGAAAGTGTGGCTTTGCTGGTATCCTCGCCTGCCATGTCTAATTCTCAATTGTCGTATCAGTGCTTATTGTTGTTCTGCAGCTCTCTATTGTTTCTTTGCATTTTCTTTTGCATTTTTTGCTTCTGCGTCTGTGTAATCATCTGCCTCGACTTGCATCTGCCAGTGTCTTTGCCCTTTGCTGGGAGCACCAGAAAGTAAAAGAAACAAGAATACTGCATGCATGAAATGACTGGACAAAAATGTGACTTTAACTCTTTATTTGCAGAGCAAGCACAGCACGCCTGGCGATGGGTTTGAGTGGGTGTATGTGGTCCATAAGAAGACGGAACGCGCAGGGATCGTCCACATCGAGACACCTGTGTGTCTGCGCACCCGCATCTTGTTTTTATCTGACCACACACAAAAGGGCCTGACGTCCTTGTCCTTGTCCTTATCCTTGTCCTGAAAATCCCTCTTTTATTTGATTTATCTGTACTCCTTTCCTATATTCGCCTGGCCCCTATTGTGCTGCCAATGGCGTGGTTGCAGGAGCCAATAGTGTGCATCTACTAGTTCTGTTTCATCTGTCGATGACGAGCGTGGCTCACAATGGCAAATGTCTTTTTATTGTCTGCCGAGTCTTCTGCTCTTCTTTTTTCTTGCGTTTTGCTGCTTCTGCTTCTGCGACGGGACAAATGCCCATTCGGAGATGCAATTTTTGTTTTGTGCATAGGAATATATTTCTATTATTTGTTGCGGCTAGTGCCCTCAATTAATTACAGTGCTGGCCACACAAGTAATTTTGTATTTAATTACCCCCTGCTTGCCGCCCTTATCTCTGCCTGTGCCTGCCTTTCTGTCTGTCTGACTGCCTTTTTAATTTTCTGGCTCCACTCCTACGGTTCTAGAAACCCAAGGAAGTCATTACAAATACGGATTGCCAAGGCAACTAGAATTATATAAAAAAAAGTTTCCGCCAGCAGACCATCGCAGTAGGGAGACATGCAGTCATTCGCTGTTTCTTCTTGCATGTGCTTCTGCGATCACCACGCTGCACCTCCCCTTGTATTTTCTATCAATAGAAGCAAGCGGGTGAGCGAGTGAGCAAGCTAGCAAATTGCGAGTTGCCTATTTTTTTTCCCACCTTCCAATTAAAAAATTGGAAGCGGAATATAAACAGAACTGCATGCGCTGCTGGAGCTGATCTTGTTCACACACATACACATACATAAACCGGCTCACTCATGAAAATCCAAATAGTAAATCTGCGTTTACTAAATAGCAATTGTTTTGTTTTGTTTATCCCAAATAGTGCTGATTCGGATACCGCGTCTCTCAGTGGCGAATCATGCGTCGAGTCCAACGATCCCGAGCCAGCCGCGGTGCGCGAAAGCCTGCGGCCAACGGTTTTTGAGGAGCTTTCGAACAATGGGGTTGACTGGTGCCGGTACTGCGGGACCACCGAGGGGATCAACTGGCGGCCGGGACCCTGGGGCAAGCGCACCCTGTGCAACAAGCATGGGTGTGACTACAAGGGATACGGCTTTGCCTCGAAAATGCCGCGCCTGAACCTCAAAAATTTTGCCGACGAGATGCTCGAGGAGCGCATCAGGCCGGTTCTCCAGACATTCTGCCAGATATGCCAGCAGGACTTTTCGGAGGGTGAAAATGTTTTGATGCACTGTGACGGATGCCATCGGGCGTACCATCAGGGGTGTCACCCAGAGGGTATCGCCGATTGCGACGTGAGATTTGACCAGAGGTGGTACTGCGAGTCATCGTGCCGGGATAATGTCAGGAGACGCCGGATCGTCGTTGAGTTGCCAAAATGTAGGCTGCCCTATATGTGCTCGCCCAGACACAACTCTGCCGCCCAGGGTGTTAGTCAAGAGTCAGCTGTTGCCGCTGCCACTGCCGCCTCAAGGGCCACCAGGTCGCGCAAAAGAAAGCTTAGTACCACACCAGAACCCGCATTGCTGGTGGAAACAGTGGTGCACACCCACAGTCATTGTCACAGGCAGATTTCGTCAGCCTGTGGCAAGGTCCGCAAATCATCTCGGGTCGCTCGTCCCTCATTTAAACGTCTTGAATCCGACTATGATGTCTAAGACGACTTGTAATTTTTTATTAAAACGCTCTAACAAGGGCCAAAATTGTTTTGCTTTATTCCTCCCTTTTTTCCAAATAAAATTTGTAGATTTTTCATTACTCACTTTCTCGGTTTGAAGCGCACACGCAGCAGCTGCCTCTTTGCATAAAGCTAGCGCGTGGCACTCTTTTGAGTATTTAAAATGTTTGGCGAATGAGCGCTCCTCAAAAAGAAGCCATTGAGCAAGCGCCTGTAAATAAGTTCGACAATTCGAATTTTTTCTCGCCTTTTTGCTTTCTATTATTTTTTTTGCTAAATAGTAGAATAGCAGATTTTTTTATTTTTTAAAGTCAGCAGAGAAAAAAGCAAGCAAAGGATTCTTCCAGAGTATTTGGCCGATGCATTCCCACGCAAGAATTAAAGCAAGCTTTGGATAATACAAAAAGAGACGAGCGTTTGGCGACAATATAGCTGAACCTGTGCTCTCTTTTCATTAGTTTTTTATTTCAGCATTATTTCACACTTGTTTTTGACATTTTTGAAAATGGAAACATTTAATACAACGGTCGACTCTCACTACAGCACTTCCAAACTCGTAACAAAGATTCCAAAAAAACAACCAAAGTTCACACAACTTATACAGACTGTATACAACCCTAATCTTTCTTCCGACAATCCATTTAAACCCCACGTCGCAGATTTCAAGAAAAAGAATCACTTTGCAGTCAGTAGGAATGTAACTTTTAAAGATCTACACACGTTTCTAATGCATTGCTTGAACAAAACGGATATCACCTATTCTGTAACTACATCCAATACAAATGATGGGGGGAAAAAGTCACATCCGGGGGGCTGTTATCAAGAAGAAAGTACGTCCAATAAAGTGAATACTGATAAATATTTGCGTATAATTAACAGTACAATGTTAGACATTTACAAGAACGAAAGTGAGTGTAGGATTAAGGTAGAGTTTACTAAGGGATCTGCCAACAAAGATGGTTTCAGTTTTTCAATTAAGACAAATCCACACCAAAAAGCATATAAAAAACAGCGTAGGTTTCGGCTAGCCACAGCTAAAATATAGTAGTTTATTAGAAGGTATTTTTGTTTTTCAATATATATAATAAAATGTGCATTCATCTCATCGATATGTCACAGTTTAGGCGCATGGCGTTGCATGTTGCCTTATTGAGATTAATTGATTACGTGCGTGGAAATTAAGAAATAATGTTTTTATTATAGTTTATTTATGTGCCAAGGAGAACGTATAAAAGGTGTGGCTGTCGGGCAGCCAGGAATTGTTCTTGGAATAAATAAATATCCTTTTTTGATTTATACCTCTTTGTAACAGATACAATGCGCTTCTTATAAATACTGTTGATTGACCAAAGTTCAATTTGCCAATTTAATGAAATTAATTGCTATTTGTCTGCAATTGGGTTTGGAATTGGATACTAAAAATTGAAGGTAAGCGTAACAGCCAGCTGTATAATTTGAATGACTAATGATATCATTACTGTGTTTATTATACAAATAAAATACATAACAATTAACGTTAACAACTCTACCCATTTGCCTTCCATTATTTCCTTCTTTTTCATATACATTGAAAACAATATGCACTAAACACTATGTAGCCAAGAAATGAACAAGTGAGCAAGCTAAGAAGAAAAAAGCAGTGAATTAATAATTAGTCAAAAATACATTTTTCCACCCTCCATCCTCCCTTCCCCTCTTCCTTCACTCCCTCATTTTTATCTTTTAAATAGCAACTCTACCTTTTGTTTTCTACCAATATTATATTGATCAACCAAAGACAGCGGCCTGCCAAAATGGCCGCGGACAGGCAGCAGTGAGGACGGCAGATATACACACTAGCTGTCTTTACTACAATTGACGCTCTATGTGACATCAATTATTACGATTTCACGTGTCAATTGCAGTTTCTATTTTCACTGTCGATAATTTTGAATAGATAAGCGGAGCTCTTTAAGCTCCCTTATAGTGGATTTTTAATTATAAATATATTTCATATAAACTATTCTTATTACACATCATGCCTTCAAACTACAATAAAAATTTAAGCAACTTGAAGCCATCAAAGCCTTTTACAAAGAAAAGTACCTCACGCTCTGCTAAAACTTTAAGTTTGAGACAATCCTTATTGCAAAATGTTGCCGAAATTTCAAAAGATCACTGTGTCGGTAAAATATTTACATCCGAAGACTTTAAACGATTATAAACAATTTCCTAATACTAACCCATTTAAAGAATGCATTGAGGATATCAAAAAATTCCACGGAGATAATGTAAAAAAATATCACACTGGCACTTGGCAAAAAGGCCACATTCGAATATATGTATTATTTTATAAAATATTGCTATGGCGTTGAAGAAGAGTATATTGTTGCGCAGACTGAAGATATGGAAGCAGATGTTGAGGTCGAGAACCGCGAAACAAGTTCCCACCTGCGCGCTGATCGATAGGACGCTAATTGGATAATGCAGGTGCAAATCAGGGAGGCATCACACTGATGCCCAAACATGCCCCCCATCCTGTAATGCACACGCATAAGCGTACACGCACGAAAACCACAACATCGACTTGCCAAGATACCGGTCTACTCGCAGAAGATCCAGTTCTCACCAACGGAGCGCACAATGGACAATGTGCACGACAAAGGCGACTGGGAACATATATAAGATGAGGCTGGCCCCTAGTAGTACTTTAGAAACATCAGTAATAAAACCTTTTATAAAATCACCCCTAACTTTTACCACTAGACAACTAGTGCTCCTCACACCCCCCTCTTACTATAACAAAATTTATTACTCGCTTACATACATAAAACAAAACAAAAACACAACAATGTCCGTCAGGTCAGACGTGACAATGCAGACTGCAATTCACCCCATACCTCCTGCCACTGCCCCTACTGCCCCTACTGCCCAGCTGACTACCACCTCCGCTGCCCAGACCCCAGCCAAGGCTGCCAAAGAGGAGCTGGACCTGCTCCGAGACTATGCCAAGCGGTTCAATGGCGAAGATATCGGAAATCCAACCAAGCAGTGGATTGCAGGGATCCAAGAGACAATCAACTTCATCTTTACCCGCACTCCTGCAGTAATGATTGTCACAGCACTCCAAAAGCTGCTTGACGGACAAGCTGCCAGACGCATGGGCACCCTAGACGTGAACACACCAGAAGAGTTCTTTGAGAAGCTCCTTGAATGCATCCCGCAAGCAGACTTTGTGGCCAAGGCACACAGCATCGCTGCTGGAGGCCCAGCCAAGGCCTTCAAGAACATCCCTGCAGTGGACAGGGTCAACTATGCGCGCAGGCTCTACAAGGCCATGGGTGGTGGCGACTATGCTGCAGTCACTATCTCACGCCTAGTACATGGCCTTGACACCCGCTCCTGGGCATGTACAGGAAGTGCGCCCAATGATGTCACTGCTGAGACCCTCCTGGACCGACTCAAGGCATTCGAGACAGTCCACAAGATAACCCTACTTTCATATGGCAACAATGACCCAAAAGCCTGAGCGGCTTGGGTATCAGTTACACTATTGGGACAATAAATATGTTTAACTCTACTCAGGCCGCCCTGTGCCATTTTACGAAAATACCCGGTTTCCGCGCACATAATAAGCCAGCAATGGCTGTAGCCGACAATGGCGCTGCTGTCAGCCTGGTCACCATGGCTGCTGCCAAGCGGTTGAAGCTGCGTATCCGCACCAACTCGAGGCCAGACCTGTTCCCCATCTGGTCAGACAAGGCATACCAGAGCATTGGGCGGGCCACCGTCTGCCTGCAGGTCGAGGGTGGCCCAAAGTTCTGGGACGATGCAGTCGTTGTCGACATGAAGGTGCCATGGGAGCTGCTGGTGTCAAACCATGCCCAAGAGGGCCTGGGCATCCGCCTCATGACCCCAGCAATGCGCCGACGCCTTAAGGGCACAGAACGCACCCCTGACCACCCAGACAAACTTCCCGATGGTCCCCGTGCTGTACGCGACTCGGATTATGACACTATGCCAGACCCCACAGTGGCACAAGACCCGCAGATGTTCCCACTAATGGACGGCCCGCCTGATGCGCCCCCGATCAAGGAACCAGTTGTCTCACGCCCAATGCGGGCACGACTAGGCCTACCAACTGGCTATTTTGTTGAAGCGCGCGATGCCGACTTCCACAAGTGGGATGCACTGTATCCAGCAGTGACGACGGAAAATGTTGCTAGCCGCACAACGGATCAGTGCACTACGGACGAGCTCCACAAATCCCTGCTAAAGACCCTTATGACTGCTGCTGGCGCCCTACGTGAGTACCCGAGTGGCTGCCCGCCGCCAGCAGCCTATGCGCCCATCCGACCCCCAATGCGCACAAACGCGTGCCCCCTGTACACCGTCCAACACACACTCAGCGAGCCTGCTCACAAGGCCCGAAACTCTTTCGTTGCCAACCGGCTCAAGTATGGAATAGACGGTCCATCGGTTGCATTCGCCCAGGTCCCTGTGTTCTCCAAAGTTAAGCCGAACTCGACGGACAGGCGTGTGCTGTTCGACGACTCAGCAAACAACTCGTTACATATGCTGAGCGTTGGAATGCAGCTGCCGACGCCAGTCGAGCGCATTATGTTCCTGCGTGATGCCAAGCTGATCTCGTCAGTTGACATGGCATCGTTCTTTACGCAGCTGCGCCTGGCAGAGGACGTCGCAGACTTCTGGACCTATGACGGGGGCAGCGCAGGCAAGGTACGCAACCTACGCATGGTGCAGGGAAACTCCGAATCCCCTGCCATTGCCCAGGCCTTCCTGACCCATGTTCTGTCCGGCGTGCCAGAGCTGCGGCCACGTCTGATGGTCTACATTGATAATGTTTACCTAAAGTCGACCACCGGCAATGAGACTGATCACATCCACGATATAGGGCTGTTTGCTCGGTGTCTGGCCCGTGCGAATGTCACGATTAACATGTCCAAATCACTGTGGTGCGCGACTACAGGCGTAGAGATCTTGGGGCGTCGGTGGTCCGCCGACCGGACATGGCAGGCCTTTGACCACCGAGTGGAAACAATGCGAGCACTGGAGATGCCGACGACGGTCGCAGGCATCCGGCGTCTGTGCGGCGGCATTAACGCAATTGCAGAGCATATGGAATGGATCCAGATCATCCTAGCTCCCTTCTACCAGATGGTGGGCAAGACGCGGCTGACGAAAGACGACATCAGATCACTACAGGAGCCCTGGCATGCGCTTAAGCAGGCACTGCTCGACGTTCGACACCTCTACATACCCCCGCCTGGAGCACCGCTGGTACTGCGCACTGATGCTGCGGGCGCCGGTGTGGGTGCCGTGCTACTGGCCCAGCGCTCTGACGACCCTGAGGACCTGGCGCCGGTATGCTACTTCTCACGGGCATTTGGAGGCATGCAAGGGAGGAAACACTCAACCTGGCGCGAGGCGTGCGCTGTGTACGAGGCTGTGAAGCACTTCTATGCGTACCTTGATGGGTGTGCAAACTTGAGGATCGAAACGGACTGCGGCACGGTGGTCTCGCTGTTCGCGCACAAGACCACCAATGACGCCGACCCCCTGGCGCAATTCAAGCTTGGCCTCAGCGAGCTTGGCATAAAGAAGCACATGATCGTCCACCGCCCTGGGGAACTGCAGCAGACCGCCGACTGGCTATCACGCGCAAAAGAGTTCCTGCGCCCGCAAAAGAAAAAGACACTGGGCAATGTAGATGATGATGAGGTAAACACCCTTGTCAACCCAGCGACCGAGACAGTTGGGGGCGAGTATGTCTACACAATTGGCGCCATGGATTTCGAGGGCGACCAATTCACACGCGAATCAAATGGCGAGAGGGTGGCCTATTGCATCGGGGCCTTTGCAGCAGTAACCCCAATCGTCTATGCCAATGGCGACGAGCCCGACGCACTTCCCAACGGCGGCACCATGAGGAACAACCCCATGACCGCCGCTGCCCCCATGCAAACTATAGCGGCCCGTACACGCTCAGCCAACCGAGCGCAGACCATCCAGCAGACCAAGCCCCAGCGCAAGGCAAGCAACCCCGTCCTCGGCCAGGCCACAATGCCGCAGACGGCCCATACAACGCCCCCTGTGAGCGGGGCTCGTAAGCGCGGCAGGCCACGGCGTGAGGGACAGACCATCACTGCGTCAACTTCACCCACACCCCCAGCAGACCTGCCTCGCAAGCGTGGCCGTCCCAGGCGTAAGCCAGTGGAGGCGCCAGCAGCAGCTACGGTGACTCCAGACGTACCACAGGCCAAATCCCCGGCAGCAGAGCCCCCAGTGGCGACGCGGCGTGGGCGCGGTAGACCCAGACGCAGTGCACAGACAACAGACATGGCACCCGAGCAGGAGCCGGCATTGCCGGTGGCGCTCAACACACCCGTCCGGCACAAGCGCGGCAGACTGAGGCATGCCGTACAGGGGGCAACAGTTACCCCTACCCCTGCGCCCGAGCCGACCCCTATGCCTGCACCCGACCCAGCTACTACCCTGCCCGTGGCGCCGACACCGGCATCCATGAGCCAGCAGTTCGCAAGAATCGCGTCTGCGCTAGAGGACTTACCGAATGTCGCGGACTTTCTGCACTGCCAGGATGACGATGCTGAGATCCAGTCCTGGATCAAGCTGTGCAAACAACGCGAGGCACTCAACGGTCCGACAACTCCCGAATACAATGTCGTCAGCAAGAAGGCCTTGCGTGACGGGCGATTGTACGCTCTGGCCCCCAGTGACACGCCCGGGCCAGTAGGCATGTGGGTGCCCATACTGACGCGTGAGGCGGCGCGAGACTTTGTACGCAAGGCACACCAGGCCCTGGCACACGCTGGGTACAAGCGGACCCTCGACTTCGTGCGCGAGCTGATTACATGTCCGGGCCTGGGCACAGTGGTAGAAAGTCTGACAAAGTGCTGTCACACCTGCCAGATGACAGCGATCCAGAAAAAGTCACACACACCCAAGATCATGTCGTACATTGCAAAGCCGCTCGAACATGTCTACATCGACTTGCTACACATTGGGGACAGAGGAGAAGCACCTCAGGATGCGTTAGTAGCAGTTGACAGTGCGAGCGGGTTCATGCAGATCTATGCAGTGGACGACACAACAACAGCAACACTCACCGATGTCCTTGAGAGCGAGTGGTTTGGCACCTACGGAAAGCCAAAATATCTCACGTCGGACAACGGCCCGCAGCTCGTGTCCCATGACTTTGAGGACTTCCTGAGCAGGGAGGGCGTGACGCACATCACAACCGCCCAGTACCATGCTCAGTCTGACTTGGCTGAGGCCGCAGTCAAGAAATTCAAGCAGTCATTGCGATGCTGTTTCACCGATCAGCCGGACGAGGAGGGCTGGACGCAGCACATCCCGCGCATTGTAGCTGCACACGCCTGTACGCGCTCGGAGGCCATCGCCAACACCCCGGCGGCAGTTTTCTTCGGCGAGCCTGCGGTGCGTGTAGCGACAGCATACGCCCAGTTCCCTGAGGGTGAGAGCCCCCCCAGTGAGGAGGAGATCACCGAGATGATACGTGAGCAAGCAGCTGAGCACCGCAAAATGGTCCGCCAGCGTGCCAACGCCAGGGACAACAGAGGCATCGACCCCATCTGGTTTGAGCCGGGTGAGTGGGTGACCTGCCGTGCACTCCCCAAGGCCAGCTCAGTGGCAGATCAGTTTGCACGCCGCCTGGGTCCGTTCCGAGTCGTGTCGCGGCACAAGACCTCCTACCACCTGGCCTATGCTGACGGCAAGCCCTTCCATCGCATTGTACCAGGCGACGCGATCACGCGGTACCACCATGGAGCCTCAGAACGGATCGCGGAGATCGCCCGCAGATCAGAGCCATCAGGCTCAGAGTGGACGGACTCAGAGTGGGCGACCAGCGAGTACGGGGACGGCGGCACGGGCCTCGGCGGGGGCAGCCCAGGGCCGTCGGCACCGCGCCCAAGAGCATACGCTCAAATGCCCGAAGCTAGGGCCCAAATGCTGATATCCCTCCCGTCGGACCCGGGCTACTCATGGCCGGAGACGCCGGCGGTTGGTTCCCCGCCCGAGTCACATGTACAGTTCATGGGCCAGGCCCACCCCAGGATATTCGCGCCCTGGCACCCAACCACACTCGAAGAGGAAGAGGAGGATGCCCCTCAAGTCGCTTTGGAGCCCGCACACATTAGGGTGGGACCATTCACACCACCCCCACAGTCGCCGGGCTCGCCGGACAGCATGGACAACAGCGAAGCAAGATCCTTCCTGACAGAGATCCGCCACCAGCCAGCAGGCAGACTAGAGGTCCCAACAGCCCAAGTGGTCGCTGAGGACGTATCCGAAATGGAGGATGATGGCGACGGCGACAGTACCGGGCCCTACGAGGGACTGCTTGCAAGAGCCGCTGAAGAGCCATATGTGGATGAGCATGACACTGAGAGTGAAGAAGAGGAAGAAGAAGAATACGTGAACGACAGCCGAGACGATAGCGAAGATGTGGCTGGCGGGGCTCTCGTTTCCGACGAGGACGGCAGCACAGCCCCAGAAGGCGAGGACGCTCAAGTCATGGGACACACGCGGGCCTACGATCAGGTGATTGTGACACGGCCCGCGGGTGCACTGCTGACCAGGAAACCGGCTCTGCCGACAGCTGAGATCGTGCCCGGCCGGCCGGTCAAGAGAAGTCGAGCGCTCACGGAGGCAGGCTCGGAGGACGTGCAGCACCACCCGGATGGCCGGGAGGCACTGCCCATATATGACCAGTCACCCTCCCCCCCGAGCCGAGCCAGGCGGCTAAGGTCCGACGTATTCCACGAGCAGAATGAGACCGCCGCTGGCGACACTGGTCTTGACGTTTTTGTTGCGCAGACTGAAGATATGGAAGCAGATGTTGAGGTCGAGAACCGCGAAACAAGTTCCCACCTGCGCGCTGATCGATAGGACGCTAATTGGATAATGCAGGTGCAAATCAGGGAGGCATCACACTGATGCCCAAACATGCCCCCCATCCTGTAATGCACACGCATAAGCGTACACGCACGAAAACCACAACATCGACTTGCCAAGATACCGGTCTACTCGCAGAAGATCCAGTTCTCACCAACGGAGCGCACAATGGACAATGTGCACGACAAAGGCGACTGGGAACATATATAAGATGAGGCTGGCCCCTAGTAGTACTTTAGAAACATCAGTAATAAAACCTTTTATAAAATCACCCCTAACTTTTACCACTAGACAACTAGTGCTCCTCACACCCCCCTCTTACTATAACAATATGTTAACTTTATTTGATAAAGAAAATATACTAAAATATTCTGCATGCTCTAAAGACTATTCCAAAAATAAAATAATCTCAGTGCTTCAACCAGCCACAAATAAATCTGATCATACGTTGCTATCGAGTACAAATGCTCACACTTATGAAGTGGTTAAGAAAATCTATGCAAATCGCTATCTTTATTCTATTTTTAAATTCAGAATAAAAATAGCTCGATCAAGCAGAGGCGTAGGTTTATTTTATTTTTTTAGTAAATCAAAACATTTATTTATTACTGTATCCAAAGTTTGCCTTAGTTAGACTTCCAGCGGCCGGGACTAAGCTGGATCACGCCGTATTCGCCCGAATACATCCAGTCATTGCGGACCTTGAACAGCTCTTGTGCTCTGTCGGCATCAACTCCAGTGATGGTATCGCACTTGGCAGTGCGCAGAGCCACAATGGCCGGCGCCCTGGGATCGGCAGTAATTGAGCCAAGAGCCTCAACAAAGGGCGTGGTGATGGGCCACTCGAGGTCGTAGACAAGCTTGCGGTAGTTGAGGTCGCCCTTGAAGATGACCACATCGGACTTGATAAGCTCGCCTTCCCACACGTCGCTGCCCTTGGTTGGCAGATAGTGGTAGCCATAGGGACCAGTCCAGAAGAGCTCGTCTTTAAGCTCCCATATGCCAGCTGCCAAAAATCCGGCCCAAATCTTGCCCAGACCCTTGAGGGCGTTCTCATCAACAGTGGACATGCCCTTGTCGCCGATAAGCCCTGGGTTCTCGGCAACCTTGACCAACCAGTGAAAGTCAGTATTGGTGACATCCGAGACGTACCAGGGGATGCGCTTGGCATGGAAGACAACCTTGGAAGCGTAGCCTACAGACACAAGCCAGTGGGCAAGCAGCACGTCCTGGAGCAGTTCAAAGCCTGAGTTGTCAAGCACAATGTCCACGCGCCCGCCCTTCATCTGCCGTACAATGTTCCAAATCTTGTCCGTGTCGTTCGCCACAATCTTGCTATTATTCTCTCCTGACGAAATGCGCGCCTGCATCTCCTCAAGCTTTTCGCTGTTGAGATCCGGGAACATGCTCAAATCGGTCTGGTTGCCCCACAGGCTGGCCTGAAGCATTTCCACAAATGCTAGGTGCAGCTTTGTCTCGTTGCCAGCGGCTTCCACACTCTCTCTCGTCAGCACATCAACGCGACTGCACAGCTTGGCCACAGCCACAATCGACGCCCTGAAAGTCGACTCTTTCTTGCTGGCAAAAAAGTCGTAGGCTGCCCAATGCTTCGACCGCCCAAAAAATGTGGCGATGCGCCGGTACATGTATGTCTCCCAGGCCAGGAACGGCGCCGAGTACCAGGTTGCCGAGCTAAAATACTTGGCCAGCCATTGGTTCCACGTGTCAATATCGCCGCACCCATCGTCCTCGAGCGGTGTCAATGGCTTGTCGGTGACCATCTCGTGCTTGAGCTTGGACATCTGGCTTATCAGAGCCTTACCATCGGCCACTGCTGCATCAGCGTTGGGTCCCGAAAAGTTTTGCACGGCGTGGTAAAAGTTGTTGATAACGTCGGTCAGGATGTGCGGGACGCGGTTGTGCAGGGACTCGTATGTGAAGTTGCTGCCATCCTTGGCCGCGGTCAGCGGCTTGTAGGGCGTGTTGTTAGGCGCAAAGTCAGAAAATATGTTAACTGGCATAATGTACTTTTTAAAACTAAACTATTTTATCCTATTTATTTTAAATTAAGAATCCAAGTTGAGATAAGAAGGCGGTCTTTGGTGTCTCGGTCCCCCTGAAAGTGATAATATGCGCATTCATTTTTTAATTGGCTTTTTCGGACTGGGGCTCAGAAATCCTAAGTAAATAAGGTAAGCTGCTGATGTTGTGAGCTTGATTATTAAAGCCAAGCCAATTTTTCGATTCCGACTTGAAGCGATGCACATTGAAGCATCGCATATTCTATATTTTTGTACTTTTGATCAGCTTTTCAACATTTTTTGCCATTTTTGGCTAATTATATTTTTCAACAAACACACATACAAATTATAACCAAATGCGAACTGTTTCGCTGTCATCGCGGCTGCAGTGGGCATTCCGCGGAACAGTGCTTCCAGGCGCCCTGGCGACAGGTGACGTCGACAACGACGGGGTATGCATGATAGCAAACAAAAGACGCAATTTGCTGTTCACGCGAGGTATCTCCAAATTCAGCAGTTTAATTGTACTAATTCAACCTTGTTCTGATGCTGTAGTGCAAAGAGTTTGTCGTTGGCAGCGTTCAGGGCGAGCTGGCTATCTTCCGTGGGCGCGGCGGTTGCGGCTCGTGGCGGTACTCAGAGGACCAAATTGAGCCCGAATACGATTGCTGGGACGCAGTGGAGCGCGGTGAGTTTCCTGTTGACGGGATTGACACGCAACAAAACGAGATGGTTCCGGGTATGAAACGGCGGAGTACGTACACGAGTCTCTTGCAAGACGCAATGTCCAACCGCGAGTCGGTCGCTGTTGACGATATCATGCATTTATTCGAGGGCAGCGAGCGGGACATTGCTGCGCATTTAGACTCGGTGGCCACAAGCGAAGACGAGACCAGCAGGGGCACTCGAAGGGGGGCGTCGCTGAACCCATGGGATCCTGAGCAAACTGGTCATATCAAATGGGAGGACGCCTTGGACATTGAGCGCGACGGCCGCAAGCCGTGGGTGCTCGCACAAAATCTAGGAACTATATCCTCTGTAGCTGTGGCCGATATTAGTAATTCGGGACACAACTCGGTTATTGTCGTGAACGGCGAGGGAAAGTGCCACATTTTTGATTACCCGTTCAAGCGCCGGCTGCATCCGGAAATGGTCAAGCGAAAGCGCCAGCGCAACCATTATCGCCGATTTTCCCAGGACCGCTTTTTCAAGGACGGCATTGTTGTCGATGCAGTGGATCCTCATGCAGACCATGTCGAACGCGCGGCACCCTCAGCGGATGGCACAGTGGCTGGACACGGCACGGTCAAGGGTCCGGGCCATGGCGTCGGGCGTGCGCCGGCGAGTTCCGCGCATCCCGTTTCTAGTGCCGATCCTGCAAGGCGACCGAACCTCATGCGCTCCAAATCGACTTTCGCTGAGGCGCCCGTTTCATATTCTGCCACGCAGATTGGCGAGCAGGCCCGCGACAATTGCACCAATAGCACCTCGGGCCCGGCGACGCGTAGCAGCGAGACCTTTGCATCCAAGCCGACTTGGAGGCCTCTATCGGGAATTGAGGGCCTGGTATTCGATTCTAGTCATAGTGGCTATCTAGCACCTGGCACTGACAGCGCGTTGCCCACGAGCAATGTCTCATCACATGCCGACCCGCCACTGACTATTCTCAACAAGCACGAGGGCAGGGAGTCATCGTCGGCTGCGTTCCATGATGTCGGTGGCCGGGACGACGAGCCAGGCAGGTTGCCGTCGTCTCCGGCAGCCATGCGCCCGCGTGTGACCGTAGCGCCGAGTGCATCCGCGCAAGGCGGATTTAGCGCAGAGGTGGGAAGCATCGGGGGGCGAAATCTCCACCACCATCATCCGGACGCGTCCGATGCGGGGGTCGAGTCATTGTGCTTAGCATATGGTGATGGCGACGCAGATGAGGATGCAGATTCTGAACAGGACTTTGCTGACTCGCATTCTGACATTGGCGACAATTCGCTGCTCACCAGCGAGGAAGTGGCGGACATCGAGAAGATCTGGGGGGCAAATATCGGCAAGAAGAGCGGCGACTGGTTCCCCTTTGTACTCGATAAGCCAGATATGACATTTTCTATTCCGACAAACGTTGAACACGCCTTGGTCGCCGATGTAGACAACAACGGGCTGAACGAGCTTGTGCTCACAGCGACAGACGGCTTCGTATACATATTCAGAATTGAGCCGTCGGTTAAGCACGCGGTCAAGCCGACGCTGTCAGCGCTGGGTGTCTTTAGCAACATTCCCACGACCTTGCCGAGCGTCAACATGACTGGAAATGGGTCGCCGTTTATGTACATGTCAGCGCCGCGCTCGCCAGACGCCTCTGATTTTGATCTCGACTACCCCGGAAAGGGACCCAAGCTACCGGCAAGCAATACGCGCTCGCAAATGAGCCGTGCTGAAAAGCCTCTGGCTGCGCCTGCAGCGGAGGCAGCGGCCGAGGTGGAGTCCGATTTGAATCTGGTCAACCACTTGCTAAAGTCTATCAAAGATGTGTCTGCACCGCCAAGTGAGCACCGGGCCGACGGGGGGCACACAGAAAAGGCGCAGGCGCAGCCAGTTGCTTCGGGTCTAGCTGCCACTTCTGCCGCTGCCACTGCTGCAGTCGTGCCTGGCACAACGCAGTTGCCCATTGCCGATCGCCGGTCCGGCGCTGAACGCCGGGTATCGCTGACCAGCCGCATGCGAGAAAACTTTACTGGGATTGTATCGGGCTGGGACGCGACGCGCAGGTCGATTTCCTCGTTCACCCAAACCGCACCTTCGAGCATTAACAACTCGCGCGCGCAAACCGCCAATAACAGCGGGACATCGACCAATGCGCATTCACGCATACCAAGCATTAGTGACGATGACACGGGTGCTGATGTTGAGACATACCGCGGCAAATCGGCGCTTGACCTATCGACATCAAACTCTGAAACTAGTAGTGCCGCCGCGTCCAAGGTTTCGCCGGCTATTCAGCTGAGCCCAGCAACTTTGGCGGCTGCGAGCGAGCTGCGGCTGCCGCGGATCAGGAATAACACTGTGTCCATTGGCACAGTGAATGTCATGGAGGGGATTCCGGAGCGCCGCTCGAGTGAGATTGATCTTTGTGGCGATCGCGATCCGTTTAATACGGTCGGCACGCCGAATAGCCGCATGCTCAGCAGAGCTTCTACTCACGAGCCAACGTCGGGCGAAACAGATGGTGCTGCGCTCAAGGTATTATCTCCACTGTTTGCAGCTCAGAATGACCCCACCAGCGTTTCCGGGCTTGTTGACACGCTCGCCCTCCATCGCCGGGTCGGCAGCACCAGCAGCCGGACCAACCTCAGGGCCGACGGCCTGGTGAGGTCTATTGGCGCTGGAAGCAGTCGCGGGCACAGCCGGCATGGAAGTGTATCGAGCGTGGCCAAGGCGCGTGTTATACCATCGGTTGCCACTGCTGTGCTGGTTACGCCCCCTCCGATGCAGCCCTCCGATGCCGACTTCGCGCCCGATCAGACACACACTCCAGGAGACGGGTCTGACAGTCGGCGCGAGAGTCGGCGCACAAGTTTATGCAGCAACGTCAGTGCCCGCGAGGACGGGACACACACCAACTCGGCCACTGCCCAGCTAGCAGCCAAGCCCATGGAGGCGACAGTCAGCGCGCGGGGGAGCTTTACCAAGCCCGTCTATCCACAGCCCCCGACCAGGCCTGTGGATGCCGACGACAACAACAGCATTATCTCACAAGTCACTGAGAGGCTGGCCGAGCTCACCATGAAGGTCAAGGGCAAGAGCCCGGCGCTTGCAGCGAACGACAATCATGCGGCGATGACGCCGATGCTAAGGGCCAGCTACGTGAACCCCTACTACGAGCCCACTGATCGCGAGTTTGTGGCAAAGCAACTGCCGCCACCTAGGAACGTCGTTGATTGGTCGACTGCCAGCGCCGACAAGGTGGCCACCTGGTTTTTAGACAACATCCCAGGCAATGTGGCGGTGGTGAACGCGCCAGCCAAGGCATTCGGCGCCCCGGTGGTGCAGCAGTCCTTGAACCAGGATTCCGACGACCTTTCTGACTACAGCAGCTCGTCCTGCGATTGCTCTTCGTGCTGTAGCGATAGTGAGGTCACAGAGTCGTCAGATTCAGAGGCAGAGCGCCGGCCGCCGGCGACAATGCCGCCTCTTTTAAAGCCAGCTGTGTTCTCTGAGGGTCATGCGCAGATAAAGGCGCTGCTTCCTACGAGCTATGTTCCGTACCCAGGCGTCACTCTGCCGAAAACGCCAGGGCTTGGCGCGATCAACAAAAAGGAGCCCACAGCAGAAGATGATAACTCGGACAAACCTCCCAAAGCATCGTCGCCAAAAGTCAACAGCGTTGCGGATGACGGCTGCGAAAATATACTCGGCCAATCGCCAGAAGACGCATCGACGCACCGCCCCATGCCACTTGCGAGCGATTTACAGCGGTTCTTGATTTTGAGCAAGCCTGGAAACCGGTTTGTCCCTATCGACATGGTTAATGGCGCAATGATGGCAACGGTTGAGTCTCCACAGGTGCCGTCAGGACTCTTAACAGGCGGAAACACGGCTCATATGATGAATGTTGACACGAGCGGTGCCATGCGCAACATCCAGCTGGCCATGTCGCTAGGGTTGTCCATTCCGCAGTTATCTGGGTTTGATTATGCAGCCATCTCAAGCTCGTACGTAGGCCAGTCATCCAGCTGGCAGAGTGGGAGCATGCCCTGGGCGCATGCAAATCCAGCGTCCACATACTCTTACGGCTCTGTCGCCAGTTATGCCAAGAGTCCTGCGGGTGCCCACGAGGCCACGATGCTGTTAAGGTCACACCCTGCCGCAGGTGGTACCGCGACTGATTCGCCAAGCCCACCGACATCCACAGCCCACCGCAGCAGTACTGAGGAGCCGCTGATTTCCCAGTTCCCATCCAATGAGGCCCTGAGCAACATGTCTGCTGGAAGCCCCTCGCCAAGAATATCACAGCAGATCTATAGCCCCATGATCCCCGCATCTGCCACTAGCTCCAGGCAGTCGCAGTCGAGCCTTGTTTCAAATTCAGTCTTTAACGCCGGGCCGGGAAGCGGGCCCGTGTCGTTGTCCTCAAACATGCGGTCGATGCGCAGCATGCACCGTATCAGCACCGATGGTTTGCGCAGCCAACACTTTAACCCTGGCTACGGCCCCAGCCCCATCAACCGCGGCATGTCTCCGAGCGGGTCCATGACGCCTGTTGCCGGCGGATTTCCGATCATTTCTAGCCAGCACGACCGGGGACACCTGGGATTCGCAGGCCTGCGCGGGTACATTGGCAACGGAATTGGCCGCCAGCGTTCCGGCGGATCGACCACCATCATTCGCACGGACGATGGAAACCCGCTCTCAGGCTACTTCTCGCCAGGGACCGGTGTCCCGGAGTCAGCAGCGCGCGGACAGAGCGCCGGGCCAATTGGTCCAACCGCAGGCTCGGCGATTATGCCCCGAGACCCATTCCCGGGCCATTCCTTGTCAGCGTCGACCAACGCATCGGCGGCCAATACAGTCGATCGCAGCGGTAGAATCCGGCTTGACAGTATGCGGCAGTTCTCGCGCGGCAATCACAACAGCCCGACAGTACCAGGAGTCCCATCAGCCTCCCCGCAGCGCGGCCAGCAGTCCATGCGCTACAGCCCGTCGGTGGCAGCGTGGTCCAGCTTCAAGGAGGGCAGTGTGCTTAGCACGATCCGAGACCAGGACGATGTTAACGAGGGTGACGACTATGCACCTGAGATGGCGCTTCCAAATCAGGCAAACACAGGTTCTGGGCGCTTTCCGAGCGAGCCGTTGCCAAACATGCCTGCCTCTGCCAACTACGCGAGCCCATTTGCGGACGATGCTGCTGCGCATGGCCGTGGGTACTGGATGAACACAGAGCCGCAGTCGGTCAGGTCTCAGTCTTCCTTGGGCACCGGTACAGGGGCCAGCACTAATCCTCGACTCATGAGCCAGGAGAAGGAGGAGGAGATTGAGGAGGCGCCGCAGCCCATGGAAATGGACGTGGCCACATACATGGTAGGCGGCGTTGCTGCTGGAAAGCGCATGCGCCGGCGAGTTAAAACTGAAAGTGGTTCAGACAACGCTGGTACCACCGCCGGAGTTGACGACCATATTGGCAACTGCGAAGAGGAATACGAGCTGAACGAATTGGTGTCCTTGGTCACAATGGATGGCATCATCAACTGCTACGATCCCGCGCGCAAGGTCAATCATTTCATCAGCCTGAACTCCAATGATCCGGTGCTGGGAATCTGGAAAGTCAAAATGCATGAGGACATCTGCCGCCCGTCGGCATTGCAGTCTATGCTTGAGAGGGAGGATGTCGACGAGAGCAGCAGCGAGTTGGTTGACCGAATGCTTCTTAATACCCCGACCAAACGGATATTCCGGCAAGTTGGGCTCTCGAATCGTGATCTGTTCCATGCCGTCTGCTACTCGACTTATGTTGAGGAGCGCGTGAACTTGGTCAACCGGATAGAGACGTATCGCCGCAGGCAGGCCAGGCGCCGCCTGCTCAAGGCTCGTGGACAGACGCGGTCGGGCTATGGGGCGATGCCCGGGGACAACAAATTAATGGCTGTTGCATCCAAGCGCGAGGGCCCGTCGCCGGTACTTTCGCGGAGTAATAAGATGTCGCGAATTACAAAGTCTGGTTTGAACAACCGAATCCGAGACAACTTGAACAAGTACAACCGCGTTGGTCGAGTAGTTCGCACGCTGGGCAACCACATACGCGACTTGGCTATTAGCAGCGGCGGGGGCAGTGGCGGGCAACAGGGTGCGGTGGACTCGATGCCCGCGTTGGTTTATGCGACGCCGTCGCAGATGGATACCGGCGAGACAAGAAGCGCAGCGCGCGGACAGGAGACTGAGGCCAATACTCCGGGTATGTCTGTGTCGCCTAAATCTTGCAGGAGGACTACTTTGCACCAGAACATGCAGGTTTCTGCCTCTGTCACCACCACCGCCGCCAACAGTGGCGGCATGTTGCTTGCTCAGCACGGCGGTGTCGATCAGTACGACGACGCCAACGACGCCACTGATGAACAGGATGATGGAGACAACGACGGGCACAACTATGGTGGCGGTGGAGCTGCGCGCGCGCGGAATAGTGCAGGCTTCGGAGCGCATCAGTCTCAGCGCCATTTTGCATTTGGAACGACTTCATCCAGCAGCAACCAGCTCAACAGCAGAAGCCACCTCACGTCGGCACCTCGCAGCTCGGTCAGCATAGGTGCAGTCCCGGCGCCCGTGGCCAGCAAGGGCTATGGTGCGGACATTGCCGCTGCGCTGAACGGGTGGTATGGCGAGAACAAGGATGACTACCGCCGGAGCCTGCGCGTGTCCGACCACCTTGTTGTCAGCTCATGGCGAGGCTCCACATTCTTTGTCGACGTCAGTACGCTGCTTGACACTGCGCACTATAACAATCTTTTTAATCACCGCTGGGAAACCAACGTGGCAGATATTGCCGAGTGTGTCATTGCTGCCGCAACCGCTGCAGCCAGCATGGCCGAAAAGGATGGGAACATTAGCGCTGAGGCGCGGAACTGCAACCTGGCCACTGTCTACGGGCAGCTCAGCGAGTTCTCGGACATCAGCGGCGTCATGTCGCGCCTGCGGGCCAATGCCAGCGTCATCCAGTTCAAGTTTCAGGACACGGTGTCAGCTTTTTTGGCGGACACGTATGCGCCGGCGACTGGCGGCCCCAACGTGCCGTGCATGTTCTACGTGGACTACAAAGACCGCATCTGGACGTATTACCACCTGGATGAGATTGCCGAGATGGACGATGTGTATGGGGCAACATGGTTCCGCGGTGAGCCCGAGTCTCTGAACACACCGACGTCTCGCGCGCGGGCGATCGAGTGCGGGGCCGACCCTGGCAGCTATGACAAGCCGTTTTCAGTCGTTGACCTGGCGTATCGGCGGATCAACCAGGATCCCTGGATCCCGTTGATCGGAGACGAGTCGTATGCAAATCTGGTAAACTACAACGACTGCGACTACCCGTACTCGGCTAAGACCTGGCGCAAGCGTGCCAACAGCCCGGGACATATGCCACATGAATTAGACGGTCAGGACAGGCCCCAGTGCAATCACAATGGACAGAATCAGCAGCGGCAGGAGCAGAAAGACGACGACGACGACAATCTAGAAGAAGGGCGGAGCTCTCCAAGCGAGACAGGCACGCAGGCGTTTGTCTCTCGGGCGAATGCCAACATTGCTGGTCGGTTCCACATGTCCTATCTTCCAGGGCCGCATCTGTGCCCGATCTGGGCGGACATTAAGTCGGTTGACCTGTATGACGTCGGCGCGTGCAACCTGCTCGAGATTGCCTCGCCTGAGCTGCTTGCAGTCAAGGAGGTGTTTTGCAAGGACCTTGGGCTTGATCCCAACTCTATCGACGAACGTGTCAACCTGGCCACCATACCTGGGCTTTCAAACTGGGTGCACCGCCGCTTGTACAGCTAAGCAGTTGTTCTTTCTATTATTTCCTTGGTGTGTTTTTTCTCTAAATAAATAAAAATATATATACTATTCAAGCGTTGCATTTTGGTCTATTGCGGAAGCGGGACGTTGAAAACATGGATTTGTTCGTCCCATCCGCATGATGCGATTTGGCCAGGGTGGAAGTAAGACCAGTCAATACCAAAGACAAACTCGGTATGTGCATCGTGCACAAAGGTGACAGAGCCATTACGCACATCCCAAACACTCGCCGACATGTCGTATCCAGCAGTGGCAATAAAGTGGGGCGAGAAGGGGCAGAACTTGACCCTGCGCACGGGGAACTCAAAGGGGCCAAACATCGTGACGCTTCCGCGCAAATTCCGAGTATCCCAGATTTTGATAGTCCTGTCGGTCGATGACGTGACAAACATGTCTGGAGAATACTTATTCCAGTCCAAGGAAACCACCTGATCTGTATGTCCACCGAACGATGCGATAGAGCGACTCTGGGGGGCATTGGTGCTCCACAGCCGGATGCTCTTGTCCTCACCGCAGGAGGCAAACTGATCCTGATGTCTGGGCGACCACGCCGCGGTGTAACACAGCCGCTGTGTTCCAAAAAAGTCTGCACCGAGCCCTGTGCATGAACTGGATTCCATAGCTTCACGGAGCCATCCCAAGACGATGATAGAAATGTGGTTTTCGCCGTATAGTTCCACTCCACGCTCATGACCTCGCGCTTATGCTCTTTCCATTTAGCCACCGGGTGGGTTTTCAATGTAATGTCCCAGAGCTTTATGCTGCCGTCACCGCTGGCTGAAATCAGTTGGTTTTCGTGGAGTTCATTCCAGGAGAGATCAAAGAGTCCATCCTGGGTGCCGTAGTGTTGTTGTGGGAGTATTGTTAGTGGGGAGTTGTTAGTGTTTGATTGTGTCCTGGAGTTATTGGTGTTGGTTGTGGTGGTGGTTAGAATGGAAAGGCGTCCGTTTCCTACTAGACCAAAGTTGGCGCTGGCGGCGGATGCTAATAGTCGGTCGGTGAAGGGGCTGAATTTCACAGCGTAGCCCTTGAACCCGGCGGTTCTGTATTTACAAGGAAACATTGTAAGGAAAATATATAAATCCAATGATTATAAGTATAAGTATAGTGGTACAGGGACAATAATTGAAGAAAAAAATGAAAAATTAGAATAGAGAAGAGAAGATAATAGTGATATGAAAAAGTACTGAAAAGTAGCTGGGCAACAATGCCGCAGTTTCTTTAAACTTTTATTTTGTTGCATTTTTTTGAGATGCAAGTGCATGTGACGAAACAAGATGTAAAGGAACAGGGTTTCTTGATCAAGAAGAGTAATAAATAAATCCATGATCAAAATATTTATCATATAAAAATATGTTAGAAAAAATTTTATTGATTCATTTTTACCTTTTTTTCCTTTCCTTTGCTTTATTTTATTTTATTTTATTTTGTTTGTTTTGTTTTCAGTTATATTCAAATTATTTTTCCTTCCTTTTTTTGTTTTTTATCCTTTATTCTTTATTTGAAAATAAAATAATGGTCAAGTCTCTTGAGCAATACTCGTCCAACGACGACAGCAGCAGCAACAGTGACAATGGAGAGTCAGATAATGAACTTTCACAAAACCTTTCTGGATCAGAAAGTGAAATAGAAGAGGAAGAAAACACGGAGACCAAAGCCGATCGAATTCGCAAGCAGCTTGCTGAAGTTCCCTTTAGCCAATTGATCCGGATTCAACAACAAATGGGCAGCAAAAAATTCAACCAAACGATCGCAGGAGTAAACGGGGGAGGAAAGGAGAAGGCATCGAAGACGAAAAAACAGGTTCAAAGGGCGTTGAAAATGCAGCATTTGGGACAGCAGATGGAGTCCGAGTCCGAGTCAGATTCTGCGTCCGAGTCTTCCGATAGCGGACCGGAGACTGTTTTGAAAAAACCCTTGGGCCGTAATGCCAATGGCAGTGGCGGTAAGGTGGATTTGCACCGGAATAGCAAAAAGATGCCCACTCAGATGTCCTCCAAGCGACCAGTCAGCCGGTTCCGCCAAGTGGTGGAAAGCACCAAGCCGACCACCCGCGACCCTCGTTTCGACAGTCTCTCTGGTAACTTTAACGAAGATCTTTTCGAGAAATCCTACGATTTCCTTGACAAGCAGCAGGAAGAGGAGATTGAGCAAATGCGCAAACAAGCGCAGCAAATAAAGGACAAGGACCCAGAGGAGGCCGAGAGAATCAAACTAGCAGTTGGCTCTATGCAGTCAAGGATCGCGGCCAAGTCTCAGAAGAAGCATACTCAGGAGCTTATGAGGAAGCATAGGAAGAAGGAGGAGGAGGCGGTGAAGGAAGGGAAGATGCCGTATTTCTTGAAGAAGAAGGATCTGAAGCAGATTGAGGTTGCTGAGAGGTTTAGTAGGTTGAAGGATTCGTCGGCGCTGGATACGTTTTTGGAGAAGCGGCGAAAGCGCAATGCTACGAAGGATCACCGCAATATGCCGTATCAGAGACGCGAGCAGTAATAGTGTATTTGGTTTTGGCTGGCTTTTTAAAAAGCTTGAGAATAAATTGGTCAAAGAAGGAAAACTAGAGAGGCATTTGAATTGTTGTCGGGCGTTGTTGGGTACTACTGTGATTGCAATCGATGGTTTCTGAGAAAGAAAAAAGTGATTGGTGATGGTGATGATGGAAGTGAGGGCGGTGGAAAATCCTTTGGGTTGTTTGTATTTTTTGTATCTCCTTTGAAAAACAACAAATCGAGGGACAGCGGGGATAGGAAAGAGGGGGATGAAAAGGATGAAAAGAAGGCACGCGCGTGTATGTTGAATGTTGAATGTTGAATGCTGTTGCTGTTGCTGTTGCTGTTGCGTTGATTTTTTTTAGATAAAAATATTTTTCTTTGCTTTTATGTACAAATTTACATTTTGTTATTTATATTTTATTTGTAATTTAGAACGACTATAGTCGAAAACCTGTCCAAAAGTATTTTTTCAGTTTGTTGTTGTTTGGGCGCCTGTGCATTATAATTTCATTTTTCCTTTTAATATATTTGGCAAGCACACGAGACCTTTTTCTTCTTCAAAGCAAAAAGGAAACCCAAAAACCCCACACCCAGCGCGCGGAAAGGAACAGAGAGAAGCAGCAGACAGGCAGACAGACAGACAGACAGACATAAAGTGCACATTTATATACTTGCGTGAGAGAGCAAAAAAAAACTTTAAAAAGAAGCAGCATACTCGTAGCGGAGGAAGGAGCGCGCAAACACATAGGATATAATGGCAAGTGGCTTTGACTCTGACTCTAAATTTGAAGTTGTAATGGATAGATTTCGCGAGCAGACACGCATACACACAGACAGACAGCTGATTATAGCACACGCACAAGGCCCTTTTGGCTTTTTTTATAAGTGTAGGGCAACGGACACTCCAACTCGAGGAGCGGCAACGGCAACGGCAACGGCAACGGCAACGGCGGCAGCGGCAGCGCCAGACGCGCAGCCACAGCAGATCCAGGTGTCGGCACCGCCACGGCCACGGCCACGGCCACGGCCACAACTGCAGCCACCACAGCCAAGCCCAAGCTCGGGAGCCTGCCGCGGCGCGAAAGCATGGGCGTGGTAAATATCCGGCGAGCGCAGCTCCCGCCGGCGATTTCCCCTGCAACCTCAACCACGGCGCTAGCGACGTCCCAGGGCTACGCGCGTGGCGGGATGGATTTCGCAGCGCCGCCACGGCCACGGCCAGCCACGGCGCGGCCATCGACGGCGCGGTCGCGATTGTCGCATGGGATGAGCGGAAGCAGCTTCAAGGAGAGCAGCTTCCAGAGCCCGTCTATGGCCACGGCCACCAACGCCATTGGTGGGTTTGGCGCCAGCCCATATATGCACTCGGGCGCGGCCAATGACAGCCGCATTTCGCTGCTGTCGATGGTGGGCGGCGGGGCGGCGGTGGCGAGAGGGAGGACGCGGATGAGTTTGCCGAGGATGAGCATGCGCGGATGGTCAAGAACACCAGGTCGTCGCGCGCGCTGTCGAATGGCGGCCACCACCAGCAGCAGCAGGTCGGCCGTCCGCGCAGCCGAACACAGTCGTCGGAGGTAAGCACACCGGATGAGATAACCACGCACAATCCAACTACGCCATGTCTTGCTGAATCCAGCTGTGCCATGCCTTGCTGAATCCAACTACGCCATGTCTTTTTATTCCCTTTTGTAGCAGGGCATCGTCACGGTGTTCAGCGGCGTGCAGCTGCCGCCTCGGCTGGACGCAGACCTGGACGCTCTGAACAAGCTCGCGCGGTTCCGGCCCTGTTTTGGCTCCGTCGAACAACCGGCTCTCGGGGCTTTTCCACAGCGGGCCGCGGTACATCGAGCCAACGGCCGAGCAGCTCAACCTGGACGAGACCGAACTGACTGGTCTGTGCTTCAGCTTCCGCGAGCACATCGCGGTGCGCGTCGCTGCAGTGTGCGAACGGCAAACAGCGGGAATTGGCGCGGCGCGGCGCGTGGGCATGCGGGCGGCGGACACACAGACGCGTGCGGCGCAGGCGCTGCAGGCGGCGCGGCAGGCGCAGGAGGGCGCCGCGGTGCTGCGCGGGCTACAGCGCCAGGCGGAGCGCTCGTATGAAATGATCCAGGAGATCCTGCGTGATCTCGAGCGCCTCGATGTGCAGCCCAGCGCCGCCGAGTTCCCAGCTGTCGCGCGGATGATGACGAGGCGCAGGAGCAGGGCGCCGCGCCGGTCGCTGGCGGGATCGGGGTCGGGATCGGGTGCGGGTGCGGGTGCGGGTGCAGGATCGGGTGCGCCTGGGCCTGGGCCTGCGGCCATATCGCCGGTGTTTGCGCCGCGGTCGTCGTCGCTGGGCGCCGCAGAGTACTTCAGCGCGCCGGTGACGCCGGCCACCACCGTGTCGTTCGACGGCGGCGCCCTGGGCATGGGCGAGGCCGCCAGCATGTCCCTGGTGGCTGCGCGCCACGTGCGGACGCCCATATTCGGCGGTCGTCGCCCGACATCCGTGGCTGCGCGCGTCGGCGGGGTTGGCGCTGGCACCGGCGGTGGGCCGCAGAGCCGCAGCGAGGCATCGCTTTCGCGGGCGCAGGCCGTGTGGTCGCCGCAGATTGCCGAGTCGTCGGCCTTCGGCAGCCCATGCGAAGCGCCCGCAGCCGTGGCTGTGGCCGTGGCTATGGCGGCGCCACGCGGGCTTTCGGTGCGCACGGCGTCGCTGGCGCCGTCGCTGGCGTCGTCGCCGGTCGAGTCGCAGCGGTCGCCGACGCCCGTGGGGTCGCCGCACCCGGTTGAGGCCGCGCGCATGCTGCGCCAGGTTATGGATCAGCCGCGGATGCCGCCGCCACCCACCATTGATCCCGATCTGCAGGCTGCCCAGCAGCAGCAGCAGCAGCGGATGTCCACCTGGAGTGCTTCGTCGGCGCGCACATTGGCGGATGACACGGCGGGGCGCGGCCGCGTTATTGCACGCCACCGCGTGGCGGCTGATCTGGGCCTGAGCGTGAGATCCGAGCTGGAGCGCCGCGTCAGGTCATTTTCGGCATCTGAGCCAAATGCCGCTATGCGAGCGGCGGCGCGCCCGCATTCTAGCATGGGCTTTTTGCATTCGCCTAGGCTCCTAAGGGTGTCCGATAAGCTGAGCCTGTCAACTTTGCGCGTGCTGGACGATAACGACAATGACAATGATAGCGAGAGCATGTCGTCGGTGTGTACGGAAAGGGTGCGCCCGTCGACACCGGTGACCCCGGTGACTGGGAAGCGCAGAGCCCAGACCATTTCCACTACGGATTAACCTCCTTTTTTCTCATTGTATTGTTTTGGTTTAATCCTTTTTAGCGTACGGATCTCGGGACCACAATGCTATTTCACTGCAACAAATATTTTCCCAACTATTGAGGAAACCTTGGAGATTACGTTTACGCACTTACCCGGTGACCTAGTCACATATCACGGTGGTTATGGCCGTCAGTTGTTTATCACAAGACAGGGCTTTGCCTAAACAGAAATGGCCACACTTTCTCCTTTGACAAAGTGTAGAAGTTTTTTGTCCAGTGCATCAAATTATAGTTGCTTGCTTTCAGGCGTCCACTATGTTCTTGTACTCGTATTTGTGTTAGTGTTTATCACTTTAAAGAAATAATCAAAAAAAAGTAGCTCAGATAATGTCCTTCCGCTTGCGCAGGGCCAACAGAGGCTTAGCAGCCTTCGACCCACTGGCGATCCTCGGGTTCATCCGCCCGATAACTTCAAACCCATCCACCGCTGCTTTCTTCAGCGGCTCCACCTTATCGACCATCTCCACGCGCACGATCTCCTTAAGCTTCAAAATCATACCTGCTATCTCATTGTTAATCGGCCGGTACGCTACATGTCCGCGCCTTTTCAGTCCCAGTGCTAGTGCGTTCTCGCGTGTCCTCGGGTGGAGTCCAATGGAAGACCGGTGGAGTGTGATTTTCCAGAATTTCCCTTCCGAATTTGCCTCCGGAACACCGAATGTGCGCGGTATCGTAGGAAGCGTGGTGGTGGTGAGTGTTCTTTTGGCGCACAAGGAGGGTGTGAGTGCAAGCGTTTTTTGTCCAAATGTACGAAGCATTTTTTATCTATTAATTATTTTAAAAAAAGGGGGGAGAATTGAAGAAAGTTGAAGAGCAAAAAAAATAAAGTGTGATTGATAGCACTATTTTTTTACTTTCTTTTCGAGTCGATTCGATGTAAATTCTGCCATCATTTGCAAATACGAGCCGTAGAGCCTTTTTTAATAGTCAATCAACAAATGCATCGAGCCGATTGATTTTAATATAAACATTTTGAACAGCGATGGCAATTTACGCTAATTAATTCTTTTCAAACTAAAACTAGTAAAAAGACAAGCAAAACTGAAAATATGTATTAAATAAAACTTGAGACCCCTTCCTATTTTTTTACTCAGGACCTGTGTTTAAACAGCTACAAATATAACAATTCACTAGCGGAAAATCCGCACCACTGCTGCAAACGGAATTGAGACTTTTCTCTTTTAATTTGTTAGGCAAAGATAAAAATAAAAAAAATAAAAAAATTGCACATTCCCCTTATAATTGATTAAAACCATGTCACCCTATTACGCTCTGGGTATGCGTGACTTTTAAACTTTTGCTATTTTTCTCAATAATAAAATGAACGGCTTATTTTGATTAAAAAAAATGCGTTGCTTTCAATACGTTTCATTCTGTTTTTCTAAAAATAAATTTTTTCCGCACATTCGACAGTTAGTACAATAATTTATGCAAAAAATAAATGAAAATACAAACATAATGTAGTTCTTTTCAAATTTGTGGTGATCCTCACCACATAAGCTCAGCTGAGCCGAGAGCTTGCGAGCCAAGTCGATGCCAATCAGGCAATAATGCAGCAGCGGCCAGGATTTTATAGCTGTCTATAAAATACCAACAGCAAAGGCCCAATAAGAGGTTCCCTCAGCTTTTGTTTTAATAAAGATGTATTGGACTAATCATTTCTGGCGACTACTACATGCATATAATTACAATGTTATTTCCCTCTTTTTTCACTTTTCCCTACCCCTTTTTTGTAATTCATCATCTATTGGCTTTTCTCACTCATTTTATAGTGTATAGGGTTTACCATTTTTACTATATAACATCTTACTATATAACATAATACCTACCTTTATATTAAACAGCGTTATTTACTTTATTAATTGCTAATGACTAATATTGTAAATAAGATTTAAAATATCTTTATCTTGAACCTGTTTATAATAAACGGAGAAACGCCTACTGGCACATCCTTCAACGTTGGAAAAAGGGTAACCTTTGAACAACTTCACAATGCCATTGCTTTAATGGATATAGTAAATAGTTATGCAATCTGCGTAATTTTAGATAATGTTTTGCAACCACCAGTTGTGATTCCGTTCAATAGACCCCTTAAAGGATACATTACTAACAACAACCATCTCAAAAGGAATATGGTATTGCATAGTAATATTATATGTAAAATAAGAGTTAAATTGGACTATGCAGGCCATAGTCTAGATGCTAACACATTCAGTTTCTATATTCTTGGTCCTATTAAAAATAATAAAAACCAGGTTCTGCCTGAATAAAGGAAGCCCTGCTAGACCCGCCATTTGCATCTCTGGGTGAGATATTTTTAATACCAGCTCCAGACTCAGGTACATAGCTGATCCCCACAAGGGGGAGGGTGTTTTGGTACTAGTTCAATGTTTTCTTATTTTTCTACTTAATATTTTCACAATAATACTTAATTATCATCAGTTTTTACCCGAATAGGATATTTGCTTTTTTGAAGTACAACGTATTGGTTTTGAGTGTTTGTTTTATACATTCGCTAATGGTAATACCCTGATCGATTGTTTTATATAAATGAATGTTTTAACTGGGATCTTTGGGACCCAGCTGCAGATCTCGCGGCTGAGACAATCAACAGACCCCAAGTGTATCCAGGACCAACAGATAACATATTGGAGGAACTCAAGGAGCGTGTGGAGACCCATTATCAGGACAAGAAGTTGGACCTGGATATGAGGTGCAGCTGGCAGGATCTTACAAAGGACAGGTATACAACGCTGGTCAAGAAACTCCAATGGGAGCGCGCAAAACAAGCAATGGAGTTTGTAAACGGGATTATAGACAAATAGCACAGTTGGTACAAAAGACAGTGTGAGCTGCAGATTGAACGGAAAACACGTGGATCATTGACACCTAAGAAAAGCCAATTGCTGGCGAGGCTCTAATCTCAACAAACACCCTGAATACCAAATCCGCAACAAGACGAAGATGACAGCCTGCCAAAGTGGCTGCGGATAAACAGCGATGAGGACAGCAGAAATGCACACTAGCTATGGTCACTATTGACACTCTAGATGGCAGATCGAGTGATCGGGTTTAAAAGTGTTACTAGCACCCTGGCGGACAAACTTCTATCGCCAGGCAATTAAACTCAAGTCTGGAGAAATCCTAATTACGCTGCCCCTAGAATAACTTTAGTTATAGGAGCATGTAGCCAGGTCTGCAATAGAGACCATCTTGGGTAAGGTGGTGCAGTAGACAATCAATCTTAATTGTTAAATTTAGCTTATGGTTGTTACTTGTTTTATATTTTGCACAATAGATTTATTTTCTTTGATTTTTGGTTTATGTCGGACCCTCAATATAAGCAAATTCATATTATTTACAAGATTTCAACAAAACACATGTTACAGACACACAGAATGAGCTGTGTTTTCACGAAGTGAATGTTTACCCGCAATTCCCGCTTTCATGGCTAAGTTGTGCTATTGACTTTGTGCTTGTGTGCTTGTGTATTTAAATAAATATAGTTCAGTATTTGTGAGAAGACTTTAGAACGTATCAATATATCTCGTGTTAAAACTAATTCCAAAATTTACTAGGAAGGCCACTTATTGAGTCCTCCCTAATTGCCCCTTTATAGGCAATTTAAACCCTCAAATACTACTGTATAAATGCCCATTTGGAATTAATGCAGTAGTTCGCGGCCTCTCGGCTCAAATGAGCCTACGTGATGATCTGTTTCGGCATCACAATTTGTTCGTTCCTCTGGTGTATTTATTAATATCCAGTTCATATGCTACCAAAATAAGATTAATATATTCATAGCAAGCACAAGCTGGAGTTAAACAAACTATTTTTGTATAAACAATAATAGCTGACATTTGGTGGTGTGAGAAAAGTGATGACTGACTGTGTGGTGTTTATTTTTGTATTCCAAGGAATAAAAGTTGACTGCAATGCGGCCGTAATTGTACAAAGAAATAAGCAACATTCCCATTTGACTGCAAGCAAAATTTTTTTACAACAAATTGGTTCTGGACCTATTTGAATCCACCACCTGACAAAACGTGTCGTCTCTTTTTTGTTCTTCCAGCTTTTACTTTATAAAAATAGACCCACGTAGCAAGCCATAGAAAAATAATAATATAAATAGCCTTGTGTTGTCACGGGTCAAGGTCAAATGAGAAAAATAAATTAAGAAAAAGGGGAATGGTAAAAGAGCAAAAAAAGGTAAAAAAAGAAACAAAGCAACCCTTTGTAATTTGTTTAAGTGTTCGCATATTTTCTCATCTTCCTCCTTTTATTTTCTCATTTTTTCATAATTAACAATTTGTATTTCTTTCCTTCAACTCTTATTTTACATTAATTAATTATTTCGTTTGGCCAAAAATAATCAGTTAACTTTATATAAACTATCCAATTTCGACACTGAAAAAATGCCACCAAAACCAACAAGCACGGTTCCACTAACGGAAAAAAAGAATTTGTCGGACAATGACATGCTTAATTCGTATATTAAGCAAATTAAAGCTGGTAATACAATACATTTTCAGAAGGAAGTTACATTTATGGAGCTTCGCAAGCTAATTAAGAAAGCATACAAGGTAGGTACTAGTGACGTCAATTATTACATCACACATACTATAACACAAAAAACAAATACTATATTAGACAGCACGATAAAAAAATGTATATATGAAGGACCCATTCTAAAAAACAAAATATTATTTCCCAGTCCCCCCAATAATAAGGATCTTGTCTGCAGGGTGAAGATTGTGGGCAACCAGCAACCACATAATGAGTTCTCAATTTCCATAAGTAATAAAAAGAAAAAGTAGGCTTCTAATACGCAACATACAGAATACTGTTTCCGCACCCATTTTGTATTAATAATAAATAGGTTTACTAGTTGTCATGCTTTTCACTGTGTGCATATGTCAACCTTAGTCTATATATTATATATTTACAAAACTTTAAATAAAACTAACAAAAATATCACTCATTAAAAATCCATCCTTTTAGAAAAAAGGCACACCATTCGATTGGTAATGTATAATACTGTTTACCTTGTACTCCACACATTCGTTGATAAGCGTCCAGCTAAAACAAAAAACAATTGAGTATTAGTAATACAAGAAATAATCATTGAAACGAGAGCCTTAACTAAATAACAATTAAAATAGTTAGGGAAAAAATGTCCACGTCGTAAAAAGTTGGTTCCCAGGGTGACATAGCGCACATAGTCCAAAAAGAAGACGCATGCTAAGAGTCCAAGAACCAGGCATCGATATGGTGTGAGGTTTGATATAGCGCAAGCTCGATTAACGAACTAAAGCAGGGCAGCAAGAAATATATCTTGCCGACCTGCTCTTGTCAGGAACTAGCAGACAACGAGTAGGAAAAAGTCGTGCCTGCATTCCCGCAAACGCAAAAATAAAAATGTCGATTTTAAAATTTAAATTTTGCAGAGATTCATACCTTCAATTGCCTTTCTATTTGCCACTAAAGGGGCTTGAAATGAAAAAGAAAGAGGAAATTGACGATTGAGAGAAGAGAAGAGCGAGAAAAAAATGTGGGCCGGGTTGGTCCCTTTTTATTTTTACATCTGAAAATTTTACAACGGCTCAGATAATTGTGAAGAAAAAAGTATCGATGACCGGCTCAGCTCGAGAGCTCGGATCCACCATGCGCGTCACTTGTTTTTATGAACAAGCCTAAAAACGATTACCTCAACTTCCAACTTCCAACTTTTAATTCCAACTTTTCCAATTTTCTTTACCAATTCAAGCGCAACAAAATGGCAGCCAGCGGCGATTCCACAGACCTCAAATTCTTAGTGACACCTCGAATTCAAAAGGCATGCCGGCAATGCGTCCCAAGCCTACCTAAATCGAGCAAGTTGCGAAAAGAGCTTGAGGGGCTTTCCAGAGCCAAGCTTGAGGTGGAGGCGGCTACAATTACGCTATCCAACATCAAGGCTCTCTCCCAGCAACTGACACAACTCGACCACAAACCCAACGATGGCAGCGACATATGGATCCACCAGCTGCTCCGCGGCAGTCGCATACACATTGAGGTACCCAAGCCAAAACCCCGCAACCCAGAGCTGGTCGCCCGGCTGAACAAGATCAAACAGCAACTCGAGGAGCAAGAGTACATGAAGATGACCGCAAACATCACACCGCACGCACAAACAACTGCAGCAGGCCAGTCGGAGGCAATCAAGATGAATGAGTCGCTCTTTCCAGCGATTCCCGGCGTGCGGGTTGGGCAGTCCGCCGGGAATGTGAGCGTGAAGCAGGAGATGGCTGAGGTCAACCAGCAGATCTCAGTTATTATAAATATTCTGTTCAGCGCTTTGGGCGTTGGTTTTGCAGTTTCCTACGCCTCTTATGCGTTGACCTCGGATATTGGCTGGCGCATTTTGTTAGGGCTTGGCGCTGCTGTGGTCACTATTCTGGCCGAGACGTGGTTGTTTGTGTTCGCCAGCACGCGCGGCCAGAAAAAGAGGTTGCCTGGAAGCTTGCAAACCAGCGGTCCGCCCGCTGACGGTCGCAAGATCAAGCAGCAGTAAGCCATGCTGCATGTTTGGTGTGGTCGGCTGTTGCGCTGCCTTGTTGCCAATATACATTTGGGGTTTAAATTAATACACAAATCAAAAAAGAAAATGCTCATTTAAAAAAGCAGGGCTATGCGTCAGCCGGAGGGGACGGCCACGTATACATGGCAAAGGGTTCAAGCATATCCCTGATCTGCTCGTACAGGCGCTGCACCTGCGGGTCATCGTACCTGCCACCGGCCGCGAGATTGAGCCTTTGCGCGCGCTCATACGCGCTCAGCGCATGGCTCACCTCAGGCTCGGTCTTTGAGCCGACCAAATGCATGTCAGCTCTGGTGCACGAAAAGGAAAAGTGCTCGGCCATTTCGGCCAATGACACACCGACGCCCGATTGTGCGATAAGCTCGGCACACCGGGCCACGGCATCTTTGAGCTCCTGTTTTGCCGGGTGCCACTCAGGAGCCGCGTTCGCGCACAGCAGGCCCATCGACAGCGGGCTGGCAGAGATGATTGTCTGGATGCCCGCCGAGCGCAGCTTCGGAATAAACTCGTTCAGCAGCTGGCAGTGCAGGTTGAAGTTGCAGTACGATAGGCACACGTCAAGCGGCTGTCCGCGCTGCTGCTGGATCTGGGCAATCTCCAGCAACGTGTCCAGTGGGTATCCGCTGATTCCCACCTTGCGCACGACGCCCTGACGCTTGAGCTCAAACAACTCTGGCAGAGCCTCGTCGATGACCTGCGTGACATCGACAAACTCGACGTCGTGGCACAGGACAATGTCCAGGTAGTCCGTGTGCAGGCGCCGCATACTCTCGTGCACGCTGTCGACCACACGCTGTGCGCTATAGTCAAATTCGGCCTTGGTGTAGCCGTAGCGTCCGAGCTTGGTGCAGATGTGGTATGATGCCCGCGGAAACTCCTCTTGCAGCTCCAGCAGTGCTTTGCCGAGTCGAACTTCGCTGTCGTTATAGTATGGCGACGTGTCGCATATGTTCATGCCACTGCTCAGCGCCTTGCGCACGGTTTGCACGACACTGTCCTGGGATGTAATACCGTATGCTCCGCCAAACACCCCGCAGCCAAGCCCGACCTTTGAAAGTTGCAGGGCATCGGATTTGACAAGTTCCATTGTTGCTTTTGAAGTAAAAGTAGATAATGCAAAGTTGGGGTTTCCCCAGGAAACGAAGATGGCGATTTAAATATTGTGGACAAACGACAGCGCAAACATGTGGCCCGGCGTAATTCCACTCCACCACTACTCTCCTGCCATTTTCTTCACCAATCAACCAACTTCCGCTTTTAACAAGGACTCGAATGCAATTTTAATTGAAATATTTATTGTCTGCGAAGAACACAAAAATGCAGAGCACACGCCAAGTTTTCCCGATTTTAAAGAAAGAAAAAACAAAAGCAAGCAGCTCTTAACGGAGACGACGGGCCTCACGCTCGGACTCGAGGAGGGTCAGGATGTCGTTCTCGCGGACGGGGCCGATGACGTTACGAATGATCGAACGGCTGGTATCGTCCATGAACTCAACGCGAACCTGGGTGACACCACCACGGGAGCCAGTACGGCCGAGGACCTTAGTGACCTTGGCGAGCTTGATGGGAATCGCGGCGTTAGCGTTCTACAGAGTTTAATAAAAAGGTTGTGCTTTAGTTTTAGTTTGTGTTGCTTGGTCGGTTGTCTTTCTGTTAAAGTTGAGGTTCCGAAGGTCCGCAGTTTCGTATGTATTGCATTGCCTTGCTTTGTTTGCAACGCATTGAAAGTCTGGCCAAAAAAGGAGCAAAAATAGCAACAGCAACAGCAGCGCCAGTTTCATTGTCACTGACAGTCATGTCTCCCCTTTGTTATTTTTGGGCATAGCCCCTGCCCAGCAATTGACCAAAGATCCGCTGTGCTGAGTACCACTCCCTTTCCATTTCTCACACACGCCTGCCAGCAAGCTGAAAACCATGACCTGTTTCTCCACAATAGTTTGTAAAAGTATAGACTGCACTGTTTTGTAAACAAAGCGAATGTCTTAAATTCAAAATTGACGAAATTTCAATTTCAAAATTCATTCCATTCGCCCTCGTTCCAAATTTAAGTAACAAGTCCCTGTGCTTCTTTTTCGTCAAAACAGCGTGTGTCTAGCCTCTCCTTTTGCGTGCGCATCCATCGCTAGTATCCATTTGCGCCGGATCCAAAATTCAAAAATCCACCTACCATTTTTTCTGACTTTAAGAAATTATGTATCTGCTACTGTGAGGAAAGAGGAAGAAAATCGGCAAGAGCGCGGACAGCGCCAATTGTTGTTGGGCCACCGCTTGCTTTTAGCTAGAGTATTAAAATATCAGGGCGAATCCATCGTGTTTCGCGCAATCTGTGGTGGATAAGCGCGTTAATAATGTTTTTTCATTCGAGGCGTTGTATGGCTCGCCCCGACTCGGCTCTGCGAGCTGATTGTGCATTTGGACAGACTCCAAGCTCGATTTTCTCCCTTTCTCCTCTTGGTCCCCAGTGCATTAATTATTGTTAACTAACTCACTCTCGCTTTCATCGCTTCTTTTTATTTGCTATTTCACTCTCTCTTTTTTACACTTCAAAATGGCATTCACTTCGCCGGAATCAGTCGGACTTTTGCACTGGAAGCAGCAGAACCAGATATGGCGGACAGCAAGCAGCGGCAAGGCCTACCAAGAGGAAACATTAAGAGGCCGACCACACTCCAGGCTACCGCTCGATGAGAAAGCATATGACCACGTGTTCAAAAGGCTCGTAATGGATAGGCAACCGCTGAAAACACCTCTTCCACTGCCCGATGCCATCCCGATAATGGTCCATGGCTGGAAGCAGATGGGTGTCTGGCCGACGGACTACGAGGCTGCTAAATTCCAATAAGGCATATTTTCTGCAAATTGTGTCACTGCTGGGGCGCGCCCCGTATATTTTTATTTGCTAGTCCGAGAGCATGCTGCTAGCTATTGAGTTTTATTATTGTATATTATTTTAACATGCGCTGTGGGCATTCTATTTAGCCAATACACACATGTTTGCTACAGCCCTGCAGCCTAGTACAGGTGCATCTATCGGCTTTAATCGTACGTTAATCATTATTTTTAGCATTGGCGTTTGAACGTGTATAATTCCTTTTTTAATTAATAATTGTCGATTACTTACATTTAAAGCTCACCCTGGCAGATTGGGGACACGGTTATGCCATTGTACAAAGGCCAAAGACACAAACAAAATAAAGTATTCTTTTGAAATCAAAAATTCAATGCAAAAAAGAGGAAGTAATTAAGCAGCAAAAAAATTGAGCAGCAAAGCATGCAGCTGTTTAAAAAATATCTAATAGGAAATTTAAAATTATGTATGTTTGCCACTTTTTTTTAACAACGCATTTTATATTTTAATATATATATCTTTTAAACATGAGCAATAAATACAACGCAACAATCTTATATGGTATGGGAAAATCCAATTCCGCATACATATACGATAGTGTTAACTTTGGTACTTTTAGAGAACATGTTCTAAGTTTTATTGAAAGCAATTTTAAAAGTTCAAGTGCTAGTGCCAATCGTAATGCAAAGTATCTCATGTTAATCAATGGTAATAGTTTTAATTTAAATTGTACATGTAAAGATAAACTAAAAGTGAATGATGTTGTGTATGGTTATAATCCTCCACTAAAGAAACATATAATCACAATTCACAAAGGGTTTTTCAGATGTTGTCCGGTCCGAGGGCTTGTATGAGGACATTGAGGCTGAGATGCATAAAACAGGTTATTGTACCACATTTGTTCATTAGTTTTATTTTCATTGTTAACTTATTAGTAAATACAACTAGAACATATTTCAACTGATTATTGAATTTCTACAAAAATTAAAGTACTGTGTAGTCGTTGGAAGCGTGGAACACTGTTGTTGTGAATGTGGACAAAGGGAAGACAAATAATAATCAACTGAGCAGTCACAGGGAATATTGTTAAAGAGGTAAATAAAGGTATATTAAAAAACTGAGGGTATCCTGTCTTCATGACGGAAACGCCTCAGTATATATTATAAACAAACTATGACAAGTGCGCGGCATCTCCAGCGCTGCTCACATGTAGACAACTAGTAAAATTAATACTATCTTGATGCACCTCGAAATTGCAGTAATGTCTGCTGTTGTCATTCTCTGGCTAAAATAGGTTCAATTATGAACACCGCTCGGCTTTACAATTGATGTGATTGGAAAGAAAATAGATACATTGTGCGAGATATAAAACAAGTAAAAGACAAAACCTAATGTCGATAAATAAGACCGGATGCCTACCGCCCCACCTTGCCCATCATGGGCTCTATTATAGACCTGACTACATGTCTATACCATCAGATCTACTGCTGGGAGAGCATAAACGTCTGTGCCCATAGTCAAAATAAGTGTAAATGAACCTGATATTATTCAGAGAAAAAATTATCCCTCAAAAAAAAACTCAACAAGGACAAAAAATCATCCAACCAATTAACTTACTAATTTATTCATATCAAATAACTTTATTATGGACATTGAATCGACAGACATTATCCGGCTCATCGAGCAATTTCTCAAGGAGCAAAAGCTACACAAAACACTAGAAACATTGCAGAGCGAAACTGGTGTCAAACTAAACACCGTAGACAGTATCGACGCCTTCAAAAGCGACATTATCAAGGGACACTGGGATGCAGTACTAACCAACGTCGAGCACGCGAACATCCCACAGGATAAGCTCATCGATCTATACGAGCACATAATCATAGAACTGGTGGAGTTGCAGGATCTAGGTCCGGCGCGCGCACTGCTGAGGCAGACAGAACCAATGGAGCTTCTGCGTTCGTCGCAGCCTGAGCGGTACATTGTCTTGGAACAGCTTTTATCGCGGACGACGTTTGATCCTAGCACGGCGTTCAAGGGAAAGGGCGGGAAGGAGGCGAGGCGACTGAGGATTGCACAGGAATTGGCAGGGCTGGTCAGCACGGCGCCGGCTAATCGGCTGCTGGAATTGCTCGGGCAGGCGATAAAGTGGCAGACGGAAAGACAAGGTCTGGTGGTGGCCGATGGCGCGCCCTACGACTTGTTCTACGGCAAGGCCGTACAGCCCCTGATGCCCTCGGAGGACAAAATGCCGGACACACAACTGGCCACAGTGAAGTTTCCCAAGAAGCAGCACCCGACCAGCCTGGCGTTCTCCCCCAGCAACGAGTACCTGGCTACGGGCAGTGCGGACGGATTCATCGAGGTGTGGAATTTCATGACCGGCAGGCTCGCCCATGATCTCAAGTACCAGACGGACGGCGCCCTGATGATGATGGAGGGTGCGGTCATCACACTGGCATTTAGCCATTCCGGTGACCTTATTTGCTCTGGCGCTGCTGACGGGAAACTCCAAGTGTGGAAGGTCAAATCAGGCACCAGTTACAGGCGCTTTCCAGCCGCGCATAGCCAGGATATCTCGTGCGTGTGCTTTTCCTTTGACGACACGCAGGTGCTAAGCGGCAGCCTCGACGGCATCCTGCGCATTCACGGGCTGAAGTCCGGCAATATGCTCAAGGAGTTCCGCGGACACTCAGCGGCCGTCACCGGCGCGGTGTTCAGCCAGGATATGAGCTTGGTTGTCAGCACATCGGAGGACGGGTCTGTGCGGATCTGGGACGCAGGGTCGGCAGCCTGCATTTATTCTGTGGTTCCTGGCGCCGGCGTTGACGGGCTTATTGTTCCGGCCACCCACGGCGTGCTCAGAATCCCGGATCCCCCTCGTCTTTTGTCGTTTGCACAAAATCGCCCACCATGTATATTGTTTCGGCTCAGGGAAAGGTCGAGCGGACACTAGCGCCCAAGGACGAGTCTCTTTGCAAGGAGTTTGTCACGGCGGCGATTACCCCCCAGGGCAAATACGTGCTGGCAGTTTCGGACTCCTCCGTCATGCACTGCTTCTGTGTTGAGAGTGGAGAGCAGATGGGCGGCGGGCACAAGGTTTCGGACGCCGAGATCATTGGTATGGCCAACCATCCGAAGCTCAACGTGGCCGCGTTCTTTGGACAAGACCGGCGCGTGCCCATTTGGTCCGGGTTCTGAGGCGAGAAAGAGAGTCAGCAGGACATCACATGCTCTTTGCCCCACAAGACAAGCGCATAATATTAAGGTATAGATTTCTAAACATCTTTATTTTTTTTTTTGCTCTCAGCTCAACTCCATTAAATATCACACTTTTCTACTGTACACAACGATAATCACATACAGCACGCAAATGGAATTTGACGACAAGTTGCTGGCCGACCTGGACGACCTGGACGAGCTAGACGGCGAGTTCGGTGGCAACGATGCACCGGCCGCCGACAGCATAACCCAAGACGGCACAGGAGCAGCGCCGAGCGACTTTGACTTTGACTTTGAAGACAACGAAGACCCCAACACCAATATGACAATACTTGGCGAAGCCAGCAATGCCGACGGCCTAGGTTCCGAGCACGAAGCACTGATCGGCAAACTCGCGTCCAAATCCAACAACATCCGCAGCATCGCCAAAGTGTACCACAGCGCGGAACTGCGCACACTCCTAGGCCAGATAAAAGAAAGCCAGAGTGCGATTGACATTGACGGGCAGATGATCGGGCGGATCGAGGACAATCCGGATTACAAGCTGGTGCTGCGGGCAAACGAGATGTCCACTAGGGTGGCGGGTGAGATTCTGGTTGTTCATCGGTTCCTCGTGGACCACTACCGGGCACGATTCCCGGAGCTTGAAGCTCTGGTGCACGGCCCTGTTGACTACGCGCGCTCCGTGCGGGCGATCGGCGGATCCACAGATTTAACCAAGGTCGAGCTCGAGGGTATTCTGCCGAACGCCACCCGCATGGTGGTCACAGTGACCGGGTCGACGACATCAGGGAAACCCCTGGAGACAGCCGAATTGGCACGCGTCCTGGAGGCCAGCGATTGTCTCCTGGCGCTCGCCGAATCCAAGCACGAAATCGTCCTCTTCATCGAATCGCGCATGCCACTGATCGCGCCAAACCTCACAGCAGTCATTGGCTCATCCACAGCGGCCCAGCTAATTGTCGAAGCCGGCGGGCTCACGGCATTGAGTAAGATCCCATCGTGCAATATCCAGGTGCTCGGTAAGACACAGCAGGCGGCCACCGGGATGTCCTCCTTGACTATGCGCAAACACGTCGGTGTTGTTTATTACTCCGACGCTGTGCGCAGTGTGCCGGAGGATTTCCGCCAGAAAATGCTTCGCAAAGTTTCGGCTAAATGCGCGCTCGCCGCGAGGGTTGATGCGCAGCATGAGTCGGCGGATGGTGCGCTTGGGCGGCGGTTCCGGGCAGAGCTGGATGCTCAGGTGGAGAAATTGCTGGAGGCCGCACCGATGAATGCAGTTAAGCCGCTGCCGGTGCCCGATGAGGGGCCGAAGAAGCGCAGGGGCGGGAGGAAGGTGCGTAAGGCTCGCGAGCCTTATATGGCGTCGGAGCTGCAGAAGCAGCGCGATCGCCTGCAGTTTGGCACTTTTCAGGAGGAGGTTATTGTTATGGATGAGATGGAGGGCGCCGGTATGCTGGGTCGGTCGGTCGGCCGTGTGCGCGCCACGCAGATGAACAACCGCGCAAAAGCAAAGGTCGCGAAAAAGTACGAAAAGTATATGCGCGCGCCGACGGGCACGGCGACATCTGGGCTTGCGACCATTGCGTTTACGCCGGCGCAGGGCTTTGAGATCGCCAATCCGGGCCAGGCCGCCGATGCGCACAAGAACAAGAGGACCAAGACCACACACGACAAGTACTTTGGAACAAGCACGCCATTTGCTAAAAAGTAAATATTATTTTCTTGGACTGAACACGAAACAAAAAAAATGATTCTACAGACATGTGCGTGGTCTAATGGTAGAAGGCAAGGTCGGTGTTCTGCTTGCTCACGTTGGCCTTGTAGCCGGTCTCGATATCGGAGGGCAAGATGACATAGCGGTTCTTGCGCACAGCCTGCATGCCGGCCTCCTGGCAAATGGCCGCGATCTCGGCACCGCTGAGCTTGTCGGGGCGCGAAACAAAGTCCTCGAGATCCACCTCCTCGGACAGGTTCATCTTGGCCGTGATGGTCTGGAAGATCAGGCGTTTCTGGCGACGGTCAGGCGTCGGGAACTCGATTTTGCGGTCAAGACGCCCGGGGCGCAGCAGAGCCGGGTCCAGCGTGTCTGCGCGGTTAGTCGCCATGATTACCTTGACGTTAGACGTCTGGTCAAACCCGTCCATCTGGTTGAGCAGCTCCAGAAGAATGCGCTGCACCTCGCGATCAGCACCTGTCTGCGCATCAAAGCGCTTCGTGGCCACGGCATCAACCTCGTCAATAAAAATAATCGACGGCGAGTTCTCACGCGCAAGACGGAACACGTCGCGAACCATGCGCGGACCCTCTCCCAAGTATTTTTGCACAAACTCCGACCCATTAACGCGAATGAACGACGCCGACGTATGGTGCGCAACAGCCTTGACCAACATGGTCTTTCCGGTTCCAGGCGGGCCATAGAGCAGAACACCACGCGGAGGGTCAATGCCAATTTGCCGATAAAGGTCAAATTGCGTTAGTGGCAACTCCACAGCCTCACGAATCTCCTGCTTCTGCATATCCAATCCACCAATATCCGAGTACTTCACATCAGGCCGCTCGTCCGCGCCCAAAAGCGCAATGCTCGAGTCTGCCTCTGGCGGCAAAATCTCAACAACCGCGCTCGAGTGCCGGTGCAACGACACCGAGGTATTGGGCTTCAACAGTTCGCGGTCAATGGTCGACATGATGCGTGCCAGCGTTGTGGGGCCTGCAGTCGACACCACAATGCATGTGTCGCGATCAATGGGCTCGAGGAACTGGCCCAGGACGAGCGGCACTGCACGGACGCGTTTGACCTCTTCCTGCGCGTATAGGAGCTCGCTCTGCAGGTTTCTTTGTTCGTCCTTGATGTACTCCTCCTGGAGGTCAAGCAGCTCGAGGTGCCGCTCAAGGCGCTTCTGCCGCAGATACAAGTCCTTCTCGTCCAGTTCGCTAAGCAAATCGGGCCGAATCAGAGACAGACCGAGATCGTTGATTCCGGCGATGGTTTCAGCCGGGCGAATTCCAATTTCTTCCATCGCTTGGTGTTTGTCTGCTATGCCTTTTGGATTGCAGGATGTTAAATTCAGGAGGAGGAAAATGAGGTTTGTGAAAGAAAAATAAAAAAGCGGTGGTTTTAGCAATGGTTGTTGTTCAGAAAAAGAAAGGAAGCTTTTATGAGTGGCCGAAAAACGAAGACCGAAACAGCCTTTCGCCTGACAAAATGCATGACGCAAGTTGCAATCCGCGGCCACGTAATTAATCAACCCGATCATGATTAAATATCAATTATCAATGCCAATTGTTTAAAAAAAATAAGGGTCGGACTTGGTTTTTTCATGCTGTATTTATTAACGCCGCCCCTCTTTTGGATGGCACAGCACAAGCTGCAAACTGGCGGCTATGGCTTCTCCTGTGGATGATGCGGGTTCCCCACCTAAAGAAAGCGTGCCTGAAATCAGATGGCAGTTTTAGGAACAAGAGATACTGCGGCAAGCCTAAACGTACGTACCATCTTCAACTGCTTCAGCGAGGGATTGGAGGATTCCTGCTCTGTTCACGCGATCAGTGCCAAAAGACGATTGGGACAAATATGCGCAGAATTTGGCCTGTGTCTATTGCCCACTACCAAACGAGCAAGTGGTGTTTACGCCTCACTTATTTATTCTCAGCAGGTTTGAGCCCATTCTCAATTAGCAAGTCTGAATAATCAAGCAAGCAAAGCAAGCAGGCGATAATGACTTGTAGAAAGAAAGAAGAAGAAAAAACCAATTGTATTAAAATTAACGCATAACATGAATTATATTTTTTTAATCTAGTCGCCCATTACCACGTCACTGTCTGCATCCGAATCCGAGCCTGAGTCTGAGCCCGAGGCAGATTCAGGACTTGACCCAGACTCTGATTCAGAGTCATTGGTGGAACTCGTGTCTTCATCCTCTGAGCTATGCAAGGGATCCTGCAGCATCTCGATCCGCGGCGGCTTCGCCCCCCTCTGACGTCTCGCGATCGATGACGGTTTAATAATAATCCTCGATCCCAAATCATCCGCATCACTCCCACCATCCAATCCCTCCAACTCCTCATCCTCCTGCTGCTGTTGCTCATCAGGACGCCGGCCAATAATAATACCCTCGGGATCTTCCTTCTTGGGCTTCATATCAAAAACGCCCAGGCCCAAATCCATCTCAATATACTGTTCCTCTTCGTTTACGTTTTCAATATCCAGTTTATGCGGATCCTGGGCAACATCAGCTTGGAGTTTTTTGTTGGCTTCGGCTATTTGTGGCAGAAACGCCTGGAGCCGCGAGAGTAGACCGGAGGGTGGTTCTATGCGGAATGTCTTTGGTGGCTCGGGAATGGGAGGTTTTTTTGTGTCTAGGAAGGCCATGGGGCTGCTGGGCGGCGATGAGTGTGGGCTGTCGGGGATGTTTAGCAGACAGTTGCTGTTGCCAATACTGGGTTTTGTGTTGTCCATTTAGTATTGTTTTTTTTGCTGTGGTGTGGTATGTTTTGTAAAAGGTTTCTAAAAATACAAGTTTGCAAAAGAAGAAAGAAAAAACTGAACTAAACGAACTAAACTAAACTGAACTGAACTGAACTGCAAAGAAGAAATAGAAGAATAAAAAAGAGGAATCGGAACCAAAAAATTTTAGTTGGATGAAAAAAAGAAGAAAAATTTTAATGAGTAAAAAAAAAAAAAGATTGACGATTGTCCAAAAAAAATTTGGAAAATTGATTTTGGCACGAGCAGGCCTTGTGGGTTCATTCACGAACTCGTCCTGGTTGGCGTCACATTTCAATTTTTCTATCTGGTTGGCATCACATTATGCGCAGCAAACAAACAGACAAAAGATTATAATATTTTCTTTTACGTTTTTTTTTATTCATTTTATTACATTTACAATTTACCTTTTACCTTTTGGATTTTGGATTTTCAAGGTTTAAATGTCTGTAATTCGAAAACTTCTCATACAGGGCATTCGGTCGTTCGACCCACAGAACCAGGATATCATCGAGTTTTATGCGCCGCTGACGATTATAGTCGGGCAGAACGGATGCGGCAAGACAACAATTATTGAAAGCCTCAAGTACATCACCACCGGAGAGCTGCCGCCAAACAGCAAAGGCGGGGCATTCATCCACGATCCAAAGGTAAACAAAAAAGAAAAGAAAAAAGAATCAAAAATATTTATTCCCCGTATGCGCCGCTTGTATAATTTCTGCTTCATTAAAGATCTAATGCGCAATATTATTTGTTTAGCTTGCGGGCGAAAACGAAGTCAAGGCGCAGGTCAAGCTGCGGTTCTACAATGTCAGCCAGCGCTCAATGACGTGCGTGCGATCAATCCTGCTAACGCAAAAGAAAAGCACAGTGACCCAAAAGACACTCGAGGGCGCACTATCATTCGACGCAACGGCGACCGAGGACAAAGTAAGCATCAGCAGCCGGTGCGCCGACCTCGATGCCATGCTCCCGGAGCAACTCGGCGTATCCAAGGCGGTCCTTGAGAACGTCATTTTCTGCCACCAGGAGGAAAGCAACTGGCCACTTTCAGAAGCCTCGGTGTTGAAAAAAAAGTTCGACGACATTTTCGCTGCCACGCGGTACACCAAGGCGCTGGAGTCGATTAAGGCAATACGCAAGAGCCAGACGGTGGAGATCCGCGTGCAGCGCGGGGAGCTGAAGCATCTGGAGGACAAGCGCGGCAAGGCAGAGCGGGTGCGCGTGGAGTACGAAAAGTCCACGGTGGCCATTCACGAGTTCAAGGTGCGGATTGCTGAGATTCAAAGGGCGGAGGAGGAAGTGACGGGGCGGATCGGCGCGCTGGCCGAGCAGCTGCAGGAGTTCATGGGGCTGCGCACGGTCGTGCAGGGGCTCGACATGAGCCTGGAGCAGAAGGCCGCCAGCTACGAGGAGATGGCGGCCAACACGGCCAGCCTCGACTTGGGCGACGCGGAGCTCGGGCGGCTGGCGCTCCAAGTCGCCGTGCAGATCAAGTCGCAGGGCTCGGATATCCAGGCCAAGCGGGACCACCGCGACCAGCTCAAGGCGCAGATCGCCGTGCTGGCAGCCACAGTCCTCCAGGCCACTGAGGAGAAGAGCGCCCTGCAGTCGGCGCAGCGCAGCTTGGAGATGAAGGTCGCCGGGCGCAAAGAGGCCGTTGGCGAGATCTGCCGCGCAACCACGCCGGCCATCGAGGCGCCCGCCGACGATGCGGAGCAGCAGGCTGCGCAGTGCATTGCGCGGCTCGAGGAGCTGCTGGCTGCGGCCGAGGCCGACCGCCAGGCGCTGCGCCGCGACGCCGAGGACAGCGAGCGCAGGCTGCAGGCGCAGATAGCGGCGACGCAGGCGCAGATCAACGGCTTCGACGTCGCCGCCGCCACATGCGACAAGCAGGCGGCCGCCGGGCGGCAGGAGGCGCAGGCGCTGCGGCTTAAGCACGCCTCGCTCGGCAGCGGCGGCGGCAGCGGCGGCGACGTGCAGTGCGAGCTGGACGCCGAGCGTGCGCAGCTGGCCAGCGCGCAGGAGCAGGGCGCAGAGGCAGTGTACGGCGAGAAAACCAGGGTGCAGCGCACCGAGCTAGCGAGTGTCGCCGAGGAGATCGCGCAGCTGAACGCCGAGATGGCGCGCAGCAACCAGCAGGCCGACACGCGCGCGAGGCTGGCGCTGGCGCGCTCCGAGGCGGCCGCGCACGGCACGCGCATTGCCGAAGGCGAGGCCGCGGCCGGCGCCGGGCTGGCCGCGCACCGGCCGCGCGAGGGCACGCAGCACGACCGCACGGCGCCGATCGCCGACGCCGTCCGCGCCAAAAAGCAGGCGGCCGCCGCGTTTGCCGACACGGCCAAGGCCGCGCACGCCGGGCTGGCCAGCACGCGGGCGCGGCTGGACATGGCGCGCCAGGCGCTCGTGCGGCAGACGCAGGACGCGGCCGCCAGGCGCCGGCGCATCGCCGATGCCTGCGGCGCCGACGCGTTCGACGGCGTCTACGCCGGCGCGCAGGCGGAGCTCGGCGAGCTGATGGAGCTGGCCGGCCACTACAAGAGCGCGTCGTCCATGTACCGCGCGTACATCCAGAAGATCGAGGCCGACCATGCGTGCCCCGTGTGCATGCGCGGCTGGCCGTGCGCCGCCGACGAGGAGCGGCTCGTCGCCAAGCTGAGGCTCGACTACACGGCGGCGCCGGCCGAGCTGCTGCGCATTGCCGGCGACATTGAGCGCAGCGAGTGGCGGCTCGAGGAGCTGGGCGCGCTGCGGTCGGCCGTGCGCGACGTGGCCGAGTGGGACAGCGGCGGCCGCGCGGCGCTGGACGCGCAGGTGGCCGAGCTGGCCGCGCGCGCGCAGGAGCTGGCTGCGCAGGCGGACGACGCCGACATGGAGGCGGCCGTTATGGGCGCCGACGTGGACGCGCTCGACGCCTTGCTGGCGCAGGCGCGCGAGCTGGCGGCGCTCGAGGCGGCGCGCAGCCAGGCGGAGCGCCAGGCCATGCGGCTCGAGCACGAGCTGCAGGCGACCGGGTCGGCAGCGACCGCCGACGAGCTGCAGGCGCAGGTGGCGGCGCTGCAGGTGCGGGACACAGTGGCGCGCCGCGAGCTCGAGCGCCTGGCCCAGGAGCGCATGCGGCGCCAGAAGGAGATCGGCTTCCGCCAGGACGCCGTGCGCGCGCTGCAGGACCGCCTGGCGCTGCTTGCGCGCCAAGCCGAGGAGCGCGCCGCCCTGCTGCGCCGCATTGGCGAGCTGGACGCGGACGCCAAGGCGCGTGACGCCGAACAGCTGGCCGCGCATGCGCAGGCTGCGGCGCTGGCCCCGCAGCTGCGGCAAGGCCAGGCGGCGCTGGACGCGTTCCGCAGCGACGCGCGCGAGCGCGAGGCGCAGGTGGACCGCCGCGCGCGCGGCCTGGTCCAGGCGAAGGACCGGCTGGCCATGCTGACGCGCGAGATTGACGATACGCGGCGCCAGCTCGCGTGCCCGCCCGGCGAGCGCCGCTATGCCAGCCGCCTGGACATGGCCGCGGCGCGCCTGGACGAGCTGCAGGTGCAGGCGGCGGACGCGCGCGAGCTGCTCGACGCCATTGCGCAGGAGCTGCTTGAGTCCGACCGCGCCGCCGATAGGCTGGCGGCGCGCCAGCGCGAGGTCTCGGACAATGTGCGGCTGCGCGCGAATCTCGCTGAGCAGGCGCAGCTCAGGGAGCGGCTGCGCGAGGCGCGCGAGAAGCAGGCGCACCTCGAGCGCCAGCTCAGCGCTATTTACGACGACGGCTCCGACGATGACCAGGAGACTGGCAACCCTGGTGTTGGCCGCAAGCGCCAGCGCCAGGGCCAGGGCCAGGCCCAGAATATGGGTGCCCGGCTGCAGCGGCGGCGCGAGGAGCTGAATGCACGCTTGGCGCAGCTGACCAGCGAGCGCGCCGGGCTGCAGGGCGAGGTCAAGCAGCTGGAGGACCAGGCGCGGCGGCTGCAGGCCGAGCTGGCGACGGACTTCCAGAGCATCGACCAGCGCTACGTGCACCAGCTAGTGCAATGCAAGACCGAGGAGCTGGCCCACAGCGACCTGGAGACCTACGGCAAGGCGCTGGACGCCGCCATCATGCGCTACCACTCGCTGAAAATGCAGGATATTAACAAGATTATCCGCGAGCTGTGGATCAACACGTACCAGGGCAATGACATTGACACTATTGAGATCCGCTCTGAGATCGAGGGCGCGCGCAATAGCCGCTCGCATAACTACCGCGTGGTGATGATCAAGGCTGGACATGCTATTGATATGCGTGGTCGGTGCAGTGCTGGTCAGAAGGTGCTCGCTTGCCTTATCATACGATTGGCCCTGGCTGAGACCTTCAGCGTTAACTGCGGGATCCTGGCCCTGGACGAGCCCACTACTAACCTTGACCAGGAGAACATTGATAGCTTGGCCCGCAGCCTGGCGCGCATCATCAAGTCGCGCCAGGAACAGCGCAATTTCCAGCTCATCGTCATCACCCACGATGAGATCTTTATGCAGTTACTCGGCAAGTCCGAGTACGCCGATTACTACTGGCGTGTGTATAAGGACGAAAATCAGTGCTCGGTATTTGCTCGTCGACCAATCGCCAACAACTGAGGGAAAATATTATTATTATTATTATTATTAAATCGGCAGTAAGAATTCAGAAATCCCCCCATATTTTATTTTTCAAAGCTGCGTGAAACTTGTGCCCTAAATTTTAACCACTGTCTCTCTACACACTCGAGTATTTTTAATTTTTTTCTCAATTTTTCCAAATAAAAAAATTTACAACAAAAATCTAAATAAAATATCCACCCCCCAACCACACTTCCCACCCTTTTTTCCTTTCTCTGTATCTCTTCTTCCGTTTTTTTTATTTTCTCAGTACACACTTTCACAACCAAACTAAACCAAACCATGGTCAACACATACATTGAGAACTGCATCAAGGACTGGACCCCGACGCACGCCAAGTTGGCCGAAATGGTTCTTGACAAGAACGGCACTGTGCCGCTCTCACAGCGCTACCGCGCGCTCTTCAGCCTCAAGGGCATGGGCGACGACATCGCTGTACAAATCATCGGCGAAGCCCTCGCCAACCCAGCAGACTCTGAGCTCTTCAAGCACGAGGTAGCATACTGCCTGGGCCAAATGGGCAACAAAGCAGCGATCCCAGCGCTCATCGAAGCCATGGCCACAGAGTCCCTCCACGATATGGTGCGCCATGAGGCTGCAGAATCCCTTGGTGCGCTTTCCGACCCTTCGGTTATCCCGGAGCTCGAAAAATACGTTAATTCTTCGTGCCAGCCCCTGGCAGAAACCTGTGTTTTGGCTTTGGAGAAGATCAAGTTTGATCATTCGGCGGAAGTCCAGAGTGCCGACCCGAGCCCCAAGGATCGCGCCTATGCGTCAATCGACCCTGCGCCGGCAACTACGGCGACCAAGTCAGTGGATGAGCTCAAGATAATTTTGTGCAATCCGGAGGTTGGCCTGTGGAAGAGATACCGGGCGATGTTTGCTCTGCGGGATATTGGCACTGAAGAGGCTGTTTTGGCTCTGGCAGAGGGTATGGAGACGGATAAGACTAGTGCGTTGTTCCGCCATGAGATTGGTTTTATTTTTGGCGAAATGCAGCATCCTGCGAGTGTACCGGCGTTGGCAAGGATTTTGGCGAATTCTGAGGAGGAATCAATGGTGCGTCATGAGGCTGCTGAGGCTTTGGGATCGGTGGCTACGCCTGAGGTTAACGGGATCTTGGCCCTGTATATTAATGACGCCGAGCCGGTTGTCCGCGATAGCTGTATCGTTGCCCTGGATATGTTTGAGCATGAGACGAGTGGTGAGTTCCAGTACGCTGTTATTCCTGAGGACGAGTCTGTGCCAAAGTCTGCCGAACTCATTGCTGCCTAAACTCATTGGCAAATAATAATAAAACCGGTCAAAGCTCACAGCGTTTTATAAAAAAAACCCTTTTTTCTCTTTCTCTCTCAATAAATTAATTAATTGTTTTTTTGGCAGTCTATTTATTTGAAGAAAAAACTATTGTTCTTTTAGTTAGCAATCCTTGTCGTTGTTGTCTGCGAAAAGCACAAATCTGATAAGCTGTGCGACAACATGCACATTAAGGCTGTTCCCAATAAGCTTTAGCTGCTGACTCTGGTTGATGCTTGGAGGAAAAGAAAGCGTGTATCTGATGGGCTTCTGCTTCTGCTTCTGCTGCTGCGCAACTTGAGAATCCGATTTACACTGATCTTCCCCAACATTGTTCTCCTCATAGGGAAAATGGTGCAACCGGGCAACCTCTCCAGGAGAAAAAAAGCGCAACCCAAGATCGAGCAGTCTCTCGGGAGATCCGAATCCATTCTCTACAATATCCAGCCTCCTAGTCTGCAGCAACGACCCGGATCCAATCAAATGCTTAGATCCATATCCCTTAGTGAAAGTCGATGTCAATGCGCTCGACGCCACGACAATGTCGAACTCTAATCTTTTGCGCTTTAAAATAGTCGCCTCCGGCACCATCAGGGACTCCACAGTGTTATTGGCCTCGTCGATATACGACGAAAGGGGTGGCATTGGCTCCACCACTGCTTTGCCGGTTGCCGGATCAAACGGCCACTGGGTGAAAACCGCCTCACGACCACGCCCCAAGTACTCCGCCGTCCAACGCTCACTCTCCTCTACCGATTTACCAGGCTGCGTCTGTCTGGCAGTCAGGAAATACCGCAGTCGGTTATTCGGGATACCAAACTGCACAGGAGACATCAGACACTCGTGAATCTCAAACCCCATTTTGCCCAAAGTCTCGACCAGCAAAACCCTGGACCGTGAGTTTTCGAAATTCATAACGTTTTCGAGAAAAAAATGAGTCGGAATATGCTCCAACTGGGGCAAGAGCTTGAGGAGATGGATTAGGCCGCGCGCACGGGGATCCTCGTCATCCAGGTATTTGCCTCCCCGAGTGTATGGCTGACACGGCGGGCTGAGAAGCCAACAGGTGGCCTGGTGTTTGTCAATGTCCTGGGGGTTGAGAAAATCTATTGCCTTGTTGTTTGGTCGCTTGTGGAAGTTATGCTCGTAGACGCTGTTGGCGTTTTCGTTCATGTCAAAGGACATGGCTACTTGGGCGTCGATACCGCTTGATTGGAGCCCATAGTGCAGTCCGCCGATTCCGCTGAAAAATTCGAGACACACAATGGTCATTTTTTTCAGCTTTTGCAGGTGTCTATTTTTTTTAAATGAGAAAATATTTTTGTTATTTTTTATTTCGCCTAAAATTTGCCCAACAAAAAAATTAATTTTGCTAATATGAACTTTTGTTTAAAAAGTATGGGGAAGGGGGTTCCTTGACTCTCTTGCGATATTTTTTGCTGAAAATTGTTTAATTAAACAAGAACTAATTCATAAAAAGTGTTACACGTGTCACTTTTATTTATTTTATTTTGAATAAATACATATGAACATGTGCAATAGAAACGGCTACAGATGTAGATGTGCACTAAAAAATAATTCATTTAGATTTTAGGAAATCAACATTGTTTTGAAAAAGTTTTGGCAATAAAAATAAATAAAAAGAGCACTACTCGTCGTCCATGATTTGGATTGCCACATCTTCGAGGTGAGGGTAGTTGCCCCTGTTGTTGCTAACAACCTTGCGGAACACACTAGAATGTGATGTCCCAACATGAAGAATCTTCAGCGTTCGAATGCGCATCAAAAGATACTCAACAGCCCGCTCAATCATCCGCTGAGAATGAAATCCGCTGAAGGAATTTAGCTTGAGCCTATAAATGTGTGTATCGAATGGCACTACCACCGTCGAGGCTGAGGAATCCTTTGGCTGCTTCTTGCCAGAAAAAAGTACCGCGTGCTTTTTGTTCCATTTAATGGCTGTAATCGTCAGAATGCGCAAGCCCGGAAGGTACTGCAAAAGCCCAACTACAGCATCAAAGTGCAGAGGAGGAGCAACCAGTGAATAAAGGTGCAACCAATCAATCAGCTCCAGGTTGAGCAAAAAGTCTGGCTGGGACAACGCGTGCGAGGCCTGCTGAATAAAGCTACCAGAGTTGCTAAACAAACGGTTTGTCAGCGAGTAGTACTTGTGCATGTCCGAAAGAGCAATTGTGGTAGTGGCAATATGAAGCTTATTGACGGTTTCGGGCATGACCAACAAGCACTGTTCAATACACTTAAAGTCACCCATAGCGATAAAACAATCCAAGCTTGTTGGTAAGTAAGTGGAGTGCATGATACTACTGATATTACAACTGTCCTCAAATACCAGTTTGTGCAGGCTAGGAAACCTTGGCTCGCACTCGGGGACAATTCTCACTGACGCATGGGGTGCATATGCACGAGAAAACGCAAGCTGTAGCTGGTTGAGGCGGGGGAACACAAGTTGATTAGCCGCAGAGCATCCATCAAAAAGGCAGCGCCACGAAAACCCGACAATCATATCCGTCAGCGTCAGAGACTCTAGCGTTTCGATACAGGCCCGAGGAAGCTTGCTGTCGCCCACCAACGTTGCTGACAGATGTAGTTGAGTCAGCTCTGGCGAAATGTAAGACATGGTTAGCGACATTGGCAACTGAAAAGCTTTAACTGCATTCAGATGGGAACCAAGTAATTCGATCATTTGGTTTGCAAAAAACGCGGCCTCCTTGGAATCCACATCAATCTTGATTTCGGTGATATGAGGCAGGCAGTTCGATATTGCCCACGCATAATAAGAAATATCAAACAAACCTGTTGCCGATTCGTCAAACAAATCGTCAAGCAGGCTCAACGTGTCGCTGCTAATATCAATGATCAAAGATGTGACATTGGGCCACTGGACCACTCGAAACTTTTGCATCATCTCCACTGCGTACGCCAGCTCCGTGCGAATGTTGGTGAAACTGTCAATGTCAATCTCAAAGTCCGTCACATAGCGCTCACAACCAAGTGTGGCAATTATACACAAATTAGAATCAATTCTCGTTGATTGGAAGACGCTAAAAGCAAATGGCGGAAATGACATGACCCGATCCCTGAATGTAATATGAGCCGAGTTCAAATTGATTGCGAAAACAAGCTCGCGCCACTGATGGCACACAGACAGCATTTGACGCACCCAAGCCGACTGGTTTGGCCGACAATTATGTGGATGCAGCGCAAACACAAAAATATGCTTGACAATGTGCGTGGGAAGTTCACTAAACAGAGCCATTGGTTGCTGGGCAATAATAATCAAGGAATAAAATAGAGCTCAGCGTGTAAAACAATAAAGAAATGTGATGCATGCTTCCGGCCAGAGAGCACCATTTAAATAGTCGTTGGAGTTGGGCAAAAAATATATCAATGATTGTTGACGGCATACTGCCGCGCTTTATCGGAGTATATTATAATAAGATTGGTTGTTATTTTTTATTAGGCCAATGCGAATCATTAGCATATGATTCAGCTTGTCGATTTAAATTAATGTCCAGCAAAGATTCAACCACCACCAACAATGACAGAGCCGGGAGAAATTCAACACGACCTAGATAGCTGTCTCATTTTTGCCCTTTGATCTGGAATGAATTAATAATTTATCTGCAAATCAATTTCAGGCTCTGGAAAATAAAATTCAAGATTTAAACAATTCAATTCAATCCAATTAAAACCCAAATGCAAATGCAAATGCAAATGCTCAAATTATAATAACCGTTTGGCACAATATAACTTTCTAATTATTATAAATATTTAAAATATTTTAGGGTCGAGTAAACAATATATATATTTAGAAATATTAAAAATATTAAAACATTACTATATTGTACTACCACAGTAGCTATATGGCACAGTATGGAGATTATACAGGCTTTGTGACAACTACAATTATAACATCATCACCAAGTAGAATATTGCTCGGCATTAGGTCTTTCAGTGACCAATTGTCTTTGCTCGAACGCTTAGCCAGGTTGTACTCTTCTGTCCCAATAGAAAAGTAATAGCTCGAGAAATCTATTTTAGGATACTTTTGTGCCAATTTGCTTTTAAGATCCTTTAGAAGTGTGGCGGCTTTCAATTTATATTCCAGGGTGATTCCTGACGGGAACATAAATCCTACGTTGTAAGACATGGGTTTTAACAAGTATTATATTATAAGTATAATTAAAAGTGCAAAAAGTATATGAAAAATAAAATAAATAAAAATACGTTGTTTATCTATGCTTATATATTGTTTTTGGAGTTGGCTGGAAGAAAACATGAAGGATAAATCAACCTTTGTATATTACCTATTAATAGCATATATGTAATGCGATTTGGACTAGCTATAATATATATTAATAGAAATGAGACTACGGGAAGAGCTAAAGAGCTCACTATTCAGAATTCGCCGTACGCGTAAAATATCATAAACATATTTTACGCGTCTGCGCTGTCACGTGACTCGGCCCCCATTTCTGATGTCACATTCGCCCCTACTTAAGATCAGACTCCGTCGGTCTTGGCGATAGCGCGCGCGGTTAAATATCGTTCATATGCTTCTGTCTCATCCACGCTACTCTTGTCCTCCCATGTTCGTCCTTCTATTCCATATCCTTCCCACTGCACCAGGTATTGGCGTTTTCGCCTCCACACACGGTCGTCAACAATCTTTTCGACCTGATACTCGAGGTGTCCTGCAACTTCTACAGGTGGTGGTTCAGAGCGGAGTGCGGCACGGTGATCGTCGGCAGCATGGTATTTTTTTAGGTGTGACCACGAAATGACCGGGTGAATGCGCATGTCGAGTGGGAGTTTGAGGCGGAATGCATTTCGGCCGATCTGTTCTTCGACCTTGTAGGGCCCAGCCCATTTATGTTGCAGTGAGTTGCTGGACCGGTTACGCAGGTAAGGTGGCGTTGTAAAGTTCGTCGAGATCATTACTTCATCGCCTGGCACAATGTCGGGTGAGGTTATCTTCTTGTCGTGGTTTCTGATCATGCGTAGCTGTGCGAATTCGATGTTTTCCTTGACTATTTCGCTAATCTGTTTAATCTTCAGGATTGTATCGTCGGCGTCGGTATTGGGCTCAGCAGTTTCCATGTTGAAGGCGATGGTGGCGGCGTTCAATGGTTGGAAGCTATAATTTGCATAGAATGGGCTGTGCTGTGTCGAGCTGTTGCTGCGACTATTATAGGCGAACTCTGCATGCACTATGTGTTGGTTCCAGTCGTTTTGGTAATTGTTGCACGTCGCACGCAGCATTGACTCCAGTATCTGGTTCACACGCTCAGTCTGTCCATCAGTTTGTGCATGGCCGGCAGTGGACATGTTGAGTTGCGTTCCAGTTTGCTTCCACAGTGCCATCCAGAATGCAGAGCGGAATTTCGGATCACGGTCTGATATTATGGACTCGGGCAGGCCATGTTGGCGGTAGATGGTCTTGAAATACAGGTCGGCGGTTGTCTGGGCGGTTGCGGCATTGTGTGTTGGTACAAAGTGTGCCATCTTGGACAGGCGGTCAACGACGACCATGATTGCATCATATCCGTCCTTTGTCTTAGGTAGGCTGACAATGAAGTCCATGCTCACACTTGACCAGTTGCGTCGCGGGATCTGTAGCGGCTGTAGCGGTCCATCGCTTGGCCTGTTGCTGCCTTTGACTCTTTGGCACAGGTCACACGTTGTGACATAATTCTCGCAATCCACATACATGCCTGGCCAATAGAATAGTTCACTCAGCTTGTCGTATGTTGCTTTTATACCCGGGTGTATTGCAGCATCATGGAACTCGGCCAGCAGTAGTGATCTGTCTTGCTTTGTTCCGACGCAGCGGCGTCCTTTCTTGAACAGGACACCACCCTGTGCATGGAATTTGTTTGTAATGTCGCGCTCGGCTCTGGATGTTGGTTCTTCGCCACTACTAATCCTCTCCATAATTTTCTCCAACTTGCTGTCGCCCTTGTAGGAGTTCTCAGGGTTCGCGCTCGTCTTCAGCGTTAGCGCTTTGACAGCAGCCATGCGGACTGCTATCCTCCCCCCTTTTCCTGAAGAGCCGAACCCGTTGGCTCCACCGGCTGTCTCCTCAAAGGACTTGACCTCAGTGATGTGTGAGTGTGCGATCTTGGTTGGAATCAACTGTGCTATGCGGTCATGTGCAGCGAACGGAATCTCTATATTGCCTGTGTTGAACAGGAGTACTGAAATCTCACCGCGGTAGCCCCCGTCGACTATTCCTCCGAGCACCACAACACCCTTGGCAGCCAGGCTACTGTGTGGGGCAATGCGCAGGTATGTGCCTATTGGCGCCTTGGCGGCGATGCCTAATGGGACAAGGTGTTGGGCCTTGGGCTCGAGCACAAACTTGGTTATACAGTATACATCAAATCCAGCGTCATCTGGATATGCCTTGCAAGGCATCGTCGCATCGTCGTGTAGCAGCTGAACCTCCATGCTGTTGGCAGTTGTGCGTGGCACAAACAGTGCGCACAGTTTCCATTTTTCAAATTGGTCTATCAGGTCGTCGTTGTGCGTATTGTCCTTTGGCTGGTCAGTCTCCATGGTTGCACTCGTCGTTTCTGCAGCCACTGTCTCTTGTGTTCGTTTGGCTTCTGTTTCGGCTTCAGCGCGACATCCGCGTTGGTAGTTCTTGTAGTGCAGCGACTTGCGCACATATTCAGCACGGTTTAGTTCTCTGCGCTCATCGGCAGTCAAATATGTTCTGTCGACCACGGCTGGCGTTGGCGGAAAATTCGTTGTCTGTGCAGCTGGAGTGGTTGTCTTGATATTGGGCATGGGTATGGGCATAGGTATAGGTACGGATGTGTGTGCGGCGTCATCGTTTTTACTCGTGTTGTTCAGCGGGGCATCATTTAGTGGTATAGCTGGTGCAGTCAGTCCTGTCGGTGGCGTCAGTGCCATGTGTGGCACCTTGCCTGAATGTGACGCTGCGTATACTATGTTGTCGGGTTGCGATTCGAGTGAGCGTGACAAGCCGTCAGCAACTGCATTTTGAGCGCCCTTGCGGTAAATGATTTTCATGTCGAATTCCTGCCAGATATCCAGCCAGCGGGCCTGGCGCGGGGATATGTTGTTTTGCGTCTTAAGGAACTCGATTGATTTGTGGTCTGTAATCACTTCAAACTTGATGCCATGTAGGTAATGCCGCCAGAGGACCAGTGCACGAATGATTGCAAGAAGTTCTTGCTCGTGGACTGCATAGTTGCGCTGTGCTGGTCCCAGCTTTGCCGAATAGAATGCCACTGGGCACCACACCTTGTCATGTCGTTGGTGTAGGACACCGCCAATTGCAGAGCCGGATGCATCTGTCTCGACTCTCGTTTCGCAAGTTGGATCATACTGATGGAGTATTGGTGCTGTGGATAGTTGCTGCTTCAGCTCGGTGAAAGCCCTGTCAGCCTGGTCGTTCCACGAAAAGTCGGTATTGCATAGCAAATCGGTCAGCGGTAGTGCTATTCTAGCATAGTTTTTAATAAACCGGCGGTAGTAGCCGCTTAATCCAAGGAATGCGCGGATGTCTGTAATTGTCTCTGGCGTGCGCCACTCTTTAACGGCATCTACTTTGCGTGGGTCAGTCGCAATACCCTTGCCTGAAATGACAAACCCAAGGAAGTCGACTGTGTCTTTGAAGAATGCACATTTTTCGGGTTTTGTGTGCAGGTTGTGCTCCTTGAGGCAGGCGAGTACATCCTCGAGATCTTTTGCATGGTCGGCGTCATTCTTTGAAAAGACTAAGATGTCGTCTAGGTACACGATGCACGTTTTGCCAAGTAGGTTGCGCAGCGCATGGTTCATGACACGTTGGAAGACGGCAGGGGCATTTGTCAGCCCGAAAGGTACAACTGTGAATTCAAATGACCCTTGTTTTGTGCGGAAGGCAGTTTTGGCGATGTCTGCATTGCAAATTCGCACCTGGTGGTACGCCTGTACCAAATCGATTTTCGAGAAAACTTTTGCGCCACGGGTGTCGTCAAGCAAATCGTCTATACGCGGCATTGGGAATGCATCTTTTATCGTCACTGCGTTCAGGCCACGGTAGTCAACACACAGGCGCATTGATCCATCCTTTTTCTTGACAAAGAGGACTGGTGCACCCCATGGGGAAGATGACGGGCGGATATACCCCTTTGCAAGTAAGTCAGTCACTTGTCGGTCTAGTTCATCCATCTCTGCATGTGACAGGCGGTATGGTGCCTTGGTCACAGGTGCTGTGCCCTCATGTACATGGATTTCCATCTCAGGGCCGCCTGGTGGTGGTCGTTTGGAGGGCGGCTGATCAAGGACTTGGGTGTATCTGGCATGTAGCTCCTGTAGCGCCCTGTCTTGTGTCGTCGTGGTTGCTGCCACATGGATTGCTGGATTGGTATCGTTGTCAGGGAATGTAATTCGTAGCCATCCCCATTCCTCAATTTGGTCGTTTGCACGTGCAGTTTTCAGTGCACTGATTGACATAGGCTTCAGCTGGTCCTCGTCGGTCCGAGGCTCTGCATTACCCCGGATGGACCAGCTTTTCCCGCCATAGTCAAATGTCACCTTGTCAAGGTGGCTGTGGATCGTGGCCTTGTGTTTTTTTAGCCAATTATTTCCTAATATTATATCTTCGGAAACTGGGAGAACAAGGCAATGTACTGTAATTGTTAGGTTGCTCAGGAGGCGCAGCGTTACTGTGCACGACTCGGTGCAGTCCTTGTAGTGTGCGCCATTGGCCAGTTGTATTGGTTGGCTGTGTTGTAGTCGTTCGGATTTCAGTTTAAGTCGGTCGCGGGTCTGTTCGTTGATGATGGTAATTTGTGATCCATTGTCGATGAGCACACGGATGGCTTTGGTGTCTATAGTTGCATTTAAAATCAGTTGGGGCTCAGGTGAGGTTTGTCTGTTAATAGCGGTTTTATTTGGGGGGCAAACGGCAATTTCAGAGATGATAAGGGCAGAGGACTCACATCCACTCATGCCCTTCTTGCTTTTGGGTGTGTATTCTTAGGGCAGCGATGCCACTTGTGTTCATCACTGCCACACCCAAGGCACACGTTGTTGGCAGCCCACTTCTCAAACATCTCCTTGGTACAGCCCGACTGCTTGGAGACACTTGCAAATGGCGGCAGGCCACTGCGTCTCCTTTCTGTCTGCACTGCATTCACCATTATTGCATCCACATTCATAGCTGTATTATCATGACGGCCATGAATGCGCAGGAAGGCTCTGGCACGGGAAGTCAGTGCATCAATCTCGTATACTGTCGAGCTTGTCGATTCGCTCAGAATCTGCTGGTTGAGCATTGGTGGTAGCTTCATGAGGAAGGTCGTGGTCACATGCCTGTCTGAGAGTTTGAATTCCAGAATTTCCGCGAGGTACTTGAATTGCACCACAAACTCCTCTAAGGTCTCTAATGTCCCAGGCTGTTGTAGGTGGTAGTATTTGTGCAGTGTGTCATAGTATGACACTGCACGCGAGTATGTAGTTGTCAGGAACTCCTTGAACGTTCCCCAGTCGCGGTGGTCCTTGTTGTGTTCTGTACAGTGTCTGCGGTACTCGTTTTTCTTGTCTGTTGGGATCTTGTGTGAGGCTACAAATACCCACTCACTCTCGTCTAGCTTTGCGTGGATAAAGTGTTCCTCAGTATCTCTCACCCAGGGTCCAACGGCAATTGCCACCTTCTCTGCGTTGTCCTCGTCTGGTGCCAGTGTCGGGCTGAATCTCATTGCCGATTCGTATGGCGACATTCCAGTCATGGTTACTGTTTTTTTTTTTTTTTTTTTTTTTTTTTTTTTGTTTTTATATATATATATTAACCAGTTTGTCTGTCGGTCAGTCAGTCGTTGATGAGGAAGCGCGGGTTTTCGAACTCGAGGTGCTACCAAATGTAATGCGATTTGGACTAGCTATAATATATATTAATAGAAATGAGACTACGGGAAGAGCTAAAGAGCTCACTATTCAGAATTCGCCGTACGCGTAAAATATCATAAACATATTTTACGCGTCTGCGCTGTCACGTGACTCGGCCCCCATTTCTGATGTCACAATATAGCTCCTACACAAAAGAGTAAAAGTAAAAGTAAAAATAAAAATATTTCAAGCTTGTCTATTATCTAAAATTTTCTTTTCTATAAAAGCAATGACTTGGTGCGGACATTTGCATTGGTGGTTAAAACAAAAATTATTAATTAAAAATTGATACGGTGTATTTCAATTGCTTGTGGTAGCCCCTTTTTACAATAGCATACATTAAAAGCAAGCTTTCCAGCGTCAAAGGAAAACAAAAACAAAAATGGAGTATTAATGTGTTGCGCAGACTGAAGATATGGAAGCAGATGTTGAGGTCGAGAACCGCGAAACAAGTTCCCACCTGCGCGCTGATCGATAGGACGCTAATTGGATAATGCAGGTGCAAATCAGGGAGGCATCACACTGATGCCCAAACATGCCCCCCATCCTGTAATGCACACGCATAAGCGTACACGCACGAAAACCACAACATCGACTTGCCAAGATACCGGTCTACTCGCAGAAGATCCAGTTCTCACCAACGGAGCGCACAATGGACAATGTGCACGACAAAGGCGACTGGGAACATATATAAGATGAGGCTGGCCCCTAGTAGTACTTTAGAAACATCAGTAATAAAACCTTTTATAAAATCACCCCTAACTTTTACCACTAGACAACTAGTGCTCCTCACACCCCCCTCTTACTATAACAAATGTTTCCCAACTATCACTAATGAGTGTCGCCTAAACCCGCGCTACAGCCGAGAAAGCGAGCAAAGAGGGGACCAACTCCCTGACATTGTCAACCTCAATTTCCCGCTCCAACAGCCGCCGCTATCACGACTACCAGCATTCCCCGAAGACACCGCACCCAGCGCGCCCCCGGCACAAGCTGACAATGCCCTGCCCCAATTTCCCGGCGCACTCACTCCTCTCCCGCAAACAGCGCCTGCACTCACCAATTGGCTCGCATTGTCACTCTCTGTAATGAAGCATTGTGCTGGTTATAATAAATATTAATCTGAATGAGACTACGAGAAGAGCTCAAGAGCCCACTATTTGGAATTCGCCGTACGCGTAAAATATCGTAAACATATTTTACGCGTCTGCGCTGTCACGTGACTCAGCCCCCCATTTCTGATGTCACTCTCAATGTGGAAAGCATTCGAGGTCAAAAACTCACCAATGGTGACGGCCTTCTACAAGCTCTACCAGCTCGCTGCTGCGCCACTTATTTATTTACAGTGGGTGGCCTACAGCGACTTGGCATACAGCAACAGCCGATGGACTCACGGATGATTTAGTACTCCTTTCAACCACAATTTCGGATTGTTACGCGGCCGTGACGATTTCCTTCAGATCACTACTCACATCACTGCCGCCCCGTGCACACCTCCAAAACTCGATTCCCAGACCCCCGCCAATCTGGAAGGTGCAGTGGGCCTCCAGCAGAGCGTCACAAGCCTACAGCCTCATCAGCCATTGCAGGATTCCCCTACACGATGGCCCCTGCATTTGCGCTGATGGTTTCTACCACCCCTGTCTACTTATAATTTTTATAGGTTTACACAGTCAGCGAGTTATTATTCAAGAATAAAACACCACCATTAACAGAACGACTGTATTGAAAATCAGCCAAGTAAACACCAAAAGTTTAATTTTTGAAATGGAGGTGAAATAAGCACCATCACTCGCCAACAATTTATTGCAAAAAAATATTAAAGGACTCAGAGTGCACATTTAATCCCATGGGTGGGTACGTCTCACTGACTTTGCGCAGCAATTGAAACTTGTGTCACTGTTGTTCCTCACGGTCCACTAATATTTCAGTTAAACAAGAAGCTTAACACATTTTATTTATGTCGCAATCCGGGTATCGAACCCGTGACAGGTTGATAGTAACCTGTGCAAGCAAGCAACCAGCCTGAATCAGCCACGAATAACTGGACTTGTTGCTCTGTTCTGAAATGGTTACAAAAAATGTATTTATGAAGGTATTATAATTGGGCGTGCGTACATAGTAAATAAAAATGGTTTTGCTTTTGGCCAGGCGTTTTTGCTGTTTATTCGATTTCAAATTTTTTTGTGAAAAATGTTAATGTTTATTTGCAAGCATCACATTTGTAAACCAATTCATTGCTTGTCATATTATACTCCAGATTTATCAAGAATTTATGATATTTAAAATATTTGACTCGGTTGCTCGCTTTTTAAATTAAAACTTGATTATGTTGTGACAATAGTGATCATTTGAATAAAATAAAACTAATTGTTAATAGAAAATCTTTATCTAGTAGCTCTGGTTGGGCTTTATGCTCTTGACCAACTGCGAGAAATGACTGTTCTTGTCGGCGAGCAGGTTATCAGGCGTGTCAAACTCTGCCATCTGGCCGTGGTCCATCACCAGGATGCGGCCGCTGTCCATGACAGTGCCCAATGGTCAACATGGTGCAGTCCTTGAACTCACAGGGGAGCACTTTTTGCATGATCTGGTCGGACTTTGTATCCACATTGGCTTTCGCTTCGTCCATAATGACAAACCTGCTGTTATGTTAAAAATAAATATATTGAACAAATGAACTAAAAGAAAGCTAAGGGATAAACAGCCTCCACTGTTCATATTCATTAATATTTAATGTGTGTGTATGAATTCCCGCATATCCAAGTAGGGAATTAACTAGAGATTGATTAATGAATCAATCGCCGGAGACAAGCCGCAATTCCTTGTATCACACTTGCGCTGCCAAAACAGAGCTCTGCAAAGACCAATAACCTGTCTCTAGTCGACACTAAGCTTTTTGCCATTATGCTCTACCCATTTATTCAACCCAACACTGTAATGCGATTTGGACTAGCTATAGTATATATTAATAGAAATGAGACTACGGAAAGAGCTGAAGAGCTCACTATTCAGAATTCGCCGTACGCGTAAAATATCATAAACATATTTTACGCGTCTGCGCTGTCACATGACTCGGCCCCCCATTTCTGATGTCACAAACACCCTCGATCCACGGCCCCTTGTTAAAATGTCTATTATTTTTAGATTTAACGTACTTCTCTGTCGGAGTATTGAGAGGGTCGCAGATTTGGCCCGCGCTAATAGCCGCCCAGACTTCGTTGTAGATGTACTCGTTGGTTGGATTAAGGTTGTCGCGAATGGTTCCTTCAAGTAGTGCCGGGTCCTGCAGAATAATGGCAATGCACAACCGGGGGTCTTGTAGTCCCATTTTTTCAATGTCAACGCCATCTGTGATCTGGCCGTTCGACTTTTATATACTCAAAATCTTTTATTTTATGCGAAAAAAGCGGTGTAAAATAGGGAGGAAAAACAATAGATTTATTCTAGCCAAAGTACCAATGTCTTTGTTAGTTTACCGACATCAATAAGAGCCGATGTCAAGCGCTGTTTGAATGCCATCTCGTTCAGCAACTCCCTCACAATCTCATTATCCATATCAGACCCACCAGCAGCATCATGGGCCTCATTAATATCGTTCAACTGATCAGTCAATTGCAAATGCCCCTTCTCCAACCCGTCCAAAACACCCTTTGCCACCGCCCGATCATACAGATCCACATTCAGCTGCTCACTGGCACCGGACCCGGTCTCGATATTATCAAACTCGGCGCGACTAATATTGATAGTCTCCCGGATAGACACAATGACCCGCTGTAATGTGGAAAACAGGGCGTTGGGAGCCGGACTGGGCGCGCGCACCAATTGTAGCATGCTTTGGATTCCAGCAATAATGTTATCGGTGCTCGATTCCAGGCCATATTGATCGGATCTATTGGCGGAAGTGGTGGTGGCGTTCGCAGAAGTGGATGTTGGTGCCTGTTTTGCTTCTACAGTTGCTGCGGCGGTGGCGGCGGCGGCGGCCATTGCCACCGCAGGCACCACCATAGCCTGTATGGCGCGCGGTGCAGCCTTGCTCTCGTCGAAACACACTTTAAGAAGCTTCACAAGGTCCACAACAGCAGTCGCAAGGTGGCTGGCGGCGGCCTCCAAAAGCGAAATAGGCAGCACACCCATGCTGTTCAGGTGCTTGTCAACAGCATGAGCGAGGCCATCCAGATGAGTCTCAAGCTTGAGAACAACCTCAGGCGTGTTCTCCAGGGTGTCTCTGGGCAACGGCCATGTGCTGGGATCTCCGGCATTGGCGGCCTGGTAGGCGGTCACATCCGCGTTGAGTTCACCACAGGCAGCCACCACAAACGACTGAGCATTCGGCAAGTCAACGTCCATGTTCTCCGACCTGACGGCTGAAAGCAGCGCCTCAACAGCCTCCTGGAACGCCCTGACGGATGACGGACGAATGACACCACCAGAGTTAACAAACACAGGTGGCGGAACCAGCTCCGTGTCTCCGTGATCCATGGCAAATACTGAGGTGGCCTTGAGCCGTCGCACCTTGGCCCTAGCCTCATCAAGCTTAACCTTGAGCTCGCGCTCGCGCTCAATAAACCTTGTGCGTTCAATCCTCAGCTTGTCATTTTCCTGCCTCAGCGCTGGCACATCCGACCTCGCGGTAACCAGCTGGTCGCGCAACAACTTAAGTTCGTTCTCCAGCCTCTCGTTCTTCTGCGCTAACGCCGCGTTCATGCGCTCAATATTACTGATTTGCTCGGCATCTATGGGGGATTGGGAGCTGTCGCCGCGCCGGTCCAGCATTTGGCTCTCCAGCTGACCCACTCGCTTGCGCATGGCAGAGAGTCGCATTTCGTATTCGTTCTTGAGCTTTTCAAGGTCGCTCGTGCTCATGCGCGCGCTACGGTCAGGTGTGGGCACACGGGCGGTTTGGCCTAGTTGACTGTTGCGCAGACCACAGTTGGCGTCGTTGTCTGCGTCGTCGTGGGAAAAGCTGCTGCCGCGCCCCGCTGCTGATGCCATGGCAGATACCGGTGGATTAATGGTATGGGTGTAGCCCTGGATGCTGCCTGAGCTTGTCGGCGGTGACCTCGACATCTGGTACTGACCGAACCCCGACTGCTGTCCGAACTGCGAGCTCTGGAACTGCTGTGCAATTGGCAACGCACTCTGCATATTGCCCATGTTCATCGAGTCATACCTGGAAGATGCGGTGGCGAACTCGGTAGTGTCAATTTTGTGCGGGAAGCGTCTTTTCAGCTCCTCATTGACGTCATGCACGAGGTCGACAAACTTTGGGCGCGACAAGGTGGCTAGCTTTTGGCGCGCCTGGTTGCGCTTCGGATGGTAATGGTCGCGGACGGGTAGAAAGGGGAAGTCTTGGTTTTCGCTGCGGCGTCGCTTAAGCTCATCGTATACGTCTGTTGCTAGCTCTTGGAATTGCATTGGCGTGAGCCGGGAGAGCTTGCCGAGCTCGGACTTTGTTGGTGCAGACACTCCTTGGTCAATCTCGTCGAGAATGAATTTACTCATCTCGCGATGGTACTGCCCTGCAGTGACCTCCATGTTTTTTTAGTTTATGTGAATAATTAAATGCCTAGGAAATAAGGATTGGAAAATATTGTATCTTCGCTTGTGAAAAATGGCAAAGTGTAGAAAAAATGCGCGCAATAGAAAAAACAATGCAAAGGTGAAAAGGGTAACAACGGAGCAGCACACAATAAACTAGGCACCAAAACCTTTTTGGAGTATTCGGATGTTCGTCGAGAATGTTCCTTTCGCTGTAGAAAATAATGAGACTGCGAATATCTGAAAAATTCGAATATCCTGCAAATCAACATCTTTCCTATCCAGATTGCATAACAACCCAGAACGCGCCTAGAAACTAGTGGCAATAGACCACTATGGTTGAAGATATTAATCATTGCGCTGCTTCTTGCGAAGAGAAGCTTGGGGTTGGACATTGGCTTGGCCAAAGTCTCGGCGTCGCTGTAGACTCGGGTTCAGCCGACTCTGACGATGCCTTTTTGCGCAATAAACAGGGAGGATGCTCGCTTATAAGAAGGGCATTGAGGATGATGCGAAAGGTCATCACTGCAGCCATGCTACGATTCCACTTCCGTATGCCTAATGTCACTTTTTTTGCCATCCTTAACCAACCTGCGATGACAAAAATACTAGAAAACAGCAGCAGCGCAGATAGGAATATTTGTTTGGTTAAAGAGTAATCTGCCGCTAAGAATACTTACGAATATCTCACATATGTGCTATCTTATTTCTACCTTTGGCGAAAGGTGTTAACTCACTGTTAACTTACCTTTTAATGAAACGTAAAGGTAAGTGTGTAAACAATCTCAAAGGTTACTCTGTCGATTGGATATTTGTTATAGTTTAATTCTGGTCGCTGCAGGTCAATTGATTTTCAAAAAAAACCCAAATTTCATTGGCATTTTTGGCACTGATTTTTTATTTTGGTTTGCATGGCAAAAAATGGTGCATTTTCAGTTGTAAAGCTTAAAATAAGGTAAACAAAATTTTCAATTTGAATAGTAGTGCCAAAATTTTATTACTAACATTTTTTGAAAAAGTTTAATTGACTCCCTTGATGGCCATACAATAGAATATCGCAACTTTTCTATCCTCATTGTTTATTTATTTTTACACATTATAACTATCAAGTATTCAATACAATCGAACCAAGGTGTTTTTAGGGAGGGAGGAAAAACAGAGATAATGTCCTTGGTAAAAAAAAGAAACAAGGAAGAGAGAGAAAGAGAGAGAGGGAATGGAATGTGGTTGTTCGATTCAACGCTTATCCGAATCCATTCTTGTCGACTCCTCGACGACCCTGGAAAAGGCGGCTAGCACGGTGGCAACCGAACAAGCAACTCTCTGCCAAAACCCAGTCGCGCCATCCACAGAAGCCATCCAAACCCAAACCATTCCACATAGCCTCAAAACTCGCTCTTGCAAATTCCAATACCGAATGCATGCCGTCAACCAGGAAAACAGCTGCATAAGGTACTTTGCCAGGATCTCCGGCATCTCCGAGTTCTTGAACCGCACAGACACCCACACCAAGGTATTTCCGAGCAGCACCAGCCACATGATGATAATCCGGTTCACAAGATCCAAAACAAAACTCATTACTGCCAGTATTGTAACTCCGTGTGTATCCAAATACCGCACATTGTCTGCCGGAAGCTGCAGGTTAGAACTGTGCGTCGGCTTTGTTTTAACAGCAGTTGAATTAGTAGAGAAAGAAACAGCATCTGTGTGTATTTCAGTAGATTCTGAGAGCAGCATTTTGAGAGTAGCCAGTCGCTCGCGCACATACACATCGCGTATTTGCCGAGTATCTCGGAGGGCCAATGCCATGTGCTCAAGGCCAAAAGAAAAAAGTTGAGCGGCACCCTCCTTGTTGCCCTCCCTGTCCAATTGCCTGGCCCTTATTGCCGCGGCAATTGCCAGGTCTATGCGGTTGGAGTTCAAGATATAATCTGGTACTGTGTTGGTGTCGGTGTTGGTGTCAGTAGTATCCTTTTTTGGTTCGTCTTGTTTGGCCATTTTAGCCAGCCATGTTGTTGCACGAGATATGTGCGTGTCGTTGTTGGCTGCATTAGGTAATGATAAGACTGTGGAGAGCGATGTGAAGTCCATTGTATTCAGACGATGAAAGGAGAGGGGAGAGGAGTGATTAGGAGAGGGTATTTCAGAGGCAGGATATAGTATGCGAATTAATAAAAAAGACAAGTGGAGAGTCGGAAGCAAAATTTTCTTTTTGGGTGCTTTCTAGCAAGGAAATAACATCCATGTTTCTTTAAATGCGCCGTCGTTTGCATTGAGCTTTTTTTAAGTTGATGTTGACATGTGAAACTGCGATACAAATACAAATATGATGTCAAATATTAGCGAGTTTTGATTCCAATCGCAGGAGAACGATATACATTCGAAAAAGGCAACCATGACGAGTTACTTTTTTATAATCATTTACTCTTCTCTTCCTCTTGATTCTGCACCTTTATTACTTTTTCGCTTTTGTAATTTTTTTTTATAATTTTACAATATAAAATAAAAAAGATGGCAACATACAAGGACATTGTCTATGTCAAAGATAGCGCTGACCTATGCCACACCCTAGATATCTATCTACCAACCGCCACGCCACCGCCGCACTCCCTACTCCCTCTCATACTCTACATCCACGGCGGCGCCTGGCGGACCGATGACAAGCAAACAATTCCCTCCCTCGGCCCTTCCCTTGCCCACCACAGCTCAGCCATTGTCGCCATACCCAACTATCGCCTAAGCACACGCGCTGAATCCTCCATTCGCCACCCGACGCACCTTGAAGACGTCCAATCGGCGCTATATTTTCTTCAATCTTGTCAGCAACCGTACCCTGGGCACGAATACGTGGACCACAAACGAATTTACCTGGTCGGACACTCGGCTGGCGCTCACCTGGCAAACATGGCGGTTCTGACAGGCAATGCGCAAAGCGCCAGGGGTGTGCTAGGCATTGGGGGGATTTACGATATCCCGGGGTTACTCAAGACGTACCCGAGCTACGAAGATTTCGTCGAAATGGCGTTCTGGCCGCACCAGTACCAGGAGGCCAGTCCCCTACACAGGGTCGGCGATGAGGGAAGGGATATTGCGTTCATGTTGGTCAATAGTGTGGAGGATGAGCTTGTTGGCTCGCAGCAGGCCGTGAGGTTTGCGCAGAAGCTTATTGACCGCGGATACCGCAATGTCACGCTGGCCGTACGCGATATCGGCGGCCATTACGAGCAGCTCGAAAGGCCAGAGTTTTGGAATCTGGTGGCTGACTTTGTTGCGAGCAGCAAAAAATAATGAGTATAAACAGTATGGTGATTTATTACAAATTATAAACAACAGATAGTAGCGAGTGAAGGAAAACAAAAACACAAGCATAGCTTATTAAGAAGACAGAAAGAAAGAAAAAGAAATGATGGCAAATAAATACAAGAGAACAAAAAAGAAAGTGTTTACACTGCGGTCGGTGCAGTCGACGTTGTTGTCGAGCGCTTACGCCCACGCTTACGCGGAGGAGCAGGCACAGAAACAGGAGCAGGTTCGTCAGTCTTTGGCACCTCAGCGGGAGAAGGGCTCTGCAAGCTGGCCCAGATATCCAACAGCTCCGGCACCTTGAACACATCGTGTACGCCCTGCAGTGCAAGCAAATCACTGAGCGAAAATGCAATATTGGCAACCTCGGCGTGGCGCAGTGAGTCTGTCGGCAAAACGCACTCCTCTTGCGGCTGACGTCCGTTCGACGACTTTCTGCGCTTCTGCGCTGGCGGTGCCACTGGTGCCTCAGCCGACCATTCGAGGTTACGTGCAATTGTCGCGTCAGCCATACGCACCAGCGCATCATCATGTCCGCTCGGCCGTTTCCTCGGCAAGCACACTGTCGCGTCGGTTGCCGAAAACGCCCACAGGCGGATGCGGAAGTCGCTGGCAAACACCGCCCGCAGCGCGCCCGACTCTAGTACACGCCGACCGCCGGCATATGTTGTGGTAATCAGCACGTTGTGGAACGCAACGACAAACTCTGTACCGATGGGCAAGGCGTTGATAGTTGCTGGGCCCAGCGCCACGTACATGGAGATGACGCCGTCCGCGCCAAAAAATGTGTGGTAGAAGCGGCCGGCCGTGCTCTTGGGCACGTCGTAGCTCTGCGTTCCCAGGTCCAGCCGCAGCCCGCCGTCCGCCACAAAGTGCTCGTCGATCACCGCGTTCCACTCCTCCAGCGTGCGCGGCATGCCGGTGAATGAGCTGTGGAATGCCAGTAGCCGATCAATGGCGCTGCCTAGAACATCGCGCCGGGGGATGTGGTGCTGGAGTGGCGGCGACGGCATTTGCTCAGCTGGCGGCGTCTGAACCTGAAAGCGCTCAGCTAGTGGCACCTCGGCCAGAGACAGCATGCTGACTGCCGAGCCCGGAGTCGTAATAGACTTGACCCCCGACTGTGACCGCGACCGCCCCTGCTTGGTCGGCGTCGGCGTCGGCGTCGGCGCAGCAACGGCACTGTCCTTTCTGACATTGTTGAGACCCGTTCTGCGCCTGGTTTTCTTTGGCACAAGAGGCTTGGGATATTTCTGCGCGGCTGAGCCGGGGGCCGGACTGGCTCTGGGCGTCGAGCCTGCGAATAGACCACTGCTGCCCAGAGTGCTATTCGGAGTAAAATCGTATATGTTTGCGAAAGCAGGATTGGCACCGCCAACATTTGCTGCATCCCAATTGGCTGCGCTCGTATCCGAATGTGTTGCTCCATGCAGGGGTGGCTGCTGCTGCTCTTGGCCCGCGGGTGTTGCAGACAGCAATGTACTGGCTGGCGTTAGAGCCCGCGCTTGTACTTGAGCAAATGCTTGTGCTTGAACTTGAGCCAGCATTTGTGCTTGTATCTGCGCCTGTGCCAAGGTGATGCCTGGTCTGCTTTGGAAAAAAGCCCCTGCATGCGCTGATGATTGTGCTGGGTATGGAAACGACGAGGAAGGAACACATGACAAAGGTACTTGTAGGTGGGGCATCCTCTGCTCCATCTCCTGCTGTGCAACGGCTGGCATAGCTATTACAGACTGATTCAACTGCCCAGCATGCATGAGCTGCATCTGATGCTGTTGTTGCTGAAGCTGCTCCCAATATTGTAAAATAAGTGAGTAGTTGTTCAGCTCGCCCGGCGCCGCCTGCTGTGCCGGCACCCCAGCCAACTGCTGCAAGGCCAGCTCATTTCTTAAACTCTGCTGCGCCGGCGACACCGTTGCCGAACTGTCGGTCGCTTGTTGTTGCTGTGTTGTTAATTGGTGGACCATGGGCCATCCACAGGACGTCAACATATGGTGAGGTACTGTTATTCCTACTCGCTGCTGCTGCTGCGTCTGTTCTGAGGCAGTAATGTTCCCTATTACTGTGGATGAAGGTGATGCGGAGAACGGACTTTGCCCCGCAATCGAGCCTCCCAAGGCACCCAAGTTGCTATTGCTGCTGTGGTTAGTCGCTCCTGTGTATTGCATATTCAACAGACCAAGCATCTGGTCGCCTAACGACTGTCCCGAAACTGTGTTGTCCATATTCAGGTCGTTATTTGTAGATAATAAAAATGCAAAGTGATAGAAAAATATTAATGATGGAAAATAAAGGGAAGGTAAAATAAAAAACAAAGTATGAGGGATAAAAAAGAAAAATAGAAAAGAGATTATAATGAAATAAAAAGCGGGCAGGGGGGTGGTGGGGAAAGGGGGAGGAGACAGGATATAATCGCTTGCGTCAGATTTGCTGCTATTAATGTAGGGGGTTTTGCAAGCTTGACTTTAGAGCTAGACAACATGTACAAAAGACAAAAAAGGTAATAAAAATAAAATTTTGTCATTAAGGGAAAATTGGAAAAGAGCTTGAAAGTAAAAAGGGTCGAGTAATCATTTGGGCTTGTAAGCGCCAAAGGGAAAACAAAACTTGGCCTCAGTTTTTTTCTGGCCACACCTGTTTTTCCGCTTGCTTAGCTGCTAGCCTGCCAAATATAATATTTACACTGCATCCTTTTTTACAATAGCAGCATTTTTTTGCCACTGCCTCGATTTACCCCAATCCACACAAACAAACAAGCATGCTTCATGTGACATTTTCTACCACAACATCAACTTTTATTTAAAATTTTTCGCTATTGTTTTTGTTTAATTTTTGTTGCTGCTATTGCTGCTATCAAAAATGTGGCTTGTGCTCTATTTACTAAAAAAGTTTGGATCGACATCATCCTTTGCCCAAATAAGAATTGTGAAAATTGTAGTTGCCACTTCTTTGGGGTAAACAAAAACGTAACTTTGATAGTATTTCTAAACTTTTTCGCAGCCCGATTATTGATTTATGCGTTATAATTTAAATGGCCTTCAAATGTGGATGCAATGAACTGTATATTTGTGTAATTATTTAAAATATTAAACCCAGTCAAGCTTGAGCCCAATTGACTCAAGAAACGCCGTGTTGTTGGGCTTGCGGCTCAAGAATTTCTCCAGGCTCACTGATGCATCGCGGCTGCCACCGGGAAGCAGTATTTCACGGCGGTAGTCCAACCCAGTCTTTGGGTTGTCAATTCCCTCCTTGAAAAACCGCGACGCAAACATGTCGGCACTAAATACCTGCGACCAAAGGTACCCGTAGTACCCAGTGTCATATCCACCCATCATGTGTCCAAAGGTGGCCATGCCCCAGGAATCAATGTCACCATTCTTAAACATTGTAATGCCTTCGCGCAACTTGTTGTAAATTGCCTTAGCATCTACCTTGCCATCAGCAGTGTCATGAATGGCCATGTCATAAAGCCCGTAAAATACTTGAACAAGATTAGACAATCCTGAGCCTTTGTTCTTAGCAGCAACGAGGCGCTTGACAAGGTCTTCAGGAATGGGCTCCCCAGTCTTGTAGTGCACGGCAAACTTGCGTAAGACTGAGGGGTCCCAACCCCAATTTTCGAGCATCTGCGATGGGGCCTCTACAAAGTCACGCTCCATATTAGTACCATGAAATTTAGCCCACTTGGTCACTGAACACATTTCGTGAAAGACGTGTCCAAGCTCGTGCAGAAATGTTACAACATTGCCATGTGTCAGCAGCGCTGGTGTAGCACCTGTAGGTTTGGAAAAGTTAGCAACCATGGCTGCCACTGGGTACTCACGTGTTCCATCTTCACGATCATACCCGGCGCGAATCGGCCACACTGCAGCATGGTTGTACTTGTTCTCGCGTGGATACAGGTCAAGGTAAAAGTGGCCAACAAACTCGTCACTTGTGGCTTCCCACACCTCGTACATGTCCACATCATCATGCCACACAGGCGGGTTCTCTACCTTAGTAAACCGCAGGCTGAACATATTCTGGAAAATATCTAGAATGCCATGTATCACCTCCTTTACTGGAAAGTACTGCTTGACCTCATCCTCACTGATACTATATTCATGCTTCTTTAGCAGCGTTGAGTAATAACGATGGTCCCACAGATACAAGCCCTCATAAGGCACACCCGCTGCCTTGTTCTCTGCCTGTTTAAGTTTTTCGAGCTTCTTGAACTCAGTTTTTGCCAAGAGCTGCAATCTTGTCTGCATGTCATGCTCAAAGTTTATCACCTCTTTTGGTGTCTTGCCTACCTTACTTAGCTTAAACTCTGCATGTGTCTTGAATTCAAGAAGCTGGGCTGCCTCAGTGCGCAGAGCAATAGTTTCTTGCATTAGCACAATGTTTTCTGGACACAACTGCTTGTTCAAAGTTAGTAGTATCTTTCGTGTTTGCTCATTTTTGGCTGCCTGCATGACAGGGCTCATATCTGGTGACTTTGTCGTGACAACATACTTCTCAACACCGTCAACCACCTCCGTTTTGCGGCCTTCGAAGTAGTCATCAACCAGCCCATCGAGGTCTTCGCGAGTGAACAGGATGCGTCCAGTGCTTTTGTTGATGTTGCTATTAAATTCTATTCCCAGATCTGACAGGCGCTTGCTGATTTGGCTGAGCCTTTTGCGTTTCTTGACGCTGAGTGCAAGGCCGTTGTAGCGGTATCCCTGTTCAATTTTTCCTACCAATCTACGATCCTCGGGCCCCAGCACAGCCAGCTCTGCCGGATTATTATACACAGCGCGCACGGCCTTGTACACATCCTCGCGCATAATCATTTCGATTTCAAACGCCTAAAACATGGAAGATGGTATATACGTGATTGCACGAATTAATACAATGGTCATAAAACGGTACGAATCATTATTAAAATGTTCGAGTTTCTTTTCATGATGCGGCGAAGACAGATAATTAACAGGTTTAAATAACGGAATCAAATAAACTTACATTGAGCTTTTCCTCCCCTTTAATGCTTGCGTCGCGAACCTCTTTCTTGGTGCTCACGTTCTGCAAAAACGAAATGACAGAGTAGTCGGCGTTCTGGGTGTTTTCGCGTGTGGCCAGTGGCACAATGACGTTGTTAAATGTGGGGTTGGGCTCGGCAGCAACCTGGTCAAGAATCGCTTTGCTCTCGGCAATCATCTCGTCAACAGTGAGGGCAATGTCCTCGGGGCTCAGGTCAAAGTTGACCACGGTTCTCTTGGAAATGGGCTTAGTCATGATTGTGCTTGGTGCTGAAAAGTGTTAGCTTAAATAAATGACTAAGTGGTTGATATACTGGTATAGAAATGCAATAATAATGCTAGTAAGTGCAAAAATAATTTAATATAATGAATACAGACAAAAACGATTTGGAGATAATTTCTGAATAATTCTAATAAAAGCTAATTCCTCCTAGTTTTCTCTCTATTTCTTTTAGATTGCTTCTTTGACATTTTTTGAGTAGAAAACAAAATGTAGAAAAATAAAAGTAAAAAGTTAAAAAGAACTTGACTGCTTTTCAATAAAATAAATACGAATAATATAAAGAAAATAATGTAATTTAAAAGCAATGTGCGATAATGAAAAAACCAATTCACCAATTCACCACTTCACATCCTCAATTAAATTGACTATTTTTATAAAACTAAATGTCTAAAATTGTGTCTAAACAATTGTTAGACAACTATACATGTCACTTTTTTTGACGAGGTGAATATAGTTTGTTTGATTTGCCCTCCTTTGATTTGTTCTAAATAAGCAAACAATTAAAACCAACAATTGGCCTTTGAACTCAATCTAATCGTGCACGCGGTTGTGCTATATAATTAAAACAATTTTGAATGCTGCGCTCCCCACTTTTCCTATTCACATGCCAGACGTTCAAGCAGAGGAGCATGTGATGGACAACGAATATAAACAAAAAATTTGATTTTAAATGTCCCCAGATTTCTCTTTTTCGATTTCTCTCCTTTCTCTTCTCAACACCGACATCACCCATTTTTATTTTTGTAATTTTTCTATAATGATAGACAACGCCGAATTCGAAACCCAAGTGCCTACCAAAGATGGCATTGAAGAAGTTATCGAGTGGGTAGACTCTGACAACCACAGCTTCTACACACACATGTTCAAGTCGTGCAAGCAGCCCCCCGTGGCCACGCTAACGATAATCCATGGTCTTGGTGAACACATTGACCGATACTCTTTTTTGGCCAAACACTTTGCTCTTGCTGGGATTCACGTTTTGGGATTCGATCAGCGCGGATTCGGCAAAACCGGCCGTCGCTGCGGCCGCCTCGGCGACAGTGAGGGAATCGACGTAGTGGCCGCAGACATAACCTTCATGAATTCAAGGGTAATGATACCGGGTGTGCCTCACTTCCTTTTTGGCCACTCCATGGGTGGACTGAACGTCTTGAACTATTCCCTGGAGCATAACTCTGACGGCAATATCCGAGGCGTTTTGGCGTCTGCACCGGCACTGATGGCTGGCAAGCCGCTGTTGCCTCCAGGCTTTGTTGTTTCGCTTTTGCATCAGGTTGCCAAGATTGTCCCTAGCATTCAGAAGAGCACGGGAATCACTGCCGATATGCTCACTAGCAACCAGGCTGAAATCGAGATATTCAATTCTTCTGTTGAGAATATCGGTCATTGTACTTTGGGAACATTGTCGTGTATTATCAAGAAGGGCCTGTACGTTATGGATAATGCTGGACGGTTCAATACACCTGTGCTGTTGGTGCATGCCGATGGAGACAAGGCTACTGACATTGAGGGAACGCGTAAGTTCTACAAGGCGCTGCCAGATGCGCTGGATAAAGAGTTCCGCGAGGTCAAAGATGTCGCGTACCACGAGCTGCACTTTGAAGAGAACCTCGATTTCGATCTCTTTGATCTCTACACGCAGTGGATTCTGAAACGCGCGTGAACAATGCCGTGCTCTTTTATCTTTTTCTGCTGTCTTATTGTCATTTAAATTTTTCAATAGTCACTTTTGTTACATTTGTCTTGTGTTGTGTCGTGTCATAGTTGAATGGACGAATGTAATAATATAATTAAAATAGTGCACTGTTGTAAGCATTAAGTAAAAAAGAACAGCTTGTTTAGATGGGCGGCAGACGCGACCCGCCAGTCATCGGTTCGGGCATTCTGATCTGGTAATCGCCGTTCTTCGTGATGTACCGAACCCACGGTAGCGCCTGGTAGCCGGATTTGTCGACAATCTTGAGGTAGCGAACCTGGATGCCCGAGGTAGTAAAATACGGAATGTCAAACTTGACAGAGATCGGCGGGCGCCTCTCGGGATCCTCGTCGCGAATGCTGGGCAGGCCAAAATGCGCCCTGAGCAGGGCCTCCTTGCCGCCCTGGAACTGCTTCATCTTCCACACAAACGCAGACTTCTCAGGCGAATATTTGACCGAGCCCATGGTAGTCTTAAACTTGGGCGAGTCAGCGTCGCTCGGGACAGGGACAATAATCTCCACGTTGTTCGCCGTCGATCTGTGCTTAAACTGCGCCTTGGCCTTAACCATAAACTCGATTCTCCCGCGGTGACTCTCCACAACTGACTCGCACCAGATGAGCGGCTTGAGCTGTGTGTTCAGTCTATAAGTCATTAGCTCGAACTCGCCGTCGGGCGGGATAAACGAGATGGTCCGGTCGCTCTCAAACTTGCTCAGCTTGACGCACTGGTGGAAGCGAATGTCCTCCATTTCAACTGCTTTGCCCTTGGCGCTGCGGCCGGTGCTCTCAAACATCACCTTGTCGTTCAAGCCGAGGCGTAGCTCGGGCATGCCGCTGAGATAAATTTTCATTTTGATCGCGCCCTGGATCTCGCTGCTGAGCACGTTTCCAGTCGGGTTAACCAGCATGTTTATCGACTCGACAACATCCAGGAACACCTCATTCTTGCGGTATGTTATGCCCTCCGATCGCCACGACACTGCGTTGGTCACCGCCATAGGCGGCCGCGGTGTTATCTCCAGCATGTGGCTCTCCTGGGTAATGTACTCCTGCAGAATCTTTGGTTCTGTTATCTGTGGTATCCCGTAGTCCATCATTTCGTCCAGAAGCTCATAGATAATGACAAAGTTGTCCCTGATAGACTCCTCCTCCAGGGTCTTGAAGTACTCTGTGAACACCTTGGACAGGTGGTGCAGGAACTGTAAGAGTGTCATGGCGTTTGTGTTCTTGCGCGTCAGGGCAACCACTATGACGGGTGAGCGATAATAAAGTGTAAAGTGTAAAGTGAGCTGCATTTGTTCAAGTTGTGTTTCGCGTAATTCTTTCGACAAGAATGCCCTCAAAGGCATTCCATGTGTCTGTGTGCGTGTTGTACTTACTGTAAACATCCTTTTCCCGAAGGTGCAGGTAGGTTACTCCGTTCTCTGTCATTACCGGCAAGCCCGTGCCGTCCTCATCTTCGCGCTCCTGTAGCAGTGGCATGAACCGGTCAATGGCTGTCAATGGGATGTCGCCGCGGTAATCCCGCGCAATCAGCGGCTTTCCCTTCAGGTCAAGCAGAAACACAGCCGACGCCATAAGAGTATATATTTAAGAGATAAGTGGTGGCGATGAGAGGTTAAACGAATTGAGCTTTTTTTTGGAGAATAAAAAAGGATTGTAAATTCCAAATAATATTTTGGAAAAGCGCTCCGTCATGCGCGTATGCTGGTGATGCAAAAATGCAGACCAAGGTGGCTGATGGCTCGCGCACGCGACTCGTGTTGCGACTCGGCCCTTTTTGATTTTTGACGTGTAATTTTCTGCAGACATTCGCGCTCGCTCCCCCACGCGTTTTGTGGTCCCTTTTTTTAGTTTTGTTCTATTTTTATTTTTGCTTTTATTTTACCTCTATTTTACTTTTAATTTGCCTCGCTCAATTTTGCACACTTTCCTAATATTGTTGCCTAACCTTTTCAATTCCCTGTAATCAACACACTCGTGCCATGGCTGGAGGATACACGACTAGGATCACCACTTCTGATCCCAGATACTACTACGATCAGCGCGCCACCCAGACCAGCCACATACCGACGCCCCGCATACTCGACCGCTACGCTAACACTCAGCGAATGGTTGTTGCACTGCCCAGTACTGGAAGCGATACCGATACTGATACCGATCACGAAGTTGTCAGCGAGCACGACGAGCAGGAATACGAGTTTTCAAACCACAGATACGGCGCGGCCGCGCCAATACAGATAAATGCACCCCGTTCTTCAGGACCTCGCAGAGGACGCGCACACAGGCGCGAAGATGAACCAAACACAAGCATTATTGCATTCCGCGAATTCACTAACAGCAAGCGCGCGGGCACAACCGATATTGCACTGACGGCGATGCTGCGGGCGTGGCATGCGATGGCCCAGGATTCGCGTAGGAAACGCGAAGAGCTCAGCCGGATGTGGGCTGCTGGGCTTGTATTTTACCGGAGAAGCCTCGTCAAGCGCGCTATTGGCCATTGGCGCGAGGCTGCGAATGCGGCGCTGATGCCGACGGGCAGCGACTATGAGCGGGTGCAGATGAAACTGGCCAGCATGCACTACCGAAAGCAGCTTCTGGGTCGCGTAGTCGACCAGCTTTACCATATTCAGGATGTCCAACAAAGGTTCGAGGAGTGGGAGGGCGAGAGAAATTATCGGCTCGTCGTTCACAGCATGGGCAGGTGGTACCGGCATTGGATGCTCAGGCGCCGGGAGGCGCTTGGACTGGCGGCCAAGCAGGTTGAGATAGATCTCAGGAGGAGCGCTCTCAGAAGGGCCATGGATCGCTGGCGCACAGGCCTGCAGATCAAGGTTTCGTTTTCCCATGTCCAGGCGAAGCAAGAGACTCGGTTACTCAAAGAGTGTCTGCACATATGGGCTGCGCAGCGTGCTGTGAGTGAGTTTGCGCGGGAGCAGCGGCGGGTTGAAAAGTCCAACCCAGCCAGGGAGCTATTGGTGCGGCGGAAGGATGCGGCGGACTCACAGAGCCACCAGCAGACCGCTGATATCGACAGCAATATCAATCGCGAGAAGCTGTACCGCTTGTTTGCCGGGTGGCATGCCGTTACCATGGATGCCGCCAAGGCCAAGCAGCAGGCTGCCGATTTCCACGCGCGCACGCTGAGAGGGCATGCACTGAGGGACATGTCACAGCAGCAGCAGCAGGGTATTTTGCAGCTGGACGAAATGGCGGATGCTTTCTACAGTTTCCGTCGCTTGCTTCAGTGCTTCACAAGCTGGCGTCGCGTTATCAGGGACCGCAGGGAGCATTTGCTCCAAACACGTGCAGCTCAAGATGTTGTCCGCCAGCACGATCACAGGCGCCGCCGCGTGCTAATACAGGCATGGCGCAGGTCTGCAGAGAAGGCGCATCGGGACGAGGAGCGCGCTGACGCATTCATTGCCGCTCACCAGCGGCTAATGCTAATCTGTATGCTGCGGGCATGGTTGAGCCAGGTTTATGCTTTTGGGTTTGCTCAGCAGCGCGCCACCAACGCACAGTCGGTATTCGCCAGGTCGGCGGCAGCCAACCGTGCAAATACGCAGAACATGTCTCTGATCGTGCGACCGAGAGCCAGCAGCACGTGCGACCGATCGATCAGCGTCCAGGGCGGGAGTATTGGGTCGTCTACTCAAGCGAGGTCCGTGGAGACGCAGGAGTTGCTGCGCCGGGTCAGGGATGCTGAGACTAAGGCTGAGCTGTACAAGCGGCGCTGGGTCGACGCCAACAGGCCTTCAGCCGACGCGGTCTCCCGTGATTCGGGCCTGGGATGGCGGGGACGGCACACGCGAGAAGCGAGGGAGAACGGGCCCCTGGACATGGACTGCACTGCCCTGGATATCGAGGCCGTTGTGTTTGAGCGCAGACACCTTTTGCTTGACGTATTCTGTACTTGGCGCAAGGCCACAGCTAGCAGCATAGTTTCCAATCGGGCGAGGGAGATGCAGAAGCGGGCGTGCGAAGAGGCACTTGTCAAAATCCAGAATGACACAAGACGCCGTGCTTTTTGCTGGTGGCGCCAGCAGCTGAAGGAGTGGCGGCAACTGAACCATGTGGCGGATGCCAAGTATGAATCACGGCTTTTGCGCGAGTGCGTGTTCAAGATGCACAACGAACGCTGCGAGCGGGTGCTTTTGATCGAACAGGCGGACGATTTTTACCAGAGGCATCTGATGACGGACACACTTACAGACCTTATGAATGCCTACTTTGAAATCATTATGATTAGCTCGACCGGCGATTCCTTACCTGGCGAACAGGAGCCCGTGAAGCTGGTTGTCGATGATGATGATGAGCACGAAGAGCATAACCAAAACCTTGACGACATTTACGCCCAGGAGTTTGGTAGTGATCTTTCTCATGAAGTCGACGGTAGCTACTCTCAGGACGGCGATGACGAATACGCGATAGACAACGACGGTACTATCCGTCTCGTCGCGAAAGATATTTCCGATGAAGAGTCAGTTGATGACGACAGGAGCGACCAGGAGCTGTTGTGTTGCTTTGATGCCTGGCGGCAAGTGGCCGCCAGTATGCACGGCGTTCGGGACACTGTTATCCAGAGCCTCCCCGTATCTCTCCGGCACAAGGCTATTGCCAGGGGGTCCGCCACCAGCGACTTTGAGTGGGAACTCGTTCATTCGGCGCAGCTGTTGGGCCAGTGCTTCAACCACTGGCGACAAAGAGGGTATGCTGGGAGGGAAGTCCAGCAGCAGCAGCAACAGTGGCCGCAGCAGCTGGCCATCAGCGCAATGCCCGCGCATGTCAGAGACTATGTCAACCGTATGCCAACTATCATTGATGCCAGTGACGAAGACTCGGAGGACGACGGGCCGCGTGGCGAGGAGCTGCGCTCTATTGAGGAGGGTGTGGCCGCCAGCGCTGCCAGGAGAGTGCAGCGCACTGCGCTGCATCGCTGGCTGGTGCTTAACAGGGGCAAGCTGTTTGCCGATGAACTTGTAGGGCGCAGGATCGGCGAGGTGATGGCAATCATTATTGAGCGCAACGAATTGGCCAAGCTTGCGCGCGATGCTGCATATCAGACCGATGCCGCGCTGGTCCGCGGCTGTCTCCTGAAGTGGATCGACATGGTCAAGGCCAAGCGTGCTCACAAATATCGCCGCAAGCTGTACATGAAGGCCATTGCTTTCCGGTGGGAGAAGCAGGCGCGCAGGTCGCTGTTGACATGGATGCAGGAGTCGAGCGACCTGCGGATCATGGCCAGGGTGGCGCAGAGAGCCGGTAGCCAGAGAGAAGTGCGGCTGGCGGAGATTGCAGACCGGTGGTCGGAAGCCCAGCTGGTTAAAAATGCGCTCAACTCACTGCGCATGACTGCGGGTCAGCAGGCAGTGGTCCGTGGCATGGGCATGCGCTTTGCCGTTGCATGGAACAATGCCAATGTTTGGCGCAAAACGCTACACACTTGGCATGAACGCGTCGCTCCCGACAATGCAGCACCTTTGCCCATTTATAGCAGCAGCTAGTTCTCTTGTCTTAACTAATCTAAATACTTGAGTATATCGCATATTATATTACAGTCTACATTGCAGAATTAGGAGCTATTTTTCGGCCACTGCGGTTCTAGTCTTTGAGCCCTTCTTCTCTCGCTTACTGGTGCTTGAGCGCTTTGCCTTGACCTCGGGCTCAGAGTCGGAGTCGGACTCGCTCGAAGAGGTGCTGCTGCTGCTAGAATCGCTTGGCGAGCGCGACCGGCGACGCCGACGGTCACAATGGCGACGACTATCCTTGGATTTGCTCGCGTGTCCGCGGCGTTTTCTCGAACGTGGCTCACTGCTGCTGCTACTCGAGCTACTTTCATAACCGGAGCTTCTTGAGTCACTGGAAGACGGCGACGGCGAGCGCCTCCTACTTTTGCGCTTCCTGTGCTTCTTATCTGGCTCGCGTCTGTTTTGGTTTTTGTCCTTCTCTCGTTTGAGCATTTCAATCTCTGCCCGCAACTTGGCCTTTTCGTCGGCAAACGGGTCCCTCTTGGTCAATGCGTTTGGCTTGGACTCGATTTTCAAGTTGTTTTTACACTCGTAAGTGAGGTGACCCATGCCACCACACTTCTTGCAAGCGCCTCGTGCGGATGCTACGTCGTTGCCTTTGACCAGTCGCTCGAATGCCTCGATACCGCGCTTTTGGTCTTCCATTGGTGAATATTAAAAATATGAAAAGACGAATATTTTAAAAAGCGTATACGCTATTTGTTGTGCGGATCAAATGCCCGCGCTTTGAGGAGCGGGGGTAGGTCTGCTGGCACCAGCAATGGGCGGGTGAAGACTTGGGGGATGCAAAGTGTGATCAGAATGAATTTGTTTTATTCTTTGGCCGCTTTGGCCGCTTTGGCCGCTTTGGCCGCTTGGCCGCTTCGGCGCTTGGCCGCTTTGGCCGCTTTGGCCGCTTTGGCCGCTTCGGCCGCTTTGGCCGCTTGGCCGCTGGCGCTTTGGCCGCTTTGGCCGCTTTGGCCGCTTTGGCCGCTTAAAGCCCCAATACCTGCTTTATTTCTCCTTAAACACACATGATTTAAAAAGAACAAAGAAAAATGTTTATTGGGGGGGGGGGGGGTTTCAGAGCCAACATTACCAGAAACATAAATATGTAGGGCAGATTGTCGTTATCCTTCAATTGTTCTCTGCATTTTTTTGCTTTTCCTGTATAAACTCTTCTGTTCTCAGCACGACTATTTTTAACAACTAAGCCAGCAAATTTTAATTTTTTAATAGACATGGCTTGTTTCAACCAACTTCCATCTCTTGTTCTCAACGAAATCCTGCACAGAACTATTGGCTTCAGCGAACTTAACCTCGACGACTGGAAGAAAAGCCTGTCACTACTGGGTGTGTGCCGCAAGTGGAGAGAACTAGGACTTTGCTTGGTCTATCGCAACGCTATATTGGAAGGGCTTAATGAATACAGTGACGGATTTGTCGAAAACCTAGAAGACCCCACTGAAAACAAGCTTATCAATACAAACATTGGACTGATAAAGCCTTGGGAAACACCTCCCTGGTTAAGAATTTGTTTATTAAAATAAACCACTCCAAATACTGCCGCTTACTGGTCAATGAAGCAGACGAAGTCTTCTCGTTTGATGACTGTGACTGGGGGAATGTCAGCAAAATTACAATTAGCGGCTGGGTTACAAGCGGCGAAACAAATGAGCACATGTATAGAACCAAGTTTTCGAAGGATTCAATGTGTTTTGCCAAGAAAGTTGCAAAAAATATGCCAAACGTCAGCAAGCTATACTTTCCAATATACGATCGAGTCGGCCTTGGATCCGCCGTCGTCAATCATCTTTCTAAGGTATACTCACATAATTTAAAGAGCCTTTTCAGCCTTCAACCACTAGTGCTTACGCGCACGGTCGACTATTCCCAGCTGACCACACTTAATGTAAATGCTAACATTAATGCCATGGAATTTATTTTGCACATTTGCTGTGAGAAGCTACGCAGCTTGACCCTCAGAAATATTACGCAATCATTTTCATGGAGAGAATTGGCAAATGTTGAGCAAATTAAAAATATTAAATTTTCATGCTTACATAGTTTGAAACTCGTATTCGCCTCCGAATCTAATATGCATAGTTGTGTTGTAAACCCTACAAAGTTATATTTCCCGTCTCTCAAACATTTGGATATTACAACCCCAACATTTAATGTGTTGGAGCATGTGTTGAATTTTGAGCACTACCAATGGCCAAGCGTCACAAAAATGTACGTGCATGTGATCAAGTTTTCTAAAGAGGACTCGACCAGGGGTTCTGCTGCTTCAATTCGGCGTAGCGATATCCTGGCATCTTGTATTAGATACTTTATGCCCAAAGTAACTCAAATAAGGCTCGGTATCTTTGGTACAAACAATGAGGATATTTATTTTTACTCTGTATTGGCCAACCTGTATGCTGACCAGCTGACCCATATCGATTTCGCCCACCCTACATCATTCACTGCATATCAATTTTCGAGCAAACTAACGCACCTAATACTCAACGCCGGCTGCAATTCTTTGCAAAGGCTGCCCAAAGTGACTACTGAGGCATTACAATATTTGCATCTCTCTAATGCGGATTCCAGCTTTGATTGGAGTATATTCCAAGATAAGGCTGGTTCTCAAGCAATAAACTTTAGTCAGCTAAATAAAATTGTTATAAAGTACAATTGGGACAACGAGGACAACAATTTGGACTACGAGAGGTTTACAAACAACAAGAGAAAAGAAAGTGGCAGATTGTCGATTGCATGCCCAAATCTCAACACGATATACATCGAAAATACCACAATCAACAGACTCCAAAGGATATTTTGTTACGGCTCAAGCCAATGGCCCAGCGTGAGCAGCATACACTTTAGATTCAGAGGAACTGACATTATCGAAAAGAGAAACAACATTAATGGCGCTGATTACATGCAAGCAACTTTAATGTTTGCCAAATATCTGGCTGAAGAAATGCCCAATATCAGTGATATTAACATGTATTCGCCCAACGCCGACAATGAATACGTGAAGCAGCTGTGTACTATTATAGCTAATAGCCATGCTCATCAGCTAAAGTCCTACATTTGCAATATCCCAGTTATTTTGACAGCTGATATGTTTTCAGCCGAGCTCAGGAATCTACAACTTAAAGGCGATAACAATGCATGCTTTTCGCTGCCCAAAATAAACGCAGCAAATATTGAGACCTTTATATTTGAAGCGAATCTAGAGAAATTTTCTTGGAACAGCTTTGCAAGAAAAGATGATTTGAGCACAATTGTGTTTGGCAATTTGAAAAGATTTACGGTTAAGCACACAGGTGGGGACTTTGGGAACAATGTGACTAGTCAGATTGATGCAAGTATGGCTAAAGAAAACAATTTGTTTACTTTGGATACCCCGGCATTGAGAAATATTGAAATTTACAATATCCAAGACAAGAGCAAGCTATGGAATGGCTCAATTAACTTTAATCATTTGCACAAAGCAAATATAGATGGGTCGTACAGAGGTCTAAAATTAATTGGCAATGTAAGCTCTGGGAAAATAGACTTGCTTAATGCGAGCATAAAAGTCATCTCTGTTGAGGATACAAATAATTTCAACAGAACTATCGACATGCTGATTAACAATGTGCCAACTAAGGTAAATTATACAGAGCTTTTATTAGATATGGACTTGTCAAAGTGTGATTTGCGGCATGTTCAATGGGGCAGTCTACAAAAGCTCAATTTTTGTCGATCGGTAAAATTTAGCATCCTTGTAGATTTGATTTCAAATGCACCGAGTTTGACCAAAATATCATTGGAAAATATTGTATACGACGGCAATTATAAATCAAACCTCAAACAAGTGCTGCCCATTTCTAAGTGTATCACCAAACTGCAACTGAGAAAGAAGGTTATTGCAGATAATAAAGAAATGGAAGATTATTGTATCGGTTTTTTGGTGTTTGCTTTGCCGTCTTTGGAACAAGTTAGGATGCCTGTAGAAAGCTTTGACTATGCAGAGTTTATCAGAGAAAACAAAAGTTGGTGTCCTCGCCTGGATCATATAATATGGTTATGAGGTTGTTTGACATTGTCCTTGCGTTGTAAATTTGTAGTAAATAAATTAGAAACCAGCTTGTTTATAATTGTCGTACTTGATGTGAATAGGAAAATATCATAAACGGCAACCTGTTTCCAAAACAATAGTATCTGCAAAAACGCGAGGAAAGCTGCCTACACCATTTACAGGCTGTATAAACGAATTGCGCAGTAGGGTCACTAAGAAGGGCACTAAGAAGGGTACGCAAGGGTGTGTTGAGTTATCTGGTTTTGGGTATCACATTGTTGAGAACCCTATGGGGGGCCGCGACCTGGGTCAGCAACCCAGGCTGAAACCCCCAGGCGCGCACAGATTGATCAGATAGATGCGGGACGTCATCCGACGCCCTGATCCAATCACATCGTTTGCGAAGCCATGTGGTGTTCTTGATTGAACCTGTTTTTGCCAGATCCTGATGACAGTAGAAATTGGTGCAATTCCGAGGTGCATCAAAATAGCATTTGTTTTGTTATTGTCGTTTGTTTTGATATTTGTGTACATGTGTAGCACAGGGGATGCCGCGCACTTATTATAGTTTGTTTTCGTTGTATACCAAGGTGTTCCCGCCATGAGAACGAGAACACCTTAATTTTATCTTATAATTTGCAGCTTTTACCAGTAGCTGCCCACCTTGTTATAATCTGGCTAATAGGGCCAGTAAAAGACAACACAACTGATAATAGAACGTATATCAAATCGTACGGCAGTAGTAGTATTGACGATATGGTCTTTTTAAAAATCACTTGGTTATGATTTAGATTAATTATGTACTGATTGTTTTTTATTTTCATACAGGTAATATATGCACTTTTGAAAAAACTCTAATCAAACATTTGAATAGTTGCCCGCTTTATCCGAAACCAATACAACATTAACTTTGAAGTTTCTAATACGTACGCCAAGTAGTAATACCAAGTCCGAAGACTCATCTCAATCTTATTTTGCGGAATGTAACCTGGAATTAGATTCATAGATTGATAGTGAGATATAACAGCAGTAAATAATGTAGATACTTTTAACTTTTAATAAATTTATCTGGTATTTCGTATCATAACACACTCCATCTTTCTTCTGTCTCCTGTGAGCTTCAAGAGACTTTGTGCATCCTTGCACACCGTCTTATTGTAGTTAGAAATAAACTAGACATAAAGCTGACGGCAGCCCAGCCACAAAAAACTTGCTTGAGTGTTCCGTTTAAAAATCGTATCACTAGTCCATTATAAGGCGTTTATCCCCTTATCACACTGTAAATAAAAAAGCAGTTCCGAGTGTAAACGTGGGCGCGGGTTGCGTGTTATGTTTATCCAACGCGCAGTAATCATCTGCTTCGCACTTCAAAATAGAATATTCGGTCTGCTGTAATCGGATTGGCTGGAATCAACCTTTGTACATTTCTCCCCTTGATTTTCAGTGTGTGATGCGAGGATATCACTCACTGGAAAAATACACGCCGCTTTTTTGGGGGGACGAGCAAGGCCAATCAGAATTCTTGCAAAGTTTGCGGAACACATCATTCTCAGGCATGGGGGTCTTGCTATTTTTCTACTTTCCACCACCTCTCATATAAATACGAACTCTTCGCGCCACCCACCTTTCCTTTTTTACGCTTCCCAATCTCGGCAACGACATCTTTTCTCCTGAAACAAAATCATACCATCACCACTTTGCAGCGCACGACACGAACGCAGTCTGTCCAACGCCGTAACACCCAAGGCACAACACCTCAACTTCAGGAAAGCAATTCGGCATCACCGACTCTAATTGGTTCCTCAACCTCGTCATCTCGACAGGCAACGCCCAATTCAGAAGTCGCTAGCAACCGGGCAGCAGCCTATAAGACAGAGGCAAACAAGCAAAGCGATACCATTGAGGTTCAGCAAGAAATGATAAGTGGTGAAACCTATTCGGGGCTTGGACAGTACCCGGGCAAGTACCGGAGTTTTGCGGCAAGGCCATGGATCCGCATGGGAGTCATAGCCATGACAATTCTCGGTTTAGTATACTTGGGCGTCTCCATGCTCAACACATCATCTTTTTCGGGGCTCAGCAGCTCCTCGAGGGCAGAGGCCATTGACATGCGGCTGCAGTCCGTTCACTGCGACGTGCCCCATCAGGGGAGGCCCCTGGTGCAGTACGTTCTGATGGTGGACGCGGGGTCGACTGGGTCGCGTATTCACGTGTACAAGTTTAACTACTGCAAGGATCACCCGGAGCTGGAAGACGAGATTTTTGAGCAGATCAAGCCTGGACTTTCGTCCTTTGGTGACAACGCCAAGGGCGCGGCGGAAAGCCTGGACGTGCTGATGGAGGTGGCTATGAAGGGCGTTCCGGAGCAGCTGCATGGCTGCACGCCAATTGCTGTCAAGGCCACCGCTGGTTTGCGCATGCTCGGGGGCGACAAGGGCGACCGCATTCTGCAGGCCATCCACGACCATCTGGAGACCGACTACCCGTTCAAGCTGATCCCAAACAACCCCGTGGAGATCATGGACGGCAAGGACGAGGGCATCTACGCGTGGATAACCGTCAACTTCTTGCTTGGCACGCTGGGAAATGCGGAGCACAACACGGCAGCCACGTTTGACCTGGGTGGCGGCTCGACGCAGATCGTGTTTGAGCCACGATTCGAGAAGTGGAATGGCCAGGGCGGTCCGCAGTTGGCGGAAGGCGAGCACCGGTACGAGATGACGTACGGCGGGCAGGAGTATACGCTCTACCAACACTCGTACCTCGGCTACGGGCTGATGGAGGCGCGCAAGAAGATCAAGGCGCTGATTGCGCAGGAGGCGTCGGCCAGCGGGAAGTTCTCGGTCGAGCACCCGTGCTTCCCTGCCGGGTTCCGCGAGGAGGTGACGACCGGTGACGGCAAGAGCCAGGTGACAATCAAGGGCATGTCCAAGGATGCGTTGGCCAGCCAAAAGTCCTCCGACACTTGCTACCAGCAGGTGCGCCGTATCCTCAACAAGGACGTGCCATGCGCCGAGAAGCCCTGCTCATTTGAAGGCGTCTACCAGCCCGAGCTCGACAAGACCTTTATCAACAACCCCTTCTATATCTTCTCGTACTTTTACGACCGCACTTTCCCGCTCGGCGTGCGCGACGAATTCAAGCTTGCCGATGTTAAGGCGCTCACCGAGAAGGTGTGCAAGCATGACGTATCGCTGTTTGCCGCCAAGGAGCAGCAGGAGGAGGTCGGCGCTGAGAACCACTACTGCATGGACCTGGCCTTCCAGTACTCCCTGCTCAGAGACGGAGTCGGCATGCCCGAAAACCGTACCGTTCGCAGCACGCGCAAGATCAAGGACGCTGAGACCGGATGGTGCCTCGGCGCGTCCCTGGCTGTGCTCGACCAGAACAAATACTGCAAGTACAAGTCTTACTGAGTTTTTTCCTTTATCTTTTATTAATCGATTTCTTTAAATGCATCAACATTTTACTCCCACTCATCCCACGCATCGTCGTTGCTGTCTGGCTTTGCACCATCTGCCTTGTCCGCCTGGGCAGCAGCGGCGGCAGCAGGCTTGCCGGCCGTTTTGTCAGCCTTGTCCACACTGGCACTGGCATTGCTGTTGTCAGCCTTGGACTCTTCTGATATGGCTGCCGGCTGCGGAGCTGCAACGTCACCAGCAGCATCGGTGGAATCGACGGTCTTGGGCTCCATAGTCTTGGAAACTTCAGCAGACCCATTCTTTGCCGCTCCTGTCTCTGCCGTCTTCCCCTTGCTCTTGCTATCCTCCTCATCCTCATCCTCCTCTTCGGCGTCCCAGCTGAACTCGTCCTCTGCAGTCGCAGCGACCGCCGCTTCAACGAGTTTCTTGCGACGCACCTCCTCCTGTTCGACCATCCACGCGCGGAAAAAGTACCTCGTCCAAAACTCATTCTCTTCAACCTTTTCGCCGACAAGCTTCGCATGGATACCTGCCATTGCGGGGTTCTCTGCCAGCAGCTGCGCAACTTGCAACATGCCCTGGTCCATAACAAACGCTTCCTCAAAGGTCTTGAACTCGGACATCTCGCGAGGATCTACCAAATACGTATCCTCAGATTCCCTGATGGCGGCCAGCTGTGCCATGCGTCGGTCGTAAATGATTTTGCGCGCAGCGCTCTTCTGCTCCTCCGTGCTGCCGCTCCCCGGCGCCTCAATAACAATGGCATCGCGCAGGAGGTCCTCCAGATCACTTCCCAGCTTACTCATCAGCCGCTTAGCCTTCTCCTGTTGCTGCATCAGCGCGTCCACTTGGAAGTGTCTGCCAATACCGCCAAACATATTTTGACTGTGTACTTTTTGGTCCTGAGCTTCAGTTTCGGTTCCATCAACTGCCCTGCTTTTTTGTTCCGGCTGTAGTTCCGCTTCGAGGTCGGTTTTAAGCTGTGTGAAGCGCGTGGAGAGCTCGTCCATGCCGCGTGTGGCGCCCACTTTGACTGCCTGTGCAAATTCGGCAATGTCCTGTGTGTATGCCTTGGTCACTTCCTCGGATTGCTTCTTCACTTGGTCGACAAAGTGGTCTAATTGTAATTCTGTTTGGAGCCTTTTCCCCAGCTGGCGGCAAACCCAAACATTGAGCTGAATGAGGGAACCAGGTCGCTGGTGTTTGTTTCTGGCCCGGTCTGAGGACTGCTGGGCTCAGAGCATTGTGGAAGAATTCCTTCCGATTCGGCGGCTTCGGCCTGAAGCTGCGCGGCGTAGCCGTCCATTTTTTATAAAGTTGTGTAAAAGCGCAAATAAAAAGTGGTGACAGAAACAAAAGTGCGCCCTGTAACAAGCGGGCTTTCCGGAGTTTGCTTTCTCAATCAAAACACGAGTTTTTCTTGCACGTGCCCTTCTTTTTTATATTGCCTTTTGGTTTTTTAAGACTCGAGCTGATTTTTGTATGCTGACACTTGGTATAATTGATAAAAAAAGAAAGAAAGAAAGAAAGGAGGGGATTTTGAAAAATAAACCAATTGTATATATGCTCCTAGTTGCCGTCGCGAGCAGCGGGCTTCTCAAAGCCCTCCGGCGCATTGACGCGGCCGTTGCCAGTCTGCTCCCATGCCGACGAGTAATCCCAGTTACGGAAGGCCTGCGCGAGCTCAATCGGCTCCGAAACCACTCTCTTCTTCTCCTCATCATAGCGAACCTCTGTGTATCCGTGGATCGGGAAGTCCTTGCGCAACGGATGACCCTCAAAACCATAGTCTGTCAGAATACGGCGCAAATCAGGATGGCCGACAAAGAAAATGCCGTACATATCCCAAACTTCGCGCTCGCCCCAGTTGGCAGCCGAATGCAGCATGGCGACAGAGTCTACGGGGTGGGTCTCGTCCGCATAGGTCTTGACGCGGATGCGCGCATTGAAGCGGTAGGAGATGAAGTTGTGGATGACCTCGAAGCGGTTAGGTCTGGTGGGGTAATCGGCACCTGTGGTGTCTGTGAGCTGCTTAAACTGCGCATTCGTGTGGTCCCTTAGGAACTCCACCACCTGCGCGACGGCGTTAGGCGCCGTGTAAAGGACAAGCTCGTCCTTCCATACTGAATACTGCTGCACGTATTTGGGCAACATGCTGGAAATGTACTTGCCGAACTCATAGAGAGTCGGGTCTTCCTCGCGACGCGCGGGATCGGCCTGTGCAAGAGTCCTTTCAAAGGCAGTGTCTTTGGTTGAACGGGTCGTGTGGATTTGTGCCGCTGGGATCGTGCGAGTAACGAGTTTGGCTGAGGCGCGCGAGCCAAGATCTATTAATGATAAAAACATATTCAAAGACTCGTAAGAGCACAGAAGAAAAAGTTGCATTAGCTGGTGTAAATTCAAAGTGTTGGGTTCCATTTCTGAAAAGTTAAAGTTACAATGCTCCCCTCCCTCCTTTCTTTATCCCTCCTGCCCAATACCGAGCGCCATTCGAATTGGAGGTGAACTTACAGCTGGCAGTGCGGGCCACGGTCGGTGAGAGCCTGCGAATAGCACGAACGGAAGATAGCATTATTGAAATAAAAGCGATTGAGCCCGATTGAAAGATTTCAAACAGACCAAATGTTTATGTAAAAAAAAGATTTAAAAGACAAAGATTGGAAGGCCACAAAATGTAAACGAAAAAAGTTTAAAACCTATCAAAAAAGCTAAAGGCTATGCTGCCCTGCCAAACTTTCTGTGCACTGCTAAAGGCCTGCGATTAATCTCTGAGATAAACCAAAATGACCAAACCTAACAGATCAAGTACAGATTAAATTAAAATACATGGTAGCTATAAATATATAGGTATTGATCAGCCAGCGATTCAATCAAAATGTATTTGTTTGTGCCCCAGCCAAGCCGGATTTGCGAATATCAAAATAGAGCGCAATGTGCTTCGCAAGGATGTTAATTCCGACACAGTTATACTCGCCATTTTGCTGGTAAATTAAAAAAGTTGCACGGCTGCCAGTCCATACTAAATCAGAAATATGCACTCATATTGGCTTAGCGAGCGATTTACCCAACTATATTTGCTTACAAAACGTGAACGAAAATGTCGCACACACACGTCTGCATTTTTTGGAATTGCGACTGCAGCTGCAATACAACTACAACTACAACTTTGACTCAAGTTTCAATTTTTCGAGCTCAAGTGGCTGCCAAGACATGCTCAATAGTCTTTCAAAAATACATCTTTCTGCGGTTAAAAGAGGAAAAGGAAAATAAAAGTAATTTTATATGGACTGACATTGTTTTATTATATATCCTATTTGCCTCTTCCATTTCTTTTTTCGCTTTACTTTACTTCATTTATTATGTTATTTACACCATGCATGGACTTGTCATCTAACGTTGCAATTATGAGTTCAGACAAAAATATTACAACTGAGGTCTACAAGCAGATCGAACTGTAGAAGATAGGAAGCCTATTAAGAGTTTGGAGGCCGCCCATGAGTAAGCCATACGCAAGTTGTAATGATGATAAGTCCAGTATTATAATAATTCTTTGAACGGGACTACGAAAAGAGCTGAAGAGTTCATTATTGTTAAATCGCTGTGCGCATGAAATATCATAAATATATTTCATGCGCCTCCGTTGCCACGTGTCCCAGCCCAATCCTGGCGTCACAGCCAAGGTCGTCAAGACCATTGATGTATCATACAGTGGTGAGAACGGCTTTAACCAGACTATCAGCTTGTCGCAGGAGTGTTTGTCAAATGTCTAGTTAATCCAGGAAAAGAAGCTCATTGTGAAGTTCTTTGGCGAAATCTCTCAGAGCACTGGCAAGATTATCTATGATATGAACGATACTTCAAGCTTTTGGATATGGGCATTGTCGAGATGGTTATTATATGGGAAAACCTGGAGGGTACCCAGTACATCTTCATGATGCCAATAGTTTCAATGTTAAATGTGTGTTCACCTCTAAGCATGCGTCTGACCACTCCACTTCTTGAACAGTGAGACCGGCACTCAGCTTGAGCTGATCAACAAGGAGCCACCGATTGAGTGGATTGCTAAGGTATACAAGCATAAGGGCGCTCTTCTGGAGTTTATCACGGATAAGTCGCCAAAGGGCTTGCAGTATATCAATGGCTTTGGTGGTATTGGTGACATGCTTCACTGGCAGCTTGACGTCACCCAGCTGGGCAGTGAGGATAATGGAAAAGAGGATGCGAAGAGAATGTTGAAGATGATAGCGATATGTACTACAAAAAGGGCAAGGAGCAGGCCAATGACAAATTTGATGACTACTTCTAAGCGTCGACCCGCTAACAAACCTAACATCAAACCTGCTTAAAATATGTCTGCGTTTGTTTTATGCTGATATACAAAACGACATTGTACAATTATAGAAATAAATTGGCATTCTTTCTGTTACCACTTTTACAATGTCAGTCAAAAAATTTGTACATAATAGTTAGCTTTAATGGAACATATTAAAAATGAAAGCAGATATTGACCTGTACTCTTGGAACCTCTATTTTACATATTGCGTATAAAAAGGACACATACCTTTCAAATTGTGTTTAGCTCTTTAACCCCAATTTCATACACTTTTCAATTATTAATTTTGTTATATAGTTTTCCATATTTCCATACTATAACTAATATTAAGCTTTATATTATTATATCTATGGTAAATACTTTTCTTTGTGCCCACACGGGCGTAATCCTAGATGTTATGGTGATCGGTGCCCCTATTTTCCAGCTGACACATTCTGACTATAGCTGCTTGTAATAGTCTGAGCGTTACCGATATACCCTGCCAAGATACCAAGTTGAAATTTGGAATCCGGGTGGTGCGTAATCTGATTGACGTGACGCAAAAATGCCCACATCGTTAATTTTTCACACCCTTTTTTATTTAGTTTCAAGTGACGCAGCTCGTATTGTATTTTTGTATTCTTTTTTCGTAATTTTCCTTTTTCCTTTTATATTTAAATTCTACACACAAACCTCATTCCACTCTTGTAACAAATTTGTAGAATTTAATCGCGCAAAATGGCTGCTGTTCGCGACAATGTGTTTCCACCCGAATGAATTTGACAGTCACCAAGACTCGCCTAAAGGGCGCACAGACCGGCCACTCGCTGCTGAAACGCAAGAGCGAGGCTCTGACCACACGATTCCGCGCAATTGTCCGCAAGATTGAGGATGCAAAGTTAAAGATGGGCAGGGTAATGCAGAATGCCTCATTCTCACTGGCCGAGGTGGCCTACATTACGGGCGACATCAGCTACCAGGTGCGTGAAAGCGCCAAGCACGCGACCTTCAGAGTCTCGGCCAAGCAGGACAACGTTTCTGGTGTCCTTTTGCCTGCCTTTGAGCCGGCCATGCAGCCGGGTAGTCAATTTGAGCTCACAGGCCTTGGGCGTGGCGGTCAGCAAATTCAGAGAGCAAGGGCGGTGTATACAAAGGCTGTGGAAACTCTGGTGGAGCTGGCCTCTTTGCAGACCGCCTTTGTCATACTCGACGAGGTCATCAAGCTGACCAACCGTCGCGTCAACGCTATCGAGTACGTCATTATCCCGAGGATCGAAAACACTATTTCATATATCAACTCGGAGCTTGATGAGCAGGACCGTGAGGAGTTTTATCGTCTGAAGAAGATCCAGGGAAAGAAGAAGGACAGGGCGGTGGCTGCTCAGAAGTTGCTCGACGAAAAGGCCAAGCTTGCTATTGTCGACGGCAGCATCCATGGCGCTGTCAGTCAGGAGGAAGCCCAGTTGGGAGTGCGTAACATCCTGGCCGAGCAGGTCGACGAGGATATCATTTTCTAATCGTTGTTATTGTTGTTGTTTTTGCATCTTTTGTTTTATTGATTGAACATTTCTATCTTATCGTGCCTGGGTTATTCAGGGTTAGAGCTTTTGCGTTTAAACAGGCGCATTACCATTCTCGGCTTGTGCGCGGATTTGGTGCTGTTGGTGTGCTTTATGTTTTCGGGTATATGCTGTTTCTGTTCTCCAGAGCCAACATCACCACCATTCAATGGGGAATCTGGAGTTTCGGGTATGGTCCTATGGTTCTTCAGGGACTGCTCCGGTGTAGCTGTAGTGGCAGTTGTTCGACCGCTTTTCTTTTTCAACTTAAGTGGAAGCAGCATTGAGGTCATCCCGAGTTGCGATTTCTTGGCTGGAAAAGGGTCCGCAGCTGGCGCAGACTTAGAGTTGGCAGTTTTAAATCCGGGCGAGCTTTCCTCACGGTCAGACTCCCCAGGCATAATAGACGACAGACTGATCGGCGAGCCTGTGTGCTTTTTCGTCGCATCCCTATGCCGCTGCTGCGCAGCCAGCGATCCACAAGCGTCCGAGAGCATTGTGGAGACTTTGGAGATTTTGCGTTGCTGTGGGGGCTAAAGTAGCCAGCGCCATCCATGTCGCTGGCACTAGCACTGACCGCCAGCTGCTCGTGTCTAGCCGGAATGCTGTCGACGATTCATATTCTGGCGTGTTCAAGAGAGGAACACTGCTGGCGCCACCAATGTGCGAGTCATTAATGTGGCAGGATGGACAACGACGGATGGTGTGCCTTCTGCTCTCACGGACTCTGAGCCCATGGGTGAGTCGAATCCACTTCATAGGCGCTCGGCTGCACTCCTGTTGCCGTGCTCATTCCGCTTCCTTCTCGACCACCGCCACCGGTGCTTTCGCTGGGACCGGATGATGTGCTGCGTAGTCCAAAGGAAAATTGCGGCCGTGGTAGCTTTCCAATGTTTAGTTTGGAGAAGGACTTGCCGATAACGCCCGACGTACTGGGTTTTGATGATTCGGCGGCCATCTTGCTGCTGGAAGCAGCATTGACAGCGTCTGGGTTATAGTCAAATGACATGTTGCTAGCATTGCGCGCCTCGAGATTTGCTGGCGGGTCGGGTGGTGGGTTATGCACCCATTCGGGTACCTGGCGGCCCTGAGACAGGTAGAATGACTCAAGCATGTCTTCTATTTGCGATTTTGTCTGGAACTGCTGCTGCTCCTGTGCTGTGGAGTTGTTGGGATCAGCCCCATGTTCATGAATGAGCCAATGTTACTGGCTAGTTTGTTAAAAAACGAGTATGCTGTGGCCGGTTGCGAGTCCGAGATGGTGCTTGTTCTGTTGCGGCTTGTTTGCATGCTGTGTCGCGGGTCGGCTTGCTCGTGCTGTCGCTGGCTGGTTACTAGCCCCATGGTGGCCGCCGCATGCTCAAAGTCGGTTATGTTCGAGTTGTTGGTGAGCTTTATGCCCAGACCCCAAGACTGTCTGCCACTGTCGCGCCTGTCTCTGTGCGGCCTGGTCGGTTGCTCTTCGATAAAGTCAAACATTTTATGTATCAGTATAAGATATAAACAAAGGAAAATATCTTGTAAATAAATGCTTTTAAAATTTTTAAAATGGCAAAGCAAGGCAAAGACGAATACAATTTTTTATTTTGTATTTGCAACAAATGTTTGGATTTTAATATTTAATGTGTCGCACAAGAAATAATGTTCTAGCACTGAAGCAATATAGATTGGTCGATCAGTTTAAGCGAGTGTCTCACAAGTCGAATTATTGGTAAATTTAATCTTGTCTATTCTGTGCGAGCGAATGACACGCATTGATATAAATAGGAATAAAAATATAAAGTATTGTTTACGTGTCGACATACTGGGGTCCGTTGCCACCCTCGGGCACAGTCCAGTTGATATTCTGAGCCGGATCCTTAATATCACAGGTCTTGCAATGTATGCAGTTCTGCGAGTTGATCTGGAACCGCTTCTGTCCGGGCTTCGCCTCATCATCAACGTACTCATAGACGCCAGCCGGGCAGAACCTCTGCTCGGGGCCATCATACACGGGCAGGTTCTCCCGCACCTCGATTGTCTTATCAGCCAACCGCAGGTGTACGGGCTGGTTCTCCGCGTGGTCCGTGCCTGTGCGCGACACGCTGGTCAGGATATCAAAGGTGATCTCGCCGTCGGGCTTGGGGTAGTCGATGGGCTTGTGCATGGCCGCCGGCTCCATCATCGCGTGGTCGGGGTGCGGGTGCTGGAATGTGAAGGGCACCCGGCCCTTGATGAGCATGGAGTCCAGGCCGCTCCACATTATGCCGCCCCAGATGCCGAGGCCCGTGTGGAAAGAGGGCCGGATGTTGCGCACCTCATGGAGCTCCTTGTAAATGTTGCTGTTTCTGAACGCCTCTTCGTATCCGGACAAGACAATGGGCTCGCTGCCTTCCTCGCCCAGGCCCTCTGTGACAATGGCCTTGTAGGCGCTGTCAGCTGCGAGGATGCCGCTCTGCATGGCGTTGTGCGTGCCCTTGATCTTGGGCACGTTCATGAAGCCGGCCGTGTCGCCGATAAGGGCACCACCGGGGAAGAACAGCTTTGGCAGTGACTGCAGACCGCCCTCGACAAGTGCACGGGCGCCATAAGAGAGCACACGGCCACCCTTGAGCAGGCCCGACACCAGCGGGTGGGACTTGAAGCGCTGGAACTCCTTGTATGGCGACAGATACGGGTTCTTGTAGTCAAGGCCGACGACCAGGCCAAGCGAAACCTTGTTGTCCTCCATGTGGTAGATAAATCCACCGCCGTATGTCTGGTAGTCCAGGGGGTACCCCATGGTGTGGATGATCTTGCCCGGCGTGTGCTTGGCAGGATCGACCTCCCAGAGCTCCTTGATCCCGAGCCCGTACGTCTGGAACTTGCCCTCGTCGCGCAACTTGAGCTTGCGAATAAGGCCCTTGGTCAGCGACCCATGGCAGCCCTCGGCAAACAGCGTCAGCTTACCGTGCAGCTCCATGCCAGGAGTGAACGACGCCTTTGGCTTGAACTCCTTGTCGACGCCTGCATCGTTGGTGGCAATGCCGCGCACGCTGCCGTCCTCATTGTATATGATCTCGGACGCTGCGGTGGCCGGAAACACGTCGACGCCCAGCTCCTCAGCCTTCTCCCCGAGCCACTTGACGACGTTGCTCAGGCTGACAATATAGTTTCCCGTGTTGTTCATCTGTGGCGGGTGGGGCAAGGGAATGGCGTGGTTCTCAGTCAGGTATTTCATGTGGTCCTCCAATGCCGGCTGATTGAGCGGGGCGCCCTGCTCCTTCCAGTCTGGGAACAGCTCTTCCAGGGGACCAACCTCTATGCAAGCGCCAGAGAGCGTGTGTGCGCCGATTTCGCCGCCCTTCTCGATAACAACGACGTTGATTTCCGTGTCCTCCTTGGCCGCAAGCTGCTTCAGGCGAATAGCTGCCGAGAGACCGGCTGGTCCGCCGCCGACAATGACAACATCGTACTCCATGGTCTCCCGCGGCTCGCGCTCAACCAGAGTCTCTTCGGCATTATTGGCTGCATGAGAGACAGAGAAGTGGCGAACAAGTGGCAGCTGCTGGTGCTGCTGCCGTCTGTGAGTGTTTAGCTTTGCGCGGCTGGTGGTGGCAATAGTCCGTGCGCTGATAGTGGCGGCCGAGCGCTGAAGCAGCGACGGCGTGCGTGCCATAGCCTGGACCCTGCTCAGAGTTGCGGTGGTCGGCGTACTGCGATACATGGACAAGTCGTGGGTGGTATTATTTTCTATAGGCGCAGTCTACAATTCAACAGCCAAGAAGAAAAAAGATAAAAATGAAATAAATAAGTGTAACGAACTTTTTTTAGATGAATAGATGAAAGATAAGTGTGGTGAATGAAGAGAAGGGGGAAAGGGTGAGGGCCTGATAAAAAATTGGCCCCTTTCTTTATCTCAGCTGGCCATGCATGTGAGCCGTGATGTATAAATGTTTTTTGCTCTATTTTTTTATCACGAGCGCCGGTGCAATTAGATCGGCAATGGAGTAACTCCAACCAATAAAATCCGAGGCAAGCCTAAAGGACAAGCCAACAAGATTCTTTAATCCTCTTTTAGGACGAGAAAAGAAATGAGCAGCAGCAAGTTTTATCGACATGTGGCAACAAAAAATGTTATTCTCATGCGTTACAGCGGAACAAATCTCACACCAGGGGCGGGATCGTCCCCTTTTCCGCCCTCACAATAACCAAGCAATGCATTTTGGTCGTGTTATGCTGCATTTACGCATTGGGCATGTCTGGGAAAGGACGGATTTAAGGTCTGCTTTTGTACAAAAAAACAGCTCTCAGTGATTGTCACTGCTGTGTTTTTGAAGAACTCAGGTATATGCAAACAAGTGAAGCGCAATTTGTGAATGGGGCGGCAACTAAAAAAGAAAAGCGGGCCAAAAAATATCAGATCAGATCAACACGGTAGAGAGAAAATAGATACATTGAGCAAAATATAAAACAAGTAAAAAATACGAACTAATGTTGATGATTAAGACCAAATATCTACCGCGCCACCTCGCCTGTCATGGGCTCTAATGTGAACCTTGGCTACATGCGCCTATAGCAATTATTATTATCTAGGGGCGGCGTGGTTGGAACAGGCAGGGCGCCATTGCGGCAAACTGACGTTTCCCATACACGCGCAATCACCAATCTGCATATATAATAAATTTTGATAATTTTTTATCCCAAACCCGATCTCACTTTCTCTCCGTCTCTCGATCTCTATCGAAAACATTAAGCATCTTTACCACCAGCCCTCATTCTATTGCTTTTCTATTCAAGCAACCAAAGCGGGGGAAATAAGATGAGCAGCCACATTCCGCTTCCCAAGGACAAACACAGCAAGAGCAAACTCTACGTGACACTCTCCTCGCTGAGTTCCAAAAAGAGAGAGCACACGAAATGCATCGAAACGCACCCCTTCAACTACCGGCTCACCATACTCTCCACCGCACCCACCCTCCTTCCACTCCTCAAATCACACCTAGGATCCTACTACAGGGTGTCAATGAAGCTAACAGACCTGATAAACCCCGACTTTATCGCAACCTACATTAAACAGAACTCCCTTGTGGCACTCAGCCTGGACAACCGCCTCGACACAGGCGACGTGTTTGCTGTGGACGGGAATGGGATTCTGGTGCTGAGCCTGTGCAAGGATACGTATGAGGAACTGGGGTTGGTCGGCGATGCTGCGCAGTTTCCGTTGGAGCGCGGCGCCAGGCATATTGTCAGGGTGGATTTGCGGTCTGACGTGATGGTGCCCGAGAAGAAGTATTACCAGCGGGTGAAAAAGTGCTTTGAGAGGACGTTTACTCGCGAAGTGCGGTTTGTCATTGGGTGGTATGATTCGGAGACTGGTGGTGCGCTGAACTTTGATGTTCCGGGGCGGTTGAATGCCAGCCGACGTTTGACGAGGAGCATCAGTTGCGGGATGTCTGGGTTCCGGATGTGTGCGATCTCCAGGACGTCCAGGAGGCTCGGAATACCGCTGGCTCTGGCAGTGGCGTGTCGGATGTGTGGACGGAGCGTGCAACGGATGTGTTTGAGTGGATCGGCATGGTGTCGAGTGCCGAGGCAGGAGCAGGAGCAGGCGCAGGAGTGCTGCAGCGGATCCTTTCCGCTAACGACGGTAGCAGCAGCAGCAGCAATGAGCAAGATATTTGCACTTACAGCGTATCAGAACCGCGCAAGAGTCTAACTCTTAATTCTGTGAGCGTCAGCGGCCTGCTCTCGGCCAAGGCTATCTCTCGCCTATCCGCCGCCGCCCTCCACCACCTCGCTGGCCAACAGCAGCAAGAACAACAGGCCAGCTCCCCACTGTTTCTCTGTGTCTGGGGCCACGAAGACGCGCCCGTTTCATGGTCTGCCAGCGAGCATGGGTTCCTGACGAGCGGCGAAAATATGTACGCGCAAGTGTATGACCCTAACACTGACAAATGCATGACCTTCCAAGCCTGCGGTCCCTGGGACTCTCACTCTTGAAAAGTATACACAATATAAGCAATATATTATTTGAAAACATTACTTTTTATGTTTAGCAGACTCACGAGCTACGCGCAGCATGCGGTAGCGGCGAATAGCCTTTTCGCGCTCTGCCTCAATAATGCGCTTCTCCGCCGCCGTGTCACCAGAGGGACCCTCAAGCTTAGCCTTGCGCTTGGCCTGCATGCGCTCAAGCGGGGACAACCGGGCCGTACGCTGGATCATTTTTTTAACCGCAACCTCCTCCTTAATCTTCGTCGCATGGGCCTCCTCCTTGGAGTCTGGCATCGGGACCATTTTCTTGAACATCTGTTTAGGCAGTGCCTTAAAGATCGGCGGCGCCTCGGCTTGTTCGCCGAATCTCGGCTGAGCTGCAGCAGATGCCTTTCTTCTGGCATACGCAGCCTGATCATCCTCGTCGTCGTCCGAATCCTTGTTCTTATTTTTCTTCGCCTGTCTGCGCTGTTTCCTTACTGCGTCATTGCGCTTTTTGCGATCGGATCTTGTAGACACCACAACCTCATCACCTTCGTCCTTGGCCGGGTTAGAATTGCCCTTGGCCTTGGCCTCAAAGCTAGACCCAATCAGCTGCATATTGTTCTCCATCTTGTTCTTAACACGCTTGTTGAACTCTCCCATTGTTTCTCCAGGCATGATTTTGAGATCCTCCGTGATCGCCTTGGGGCCCACCGTAGTCTGCTTCTTTCCTGCTGCTGATGCTGCAATGGTTTGTTCTTTTTGTTTTTGTTGTTGTTTGGCTTGGTCGTTGCGTTTTTTCATCTCCATGAATTTCATTATGTGCTGGAATGCTTTTGGCGCGTCAGAGGTGTTGCGGTTGTTCTTTTTGGCTACTTTGCCGCCGCCGCTAAGCACTTTTTTGGTCGGGTCAAGATCGCGCTCGACCTTGTCATCCTCGTAGTTGGGCTCCTTGTTGCCCTTGCGTGTCTTTGGATTCTTAAAACCCATGGTTGAAAAAATATAAGAAAGTGTGTGAATGTAAATGAAGATAAATATTGAAAAGAAAATAATAAAAAAGAAGTTGGAAAAATACCAACCTTTTTTTTCTTTTTCTTTTCTTGGCTTGAAAATCAAGAAAAACAAAAATTTAATCAAGAAATATTTAACCATTCAGCAAACTGAGCCAAACTTTAAAATTTACGATTAACACCTACATTTTTCATTTTCATATTCTTCCCTTCCTATGTCTCCTTAAAATTAACATTTTTTCATTTACTCGTATCCCAGCTCTATTCATTTTTTGTTATTGTTGTTGTTGCAATGTTTAAGAGACAACTATCGCAACTACACCCTCAACTCCGCCTTCGCACCCCCTTACCACCACCACTCTTCCGTCACACGCACACCTCTGCACAACAGCTTCCACCAAATACCCATGTCTATCTAGGGATGTCCGGCGGCGTCGACTCCAGCGTCGCCGCCCACCTCCTCCAATCCCAAGGCCACAAAGTCACCGGTATATTCATGCGCAATTGGGACACCCGCGACGAACACGGCCAATGCCCCTCCGAACGCGACTGGCAAGATGTCCAACGCGTCTGCCACCGATTAAACATTAAATGTCATGAGGTTAATCTCGTCAAGGAGTATTGGAATAATGTGTTTGCTTTAGCCTTGGATGAGTATGCTAGGGGGTGGACACCGAATCCCGATATGCTGTGTAATAGGGAGATTAAGTTTGGTGTGCTTTTGAAGGAAATCGAGAGGAGGGTTGGTGGTGGTGCATGGTTTGCTACGGGACACTATGCCAGATCCATGGTGGTCACCGAAAGAAAGGAGGAGACCGAAGAGGAAAAGGATGGTGTGGTTTTGTATAGGGGTGTGGATCAAAGGAAGGATCAGAGCTACTATTTGGCTAATGTCCTGGGATCCAGTCTAACCAGGGTGGTGTTTCCCTTGGGCGATCTGATCAAGGCCACGGATGTCCGTGGAATAGCCAGGGATGCCGCCCTGCATACAGCAGAAAAGGAAGAGAGCATGGGTATTTGCTTTGTTGGCGAACGGCGGCGCTTTGACCAGTTTTTGGCAGAGTATCTTCCCCAGAAACACGGCGATATCGTTGATTCACTTGGTCACAAGTTGGGCACGCATCGGGGAATGTTTTCAAAAACTATCGGCCAATCCGCTGGTATCCCCGGATGGCAGGATAAGTGGTATGTTTATGCCAAGGATATGGATCGGAATAGAATGTTTGCGGTGCAGGGAAGGGATAATCCGCTGTTGTATTCGAGCAGAGTCACGGCGGGTCCTATTCATTGGATTTCAGGGAGTCCACCACTAGGTAATTTTACAAACAAAAAAGAGCTTTATGCAGCATTTCATATGATATCTTGCCTGTTGCAATACACCAATACTAATATTGAATTGAATTTTTTAAAAAGAAATAAAGAAATGAATGTAGGTTTTGATGATGGGCAAAATATAAAGTTGGATGCACAAATTCGATACATGCAAAAGCCACAGAAATGCACGGTGTCGCGGAATGAACGTGGCTTTTTGTCCGCCGAATTTGAGGACGCTCAGTTTGGCGTGGCTGTTGGCCAGTATCTGGTGTTGTACAATGGCGACCATTGTCTCGGATCCGCCGTGATACAGTAAATAAAAACTGCATATTTTTTATTATTATTTCGATGATCGGGTCGGTAGATTGTAATAATCGATGATCATTATTACATTTATACAAATATATAGGCGTATGTTAATGTGTTAACATGTTTGCCATTTATATTATATCATATAATGTTGGGTGTGGTTGGTTGAATAATTGAAGAGAAAAATAAAATTGAAAAAAGGACAATGTGTAAATAAAAATGCGAAAAAAGACATTTGTGAAGAAAAATGAAGACAAAAAAGGTACGTGTATAAAGAACAGGAGAAATAAAGAACATTTATAACCAAAATTTAACCATTTATACCAATATAAAATTACCAACCCTCTTCTCCCTCTCTCTCCACTCGCTCTCTCAAAAGACAAGACATGGCAAAGGGCAAATGCCGTGTGCTTACTGAAGAGTCAGGGGCAGCGGGTTCGGCATGGGCGTGGGGACAAAGTTGTGAATATCAACACCGTTGGCCTTGAGGTCGGCAACGCGATGGGCAGGCACCAACTGGGGTATCAGATGGGGCTCGACCGAGAGCTCCTCAACAGTAAAGTCAAAAAGCTCGGGCAAGTCCTGGCCGTTGTGCAGTTTGGTGGCCGGGTTGCGCAGCTCGTCGAAGAACGGGTGCGTCATGGCCTGCACGGAGCTCAGGCGCTTGGTCGGTGTGTAGTCGAGCAGCTTTGTGATCAGGTCGATCGCCTCGGGCGACGACGCGTGGCTGCGGAAGATACGTGAAAACGGGTGCGGCTTGATCTGCGGGAACCGGTGGTCCATATAGTTCGGGTTCATTGTGCGGATCTGCTCCTTGGTCGGCGTGCCCAGCACCTTGATGATCTCGACCAGCTGGTCGATACCCGACTCTCCGGGGAACAGCGGCTGACCCAGCATCAGCTCGGCCATGACACAGCCGGCAGACCAGATGTCGATCCGGCCCGTGTAGTTTGTCGCGCCAAAAATCAGCTCTGGCGCGCGGTAGTAGCGGGAGCAGATGTACGACACGTTGGGCTCGCCGGCGATCAAAGTCTTGGCTGAGCCAAAGTCGCACAGCTTCAGCACGCCAGTCGACGAGTTGACCAGCAGGTTCTGCGGCTTGATGTCGCGGTGGCATATGCCCATCGAGTGTATGTAGTTTAGTGACCGGAACAGCTGGTACATGAATAGCTTCACGTACAGGATCGGCACGTACTGCTTGGCCTTCACGTACTGCCTCGTCACACGGTAGATGGTCTCGGGCACAAATTCCAGCACGAGGTTCAGATAAATGTCCTCCTTGTCGCCCTGCGAGTAGAAAAAGTACTTTAGTCCGACAACGTTGCGGTGGAAAACGCTCCGCATGACAGCCAGCTCGCGGTTCTTGAAGCGCTTGTCCTGGAGAACCTTCTTTATGGCGACCTGATCACCGCTGGGCACGAGCTCCGCCTGAAACACAACGCCAAAGGAGCCGTTTCCAACGACTTTGCAATTCGTATATACGATTTCGGCCTCCTCGCCGGTTCTGGCGTCATGCGCCATGCCGCGGTGGACCTTGCGAGGGTCCATGTCGCCTAAAAAAGCAATTGGAAAAGAAAAAAGAAAGGTTTGAATTGGCAGGCGACACAGCATTCAATAAAAAGTAGAGAAAAACGACGGGCCGTACTATGTTTGTTTGTGAATCTGGCCAGGGGGCGAATCTTTTAAAGCACTGGGGAATTAACACGTACCTAGCATCTTTAATCCGTTCATGGCAATTGCGTGCGCGTAGATAGTGGTGGAGGAGTAATTGAGCGTTGAAGTGCGAGTGTTTGGTGCTGGTGCTGGTGCTGGTGCTATGTAAATAAAAGCAATAGTGTAATCCGAATTTGAGAGCTGTGAAAATAAGCTATTAGCGCAAGCGAATTAAAACAAAAAAGAAGCGCGGAGAAATATGTAAAGTAGGAGTAGAAAAATAAGTAATAGAAAGAGCAGGCGAGTTGCTACAGTATAATATAAAAGATAATAAAAAAGTTAGTATAAGCGAGTCAAAGTTAAAAATAGGATTCAAAATAAATAGCAAGAGCAGGAGAGCAGGAGAACAGAGAGCAGAGAACAAAAGGCGAGAGCGCGTACTTTTATAGCAAAGCAAGAGGGTTGACAAAGCGGAAGGTCAAATTACAACTTGACACTGGAATTTATGAGAGTAAAATGTAATAAAAGGCTGTGCCGTATGTGTGTTGAGGAGGAGGGTACGAGTGAATGGGTGGGGAGGTTTTGGGGGGAGGGCAAAGAAGAAAGTAGAAAGAACGTCCAAGTGTTCACAACGAGTGACGATGTAATTATTTTTTGGGGGAGGGCAAAGGGCATTGACAAAAGCGTGATTTTTGTGACATGATGCATGCCAAATTTGCCATCACCGGAGGACTCGCGTCTCTGTGCAAAGAAAGAGGCTGCGGCGACCACATAAAAAGGGGCCAAGCGGGCCTTAGTAATTGCTCCATGTTCTGTGCCGCCCAAAGCCCCGCTCGCTTTGTACAAAATAAAAAAGGAAAGGAGCCGCAATGAAGCGCCAAGAAAAAAAGGAGCACTCGTCCGAAACAGAGCCGCGGGATCGCACGCACGCCCAAAGAAGAGAAAAAGGCCAGGCATGCGGGTGCTCGATAATCCACTCTTCTGACCACGTCTCTTCTTCCATCGTCATCACCGTTAGCTCGTTTTATTCCAATTGACTGTGCCGGCCAACGCGTTGGCCCAGGTGAGGGCGCGGACGATTGGATGGGATGGGATGCGTGGTCACGCGTGCATGATCTTTGATGATTTTGATTTTGGCTTGTCTGTGTGAGAGGTAAAGCAATTAAGCTCAGAAGCGGGTCAGCCGCGCAAACAAAACACGAAAAAGCGGTTGGGGATGATGCCGTGCGAGCGTGCAAAAGCAAGGGCAGCGCAGTGGCGCCAAGAGCGAAGTCGGTAGAAAGGCAGTGTCACTCTGCCGAGGCAAAAAAGGGAAAAGAAAGGCGGCTGGCAGGCCTTGCGCGCGTGTGCACGGTTGGCTGAATAGTAAGCTGTAGCGCAAGGCTCGTGAGCAGTCAAGCAAAGTAAACACGACAGGCTTCTAGGAAGCAGGCGCAGAATACGTCGAGCCCAGCCATTCTGGCATCAGGGCAAAAAAGGTAACGGTCTGGGAGGAAGGAGATGTGTCGGACGAACGCACAGGCCAAGCGGAGAAAACAGCCGGCTATCGAAGCAAAGTCTGTACGCAGTCTGGCCATGGCGGCGGCCGCATGCGCAAAACGTACCTTTTTGCCAATTGAGAGCCAGAGAATAATAATAATAAAAGGGGTTAAATTGCAAATATGAAAAGTATAGAAAGTGTAGAAAGTATAGAACAGAAAACAAAGGAGAGGATTTAAGGGCTGGGCTTGTCTGCTCGCCCGCCCAAGTTAACACTTGTTTTCAAAAAACGAGTCGGACACGGGATCGCATGTCTGACTTTAACGCGCCTTTGCCGTTTTCGCCCCCGCCCCCAACCCGTTGGGCTCGGCCTCGCCTTTATTTCACTCTTTCCTCGCTAATTCGCGCATTGACAATGGCAGCCCACTCGTGCCTTTATTAATGCGTGTGCCCTGTGCCTCGCATAACGCTCCGTTGTGCAGTGTGCCGCGAGCAGAGTGTGCCCGGCAGCGTGTCCAATTTTTTCGCCGACCCGCTTGGGTTTCGGGCGGAAAAGGAAGACATACTGGCGGTCACGAGGGCATCAATGAAAATCAAATCAGCTGAAGCCTTGTGCTTTTCGCTTCGTGATCCGAGATGTGCTCTCCGGCTCGGCGGATCAATCATGCAATTTGCGCTCGAGCCAAATGGCGTGTATGCGCGAAAGAGCCGAGCAGCACTTCTAATATTTAAATTCCGGCCCGTTGCATTTCCCTCTTTCTCGCTTCGCCTCTCGCCTCTCGCTTCTCGCCTTTCTCCTCTCCCATTCCCTTTTCGAAATTCAACTTTTTTACCCCCTGTTTCTTTGTGTTGTTTTGTTTTAGAATGGCAAGCAGCGAGCCACATTTTGGGCGGCTGGGGCTGTTCCTGCCTCTTCTGTGCATGCGCCTGGCAAACGTATTTTTGGTGCAGACGTACATTCATCCAGACGAAACGTGGCAGTCACTCGAGGTTGCTCACCGGTGGGCCTTCGGCTATGGCTTTCTAACTTGGGAATGGCATCACGCGCTTCGTGGCTGCGCACACCCGATGCTGTTTGCCGCTGTATATCGGCTGTTGGCATTGCTTCGTCTCGACAACACGCCTCTTTTAGTAAGTTCTGCCTCCCCCCGCGTTAGCAGGGTGACTTTGCGAGTGCTTGGTTCAAACAGAAGAAGAGGGAGAGAATAAAGGAAAGAAAAGGAAAGAAAAGTTGGCTAAATGCAACCAACCCGAGCCGAGGGTTTATTTGTTTTTGGGGTCTTTATTGTGTAGCTTGTCGCGCCTTATGTTTTGGTCGCGCTAATTGCAGCGTCAGTTGACTATGCCACGTTCCATTTTGCCAGGCGGATTGCGGGCGAGCAGGTAGCCAAGTGGGCGGTGCTGTGCTCGGCTGTTTCGTGGTCGATGGGCAGCGGCATTGTGCGTCCACTGGTCAATTCCGCAGAGACATGCTTGACAGCTGCAGGCCTGGTTTTCTGGCCGTGGAAGCGCTCGACTGCACACTCGCTTCCAAAGGCCCTGCTTTTTGCCTCGCTCTCATGCATTATACGCCCGACTAGCGGCGTGGTCTGGCTCTGCGCCGGGCTTTGCCTGCTGGTGAACCAGCCCCGCACCGGCCGAATCCTTCGAACGCTGCGCATAGTCAAAACGGCGCTGATGTTTGGCATTGGCGCGCTGGCAGTAATGCTGGTGGTTGATCGGCTAGGGTACGGGCAATGGGTGTTTCCGCCGTACCAGTTTTACGTGTTCAATGTGCAGCAGGACCTAGCCACGTGGTTTGGCGAGTCTCCGCCGCTGTACCATCTTTACGTGAGCTTGCCCGTGCTTTTTACATCGATGCTGCCGTTTGTCCTGCATGGCACATATCTGGGGTACCAGCGGGGCATTGCAGAGCCAGGTGTCGTCGCCGTGTTGGCGTCTGCTGTGTTTTCCTTAGTTGGCCACATGGAGTATCGCTTCCTCTACCCGCTGCTCCCCATTGGGTTTGTGTACGCCGCCATGTCGATGCAGTCGCTGGCCGGCCCGCTGTGGCCCTCCTCATCCAATGAGGACAGCGCTCACCGGGTAGGTTCTGGCAGACCATGGAGTGTGCGCAGGATTGTGGCCTATCTCCTGCTGACCAACGTACCGGCAACCCTGTACTTGAATCTCGTCCACCAGCGCGGCGTCATAGACGTTCTCAGTTATCTACGGCGCCAACCCGCAAATGACCTAACGGGCATTGGCTTCCTGATGCCCTGCCACTCGACTCCGTTCTATAGCCACTTGCATCGCAACATCCCCATGTGGTTCCTTGCCTGCGAGCCGCCGTTGGACAAGTCGCAGTTGGAGGCGCACTACTGGGAGGCAGATGACTTTGAACAGCGGCCTGCAGATTTTTTAAACAGAATATTCGCGGACACAACAGGCCGATGTGACACCTCACTGGGAGTCGAGTGCTTGGACGAGGTGACAGGCATCCACGGCCCGGACACTGGCGCCTTTTGCCCAGCCATCTCGTCCTGTACGACAACATGGCGCAGCGCATCCGCGGAACACTGAAGCAGCTGGGGTATTCCGAAAAAAAGCGTTTCTTCAATACGCATTTCGAGGGTGATTCGCGCCGCAAGGGCGACGTTGTAGTATACATTAGAGAAACATAAAAAGGAAAGGTGCGTACTTTTTTTTGTCATTCTATGGAAGAGGGTGGCGGTGGTCCGTTTAGTGGTGGGATGGATCTGCGCGCAGTGAGGCGCTCCGGGGTGGAATAGACAGAGTTTGCTGATGACCTGCCGTCGGAGTTTCGGAACTCGGTGTAGTCGCCAGTCGAGTCAATTGACAGTCTAAAGTCAGTATCACCATCGGCTTGCGCACCACCAGCTACCCTGTATCCGGTATGGTCGACGTCAAACCCATCCATATCATCGATGAACCCGAGCACTGCAGCGCCATCATCCAGGTCCACATTCATCCCTCTAGCGTCCATCTGCCTGCGATTCTTCCGCAACGTGGCCAGTAGGCGGAAAACCTGGGCACCGTTTCTCACAACAATCATAACCGTATTAAGCAGCTCCTCCGAGTTCGATCCCGGCGAGCAGTCTCCGGACAACAGTATAAGGGTGATTCCGCAGAACATCACAATTATAATGTCAAAGTAGTTCCACCATGTTGTGAGAAAGGACCAGTGCATGGCGAGCGCGCGCGTTATGATTTCAAGCATCATGCAGATACACATGATGGATTCAATTACAATAAAGAATATCGAGGGGCAGGTTTCTATGAGTGCGGTTCCGAGTGATATTAGACCCAGGAAGAGCATTATCCCATAGTAGTATGTGTAGAATTTGGAGTAGAGCAGTCGGTTGGCTGCGCCGCGCAGGATTTCTTGTCGCGAGAGTCCACCGAACGGCATTGATGACCTATAAAAGTTGAACAAGAAATTGTGGAAAGTGACTGGGGTTTTAGTTTAAGTGTGAGCTGGCGGCGAAAAAACCCCGTTTTGGGACCTTTAATATATAACTGTGTAGACAATACGCGCGTAAAAAAGCAATACCGATATGCCGTATGCGTACCCGAATCGGTTGAATTCCATTGCTGGGTTTTATAAGGTTTAATTTGTCGGTGGGGGGAGGGGGAGAAAAAAAGTAGAAATAATAAAATTAAAAAGTGAAAGAATGAAAAGTACAAAAAGAAGAAAAGAAAAGGAATCTTTAAAGAACAAATTTATTAAAACCCTCTTTGGCATTTTTTCATCGAGCATCAACACGCATCAATCAATCAAAAAGAATTCATTTATTTTCAAAGTAAAAATATATATATAAAAGAGTTTGCCTAAACCATGACAAAGCCGACCTTCGAGGCATCGACATTACGGGCCATATAGTTGAAGAAATAATAGCGCAAGAAACCATCGCCAGGGCCGAATCTAAGCTCACTGGTAAACATGGCGTTATCCATCATATCCAAGCAATTAAACACATCGAACTGCGCAGCACTAGCCATAACAAGCGCATCCCGCATCAACTCAGTCAACCTCTCCTTAATCAGTGCATCGACCCTCTCCTTAACCAGCGCCTTCTCCTTCTTTTGCCCGCCAGCCGCCGCTTTCTCCTCAGCCGTCAGCACCACGTCGTAGTCAGTCTTTGTGCCATAGTAGAACAGGTACGCGGCATTAACCATCGCATGCTGCTGCGATGCTGTCTTTGAGATGGCTCCAGGCGGCTTGCGCACGCCCTTTGCACGCACGCCCGAGCCGCCCTGCGCAGACGGAGCCTTGAGCACGGAGCTGGGCAGCGAGTAAAACGACACAAAATCCGTCACCCTTCCGGGATGCTCCGCATCCTCCACCACATAGGTCCAAATAACGCCCTGGCGGGGCAGGAACCAATGGGCAATCTCCGCGTCCGTCTTAAACACCGGCGCCACCTCGCACCGCGTCTTCAACTGCCGATTAAGCAGCTTGCGCACTTGGCCGACATCCCCCTTGCGCATAGCCCGCAGGCCGGCGACCCCGGGCTGCGCCGGAAGCCGCAGGGCTGCCTGAAGCTTCAGCAGCTGGACGCCCTCGAGCTTCTTTGAAAAGCCCGTGTCCATCAGCTTGCGCGGGTTCAGCGTGCGGTGGAAGTAGCGGCAGGTGGATACGGGCTTGGGCAGCAGCCGGCCGGCCGTGTAGATCGCCTGGAAGATGCCCACTTGGTGCACCCTGCGCGTCACTTCTTTGATCAGAAGCGGCGCTAGCCGCTGGCTGCGCAGCGACTTGTGCAGGCAGAGGAAGTTGATCTCTGCCATTCCCATGGTCCGATCCCGCACCATGACGTCCACGGGAATCCCGCTGATAAACGCCAGCAGCACCCCAGTCCCCGCCTCCCGCACGCCCACATGCCACAGCTTGCTGAACCCCGGCGGCATCAGCGCCCAGCGCAGAAACTCCGCCGAATAGCTGAACCGGAACATTGAATCCGAGTCCTCCACGTAGTGGTTCAGCAGAAGCTCGTGCAGCTCGGTCATTTCCGAATCCCGCTCGATATCTAGTTCGCACCAGACCATACCCTCGGGCAAGGCATATGGATCTTGGCGGATCTCCTCGGGCTTGAGCGGCGGGTGCAGCGGCCCGTCCTTTTGGATGGTTTCGATGGATTTGGGCACCGGCTGCGTGTTCCAGAACTCGTGGGTTGCTTGCTGCTCTGCTGCTTCGTCGCGCTCGCGCTTGCTGAGAACAGGGTCGGAGGAAAGCTGCTGCTTTTCCATTAGCCGGATGAGCTCGCGCAGCTTGCTTTGGTCAAACGACGACATTATCGGCTTGTTCGTGTCCTCAGGCACGCCGCTCGAATTGTTGGTGATTTGGTCTGCCATCTCGGAGGGGAATTTATTGTTTTTTTCCTGTTCTCTTGTCCCTCTCAGATTTGAACTAAAAAACGTAACTAGCTCAATTGATTGTATTGAATGAATTTGATAAATAAAACAAAACAAAAAAGGGAAAATAAAAAAGGCATACCCGTTTGTTTCAGTCCTATATGTGTGTGTATTTTTTTGCATGGATAATTTACGATTTCGATTTACAACTCAGTTCGCCAGCTCATCGACTCATCGACTCATCAACTCATCAGCTCGCCTCGATTCCACACTAAAAAAACAAGTCACTAAACCCATGCGTTCATTTCGCGTACTGGTCTCAAATCCTACTTCAACCCGCCAACTCAACCAACTGAAGTTATCGCGATATCATTGCCGCTGCACTGCGTGCTAATTTTGTGGTATATGTACATAAGCTCTACAGTAGGCGTTATAGCCCCGCACTCGTTGCACTTGTATTGATTAGGCCAGTTAACCATATCGGCAATGTTTTCGCAGTTGGACGGCATGGAAGCAGAGTAATTGAAAAAAGGTAAATGAGTGAGTAACTAAATTAATGTATATTGTGATGAAGGCCATCAACGTAGTATACGCGGGGATACTGGCCTTTATATCTACCTATACAATGATTTATGTCCAAGAGTTTTATATCTAATGGCTAATTGTAATTCAATCGTTTCTATTGTCACTATAAAATTGTTTAATATTTTAATTTAAACTGTTTACAATTGTTATTCAACAAATGGCCATGTTTAAATACCTCAATGTTTCCAATCACAAGCTGTATACCAATGCGAATCAACCGGCGGTTTTTTTATTTCTTTGAATAATAAAGAGTATACTGCTAAAGCTTATGCAAAGAAGATTCCAAACAGGATAAATAAGTGTTGCAGAGGGTTATGATGTCTTAGTCAAAACCTGGCTGCGCATGAAAAGGGTTTTAAAACTACACAGGTATGAGTAAGTCCGATAGTAGAAACATTGACGAGAAGCAATGAACTGTTAATTTTTTAAAAGAATCATTTTTCCCTATTTTCTCAACTAATTTTTTAACATGAGCAAATTTTATCTGGTCAATTATTCAGTTTATTTAAATAATGTTGAAAACAATTTACGAGTAAAAAGCATGCTTGATACTAAATGCAGCTGCTTTACGCAAAACTACTCTAGTATCCTAGAACTTCAAGTGAGTAGGATAGCACTTTGCACTTTCTTCGCTGGATGGATAGACTTTTTTACAATCGTTGTGTCCACACTCCCATTCTCCTTTCTTGGTGTAAGCAATAGGAGGACGAGTATCAACAGGAGGCTCAGTAGTAGTGGTGGTGTTGGCGGTAGTCCCCTGAGATTGAGCAGGAGGGTTAGAATCGGAGGTCGAATATCTGTACATTGTTGCTAAGCAAATTAATATTAAAGCAATATTCAAAACTTATGAAAAAATAATGTATAAGGTAAATGTGGGTGGCAAAGTATAATACCGATTAAATAAGGAAGCCCTGTCGTTTTTATAGTTAAAATAGTGCCCATGAAAAAGTGCTTTCTATTTGGGCTCTAAAAACATACGTTGCAATGTATTCCCTCTATTTTTATTGTGACAATATAAAATAGAACAATAGGAGCAATGACCGTCGCTCATATAACTAAAGAAAATACTTTTCCATCCAATGTAGTTATTTCTTTTTATAAATTATTACACTTTTGGCTTGTATGTATAGATCACAATAAAAAACGCATATGCGGTTATTGCATTCTTGCAAATAAAGCCACCATTTGCCATCTTGTTTGCTCAGCGCGTTCTGTTATACAAAAGATATATTTCATACTATGAGAGATGTCATTTTATTTATTTCCCACCAGCATATTTTTGTGCGTGCCACTCTAACTCATGTTTTGTAAATTAATCCTGTTTTACCAATCAGTGCTATACTTTCACATTGATGGAGTTGTTGCAGGATTGAAAATTAAACAAACACATGCCACATTAAAATAAAAAGAACAATATACATGGGTCATTGGATACAAGCATGTGTGTACAACCTCATATGACCTTGTATATATTTGCAAGACACATTATCCATGGTACTCAGCTACAAAATCACACAAAAAACAATATAGTTAGTAGATTATTTATTTTTGTTGTTTGCCTTGATTTCTTAACTTTTCTGATGTTTTGACTTGGTTGATGGTCGATAGTCTATGGCAAAAAATGGATTGCCATTTTCCTTATGATTTACATTTTTATTTTTAAATATTTATTGGTCCACAAATTTTGTTAATTTCTCTCATTCGTTTATACCTTTTTTACTTTGTCTTTCTTTTTTTCATCTACCAAAAAATATAAATATATTCACTTTATTCTTAATACCAGCCTCAGACCCAAATAATCGATTTATTATGCTCACTCGACCCCGTATTATTGTGCTGCTTATAATATTGGGTGTTGTTGCAACCAGTTTTATTGCCACATCAAACTACCACAACTACTGGGACATACTCGAAGGGAAAGCGCCACCAGAGACACCTACTAAAATCTTACATCGGCCACACCGCCGGCCAATTGAAGACCAAATGCTGCTCGACCGCATGGCAATCATTTTACCCATCAACAGCAACACGGACATGCAGTTCTACCGCAACACCTGGTTCAGCGACTACCTGTACCCCGTGTGCGACTGGGAGGAGCCAGGATGCGAGATTGTGTGCAACAGGACTTCGACATATCATACACTGGACGAAAAAACAATTTGCTTTTCAAAAGCCATCAGGTCATATGAGGACATTGAGTTTTTCATTAAGCTGGATGATGACTCGTTTGTTGATAAGGAATATGTGCTAATTTGATGCGAACTTACAAGGGATCCAAGCGTCCCGTATACATTAGCGATCACACTAGAAGAAGGGACAATGAGAACAAGAAAAACTTGCACCTCGTGCTGTACGGGAACGGCAAATTTTACATGTTCAACCAGAATCTTCTCAATTGTCTGGACACGGAATTCAGGTACAATGGTACAAGAAATGAGGACTTTGTATTTGGTGGCATGGTTAATTCCGGATGTGGTGAACGTAATGTTGCGTTTATCCAAGAGGATGACAATTTTATCTGGCATAAGCATTACACTAACAAGAAAAAGGATATCGACTTGGGATTTATTAGGAACCATTAATCGTTTTCAATTTTAATTACTCCAAAATACATTTTTTGCCACAAGTTTGAGTTTACATATAGTTTCAGCTAAAAAAATAGCTAATGAAAAGCCTTGCTTTATTCTTTAAAGGCTTGCATTAATAGCGTGCACTTGGATACATAGATATTGCCTTGTACTATAACACAAAAAAGTAAATGTGCAACGCGCAAACAGCTCTTTTTGTCAATAGACTGGTGCCTCATTTATAATATTCTAGAATTAATCTGCAATACATGGATAAACAATTCGAAACACAGAATATCTATTATTCAGTTGATTTAAATAGATTTCAATGCAATCTGTGAAGACTCGGCGTTGGCATTAATTATCTCCAGATTACTCGTCGTTGAAATGCAAGAGAAAAAATCGATTACAATCATTTTTCCCCACTGCGCCAACCCATGACCCAAAAAGGCTTCAAAATTGCACACACAAACAATGAGTGTCAGTGCAAATCTCACTTTTAAGCCATTACAGGAGAACATTCATGACCTGGTCATGACATATGTTTTTCTGCATTGTCAGCTTTTATTGTGCAGATCCGCCGCCTTTTGAAGGCAAATGCATTTTGGCATAAAGTCGCAACTTTACGCATTTTGTTGCGCTTGATATCCAATGTCAAAGCATAGTCCTTATACTATCCCTTTTTTGCTTACGCGCGTTGCACTTTTAAATGCCAATTAAACTAGTAGCATAGTTATCATAACTACATTAGAACAATATTAGTACTTGAAATGTCTCTTCTGCTCAGCACAATTGTATCCAGCGCTCTTAATGTGTTTCAGGATACATTCATGTACTGGGCGCTGACTTTGGCCACAGCGGGCGTATTGTACTTCGTCAGCACCACGCTCGCACCACAGCCGACCAGCCAGAACAGCAGCATCCCGCACATTCCCGCGTACAAGACCCTGCTCTGGATGACAAAAGGTCCAATAGGCCGCTTGCCGGTGTTGCAAAGCCTGCAGATGCCATACATGAAACAGTGCGGTATATTCAAGACGCGCATGTTTGGCGCGTGGGAGTACAACATCGGCAGGGCAGACTACGCGCGATTGGTGTTTATGCACTCGGACATTTATGAAAAGGTCAATGTGCGCCAGATCTTGCCGCACACGCTCGGCCCGCGCGTCACAGGAAAGTCGCTGACCTTTGAAAACGGCAGCGCCTACCGCGGCCACCGCGCTGTTGTCAGCCCGGCATTCCGCCGCTCTTGGCCGACAATTATGTTTGAAAACCCGCTGGTTGAGCTGATGGACGTCATCGAGCGCGAGTCTAACAGACCAATCGACGTGTTGAGTGTGTTTCGCAGGGCCACATTAGACGTTCTTGGGCATGTCATCATGGGCTACAATTTCGAGGCGCTGCGCAATCCTGGAAACAAGCAGAATGCAATGTACGACTCTCTTCTCGGCGCAATGCTGCATCCAGTGTACAACATGTTTCCGTGGCTGGACCTTTTTCCAATTGGGGAGCGCGTTAGGCAGTGGGGGTATTTGCACATATTCCACTCGTTCATCGACGGCATTATCAACGAGAGGCTGGCTGAAATGGAAAAGATGCAATCGCTCACTGAGGACGAGCGCAACAACGCCAA